CCACCTCCACAAAAAACACATACTCCCACCTCCCCCCCCCACCGGGCCTCGTATTAATACTCGTCAAATCCAGTCCATGCCGCCCAAACACCGCCAGACACTGCGCCAGCGCGCCCGGAACTCCATGCGCGACCGTAAACGTGATGAGAGATTTATACAGCGGGGGTGTCGCTATATCCATCCCCTGTGGCGGTAACATCGCTGAAGAGCCGCTTTTCCGCAGCACAAGGAACCTCGTCGTATTCCCCACCCTATCCTCGATATTACTAGCCAGCACATCGAGCCCAAAGACCCCCGCGGCCATGGCGCTGGATAGCGCAGCTGAAGTCCCGGACGGATCGGCAGCGACGAGCTGCGCGGCGCGCGAGGTGGAGGGTGTGTCTTCGCGGCGGGCGTGTGCGAGATTTTCATCCAGGAAGGATGTGCATTGTGTCCAGGCTTGGGGGTGGGAGAAGAGTGTTTTTATACTTTGGAATGGGTTACCCCCCTCCATTTCCCCTTCCCCTTCCCCTTCCTCTTCCCCTCCTACCCCATCCCCACCTTTCTCAACAGAGGAGGACGAGGACCCGCGATACCCCAACAAACAGTGCCGCACACCGACGTACGTCTCCCCGCACACAAGGATATCAGGATACTTCCCTTCCAGATCGGCGAAGAGGTCGAGTGTGAAGACTACAGAGCCGTTGGTGCTGTTTTCGAAGGGGACGATGCCGTGGTGTGCGGTGCCGGATTGGACGGCGGCGAAGATGGATTGGATTGTTGGGTGGGGGGTGAGGGTGTGTGTGGGCGTGTTGTTGTCATTGTGCGTGTTGGTGTTTTTGGTGGTGGGGGGGAAGACGTTGAGCGCTGCCTGTTTGGGGCGTGAGAATGGAATAATGGATTTATGTTTTGAAGATGATGATAAAATGGATGATGACGTCGTTTTACACGCAAGTTGAGCAATAGAGAAATTGAGGAAATTGAAAAAAAAAACACCACACGCGATCCTCCTCGTGCATCCAAATCAGAAACTAGCACTTACTTGGTGTGTGTAGCTTGCCTCGGGCCCGAGGAAGGCGACTACAGACGTATCCTGCTCTGCCATGTTGTACGAGTTTGTGTGGGGCGAGTGAGGTTCAAGGGGAAAAAAAGTGATCGAGGGTTTAAGGCGAAACGTGGGAGCGGCATCGGCCACTACGCCGGCGCCCTATGAGATACATATCACATTCGAACATAGTCAGACGGCAGTTGACATGGTGAGACATGGGTAGTTTTGAAAGTTCAAGATATACAGTTCTAGTCGAACATCATCATCATCATATCACGAGCAGCCGAACAAAATCTAACTCGAGACACAATTTAAATAGACTGAATTTTAATGACAGACAGGCCGATGGACACATAACTGACCAAACCCCCCCTCTCATTCCTCCCTGGAAATCGCTGTCTAGAAATTTTTGCAAAGTTAGATGGTCGTTAGTAGCTACTCTTCCCTTTATTCCACTAGCTGCATTTCCATGATCGCATTCAGAATAGTGCTCGTCAAAACCCCATCTCCGAAAGGGCGTGTCGTTCAAGAAAACTGCAGCCTCTCCAATAAAGTGAGAGTGGGTCGTGGTAAGAGTGGGCACTCCATCGGCCTGAGATAAAAATCAGCATTGCGTCCACTCGATGCAGTCGTTGTCGGCTTACCAGGCAAACCCTCCATAAGCACTCCCTTGTCTCCTCTACAATCTGGAGAGGCGAAGCGTCGTTGCTTCGACTGCTCCTGCATTCATCGCGAACGCGTCATTGTGACTATGTACGCGGGCAGCGGACGTCCCCTCACTCGACGCGTGGAGTGGGGCCTCTGCCTCGCGGTCAGCGAGGGCGCATAACCGTCAATCATCGTAGAATTCGTCTTCATCGTCGGAGAAATCGGCGAGCTGCTCGAAGTTGAGCGCGTAACGGAGGATGGCGCCGATGCCACCAAAGCCTTTGACGAACTGGTTGCCTTCGGAGGAACGGTCAGAGACGAACTCGAGCGTGGCACCAAAGTCGCGGTATTTCTCAGCCAGCCACTCGAGCATAGATGATTGATCGACGATATCCATCTCCTGACCAGTCTCCTTGTCCATGAAGATGCTCCGGTCAGCCTCTTGGGTCTTGTTGGTGTGGAGAATGATCTCGCCACCAGCAGAGTCCTTGAGCACCCAGCGAGTGATTTCGAGGTTCTCAAAGACGATGAGGGTTTCGGCTGCACCGGCCTCCAAAGCCTTCAGAGTATCTTCAACACCGTAGCAGACCTTGCCAGAGTCTTTGGAGATGTGATCGAAGTACTCGTTGATAAGCTTCTTCTCCTGGATAAACTTGACGTTGCTAAGCGTCTCTCCAGACAGCTCAATGGCCTGGTTGAAGCCGTTCTCGCCTCCGTATGACACATCGACGACCTTGATGACCTTGGACTGCAGACGGTTGTCGAACAGGTCAGACTGGTTCAGGTCGTTCTTGAAATCAGCGGAACCGGCGAGAATGATACCGGCTACGTTGACCTTGTCGGCGGTGATGAAGTTCTGGACTGCCAGTTCGGCGACCTTGCGCACGTAGTTGTGTCGCTTCTCTTCTCGCAGACGGGCGAAACGCAGGGCAGACTGACCACCACGGCCGTGCTTCTTGGGTAAGTCGACGGAGAATCTGCAGCAGTCAGGATGTGGTCATCGACGCAGGGGTACTGTCACACTCACTTGTGGACGATTTCACGCGTGTTGCCTGAGAGGGTGCCAAACAGGGCTCCGTTTCCGTCCATGATGATGAAGCCGAACTTCTGATCCGACTCCAGCAGCTCGCTCAGCGCCTCGGTGTGGAACTTGTTGTCGCAAAGGTACAGCGACGTGTTGATGGGCTTGAAGGGCTCAAAGTCGATGTTGATCTTGCGCTCCTTGCCTTCTGAGGTGATGATTTCACCGCAGTAGATGACCAGGCCATTGGGCGGGACTTTTGAGTAGAGCTTCAGACGCTGCTGGGTGGAGGTGATGGCGGAAAGGACGGAGAGACGGTTGACGCGGGACTTGATGTTGGAGGCAGTGCCCTGGGGGGGTCAGTCGCTGCATTTGATGTGCGTCGTCTAAAAAAAAGTGTGGGGGACGTACAAACTCTTCAGCCAACATCTTCGCGGCGCGCGACACCTGATCCTTTGGCGCTGTGCATGGTGAGTAGGGCGCTCCTTCTTGATATATATGTGTGTATGGTGTGTGTATGTGCACGTACGGATGATGAGCGAAATCATGCTGGTGCCATTTCCACGGGCGGCTTCAAGACGCTTGATCAGCTTCTTGACCTTCCAGATCTCAATGTTCTTCTCGGCGTCGTTGGGCTGCGGCTCCTTGGACGACATGGTCGCGGTTGTCGGGTGTGTCGAGAGTGTTTGTGCGTGTGCTGGCGGGGTCTAAATTTTCGTGCTGGGGCGAGGGGCACTCCTGAAGCGACTTGCACGCAGCCGACTTCTTTTGTGGTGCACGCGATTCTTTAACAGCGCTGCCTCGGCCGCTGTGACTCGCTGTGTGATGGACGGACTATGAGCCACCTGGCGTGCTTATGATTCTACGTGTTGCTGCCTGTCAGCCTCTGCCCACACTCGCTGCACAGTCACGTCCATGACCACGTCGCTTGCGCAACCACTCAGCGCGCCCCGGGAATGACGACGCTGCGTGCATCCGCCGTCTTCTTCGCGTTATGACGGCAGAATATGCGGGGCGCGCCAGCCTCGTGATGGACTTTTCCCAGATGCTTCACCGTCAGGCCGTCTTCGGCGCATCTGGACATGGTATTGCCGCCGACCGCCATATATATTGCTTCAACACTCTGCTTTTCCGCCCGGTCTCGTTCCCGACGGTAGCCACAATGGCCCTTCATCGACTCGAGTAGCTCCCGCACTGTGCATGGATCTTACGAACGAGTTTTAGATCACGTCTCCACCTGTTCCTCCCTTATCTTTGCCGTGCCTGCCTTATAGACGCCCTCGCCCCAACGTGTGCATGTGCGCGACGGGAGTCTATTCACCATGAACATCAACGGCAAGCAGCCCACCACCTGGGACCAGTACGACGGCGTCCACCGCGGCTCCGTCGACTCGACCGGCAGCCAGACCAGTCGCGTGCACTGGGACACGCTTGAGCGGAGGCGCAGTGGCGACAGCGATGCGGAGGCCGGAGGATCTCCGTCGCGCTTTGGCAACTTGAGGAGGCGGAGGTGAGCGGACCCTGGAGGCAGACAGCATGCACGGCGCAACCAGCTAACACCATGTCAGGCTCTCACTGTCGCAGCAACTCGGCGCGCTGGGCGATGCAGGTGGCGTCAACAGCATAAACAACTTTGCCAGCTCGTGGCAGCGGGCCGCTGGCTTCTTCGAAATCACCCCCGTCAGACCCAGCTTCCGTGTTGCGCCCGAGGACGAGTCCAGCGATCTGCCGCGCACCGGCTTCTCCAACCATGTCCCCGACCACCGCTCCGCCCTGCGACACGCGTTTGAGGCCGCAGGAAGGCGCCCGTCGGACAATGCCGTCGACGACGAAGAACACGGCGCAACAGAAGAGACGAACCTGCTGCCAGGCGCCGTGGAACAGCGCTTCAGGGCGAGGGGCGAGAGCATCTTCAACATCGAGCCCTCGCTCTCGTCGCCGTTTGGTGGGAGCTATGGCACAGGATATGGGAGTCTCGCTGCTCGCGTCAACGAGTCGTCGATGCGCCACGCTGGTCGACTCTTCACCGAGCAGCAGATGAAGGGCGTCCCAGAGCCAGAGCAAGCACGGGAACCGCTCCTCGTCAAGCAGATCGAGGAAGACGGCCACATCATTAACGTGGTCGTCGGCCAATCAACGCTTCCCCAGACCATCTTCAATTCTGTCAACGTCTTGGTTGGTGTGGGACTGCTCTCCCTACCTCTAGCTCTAAAGTACTCCGGTTGGGTTGTAGGCGTGATCTTCCTGACTTTCTCGGCAATTGTAACTTCATATACGGCTAAGCTGCTGGCCAAGTGCTTGGACGTAGACAGCTCTCTCATTACCTTCGCGGATCTTGCCTTTGTCTCATTCGGCAGCAAGGCTCGAGTCGCCGTTAGCATCCTGTTTTCGGTCGAGCTGCTAGCTACATGTGTTGCGCTGGTCGTCCTTTTTGGTGACAGCATGGACTCGCTCATTCCTGGCTGGGGCGTCGTTGCCTGGAAGATTGTCTGCGGGCTGATACTAGTACCCTTGAGTTTTCTGCCTCTCCGTCTGTTGTCGTTTACATCCATTCTGGGTGTCGCATCCTGCTTCGCAAGTAAGTGAACTACTGCAAATCCTGCGAGATATCATGAGCTAATGCTGCGGCAGTTGTGATCGCAGTGTGGGTAGACGGCCTCATCAAGCCCGACTCTCCAGGCTCCATCCGCCAACCTACAACCCAGTACCTCTTCCCGGCCAACTGGCTCACCATCCCGCTGTCGTTCGGTCTCCTCATGTCTCCCTGGGGAGGCCACTCCGTATTCCCCAACATCTACCGCGACATGCGCCACCCCTACAAATACCGCAAGGCCGTCGACGTCACCTACATCTTCACCTTCATCATCGACACTGGCATGGCATGCGCCGGCATCCTCATGTTCGGCGACGGCGTACGCGACGAAATCACAAACAACATATTCCTCACCAAAGGCTACCCCCAGGGCATCTCAGCCTTCATCGCAATCTGCATCGCCATCATCCCCCTCACAAAAGTACCCCTCAACTCCCGCCCCATCGTCTCCACCCTAGAAGTCCTCTTCGGCCTAGACAACCGCTCTCTCTCCGTATCGCCAGCGCTAGACGGCATGTCAGGCTTCAACCGCGGCTTGTTCAAGATTTCCCTGCGCATCATAACTATCATCGTTTTCATCATCATTGCGATTATCTTCCCGTCTTTTGACCGCATCATGACGCTGCTGGGCAGTGTGGCCTGCTTCTCTATCTGCATCATTCTGCCCCTGGCTTTCCACCTAAAGCTCTTTGGGAAGGATATTGGGAGGGCGGAGAAGACGCTGAATTGGGTGCTGATTGTAATCAGCACTTTCATGGCCGTCGTGAGTACAGTCTTTGCTTTCCTGCCCAAGGAGTTGATCGGTGCTGCGTGAGCATTGGATGACGTCTGATCACGTGTGAAAAGTTGACGTGGGTGTCTGGAGCAAGTACCTAGGTGAAGGATGAACTTTACGTGTATTCGCACGCTTGTATTGCCTCTCAGTATTATTTTTCGGAGTTGGGCATATCCATAGGGAGGGAGGGGGCTCAAGGCGTTGGTTTGGCTTGTCTTGTCCTGTATATCGTTTATTCGTTGGTGTCTACGTACTACACAGATGACGGAGCAAGCACAAAATGTACCATTTTCAACACATCAAACACAGCCATAAATCGCACTTCCCTCGTCATGCCATCCCATCAAACGAAAATGATGTCCAGCCTCAGTCTCAGTCTCACACCCGCTGACTAACCCCCGCCGCATCCCCATCGGCGCAACACAAAAAAAACACCCCGACCTCCGCCATCCGCCATCCGCCATCCGCTCCCCAAACGCCCAAAGACATCAAAACCTACCACGAAACCCCACCCTCTCCACCCTCAAACCTACACGAAAACCCACGCGCAACCACCACCCCCAAAAACACCTTCGAAAATGGACGCACTATCCCCCTCCCTCGGCAACATCGACATCAGCAAGCTCAGCACCGCAGACAAACAAGCGCTCCAGCAATTCGTCATGAACGAGGGTCAGAAGGCTAGGATACAGAGTTGTGCGTTCTTAAACCTCCCATCTTCCCCCTTCCCCATATTCCCCTACCCTCAAACCGTGGCTGATCGTTCTTCGAATAATCTAGCCATCCACGCCCTAACCGACACATGTTTCCGCAAGTGCATCCCGATGGGGGTCGTGAAGAGCGGGAAACTGGATCGGTATGAGGAGCCGTGTATGAGGCAGTGTGTGGATCGGTTTTTGGATGCGAATCTGGTTGTTTTGAGGGAGTTGGAGAGGTTGAGGCAGTAAGCGAAGGATTGCGAGAGAAGGAGAGAGGGGATTGGGGATGGGGATAGGGATAGATGTGTGTGTGTGTAAAATATGCTATGGGAGATGGAGGGATGTATGATATTGTGTGGTTATCGAGGATGGGTATGACAAGTCAAGAATAATTGCATGGATTTGCATGGATTGAAGGGCAATTCGACTACACATGCATACAGTGCTGTCTTCATAGGGACTTCACTTATACATCACATTAGTCATTGGCCATTGATATAAATATGTCTGAACTTGGGACGGAGCCAAATAGTGGCGTCATGTCATAATTTGATTCATTCGAGTCTCCATCGACTACATGCCCATGAACGCCGTGCCTAATACATGACTTTTCCATCGCCGGGTATAACCAGACCCACTCGAGATCATGCATTTTTAAAGACGACCCATTTAAACGATAGCGAGCTTGGTGGCCGCAATGTCGAGAGCGTCAACGTCGGCGGTCAGGCGGGCAAAGGCCTTCTTGGAGCCATCCGGTCGGATGAGCGTGTTGATCTTGACGCAGTTGACGTCGTATTGCTTCTTGAGGGCAAGGGCGATCTGGCGCTTGTTGGCCTTGACATCGACGATGAAGACGAGTGTGTTGTTCTCCTCAATCTGTGCGAAAACATCAGCGCGTGTCCAGTGCTTCTATATCTCCATTTGTTCGTACCTTCTTCATCGCGGACTCGGTGTTAAGCGGGTGGATGAGGATGGTCGAGGCATCCATGCGAGGAGCATGGGGGACCGACTTGCGGGGGTACTTGGGCGTACGGGACAGCTCAAGGGTCTTGGGGCTGGGAGTTGTTAGCACGCAAAAGACAATACTGGATTTAGGGCATACCGGTGGAAGCTGGTGCTCTTCCTGATCGCTCGCTTCTTGTTCGCGTACGACTGTCATCTCGTTAATTGTGCCCGCCACACGAGAAGAACAGCCCGTCAGAGATTGGTTCTGACACGACTTAAGAAGGGATCAAGGGAGTCTTACTCCGCGCAGGGCCGACTTGGCAGCGGCATTGGCCTGCTTGCCAGTCTTGGTGGAAGCTGTACAGATGTTAGCTGTGAGCGCATAACAAAGGGAGTTGATCGAGGCGCATTCGCGGAGGCTTCACGATACCAGGGCTGCTGCCATCGTGCGAAACGCGTGCTCTTTTCTCGATCGGTTTATGGCGATGTAGGCGCAAACGTACTCTTGGTGGCTGGCTTGGGTCCCATTTTGGCGATGTGAATGTCCTGTCGTTAGTTGTCGAGGCTGCAAAGAAGTTCGAGCTCGGTGGGTAGAGGAAAAGAACGAATGTGGGCGGACTCGCTAGCTGGCCAATCACAGGCTAGCGCCAGATATTGCATCTCGAAGTCTCGGCCATTGAAGGCAAGCGCGCAAGCCTTCAATGAAGCGAATCCTCAATTCGAGAATGCGATGGCCGTTAAGAAGCGCCCAAAGACCCTCTCGCATGGCAGGCCACCGTGCAGCAAACCCAAGGAACGAATGAGTTCTGAGCGCTCGCGGACCATCATTCGCACCCATCACCGACTACAGAAAGAGCATGCAGCAGCCCTGAAAAGAGGAGATTCCAAAGCATCTGACGAAATCGCTCAGGCAATCGAAAAGAACGGTGGTATCAAGACGTACCAAGCTGCCAGCAAACAGGGCCAAGCGAAGGACCGAGGCGGTGACTCCAGCAAGATTCTTGTAGATTGGCTGCAGCGATCATCCGTCATCGACTCTAAAAGTCGAGGTCAGGATGTTGTTGGGCAGGTTCCGTTGAGATGCCTCGAAGTTGGAGCCCTTTCGACGAGCAATGAAATCTCGAAATTTCCAAGCAGCATCAACATGACCAGGATTGATCTGAACAGTCAAGGGCATGGCATCGCAAAACAAGATTTCATGGAAAGGCCATTACCTGCATCCGAGGACGAACGCTTCGACATCGTCTCATTGTCGCTGGTACTCAACTACGTACCCGACGCACCTGGTCGTGGAGAGATGCTGAAACGGCTCACCAAGTTTCTGCGGATGGATACAGCACAGTCTACGCCACCAAACGCCATCCTACCACTTTTGTTTTTCGTACTGCCACTGCCTTGCGTTGAAAACTCCCGGTACTTGGACGAAAAGCTTCTACTTCACATCATGGAGAGCCTGGGATTCGTTCTCAAGTACAACAAAAACACCACGAAACTCTGTTATTACCTATTCAGCTGGACCGGGAAAGTCACTTCGGTGGAAACAGACAAGAAAAAGATCAAAGACGGACCCGCCATGAATAACTTCTGCATCGTCGTGGACTAGATTCAGCCTGTTTCACATTGCTCGCCTTTGGAAATAAGATTTGGCGACTCGCGTAGTAATCAGCGAGCGCCAGTTTCACTACCAGAGTGTAACATTGGCGTTCTGCGGGGAGACCATTAGAACGAAGGGACTATGGCAAAATTTATGAGATACTAGCCTCTGACTCCCGGGTAGTCCACTTCAAGATGCACCTCAAACAGCCGCTAGAGCGCAGAGCTAAAAGGTTCTATCAACTACCTTCAAATGTCACGCTCTACGGCAATGGCTTGGTCATTTCGACAGCGGAGATGCAAATTCATTCCAAGATTACGGCACAATTTTCTCCAACGCAATGTATGCCCGGTGGTACTACCGGCCTTAATCTTTCGACACAGCAATTGCGATGTTGGCAATCTACCACCACCAAGGATCTGCACATACCAATATCGTCGCAAATATTGCTAGGTCCATTACGCCGTGTAACATCGGGTATGAAATTTTACATTTTAAACTTCGCCTTTTAGAGGACCCCAGTTTGGAGGATCAAATGAACTCATCCGCATCCCGCCTTGTCATCTCGCCAACGTTTGATCTCCATTTAGCGCGTCCTCAACCCCAGCACCTCATCAGAAAATCTTCGGACCACCTCCCAACAACCGTTGGTCTAGACTTGAGTTGTATACTATGGCCTATCAAAATTAAGTGGCGTTGGGTCTTTCTGCATGTTTACCGCATGGTTACCGTATCGGTCTGTGGCTTCGCTGCCCTTCTTCGGTTGAATTTGTTTGTTTCTCACGCAAATTTCCGCTATTGTATGGTGAGATTGGAAGTGTTTATGTAGGACGCCCTGTCCGCTGTTGCTGCAAAAGTTACGAACTTCTATTCTCTCTCCGTCTCACCATAGTCATTCTTTTCGCAAGCCGCTGTGCTGCTGCCATTCGTTTTTGTACTGCCAAATAGAATCGTTGATACGATCTCCAAGCGCAAGTCGTTTACCCTACAAGTCCTCTTTACCAGAATCGTTGCCGTCTTGAAGCCCACTTCAGTCTATCTACCAGTCAAATCAACTTGAACGAACATCAACAACCATGAGGTCCACCATCTTCTCACTCCTCCCCCTTGTGAGCGTCGCTCTCGCACAGGAGGGATGCACGCGCCAAACACTCACCACAACGGAGACGGAGAAGGTCTACGTCACTGTCCAGCCCGTTCAGTCGTCGTCGTCGCTGATTGAGGAGACAACAACTTTGACCTCAACCAGCACACTCAAGCTCACCACCACCATCACTGTTCCCTACCCCTCGGCCACTGGTCTGCACTGGGGCAACTACCCCAACGGAACATACCACAATACTACCGGTGTTCCCAGCGCCGGTACTGCTACAGGTTTCTTCTCCATCTACACCCCTTCTTCTGTCAGCGAGACCGTTGTTCCCACATACTCCCCTGTAGAGAGCGAGAGCGTGCCAGCCGCGTCAACTTCCGCCTACGTGATCCCAACGTCCGAGACCGAGGCCACTCCTTCGCCAACATACGCAGCCGCACAAGCCGTCAAGGTATCCACCAAGGCTGTCTCGAAAGCGCTGGGCAGCAGCCTTTCCGGCGAGGCCACCTTCTACGGCGGCAACGTCGCCGGCGGCATGTGCTCCTTCACCGGCTACACCATCCCAGCCGGCCTCTACGGCACCGCGCTCTCCGACTCGAACTGGGCCACCGCTGGCAACTGCGGCGCCTGCGTGAGCGTCACCGGCCCCTCCGGCACAAAGGTCACCGCCATGGTCGTCGACCAATGCCCCGGCTGCGGCACCAACCATCTCGACCTGTTCCCCGACGCCTTCGCCAAGCTCGCCGACCCCAGCAAGGGCGTCATCCCCGTCAGCTGGCAGGTCGTGCCCTGCGGCATCACCACCCCGATCGTGCTGAAGAACAAGGAGGGCACAAGCGCATACTGGTTCAGCATGCAGGTCATGAACTCCAACATCCCCGTCTCCAAGCTCGAGGTCTCCACCGACAGCGGCAAGACTTGGAAGGCAACCACCCGCAAGGAGTACAACTTCTTCGAGAACCCGTCCGGCTTTGGCACTGCGACTGTTGACGTCAGGGTCACGAGCGTGAATGGCGGGACTGTCATTGTCAAGAGCGTTAGCATTGCGGCGGGCACGACGAAGACTGCTGGGGGTAACTTTTCCGCTTAGAGCGGGGAGGGATTTCGTGTTTTGTCGTCGTCACAAGGGCGGGACTTTGGTGGCGATGATTGTGGTTTATTTTTGGTGAATGAAAGGGGATTGATTGTCATGTTTCACTTCTTATCGCTGGATTGATTCGCTTCTTGTAGTTTTCTGGAACTCGGCTACTGCTGCTGGGATATTTTTAACGTTGTGGATTGGTGGAATGAAAACCACTACCTTGTCTTACTCTTTGTGTTTATTTTCTCTCGTGATCACTACTACGCTTTGCAATGACTACGTGGAGACTTGTGACGTTTATGCGAGTTGGATGTATAAACTGCTGGTGAACCGAGAACGATGTGCGCTCGGGAACACGGTGTAGAATCACGCAAGCGTAGGCTCATTGACTTTGACAACAAGAGGCCTGACATGCATTGTGCCTTTTCGCACATTGGGCCCCTTCAAATGTACATACTGCAGCCAAACCACATCCTCACCTTCTTGGCAGCCGCTTAATCCTCTTCCCCTCCTTCCACTGCACAATCCTTTCCTTTGGCACCTCTGCCAACTGGTCGAGCGCGTCGCCCACCCTCGCAATGGGCAGTGACGGCACTGTCGTTACACCCGTCCCCCCAGGTCTGAAATTTGTGCTAGATTTGGGTTTTGTTCCTTCCGCGTTGTGCGTGCGGGTGGGAGAGATTATTGGCTTGAGTGAGGTGTCCTTGGACTCGTAGGAAGCCTGGCGTTGGAGGATGGCTTGGGAGCGGAGGGACATGGTTGGGGTTACGGGTCTAGGTGGTGCCTGCACGCGACGGGGGATTATGGTAGATCCTTGGGGAACGAAGAGTGACGAGGAAGTGGGTTGAAATTCGGCTGCTGTATTCTGGTCGAATGGAGATATTTTTGGGGATTGAGTAGGGAGTTCGGGTCCTGATTCGGCTCGATGGACGACAGATGGTGTTGGTAGAGCAAACGAGTTGAGATTGAGTCTTCTCTTGCCTGGTTTCAGAGCATTACTCTAGAACTGCGGTCAGAAGCAGTTTGAATGGCGGGGTTTGTCCGCTGGGGCCTACTCGCTTTCTTGTCTGCTTCAGAACGTCGTGTGGCTCGGGACAACCTAGGGCGGCGTTCCCGAGGGCTGGGCGGCTTGATCACTGTATGTACTTTGCCGCTGACGGCCACGCCGCCGGTTGGACCTTCAATCCATACGTCGTATTGGTTGCCAGTGGCTGATGTCTTGGTCACCATGCCGCATATGCGCATCTTCTCGTCGCAGTAAAGCGGAGCAAGATTCCGATATTCGATCGACTCGAAGCACTGCTTTCCTTTGGAGTGTGTGTCGATGTAGGGCGTGATAGCTTTGAGCATGAGCGTCAAACAGAGCGGGCCGTGAACAAGCATGTTACGATGGCCCTCGACAGTGCGGGCATATTCTGGATCCAGGTGAATGAGGTGGTCATTCCAGGTCAGGGCCGAGAAGCGAAATAGCATGGAGCGCGTGGGCGTGAGTTCGTGTGAGAAGTCGGGATTGGAGGGAGCTGTGGCTGGTCAGTTGTGGGTCGTGGGCGAGACATGCGGGGACATGAACCTGGAAGATATTTGATGGGGGGCATGTTGCCAGTTTTGGCAGCGTCCAGCTCGTCTGCCGTCCGTTTTTTCAAGAAGACGAGGTTGCGCACTTCCTTGAAGAGCGCATCGCCCCACTCGTCGTCGTTGTTCTGCTGGCTGCGGAAATACGCCAGGGCATCGTGCGATGTGCGTGCCCTGGAATCTGCAATATCCCTTGCAGCCTCTCTGTACCTGACACTGAGTAGGTCATGCCTCGCAAACCGCCGCTCTATCGTGACAAAGACCTTGGCCGAGTCGCCTGTGCCTCGCAACTGCACATCCTGGATGCGCTCCGCACACACGCCAAATGTGTCCATGATGAAGCCGTCCGTTTTATGATGGTACAATTCTGGCCTAATTCGCATAGAGCCGCCCGCCCACATGCGCCGCACCCATGGCGCGCCTGGATCGTGCAACGCATCTGTACCATCAGGCAGGAGCTGATCGCCTGACAACGATGGGTTGAAGTATATCAAGTGATGGCCCATAGGCATACGAGGCGCGTCTGCGTGAAAGCGAGGGCACCATTCTGCGGGTAAGTGGCTCCGGAGTGTGTCTATCAATTTGTGTTCTGTCGAGGAATCGAGATATTCGCGTGAGACTCTGACATGTCGCGTCAGCATCTCAGCGCGTAGCTGCGGGAACCATTGTGCATCATTAGTGTTGACAGCATAACAGCGAATTCCTGTCCGCGCCCAGTGTGCGTGGTGAATTGCTACTCTTCGAGTGTACATTGAGAGAGGATGGAAGATGCTAGGATTGAAGTTTTTGGGGTAGCGTTTGCCGATTCGCGACACGCCTGTGTGATGACGTCCACAAATCACATCTACAACACCAAATAACGTAGGTCTCTCTTGTGACATTCTGTCTTTCCCTTCCAACGCCTCAACCTTCCACTATCAATCCATCACCACTTCAACATAGTTGAGCACGGACCGAGCTGCCGACCAGCAAATCCGCATTCCGGAAAGAACGGCGTCAGGTTGGTTTGTCGCTTACTGAGTTAATTTATCTTTGACAATATTTTCTTGGACTTCGTAGATCAGACCGAATCAGTTTCTATAAAGTTGGGGACAACCCTGGAAGTGTGTTGTGAGTTGTGAGTTGTCGCATGGCTGGGCAGTGGCTGGTGTAAGCGACCGCCTCTTTGGGTCTGTTGCTCCTTCACCTCAGACTTCAACTCCAACCATCACCGTTCCCCATTGTTGTGCGCCACAAACGCTGGGCTGAGCTGGCACGCACCCCTCTACTTAACCCTGCTAGCAGCATGCACCGTCATCCCCGGAAACGTGCGTTGCTGCTTTCGCTTTACTTACGGAAGCACGTTCAACATGCTAAGCCCAGATAGTTTCCATCCGCTGTGCCAGCAGTCTTGGCCGCTCGCAGATGCGGTGACCATTTCAGTGACGTTCCAAGGAAAGGAGCCTCCAATATCCATCCACCCTACACCTACAGATCACCAACCCGTTTGCAAAGACATTGACCTCCCAAACGTCACTTCCACAGCCATGACAGGCAAAATGGACCTCTTGGAATGCCCTATGTGTGACTTTGCTGTTTTTCCAACCGATGACTATATCCTTCAGTTGCATTTTGAGCAGGCTCATACCCCGGACTCTCCTTTCAAAATCGAGAATGACCCAGAGCCGCTTCCATCTTCATTATCAGCAAGACCTTTTTCAAAACGCAAGCACACTGCTCGAGAAACGCCTGCCTCTAACGAAGAAGGAAGTTCTGTCATGTGTCCAGAGCCTGACTGCGGCGAACTCGTTCTTCGCACCGACTTTGACGACCATCTCGATTACCATACCGCAGAAACATTATCATTTGACGAAAGTACCGGAAAGTATCGTTCTTCATCCTCTACTATGGCCTCAGTCGCCACTCAGTATCCTTCAACGAGATCATCCAAAAACCATCGCGAGCACAGTCGCAGGACCGATCTATCAGATGCCCTGAGGAAAAGTGATCATCATGAGCGCAGTACCAAGAAGACTCACCGCAACAGAAGCAACACAAGTAGTAGCGAAAAGAGCACAATCTCGAGGAGTATCGTCGGGTTCAATCCGTTCACAAAAGAGGACAAGGCTGTCAAGCCGCCGGTAAAGAGTGCTCGCCTTGGTGTATGTCTGCCTTGCATGTTGTGTGCATGGCTTCGCTGACAGTTTCCAGAGATCTGAACTCGGTCCCTATGCCTGGGAGAACCGTATGCCCACCTGGCTACATGATCAGCTCGCCGCCGGTCCCAAGATCAGTGTTGTCAACCGCATGGGCCGAGATGGCCGTCTCATCAAGCAGGAGCAAGTGCAGAACGAAACGCCCGGCATCATTCCTATCCTCGCTCAACTGTCTGCTTTGGATCCGGACGTCAAGGAGGCTTATTACTGCCATCCATCCACCATTCATATCGGCAAGACTCCTAAAGAAGGTGGATTTTGCGGTTACAGAAATATTCAAATGCTCCTTTCCTACATCCAGTGTGCTAGGGCCCAAGGTCATGAAGAATTTCCCGGACGCACTCCAGGTATCTTGAGACTGCAAGATCTTATCGAGACAGCCTGGGACAAGGGTATCAACAGCATCGGTCGCGTTCAGACTGGCGGCATCCGGGATACCAGGAAGTATATTGGCACCCCAGAGGTATACTCATCGTTTGCTCTCTGACTTTTGTAAACACTAACAACCTCACAGACACAAGCTTTCTTCCTCAGCTCAGAGATCAACTGCGCCGTCCAGCAGTTTAGCGAGAACAAGGAACGTCGCATCAACGCTCATGATGTGTTACTCGACGCCATCGAGCGATATTTCTCGCGGACTGCCGTCAGCGATGGTTCCAATGTCTACAAAACCCTTCTGCCACCAATCTATCTCCAAGAACCTGGCCATTCTCTCACGATTGTTGGGTTCGAACGCCGTCGGGACGGCTCCTGCAACCTCATGGTGTTTGATCCGATGTATAATACTAGCCCGGCTATGCATAAGTTGCTCGGCCGGAAGAACATCAGGAACGAGCGACCCGAGGTCTTGTTTGCGTATCGACGGGTTACTAAGCAACTCAAGAAGCATGCGGCTTTTGAGATTCTCTTGTAAGTCTGGTCTTTCAACTATTGTGTGTGTGGCTTGCTGACTCTAGTATAGACTTATGGCGCCTCCACCTTTGTTCCCCGCTTGGGATGTATGAGCATCCTTCCTCGTACCTTTGCTTTTCAATCTGCATCTACATAGATACCCAGCTCTAAACACATATAATCCAATCTTATCCGTCGCTTACAAGAGCCCTTACACCTACAAAACCCTGTCAAATTGTTTCTGTTACACTGATCTCTGCTAAATACATATGTGTTAGGTTCTTCGCCAATTTCCTGACTGTCGGTTTGTTTACGCTTTCTTTCGCTCCCGTACGCTCGGCTATGATGTCTATCCTGAAGATCACTTCCTCCCAAACTTTCCGTGGCAGCAGTACGCCGGACTCTGGTCCACCGACGAAGCTCGATTCGCGCGTGCCGAGCCTCTCAATCTAATCACTGCTCAAGCTCTTCGTCGCATTACAGGAGAGGGAGCTTCACCTGGATCCAGCAACAGTGGAAGTCCAAGTAGCCCCTTCGCCAGCGACTGTTGGCACCATTTGCCTGCGACGAACACTTACATCAGCGGCGAATCCCAAACTCGGCTTCCATCATACGTGTCTTCCTTTGACGGCTCAACGGGCGGCTTTGTCGATCAAACACACCGTCTGGGTAGCGGTCCCGTCTTCAACATGGGAGCCATGCACGTCGCCTTCCATCAACCTGGAGCCATCAGACCGAACCTTTCTATCTTAACGGATATCGGCAGGAAGTACCCCGGCTTTCCAACTCCACTTTCCCCAACCCCAAATGCGAAGGAGCTATTCCCGTCACCAGCATCAGAGGTTGGAAGTAGAAACGGCACTCCTCGTGCGCTGAGTCCCGCTGTCCGCTCCGTAAGCCCAATGAGTATCGACGGCTCCGAGATGTGCGGTCTTTCCCGCCGCTGCAACTCCCACGGCTACGACTACTACGCCTCATCCATAGGCCTGATCGACAGCATCATGCACGGGAGTCAACATCAAAGTGGCCTATCCAATCCACCGCAGACACGCCCACACCCCCGCGCCCCATCCACATCCACATCATCCCTCAGCCCAAGCAGCCCACCACACGCCCCCTCCCCACGCACATCCATGCTCAAAAACAAGCTGAACAACCCAGCCTACCACACCATCCCAATCACCCCCTCGATACAAATCTCAAACGGCACAGAAACAAACACACCCTCCCCCCTCTCCCCCTCAACCACAATGCTCCTCTACACATCAAACCGCGCCCTCGACTCGGGCCTGCTCGCGCTAAAAGCACTCTCGGAATCGCAGGTCGCCGAGTACAGGTTCTGGATGCCGTGTGGGCGTAGGTCATGCGCGATTGGGTGTGGGGGTGCGTTTGGGGGGGAGGTGGCGGCGGCGAGACGGCTGTTTGGGGGGGTGGAGGGGGTGGGGACTGCAGATGGGGTTGAGACTGGGAATGGGGATGGGGTGGAAAAGAGTGTGATGGGGGATCCGGTTAAATTGTTGAATCCGAGAGCAGGGGTGGGGCGCAGTGTGGTGAGGGATTGGGGCGGGTTTTTGGCGGCGAGGGAGAGGGTTGGTGTTGCGCTTTTTTGAGCTGATGACTTTTCTTGCGCTGCCGGGTTTTGGATAGCGATAGGGGGTTGTTTTTGCGCAGGTTTCCTTTCCTTTCCTTTCTTACTCGTTATGTTTTTCTCCTTCTTCTTGGAATTGGATACGCTTATTCCTCACTGGAAAATATCTGTGTGAGGTCACGCGTCAACATGCAACTTCACGTTCAACAGCATGAAAGCAACGAAGGAATGGATGGATGAAAGTTCAAGGGTATCATTTCAATCAAATTCAATCCCATCCCATCCGCTCCAACGCCGCCCATCAACAATGCAAGTCTTCCCCCCTAAACGCTATAATACAAGTTCTCCCACCAACTCCCCACTAATCGCTATCCTCATCACTCCCATACCCGACCAACGGGCCCGCGACAGGCGCCGCCCGCTTATTCGACGCCGTGTAGCCTCGCAGCGCAGCAAGCGTCGAGGAAGAAAAGATCGCATTCCCCGCACCCTGCTGTTGCTGTAGGGGTTGTTGCAGCGCAGCATATTCATCCTCGGCAGTACTTCCACTTTCAATCATCAAGCCCCCACTCTCCAACAAACGCGCCTGATCAAACTCCCCCTTCTCCTTCGCATGCCACACATCATCCGGCGCATCATACCCCTGCAATCCAAAGCTACCCTCGACTTTCCTGCGCTTCCTCCCCTCCGGATCGCGGCCCTCGATTTCCGCGACATACGCGGCGGGCAGCGCTTTGCGGATCGCCTCAGCGGCCTGTTCCTCTACGCGGCGCTCCTCGCGCTTCTGCGCGGCGGGATTAGGATCCATGGTTGCCCACCTGACGTTCAGGATCTCCGTGTGGTCGAGGGACTGATGCGCCATAGCTTCCTTCGCGAACTGCGCGTTCGCCTCGTTGAGATATGTGACGAACGCGACGCCGCGGGCGGTGAGGACACGGGTACGTTCCACCTGGCCCCACTCCTGGAAGTGGCGGGCGACGATCTCCTCAATGTCGTCGGTGACGTGGATGCGGCCGATATACAGTGTGCGGTTCTGGCGCTGGAAGGAGCCGACGCCGCCCATGTCGTCGCGGTAATCGGAATGCTTGTCGCGCCCGAAGCAGTCGATGTTGCTGGGGAAGATGTCGGTGACGGCGGGGAGGCGGTGGAGGTACTCGCAGTCGACGGCCTTGGGGCAGATGCCGCGCGCGAAGAAGAGGCAGAAGTAGGAGCCGGGGGTTCTGTCGGCTTTGGTGTAGCCGCTGTCTTTTGCGATGTTGCAGCGCCCCTGTGCGGCGGTTTTGCTGAGGTATTTGTCCTCGCGGTCGCCGCCGCTCCATTTGTTGTACCAGATGTTGAAGATTGTGCCCGTGGGGGGCGGCGCGTCGGTTTTGAATGTTGCGGCGTCGACTTGGGGGCGGGCGGGGCGGCGCTTGCGGCGGATGATCTTCTTGACCTTCTTGCCCTCGGCGTTGGTGGTGATGATGGTCTGCTCGGTGGTCATGGGCGCGAGCTCGGTGGATGTCGTCGTCGCGGGTTCGAGGGAGACATCGGGGGGGGGTTGCGCGGTTTGCGCGGGCGGGGACTGGACTTCGGCCATGGTGTGTGGATGTGCGTGTGGTGTGTGAGAAGGATGGTTGAAGACGCTCGTCGCGCGCGAACTTTCGAGACTAGCCGGACAGCCATCATGCACATCACACGTGACACCGCAAATGGCTGCTCTTGATTGGGTGGTGCATTCATTCACTCTCCAGCAAGTCATCCATCTTGAATTATCTGGTCGTATGCTGGATTCAATCACGACTTGCTCAACCTCAACGCGCCATCTACTTCAACAACCGCTCCATTGACATACCTTGCCCCCTCCCCAAACAGCCACGCCACCACATCCGCAACCTCATCCGGCGTGCCCAGCCTCTCCAGCGCGTTCCCCATGCGCATACTCTCTATAGAATCCCCTCCCCTAACAATTCCCGCATTAGTCGGCGTATCAATGTACCCAGGCGCCACGCAATTGACCCTGATACCCCTGGGCCCCAGCTCGAGCGCGAGCGACTTCGACAAGCCAATAAGCCCAAACTTAGTCGCGCAGTAGACAGACTGCATAGCCGCGCCGCGCAGTCCACAGATGCTCGACACATTAACAATCGACGCGCCACGCTGCAGAAACGGCACGCAAGCACGCGTGATGAGGAACACGCCCTTGAGGTTCGTATTAACGAGCTTGTCCCAGTACTCATCCGTCGTAGTTTCCAGCGGGATGGACGTGGGGTTTACGCCAGCGCAGTTGAAGACGTAGTCGATTCTGCCGAACTTTGCCATGGTTGTGGCGACGAAGCTGGCGACTTGTGTTGCCGAGCCGACGTCTACTTCTTCTGCGAGCCAGAGCGGTGGGCGGTCGGGTGTGGTTGCGCCGAGGGCTTGGGCTGCGCTTCCTAGGTTCGGCAGGTTGATGTCGCAGAAGGATATCGAGGCGCCTAGGGACGCCATTTTGAGCGTTGTTGCGAGCCTGTGTTACGATACGCTGTTAGTATGGATTTTTAAAGCGGTGGGTTTTGATCTCGTCGTGCGTGTGAGAGTTGTTTCGCACCCAATGCCGCTGCCGGCTCCTGTTATCAGGACGACCTTGCCTTGGAATTCTGTCGACATGTTGATAGACTGTCACTGCAAGATTGGAGAAAAGAGGATGATGATCAAGGAGGGAGATGTTCGAGGTTCCAAAGACACTTATAGGCAAGATGTATGGAGGAGAGATGCATCGCCGTCATATGGTCGTGTACATGATGGTCTCCTTACAAGGTGGGGGGAAGTAGGAAGGTGGGGTGAAATGCATCCCTCTTATCGTCAGAATGTCGTCGTCAGGCAAGCAACCGATTCACAGCAGAATGCCATACAAAGAACAATTGCGAACTCCGAATATAGAATCATCAATAATAGGCATGGAATAACCAACGCTTTCGTCCCCTCTCATCTAAAAACACAGCCCGTCAAACATAACCCGAATAGCCAATCGTGAATTCGTCCTGTTCTTCCCTCCTATCCGGAACGCCATGCAATGCAGTGCTTTCCACATCCAGACCACAAATGAGAAGGTCATAAACACGTCTCATTTCTTTTTCTTCGACTTGACGGCAGGATTCTTCGCCCCTGCTTCGACGCCATTTCGTTTCTCCGGTTTCCCCTCGCCTTCTTTCTGCTTCTCTCCTCCGTCGCCATCCTGGGATTTCTCTTTCCCATCAGCACTCGATGTATCCCCCTCCCTCTCTGCGTGCTTCTCATCTTGCTTGTCCTGCCCTTCATTACTCTTCTTCTTCTCTTTCCCTTCATCGTTCTGCTTCTGGCCTTCCTCACCATTTTCTTGTTTCTTCGCTTGACCATCACCACCTGGCTGCTTCTCTTCCCCCTTGCCGCTTTGTTTGCCCTTTAGTCTCTCAGGACATCCTTGCCCGCCATCATGCCCAGGAACAAGCTTCCCAATCCTCTTGACCAGATCTTCGACTTTGAACGGCTTGCTGATAATATCGTCCATGCCGGCTTCCCGCATACTTGCCGTCTGCTCTTTCCGGACGTTTGCGGAAACGCCCAAGATGCGACTGTATCCTGCCTTTCCTTCTTTCTGCAGTTGCCGAATCTCTTGTGTTGCAGCGTTGCCGTCCTTGATCGGCATCTCCTGGTCCATCAGTATGCAGTCAAAATGATTGCAATTGTTAACCTCGCGTTCAGCTGCCTTCCCCCGTTCTGCAACTGCGTCGATGGCCTCTTGGCCGTTGTTTGCGATGAATACTTCGAAGCCGCGCGACTGCAGCTGACGGCGTAGCACTTTTTGGTTGATCAAATTGTCTTCTACCAAAAGAAGTGTTTGAGTTTTTCCGGGCGGTTGCTTGCTTTGTGATTTGGACGTGTTCTCTGCAATAAGATGTTGACGCCGTGTCTCGCCTTTTGCTAAGCTTGGTGCCTGTTTCTTAATTTTGGCATCCTCTGGTACGATCTGGCTTGCAATACGTTCCGTTTCTTTGTAGCGGCTATCTTCAGAGGATTCGGGATGCGCCTCTGGCCTGTACTCTGTCGGAGGGTTTTCGAGCGATTCATTGACTTCATCTATGTCGGTGTCTTCGTAGCTTGTCTGCGTCTTAGCTTCCGGGCGTTCATTCTGCTTCTCTTTGATACTCTGGAGGTTCGAATTTGCTCGGTTATAGCCCGGCCGTGGAGTTTGAGGGCGGGCAGATTGTTGGCTGGTTTCGCTGTTGCTGCGAGATTGGAAGAGTGGTCGTCCGTCTTCTGCTTTTGCTCGTCGTACTTTGAAGAAAAAGCCAAAAGTCGAGCCCTCCCCATCTTTGGAGCTTACTCCGATATCGCCCCCATGCAGTTGGCACACTTGGTACAATGTCAGTCAGCACTTGCCAGCAGGAGCAAATACTCACGCTTTCGTGATATGAACAGTCCTAGTCCAGAGCCGCCATACTTCTCCTGCGTTTTTGGAGTTGCTTGTCTGTGCACACATGGTCAGTTTTAAATCAGACTGAGTTGTTCTGGAATGGAACACATACCGGAAGCGTTCGAACAGCTTTGCCTGACCTTCCTGACTAATTCCGATGCCAGTATCCTTAACCGCTACCATCAGATAGAAAGATGCCCCGCCGCCCCATTCAGTCGACATCGTTGAGTCGACGTGAAATGACTCCTTCTCATGGCTGAAATATATCACGTTCGGAGGATACGAAGTTGGTCGTTCGGTTGAGGCTCCCATTGAAACAGTGATGTTCCTCTCGCCGTTTTTTCTGGCCGTAAATTTGATGGCATTGGTGATGAGGTTGACCAGGACTGAAGTAATTAAAAATGTGTCCAAGCACCGTTTAGGAGAACATACCTTGCTTCATCCGATTAAGATCAGCAACTACATAGTCGACACCTTGTTCATCGTATGAGACATCCATTGCATAGTGGAATTTGATCTTCTTGGCTTTAAATTCGGACTGAAAGACTTTGAGAGCTCTGGAGAACTCCCACTTTGGTCGTACCTCTATTCAAGAATTAGTAGATGCTGTAGACGGTGTATATGAGTCGAGGTTGCGTACCTCGCGGGACCAAAGAAAGCATCATAGAGTCAAGCTTGGAGAAAGAAAGAATATCATCCACTAGAGTATTTTGATGAGAAACACAGAGGAGTATAGTATCCGCAGCATCTAGAATATCGGCTACTTTGTCAGCTATGCCATCGTGCTCGTCGGCTAGCTCTTGGGTGACTTGTTTCACCTCCTCGGCTAGATGTAGGACGGCACTCAGTGGATTGCGGATCTCGTGCGAAACCATATCTATGAATCTTTCCTGCTGTTCTTTCCGTTCTTGGGCTTCGGTGGCAGCGCGTTCCTGAGCCAGCTGAGCTTGCTTGATCTCGGTTATGTCAACAACGGCGGAGATAAAGCCAGCGTCGGCGTCCTCATTGAGGGGCCTGAGTAAGAACAACCTCCATTCACCCTGCTCGCCTGGCCCATCGCCTGTCGTTTCGCTAGCGCATCGAAACTCGATTCTCAATTCCTTTCGAGAAGAAAAGGCTTTGCGATATGCGGTCATGACGCGATCGTAATCCTCAGGATGAATACTTTCGGGCCAGGCACGGAACTCGTTCGAGTGCTTGTTCGTAGTGAGCTTGAAGAAGCCGTCATTTACGAAGACAGCTTCGGCTTCCTTGTCCAGGATAGCAAGACCGTTGGGGATCAGCTCGGCAAATCTTTGGAACAACTGGGTCTGCAAGGAATCGGGTTGCTGTTGGGTTTTCTTCCCGTCGTCTTGCTGCGTCTGCGACTGTTTCAATTGCGAGGCCGGATTTTCGCTAGCCATGCGTTGCAGTCCTTTGAAGGGCCTGCAGTTCTGCCCGGCATCGTCCTCGAGGAGTTGCGCCAAGACACCTTGTCGTGTTCCGTTTTCGTCAAGGATGGGGCTGAGGAGGAGTTGCAAGTGGGCCTCGTCAGCAAGGTCGGGCAGAAAGAACCTGGAGGCTGCAACGAGATCAGTGCCGTCGTATACCAGGACGGGCAAGGCAGTATGCTCACCTACCTTGACCGTCCGCCCTCGAACCACATTGCGCAACGAACTGAGGGCTTCATGTGAGTAGCTGTCATGAGCCGCGGCCCCCTGGGTGTCAACATCACCCCGCGCCTTCCCCCATGCCAGGTTGTGGATGATGGAGAGGTCCTTGCCCCAGAAAATGGCGGCGCAGTGGGGCATAGGCAGGACGCAGCTGTTGACGAGGCATTTCAGCGCCAGCGGCCAGGACTCGCGTGGGCCGAGAGGTGTTTGCGACCTGATGTCTGTCAGCTGCGAGCGCGCATCCTATGCCATGTCCAGACATCTCACCAGTCTGTGCTATCGACGTCTTCAGAATTCATGTCGAAGGCGGGTAGCCCCGCCGACGTGAGCTTTTCCAGATTCTCCATGACACTCACGGCGCGCCAGCCTGGGTCGTCGTTCGTGGACGCTCGCGATGGCAGTGTGTGTAGGCAGGCCGGTGTGAGCGTCGCCTACGTCATTCCAGAGCACCCTTCGTTCCTTGCAGAATCCGAAGAGAGCAACGACCGAGCGAGACGCCCTGGCCCTTGGACAAGAACCAGCATCGTCCCGCGCGCATCCAGCCAGGCCTACGCCACCACCCCAAGCTAGGCATATAAAACCACGACACATGAAGCTTGGCTCGGGAGAGGGGGCCGACGCATGATTCGTGCCACAAAACCGATCGATCGATCTATCCGTTAGTTAAATTCCGACATTGAACGTCTTCCTCGAACATGCAAACTGAATGTTTCTCTGGATACGAACGCGATGCATGCGCACCTGGAAATTTAGGCTTGATAATCTGTTGTGTCTGCGTCTCCTTCTTCATAATCGTTATGTGTCAGCCTCTTTGACTCTGTCAGTGTCTCCTCATATCTCAGTCTGTCCGTTTCCACATCTCTCTACTTTCTGTCTGTTGGGTAGGCTTTGTCTAGGTTTCCTAGGCGTACAAGGTAGGGTCAGCGGCTTGCGTACCTGCGAGGTATATATTCAGCGATGTTCGCGGCTATAGTAGTAGACAGAGAATTGTGTCTCGAAGGTCCACTACTGCGTTTAGTAGCTACGATTACCCCAGAGAGACTACAAACGACGCTAAACTTGAAAAGAATAGAATAAAGCAGCCTGAAACGACTACGAATGGAGTGGTTTTGGAGGCTGAGGGGGATCATCAAGCCATGACCGCGGATCTGGACCAATAAGAACATCTCAAAAACACCAGTTCAAGCGTGGGACTAGAGCCAACCAATCAGAACTATATGCCGTCGAACCACGAAACTTCCGCACTCAATCGGCTCACGTCGCCCTCAAAAGTCGCTTGTCTCGCAACCTGCCACCGACGATCGCAATATATCATCGATAATGTAGGACTGAAAACGGTCGGCCCTGGAGCCCCAGACACTGCTATGCAGCGCGGCAACGCTACCGAGGATGATCGTCGCCTCGTAGGATTTCCTATTGAAGCCCAAATGAGGCTACCGTCTTTCTCGTTCACGGAGCCTCAAGATACACCACGGCTCACCAACTCCCACCAAGACACAATGCCGGCTTTTATTGATCATGCCAGCGGATGCTTTCGCGAGCTTACTGGCGGGAACAGCCCCCGAGCTTCTGGGCCACATCTTGACTTATCTTTGTCCACGTGACCTTGCCAGTGTCGCCCAGATATGCAAACACGCCGCAGCCTTCCTCCGACCAGGAGCAGATAACACACATGCAAAGTACGAATTGTATTCCCCATCTTGCTCTGGCTCAGACTCGTCTCATACTATTTTAGATATGCGTGGAAGGCCGCTTTCCTCCAAGTCTTCGACCATCCAAAGTACGCGTGGGAGAGGCTCCTGCCGACCGCCCGTGCAGAAAACGCCTCCCGCCACCCTGCCCTATGGGATTGGTTCCATGAAACACATCGACGATACGCCGCATACAACGCCTATCGTGTGGCTTGCGACGCTGGTGGCGCAAAATCTCTCGAGCATCTTGAAAGTATCATCGTCACACTCCTAGATATTCACGAGACAGCATCGTACACTGCCGTGACAGAAGACGACACCCCCTTGTCCTTGAACTTGGAATTCCTGAGTGACCTCGTTGGCCGTGCGAGAGACTTCGACTTACTGGTTCACAACCCCTACGACGGTATCGACGCCTTGGTCCTTCCGCCTGAGCGCTCCTCCAAGGGCTTTGTCAGTCATTATTCATCCAACATAAATGCTGCCACACATCATTGCTATGAAGGAGAGGACCATGAGTATCCTAGCCCATCAAACACTTCACAAGATGCTCCACCATCACCTCGGAGTGCCAGTGTTCCCGAATGGGCAAGCAAGTTTCACGTGAGTTCAGTAAGACTCGACGAGCATCTTTTCATCCTCTGACCCCCGTCCTAGATCTTTTCCGGTTCCACGGAGCGAGAACTCGGATCGGTAGAATTAATTAACGCAGCAAGACGCATTGTCTACGACTTCTCCGTCACTGGTCCAAGAGCAGATTACGGACCCTTCCACCAAGATGATAGCGGTAGGATCAATTGGAAGCTCCTGGAAGCAATAAGCTCGTTGATGCATCATCACTTCGAGGCCCCACTACCGCCTCCGCGTATACAACCAATCGTTTTCCCACCTCGATTCGAAGACAACATTCCGCACATGGTGTCTGTAGATCCGTCTGCCACGGAAGTAGAAGACTGGGCAGGCATCACCGGACCATGGCTCGGAAACTACAGCGGCGTGAGCTTCAGCACCCTAGTCAAATTCAACTCTAGCCTAGTCTCCGGGGCCCCCATGCACTTGGGAAGATGTCAGGACGTCGACGCTCCTTTTATGAACTTGAAGCTACAGTCGTGCTCGCTGGAGGATTCTAAGGAAATGGCCATGGATCCAGTGCTCCAGCAAAAGCTACCTTACTGCACCGATCTGCCAATCCAGTACTTCCGCGGCACATCAGAAGTTGTCAACAACGAACGCGCGATATCACGCGTCAAGGGATTCGCATGTCTATGTCCAGGCGCTCGACAAGTGCGGTGGAAGTTCATCTTCTGGTGAGTGTATCACGCAAACGCGCATAAGCTACGAAACACATCCTAACACTGCACAGCTATTTGCAAGTCCAAAGCCAAGAGTGGTCCGACCAGTGGCAACTCGAGGGCGTGCAGCCGGGCGGCGTACGCTCCGGCGGCATCTACGGCATGTGGAAACCCGTGTCGAACGGGCGGCAGCTCCAGGGTCCTTTCTTCATCGGCCCTGCGGAGGTGTATGAAGCCGAAGCAGGTGAGGCGGAAGAGGATGACGAGGACGCCGAGAACGAGGCTGATAATGAAAGCATCGACTCCGCCCAATACACCGGTTGTACCACAATGGTCAATCCGCTGTTCACTTGAGTCGCAGGCGGCGGCTTGTCGGGACTCGACTTCCGTCTAGCACGAATGATCGACGTGGTTTAATATTTTCTGCTCTTTGGCGATGTAAACACGAGTTACAAAAGGCAGATGGCATTAGGGTCAGCAGATTGGGGAGGTTCTGGATGGTGTAGATGGACAGATAATGATCGACACAACCGCTTTAGAACGACGCAATACAAGGCTGTATATAAACAAGACACACTGAACTACGAGGTCTAATAGACTCTGAGTCAATCTCTTGAAACGCACTATTGTAGGAACTAGACAGTGCAAATCAAACAGACAGTGAATACCAAACGAGAAGGACAACCAACAATCAAGGCAGTGTGTGTGCAGTACCAATAACCACCCACTAAATCTCAGAAACCAACAGCCCCTCGTATTGCAAGCTTCAACATAAAACCAGACTACCATCAAGACAACCCCACCTAGTAATCCTTTTCCCCACATACTATAGTAGATAGACGCGACGTACAAGTATCAGCAAAGGTAACACTAGAGAATTTGTCTCCTTCTCGTCTCGTCTCACCACACCATACTGATTCTCTCACCTTACCAGTGAACATCCAACTCCAGCTCTCTCGATGTCCATGTTCATTCCCACAAGATACAGATACAGAATTATCTACCTGCCTGCTTGTTTAACCTTTCCATTCACTTCATCTTCCTTCCCACACACACTCTCTCCTTCTCCGCGAGGCTATACGTTATACACACCCCGTCCCTGCACATGCAAGAATAAGTTAGGAACTCGGTCCTAGCCTTGGTTTAGTTAAGTGTGGGTATCGTTGGGATGGGAGTTAGCGGGTGGGATGATGGGGTGGTTAGTGATGGTGGATGGGCGGCGTAGGGTGTGGAAGACGGTATGTATGTGTGTATATCCCGCGTACAACTTCGCAACATGCCCGTCTGTGAAAGAAAGAAACGCAGATCCAGGTCCGGGTCCCGTCGTGTGGACGACTACCTACCGAGCCCCGTCATAAGCACAAGCCAGACGAACACACACAATTCCAAAAGGAAAAAAAAGAACGAAAATATAACACTCATGCAATGATATATCTGAACAAGTTCGTTCGCCGACTACGCGCCAGTACACAGCACATCCCACTTTACAAGTCACTCCATCCTATCTACGCCCTACCCTTCCCCGCGCCATTTTTTCTCCCAGACCTCGCGTCCGACTTACCATTCACCTTCCCATTCACCTTCGCAGATGTCTTCGTGCTCTTCGCCTCCCCCTCCTTCTTACTCGCGCCATTGACCTTGCCATCCGCCTTCTTCGCCGCCCCGTTCTTCTCCCCAACGACAACCACCTCCTCCACCTTTTCAATCGCAGGTTTACCCGCCTTCTTACTCTTCCCATCCTTCTTGTTCACGCCATTAGCCTTCGCTTCCGGGACAACCACCTCCTCCTCCTCCTTGCTAACCCCATTCGCCTTCTCCCCCTCCAAAGCGCTCCTATCCTTCTCCTTCGCCGCAACCCCATTCGCCATCCCATTCAGCCCCTTCTGCGGCACAGCCTTAGGATTCCTGCCCTTCCGCCTCAGCGCCGTAGCCTGCGCGCGCTCAATATACAATTTATCCTCGTCCTCGTCCCAGTCGCCAAAGTCGTCTGCCTCATCCTCCCCTTCCTCGCGGATGGGCGTTTTATCGACGTACTCGGCCGTGCTAGCCGCCAGGGAACCGTTAGCACTGCTGTTTGCGCCCACGGCATTAAGCGGCGTGGGGCCGATTTTCTTGAACTTTGAGACGAAGAAGCCGTCGACGTTGTAGGTGTGGGGGTAGTAACGTCTGGTCATCTGAGCGGGGGGGAGTGGTGTTAGTTATAACAAAAACAGGTTGGAAATTGATATGTGAACATACCTTCATGCTAGGGTGGAAGATCTTGCCGCCGATATTTGTAAAGCCTTCTTTTCCAAAGGTCAGGCCTGTCTCGACGAGGCGGACATTCGGTCGCTTGTTCAGCGCGTATTGCACTACTTGCTCGTTCTCCTCGACGGTCACGGAGCAGGTCGAGTAGACGATGTAGCCGCCTGTTTTGCTGTGGTGGTCTACGGAGTCGATGGCCGCGAGGAGGAGCTGCTTCTGGAGATGGGGGAGCTTCATGAAGTCGGCTTCGGTTTTGTTCTGCGTTGCGTGTTAGTTGTGTTTCCATGGGTGGAAGAGTTTAGATAATGCATACCGTCTTGACACTGGCATCCTTAGCAATAACCCCCGTACCCGAGCACGGCGCATCCAACAACACACGATCAAACCCGCCCATGACCTTAGGAAACTCAAGCGCAGAGTAGTTGCACACGATGCTGTTACGCACACCCAGACGGTGAATGTTACCAATCAGACCCTTAGCACGGTCCTTGTTCATATCGTTTGCGAAGATGCATCCCGTGTTCTTCATCAGCGCGGCGATATGCGTCGTCTTACCACCAGGGGCAGCAGCCATATCCAGCACCCTCTCGTTCTCCTGGGGCGCCAGGGCCATGACGGGGAGGAACGACGACGCAGCTTGCAGGATGTAATGGCCGGCGAGATACTCTGGCGTAGCACCGAGCGGGACCTGCGACTCGAAGATCTGCAGACCGACCTTGGACCACTTGCCCACGGGCTCGAGCTGCACGCCGCGGTTGATGAGCGACTGCGCGAGTTCACGGCGATGTGTGCGGAGCGTGTTGGTGCGGATGACGATGGGGCGGGGCGTCTCGTTGGCCTCGAAGAAAGCAAAAGCCTCACGTGCAGGGAAGAGATTGAGGAGCTTGTCGGCCAGGAACTCGGAGTATCCGTAGTAGGCGCACAGGTCCTTCAGCATCTGCGCGCGGTACTCTGCTCTCGACCGTCCCTCCTCGGCCAGGTTCTTGAAGTCGTCGAGCACGCGCACGGTATCGTTCAACCGGGTGCGCAGAAGCTGCACATCCTGCGTGACGAGGTTGGTGATCTTGCGGCCCTCGTCATCCTCGTCGTCCAGGATCTTGGGCCGCTCGCCGGCAATGTTGGTCTGCATGTTGGCCTCCTCGAGTTCAGCTGCTGCCTCTGCATCCTCAATCGCCTGCTGCATGTCGAGTTTCCGCGACAGACCCTCGATGTTGGCGGCTGTGAGCTTCTCCTCGACATCCTCCTCATCCTCGTCGTCAGACCACATGCCCGTCTTCCTAACCTCCTCATCCGAATCGTCAACAAGCTCAGAATCCGAGTCGCCAAACTCGTCGTCCTCGGACGCACTACCCAGCGCATCGAGGCCCGTGACATTCACACCCTCCATAACATCGTCGGCGTCTGAGATTTCATCCTCGTCGTCCTCAGGCGGCGGCGGCACAAACTTCTTGCCCGCCTTCGGCTTGCTGCGTCCATTGACCGCGGCACCCGCAGCAATCGCAGCCTTCTTGGACGGCGGTTGTGTCTTGGCCTTGGCCTCTGTCCTCCTCTTCTTCCCTCGCTGCTCCTGCACGGGCGCAGGCGGTGCGTCTTTCCGTTTGCGCGTGACGAGCGATTCGTCCAGCGGGCCCGGCGGGCCCTGTTTCTTCATGCGACGTCCCTGACCCATAATCGCAAGCAGTCAGTCAGTCAGGAATGGAGGAGTGGTGTTTGGTGGGGGGACAAAAAAAAGTCGAGTGTTGATGTCTGGCTGGCTGGTTCTGCGCGCCTCGAACTTTTTCGGCGCTTTCCCAAATTTCGGTCTCACCGCCTTCGGGGCGGCAGAACCCGCGCCCCGCTATTTCCGCGTCGTTCAAACGGCGTCATTGTCAACTCGACTCAACTCGAGCTGGTCAGAAAACACACCACACACCACAACACCACAGCCAACAATGTCCGAACTAACATTCTGCCGCTCCTTCCTCTCAGCGCTCGACGCCCGCCCCATAAAGCTATCCTCAGACCACATAGCAGACGCGCGAAAGTATCCCGCCCAAGGCGCCGTACGCCCCCCTCCCCAATACCACAACCACAAGCCCCCCAACTAACAAACCCCCCATAGTACACGCTCCCCCGCCTCCCCCCACCGCACCCCACGCGCCCAAGCCCAAAATCCACATCCACATCCTCCGATGCCTCTACCTCCTCCCTAAGCATAACCCTCAAGCCCCTCAAGCCCAACACGCCCACCGTCCCCCTCCCCGCCGTCGACGCAGCGAAGACCTCCATCTTCGACCTGAAAACACACTACGCGACGTCGACGTCCATCCCCGCGTCCAAGATCAAGATTCTGTACAAGAAGAAGCCGGTGCAGGATAGTAAGACGGTGGCTGAGGTGGTGGGGGGTGATGCGGCGGGGGATGTCGAGTTTGGCGTTATGGTTATGGGGGGTGCGGTTGCGGCGGGGACGTCTGGGGGTGGAGGTACGCCTGTGCAGAGTCCGCCTGCGAGTGTGCCGACGGAGAGCGAGAAAGGGTTGGCGAGTGGGGGCGCGGCGGCAGTGGGACCGAGTGGGAAGGAGCTGGTAGCTACCGATGAGTTTTGGGGTGATTTGCAGAATTTCGTACTGCAGAGGATCAAGGATGAGGCTGAGAGCGAGAGGTTGGTCGGGGTGTTCAAGGCCGCTTGGGAGGAGAGCAAGTAGGGGTTGAGCATGGGCGGGAAGGTCCAGGGGGAGGTCATGCAAAGGGCACATCACATGCATGCATACCAGCGCTTTGACGCCAAATAAGCTGTCCACTTGCGACAAGTTCAATTCACAGATCCAGTCTACCCTCATTTCCAGGCGCATAACAGCCCGACAATGACAGAGTAGACGGGCTAGCAACTGTCACCATTTCGTGTCCTTTGCCCACGTCTAAAACTACCATCATGCCATCTCCCCGTAGCAGCCAAAAGATTATCGACCTCGTTTCATCGTGTCCTTGCTAGAAACCAAATCCCGCGCGCAAATCGACAGACAAGCAGACAAGGACGCGTGGAAAGGCCCGTTTAGCGGCCCTTGGAGGCAATGTTCTTGACGTTCTCCCACTCGATGTCGTCGGCGTCGTTGGCCTGGATATCGGCGGCGAGGCCGTTGAGAGCGCGCTTGATAGCTTCCTTGGAGGACGAGTACATCATTTTGGGCTATTTCAAGTCAGCACTCCGTCGCACTTTGTCATCCTCCCTGCTCCTCGTTCTCCTCCTCGGATGGAAAAGGGATACTCACGTGTATCGACATATCATCCGGCGTCCAGCTGATAAACGTAATCTTGCTCCTGCTGCCCTCTCCGTTCGCAAGCTCATACTCGACGTCGTACACGGCGTAACGGCCGCCCATGCCCTCCTTGCCGCGGCGGTCCTTGCTCTTCGCGCTCAGCAGCTTCTCGCGGAAAACGTTGTAGTCGCTCTCCTTGGACGACTCCTCCAGAACAATCTCCTTCCAGTCATCGCTGATCTTGTAGATTATCCATTTGGTCGACTTGCCCAACTTGAGCTCGTTGAAGGCGGTGATGCACTCGGGCGAGACGGAGACACTGCAGGCGTCGTTAGTCACGGTGGTTGGATGGCGGGGTGAGATGTCGGTCGTGGTCGTGCATATGCGGGGGTCGCGAGGCTGCTGTCAAATGTCAGGTTGCAGAACGTACCCGGATTGAGCCTAATCGCATCATGTTAGCATTGCTTTTTGTAAAGACCCCTTCTTAGTTCTTTGCCCACTTACCATGATGTCTGATGTGTAGTGTAGGGGATGTTGGAGCGACGTCGAGCCACGGAGCGCTTAATCAGTACTGTGTTGCCTGTCAGCGTCGTCATCCACCAGGCCCAACAATGCCAGCAAAGACGGGTGCCTAGGAGCTGAGAGATGCAGCTTACGTCAATGATAGGTGCAGGGTGGCGTGCAGCTATGAGGGTGTGAAGGGATGCGCTGAGGTGGAGGAGGTGAGGTTGTTGAGCTGGTGGGTTTTGAACGACGGCTGGTGGGGCAGTTTGAGCGGGCAGACGGCTACGGCGCCAGGTCAACCACACACCGCCAAGCTGGACTCGGCATTTGCATTCAATCCTCTCAACTTTCACAATATTCGAGCCAAATCAGAGAGACATAATTCGTTACAGCTAATATACACTTTCTTCGTCGCTTTTGCACTCGTTTTATCCATGACCCTTTCTAGATACACATGATATCGTACACCAAATCCAACAACATCCAACATGGCGCGACGCTTTTTCAGATGGTGGACATGAACACCAGAGAAAAACAGGAGCGGAGTACTAACCCAATATCGTGTACATGCGCCATGCGCCGGGAGAGACGAGAGCACCAAAAGAGAGTGTAGGAGAACGGGGGTATAAGAAGAATGAAAACGAGGCGCTCAAGCTTCAGGAAGGGAAGGAGCGATCAGAAACCCATCCCCGGCATCCCCATTCCCCCGCCCATTCCAGGAGGTGGTCCAGCACTCTTCTCCTCAGGCGCCTCGACAATGGCAACTTCGGTTGTACCAAGGAGCGAAGCAACACCGCTAGCGTCGACAAGAGCAGTGCGGACAACCTTGAAGGGGTCGAGGATACCGGCCGCGATCATGTCGACGTACTCGCCCTTGGCGCTGTTGAAGCCCTTGTTGAAGTCGCTGCCAAACTCGTCCATAAGCTTGCCAACGATGACAGAGCCCTCGGCACCGGCGTTCTCAACGATCTTGCGGGCAGGGTGAGTAATGGCGTTCTTAACGATAGTGATACCAAGCTGCTGGTCGAAGTTGGCGGCCTTGACGGAGCCAAGAGCGTTGGCAGAAGCCTTCAGCAGAGCAGTTCCACCACCGGGGAGGATACCCTCTTCAACGGCAGCACGTGTAGCGTTGAGAGCGTCGACGATCCTGTCCTTCTTCTCGCCAACCTCAACCTCGGAAGCACCGCCAACCTTGATGACAGCAACACCGCCGGAGAGCTTCGCAAGACGCTCCTGAAGCTTCTCCTTCTCGTACTCAGAGGTGGTTGGGTCTGCGATGACACCACGGATCTGCTCGCAACGCTGAGTGACGGCATCCTTGCTGCCCTCGCCGTTGAGGATGACGGTGTCCTCCTTGGTGATGGTGATGGATCCAGTGGAACCGAGCATGTCGGGAGTGGCCTTCTCGAGCTTGATGTCGAGGTCGTCACTGAAGACGGTACCGTTGGTCAGGACAGCGAGATCGCCGAGGATGGACTTCCTGTTGTCGCCGAAGCCAGGAGCCTTGACAGCAGCAACCTGGAGCTGGCCACGGAGCTTGTTCAGGATGCAGACGGCGAGAGCCTCACCGTCGATATCCTCGGCGATGATGACGAGGGGTCGGCGGAGTTGCTGAGAAGCCTCAAGAGCGGGGACGATATCCTGGACAGCAGAGATCTTCCTCTCAGAGAGGAGGATCAAAGGCTTCTCAAATTCGACCTTCTGGGACTTGGCGTCGGTGATGAAGTAGGGGGAAATGTAACCACGGTCGAACTTCATGCCCTCAGTGACCTCAAGCTCATCGTCGATGGTCTTGCCCTCCTTGACGGTGATGACACCCTCCTTTCCAACCTTCTCCATGGCGTTGGACAGGAGCTTGCCGATGTGGGTGTCGCCATTGGCGGAGATAGTGGCGACCTGGGAGATCTCCTCGCTGGTGGTGATGTCCCGCTTGTGTGCGCGCAGGTAGTCGACAACAGCTTCAACAGCGGCCTGGGTTCCGCGCCTCAGGTCCATGGGGTTGCAGCCAGCAGCGACGTTCTTGACTGTCTCGGAGAAGATGGCGCGGGCAAGGACGGTGGCAGTGGTGGTACCGTCACCAGCAGCCTCGTTTGTCTTGGAGGCGACATCCTGGAGTAGGCGAGCACCGAGGTTCTCGAACTTGTCCTGGAGAGTGATGGCCTTGGAAACAGTCACACCGTCTAGAAATATGTTAGCACATGATGTCGATAGAATTGCAGGTGTTGGTACACACCCTTGGTGATCTTGGGCGAGCCGTAGCTGGACTCGATCAACACATTGCGACCCTTGGGACCCAATGTTGTCGAGACAGCCCTTGCAATTGTGTCGACACCCTTCAGTAGTGATGCGCGCGCCTCAACGCCAAACTTGAGTTCCTGCAGCCATTGTCAGTTACAAAAATTCGAGTAGAGTAGGGATAAATAGCACAAGTGACGTACCTTGTGGGCGAACCTCTGTTGCTGGAGGTTGAAGCTTGTTGACCTCAGCTTAGAGCTCGAGTTCAAGGCGGAAGTCCGCGCTCGGGATGCGAAAGCTCTTTGCATTGTGGCGAATTGGAATGTGTATGTGGAAGAGCAGAAGTTCAAGCCGTGCTCCTATACTCCAGCTTAATGCAATCTGACGAAAGAGAAGTGATGGGGTTGTTGGGGAGATAATTGCGGAGGTGGTGATGAAGGTTCCGATTTTTTTGGGTAGAAAGATCTCGAATGTCGGCCGTGCCAAGATCTACAACCTCGGCCTTAAATCCGGTTGGTCCGTCAGCAACGCCGCTCGACATCCTCATCCTGCCCCTCACATCTCACTTTCAATTCTATCATATATATCATCTGTCCTAAAAATTTTAGCAAGCAATGTCCAGCTGAAATAGCTCCAGAACGCTCAGCGTGCACCATACTATTTCTGAAATCTACAGACTGGGTGGTTGTAAATATTTGTAGCGTAAAATATCGCTTAGAAGCATTGACTTCAAACATCTCGTGTCAGGACAGGAATATGTTAAGATCGAGAAGAAGAGATATGTGACTGCGAATTGCGAAATGATCAAATTGGTATAGCAACTACTCTTCCCTTACCACCTTCCCCTACCACCTTCCCCTAAGAGAAAGAGGCGCATAACTCGCAGTCTCATGTTGAGTTCCAACCTCTTCATCTGTCACCAGTCCCTACTGCAATATTTTCCTACAATCCACTCTTCTCACATCGCATCACTCGAAAGTCCCTCCCTACAACATACCGAACGCGAGGCCCAGCGCTCCAAGACCAATTGCAGCAGCAGCCGTGGGCGCTGGCGCAGCGTTACCCGCTCCCTGCGCAGCAGTGGATGCGGGAGTAACAGAAGCAGTGACGAGAACAGTACCCGAGGTCGACGTGATAACAGCGCCAGATGCAGAGCTGGAGGCTGAAGCGGCAGAGTTCATAGACGTGGCAATGGATGAGGCAAGTGAGCTGGCCGAAGCGGCGTTATAGGTTGTAGTGCTGAAGTTGCAGCGGGTGAGGACTTCATAGACATCTAGATGATGTTAGAAAAAGAATCAAAGGTAATGGTTTACTAGTAACTCACCATTGTCTCTGACGTTGTCGTCGTCATCGTTATCAACATCGAATTGGGCTACACAAGCTTCGCAGGCGGGAATCAGAGTGTTGGCGTTTGTGGCGTTGCAGACACATTGGAGTTCCGCGGTATCGTTCTCTGAAATCGCGTTCATTAGCTCTCATTGACTTGGATTTAGCGGACTGGTATTGTGTGTACCATTCTGTTGGTCACATTGCGTGGAGATTGTGACTACTTCGGCGCAAATGGCAGTGCACTGCGATGGGATATCGTCTTGGCTAACATCCTGAGCAGCAGCGGCAGCCGTAATGGCGGCGATGACGGCGAGCTTTTGGTAGAGCATGTTTGTTGTTTATGAGGATGAGTTTGAAAGAAGAAGGTGCAAGTGTGTTGATCAAACTGACAGATATCGAAGATGCTTTTGATGATTGATTGATGCGATAATTTCCTTCCAGCGGCAGACCTTGTTGAGCTTTATATCGTCGCCATACCCACGATCAACGCTTCCCCGATTCACACGTCCAAGAACGGTCAAGGATTCACAAGAAATACCATTGTGGACGGACCAAAGAAATGACGGCGCCGAGGAAACAACCGTCCGTGGCAAGACAACATCTAATCCGAGAAATCGGTTGTATAACGTCAAGTCAATTTAGATTCAGACACAAGCCACAATTTTACGCACATTGACAACGAAACCTTGCATTTCCCAAGTCATACATCGTGTCTTGACAGGTTCCCCTAATGTCTCATCCTGCTTGGCGATGCAACTCGCCGAGCCGCCAAGGACGACTCCACGCGTCAAGTTTATGGGGTCTTGGGGGAGCATCCGGGGATTTGGGGTGTACTGGTGGAGGGGAGTGAGGCTCGTTAGTGGCCGGTACACCCGCGCAAGCCATCGCAGGGCGTAGATGTTTTGTGAGTGCAAAGCCTCAAAGATCTGCGGCTACCAACATGCCATAGTAGATCGTATCTAAAATTGCTACTAGAGTCCCAAGCTATCATGGAGGGCCGATTGTTTGTGTCAGAGGTGGAACATATGTGAGGAGGACGAACAAGGCCTCCGGTGAATCCGCCTGGAGTGCCTTACGCCGTAGACGAACTGTATTGTTCACAATCTGCTTTGGCCATGGTCGGCCTTGCTGCGGCCTTGAGGGAATTGCCATCTTCCACTCGCAATAAACGCCTTGCGAATATCACCCCATGGCAGTACATACGGCCAGGATCGGCAGACATGCTGGCATTTATAGATCAAGGTTGGCGGTGAAGATGTGGTTAAAAGCTGCGACATAGAAGCTGTACTACAACGGCTGAGACGTAAGCTTATTAAGCCAGTGTGACTTGCGCAACCCATTCGCAACAGAGATTCCAAACCTCCTATACCCCTTTTGGTGACCGGAAATCTTTGAGCAACAACCGAGTGTTACCTTTGCAAAACTAAACCTTTGCACCATGACAAGATCAAGGCTTGCACTTCGTCGAGCCTCAAGCTCGAGGTCGTCAACTCTTCCTCCTCAGGAGGCCTCAATGTACACAGACCTAGAGCACGACTAGCATTGGACATGTCCTAGATACTAGCCGACGTCATACCAGACCGTACACCGAGCAAAGCCCTGTACCTCCAACACTCACCCCTTCAGTCGGCTGGCTTTCGTAACTCAACCTTCTCGCTGACAAGCAAAATATCTCCCTTGATGCCCTTCACACCTACTCCAAAGAGACGAAATCTCTGATCATTATCCGCAGATATCCTCACCGTTCCAGCTTCCGCCTGGTCCTGCAAGACCTTCAAACACTCCCAAATATGCTCATGGCCCTCTCCAAGCAACCAAAGCGTCCCCCTCGGCCCCGAGCTGATCTGCTTCACAGCCTGTTTCTGATTGAAAGCAGCAGTCACCACCATCCTTGGGTGCATACCTTTGTTCTTCTCCTGTGCTGCTTTTGCTGTTGTGGTTACTTGTGTCTCCCATTGTTTGGCTTTGCTTGTGCTGTTGTCGTGGATTAGGTTGTAGAATATGCGTTTGCGATCGCCTTTTTCTTCGTAGAAAAGCTGCAGTGCGTCTGGATACTCGCCTGGTGGCGGCCAACGAACGTCGCCATGCGGACATGCGTTTTTCTCTGCATCTGTGTACTTTCCCATACGACCACCGCTTGCTGCCTGTGGTGCTACATGCTGTTGTGGAGGCGCTTGTCGTGGAGACGGATGTTGTTGTCTACTCGTACCTCCACGCCCACCTTGCTGCATACTCCTGGAGTGCTGAGGTACTTGAAGATGTTGGTCTGGATTCGGAGCTCGCGGCGATGGTTCAGGGTCTGGAATTTGCCTACTCCTTCCAGCCTCTTGCTGTCGCTCTACTGGACGCGATTCTTCGTCGTAATTTGTGAAACTCATGGGAACTTCCTGGTCTTGCTGTTGCGCGCGCCTTGGTGCTGCAAGATTTTCCTGACCCCATCCTGCCAGTGGATCGCCTCGCTGATCACCTTGAAAGGGGTTACCGCCTCGAGACATGTGTAGATTGTGGAACAGAGAAGACGCCACTAGGGACGGCGATAGAAAGTAGATCACTGTGTGTTAGTTCCAGCTTGTTGAAAGCATGAGCCGAGGCGCGTTTGGGTTTGTGAATGCACACTGGGTATGAAAGTGATGCGTAACATGATATTCAACGGTAGACAAAGATCAAAAGCTCACATCAATTGCAAAATTGAATGTGTCAAAGTGCTCAATGTTCACGTTAATACTGTTTGTAGATAGTCTTCGTCAATTTCATTTCCTTCAAAGTTGGGATACAAACGATTACAACAACACGAAGTCACAGTTTCAAGTTTTACTCAGGACAGATATAGAGTTGAAAATTGTAAAGTAGCGCCTGCGCTGGAATCCAACTTTGAACACCAGAACTTTATCTCTCAACCTTGAGTTCGGAACTTGTCTTTTCCCACGAAAACTTAGTCAGACCTTCTGTGGTCGCCTAAGAGAGTGCCCTAAATATCATCATCGTTCTGGGCTTGACGTGCTCGCTGAGACTGATGTCCATGGCCCGGGTGATGTGACAACCGAGAAGCGTTCTGATGAGGCCACTCGGGCTGTACATGGAAACCTTGTCCTACCTGCCTTGACTGTTGCGACTGTTGCGGTTGCTGAAGACTGGTTTGATTTTGACCCCACTTTAGTTCAGTGGGTACATTCGGGTCTTGTGGTAATTGCTGGAATTGCTCTGATTGCCCCGATCGCCCCGATCGCCTGGATTGTTGTGATTGTTGTGGCTGTTGTGGCTGTTGTGGTTGTTGCGATTGTTGCGGTTGTTGCGGTTGAAAAGTCTGCAATCCTTGTTGATGGTTCTGTCTGCCCGCAATCCCAGCCCGTAATCTGCGATAATTGTTTCGTTGGTTCTCATTTCCTGAGGCGTAGGGATCATCAGCGTGACCTAACAGAGGGCGTGCTCCGTTATCAGGCATCCATGAAGCACCAGCAGTACAAGAATCGCTGGAGGCAAGTGCACGTAAGTACGCGATATGATTTCGACGACTCTCCTTGTCCATCTGCGCGAAAGCACGACTTGAAGCTATGTCTTGTCTTAAGATGTATTGTGATCGACTTTCATGACGTCGTTGGGGCATTTTGATTTACGGGGTTTCTATGCCACGGAAAACTGAACTGAATTTATTTCGTTTTCTTCTGAAAGGTAGAGGTGGCAGTTACTTGGTGTTCTGAATGTTGCAGCGAGCTTGGTAAGAGATGTTTAAGTATATGAGAGGTTGTTTCTGTGTACTCGACGCTTGATTGATATACAAAGAGCTAGACCTTGGAATTTAAGAAGTGTAAGTTGTCTGTTTGTAAATTACAGTAAGTGATGGGTCGTTCGAAATCGCCCATTATTTTCTCGGGTCAGGTAGAAGGCGTTGAATACAGTGACGAACCGGACCTTGTGATACCTTTGAACACAGTCAATCTTACGGGCGCAAGAGCATGTACGAATACTAAGATGGAGAGGAGGTGATTTCAATACTTGAAAGGGTCTTGACGATTGAAGTATTGACCGCTATATTGAATTTCGCTCCCTTACGTGAATGAGCCGTCATTCAACAACCGCTTCAATCTTTGTACTTAGTCACTGACCAAATTGCAAATAATTCATACGACAAGTCGTTACACTCGCTCATCTACGACCTTATAAGCGACTCGTACCTTTCTTCGTTTCACGAATACTCCTGCTAAGAACGACAGACCAGTCACTCATACCCACCTCATAACCCAAGAAACAAGCCATCTGCAACCAATATCCCCCCAAAACTCAAACACCCTCAAACGTATGGGTTTGGATATATTCTTCGATTTGCTCGCTGCTCCCAAAAAGGAGCGCTACCCGGATTATGAGCGCAAAGAACGCAGAGCCATCCGCGCCGTCAAACAGCTCAATGCCGGCACACGCAAAGGATACAACGAGAAATTTCCTCTAGGCCGAAGCGCACGCGCGACTTTAGTCGGCGCGGTAGGTCAACAGATGTTCATGTGTGATGACCATGGGAACAGGATTTCAATAATCTATCAGGGCAAAGTAGATGGACGAGATCATTGGGAGCTGGATGAAAGACATTTGACGCCATACACGCGTCTTATGAGAGAAGACCCAAACAGGCATAATAGGAGAGTTGACCAAACAGCTAGGTTCGGGAGCATGGATGGCGAATTTCCAGGTGGAATGGGCAACGGGCTTCCTGGAGGTATGGGCGTCGGTACTCCTGTGTTTGGCAACGCATATAGCCAACAGATGCAGATACTTTCAGCCGCAAATTTCCGTAGTCAGCAAGCCAACCCTCCGAGTCTGCATTTCCCCCAGGATTCAAGTCAATTTCGCTATCCATCCCGATCCGACAGCAGTGAAGGTTATATGAATGGGCCTCAATTCGAAGGCAGTAATGCATCCTCTCTCAGTGCATTACCATCATTTATTCCCATCGGAAGGTTCGGGGAAGAGGATGACCCGGAAGCAAATTTGCATCAGTTAGCAGAGATGAGCAGGATGAACATGGGAGGCAGGAGGGACAATTAAATCTTGATTCGTTCTCGTTCTCTATCCTTGTCTATTAATGCACGCTGTGACGACTACACCTCTTCCCTAGTCTATCCCATGGATGGGAAGTTCTGGAGAGGTGGCGTAGCCGGCAACTCGAAAAAGCAAGCGCAAAACCCAACCAGTCGCTATGTTCTGCCGATCCCAAACTTCCAATCCCGGAGAACGCAGTGCCTCAGGGGAGAAACGAAAGGCTTTCGGGGCACCATTACTAGGCCCCTGTCAGGGATGTCGTGCATGAGTCAGAAGGCTCTCAGGGCATTGCCGCCAGCTCAAAGGAAGATATCGTCGTAGATGAAGTCCTCAAGGGACGCGGCCATGACGTCGTCACCCTCGAGCTGGCGGAGGTGCTCCCAACTCACCCGCGACATGTCACCGGCGCCGTTGGAGAAGGCGATCGAGCCGTTGCCTTGTGGCATCCCAGCAGAGTTGAGGCTGGCAGCCACATGGCCTTCGGCGATGGTGCTGTTGGATGGTGTGGTCGGCCTGGGAGGATACATCGCCAAGGCCTCCTGCTCAGCGTTTACAATCTCCCAATCGTCAGCGGCACGGCCAGGCGAGATCATCTGCACCACGCGCTCTACCCATCTGAAGGGAGCTATTAGATGAACACGATCAGCCTCCTTGTAGGGGCGCTTGAGGACGACAATGAGGGATTGCGTACCTCGCATCAGTGTCGACGTCCTCCTAGACAAGAAGCTTCGAGTGGTAGTGTCATCTTGAGCCTTCTTGAAGTCAGCATTGGACAATGCGGAAGTCTTGTTCTTGCGTGTCCACGCCATCTTCAACGGCGGAATCTGGTAGCCCTCGGCGATCTGCTTGCCACGCAGCTTGAGAAGTGCCTGCTGCAGTGCGCCTGCGGTGCACTGATCACTGACGATTTGAGCAGCTTGATCGAAAGGAATCGGGATCCTGTTCTCGCCACAGGCCCAGACAATACCGAGAGCTACGTTCTTCCAGTCATCGTCCTTCCACTTGAGAAGCTTCGGACGTGGTTGACGTGGCTTGCGAGGTGCGCCGTCCTTGTTGATCTTTGGGGTCTTGGACGGACGCTCGCGATCAGAGTCGCTACCCTCGTACTCGCTGTCAAAGGCGGGGGAGGAACTCACAACATTGTCGCGACTAGCCTGCTCTTCCTTGATTAGAGGGTTGGTATCACCATCAAAAGACATCTGGTCATCCTCAAGCGCATCGTGGGCACCATCCTCTTTAGCGTGATGCTCCTGAGAACTCTCAAAGACGTTGAGTTGGTTGGGATCAATAGTGCTTAGACCATGGCCGTCGTCGATGGTGTGAGAATTGAAGTCAAGACCACCAATACCGAAGTCGGCGGGAAATGCACCATACCCAAAGTCAAAGCCATGGTGACCATACATGCTGCTGCCCAGGCCGGTATCCATATAAGTGGCCGTGGTATTGTTCGTACGGGTGCTCGGGGAGTTGTTTATGATAGCGTCAATGTCGTTGTTCATGGCGGCGCCTATGGCTGTTCCCACACCAAAACCACCAGAGAAGTCGTTGATAAGCATGTTGCTATGATTGTTGGCAGGAGTGTTGGTGAAGCCGGCGATGCCATCTCCATTGAAGTAACCATCGTTGAAGTTGAACTGATTGAGGTTGTTGCCGAAAGGAGTCATGAACTGGGCCCCAGCATTCATGACATCCTCGGAGGTATTGCCAAAGTTGATGCTGTGCGGAACAAGGCTCTTGTTGACGGCGATGTTGGATCGCTTGGTGGGTTTCGTGGGTTTTGTCGGCGTGTTGTTTTTACTTCCCCGCTTCCGCTTTAAGCCATTGGAAATGCTTGTGGGCTTCTGGACTGCTGTGGACGAAGTCATGGATTTGGGCGTGTTGCGGACACCTTTTCTGCTTGACTTGGTGGCTGGCTTGTAGTCGTAATCACTGTCGTCGTCGAGGCCGACCATGTTGAGCTTGTTGTGATGATAAGACATATTGACTATTTACGTTAGCCTTGGCTCACCTCAGATAGCATATGACACTATTGTCCAAATGGTCGGGCTGGGGACAATATACGTACGTTTTGAAGAGAACCCGTTGCCAAAAGCTAAGGAATAATGCAGAAAGCGAGTTGGGTCGAAAGATTGCTGTCTGTTATTTAATGTTAGCCAGGTCAAGGAAGGGTGGGAAAGCGGAGAAGACATGCCCGTGATGTTGCTCAAAGCGCTAGGAGATCGAAGACGAAAGAAAAGCCGCTGAGATCGGCGTATGCAACTGTGGTTTGAATTAGTGTGTGTGTGGAGGCGGAATGATGGTCCCTACGAGACATACCTTTCGTAGTACGGGTGGACCTCACGCATTCGAGGAATGATGAGCAGCCGAGAGGAGGGCACAGCTAGGGGGATAGCTCTGACGCACGCACTGGTGTGCTATTAGCATTCCTTATTGGAAGAGGTGGTAGAGCTCGACTCTGAGTATCAGGATTAGGGGGGTTGTGTGGGGATTGGAAGACCGAAGCTGGTTTGCTGGAGTAGATACCCAAGACTGGAGGTGTCTTCTGAGCGGATGCAGTACGTACCTCGCAGTTGATCGTGGGTGTTGCAGCGAAGCAGGAGCTGCAACGATCGAGAATATATATCGAGGAGGGTGTAGTCACATTCCCTTCGACTTCGAGCTCACCGTCACGCGGGCACCGGTGGTCCTTGCTCAGGAGATAACAGCCAAGACCCACAACGCACACCCTAGCTCAGATTCGAAGGTGAGAAAGTCTGCGTGAATACGACCTTGAAGTTCGCGGCGAGGAAGCTGACAAGATTGGGCGCGAGATGCTGCAGGCCCTGAGGTATTGTCCTAATAGCAAGGCCGTGGAATATGGACCTGATCAAGCTGTCCGTAGGGCGTCAAAGTTTGGGCTGCGGGAAAGCTAGCGTAGCGCCAGGGTCCAGAGAGCGGATTTAGTGACGAGAACGTGCCAGGTCTTGTGCGACGATCTCGCGTAGGTTTGCGACAGCGATGCTCAACGGCAAGGCTGAGCCGTTGACCAAAGATGCAGCAGACCGTGACCAGGGTGACGAGAGCACTAGCGTCGAATGCTCAGGCTAAGTTTTAGAAGTAGAGAACGCGGGAGAGCCGAAGGACCTGCAGAAGCTGTACAGCGTTGGTAAGGAAGCTCTAACTATGCTGAGTCGAGTCTTTGGACGAGGTTCAAGATAAAGTCCAGTAGAAGCTGGTACATCTCTAACTATCGATATGTCGCGGCAACGCTGACGGAGGCGGTGTGGGGCCGGGTGCCCTGAGGTGTGGGTGGGTACACGTGAGGTATAAACTGACGTCTTTGTACGAGGCTGATAAGAGCCATCTAGGCGTGTATAGGAGCGGTGACGCAGCGGTATATTGATCTTCTGATGACGACGTGTCAAGTAGGCCTCCGATTCAGGAGAGAAGCTCCGCGGTTGACGTCATGTACGTTGACGAAGGGGCGATGAGTTTTGTATATCTGGTATTGGTTTGAATGTGATGTTGGGCGGATCAGGTGTCAAAACATTGACATGTTGTCAGACCTAGAGTGTGTATCTCAGGTTAGTTGCGCGTCGAGAATGTCGTGTACATTCCTATGTCGTAGTCTTGTCTGTACCATCAAGCATTGTCATCGAAATTTTCGAGATGCTCGACTCGGGTTGTCTCCTCCGAGCAGATGTTTGTGGCAACAGATTTCCTGGACTTGGCACGACTCTTGAACGGGGAAGTTCTTAAGAAAGTTGATGAACCAACATATATCGGTTAGAAATGACAAGAAAAAGAAGGACTGTGAAGGCTGAAGACATTGAAAAAGCGAAGAAAAGAAACGACAAAATACAATACTCAACTTGGTGTGAGCTGAGAGAAGCAAATAAGGATGCAGCATACTTTAATACATAAATCGAAGACACGAGAATTTAGGAAAAGACTTGGTGTTTAAATAGATGTGGTATAAAGGATAAAGGTGATAAGAGATTCAGATGACGATATAAAGGGAAGGCTAGAGAAAAAGGACCAGTATAGACTACTAACGAGGAGGTTTGACTACAGTCTGACTCAGTTAATCCTTGGGACATACCTGCCTGGAGCAGTATTCTGTGTGAAGGCGACGCTGCCTCACGTATGTCGGAAGAAGGTTTTTTCTTCTCTTACTTCGAAAGCGATGAAAAAGTAAGAAGTGGACTCGAACAGCTTATGTGTAGAGTGTACCAACCCGTTCCACCCTGTGCCGGCCAAAGGGGTGTCTGGCAACTTCATACCAGTGAGAGTTTCATGACACAAATTAGTGAGGCGTAGTCCGCAAAGCGAAAGCCATGTCCGAGTCTGGCAAGCATATTTTGAAGCGGCTCACCCCAGAGATTAATGAGCTGTCTTCCTTAAGAGATAATAACCCAATATTGAACAAGACGAAGATACATTATGGTAGATGTATGTAAGCACTGCTTCCAACGTCAGGAGTTGGTCGAATGGCATGTTTTCCCTTGGGAATCCTGAGGTTTCGGTTGAATGAGAGCGTATGATACAGGTATATACTCATGATGGGTGTTGAGGTGCCAACTAATCGAGTGCGAGATTTTTGTCGAATGGGCATAATCAAGCCGGTGATAAAATCCACGTGTTCACGTTCTTTTGTAAGAATTTGGCGATGAACGGTATAGTCTTCCTTTGTCTGAGTAGATAAGTATTCATGACATCAAGCCTACCTCTCGCATTTGCAAGGAACCATTGCTTGAGCCAGACTGCTTTGTCTCAGCATATGACAGGTTCATAAGAACGTCATATCCTCTGAGATTATGTGCGAGCGGTCTCCACACTATGGACAAGGCGCGAATGTCCTGATGCTGGGCTCGAAATGTTGTCGTGTGGTAGGTGTAGGATAACCTAAGTCCGTCGCGAGACTGAAAGATACAAGGGGGCTGAATCGTGGTATGTGGTGTATCAATCGCACTATCATGAGTACATTCAAATAGTATAGAACGTGGATACAACTTCTTCGGAGCTGGTATGTTTGTTGAAGCGCCGGTGTTTCTTACCATGTGCTGAATCTGCTTCACGGTCAAGGCAGAGGAGAAAATGTGACTGCAAGGGAGTTAACAATATAGGAATTTTTTTTGTCTGTATGCTAGCACATTCCGAGTATCTTCGAGGCCAATGTCGGGCATCTTGCTGGGCTTTCCAACGCCAACCTTTTCAACCCGCAGGAAAGTTATCTTCCAAGCGTGCCAAATCCGTCCGCGGCAGAACATGATCGAGAGCCACAACCTATGAGGGGGCCGCAAGAATTGTGCAGGGCGTGCCGAATGCGGGTGTAACCTGTTCGATCCGGTAAATAGCCAAGTTCTATGCTGCATGAAGCGGCTGTCCGAGATGCCCAATTCATGCGAGAGGCTAGAGATGATAGACCACACGATTAGGTCAGGGGCAGGGGGTATAGTCGCCACTTGCGACTCGATCTGTCAGAGGTTGGCACTGCGCCGGTTATTTCGTGGGAGAGGAGAGTGTGGAGGGAGGAGGGGACGACGGTGAGGTGGAAATAAGGTAGGGGCGCTAAACTGTGCGGGAAGCACGATCGTCGAACGGCTCACAGGCCTTGGCACGTTCTTCACAGGCTCAAGCAGGGGAAGTGCACATCATCAAGATCGAATGTGACATTGCTATGAACGACATAGAATTACTATTATGATCCAGAGGCTATCTGTCTGATCATCAGTACGTCTTTCGGGTTGTGAACCAAGTAGGAAGGGGCGATGACTTACCTAGGAACCAACCTACTTTGTAATCAATTCATATGAGGCTCATGAGAGTTTTACAGAGTTGATGATGAAGACAATGGGCTCCTGGCCTTGTCTTCTTCTGTTCCTTGGTGTTGGCATTGCTCGTGTTCGGAGCTCGAGGACGGCGGCTTTGTTCCCCGATCTGCGCCAGTCCACACAAAGAACCACAGCAGATGTAACTCTCCGATTCCAAGTCGTAGCTTAACGAGCTTCGCTGCATCGAGGTTATCCCTTGCAGCTTCTGAGATTTGACTGGATGCGACCGGAGTTTGCGTTGGGGCGGGCTCCCAGGTATTCGACGGGGCAAGGGATGGCCGTTCGCATATCCCTTTTCTTCCCAGCGATGCTCTTCCACCCCACCCTCAAACTCAACGAAAGCGACCAACACCCTCGCATCACCTTCGACGGGTGGCGCTGTGATAGAAACTGCAATTGCGAGGCGACATCCTTTTCCGGATCGTGCCTGCCTCCCTCGGTCATGCGGAACGCCGCCACACAAAGCTCCTTCCTCATCGCTACCCCACCCGTGGGCACAACCAAGACCGCAGCAGACCGCCTCTCTCTACGATATAGAGGTATGCGCTTCATATTAAGGATTATAACCTTTGTTCAGATCGCTCCTACCTTCGAGTATGACTGGGATCGACGCGAATGCCGATGGCTCCCACCGACCTGCATTGACCTACGCCCACATAATTGTTCGATGTCGTTCAGAAAGTCGATTGTTTGAGGAAAGGCGACTCTCATCGGTTTTTTTAACACAACTCAGGACCATTTTGCAGTCGGTACCCGCGTCATGTCGGCTCGCGACATCGCGATCCCACCGCCCAAGCGTACCTAAAGCATCGTGAGAGAGAGGCGCTCGAAGTCCGGATGCGCGTACCTATCTCCATGTCTAGGATGGCATATGTAGTGCGATGCGTGGACATTGACTAGAGACGCAATTCGCCTCTCAACTATAAGCCTTAAAGAGGCATGTTACACCCGGGACGAGGAGCATTTCGAACACCACAACCACGCTGGCGCCGCCGCCGCATGCGAAACAGACGTATACCACCATCGTTGATCGCCTTCTGCGAGCGATGCCCGTACAGACATTGACAACTCCAGAAGGATAGTAAGAGAAGGACAATGAGTGATATGGCTATTATACCATTGCGTTCACTGGCATGATCGTTGTTGTGCATGAGCCGCAGGTGGCAGCTGTTGACTCGCCACTCAAGATAAGCATCATGTCTCGAGATGTGAGGGAGTGCAATACGCAGTGTCTTGATCGCAAGCACGTCGAGCACCCCAAGAGAGTACAATGCCAAATTCTCAAAAGCGACACTCGCCCACATTACGCACACTGTGCAAGAGACGGTCGTTGGCCTTGAACTGTGGCGAATCTTCGATCTCAATATCGGCATTGATAATCGCGAAGAGATGCGAAAGGAGGGGCTTAGCGGCGGGCGGACCGACATTGAGGTTTAGCCTCGGCCATCCTAATCAAGGGCGGATGGATAAGCCGGCGAGACTCATGACAGCAGCGCCTACATCGTGGTCGAAAAGTCGGTCTCGTTATCTTGTTCAGACAGCTAGACCACCGCAATGCGTCGAACAAATATGCATCCAAGACTCTGCACGACCTCAGACACCACCAACTCTGGACAGTATTTGATTCTCTACCGCATGCACAGAAAGCGTAGGGATTTGCATTGCTGAGCCGACGACCACTGAGCTAGCCAGCCATTGCAAGTTCGACACGATTTATATCTGGATGTTGAATTCATCCCTGCTCTGGGGGTGTTCTTGTCGCCAGCTTTTATGTGGCTCCGGCGTGTTCCATGTGCTCGGCTGCAAGTCTGACCACGAAGCACATATGGCATGGATGGCAAACGTGAATCTCAACAACTCGAGCGAAGCAGTACCTCGGGATTTGCACGTGGCCGATACAGAGAGCAGTCTTCATTCTCTCAGAAGAGACAGAGTATCCTGGCCATCTTGGGATGTTTGTACGGCCTTTCGTGTGGATATTCAGAAAAATGATGAGGATCTGATCATCACCAATCTGAGAGTCCTCGCAGGCGACACCAGGGAAGGTCTTGTGCTGACTTTCTCTCTATATTTGAAAGCGACTGGTAACGGGACGGCGTTGTTTGCGTCGTTGCATATCCTTTGATTGCCGTTCCCGGGAATGTAAAGTCTGGGTTCCATCATCTCTCCAAATCTTCGAGGAATTCTGTACTCTGGAGAAGGAACCAACGCATCCTCAACAAACGGTGTCGGTCCTGGTAATGTTCATAGCTCCTAGCACATGGACGAGAAACACACGATCTCCAGCTGGCATCCTTTATGAACAACGTCTTATTTCGGCTGCGCGCTGTTCTGCGACGGTGCCGCTAGTGTTTCGATGGAGCGCTGCCAGCCACATGCCGATCGACTGCTTGCTCGGTACAACCTCCAAACAGCTTCCCTCGATTATGGTGGATTCCAGAATATCGCATATCAATACATATGTGTGCTACCGTGGTGTCCAGTTGCCCGACTGCTCACGTCCTTTGTTCCTGGCCTGCGGACGGGCATATTCCACCAGGAATAGGGTGTTGCGTCAAATCTCGTGGTCGCGGCGTCATCAAAACCCAAGATGATCTTTCGCGGTGTATCCAAATAGGCCCGCTGTATTCGCTTCCCTCTATCATAACCTGGCCCTCGCAATGCTCGTAGCATATCGCCGTGTTTCTGAGTATCTGAGGGTGGATCGAGAGTGTACACGCCATCGTTCTGCGCTCGAGCCAATGTCGTAAATTGTTTGCTATCGGAAATCTCCATGTTCCACCACCGTCTACGGCACTCTGGTACTGCTTGTGAGCTGTCGGCTGTAGGCTGTGATGGCCACTCGGAAGGCGAAGTCTTTGCGCTCGTGGTTCTCGTTGAGGCCAGTACGGGAGACAATATGGTTCTGTAACGCTTGTCGGTTGCTGTTGACAGTATTCGCTACACTCGAAACATGCTCTGGGTGTTCACGGTCTTTGTGCTTGTAATCGCCGTCGCCGTCGATCGAGAAGGCGGGGCAGGGAAGGCTACGTTCGTGATCGTAACTGGGGTCGGGGATCATAATATGGCACCTCCTTGATGCTTGTCAGCGCTGAACTTCAAAACCTGAAGAGACTGCTGGAGCAATGTTGGGGATCGAAGTCTTTCGCGCAGTCGCAAGAAGCTCCTCGCAAAGCTGCCCAAATTCGGTTTGCGGCTCTACCACGACCGCAGAGGTTTCCAAAGGGATGCGTAAACTCTATCATTCATCGGAGACCTATCTTCTGCTAGACTTCGCATTGGTGCGCTGTTGTTGCTGTCATGTCGATGGAGATGGTCGTTGTCGGTCTCGAAGTCCAACTTGTCTGTGGGGTGTCACTCTCAATGCCGTGCCCCTGCGATGTCGACAGAGCTCACACATTTTCTTTGGCTCCTACTTTGAGCATGAGATTTATCTCCGGTGTGTTACGCGTCAACACCCTGCCCTTGTTGTTGTGTGGTGGGGTGGTGATGGCGCAGAAGCGGTGCGGCTTGAAAACACCAGAGGAGGCCGCACGAACAAGGGACCATTTGAGTAAAGCACGAAAGCAAAACACACCCAAGACTCGCAAGATTTGGGATACATCTGAAGTCTCCGGTTGCGGGATGTTGTCGTCCAGACAAAGTTGCCGACGCTCAATGCAAGTCAAACTACCTTGTGGCAAAAATATGTTTTGGTGTTATGATGAGCAAACATATCCAGGCTCAGCTGCTCATCAGTTCTATGCGTGCTATATTGCAGACGACGCAATTCTAAAAGTTGGCTGGATATGAATTTGATGCAAGATGCTCATACAGATGCCATACTAGGCAAATGCAAGAGACAAAATATCACGTCCATTAATAACAGACGAGGCCTCTCCCGATACACGGATTTCTTGGGAAAATCTGTCAATGATGCAACAACCTGAATGTGCATAGTATCGCGGCGTTGACAGACTGCAAGACACGTTACTGCTGTCACCGACGAAGATCATCAAGGCATATTCTATGAACGGTGCAAGGGATCGGAGCCGCGGGCATGTGCCTGGTTCTAGGGAGGCCCGCTCACAACAGCCAAGGCAAAGCTTGATAGGCCAGCAGTAAACGCATACTGTTGCCGTCACTCACGATATTGGCTGCAAATGTCCAAACCAGGGACCCTGATCCCCGCAAAAATTGGCTGGCCCCATCCAAACAACAACAAAGGAGACTGTACAAAATACCGATTTATGTGGCTATATATTGGTTTAGTTTCAGCAGTTTGTTAAAATGGGTCCACCGAATGCGCGTAGGTGGATCAACGAACCAGACGTGGCCGTTTGGATGTAGGCCCTCAGTTTGTAACTGTACTAACTACTCGCAGTTCGAAACCAACACTGCCCAAGGAGGTTTGGCACCCCATATAATGAGGCCCAGGACTTCCGGGTACCAAAACCGGCACTTTACAAGTCCTTCTTTTTTTGCTCTTTTTTTGGACTTACCGGAAGGTAAGCTTTTATCAATTCTGCCATGAGCGCACACGGATCAGGTGAGAGACGTGTATTATGCTCTGTGTAATCATCTCTACTGCTGTGTCTGCAAGTGATGTTTTTTTTCCTGCTTGCATATTCTCTTTCGAGCTCATGGCCAAAACGGAATGGCCCGAAACTATCACTAACGCTTCTCAATGGCTTTCATTTGCTGTCTTCCCAGCTCTCTTCGATCTGGTGATGTCAAAACACATTTTCTCAGAAGGAACGATTGCTGTACATACACTGAAGACTATATGTTTTCTACACAGCCATTGTCATCTCTCCAATACAGCCCCAAAGTCACTTTAAAGACATCAAACGCACTCGTAAATCGAGTGAACGGACTCGAAATGTCATTCTGGAGCATAGGCTAGGTTGTTTACCAGTGCAGTTTGTTTCAACCATGTTCCCAGGAGGCCTTCAGTACTAGCAATGTACTTGAACCTGCTCGTGGTGGTGACGCAAAGTCTCCAAGGTACCTTTTGGCTATGGCAAGAGGCGAACAATACTTCAGGTTGAGGGTTACGCAACACTCACGTCGTGAGTTGAGTACTGAAGTAATTTGAAGCTGCAGAAAGGATTGTTGCATTGGCCCAATGGCCGAGGTATCTATAAAATAGGACTGGTAAGACGCTGCTTGACAAAATGAGCCACGGTAGGCTTCTCTTCCCTCCTCTTCTTCCTCCTCCTCCTCCCTCTCCTCCTTTCTTGTTCTTCTTGTCCTTCATCTCCCGTCTCGGTCCTCCCAGGATCTCGCCCGCGATCGAGTCTACCACTCGCTCGGAAAGAGACTGCTCGACGCCGCCATGGCTAGGCGAATTGCGGAGGTCTGATCTACCGCCAGGTTGTGCAGCTGAAGCCAACTTGACATCGACATTCCCTCCTCCACGCGCCCTAGGGTGTACTCGTCCCCGAAGTCGAAGCTCGCCCTCACTGCTCGCTCGGCTTGGCTCAGCTCCTGTCTCCGAAGCTCCTTCCGGAAGTATGCCACCCAAATCCACCGCTGAATGTCTTCTCGGAACTGGGTACACACGAGGAGGTCGCGGACCTTTTTCTGGAGGGTGACGTGGGCGGACATGGCTCGGCGGCGGGCTAGGTTCTAGGAAGGGTTAGTATGGTGTCATGATCAAAGTGTTGGTAAGGCGTACTTCAGCTGCGGACAAGTTGTCCACCGCCCGCTCAATCTCCACCTGGTACCCAGAAACGCTGGTAACGACGTCGATGTACCAGTCTACCACCTCCTGGCACACCGCTCCCTGCTTCTCCTTGTTCTCGATGTAGCGCTGGAGCGCGCAGCAGAGCTGGATGAGCGCAACCTCTTCTTCGCGGACACGCCCAAGCAGATTCTCCCAACCGCGGACGTCCATACTCCAACGGCCTTCAGCGCGTTCCTCCACGAGTCTGTCGATCGTGGCCCGACTGATGTCAACGACCAGTACGGATGGAGCGGGAGCAGCCATGGAGTCTGCGGGCGGGTGATGATGGTGAATGGTTATGCGAATAGCTTTGAAGAGATTCTCTGCACAATCGTGTCTTCTTTCTGGGAAAAACTGAGCGGGGCGGTGTGGGGATGTTGAGAGTGTTGTGTGATTAAAACTTTTCACGGTAAGTTGACGATCTCCGTGCCAGCGGATATGAAGAAGATCCTATTGTCCAAACAACATAAGCCCAACAGGCAATTGTAGGAGCTACAGGCCAAGGCATAACTACTCGAATACGGCAAAATATACCCATTGGCTTCTTCAAGCCTGCCATCTCTATTTTGTTCACATCTCCACGTCGCGACCTCGATCATTCCTTTGGTGCAGCTCCAGGGTTCGGACAGAGTCAATGGGATATTCTGACTGGTTTTCTAGGGCTTACAGCATGCTCTCAGAACGCAAATATCAGATCCAAGACATGTCTACTCATTTACTATTAGCTGTCCTGCTTTGATAAACACATGTCCTTGACCTATTCTATGTTCATTCACTTCGTCGGCTATCGACATGGGAGGCGCACTGACCCCTATCGTGAACAATCTCGCCGCACAACCCCTCCTTCTGCTCCCCACCTGCTCTCCATCTCACGCAACATTGCAGCCTTTCTACTTCAGTGGTCGTTCTCACTCTTCTTTCTAGTTCTTTACACCCGAATCTTTCCGGCCTCCGTCCCTCCATTCCTCTTCGCTGCCACGATGAACGACCTGAATCTTAGGATCGCCGCCACCGAACAAGAGTACGACAAGCTGATGCAGATATGTGCCGCTGATCCCAAGGCAAGCGCCCCACGGTTCTTAGCGTACTTCGGCTGACTTCTATCAGGAGAAGAAGCGCCTATGGGCTCATGTTAGAGTTTCACAGATCTGTCTCAACCAAATGAGGGTCAGTGCATGATGCTGTCGACAACATCCAGAGGCCTGGCGATCATGAGCTGACAAACCCTCAGCTTGAACGTGATAAGCTCATACGTGAGCTGGCAGAGCAGGCCTTCTCGGCTGTGAGTTGCATATATGTTCACGCTGCTCATGTCACTGACCATTCCCACAGCGCTTCTCCGCTCCGGCCAACTCAGTCAAGTACGGCAATGGTCGTCCTAAATTGTAGCGTTACTTCGGCCCTGCCTGAAGTCATTCGGTGTCGATGATACCCGTATTATCGACGCGATCACATAGACGCAGCAGTTACAAAACTGGAGGTCTCTTTGCGTTCTAGCATCGGCTGTGGGTGAGCTAACTCTTATCTACTGTTCAAGTGCTAATACCATAGCAGAGCTCACGGTCTTTTGTCGGTCTACTACTCAGGGCTAGGATGGAGGATACACATGAGGGTTTCATGGGTTGCTTTTTGCCGCTTCGGATGACTCCCAGGAATGAATTAGCGCACAATACATGAACACCTCAAGTTTCGGTTCACTTCTTAGTCACTAAGTGACTTCTAGCCAACAACACACACGAATAAAATTTTCCGCACAAACTTTTCAAACGAAACATACACATGAGACCGATGACAGTCAGGAAGGGAATAAGTCATTGACAGTAGATTGATGTCTCACCCCTTCCATAAGGTGGAGAAGTGAGTGTGGATTCGCCTGAAAACAAGCCGTGCATAAATCATACATGTCAAATTGGTGCGTTGATGTGCATTAGGGGATATAACGCTCCGCGAACCCATCGTGGCCGTAGAATCAATCACTGACGCCTTCTGTCCCGACTCCCAGGGAACGTATGCTCTCCCACTCCAATAATCATGCACCTCCCCGACCCCTACACACACGTGTGAATGAAAGTAATAGTTTCCGTTCCAGTAATGTCACTCCATAAGCCATGTCCAATATTGAAATAGCGCAACGTAAGAATTCCGGTTCATCGTCTTCATTTCTTCTTCTTCAGTACCTCACTCGTGGCTTTCAGAAGTATCTCCCTATCCTCCTCGCTCATGTGGTCCACCTTCTCCACAAGTAGTTTCTTCAAGAATGAATTCTCTTTCTTCAGCCCTTCGTTTTCGGCCTGTAGCTTCTTCGTTCGGTCTTGCATCTCGCGACTCGAATCCACCAGCTGCTGTTCCCGCTGCTTCTTCTTCTGGCGGAAGCGCGCAGAAGCGGCTTGGTTGCGCTTTCGCTTGTCTTCATCCACTTCAACAATCATATCTGTGATCGTGGGGTCGGGGCTAGCGGCTGAGGAAGCGGATGTCGCATTGCTGTCCGGGTACGGCGTGCGATAAGCGTTTATGTTGTATGACTGGGTGATTGGAGAAAAGCCCCGAATATCTTCTAGAATGGATTGTTCATGCTCGTATTGTGTGGACATGTGGCCATTCATGATAGGCGAAGTGTATTGTAGGCCTGGAGAAAGCGTAAGCAACCCCTACGAGAGAACGCAAATATATAGACATGCAAGGTTCCCGCGAATGTTTATTGACCGCTGGCTACATATGCCCATGTCGAGCACCTGCGGAATCCGTGCATAGCCAACTGCCTTTGGTGTACATGTTGGGTGGGTCCAAATCACGTGTAAGCTGCGCAATTTGGAGCTAGGATGACGCCATACGAAAACCGGCATCCCGAAAACATGGGAGCTGAGGATACGGGCTGCGGGCAGGGACGATAGAGGTACTAGGGTATAGCGGACGGGACCTTGAAACCAACGATACTCATAATAGGAAGTTCAACAAAAGGCGTGCGCTTACCTGAAAGTGACGGCTCATTGCTGTGCGATGCATAGCCAAACTGGTCATCTTGTGTATAGCTATCGTGTCCTGGTATCTGCAGTGGAAGCGCCATACGGTCTTGTCGGAAGTTGTGATCGTGATAAAGATGGGCGGCATCAAGGATGCTGTCGAATGCATCACGTCCAGACGAACTCGATCTCGCACCCGCGTCGATGAAGGTCGGCGGTCCAAGAGCTTGCTGACGATAAGTTTCCGACATTACTCTCCATCGGCGCCAAGTACTCGGCTCTCGCAGAAGTTTGGATGAGGTTCGTATACAGTTCTCCCTGAGAAAAAGTATAGTGTCGGGTTGGTGTTGAGCTTTGGGTACGCTAATGAGCTATCCTCAGGGAAGTCGGAGCTGACGTGTTTGACACATGCATGTGCGAAAGTGCCGCCCTATAAGAAGGGTAGTGATTTCACTTAGCATGCGCTAAGTTCGCGCACGCCATTTGACAGAATTTGTCCTCTGAGACTGATATCTGACGATCGTCCACATATGCCGTAACTCCGGCCAGTGTCCACCTCCACGCTTTTACATAAATTGATCCTCGCTGTTGACACGACAAACATCCAGCTCTTCTTGCCTCATCAGTGTCAATGTATGGATCTCGGAATCTTTTCGATCGACGATGCGGTTCGCCACTTGGTGCACTCTTCGAAGTTCGATCGTTGAGATATATCAATACACAAATTCTGCTTCAGTCTCGCAGGATCAGGTGGGGGCAGGTGACACATTGTTCCGATACTTACGTCGAGGTCTCGTTCAACAAATAGCCTCTTCGTGCCGCCGCAGTATATCGGGTTATGTCCCCTCGAAATACGAGAAGGGACCCAATAACGTAATGGCGGGTTTTGTGGCTGAATTATCCATGTCGGCCCTACATTTGTCGCGTGGGCTGGACCTTCGGAGTTACCCACTGAGCCAAGGGGCTCGATAATGTCACAGTCTCATTGTATGCGCAAAACAAACATCTGTCTAACCAAGTCAGCTCAGACAACTACGCATTGTTTGTGGATGAAAGACATTGTTTGGACTGACCAACGCTGGAAGAGAAGTATAAATACCTCTAGAGAAACTCGTATGGACGGAGTAAGTGAATTGTCGCATTAAGGACAACCCAGACATCAGTTCAACCCGGCATGGAGACCCAAACCCATCAAGAGGTTAAACACGCGTACAACTCTCACCCACCAGTTCATCACTCAGATAAGACCTCTCAGCTGATCCCTTCAGTACACGCGTCGCATTCTGCTTGCTTCAGAGAAGTACAGGAAGCGTTAGAACTCGCTCGTCGTGATGGCGAAACCGATGAAGAGATGACCTCATCCAATCGTTCCTATCAATTTCGTACAAAGCTCGAGGCTCCTTCGATGTTCAAGGCAACAGCAAACCAGCAGGTCGAATATTTGCGCGCTCAGCGGACGAAGCAAGATGCTGAGGACGAGGAGTTGAATGATGATGGCTTGAAAAGCATGCTCCAGGCGTGGAAGGACCTCGCTATAGAGAACAAGCTTGATCCGCAAATACATGCTTATTGTGCAACCCAAGTTCTTGAGTATAAAACAAAGGTCGCGGACCGCGAGCGCGAACATATATGCAAGGAGCGGTTGGCCAATAGCTCGGTATCGAAGGATGTATCGCCGACCCCTCCCATCGTGCACCAGAATACAGCGACACCCGACGGGCTAAAGAAGCAAAACGCTACCGGATCCGGTCCCTTCACGCCACTCGCAAGCACTTGTCCTACGCCTAAACCTGTCTGCGCTCTGACCAAGAAAGGCGAAGACCGGAAACGCGCCAAAGTTGAACAGGCTGAGAGGAGTGCCGAAAAGGCGGAAGCTCGTATGCAAGAGAAAGCTCAGCGTGAGACGGCGAAACAAGCGCACCTAAACCATAAAGTCGCTGCTGTTCGTGCGGAAAAGGAGAAGCAAAAGGCTAGGATGGAACAGCAGAACGAGCGAGAGGTTGAACGTATCGCCAGAGTCCGTGCCAAAGCTGGTGCTCCGCCACTTGGTATGGTTGGTGCTAATATTGGAAATCGTAGTGCTGCTTTCGGGATAGACGTAAGTTCAAGAGTGGGTTCCGTGGGGTCGTCGATAGGGTCTTCCGCTACCATAAGTGACGCGCATGTGGCTACGACGAAGATTTGCACCACATGCAGTCTTACGCATTCGACCTTCCGCGAATGGAAGATGTGTGGTATGCGGGCAGCCGATCAATAGGAGAATTTTCTTTGTAGTTAATGTTAGTAACATAAAGCTTTCGGCTTGGTCCATGAGCGTTTGTGTACACTCGACTTGTTGACGTTTAGCTCCAAACATGATCAAACTTGGCCGGATGTGACGACGAAGAATATAGTATCCTAGATCCGTAACCCAGTCCGTCGCAGCGTTTTGAGTGTGTCCCCACGTCTCTTACCACACACCCCCATCCTAGCGAGATGCGTCAAAGAGGTTGTGGTCTAGTCTCCGCGTGGCGGAGACCCGGTTGTTACGGTTCGTGGAATTGAAGCCCGGCGTGACCATTAGACGTTGTGGTGTAGCTCAAAGAACTTTTGGTATGAATGAGGGATAGTTGTAGGAGAATTTGTCGCTTGCGTAGACGTGTGACGTGGGTTTAAGATACGAACGGATGCTCGCAGTTCGGGCCGTCGCAGGATCCTGCGGGCCGTCGCACCCACCTTCGGATGACACCCCACTCCACATGCTGATCATCCAGCACCTTGAATACATCTCAACTACAGCCAATCATTACAATACTGTATCCACCCTCTCAACACCATGGCATTGTTTACTCCGAGGCGAGAAGACGTTTACAGCGTTCGTGCTATCCTCATGTCATTCAGGCTACCGAACGAACTGGTCCTGGACATCCTCGATCAGGCCCGCTATTGGACCGAGGCCTCATACTCCGTCACTGACCATAGAGCCCTTCTGGACGAAGCATGGACGTTAGACTACTCCGCTGCGTCTGCTTACCTCGTGGCGCCTGCGTTTCATTACGAAATCATAAGATTAAAATCAGGACCAAAACCAGAATCATCAAAGATTCGAGAAATCGAATTTACAATCGTTAGTCACGTACGCGAAGATTCTTAAATATAGTAGGTATGATACAAACGCTAATGGTATGCTATTCGCCATTAGGACCAAGGTTGGACGACTGAAGACACAGCGGGTTCATACAACTCTTCGTCGTGGTTCGAAATTTCTATCCTTCGCTCAAGCTATCCAACTTATCTCAGAACTCCACCAGAACCTGCGAAAAGCAACATCTACACTGCGTTTTATCAATATCGTCGAAGCAACTCGATTAACTTGGTGCGACGTCCCTCTGCGGACATTGAACCCCAACGCTTGCATTGTCCTGAGATGACCAAAATTACATGCCCAGCGGAAGAGGATATCTACGACGAGTCTTTGGAGGACAGAAACGAGGGAGAGCATGCTTGGTATTTGCAAAGCAATAAAGTTGCCAAAGGAGTTTCTGTATTTGAGGGTGAGATGATCAAACGGTATCATATCGTTTGGGGTTGCAAAGCTAATCCAGTCTGGACTGGCAATGAAGGCACAGGGCGCGGCGCAGATTTCCTTGACACGCTAAAGCAGCACGACTGGATCTGTGTTTGGGCCCGGGCAAAGGTGAGTGTATTATTTACAAGGCTCAAATTCAGAGCAACGATCGGCTCACCATGTGAACAGAGAAGAGGTTGGGAGAACCACGTTCACGGAGTCCGTGTCACAATGCGTTATACCATCTAATCCCTCCGGGGACACCAACCCTTCCCAACCTACGCTGTCGTTCGCAAAGATTCTATGAAATATATTACTCACACTTCACCAATCATAAAAAATTGCTGATGTACATATGACATATCAGTGAATTCACTAAATACGTGAGTCCCCGAAGCAAATTTCTATGTATAGATTGGGATACATATGAAAACATGTAAATATTGCCATCGGATCAGGCACACCGAGAAATAAAAACTCGTTCAACGCCAAGGGAGATATGAACGTTCAACTTTTTTGGCGTTGTTCGGCGCCAGCTTGTACTATGACTACAAAATAATGGAAGATGTATAAATGCATCGAGAAGAGAGAGTCTTGGAGGTCTACTAAACATTGCGTTTTCTGGGAAGATATGCATCCCGTCGCAAAAGCTGTTCACCTGATTACATGTCTCCTACTGTATATCCTAGCGTCTCTCGGTACCCCTTCAAAACCGCCAACCCCACTACCAGCTCAGTAGTATACCTCGCCTATTCTTCCTCCCCTACGTCGTGCTTGACGGTTTCTTTCTCAAGCAAATTCTTCTCAAATTCGAGACTACTTTTCTCTGCTCTCGCCAGTTTTGACGACATAGCGCCGATTCCGGGGGATGTGATTAGGTTTGATATCGCTTTTTGACGTCGCCATGTAACACCAATAGCAAAATATGATTACCGATAGATTCCTTTGTGTTGTCGTTATTCCCCGTCCCCTAGTGCATGCCCAGTCAGGCCCTGCGAAGTATCTTCAACACGTTAGCTATCGTCTTTGCGCTGGGACCAAAAAAGGGGGTATACTCACAGTCAACAGTAACAAACGCCCGATCCACCTCATTGAGTCCCTCAAGACAGTACTGCAACGTTTCTGCGACATCATGGCATTTTCTCAACGGTGTGTCCGCCAACATTAGGATGTCAATCTCCACACAGACACCATCCCCGACATGGTAGCATTTGATGCTCTTGAACCCTTCTACCAGCGGCGCGAATCGGTATGTCATGAACATTAGTTTGCGTTCTATGCGGTCGTTTGCGGCAAGACCGGTTAAACGAGTGACGTTCTCCAGACATGTACCAGCCCAATCGAAGATGATGAAGAGCGATAACAACGCAGCGCCAACAGGATCGAGCCACCAAATATCAAACTTGTGGCCAATAAGTGGGAAAAGCAGCGAGAACGAATTGAAAATGACGTCTGTGCGACAATCCTGGCTTAACGCCTGAACTTGCGTTGTGTGAACCCTCGCGCAGCCGATCCAGATTATGCCTTTGACGACGATGGTGGCCCCCATGGCAAAGATCGCTGTCGGAGGCAGATTGGCTGCCTTGTGCTCGGCGCCTGGCAGGAGCTTCTGCACCGACTCTTGGAGGATTTGCATGAACGAGACGATCATTAGGATAGAGAAAACAAGGATACCGAGGGGTTCGAGGCGTCTTCGTCCCACAGGAAAGCTTTTCTTCAAACGAGTGAGCCTCCAACTGACGAGCCTGTTCGTGGTCCATATGATGATCGTGCAAAGGAGGTCAAGTGCGGAATCGACCAGCGATGCGATGAGGGAGAGCGAGCTGGATTTTAATGCTGCGACACCTTTCGCTGCGAGAAGCAAGATATTAACGACAACGTTGATCTGTTGAATGTCAGCGCACAATACCCCATCTTAGGCTTCTCGAGACGTACATTGATCGCCCATCTCACATGTTTCGCCGACTTTCTTCGCTTCTCTCGCTCGTCTTCTGGTAAGAACGGTTCCAGGTCTTCTCCACTGGTTCCTAACGGGCCACGCTCCTCTGCCACGCCATCGCCATCTGTATCTCTCGGGTTCATGCTGTCGACAATATCGTCTGCAAGCGATGAGACCACCATATCAACTTCGAGCCAATCATCGAGGCGGATATTCTGTTCCTTATAGAAGTTCCGGACCTTCTTGTTCTTTATGCATTTCAACTTTTGGTAGAAAGTCAGTTGTATGAATCTTCAAAAGGAGTGCTTTTGGAGGTCCTCACGCTTTCATCGCTCTTCCTGTAATCCTCCAATGCTGTGTGGTCTACATTGTCAATGAGCTTCTGTTTCATCTCCACAGCACTATGATCTTGCTTTGTCCGATCTACCGCATCACGAAACCTCTGCCTGGGAGGGTTGGATTCGTTCTCTCCATACCCGCTCTCTATGTCGGCGCGGACTTGTTTGTTGAAGTGGTCGCCGTTGCCATTCCCATAACTCGAGTTGTGTTTGAGGAGGTTTCGTCTGGTTCCAACCATGGCTTTGAGGTCTTATTTTTATGGATCGATTGATTGTCCAACTGGAAACGCAAAAATGGAATATGATACAGGTCCAACACTTGCCAAAGAGATAGTTGAACAGAAAGAAGACGATTGCAGGAAATCAACATGGTGAGATAATGCAAAGCCCTTCGGAAGCCGGAAGCGCTAATTTGTAACAGCGCGTGAGACCGCATCATAAACTCGAGCTAGGTCCCTCTACTTCTGACACTGGCTGCAACGGCGTGGCATGATTTGACATTTTGACCCGGTTTTCGAAGTTGAGGGATGACATCACGTACGTTACGCGTGGTGCCCGGAAGCGCGGGAAGATCATACTTGGCAGGAACCACTACAATCTCCGAAAAGGTATGCAAATCAACATATAAAGGTTAATACAGAGTCGTGAAAACTCATTTTCGCTTCAAAAGCTGTGTTCTATTGTTCGAACACGTACTCGAGCAGCGCAACCACAGGAAAGTCATGACATCATGTCTGAAGCTCGACCACAAGATGCAAACACGCGTTACGCGTTTAGATCTTGGCATAATTAATGTTTCCACAACTTTGATGTCTTTGATATCTTCCTTTTGAACCTTGATCTTCTCGTTACCAAACCACCCTCAGTCGTCGAGCTGAGGATATCAGGTTTTCCAGAGTTCGATAACCTGACAGGACGCCGATCAAATACACGTGATGATGCAAGACTCTCGAAACGTTTGGCCTTGGCTCTGTCGCTTCTCCAATGCTGTATCGCCATGGCGATTTTTTTCACATGTTTTCGATGTAAAGAAGAGTTTCTACTGAAAATGAGCTCTGAACAGTTACGCGACGCAAATTCTCGAACTTGAACCGCTCTTCCGTTCCATCTCGACTCGAACGAAGGCCCGTGAATCCAGCCTGCCGCAACCTCCACCGAGGAGATTCGATCGCGTAGCATGTAGCTATGACCCGCTCGCCATCCCGATCCACCGACGGCGGCGGCGACCCCGCGAACCACCGCGTCGAGCCACGCCTCCTGAAGGCTATCATAGAACAACACAACGAAGATGTCGTCGCCATTATCGAGCAGGCGAAGTCGAAGTCGCAACCGATAGATCACCTACTGCGCCTAGGCTTGATGCGCGCTGCTGAGCGTGGAAACACATACGTCGTCGAATATCTCTTGAAGAGCGGCGCAAAGCCTGATGGCGCACCTGGGGGCAGAGTCTCACCGCTACTCAAAGCAGTTGAGGAAAACCATGCAGGCGTCGTGCAATTGCTGCTTAAATCTGGGGGTTATGCAGACGCACAGGATAAACAAGGACGAACGGCGCTCATGACGGCAGCATGGAAGAACAGCTTTCACATTGTCAGCGAGCTCTTGTACCGTGGCGCGGATGTTAATAAGAAGGACAACCAAGGGCGAAACGTTTTGCACAACTTAGCCGCGGACAAACATTGCAATTGGGGAAGAGATGTCATCGATTTGCTATTGAAGACAAACATTGCAATCGACGGGCCTGAAGGTCAAGATGAGAAAAGAAAATCTCCCTTGCATTGGGCTGCTATGACTGGCAAAAAAGAGTTGTGCGAGATGCTGCTAACGAGGCCTAAGCTACCAAAAGCCAATGTGAACGCTGTGGAAGATAGGGAAAAGACGGCACTTCACTTAGCGGTTGCGCATGGCAGAGATGACATTGTCGAGTTATTACTACAATACAAGGCAGATGTCAAAGCAAGAAGCGATGGTGGTTGGACAGCGCTGCACAATGCATGTGAGCAAGGCCCAATCAAGGACCCAGACGAAAGGGAAACAATTGAAAAAGCAGAAGTACGTGTGAAGATCATCAAGATGCTTTTGGATGCCGGTGCGGATGTCAATGCGCGATTGCTCAATGGCTGGACGCCTCTGCATGCCGCAGCTCAAAAAGGTCATTCAGAGGTGGTAGAATATCTACTTACAAGAGTCGACATCAAACGCGCAGCAAGAGATACATTTGGCGTCACGCCGTTCGTTCGTGCAGCGCAAAATAAAAGGAGGGATATCGTCAATCTACTGGCGCCTTCGAATAACGTCGATTCCTTGAGTGAGGATGCGCGGGGGGCTTGTAAGGGTTTCAACGCGACCATTGTAGATTTCAAGAACGACAACGAGACCAGAGTCCTGAAGCGAAGTGTATACGAGCTACTCTACGGTCGTGATATCGTGAATCCGCGGAAACCAGCTGTCACGATTTTGCCCAAAGACTCGAAGCACACAAACTTCCGTTGGATACATCTGCCTGCCAATAATATGGCGTGGGCCGAAGCGTTGCTCACGAAGGCTTTCATCGAGGAGGGCGCGAACGATGTGGATGGATTCAGGGCTCTCGAGCGTTCGTTTACTCATTCGCATCGAGGAGCTCGTATCCATTCGCACTTCATGAGACCATTGAGTCAAAGCACTCCACGAGCACCAAAAAATCAGCATGACAATGAACAGGAACCACCCCAAATCATCGTCAGTAGTGGCACTGGTCTAGGAATTGACACAGTTGCAGGAGCACAGGAACCACCTCTTCCGCATTTTCGGAAACCTCCTATTAGGACGGGTACGGTGAGCACAGATCAGACCGATTGGACTGCAGGGTCCGGCGGCACTGGTACGGGCAAGGATGTCAGAGGAAAGGCGAAGGAGAAGACCAAGAAGCAACAAAAGTGGGGCGGTTCGAAACATTCTGGAGGTCGGTCTGCTGGATCCAACACACCTACCAAGCAAAGTGACTACCATTCAAGACAGAAGACAAGCATGTCAATGACTGAAAGTGCGCTTCTGCGCTCACCCGGGAGTCCTGGGAGAAGAGATCCCACCGCGAGTGAGAAAAGCAACATCTTCACCTTCATGCCATATCTGCACTTCGAGACAGATAAGCGGCGCCAGGAGATGCAAGCTGCAATAGCACGGATACCATTGATACGAGAACGTGAGAAGCATGACAACCGTATCATCAAGCCGGTTATTCCAAGAGCTTCTACGTGTGATGAGATGCTTCTACGAGCTCACTTGACCTCTTCACAAGTGTCGTTACATGTCCGCCGCACACTCGACCAGTTCTTCTATCACAACATCGACACGCAATCTCGCGACCGCGATCAGGTGTAAGTCATGATCTTCCCTACTGCTTTCCAAGCCTAATCATCCTCAGTGTTTACCGATATCAGCGCAAATCATCTGACCCTCAGCATGCTGATCCAAAGATCTTCATGGTTGACCAGCTTTGGATGTGGACATTGGGCAAGGACTTAGTCCTGACGGCATTTCCACAAAGATGGGAGCAGCCACGCAACGACCCACTCAATGTACTCGACGGTATCATAGAAGACATCAACAGCAAGACGCGCGAGCCAGTCAAGAATGTGCATGACCTGGCAATGTTGATCTCCGGGCGATGTAGTGGTATTTTTGACAGGCATCGCGTGGGTGACGGGGAATATCAGTTCCTCGACATGTTCGAGAGCAGCATTGGAGACGCTACTGAAATGGAAACTGAGCTGTTCAAGGAGTTCAACACGGCTTCTGGCGAAGCATCAAGGTGGCTGCACAGCCATCGACGTCCAAATCGTTTCTCACAGCATCTGGAGGCAGAGGGAAGGCAGCAGGAGCAGCAGAGCAGACGACATATGCCGCCGCAACAAGCGCACATCCACGCACTTTCAGACCCGCTAGTCAAAGAAGACAATTTCGGATATGAAGACAATGATAGCACACCCGCTCATGCCCCCCTCTTCGTCGACAAACTACTCGACATCGGCGCCGAGACCAATCTCCTCGCCGAAACAAAAGACATCCGCGACGAGCTCAACATGATCATGAAGGTGCTGGAAGACCAGCGCAACGTTCTCCCCGAACTCGAACTCAGCATCATCGACGCCTACCACAAAGAGCACAAGTCTCAGACCAACCTAAAGCGGCGATTCAGAGACATGCTCAAAACCATCGAAACGCACATCAAAGACCTCGAGCGCATGGACAAGCAAGCGGAAAGAATCTACAAAAGCATCACCGATCTACTCGACCTCAAGCAAAAACACGCCAACGCCTTCGAAGCGCGCTTCGCCCGCGACCAAGCAGCAGGCACAGCAAGACAAAGCCAAACAATCATGGTCTTCACAATAGTCACCATCATCTTCCTCCCGCTCTCCTTCATCGCCGCACTCTTCACAATCAACATCCAGGAATTCCCGCACCAACCCGGCTCCTCGGAACCATCGCTTTCCTTATCCTACGTCGCGAAATACATGTTCGGCATCGGCCTCGCCATATCCATCCCCTTCATCGCCATCGCCCTCTCCTTCGACGCAATCGGCGACTTCTTCCGCGAAGTCAAACGCCGTCTGCGGAACCGCCGCACCGCGCCCCCTCCGCCGTGGAACGACGCCGCGAGCAGACCGGTCGTAAACGAGGAGAAAGACATAGAATATGCAGTCGATATGCGCGCCTTGGAGCAAGCGCTCAGCGCAGGCCGCATGTCGATACGCGGCAGCACGGTCCGCGGCCACGGTAGACCGAGCATCGAAAGCTACCTCGACGGCTCGTATGGAGGCGCGGGCTCGATTGTTCCCGTTGCGAGTCGTAGTACGGGCGCGGGGAAGGGGGATGTGCATGTTAGGAATGGGTCTGCGGGTGTGGCTGGGCGGTTGAGCGTTGAGAGGTCGCAGATTCCCGTGGAGAGGATGAGTACGGGGTTTCGGATTAGGGGGAGTGTGGATGTTGAGCGCGGGAGTTGAGGGTGTGTGGTGGGAGTTTGGTGTGTTTGGTTAGATACCCCCCTTTTTCTTCAGGTGCTTGGAGGTTGTTGGATGGTGGTTTATTCAGTCGCCGTTTTCTCTGATGGATGGGCTCATCGTCTTTGTAGAAGTCGTTGGGATGGGTAGACATGAACTCTCGTTCCTGTATTCCTTTCCCTTTGCCGGCTATATATCAGCAGCGTCCATACGATGTGCAGAACCAACCAGTCCACAGAATTGTGAATTCTAGTTGTATGCTTTTTCTCTCGCCACAGCAAGGGCGAGGATGGATCAATGCTTCCATTCTATCTCGTACTTCGCCACATGCACGCACAATTTGCTTCCGGCCATCGGGAGGCAACGCAACGGACGGGCACTGTGCTTTGAACATTCCTTATTGGAAGCGAGATTGCGAGGCTAGTGTTGAAATCATATCTTTTACTTAGAAGTGCAGAACGCACGTGTGGGAAGCTTGACTGATATAACATAGCGGAGAGCATGCATTCGCCCGTTTGGCAACACATTCACGCCCTCCGTCGTACGACATGTACCAGCTCATGATTCCCGCCAAGCATAGCACTATACAGTCGCGAGCACGTATCCCAGTCCCGCACTAGATATCAGCGACGAAATGCCATCCTCCACGCCGATCCCTGAACAGCATCCCCGGAACTCCTTTCGGCCCCTGGCTAACCCTCTTCTCCATAATCCACTCCCCCTCCTTCCCCTTATCATACAGCTCAAGCGGCCCAACTTCGCGATCCTCCGCTTCAACTCCATCCGAAGCCACGCCCTGCTGTGCATTCAGATACGCGCTGAAGCGGGGGTTTGCCTTGACGCTCCCCGCGCTGTCTCGCATGGACAAAAGGTGCGACGCATCGAGGGGGAAGCGCGCAGCGAGGGGCGAGGACTCAGTGGAGTAGGAGTGCGGAGTGGCGTAACCGGTCGGGAGGCCGAGACGTCCTTCGATGGAGGAGGTGTAGCTGCGGGGTGTGGAACAGGTTGCTGTGCTGTTGCTGACGCGGTTGTTGGTCGAGAAGCCGGTGCGTGCGTTTGAGCGCATGAAGGCGAGCGTGTCTTCGTCTAGGCTGTCGGGGCGGGGAGGACGGGGAGGCGGTAATCCGGCGGGCTTGTGAAAGGGCACGATGGTGAGTGATTGCGTGGTTGGCGGGCTGCAGAGCTGGGGGGTGAGGGTTGGACGCGAGATTGAAGTGATGCGGGTTTGAGTGCTGCCTGGGGATGGACGAGGGTCGCGCGTCGAGGGGAAGGGCGAGAAGATGGGGCGGTGCGGTTTTGCGGGCGGTAACTCGACTGGGATTGATGGGACGGGTGGGGATGAGGATAGATCAGAGGTCGAATCATTGTTGCGGAAGAGTCTTGAGCCTGCGATGGTGTAAGATGGATTCTACAATGAAGCATGGAAGGGACAAACATACTTTTGCTCCTCAGTGTCGCGAAACTGGGTCGTGCCTTCAGTTTTGGTGCATCCGAATCAGACCTACTTGGGGAGCCATGCACGCTGACAGCTGTACTAGTGGGCTGAGGCGATGGCTCTACAATATCTTGCCGAGCTGGCGAAAGCGGAAGGAGCTTGTCGACCTCTGCCGCGGTAGCAGAAGAAGAAGCGGAAAGCCCATCTTCGTGAGATACCTCTTCTTGACGCTGATCCCTTTGCTCACCACCAGCAGTGAGAGACAGCGGAGCAGGCCTTGACTTACCCATATTCCCAGTCCTGCGCATGAAGAACCGCGGAGCTAGAACATCAGCCACACTCAAATCAACGCCAAACAAAGAGAATAAAACCCACCCTTCCTCCTGAGACTCACACTTTGAATCCCAGCGTCGAACTCCACCTCAGCGCCCGCACCTTCCGCATTCGCAGCCCTCTCGTCCTGATTCGGACCCTCCTTAAAGAAGCGCGAAGCTGTGCACGATCAGCAAACCGCTCGCCATACAGCGTCACGAACGGGGAATTGGGAGCATGCCTTTAGTCCTAAGGTTCTTCATGTTGTGTTCACGTGCTGCGTAACAGTACAGAATCGAGTGAATCGCGTCTGTCCCGAGTTGAAAGGGGAGTTGAAGCAGGCTGAACGGGTCGGCCTTGTTGGGCGCGGGTGGAGCGGCGTATGTCCTGAAAGAAGTTTCATGTCTACCGAGCAAGCGAGATTTTGACGATGGTGAAGTGAATGCGTGCGCATGCAGTCGGTGGTCCTTCACCGCGAGGTCCATGATGCTCAGCAAACGGTGCGTCAGGAAAGTCGGTCAATGTGAAACAGAAGTGAAAGCGAATAGAAAGATTTGAAAATGAGTGGACTGAACATACTGAGGTTGTTGAGAGCACCGAGAAAAAGCAGTGACTTGTGTGGAAATGACGTCGAATTCACGTGGAAAGAGATTGGGATGTCACAGTGATCGCAGCGGGTAAAGAAAGTCCAAGTACTCACGAAGAATGTGCAATGACCACACGGCTCCGTATCCAATATTCAACCATGTCAAAGCAGTGGCAAGTCGACAAGATTGAGCCAAAGAGGAATGATGTCTGGCCTGGAAACTTGATCAAAAACACCAAAGAACTTCGTCCTCACTCAATAACACGCAGGGGACGCTAATTTAGACATGAATACCCATTGCCCCTCAAGAGAGGGGGTGAGCTGAGCATCATGCCCATATTTTTTTTTCTTGATTTTCTATCTTTTGTTTGTTATGACATGTCATAGTGTTGTTGATCGAATAGTCGTGCCTGGATCCAGGGACATGCGGATAGCAGATCGTTCACAAAAGGGGAGTCCGATTTCCAAAGCCTGCCGGAACATCCCTCAAAAGGCTGTATAGTCAAGCCAAGCCAGGTAATATCCAGCTCTTCAAAGCCCGTCGCAATGCAAACGTGCGCGAACCAAACCAAACAATATACTTCCATCTGGCTAAAATCCGTGCCAGCATTCCAAACGATCCGCACCACTTCCGCCCACCTACTACCAAATGACAAGCCAGTCACTATAGGCCGTAAAAACGCCACCGAACGCCGTAAAAATAGTAAGAGAGAGAGAGAGTCGTCATGGAACATGACTAAATTGAACATCTGAAAACTCAACATGAGCAAACGAAGGACATGGCCAATGAACCAAAAAAGATCTGATCGCAAGCTATGCAGGATATCGAAGAAAAGACAAACCAAAACTCCATGACTACCGAACGCTGGATATATCTCCAGCTATATTGAGATTGAGTAAACGCTTGAGATCCTGCTCTAAAGCCAACGTATCGGGGGTAGAAGTCTTCATGGGGGGTGATTGAGGTAGATTTGCAGAGGCAGCGGCAGTCGGAGGGGCAGAGGCCTTGTGTTGCTTTGCAGCTACGGAAGCAGGAACAAAGGACATCATCGAAGTGGAAGGCTTCCTTGGTGAGGCAGTGACTGGAGTTGAAGTCTGTTGCCCCTGTCCTGGACTGAAGCCACTGGCATTGTTTCTCGCATGCGGGTAATGATCGGCGCGGGGCTGATAAGGGTATCTTCCTGGAGTCTTTGTTTGTCGATTATTAGGCATCTCCCGGTAGGGCTGAACGTACGGTGCAGACCCTCGTCGCGGGCCCGCAGGTACTTGTGGACCACTGTTTGGATAACCGCGAGAAAAAGCGTGGGGGTCCATTTGTTTCGCCGAGGGAATTGATGGGAAATCCTGGAATGCACTCTGAGAAACAGTGGGAGAGTCCGCCGTAACCTCGGTGCGAAGACCGGAGTTACGCTTAGCAGAGTCGCCTTTTGCTGCTTTGAACATGGGAGAGAGATTGCGATTGCCGTAAAACAAATCGGACGACTCCTGAACAGGAGGTGCTACGGGAGTTGAAGGGCCAGAAGCGCTATGAGACTCGGACGGAGACAACGTTTGTTGGTGGCCTTGGGGGTCTGAAGAAGCCTGATCTGCTCTGGGTGGAGTCGTGGTCGCGGGCTTCTTCTGCGACATTGAAAGTCTGTTGAAAAGATCTTGCATAATATCCTTTCCATCGTATGCCTGGGATGCGTCCTTGAGTTGGGGAACCTTGGAAGGATCAGTAACCGAGCGATGAGCTACTGGCGACGCGAAGGGGGGAGGCGAGAGGTGTGTATGTTTGGTTCCGCCGTCGAGCTCAAGTGGGAAGATCGCATTCAGCGAGCCGTACGAATCCTGTTTGTGATGCTGAGGCCTGTTGGAGTTTGGATACAGTGTGGAGACCGGGCTGCCTGTGACATTCCTAGCCCTCTCTGCTTTGTCGGCCTTGAACAACATGTCAAGAGGAGAATCTTCGTGACGCGCAGGAACGGAAATGGGTGCGCGGGAAGGCGACGGAGAGGGACTAGGGGAATTCGCAGAATCAGAACTCTCTTCTAGAGGAGGAGTTGGTGGACCTGGCTGAATCTTGGCTGGCACAGATCTAGACAGAAACTTTGGAATGGGCAGGGCAGATGGCGCAGGAGAGGCATGAAATGTAGGCCCAGCATATGCGCCCTGGTTCTTAGACGGGGTCGCAGAGACACTGTTTCGCGCAGCATCGCTACTGAGTAAGGAGGATTGGGCGCCATTTGGAGAGAAGAGACGATCGCCGCCAGGCTGAGACTGCGCGTGTTTCTTTGCATTGCGTGGTCCTGTCAAGTCTTCGCTCGAGAAGATGGCGCTCTCTGCAAGGGCGGGGCGTGCATTTCGCGGCGACCTGCTTGGAGAAGCAACCGCATTGAGCTGGTTGTGGCTGTTGGGAGCGCGATTGCCGCGTGGTCTCCGTTGAGATCCTCTTCCGCTGTTGTTCTGAGGGCCCTGGTTTGCACTCCTCGGCGGCGGCTGCTGCTTGCCCCGAGAGGCCGGTGGAGACGCTATATCCTGGGCGGTCGACATGTAGGGTAGAATTATCGCGTGAGTTATGGGATGCGGCTCTGGTGGGTTATCTTGAGGGTCGTCGACGAATGCTCTTACTTGGGCAAATGGGCGCGGGTTGAAATGTTCGGGATGGGGAGGTTGTCTGGCTGTGAATCTGATAAAGCGGGATGGTAAGGGCGTGAGTGGTTGAAGTGTTCATGTCCAGATGTAGAGGGTAGAGATAGGCACAGGCCGTCGCGTGATATAGGGAGTGAGTTGTGGAGGTGTGAAAGAGACGGCGTCGTGTCTGAGGCTGGGATGTGTCTCAGCCTTGTTTGTCGGGTTTCAGATAGCCAAGACGTGACGCACTGGCGATGGCGATGGCGGCGTAGGGCTGAGCTTCGATGGACGCGACTGTCTGTGGACGAAAGACAGACGACGTGGAGTTTGAGTTGCAAGAAGAGTTTGGATCTTTGTGGTAAGCTACTAATACTACTCTATCTCCAGTCTGCAAATATCGTTCTTGTCCATCAGCTGGTTCAATCCCAACCTCGAGAGGCAGGAGCGGGTCTTGGCGTCCGTTGCACGCCCAAGGTACGGCGCGCTGTTTGCTGCAGCCTTGGGCCTTTGCAGTGACTTTATACCGCACAACCACTTCACCACCACACTCGTGGCGGTTTTGAACTCTCTCGAAGCTGCAATAGAATTACATTTACCTCACGAGAACTTGGAAACCGCGCTCAACCACCACCCGCGTCCTCCATCAGCCTCCATCAGCTCCCCACTACCCCACACATCTCGCAGTCATGGCCGACGTTGACATGGCAGATGCGCCTGCGCCCAAGACGAAGACGTCCAAGGCTGGCGCGAGCACAGAGGGCGACAAGAAGCGCTTTGAAGTCAAGAAGGTAGGAGGAATGCATCGGGGACTGGAGCAAGGCAGAGGCTAACCTGCGGCAGTGGAACGCTGTAGCTCTGTGGGCATGGGACATTGTCGTCGATAACTGCGCCATCTGCCGTAACCACATCATGGACCTCTGCATCGAATGCCAGGCGAACCAGGCCTCCGCAACGAGCGAGGAGTGCACTGTCGCCTGGGGCATCTGCAATGTACGTTGCCACTTTCAAGCTATGCATGACCCGGCTAACACGCCACAGCACGCCTTCCACTTCCACTGCATCTCGCGATGGCTCAAGACGCGACAAGTGTGCCCGCTCGACAACCGCGACTGGGAGTTCCAGAAGTACGGTCGATAGACGCGTTCGGCAGCTTCACAGAGGCATGGGTTGGGATTTCATTTCGGACGTTTGGCGCAGCAAAGGCTTCTTAAAATGGTCATGAGAGCACGGCAGCAAGAATAGCAGCATAGACGGTCTCCATCGTCGAATGAAGTTTCCATTGGGTTCACATAGCCCCTGTTCCATATGTGACGATATGTGCTATCCTCCCAACTATCACCTCGTTCCCTAGCCCACCTTCTGTCCATCAACATCGATACTGATCGCTGATGTAGACGTGGCGTTGTGCGATGCCAGCCAGTCCTCAGGATTCTTGTTGTAGAAAGGCCAGGGTGGAACGACGACAGCGAAGGTGAGGGCGGTGCCGGCAAGGCCAATGTAGAGCGCCAGCCTGATGTCCTGCTGCATGAAGCCCACGAGGAAGGCGACGATCTGGATGGGTGAGCTTGCGAGTAGGGTATTATGAGGGAGCTGAGCGTACACCAGCTGCACCAAGCAGTACTGTGGTGAGCATCTCAGCTAGGCGTTGGCCCTCAAAGTCCTGCACGTGTCAGATTACATACACGCAAGCAACGGTGACAACACTGCGTACAATCTGGCCCTCGACGGCGTCGCGCACTTGCTCGAGTAGCTGGTCTGCCATGTTGGTGGTCGATAGAATGACTCTTCCTGAAAGTTGGCAGATCGGAGAGATGTCGATTGTTCCAGACTATCTTGCAGTGCAGGGTCTATGCTGGCGTGGTTGCTGTGGTGCTGGTGAGTGGTGGACTGTCCGTCAAGGTGGCTTCAATCCATGCATGCACTGACGGCCCGAAAGATGGGTCTGCTTGGAGCCGCAGCCAAGCATCACTGCCAGGCTTGACCGACGGAAGTCAACCAGAGGCTGCAGCCAGTCTTTGCAGGCAAGTCACAACAGACGCTTGGTTAGGCCGCGGAAATGACGCCCGATTTTCACATGTAGCGGCCAGGGCGATGCGACGATGCGTCACTGGGTTAGCAAACTAGCAAACCGTCCCCAGAGCCCAATCAGCAACCGTGCCACGCTCCGGTTCAGCAAAAAGCTTGTGTTAGACCCACCGCGCGTTACTTAACCCTCCGCCTTCCCACACACGCCCACACGCCCACAACACACACCGTCCGCCTGGACTCTGTATTTTGCACCGACCACCACCGCCCGTCTTCTTTCGCCGCGCAACCCGCCCGCGCCCAACCGTTGCAACCGCACACCACTGCACTCCCTGGCTGCACCGCTGAGTCAACAAAGGAACCTCGCACGACTCGCGGCCCCCGACTGTGCTTGATCGAGTTCGAGCCTCTCCCTTCCCTCACGCTCGTCTGCAACCCTGGCTGACGCTTCGGCGCCTGATCATCTCCAAACCTTCAAGTTGGCGGGGCTTTACCTTCACAAGTTTTCCTCCATCCGCCCCCTTCTCGGCCCAAAAGCGTGGGTCTACGGAGGCGACTACAAGAAGCCGCCATAACTGGGCTCCAAACCAACCACTCACTCACTATCGAACTACTGTCTTTACAAACCTTTCCTTATCCCTTGTGGGGTGTGGAATTCTGGCTACCGGATACATTTCCACCTCGGCTGAGTGTAGGGGACGACCCTACGCGAAGCCTGCTTTCAAATTGAGCGTGCCTTAGAGGTGGGCGCTCACAAGCGGCTCACCGAAGCTTGAGGCTCTTGCCCTGCAAGAGACTTCTCAACAACCAGTCAAGCTGGCTTTAACAGGACAAAACAAAACATAGGAGTCGCACCAACCACCGTCTAATCGCCGATATGACGGACACTCCGAGATCCGAGGCGTTCCAGACGAGGTTCAGCACCCCCGTGTCTGAGCTTGACGACCACCGCCATCAACCCGCGTCCCTTCCACGAGCCGATGCCGGATCCCCTCCTCGATCGCGCCGACCAACCTTCGCGAGCACACACCAACCAGAGCAGTCGACTCTGCTTGCCCAAGTCAACGAAGCCCTCGAGGCGAATGCAGTTACTCGACGCGACTTCGAGTTCGCTGTAGTGGACGACGATGCGCCATTTCTGTCTCCTGATGCTTATGGCCGGCGTCCGTCGCTAGCCACCGGCCCACATGCGCGCCGAGACACCTTCAGACGCCCCCGCGATCCTGCCGTAGAGCGCCTGGCCAGATCCAGAGGATCTTCTACATCTTCGCGATCTGTGTCGCCTCCCAACTCCGTCGATGCTTTTGCTGGACCCCGGCGCCGCGATCGGGCGGGAACTATGAACAGCCATGCTCCTTCTGAGCTCGATCTTGGTCTGCACAGGACGCATTCCCGTGGTACCACTCGACGACCGACCATCAGCGACGAGCGCCCCGATGACCTGCCGCACATCGAAGTAGCATCTGCTCACAGCTCTGCCGAAGAAGATGTCTGCTTCCCTGTCCAAGAAGACCCCGGCAAGACGACAAGATTCGACTACGAGGAATTGGAAGAGTTCATTGCAGAGGTTCAGGAAAGAACTCCAATCGGCGATCATCTGCACCGCAAGCCAAGTGTGGAGTCCCGGATTTTGAAGCCCAAGATCTTCGCAGACTTGCGACCAAAGTCGAGTCACTCCTCGGTACATAAAGAGGCCGATGCGCAGACGCTGAAAGACGTCGACCCAGCAACCCAAGAGAAACTTGCTGAAGAAGGCCTGGCACACGTGTTTGACAACGGACGACCAGATGTCAAACTTAACCGTTGGACCTTCTTCTCGTCCGAACTCGACGATACCATCCATGCAGCAGAGCTGGGTGGTCTGCTCATGCCAGGCGAACATTTTCGTGACCTCTTCGAGACACCTCCAGATGGCGGTGTTTGGTGGATGGACATGGTCAACCCGACGGAGGAAGAAGTGTTCGCAATCTGCAAGGCCTTTGGAGTGCATCCCCTTACCCGTGAGGATATTTGTATCCAAGAGCCGCGCGAGAAAGTCGAACTGTTCCACCAGTACTACTTTGTCTCCTTCCGATCTTTCTTCCAAGCCGACAAAGAGTCCGAAGACTACCTTGAGCCCGTCAACTTCTACGCAGTAGTGTTCAAAGAGGGCCTGCTAACCTTCACTTTCTGCGAGAGCCCGCACACTCTCAACGTGCGCAAGCGTATCAGCCGTCTGCGCGATTACATCAACCTCAACGCCGATTGGATCTGCTACGCTCTCATCGACGACATCGTTGATAGCTTCGCCCCCGTCATCCGCGGTATCGAACATGAAGCCGACGCCATCGAAGACCAGGTCTTTACTGCTCGTATTGAAGACTCGCGCGAGATCCTACGCGCTGTTGGCGATTGTCGCAAGCGTGTCATGCAGCTCCTGCGCCTCCTCGGCGGCAAGGCAGACGTTATCAAGGGTTTCGCGAAACGCTGCAATGAAGCATATAGCGTTGCGCCCCGTGGCGACGTGGGCCTGTATCTCAGCGATATCCAGGATCACGTTGTCACCATGATGTCCAACTTGGCTCATTTCGAGAAGATGCTTTCCCGCGCGCACTCCAACTACCTCGCGCAGATCTCGGTCGATCAGGTCATCCAAGGCAACCAGAGCAACGAGACGCTGGGCAAGGTTACGGTTATTGCAACCGTCCTCGTTCCGCTCAATTTAATCTGCGGTCTGTTCGGCATGAACGTCAAAGTCCCAGGACAGGACGGAAGCCTTGGCTGGTTCTTCGGCATCTTGGGAGTGATTATTGCTTTTGTCGCGACGTGCATGGGAGTCGCCAAGAAGATGAAGTACATTTGATCGGGGCTTGGCTTGGTTCGTTTCGTTCTGGTACGCTTGTTTTTTGGCTCCATTTCTTTTGTACAGCTTGTGTGTTCTCATACGTTAGATCGAACGTCTGGATGTAGTCTTGATTTATTAGATTTCTCTTAAGCGAGGCGAAGAGGGTGGTTGTTTGCTATTGGCATCTTATGTATAGGTTTATGGTCATGCTACGTTACGTAAATAGAACAAAAGAAAAAAGTTGTGCTTTCAAGGTGTTCTCGAAGAGTGCTGGATTTGTGAAGTCATTGACCGGGTACTTGAGGTCGTTGGAGTACCGTAGGAGAGCATAGTCTAGAACTCCGTGATACTAGCTCGTATTTATCTGATACGAAGACACTACTTTTGTTCTTTGTATCCCTTCGTAAGTCTGCGACTGGGATCCGAACAAGGTGAAGATGAGGATGCGTAGATGCAGATGAATAACCATTTCTAGACAATTTGCCAATTGCTTATGCATGGCCAGATGCTCACTCGCAGTCCCACTCTTACATGCACGCGGATTAGCAAGTGATATGTCTATCGTGAGAGCCTCTATCACGCAAGTACATCATGTGCACCACGCATGCCGGCGTGCTGGCGTCGCGTTCCGAACTCGGCAAGACTGGTCGTCGTTTCAGAAGGAGCGCCGCCGCGCCGCCTCAACGTTGAACGAGCAAGAATGCCGAGTGGAATGGTGTGGCGTCATGGCAAGGGGAAATAGGGAGGTGCTGTAAATGAAGCGGAGGCTGCGATTTAGTCATCGTGCGGGTGGTGTGGAAGGGGCAAGCCCAACGGCGGTGAACCATGACAGTCTCCGAGATAGGCCGGCCTGACCATGTCCCTCTGGTTCCACGCTTTGGGCGTCACACACACTCACCCTGCCGCTTAAAGTCTCGCCCTCGCCTCCCTCGCTGGGATTTGCACTTGTTCACTACTCGCCCGTTCTACCCGTTCAGCAATAACCGACTTTGTGTTCATACCGCTCTGCTCTTCCCGCTCCACCATAACGATTAGACGCCCAACTTGACATCCCGGAACGAAGAGGCAAGATGGCGGAAGCTGCACAGCGCGTGCTCATGAATGAGTTCAAGGCTCTGAGCAAGGAGGAATGGACCAACATCGAGGTGAGCCCTATCTATAACCAGAGTCACAATGAGGGGGCGTCCCTCCAGAGTGGCGAGTGCAGTGGAGTACCTAGCTAACCGCCGTACAGCTCATCAAAGACAACGTCTTCGAGTGGAGCGTAGCCCTCATCGTACTGAACCCGGACTCCCTCTACTACGGCGGCTACTTCAAGGCCAAGATGGCCTTTCCTCGCAACTACCCGCATAGTCCACCAGGTACGTCACAACCCACCCCTACTCAGGGTCCACGGAGGGTCAAGTGTGGAATACTAACATGTACCAGACTTCAAGTTCATCCGCCCACTTTACCACCCCAACATCTACCCCGACGGCCGCCTCTGCATCTCCATCCTACACCCACCCGGCGACGACGAGATGTCGGGCGAAACCGCCGCCGAGCGCTGGTCGCCCGTGCAGCGCGTCGAATCCGTCCTGATCTCCATAATGTCGCTCCTCGACGACGCCGAGACGGCCTCCCCCGCCAACGTCGACGCAGGCGTCATGCTGCGCAACAAGCCGGAGCAGTACAAGGAGCTCGTGCGCAAAGACATGGAGGCCTCGAAGCAGGATATCCCCAGCGACTACGTTATGCCTACGCACGAGACGGCGTGGAGGAAAAAGAAGGAGGACGAGGGCGACTTTGAAATGAGCTGGGAAGATAGCGATGTTGAGAGCTTTGGTGGTAGCGAGAGCGACCTTGATAGCGAGGATCAGGAGATGGACTCGGACTTTGAGGGCGACGACGATGTCGAGGATGAGGATGAGGAGGATAAGTGAGGGCTGAGATGGCTTGCGCTGTCCTCAGCTCCATGACATCGCCCTCCACCCTTGGCCATACCAGTCCGCTCAGCACTCGTCCAGCCGGTTACACCCACCCACGCGAGCTATGATCGGACACGCCATGGCATCGTTTCCCACCCCCTGTTTTTTGGCGACACCATCATCATCCCCCCTCCCTTGTTTCGTCTTTCATCATGAGCGCGGCGTCTGGTTTGGGGTAGACGGCGGGTTCAAGGCGTTTTCCCTCCGGGTCATGGTTACGATTTCATACGCATCTGCATTGGGCTGGCGTTTTTTTCCATCTATTTAATTTTACCCCCAGTATTTACCCCCCGTAGTGTATGGCTCTGCATATGGGCGTGCACACACACACACGCGTCTTCTAGGGCGTGGGAAATAGAGGAATGTTTATCTTGGAATATGTCATATTGGCTTTGTGTGAATGACGGTGTGTGGGTGATGGTGACGATGAAGATACGCGGAGTGATTCAAAAAATTTGTAGATTTGTTGTGGTTGGTGACAGATCATGATGCAATGCAACCTCGTACTGACTGTCGTTGTCTGTCCCATCCTCCGCCATACACGCTGCCCCCTCTGCCCTGCCTCCAAGACCAAGACCAAGCAAAGTCCAGATTTGATATCAAGAAAACGCCACAAAGCAAGTCCAACACGCAAGCACACACACTCTGGTAGCTCCAAAACTCTCCAATTACCTTGCACTCGCAAAAGCTCACTAAACGGTCCCCGCAATACTCAGATCGCGTATCTCCTGCAGCACCTCCTCGACGCGCGCATCCAGCTCGCCCTGCGCGTACTGGTCCCGTGTGTTCGCATCTAGATACTGCTGGACCTGGGCCATGCGCGAGTACGCCTCTGCACAAAACCTAAGCTGAATCTTGACCAGAGCCTCGAAACTCGGATCCAGATAAGGGACGCGCAAGTCGATGAGCTGCGGCAGTTCATTCGTGAGCGTCTCATTGAGCTGGTCGTACGCCGCCTTAGCGAGCTGTTCATCCTTCTCCGCGCGCGGCAGCTTGGTAACGTCTTTATCTGGTTTGTCTGTGAGTTTCTTGACCTGGGCGCGCATGCGGTCGTAGTCCATTTGCTTGTGCTCGCGCTTTGTAATGCAGGCGTTGATGTCGGGGAAGTAGGAGCAGAAGCGCTGGATGGGGTCTAGGACCGTGGTGCGGTAGGGCCCGTCGAGGGCTTTTATCGTCTCGGCGTCGAGGTCGGTGACGGCTTGCTTGTAGGAGCGTGAGACGCCGTCTTTTGTGCCCGCGTCGCCGTAGAAGGCGTCGATTGTCTCCGCGATGCGCATCTGTGAGGCGGTCATGGCGCGGAGCGAGTCCAGGTAGCCTTTGGCTTCTTTTTGGAGCTTGTTGGCCGCGGTTTCCATGGTGCGGTAGCGCCTGGGACGGGGGGTGTTAGGACGGGCTTGCTCTGGGTGGGACTTGGGTATGGTATGGCGGGGTGGGAGGGGTGGGTTGGGGTGGCTGCGTACCGCTGCTCGGTTTCAAAGTCGCGGTCGTTTGTGCGCTCGACCTGGCCCGTCTTCATGAGGACCTGCGTCGTCGCGCGGTTCACGCCTTTCTTGAAGCCTACCGAGCATGAGTGGCTGTCTGTGGTGGACTGGCCGTGGACTCAATCTTACCGGTCCACGACATGGCTGCGCGTCGTGTCTTATTCCCCTACTAAAACTTGGTTTGGATTATATGCAGTGGCAGTTTGAGGGTCCTAAAGCGCGGGGAAAGTGTATGGTAGATTGACTGATGCGGATGAAGCCGGCGTTCCTGGATGCGGGCGCGCTGGGGAGTCGAGGGCATGCAGGGTGCTGCGCCACACAATGACGATCGCGCTTGCCATATCCAGCACGGGCAAAACTCCACAACCACAAATGCTTTCTCTACGGACGTTGCGTCGAGCAGCGCCTTTGCCGTTTCGTCTGTGTGCCAACTGCGTGCAGAATGCATCGACGGAATCGCCCCTCAAGAAAGAGCATGGGAAAAAGCAGGTCATATTTTCGGGCATCCAACCCACTGGTGTACCACATTTGGGAAACTATCTCGGCGCTTTGAGACAATGGGTTAAGCTTCAAAACGATGCGTCGCCAGATACCACGCTCCTGTTCTCCATTGTGGATTTGCATGCCATTACGATAAAACAAGACCCAAGGGAATTGGCGCAATGGCGGAGGGAGATGCTGGCCAGTCTGCTGGCAGTAGGTCTTGATCCCAAGCGAAGCATCATCTTTGCGCAGAGCAGCGTGAAGCAGCACGCCGAGTTGATGTGGATTCTGAGCTGTGGTGCGAGTATGGGATATTTGAGCCGGATGACGCAGTGGAAGGTAGATACATCCATTCAATTTATATAGCATAGGCGTATGAATACTGACATCAGCAGAGCAAACTCTCCCTCCCCCAAAACGCCTCGCCTCTCGACCCCTCGCCCTCCAACAAAGATGCTCTCAAACTCGGTCTCTTCTCCTACCCTGTCCTGCAAGCCGCCGACATTCTGCTCTACAACACGACACACGTCCCCGTCGGCGAAGACCAAGCGCAGCACCTCGAGTTCACGCGCGACCTCGCCATAGGATTCAACCACCTCTACGCCTCCGATGCCAACTCACAGTCCTTACTAGCTGTCCCGCAAACGCTATTGAGCCCTGCTAAGCGAGTCATGAGCCTGACTGACCCAACCAAGAAGATGAGCAAGAGTGATCCGAAGCCCAAGAGCCGGATACTAATAACTGACTCAAGAGACGAGATACACGGAAAGATCAAGACGGCATTGACAGATTCAGTTGAAGGGGTGAGCTACGACCGAGACAGCAGGCCCGGGGTGACGAATCTCATTGATTTGATGTATCATTTTGATGAGGCGGCTGCTGGGTCGCCGGAAGAGTTGGCGGCAGATCTTAAGGACTTGAGTATGCGTGCGCTGAAAGAACGGGTCGTGGATACGATTGACGGCGGGATTAGAGATATTCGGGAGAGGTACGGGGAGCTGATGGGTGGGGACCAGAAGGTGCTGGTTGAGCAAGCGGAGGTAGGGGCGCAGAAGGCTGAAAAGATTGCTGAGGAGACTATGGGGAGGGTGCGAAGTGCTATGGGGATTGGTTGGTGATTTGTATATTCCTCAAAAGAGACGAGAGGGGGATGGAGAAGGAAATCGAGAGAAGCAAACACTCCAGATTCTTCCTGCTTCCTCCAAAGATCGCGTGACAGAAAATCTACAGACGATGGCAAAATATCGGTATCGACTACCCCGAACAAAAAGTTCAGTTGAATGGCCACTGTATAGAAACTGACATCTCGCACTCAGCAATGTTTGCGTGGTTTGTTTATCGCTGGATGGTGTTGAGACGGTCAGGGTCTTGTAATACCGTCAGTCATCTGGAACTTTCTACATTGGGCAGTGACCATGATCAGGGCACATCGCATTGTCGACAATGCACCAGCCATTACTGATGTTCAGATGCCAACCTTCATTTGTAGTCTTCACGTTTAGCTGTCGTGTAATGGCATGGGTCTCAATGCTACAGCAGTGTGCGGTTCGACTTTGATGTGTGAGTGAAGGTCCCCGGCAGTAGCAGTACAACGCTCTTACCTCACATACAAAGCTGGTTATTTTTCTCCACGCTTGAGAGTAGGGAAGGCGCAAGCACATCTCAGTGCCTCGCATACATCCGCTCACATTCACAGACCGCCACCTTCACTCGTCCCAACTCACTCACTACCACATGCCAGCACTGCCACAGTGCCTGAGACAACGATTGTTCTTTCACAGTACCGGAGCACAGACACCTCTCGACGGCTTATCTTTCAATGGACATTCGCAGATTCTACACGCTCATTTCAGTCGACGAATTCAACCAAAGCATGGCACCCTCAACCCGACTGCAAGCTCGGCCAGACCGTCGTGTTAGCTATGCGGGGAACGGAGCACGGCACAATCCTATAGTCATCGAAGACACGTCGTCTCCCACCACGTCTACAGGGTCTTCTGAACCTCGGACGCCTGCTCGCAGATCTGCTCGCAAGCCCATCGTTCGTGTCAAGGCCGGGGCAGTCGTCAAGACAAATGCAGAGTCCAAGAAAGCTACCAAAGTTACGTCCAGCCCAGAAGAGAAGCAATCCACGAAGAAAGAGCGACCTGTGCAGACGGAGTGCTTGCTCTGCGCAACCACGAAAAACACGGCCCGTTCTTTCAAGGTGCCAGTAGACGAAAATGCCTGTAAACACCTCGAGGAGACCTGTAACGTGTGCATTCAAAAGATTCTTAAAATGAAGATCGTCGATAGACAAGTCAACGAGGCAGAGCTAGCCTGCCCGTTTGGGAACTGCAATTACAAGCTGGATGTGCCGACATTGAAGTCGGTCGTTAGCAAAGCCTCATTTCAAGAGTAAGTTTCTCTGTCTTTCGTAACAGCTTTGAAATACTAACAACAAACAGGTGGGATGCAGCTCTCGTCAAACATCATCTTTCAGCCAGTGAGGAGTACATCATATGTCTCAAGCCCGAATGTGGCAAGTACTTCTCGATTGAAGGCTGCAAGAAGAGTAGGCGCGGTAAGCAGAAAGTCGAGTGCCCATACTGTCAGTATGAGCTCTGTCTTTCCTGCAATCGCCCATGGCATAAGTCCGGCAGCTGCAGCAAGGCCTTGGAGAAGGAGAACCAAGAGTCCGAGGAAGCCATCAAAAGCATGGGAGCAAAACCATGCCCAAAATGCGGCGTCAACATCGAGAAGCAAGGCGGTTGCGACCATATGAGTTGTATGTTCTGCGGTCATCGTTTTCTTTGGGAATCAAACGAAGTCGACCGTTACAGTACTGACGAAAACGATATTCAGGCCAACGTTGTCGACACAACTTCTGCTGGCAGTGTCTCGTAGCGTACTCTGCTACGATGATACACGGTCAGGGTTGTTCCAACGGTACTCGAAACATTGCTCAAGAGCATGCCAACTGGGTTCCCGCCAACCTCAATCTAGCCCAGGTCAACAGTCTCATTGAGCAGGCTCATGTTCAACGCGACAACCTGGGTCCACATCTACACCCGCCTGTTGGCTAGATGCTGTTTCAGCAACCTCCTACTCAGCCACCCCAAGATATTCATGTACAGGTCCATGCTCAGTTGATGGGAAATCATATGCTTCTTCTCTGGATCAGAGATAGGTAGGCTCTTTGGTCAATTCTTCCTTACTCTTGCGCCTACATAGTAACGTTCGGTGGTCTGTCTGGTCGTCATCTGCTGTTCCAAACACCCTGAAGATCTCCCTCTGCTACTCTGCAATATCTCTTTCTTTTAGTATAATCCAACTCAATATCGAACTCTAGACAAAAGCTGCCAGTGTGCCATCTTCCCGAAGATTTCTCACTACTTCCGGTCGTCAGCGTTTCTCACTACCACTCCGATTCTTTACGTTGGCGTTGATGAATTTTATTCATAAGTGTACTGGCGCAACCCAATTTTTTCTATTCCTTGCCGGGTGAAGTCTCAGTCTCCATCAGCTCGTGAATGCTCAATTTAAACTGCTGTTTTATTTTCCACTCGACGCTCATGACACATAAAAAACACCGACTACAACGTCCATAACAACCTTGGTTGTTCCCCAAGCGAGCCATTGCTCACCACGTTCCTAACCACCACACCAATCCTCCCAACCCCACCGTAACACCCAAATGCCACGCAACCCCCCAAGCCATAGCAAACAGATACTTGGGGCTAAAAACCGTCCAGATAAACAGATGCGTGCGCAGCGCCGTGCACGCCGCCATAACAGCCGCGAGCATAACGCCCGTCCACAGCGTCATCAGCGCAACATGGCGCATCCAAACCCGCTCATCCCCTTTCCTCTGCGTCCGCGCTTCATCATCCCCACCCCTCGCCAACCGGGTGAGATGAATCCGCTCCTCGGCGACCCAGTCGCGCGACGTGGAAACCTGAACCGTCCTTTTGCGCCCGTTGAGCATCAGCATGCCCGCTAGCGACCACCATACGGGGCCCGCCCAATTCGACAGGAAGACTAGGAGACCCACGGCTAGGACGTTGTAGGTTGAGACGCCGTTGTAGGAGTTTGATAGGTCGATGGAGGATATTGCGTTGCTGTTTCCGAGGGCGAAGAAGGAGGTTTGCGCGAGGAGGAGGGTGATGGTAGTTACTGCTGCTTTGGGGAGGTCGAGGAGCGCTGTGTTGGGTGTTAGGTGTGTGTGGGATATGATTGTGTGGAAAGTGGTAGGGGGGACTTACATAGGAAGAGGAATTGCAGGCGGAAGAGTAGGTATAGCGGGATGTTGTGGGCTTTTGTTTGGGTGAGGAGGAAGAGGGTTGTTAGGTCGAAGAAGGCGAGTGCCATTTCTGCGGGGATGTTTAGTGCTTTGATTGCTCGATGGGAGTTGGGGGTGTGATACGTACCGCCGTGACCCTCACGTTTCCTTTTGGCTCTCCACTGGGACCGCTTCCATTCTGCAAACGCGATCCAACTCCCGACTAATGCGATCCCACCGAATACCGTCTGTGCGAGAACGACGAGGTCGAGTGTCTCTATCCACTCCATTAGAGCTCCCGTGATACCTTGCGTGAGCTCAGGAGCGTCTTTTGCCGTGAATGCCAGCTTGAAGATGAAGGCCGTGCAGCTGAGCGGCAGCACGGCAACAGTGCCCACCATGCGATGTGAATCCGTAGACTCGATTTCCACAGCCCGAACACTCATGCCACTGTCGAAAGTAGCCACCGAGCGAGCAACATGTCGAGAGAGTCGGAGCGTAACATCGACATAAGTTGCGCCCACCAAGAGCCAGAGCAGGGTGGACCCATGCCCATGGAAAACACCGCTCGTGACGATGTCATCGGCTCCAGCGTATTTCTGCCCTGTCTGGTTCCATCGCCTGATCACTCTGTGTAGAGCCAGCGCCATGATTGCAGGGTGGAAAATCCACTTGCTGAACCACTGCTTCCGCATGCTGGTGATGAAGAGGTGGAAGAACCAGGCTGAGGTCGCCCAGTACCAAAAGTTGTGCTCCTCTTCGACGTATGAAGAGGCGAACATAAGGATGGAGTAGAGAATGAGAATCAAGGTGTAGTACAAGCCAGCCGAGGAGGCTGATCGGAGTGGAGGAAGCGCGAGATAGCTTAGAACACAGATGAGCAGAGATAGTGAGGTTCCGAGCACTAGACGAACGACATCGTAGTTGGAGGCCGTGCTGGACATTGCTTCTTGAGATTCGTGCATGAACTGCGGATTGTTAGTTTGGACAGTAGCCGATGGTCAGGATCCAGGACTCACTTTGTAGAGATGGTCAATGACGGACCGATCAGTTCCCATTGCATTGACGGCTCTTTGCCAAAGACATGCTAGCGCCTGACCGTCTGTTAAGCTTGTCTCCTATTTCTAGTGAGCTTTGCATCATATCTAAGTATGCGAAATACACCTACACCTGGGGAGAAGCAGTCGAATCCCAGCTCGTCCGCTCCTAGCACCTTGTCGTCAAAGTTCATTCCCGTATATGTCGCTCCCACGATTTTCTTGATCTGCTTCGCATTTCGGTACAGAATTTGTACACGATCCTCAACTACACTGATCAGTATCAAGCACCCAAAGACCACTCAACACACTTACTTTTGTCCCAGAAGCCGAGAAACTCCTCAAGGAAAACACCCAAATTGTTTTTCGGCACGGGGAAACCAAGCAGGCCAGCGAGAGTGGGCGCAATGTCACTCTGCTCAACCATTCTATAGTACTCGAATTCGCCCTCGTTTTTCGGCCTGACAGGGCTTTCTTTCTTTGTAGCTCCGGTGATTTTGGCGAGCTTGGGACTCATGAAGACGAGCGCGGGCGACGTTTCACCAGGCGAGGAACCACCGTGATTTCCGCCGTCGTTCATACCGTGGTCGCCGCAGAGAACTAAAAGGGTATTGGAAAGGTGATCCTCGTTCTCGATTGCGCCGTAGATAGTCTGGACCATATCGTCCATCTCCTTTTGTTTGGGGATCATGTTTGGACTGCAGGTCGATCAGCATCGCGTCATTCGGAAGGTGAAAGGGAGAATAACCTTTTCGGCCCTGCCTTGTGCCCAATATGGTCCAAGCCCAGATAATGCAGAATCATTGCGTTCCAATCACTGTTCAGTAACTCGCCAGGGACATGTCTCGTCACATTGTTATCCACCTCGGTGAAATCCTGCACAGCAAATCAACAATCGGCATTCTATTGCTCCTATATACACAAAGATGACGATAGTGGTAACTGACCGAAACAAAGAAACTACTCGTCCCATCTGCCCTGGTAAAAAAGTCTGGGAATAGCTTCAACCACGTATCATCGCCGTACATTACCAGGTTGCCGTTCTTGCCGTCGAACTGCTTAGCTCTGATCTGCGCGAGCCATGTGTCTTGTGTTGCGAGAGAGGAGGACGTGTCCGACTCGGCGAAGTTCAGAATCACATCCAGGAAGGAAGGTATGGAGCCTGTAGTTATGGCTTTCACACGCGGCATAGTAATGGTGGGGGAGGTAGCATGAGCCGTGAAAGGAAGCGCGGTGCCGTCTCGAATGAGGCTATATTATAGTTAGCCAAGTTGCATCGGAATTGAGTGTTTTGTTTGAAAAGGTTCTTACCTCTGTACAAAGCTCATCCCACTCTCCTCGCCATACACAAAATCACTCCTTAGCGCATCGACAACCATAAATACCAGCTTGTCAAAGGGTGCTTTGGGTGGCTCCTGCCACCCTTTCCCCAGCACTGTGTTCCATCCCAGCTCTTCGTACTCTGCCAGCCCAGGCATGAAAGGTTTATACGGGAAGAAGCCAGTCGCAAAGACCAGAATCGCGACTGGAATTAAGAGATTCGCGAGCGCGAGAAGAGTCGTCCGGGGCGCCATTACGATTTCCAGACCTAATTGTTAGCTCAAATGAGTGTGAAGGTGTGCAAAAGCCTCATAAGGAGCGACATTGAACGCGACAAGGAGCCACCATCATGGTGTCGCGAAGACGCGACGTTCGACTTTCAATCCAGGGTCCAGCTTCTAGTCTCGAACCCGCTTAGCCGACGCACTCGACGAGCCAATGACATCACCATAGCAAGGCTCCATTTCCCAAGCTCGGCTCTGCAGCAGTTCGACGTTCCTCCAAGCATTATATGTCTTGTACCCCATTGTCTTTTGCCAGAGCGTCAAAACCGCGTATCCGTAGTCTCCAGACGCGTCGCCCATTGACTTCTCCCCTATCAGCTCCCCGTCTCGTCCCAAGACCGCAAATCAAACATCACCATATCGAGCAACAGCTCTCCGCATACCTCCAACACCACCGCCCTTCTACTCGCTCACCAACAACATCCAATATGGCCTTCCTCCTCCCCGGTCTCCGCCGTGGTCTCATGCTCTCCACGCCCCTGATTCTTAGCACACCTCTCCTCGTCTACCAATTCCGCCACGCCCGGCCCATTCTGTGTGACTCGTCCCCCGCCCTCGCAAAGGCCGGCAATTTCTTAGACACATACACCCACGATGCCAAGACACCCCTCATCACTCAATCCGGGGCGGCGAACCCACGGGCTATACGACAAATCAGCATGGGGAGTATCTTTGGAGTACTGGGCGGATTGGGAGTCAGCCTGTTCAGCAAGCCATTGGCGGTTTTGATTGGGTTGGGCGTCATTCTTGTGCAGGTGAGTAATCAGATTTCTATAGCTGGTGTGGACGTGGAAAGGGATGAGGATCGCCACATAGGAGATTCATGCAGAGACAAATTCTGGGATCTACGTCAGACATGCCAGACATGCTATCTACAATCAATGCCGAGGGAGAGAGTAAAAGCTGACAAAAGCCTAGTTCATCGAGTCTAAAGGCATTCATATCATCCCAACATCGTTCCTGCAAAACCGCTTCAAGAGCATGAACGTCCGGTCCATGGTGCAGGACAATGTAGCCTTCAAAATGTCCTTCGGATTGACATTCATGTTGGCAGCATTTGCGGAGTTCTAGGTCGACTATGTCAAGGTTTGTGATGTTACTTCACGGTCAGAAAGGATGGAGACCCGCAGTATGGTATGGGCTCCTAGCCAAACCTGTGCGCAGGATGGACCATCATCTGTGGTTGCAACTGCATCTGCAACTGCTTGCAGCTCTGCCAGAAGGTCTTGACAGCTTCTTTGAAGGCCATCGAGTTCTTCGCGTTCCTGTAAATACGTTAGTAACGAAGAATCTATGAACAGCTAGATTGATGAGACGTACCTTGTCAAGCTCTCGATAAACTTCCGCACCATAGCTTGCACACCAGGATCTTGTTGGAAACGAAGCAGAAGTGGCTGCTCAGCTAGGGAGTTTGTGAGATATACCCTTGCATGCTTGTCAGACTTGATGACAGCACGTAGGGGTGCGATGATGTGCTCTAGGCTGGTGTAATCGACCTCTCCGCAAACGTTCGAAATCAGAGCAAGAGTGACGGATGAGCCAAAGTGGGCGACAATGTCTTGCAGCGTGCCCTGGTGTTCACTGTGTGTGTTGCCTGACAGCTCGAAAATATCCTTCCACAGTTTAGCTGCTGCACGCTTTGGAAGCACTTCAGGTGAATTGATCGATTCCACTGTGAAGCCAAACATGCTTTGAAGGCTCTCCGGATGCTCTTCTGTTAGTATTCGGGGATTTGTGTTCATGAAGCTCTGGATCAACTCTATACACCCAACTGAGATTTCCGGATCGTTGCGCGGATGCTGTAGCGCCTGCATTATGCTCAAATCATGTTGTAGGAGTCGCCGGGCCTGGGTCTCAAAGCCTTGGGGTGGAGTAGTCTTGTGAGAAGAGATCCAGCAGCACGCTGTGTCCAGTACGTATGGTAGTCGTGGCGTCTGAACGGTAGTTTTCGTGATAAAATCAACCGCTGCAGAAGGGGGGAGTACGAAAGGTCCAGGATTGGTTTCCTTGAATCCGGTACGCAGGACATTGCAGGCTGTTTCGACGATCTCACCATTCCCAGGAAACACTTGCGTCAAGTAGTTGACGAAGTTAATCACTTGATTTTGAATGGTTTTGCCAGGACCTTGAGACCAGAATGTTGAAGCTTCTTTATCGGAGGCCAGATCTACCACCTCCTCGTCCAAGGTCTGAAGTGCCTTACCAGTACTTGATAGACATTTCAATGTGGTAAGCGCAAGTACTTGTCCTTGTTCCACGTCGGTTCCTTCTTTGGTATAGTTCATCGCTTGCATGGCGTCCTGCGCGATGTATCCGAAGATCTGTCCTACACCAGCGAGTTGCTTCTGTTCTGAATCCAAGGCCTGAACAATTGCGGCAATACCTTCGAGGACTTTGCTTTTCGTGAATTCCTCGGCTGTCGGGTACGTAAGGAATTGTTCATACATCTGGAAGAAGGAGGGCAGTTCCCCGGTAAGTGATGATCTGCATTCCGAGCAAAGCGAGGCGAATGATTTGGCGGCGCTGTGTGCTAGTGCTGGCTGAGCAAGAGCGGTGAGAAGAAAGGGCAGAACTTGTGGCAGAAAGCGAGGATTTCGAAGAAAGAAGGAGTCTAGAGCTGCAACCATCTCGACGGCAGTCCTCCTTGTCATAGCAGGAATGCCTGCATACCCAGACACAGCAGGGAACAGAGGCTGCTCAAACAGGCGATTCAAACTCTTATCAGCTTGGTCGTTGAACGTGTCTGAGATGGCGATGAGACAAAACAGCCCAGCCTCGAGATTCAGCCAGTTGCTTGTCTCCAAAGCATGCAACGTAAAGTCGATGAACTGATCAGTCATTGTGTCGCGCAGGGACTCGTATGCCTCCATGATAATGTCTCGCACGTCGACGCGGAAGACCTTGAACGTCTTTTTCGAATCTGAATCCCAAGAATCGGTAACATCAGACGAGGGATAGATGATCTTCTGCACAAGTTCAGATGTTGCTTGGAATACATTCGCCTTTGCGGTATTCATCCATAGAGGTTGTTCATCGCCTGATGCGTAGTTGAACATCTCCTCTGCAATGGAGCTTACAAAATTACTCCAAAAGTCAAGTACGACCGGAGCTACCTCGTCTTCGACACCGACAGGTTCAGGGTACTTGAGAAGATCGTGTAGAAAAGCTGCAATATCGTCAGCCAGTGTACCTAACCATATGGGGCCTATGAACCGTTAGTTCTTACTTACACATAACCTGCTGATGATGTGGTATATCTGGCTCTGTGTATAGAACCTTCGATTCGAGTAGAATCTGCCCATAGGCGACGACGATTCTAGCCAGAGATACGGTTTCAGCATCGAGGTTTTTCAAAATCTCCAGGCCCCACGGTCCAGCAATAGCTGACCAAAGCATTTCGTGGTGTTTTGGCTCAAAGAAACTTGGATAGTTCTCAAGTACTTCGGCAACAAGCTCCATGGCATCTTCGACGTGGTACTCTAAGCAAGTCAAAGCGAGCTCTGTCACCGATCGGAGATACTTGAGCTTCTTTGGAACTTCCTTGAACTCAGACTGAGCGTAAAATATCCAGCCCTACAAAGTCAGCGAATATGATACGTCTGAGATGTTGCACTTACAGTCAGACATTTCAAGGCAGCCACGCAGATTTTCTCTCCTAGTTGTACATATTGCGCATAGCTCGCGTCACTCGACGGCATCGACAACCACTTTATGCCACGACCGAATGAAACATGAAGCAGCACTTCTATGCTCTCTGTGTTTGCAATCATACGCTCATGTGCCGTCCGACTGGCTTAAATTAGCTATTTTACTGTGATAGAAACTGTCTGATTATGCTTACTCGGGTTGATTAGAAAGCTTTTTCGTTTCGTCGGCCAGGTTCATGGCGAAGTCCAGTAGAACCAGAAGTTGGTCATCGGAGAGTTGAGGCAGAATATCCCAGGTCGACTGATGGCTATCTAAGGCATCGTCCAAAACGGGCTGTTGCACCGCAAACGAAACAGCCAAGCTTCTAATGCACTGGGTCCAGGTTGAAATCGGCTTGGTGAAGTACTGTGCTAATGTCGAGCTTACTTTCCGTGTTGCCATAGAAGAAGTAGGACAGGAAATGAGATGATGCTATCGATCGCGGTCAGTCTGGAAAAACAGGAGAGAATCCTGTACATACGATAAGTGTTGACAATAGCTGTTCAGAATGCTCCTCTGTCAATTCGTTACTATGAGCTTATTAGAGAACAGCAAACTTGTACTTTGGCGGAACGACTTACGAATCGGCATTGAGTTTAACGGTTAAGGTAAGAGCCCCAAAGAATCGGACTTGTTCATTATCGCTCTTGAGAAGAGCGTTGGCAATCTCCCATCCTTGAGGTGAGCGCTGCAGTACTCGCAGCGTGGCTTCTGTCTGAGCAATCTTCTTCGCTTGACCGGGATTGTAGAGTGACTTGACCAGGTTCTCGATCTCCTCGAAGCTGAGAGGGAAAGCTTGAGGCGCTTGAGTCGCCATACTTGCGATTCAAGCAGATGTTGGTCTAGTATTTTGTCAGTAGTTGAGATGGTGAGGTGGAGATGAGCTTTCGAGATTAATGTGAGGTGTTGGAGAGACCAAATTTAGGGTCATGACCATGACCAAAGGATGTATCCCGAAAGAGTGAAGTGAATCAAGACATGAGTTATCGAGATCGACGTGATGAAGAATACGAAAATTGTGAACACAAGAGAAATGCGATGCTTCAGCCTACTCACATGTATGTGGCTTATGCAGTGGCTTGCCTAGAATGAGCTCGCCGACGGTCAGTTCTAGCAAGACATGCTCTACCACTTTGTCCGACTGACGTGCAGAAATAGTAAACCGCTGACACGGGATGTGTGCCTTGGATCTGGCTCCTTTGGGTCGATCTGATACCGGCACTGGTGGACCGGACCTACGGGTAAAAGTGGCTGAAACTGCGGAACTCAGACTATTAGATGTGATTGCACGTCTCGTCCTGTTGATTTTGGTGCCATGTTTGTCTGGTCGACGCGCTTGGCGAGGCTGTGAGGTCAGAGTGGCGGCTAGCCCGCCCGGACGATCATCTAGAGCTGCTGAAGCGGGGTGACGTGCAGCTACCCAACGCGGAAGGCAACCCTGGATGTCTCTACCTCGCTTTTTGTTGCGTACACGCGCGACAACAGTGCGTGCAGCACACAGCCCTCGTTTCCCCACCCCCAGAACATTCCACACTTCTCCTGCACTGCGCGCTATCGACATGGCGAAAGTTGACACCACCGAGCGGCTCGCCGAGCTCCGCAAGCTCATGAAGGAGCGCAATGTCGATGTCTACAGTACCAACGCCCCATGAGAAGTTTACACAGGATGACAGCTCACACGTGAACAGTGGTTCCTTCCGAAGACAGCCACCAGAGCGAGTACATCGCGCCCTGTGACGCCCGCCGAGGTCAGATCCCCTATCGCGCAGCGCAGCACACGACAGCTACTGATACCTACCAGCCTTCATCAGCGGCTTTACGGGCTCCGCTGGCTATGCAGTCATCACGCACGACAAGGCGGCCCTCTCGACAGATGGACGTTACTTCAACCAGGCCGAGAAGCAGTTGGACGGCAATTGGGAGTTGCTGAAGCAGGGAATACAAGACGTGCCCACCATAACTGAATGGACGGCCGACCAGGTTGAGGGGGGGAAGATTGTTGGCGTGGATCCAAGCGTAGTGACGGCGGTAGACGCTCGAAAGCTCGCTGAGAAGATCAAGAAGAAGGGTGGAGAGTACAAAGCCGTCGATGAGAACCTTATCGATGTGGTATGGGGAGACCAAAGACCTGCTCGTCCAAGTGAGAAGGTCATTGTGCAACCTGTACAGTACTCTGGCAGAAGCTTCAACGACAAGATAGAGGACTTGCGGAAGGAACTTGAGAAGAAGAAGAGCCTAGGCTTCGTCGTGTCTATGCTTGATGAGGCTGCCTGGCTATTCAATCTTCGTGGAAGCGAGTATGGACAATCTGCCTCTTTTTGTAAGCATGGCTAATCGTGTCCAGTATCCCATACAACCCCGTCTTCTTTTCCTACGCAGTCGTCACTCCCACCGAGGTCACCCTGTACGTGGATGAAAGTAAGCTACCCCAGGATGTCAAGGACCATCTGGGAGATAAAGTCACGATCCGGCCCTATGAAGCTATCTTCCAAGATGTCACAAGTTTGAGTAAGAAGGCATTTGAAACCCGCGGGGAAACAGATACAAGAAAGTTCTTAACCTCAAACCGAGCATCGTGGGCATTGAGCAAAGCTCTAGGCGGCGAAGATAAGGTCGAAGAAGTACGAAGCTATGTCGGCGACGCCAAAGCGGTCAAGAACGAGGTTGAACTTGAAGGTATGCGACAGTGTCATGTTCGTGACGGAGCCGCCCTAAGTGAATACTTTGCCTGGCTTGAGGACCAGTTGGTCAGCAAAAAGGCCACACTCGACGAGGTGGATGGTGCGGATAAGCTGGAGAGTATCCGCTCTAAACACGAAAAGTTCATGGGCTTGTCTTTTGATACGATATCTTCTACGGGCGCCAATGCTGCCGTTATCCACTACAAACCTGAGAAGGGAGAGTGCGCAGTCATTGATCCTAAGGCTATATACTTGTGCGATTCAGGAGCGCAATATCGAGATGGCACGACAGACACTACACGGACGCTCCACTTTACCGAGCCGACAGAGATGGAGCGCACAGCATACACACTCGTACTCAAAGGCAACATCGCGCTTGAACGCGTCAAGTTCCCCAAAGGTACAACAGGGTTTGCATTGGACTCCTTGGCTCGCCAGTTCCTGTGGGCTGAAGGTCTGGACTACCGACATGGAACTGGTCATGGTGTTGGCTCCTTCCTCAACGTGCACGAAGGCCCAATTGGCATTGGAACACGAGTGCAGTACTCTGAAGTTTCCCTGGCGGTGGGCAATGTGATTTCCGACGAGCCTGGATACTACGAGGACGGCAAGTTCGGTATCCGCATCGAGAACATGATCATGGTTCGGGAAGTCGAAACGAAGCACAAGTTCGGCGATAAGCCGTATCTTGGGTTCGAACACGTCACCATGACTCCACACTGCAGAAATTTGGTTGATATGAGCCTGCTCACGGAAGACGAGAAAAGCTTTATCAATGAGTACCACCAGGAGGTCTTTGAGAAAACCAGCAAATATTTTGAGGGCGACAATCTCACATTAGAATGGCTGAAACGCGAGACAGCCTCATACTGAAGAGACGGTACACTTGGAATCTACAAGAAGGTCCGACTCGTTCTTGGGAAGTTGTAAGGGTTTGTAGGCTCCCGGCATTGGCACGCATAACAGCTCCGCACTTCTGATCAGCAAGATGCTCGGCGTTCGAAAACACATCAGCTCTGTGTTGCGATAGATACAAGATCAAGACATTTGCCCGTACCTAGATTTCGGACAACTTTTTTGGGGGAACTATTCGGAAAACCAAACTTCGTAAAGAGAAGGTGATCTATGCCCGCTGACTAATAGCGGTAATTCACGGGCCTGAACCATACATCTACGAGCTAATTGATTGGCGATTGCGCATTTCATGTGTCAAAGGGCGCATCGCGGGGTCTAGAGCACCGCGGGGCAAGTGACGGCACCAGCTCCGCAGCTTTGCTGATTGATGGCAGCTGAAGGCAAAAAAATGTTGCGATGCGCCGGGATTGTCTCCAGGTAATACATCTTGACTCACCCCACCAAATCTTCCCTTCGATCTGTCTCACTCACTATATATTTCTCTCTCACAATTCCTTTCAATTGACTCGTCACTTACTCTCTACTACTTTTCAACGTTTTAATTGAGTTGCAGTCGCAAGAATCCCTTCACACATTCACAATGGCAACTGAGCTCCCCACCACAAACGGCCACAGTGCCCAGGATGGCGAGACAACCTTTGCCGTCAAGGCAGGACTAGCAAGGATGTTGAAGGGTGGTGTCATCATGGACGTTGTCAATGCTGAGCAGGTAAGTCTTGAGCTTTATGGCCCTCAATCGAGCCGCAAGCGTTTAGAGCAATTGGCTGATGTGAGAGCAGGCGCGCATAGCAGAGGAGGCTGGCGCAGTAGCAGTCATGGCTCTCGAGCGCGTTCCCGCAGACATTCGATCCCAGGGCGGCGTGGCAAGGATGAGCGACCCCCAGATGATCAAGGAGATCATGGACACAGTGACCATTCCCGTCATGGCGAAGGCGCGAATTGGTCACTTTGTCGAGTGCCAGGTACGCTCATTTCTCTCTCTTCTCAAACACTCACTCACTCCTCCTCACCACGCAATTACAAACCCGGATAAATGCTAACGCCCCTTCCCCCAGATCCTCGAAGCCCTCGGCGTAGACTACATCGACGAGTCGGAAGTGCTCACCCCCGCAGACGCCGTCCACCACGTAGACAAGCACCCCTACCGCGTACCCTTCGTATGCGGGTGCCGTGGTCTCGGCGAAGCCCTCCGCCGCATCTCCGAAGGCGCCGCCATGATCCGCACAAAAGGCGAAGCCGGCACAGGCGACGTCATCGAGGCAGTGCGCCACATGCGCACCGTCAACGCCGAGATCGCGCGCGCAAAGCACATGAGCGAGGAGGAGCTGCGCGTGTACGCCAAGGAGCTGCAGGTCGACTTCCCGCTGCTGAAGGAGACGGCTAAGCTGGGCCGTCTGCCTGTCGTCAACTTCGCGGCTGGTGGTGTCGCTACACCTGCTGATGCGGCGCTGATGATGCAGTTGGGCTGCGATGGCGTCTTTGTTGGCAGCGGCATCTTCAAGAGCGGCGATGCGGCGAAGAGGGCGAAGGCTATTGTGCAGGCTGTCACGCATTACAAGGACCCTAAGGTGTTGGTTGAGGTGTCTATGAACTTGGGTGAGGCGATGGTCGGTATCAACTGCGGCACTATGGCCGAGACCGAGAAGCTCGCGAAGCGCGGGTGGTAGGCGGGTTATGCGGGGACTGGAGATGTGTAAGAAGGCGGAATGTATAGGCGTTCATGGGACCTGACTAGACAGTGTGCATACGTGGGATGATTTTCCGTAGCACGAATTCAACATTACAATTTTCATCATGATGTGTTTGTCTATCGTATGACCATCCATGTCTGCATCTTGTCTTTGGGATAGGTTGGGTGGGTAAAAGTAACTTTGCGAAGTCGTCACATATTTATGAAAGTCAACTCTGGAAACGGGCTAATTTCTCATTGAGCGACTCTTTTCTACATGATTCGTAGACGAATGCATCTCGTGTGCGAACCATGGTAATCCTGCTCACGGGACCATAACCATAAATCCCCTGGCATCATATGGAAACGCAGAATGACGTGACCATGCAAACCCCGAAACGCCGCAAGCGAAGCCCCCAATTACTCGGGTAGACTCCGTCATTAACCACCATATGTACGGATAATGGGAGAGGAGTCGAAGCTCCATCTAGCGGTCCTCGGCCCACTCGTTCTCGCGGCGGATCTGCTCCTCCTCCTCGGGGGTGAAGTCGTTCTGGATGTTGAACGTCTTGCGGATCTCGTCGGGGGACTTGCCCTTGATCATGTTGGCGACGGTCTTGCAGCCGACGTCGAGGAGAGCTTTGATGTCGAGGTAGTTGGCGGCCTGCGACGGTGTTAGCGACTGCTTGAATCGGTAAGACAATAATGAGGGGACACGTACAAGGATGATCTCAAAAAGCATCTCCTGGTCGACCTGCATGAACTTCTGGTCCCACTCGTCAATGTCGGTCGACTTCTTGCGCGAGTCGGAGTCGTCGTCCTGGGTGGGGACGGGATCGGCGCGGTGATGCTCGCACCACTCGAGAACCTTCTTCATCACGGGCTCGTTGACCTGCGCACTCTTGTCAGCAGCTGAGTGACGACGATGCGGGGAGGGCGAGCACATACGTTAGGGATGGGGATGCGCTCCTCCAGTTCGCCGCCCAAGTCCTCAAGCAAGTTCTTGATCAGGATGGAGCGCTCGGCGATGTCGCGCTTAGTCTCGACGTCGGCGCCATCGGAGCAGGTCATCTTCACGACCTGCTCGGTCTTGGGCTTGGCAGAGTCGGACATTGTGAGTGATGTATAGGTGGTTGTGAGGTTGAAGTGGGGTAGAGCTGTTGTGTGTGGATAGGCGGGCGGTGATGAAGCCGATAAAAGTCGTGGGCGGGGTCGTGGGAGTTGCTGGTGAAAGAGAAGAGTGGTGAGAGGCGCGGTTTATATGGGCGCCGGTCGAGCGTTTGCAAGGCGAAGGCAGACAGCAGACAACCTTGGGAGCGAACATGAGCAGCTCAGCTAGCGCTCCCGCAAAAGGTAAGGCGCAAGGCTGCCACTGAAGGAAGGCTCTTTGTCACACGAAACTTGGGAAACCACGACAAGCTGTCTTCACTCGACGATTCATGGATTGCTATTCACTGCAGCCTTGTACTTGTTAATCGCTGACGCTTTCGTAAACACCAACAGTCGCAGTGCGTTCGTGCAGGTGCCCTTCTGAAACCGCGGGACCGTCAATGTTCAATCAAAGGCGATTGATGACTCCACGCCTCATCAGGCGTCCCAGTGCCGTACTCTGGGTAAATGGTACAAAGGTACCTACCACGCCTGTGAGAAGGTTCAAATTCGCCGAAAGAACCCGTCTCTGTTGTTCCGGTCATAATATGGTAGACTTATCACAGTGGAACACAACAATGCAGTATGCCCTTTGATTGTGACGGCTGCAGAGATATCTCTCGACAAGTCGAATCACCAAGTTTGCTACATAGCGAGGCGCATCTGTGCGGACCTCCTGTCGATTTACAAACACTCAAGCCACTCCTTGCATTGGGCATGAAAGTCAAGCGCGTCTGGTCACTACACGTGACGTCACTCTTTGGTTCCGGCTACAGTGGCCTAAACTCCGCGAGATAGCAGGTCGACGGCCATCTGACCAGGGTGTCTGATGACAGGCTTTCCCTCTGCTGTTCTGCTTGTTTCTCCTCCGGGAAGGTGTGGCAGGACACCAATCGGGCGTACGAGGTGTCGAGGTGACACGAATCATCTTTGCCTTCACTGGTGCCCCTTTCCGCGTGGATGTGTTTGAGTGGGCTTGTCAACAGTCGACGGGGCTATTAGCCAACACAATTCTGCTGATCCTGTTTTTTTCAAATTTACACACACGATACCCAGGCATGACACTGCGCTGCCCCTCGGTACCCTCAAACGCACTCGATCTCCAGCCATGTCGAGGAGAATCTACTTCCTGTTGATTCTGGTGCGCATCTACTTTGCTCTTTCGCCAAGCTACCTGCACCCAGACGAGAACTTCCAGGGCCCAGAAGTCATAGCAGGTACGTCTCAAAGTGCGCGTTCCTGAACCATGGCGACTGACGGCTTCCAGGACGCGTCTTTGGATACCCCGTCCACAAAACATGGGAATTCAGATCCACGCACCCCATCCGCAGCACCTTCCCACTATGGCTCGCCTACGGCTTGCCCATGTACAACATGCGCTGGCTCTGGGAGGGGTTTGGGTATGAGGTATCGCCGTCGGTTGTATACTGGACTCTGCGTGTGCTCATGCTCACCCTGAGCGTCGTCATGGAAGACTGGGCCATCCATGAGCTCGTCGAGTCTCCGCGCGCTCGACGCGTTGCCGTTGTGCTGGTTGCGTCATCGTATGTGACATGGACCTTCCAAACGCACACTTTCTCCAACAGCATCGAGACGCTGCTTGTGTGTTGGAGTTTGGTTCTGATCCAGAGGATCTTGAATGACAAGGTAGGCCCGCTTCGGTCCGTTGCCGATCTGCAGCTAACGCAAGGTGCAGAAGCGCTCTGGCATCTTGGCCTCCTCCCTCTTGGGCTTTATGTTTGTTGTAGGAATATTCAACCGCATCACGTTTCCTGCCTTTCTACTTGTCCCTTCGTTGACCTTGCTGCCGCATTTCCTGCGCAAGTGAGTATCACCCCGCTATTTCCCTAGACCCTTACTAACTTGGACAGGCCATTCTCCTTGGTCTTTCTCGCGCTATCCGCTCTCTTTACAGCTTTCCTTGCTATCTGCGTAGACACGGCGTTCTATACCCCTGGCGACTTTACTTTCTCCAAAGCTTTCCAAAATCCAGTCGTTACTCCTTTCAACAATTTCCTTTACAATTCCGATTCGGCCAACCTTGCCCAACATGGCATCCACCCACGATACCAACATTTCCTGGTCAATCTCCCGCAATTACTCGGCCCGGCATTTCCATTGCTGTTCTTCATTCGCCGAGCGCATCTAACCCCGGTTCTGGTTTCGGCACTCTCCGGCACCGCTCTGCTCAGTATCTTCCCTCACCAGGAAGCCAGGTTTTTGCTCCCCGCCGTGCCACTCATACTTTCCTCCATCCGCTTTCCAAGTTCTCGCTTTAGGAAGTTGGGATTGTCAACGTGGATCATCTTCAATGTCGTTCTTGGTGTGTTGATGGGTGTCTACCATCAAGGCGGCATTGTTCCTGTGCAGATGCACATTGCGAAAACGAACGAGACAGTCACCCATGCATTCTGGTGGAAGACATACAGTCCACCGATTTGGCTCTTAAACGGAAAAAACGAGGAGTTGACAACGGTCGACTTGATGGGCATCCCTGGCGAACAGATGCTAAACAAGGTCAAAGAGGCTCTGCCGACTTGTCGGACACGCAAACTACCCCGACTCGACCGAGGCGCTATATACCTGGTCGCACCTCGTTCCGCATATTTCCTAAAGCCTTTCCAAACCCTTACTTCAAGAGAAGAGATTCTGCTTGAAGAGGTCTGGACTTACAGGCGGCATCTCAATCTCGACGACATGGACTTTGGCGACGACGGCTTCTGGAAGACTATGGGTCGGGTAGTTGGAGATCGAGGGCTGGTGGTCTGGCAGGTTACGCGGAACTGCTGGGCCGAGACCGGGTAGAGCTCTTTTCGTGATCCCAGAAGGGGGTTGATACGTGGAGGGGAAGATTTCCTGTCATTTTCAGATGTACGAAATAGGGTTTAGACGTTTATACTGTGGGGCGCGAGCCGGTGGATATTTCCTTGAACTTATTACTTTTTCGACTTTCAATACTAGATACCCACTTTACTATAGCTCTTCTAATGTACATCTCTCCTCTTCTATGTATCTTCGGTACGGTATTCGTGTATAGTTTTGTGCTGCTGAACTTTACAACGCTCCGCCCAACACCCGCACAGCCCACATACTCAACCGCACACCAACACCCACTTTGCGCTCCGGCTTCTCAAACTCGCTCTCATCAACGGGCTTCGCGTACTCGCCCAGCCACTTCACCTCCTCGCCCAACCGGCGGCGTAACCCCGGATCCGAGGTGGCGATGATGACATTCGCTTCGAGATCGAGCTCGTAGGAGCGTTTGGTGTAGTTGCTCGAGCCGATAACAGTAAGGCTAGGATCCTGCTGCTCTTCTATTACAGAAGAAGGTGTTTGTTGCGTGGAGGCAGTATGTTGCTGCGCGGGGAAAGTAATCCACAGCCCCTTGGCGTGGTACGTCCACCCCCCTTCCTCGTCTACTCGGCCGCGCTTCCACTCGCGCAGCGTGATGGAGTCGGAGAGGTCGTCGTAGCGCACGCGCTTGAGGAACATCTTGGCGAGGTGCGTGTAGGCGTCTGGCAGCATGCCGCTTACGCCTTTGCTGCCGAAGAAGCCGTTTGCGTGCGGGTGTGCGGTTAGGACTGTGCCGGAGGCTGGGCGTGTCGCGAGGAGGAGGCGCCGGAATGAGGACGTCATGTTGAAGTAGCCTGCTGTGAAGGTCCAGGTGCTTGGGTGGAGGGGCGGGGTGGCGAGGGACTGGAGGATTTTGGTGAGCGCGGGGAGCTCGGTTGAGGTGTCGAGGAGGGGGACGAGGGAGAGGACTGGGTAGATTGTTGTGGTTGCTGTGGTTGTTGTTCTTTGTGAGGTTGGTGATGCGGGAACGGGTGAGTTTGAGGGCGTGAGTAGGTGGGAGAGGTGTTTTGATGCGGAGGATTTGAACTTTGAGGGGGATTCTAGGGGCGAGGGAGCGGGGTTCGAGGACGGCCATTTCATGGTGTATCCGCCCGAGCCTTCGAGATTGGAGGGCTGAATATCAAAGGAGAGGTTTGCGACGCCGGCATGGACCTTTGCGAAATAATCTGTGAGCTGTTTGCAGTGGAAGAGATGGTAGCGATCTTGGCGGTTGGTGAAGTAGTCTGAACTTAGATTTGCTCCGGACATGATGATCTCGTCGTCTACGCCGTAGAGCTTCATGTGCTGGAGACCCCAGCCTTCGTTGATGCGCTTGGGGATGTACTTCTTTCGTAGGCCGGTAAGGTTGGGTGTATGGTACATGCGGACCTCGACTCTTTCTGCGCCAAATTCGGTGATTAGGGGAGCGAGGAGAGAAGCAGACGAGGGGTCGGGAGTCTCGCGGGTGCCACGTAGAGAGTCAGTGAGAAAGGAGACGCGCAGGTTGGGGTTGCGCTGCAGGGCCTTTTGAATGGTGGAGATAAGTTCATGTTCTGTTTTGCCGATGTAAAGGGTTGATAAGTAGATACGGTGTTGGGCATTGGATATCTTGTCCTGTGTGGTGTTAGTATGTACCATTTCAAAAGTGCGCGCTCTCAGGTATGTCACAAGCAGGAAACACTGAAACTTCTGTAACAAAGCAAAGACACAATTCCGGAGACTATGCTGGTGACAGGAAAGTATAGTAAAGATCGAGACGTAGGAAGGACTGGACGAAACAAACTACTTTAAAAAACTCGAAAGTGCACCAGACAGACGCGTGAACATAACCAAGAAAAAAATGTAAAAATGATCAACTTGTACAACATTCATGTACAGACCGAAGGGAAGTTTGATCGAAAAAGGAAAGTATGTGCATCGGCACCCACCTTAAGCGTCTTGTAAAACTCAGCAGGCGTTTGAATAATCGTAATCTGCTCTGGTTGTATTTCAAACCTAGGCGCGATCCTATCCAAATCCGTAGTTATAGTCGCCAACATAGAAGCCTGACTCTGCGGTGTTGACGCCATTGCCGGGCTCGAAGTCGAATATCTCCTCGTAGTCTTCGCAGGTCGACTCGGTATGCGGATGAACCGCCTCCCCGCTACTTTCGGTGCCTGTACTCTGAGCACGCTTCGAATTATCATCCTGGGTCACTGATATGCGGCGATGTGCGGGCCCTCTGTTTCGATGCTCCTGAAGTTTTGATGCGCATGAGCAGTGGACGGGCAGGGATATGGCCGCACTAGCTACGCAATAGGTAAGGCGGTGTATCGGCTTGGCGGGCAGTCGAGCAGGAACGTCGGAGCATCGCGACTATCATCGAGCACTACAACGCAGCCATGTCGACGCTTATGAGGACTCTGCGCAATCTGCGCAAGATCGGCTTCAAGGTGAGTGTTTCTCGCAGCTTCTGTGGCATTTGCAGCATTAATTGACCTTTGTGCACAGGAATATGGCCACCAGATGGCGGTACGCTTACACCCCCGCGCTCTCTCACATACGCTCGCAGACGACTGACCGTGGCCGCTCGCGCTTGTAGCATATCGGTATGCTTGGATGGAAAGGTTGGGGGAAAGGGCGGAAGTGCTGACAGGGTGCAGGTGATACCAAAGCCGGAACCATGATCGGCATGGACAAGTACGGCAACAAGTTCTTCGAGAACTTGGAGGAGGAGCTTCCCCGTGAGCTGATTGCTTGTTTTGCCATGGGAATACTTGGTTGATGGGTCTGCAGTGCGAACCCGCTGGTGCGACTACAAGGACCATGAATTCGACCCGTTCGTCAAGCCCCGTTATCTAACATATGACCTTATACTGACCTCTCCGTAGCTCTCAGATCGAGCCTGGATGGTACGAAATATATCTTGTCAATTTGCGTTCGCCAAGCAGATCCATCTGACCATTATTTAGGCACGCCTGGATGTCGTACATGGTCGACAAGTCCCCTGTCGAAGACAAGCTTCTACAGCGTGAACTCCGCGTCTGGGAGCCCAAGGAGCACAGGCCTACATTGACCTGGACGCGATCTGGCTACAAACCCTACAGCACGTATGTATGCCAATTCGCGACGTCAGGAATATGTACTGATGATCAGCAGAGTCAAGAACAAGTACTCTGCATGGACGCCCGTGGTCAAGGCGCGACAGTAGATTTGCAATTTTTCTTTTCTTCTAGATCGGCTATTGTACATATCTTGAATTCAAGAGCCCATTATCGAGTTTCGTATCCAGAAATCCCAATAAGTAGTTGAATTTGCTTGTGTGAGACTTGACATATTGGAATGTACTACTATCTCCAATAGGAGCATGGCAGCTACTGCTATGAATTGCTGCGTTATGTTCTTTGCTTGGGAGTGATACTGATTCCAGCACTTCCATGCTGAGGCCATCATCACGCGATTGGATCCACTCGAAGTACTCTTTTCAAGGGCATCAGTTGTGAGTGAACTAGTTAATTGAAGGAGGTCACACTCCCTCGTACATGGTGTGTGCATGCATGAGCAAGCAATCATTTATAGTCCTGGAACTGTTATCTTCTCGTCCGATTATTCCTTAATTAAGAGAGCCACCTCGGGCTTCTTATCTGTGTACGTGCCATATCCACCTCTCCGCTTCCCTTGCAAATTCCCCTCCATCCAGCCTACTCCCCACTAACACATCCCTCCACTACATCCGTCAAAATGCACGCACATGTCCATGCCATGGTATACCAAATCCCCATTCCACCGAGCGCCAGATCCCCACAACCCAATCAACGCCTGACGCTAAGATCCACACTAGAAAAGGAAAACCAAAAGAAAAGAGGCTATCGGATCAACTTACGTGTGGGTCCTTGCGAAGCGCTGGTTCCAGGTCCAAGTGGAAAGGATAGCTGTTATTCCCAGTACCTTTCATCTTCTGCCCTGCGCAGCCATAGCGGTATTAGCAAAGTACAAAGTAGTCATACGTCGTCGATAGATAGATAAAAAACACAAAACATATGAAATCAAGGGGAAGAGCCGAGGTAGGTAGGGTATGTTGACGTCCCATGTCCAGGGTAGTTGAGCCGCGAACCAGGTGGGGGTGGCCTATACGATGATCCGTATGCGTTACGGCTTGGGGGGGTTGAAGGAGAGTGTGGGTAGTTTGATCCCGCGCCCGAAGATGTGCTATGATATGAGGGTGGCAATGGACGGCTGTGGGCAGAGGCATTTGGCAGAGGTAACTGGTACCGACGTGATGGGTCGGGAAGACTGCTGGGGGTACTGTACGCTACCTTTTTTGCTGGCGGTTCGTCATCGTCTGATATCAGATCCACCACCTCTATGGGCCTCTTTGTACTGGATCGAGGGGCTGTGGATGTCTCCCTGGAGGGCAATGGAGGTGTGCCCAATGACGTCGGTGTGGGTGCAGCCTCAGTTTTGATCGCCCTAACGCGATAGTCCTGAATCTCGACGAGATCGTCTTCGCTGTCGTCGTGAGCACCATATCCGTTATGCCTAGGTGGTGACTTCTCGCTTCTAGTCGTCCATTCGCCTGTTGGCTTGATCGTGACCTGGTCAAGGTTTCTGACCTTGTTCAGAATTTCTTCGACGTACTGGTCGACTGCTAGGCCTTCGTAGGCTACGCTCTTGCTACAGATAGGACAAGTCCAGGTGGGCGCCTGCTCCTGTAGTTGTAGAAACGAGTCGGCATCGAAGCATTGATTATGAGTACATATCGTTGACCTGCACGGTGTGCTGATCCGTAATGTGGAGATAGGGTCCTTCAGCGACATGACACTAGAACCGACCTCGATATCAGGATCATTGGCCTTCTTCATCATCTCGTTTAGTACAGACTGCTTCGTGATGACGTTTCGTTGGGTGATTCGCAGTGTCAATTCTTCGACAGAAAACTTTTTGACCAAGTAGACAAACAAGTTGTATTTCTGTGACGAAAATCAGTACATAATATCATAGCAAAAGGAACACAGGGGAATAAGAAACCTCTTTCTGACTTGCCTTCTGCGTCAGCGCATAGGTGACGACTAGAGTGTTACGGTGATTGGCGGGAGTGGTACGGACGAGATCAGTGATATCTGCGGGGCGGGTCGAGCCTGGCTTATTTTTCAACCCCTTGTAATTTGCCTTGACTTCCTCACCATTTAAGCGCACTTCTATCTGCGAGGGAAATGTGATGTCTAGGCGCGAATAAGGCGCGAGAGGTTGTTCCAACGCAGAAAACAGCAAGACTCGCAGTGTTGGATCCGACTTGAGACGCCCACATACTTGCTCGTTCAGGATCAGGTTTTTGGTGCAGTTTTGGCGATGGCTGGGAGAAGCTGTCTTGGGTAAGCCTCAGGTTTGTAAGATTCGAGAGTAGACGAACCTTCGAGAACAGTGTTTCCCAGGAGCAGCTCGCGTATCTCGAAGAACGGGCTATCTTTGAAAAAGTACGTAGGTCCTATATCACCCTTAGTTCCATGGTCCGGATGCCATCGAGAGGTAGAGAAGGCGTACGAGGCGGAGCTTGCGGTGGCTGATACGCTGGCGCATACGACGCGGGGGCCGCACGTCCATTTGCCATACTGTAAGTGGTCGTAGGCGGCGTAGAGTGGCGAGGGACTGAGGAGGCCGCAGGACTGCTGGAATTGGCGAGCGGGGCTTCGCCGCGGTTTTGGACGCGATGTTGCAGCCGGCGCAAAGCCTCGGCGTCGTTTTTCAGGACGGCCTGTTGGATGACTGGTGAAGGTGAGGTTAGCGACTGGAGGGCGCAGAGAGGCTGCGCGCTGGAGACATGTGAGACGTACGGCCAACCACCCTCATTTGCAGAGCGGCCTTGTTTCCCGTCTGAGCCACGCCCTCCTCTTTGCATATCTTCTTCAGATCGTTGTTAATCAGAGTCTTGGAGCGGTCTGTTATGCCCGTGGCCATGGACTGCAGGCTGGTCGCCATTTTGGGGGCTTCAGGCGCGAGTTGATAGGCTGCTGCAGTGGATGTTAGAGGTGAAGCGCTACCAGGACAAATGCGCGCGCGACAACATTGAGAGCGGCGGCTTTAGGCTTCGGGGGGCGCAGGTGAGTGGGAGTGGGAGTGAGGGAAAGCTGGAAAGGCAGCGGGCGGGAAGGCAGAGGAGAGGGCTGATGGTGCAGCGATCCGGCAAGTGCTGGTCGCGACTTCCTACTAATAGCAGACGCACAAGACGGCGACACCACCCTCAGCACGGAACGGGTGCAGATGGCGGGCAGAGGCGTCGCAGCGCGGTTCCTGGAGGATCTTAAATCCGCGTTCTCGGCGGCTCTCGCGGCGACGACATGTTGACATGCTCCATCTTTGGGTCAGCATCGCTAGGCTGCTAACGACGCACGGGCCGCTCTCAGATCGCCCTCGGTCGTTGCCACAAAAAATCCGCGTCCTCGAACTTTTTTCCCCACCACGGCTCGACCTTCACTAGCACTCTCCAACACCACCCGTGCAACACCACCACGCCTCTTCACCACCCCAACACACCCACACACACCACAATGGCAAAAGGACTGCGATCAAGCTCCAAGAAGGCGAACCGCACCAAGCTGCGCAGCCGAGTCTTCGCGCCTGTCGAGAAAGCCCGTGCTGAACGCCTGCACGCAAAACTCCTCGAGACCATCCAGCAAGAAAAGCCAGAGGCTGCCAAGAAGAGCGACATGGACGTCGACAAAGACTGTGAGCGCGCCCAACACCATATCTAACGCGACGTTACTAACCCCAGCGCAGCCACGAACACTACGGAAGCGATCAAGGAGGATGACTTTCCCAAAGGTTCGTCATATCTCACTGCTGCTATCCCACGTTCTCTGTGCGAAGACACAATCACAAAGCTCGATCCTGCACAAGAAGACTTACAGATGAGAAACCTGTGTTTCCACCTGGGGCTCTGCTCCGACATCCTGGGCTTCAGTGATGAAGGGCATCTCAAGTTTGCCTTTGACCCGCTTCCACCGCACTGGTTGAGTGAGAATCAAGGGCTAACTGTCACCTTATAGACATGGACGTCGACGCTGCCGCCTCAGCTGCGAAGAAATCGAGCAAAAAGGACGACCGCAAGGTCAGGAAGCCCGGACGAGCAAGGAAGCCGCAGAACTCCATGACCTTTCCCAAGTCGCGTGGGAAAGGTGCGTTGAAGCCCTTTACCGGTGGGCGTGTCAACAAGCGGCGATGATCTACGATTTTCATATACTGGCGTTGATGGATACTGCATTTTCTGGCGTTTCGATGTTGCTGCCTAGGAAAGGCATCACGGGTCCTGAAGATACCACGTCCTCTATGGACACCTCTGCTTATAACACAACATGCATATATTTCCAAACTCTTCTTCGATGTTTCTAGGATTTGTACGGTTAGCCGTAAGTGATATTGCTCACAATGCTGATTTATACCAGCACTCGCTTGAAGAATAGTTGGCTTGACAGTCCATACCAGCAGCACGTTGCTTACCTGGGCCCTGCCCTTCTCATCGTTTCTCTTTTCTATTTTAGTTTTCGTTTTGGGTGTGATACAACGTTCCTTCATGTTTAGTGTGTTCTTTTTGTTTGTTTGTGGCTAAAAAGAGCTTTATTCTTTCACTTCTGTATCTTTCCCGCGAGCTGACCGACTAACGATGTCTGTGCGCAACAACTTCCCACTCTCGCCTCTCTCTTTATAAATAGATCCCCTCGAATCCATTCTCACCGTCCTTCCTCCTCAGTCCACCGCTGTCGTCACACAGCCAACCACACGTCAGCATGAAGACTCAACCCTTCCGCTTCCTTGATCTTCCGGCCGAGTTACGAATGATGGTATATGAATGCCTTTCGAGTGAGTGCATGATTTTGTTGTGTGTCTGTACATCACTTAGTTGCTCTACAGTCTCCGTCCACCACCACGTCCTTGATGATCCGACGCAGCTTCCAGGGTATTTCACCCGGAGCACGATCACTCTTGTGACAAAGTCTATTGAGACGTCTATTTTCTCTACTTGTCGCAAGGTCAATGCTGAAGCTGTTCCATCTCTTGCGCATCATCTGGACAAATTGCGCTCAGTACCGACTCACTTTGTCGTCGATTTCGCCAGCATGGACACATTCGCAGGCAGAGGTGGCATCCTCAGTTTGATCAAGAAAAAGGCGCGAGGACACAACTCTCCAACCTCAGCACAGAGCACAGCCCCAATCGTCTTCGAAGGAGCCCTCGAGGTGATAAACGACATACACCCCACTTCTGCCGACTACATTGCTCTCACTTCTTTCATCGCACGGAGTACTTCCTGTCTGTCAAGGGCACTTTCGGCCACTCCGGTAATCACACGCGCCCAATCTCTACTCGTCACGATGAACTTGACAGCTGAGAATGGGCGTATACCATATTCGGTTGATAAGATCATCTTGAAGATGTACATGCTTCATGAATTATACCCATGCATAGCACCTCACCTCGACACCCGGATAACTTGGAAGTCCACTAAAAAGACGCGTGCTTTTCTACACAAGCTGCATGGGACTTTGCAAAGCTTTCCACGGAGACACGACTTCGACTGTTCTCGTATCGACCTGGTCAGCGAGAAGATGTGGGAGGAAGAGTGGGCTGAGCGTGAGGGGTCCTAGGTACACTCCGGGCGTTTGGCACGGAGGAGGACGGCGAAGAGAGATGCATGGCCGTCTACGAGGCGAGACATCGGCTCGAGAGCTCCAGCTGCGGCTGGCTCGATGCTAACAACCAGTGGCAGGACAGCCTCACGATGTAGCTAGAGATACAACGTCTCACTTCTGATTATATGCGGGACAATTTCATTCATAAAAACAAGTTTTTTCGGTTAGAAAAGTTCGTTCAATCTACATGTTTCTTTTCAGGTACATACATCACTGAGTTCCTAACACATCACTGCGTCATAAGAAGCTTCACAGTGAGAATGTCAAACTCTATACAACTATCACAGAAATATGCATCGTGATGAGCAAATGTATTGATTGATTGTCACTAAGCCTTCCATATGATGCAAACACAGCCCATACAATCTCCAGCATCAGGCTGGACATCACCTTTGTAGCCGACAAACAGCGTGATACAGAATTGTTCATATCCCGATTCTAGCTGGTGATATTGTCCTCGAACTCTAATACCCTGGAAGAGAAAGGGGAATTGTTAACCTCATATCCAACACACTCTATCCTAATCAGAAACAAGCACAATCCCAGCGTCTAACAAGTAACTACCCCACAGCCAAACTCTCTCATTACGAGCTTTTCTACTGCCATCATCATCACCGATTGTCCATCAATAAACATTCATATACAACGCCAATACCACAAACATACGCTTGAACTGTATTCATAACTCAATACAACCTACTACCTTGCCACCGACGACCCAGTTGGGGCCCGCATACATATCTTATTCTTGAGCAGAACATGCCAATCTACATGTGAATTGGAATAACCCCAGATAGACGTCCGTTCACGTATATTCAAACGCGAACGGGAAGAATCTGGCTATTCTCAGTCGAAGATGGCAGCCGGCTTGTTCTGGGCGCCTCCTGGAGGGCTTGGAGGTCCCTACTGTCGAGACACGATGTGCCCTGAGGAGTCTCTGGACCACGTCGTCTGGAAACTTGAGCTCCGGGATCTGAGGAAGTTTCACGTCTTGGACGTAGAGACGGTGTTGAATAATTTAGTTGATATTTCGAACGGACGACCAGGTCTTTGGGTAGGTGTGGAGACGGTGCTGTACTGTGAACGTACATGTGATGAACGTCGTGGCCAGAAGGTTGGTAGAGGTTGGCTTGGTATCGGGAAGCATTCTTTCAGAATGCTAGAGTTGGGAGGTATGTCTATATCCATGTTGTAGGTCGAATAGCAGACAGTGATAGAGTATTGAGAGACGGTAAACATGAGAGGTAGTAAGAGGCAGCGTTTGTAACGAGAGGAGAAGGTAGATGGGCGAGTGAGATCTCCCGCTTGCCACAGCCTTATAAACCTGATGATTTCAGTGCAAGCAGGCTGTACAGGCGGACGTAAGTTGCATAAGATGCAAGGGGATACGTGTTGTATTCATCAGGCGGTTGAGAACCCCCTCTCTCGTTCCATTATTACGCGCCGAGTTCTGGCGCAAGCTACGCGATCCGCAGTTCAGATTCCTCCGGTGCTAAACATGACTAGGACCTTTTGTTCTCTTCCCAATGTGGCGTGCTGTTGAGACGGTCATCGCTGGTTGTTCCGACTGGCTGTTCCTGACAGAGAGTCGGGCTGCTTAGCAGGCGGTGCTGTGTAGGCAGAGACCAGAATGCTGCATTCAACAATGCTCTTCGGCCCCAGGCGTCATCCCCTATCAACTCATTCCTCTTTCCCCCCAACACCCGTCTATAGAACTCCACATATATCCAAACGCAACGTGCCCTGTTTCGCCAACGCGTTTCGCGCAGCCTTCTTAGAACTCCGAATTTTGTTGAAGGCGAATACTGCGTATCCCTCCATACATGGTCTCTTAATCATTCTTATTCCAAAAGCCGATCCCCTTCTTCGTGCCTGCCCCTCTGGCCCTCACCTGCGCCCTTTGCTTTTCCAACCTCTTACAACTAACATCCGCCTTGACCAAAATGAAGCTCTGATCAAACACATGGCCATTTGCATTACCACACCTCTCCAACGCAGGTGCCAGGGCTAATTCGACCCTCCTCGTTCTCTCTTCATCTCCGCTCTCTTCGTATGCGTCTTCCATCTCGCTATCATAGTACCCGTATCCCCAGTACTGATTCGGTTTGCCGCCTGTGAAAGTGACGAAGCGGTAATCGGCACGTTGGCGCTTCATTTTGAGGTCTAAGGCTACGGCCGCAGAGATGATGGTGCGTAGTTGATCGCGTCCGTAACGCAGGGATTTGGTAGCCCATGGGCGCAGCTTGCGTTGCATGCGGCTGCAGAGGCGGGATATGTGTTTGAGAACCGGCGCGGCATCGAAGGTTGGGGACCACTTGCCGTCGATTTGAGGGACGAGGAGGTTTACGGTGAGGGCGCGCCAGCGGTGGTATTCTTCTGCCTGTTCTTCGTTTTTGACGGCTGTAGCATGTCAATATACGGGGAAACATCACGAGTAATAAGACATGGGTGCATTGTACCTTTTCGCAGCGTATCGTTGAGAGGCCTGAGTTTCCTGTCGCCCAGTTTGCCTGCCCAAACATATCCACAGTCTTTTTGCCAGTTGTTGAAAATCTTTTGCTGCAGCCTGAACCAGAGGTACGACTGTATTAGCAGCGGACGATCGTCGGGATGGTTCAGGTACACATTGTAGTTATCCGTAAGGCCTCCAAACAAGTCCTTGGCCGAGTGCATACGCGGTCGCTTGCTACGCGACGTCGTTGGTCCGCTGAAGTACTCTTCGCTCCAGTCTCTGATCTCGTAGCGCAAGGCGTGCATTTCCTCGATCAGCGACTTCTCTTCCGACTTGTACACGACCGACTTCCTATCTGGTATGCCATGTGGTCCAACGCTCTGTCTTTGAAGCTCCTTTCTCAATGCGTCTCTCTCCTTTGACACCTGGTAGAACCGCTTTACCAGATCTTCTGGGACGCTCCCAGCCTTCACGTCTGATCGCGAGGCACTCTTGGCGTCATTTCGATGCAGACTAGGCGAGCTCGACTCCCCCGAGGACGACTCGGCCGTTGAGGTGATCTTTACATGCGGAGGTATATACTGCGTTTTCCGTTTGTTCCTGTTTACTCTTGGAAGCAGCTCGTCCTCGTCAGACCACTCGGCATCCGCGTCGACAAAGTGGCGGGGCTCCATAGTAGGCGAATCAGTGTCAGATGCAGAATCCGGTTCGTAGTGGACGACTTCGGCCGAGGGACAGGTCAGCTTGAGCGCGCTGAGGGTGGAGTTGCGAACGTCTATTGATGGGGCTCAGTCAGTGCACGAATCGTCGATGATAGCTCGTGGAGCTGCACACCTGGAGATAAAGTCGCCATGTTCAGGCCTATATGGACATGTCGCGTCGTCTAATGCTGCGTCTTCTAAATATACTTCGGACAGAGCTCATACGGTGAAGCTGGCTGGCCTATTGGGGCTATCTGAAGTGGAAGGCTCAGCTCAGATGTGCTGCACTTCAAGGCTGAGGACCCTCTCAATACTGGGGAGGCTGGACATGGCATGGATTTTGAGGCTGCGTCTGCGTCGCTCGATTTGCGCGAGGCATGCATATCGAAAACAAGCTTGTAGCCGGCAACCCAGCCTCAATTGACGACCGGCGCTTCCATTCTCGTCCGTAGACCAGTCAAATGGTCGAGCAACAGGACGATGTGCGCTGACGTGTGACAGGGCGGCGACGTGCATTGCACCAGTGTCTAACCAGATGGAGACTGGTTGGATGGGGGGAAGGCGCGACTAGCGTAGCCAGCGTCATGGACGTGCTGAGCAACAACCATCGGTCCATTCGATGTAGTCCACGTGTTGGGTCTGCAATGGATGTTTCTACATGTTTTTGTTTCATAGTTGACCATTGAAACATAAGTTGCAGGTGGACTGGTCTTTCCTCGTTACATCCCTGTTGAAAGTCGCATGTTGGCTGCACATTGTATGAGCAATCATTTACATCCATTTGTATTGGAACAGCTTGGCAAGAGCCTGGAAGCTGTCTCTTTGTTCCACCGAAATTCTGGCGTCGATTATCTGACTCTGTCCGCAGCTTGTCGTTCGTCCTTTCCTAGTTCGCCATGACGTCGAGAACTTGAGATTTATACTATTCCTAGCTGGTATTGGTCCTACTCAATCTCATACAACGAATGTGTTCCATAGCAATCATCTTTACTTCGACATAGTTTAGCATCAACTTTGCTGTCGCCAGTCAGAATGTAGATTACATCAAGTAGAGATTTTGCTTCTTTGACCAGCTAACATGGCTGAAACACACCAATTGGTATCTGCTCGAGAGTTCTGCAGACAAACGTGTGTTTTAGGTAGCTGATTGGGCCGAAGTAGACCACGAAATTCCAAGCTCAATGTCACAATCAGATCAAGGGCCGATACTGATTCTCAGGTCCTACAACACCTGCATGTGAGATGCGTATTCAGCATTAAAGGTACAGCACCCAATTTCGCGGAATTATCCATCCTGGTGTTGTCACACGTGTTAACGTGACGCGAGCGCGAGGCGTTTGAGTAAATCCCACTCGAACCTTGCGCTGCATCGATCCGTCGACTCCATCAGTATTCTCAAGAAACTCTCGTCTGCAAGCATCGAAATGAGTCTCAACATCAATAGAGGAGACATAAAAGGGCGACTGCATAAGCACACGCGCTTGTCTTGGCCCCCACGCCGAGTTGATTCCGCTGAGTGCGATGTTTCCAGCGCTTAGGCCCGTTTCCCCTCAACCTCGACACCATGTCTTCAAACGAAGTGAACGTTGCTAGCGCAGCCTTGGCCATCGCTGTTGTCGCCTTGGTGATCGCTGCCGGGCAACTTTTACAGCAGCTATTTGGGACCGCAGATGGCTACCGCAGGTGCCAACGATCCGTTATTGGCGGTTGGTCGAAGCTGGTGCGCCGGCGCTTCATGTGGTGAGTAACCTTCGATGAACATGGAATGTTTCAAGTTCTTAACTTAATGAACAAGGTCCTCGTTCCGACTTGAAGTGAGAGTCACGACACCTCACTTTGAAATATGCCCACTGGACAAGGCTCAACGATTGTCAATGCGCATACCAAGTGGTATATCCGTAGACAAAGACTCAACGCAGAGGATTGCCATTACAGGGTCCGATGATTCTCGGCGACGAACGTTCAGTCGTGCTCAGTCTTCACCCAGCGCCTCGTTTGAGGACGATGAAGACGAGGACGCCGTGAGCTGGTCATTGCTTCTTGTTGCACTTCACAATCGTCAGCAACTCCAGCTTATGAACGCAACACAAGCCTTGTATTACTTCAATAGTGGTGTGTGTTCCTCCCAGATTAACCCCAAGCAGTACGCTTCTATCAATCCCAAAAACGCAATTCTGTGTGTCAACCCCAAAACTAGGTCGTGGGACCTCATGCCTCCAGATGTCGTTCGACCTGTAGCCAGTACAACGCTCGGGACACTGATATCTATGGCGCACCGCATGGGAATGGTTTGGGTTGATTTAATACCACGTGAGGGGAAACTTCGAGCCGAGGGATTTGGTCAGAGTTTATCTGCGACATTAATGCGCGGCATGGGAATTGTTGTGGAGTACAATGTCGAGCCCAGCCTTCGCCCCACTCACCATCAGACGATATACTCCTCTCTGTATGTTCCATCTTCAGATGCTGATAAGGTACGTCATACCCAGGATTCAATATATCATGTTAGTGCTGAGACTTTCGAGATGGCATGTGGCATTATTCCAGGCAACGAACTCATGCACACTTACGACATCCACGTCAGAAGTGGTGACCACGATCCAGACACTAAGCTCATCGCAAAAGCCTTGGGTGTCATGGGTGTTGGAAACCCAGCCATCGATGCTATCTCACAAAGCGTTCACCATGCAAACTCAGGTCACCACTGGCCTGCTTTTGTGGATCTGCTTGGAATGTGGTCCGACTGGCTGCCTTTTCCCGAAACACCAATAAACTCTGTCCTCAGCCCCGTTGGACATCGCATCTACACCATGGGTGAGGCATACGAAGCAAGAGTGGTGTGGAGATGGATTCTGCAAGAGCAAGAGGCGCCTTCAGTCTTCAAACAACGAGTGTTGCAGTTCTACAATGCGTGGGCACTTAAGGAGCCCCGTCAATTCTATGGCTACTACAAGCTCACTGGAAATGCGTTGGAAAATCGTAAGAGCATTTCGTTCTTCAAGAGCATGTATGACGAAACTACCGTCTACTTCTCTATGTTATTTGGCACGAAAACTCCTTTCTATACAGATCTTGTTGCGTCTCACATCAATGCTAATGCGCACTCGCTTCGGCGAGCAGATGAACACGTCAAAGCCGGTACGTCTCGTAATGATGGGAGAGTAGGACGTAATCTGTGGGACACACTTTTCACAGAGCGCGCATTTATTTACGTCGACAACATACCAGAAGTGGTGGAATTCATGAGACTCCGACACGACTTTTCAGCAGACGTGATAGAAGACGCTTGGTGGATGCTCATGCTACGCGCACAGTGCTGGGAAATGGGTGTCGATCGCATCGTGCAGAAGTCCTGTGTGCCGAGTAGCTATTACAACAGTCCGACCAGAGTTTATATTCTGTAGGAATGCGGACTTCAACGACAAGGCCTTCCGCAGTTCGATATCGATTATGCACTCCATCTCAGATTCCTCGTACATACATGTTCAGTCCTTTTTTGCGTCACTTCGCGTCATCTCTTGCGTACTCACCACATGCTCATGCGCGTCACTCTCGACACGTCGCGATCTCCTGTCGAGCTGCAAACCCAGTCAGTCGAAGCCACATAACCTCAGACACGCGACTTACCCATTGCACAGCAGCCGTAGTGCCAAAGAACGCAAACACCACAACGATCATAGTCACATACCCCTTCTTCCAGTACGGCGCATCAGTCGCAGGGTACAACGCAACCCCCCAGAAGGTATACAGAATCGACTGCACCATACTCATCGCATAGAGCACAATAGACCGCGACGCATCGTCGCCGCCGCGCTGTAAGATGACGCTCGCCCACCCGTACAAGATGGGATTAACTACATACGAAGTGCCGGATAGATAGAAGGCGAAGAACACGCCGGCAGTGGGCAGGCTGGGGACGAGTAAAAGGGTCGCGACGAGGAGTTGGAGAACGCCTGCGAGAACAACCATCGGTATGCGTTGGTTTGTCATGTCGATCACATAGCCCGCGCCGATGTTGGACACGATCGACACGGCTTGGATACCTAGGGGATATGTTGTCGTGGCGTATGAGGGGAATTGCGTGATGTGGGCTTTCACCCATAGGAGGAATAGGCCTTGTAGGACAATGGCTTCTAGTGCACTGCCCACCATGGAGTATAGCGTGAGAATGTAGAGGTCTGGGGTTGTAAAGAGGCGCTTGGCAAGTGATTTGAGGCTGATATCATGGCCCCAGTCTCGCTTGGGTGGGAGGCGGTCGAGGGCTAGTTGGATTTCGACCTTGTTGAGGTAGAAAAGGTTTGGAGATTCGGGGAGGTTGGGGAAGAATATCAGGCCGAAGATGCCGAAGGGAATGCCCATAGCGCCGTCTAGGGACTTTCAGAAAAAGAGTCTTGGATGAGGGGGGTTTTGTTGGCTCACTGAGGATAAACACCCACTGCCAGCCTTGCAGCGACGTCCGGCCCTGCAACCCCTCGTTCATAGCCGTCATCATGACCCCAGCGAACATACTGCCTATCTGCCCGATGGCCGTGAATATCGCAGTGCGTTTCGCGATCTCCAGTGGTTTACTACACCGCATATCAGAACCCGTTATCTTCACGTCCGTGGTCAAGTCGACTCACTACCACGACCCGAGGATATATATAGTACCACTATACAGGCTCGACTCAAAGAACCCCTGGAAGAAACGCACAACGCATAGCTGAGTGTACGTCCTGCACGCGGCAGAACACATGGTAAGACAGGACCAAAGTATCAGCGTGAAAGGAAGCCAGAAGCGCGGCGCTACTTTTTGGATGATGAGGGCGTGGGGGATTTGACCGGCGCAGGCTCTTTTCTGGTGAGTATGACTTCGATTAAGGGGGGAAATAGGAGAAGGCGACTTACCCCGCTGTGAACGTGGATAGTAAGATGCTGTACCGGTTGCCCTCCAGACGGAGAGACTCTTTTAGTCCGGAAACCTGGCACCTATATATGAGCTTGCGTGTACAATGAGTACGAAGATCTTGGGTAAGCAAGCTCACATAGGCATTTGCAAATGCTGAGCGATCTAGCACGTATATCAGCACTTGAGTATATATATAAAACGTCCATCCATTCATCCAACCACCACATAGGTAGGGAAACGAACCGAGGTAATTGAAAAAGTAAGCCGCGCAGCAATACACCTTCTCAAGCATCAACACCACCTCTCTACTTCGCATAACCAGGTACATCCAACTAACCAAGATAAAGCAATCTACACCACCCACCCCCGTTAGTTATTTCACACGTCGGTCGATTGGCTCATTGGTTGTTAGGACGAAATGACACATACCCAGCTTACGCACCAACCGTTTCTCTAGCTCCGACATCACGCGTAGGTTTGATGTGTTTAGGTAGGTCTTCCACTGGAGCATCTTGGTTGGTACTCGAGAGACGAGGTTGTGCAGCATTTCATAGACGAGTACCATGATGGACTTGGACGAGCCAATCACAAGCTGGCTTTTGTAAGCGGGAAGGATGATGTTGAGGGCAGAGATTTCCCAACGACGTGTTGACTTGGCTAGGAATATGTTATCTGGTCTTGGTATCTTGGTGTGTAGCGATTGCAAGAATTGTCCGTGAGTCCATATTAAATTAGCAAATCCTCCACATAACACCATCTATCCATTCCTCACCAAACACCAAACCCCCTACAAAAGCGTCTGCCCCCCCCTCAACATCTGCAAATCCTCCATCCCAAACGGCACATAAGCATCCGCGCCCGGCTTAATCCACAACACAACATCATCCCTCCCGCCCACCATCTTCGTCCCATACCGATCGAGCTCAATCCCCTCCTCCCTCAACGGCCCCTTATTCTGCTTCTGATTATCCGTATTCGAGCCCTCGCTCACCAGCCTCAAGAACAGCGGAACCGCGTACTTCGGCAGCTTACCCCTTACATACTGCAGAAACGCGCTCCAATCGCACGTCGTGGGGTCGACGCCGTTAGTGAGGCGCAGGGCAACACAGCCCGCGCGGCCGTCGTGCTTGGGCACCAGCGCGCCGTATACAATGGCCTCGCCTACGCCTGGATATTTTCCGAGGACTTCTGCGACTTCAGCTGTGGACACGTTCTCGCTCTTCCACCGGTACGTGTCGCCCAGCCTGTCGAGGAAGAACCATCGTCCGTCGTCGTCGCGCCGCAGCGCGTCCCCAGAGCGGTAGTACAAGTCCCCGTGTTTGAAGACGTTGCGTTCGAATTTCTTAGCTGTGGCTTTGGGGTTGTTGTGGTATCCTGCGAAGGCGTCTTCGGCGGGGACGGCGACCAGAATCTCTCCGCCGTCGGTGTACGAGTTGCGTGTGACGAAACCGGTTTTGGGATCGCGGACCAGCTCGCCTGTTTCCGCGTCGATGGGGACGGGCACGTAGACGTTTTTGAGGGCTTGTCTGATGAGGAGGCCGTGTTGGGCGACGGTTGTTGCTGTGAAGGGGCCCTTGGAGTGGACGACCATCTGCAGCACGCCTTCTGTTGAGTTGAAGAATTCGATGACTTCGGGCACGTTGAAACGCTCTTTGAACCGGTTCCAGACATCAGGGCGCATGCCGTTCCCGTACATGCCGCGTAGGCGGTGGTTTCTTTCGTGGGGGTGTGGAGGCGCCATGAGGAGGTATCGTGCTGCTTCGCCGACGTAGATGAACATTGTTGCTTGCGAGTCGTGGATGTCGTCCCAGAAGGTGCTGACGGAGAACTTCCGCCCTATGGCTATACTCATGCCGCCTGTGAGAGCCGCCATTGACGCCAAACCTCCCGTGCCATGGAACAGCGGCATGCAGCAATACCACCGGTCGCCATTCGGCCCAGCGGTTTGATCGAAAGGGAGCTTCTTTGGATTCCCGCGCTCATGGTACCGGCTGACCATGAACTTCCCCGCCTTGGGGAGCCCTGTTGTGCCAGATGTGTATAGCAGACAGACTGGATCCGAGCCGGCGACGCCCACTCTATACTCGTCGCCCGGCACATTGGTAGGGCCGGACCTTACTTTCTCCAGCAACGCATCGTCCACCGTAAACGGCCTAACACCCAGCTCTTTCTCCACGCGCTCCCGACACTCCTCGAACCGCGCAGCACAGTCAGCTTCCGAATCCACCAGCACCATCTTGACATCCGCGATCCTCAAACAGTGAATCAAGCTCTCACCCTTGAGGTTGTAGTTCAAATGAGCCGGCGCACAACCAATACAAAACAGTCCCAACCAAATAACCATAAAATCCGCACTATTCATCAAATACGTCGCGACCATATCCCCCGGCCTAACACCATTGGCGAGGAAGAAATGCGCCCACTGGACCGCGCCATCATGAACCTGCTGCCACGTGTACGTCTTCTCCCGCGACCAGATACACAGTTCATTTGCGTATTTGGGGACCTGGGGCGCAAACGAGTACCAGATGCATTGGCGTTTATTCTTCACTGTTCTGGGGTCAATTTCAGGAGTTATTTAAAGGGTGTGTGAGTAGTGGAGTATATATACGTACCCAGCTCGGCGTAATTCTTCCCTGCTCTACGCATAAATCCCAGGGCTCGTAGGTCTTGGCCAATGTGGTATTTTGCGTTTAGATACGCGGATAGACTCCCGATTGCCGCCACCGACGCAGCGGCGGCGGTGTTGTTCATCGTCGTGTTGGGATGGGAGCTCCCAGCTTGCTTGCTTGCTTACTTGCGAAACTCAGACGCGACGAGAATAGTACGTATATCGCCAGTAAACGGCGAGTTGCTTAGCACGTTCTTGGTCGACGACTTGGATAATGAACGACTCGATTAGTTGATTGATTGCAAGAAAGAACGAGGCGGAGATATATCGAGAATTCGGGATATTTGAGAGTTGTCGGCGGCTGGGGAAATCGTACGCTAGTCAACGGGGCCGAGGCATCGATGGAACGCGGGGAATTGTGGGGGGGACGTTACCACTCTAACTACATTTAGAACTCGTGGATGTCTGAAGACGCAAAGGTGCAGAAGATGAGGTGAGATGGGATAGTTAGTTTCTTTTTCTCGGGGGACGTGCAATGATTGGATTCATGTATATGATTTTGTGTAACCTTCAAATAGCTGGAAGGACTGCGATTAAGCATCATTAAGATTCTTATCCAAAAAGCCTAGCTAGGAAGGATGTTAGAGACACCAAGTCACATGTCAAAATTCGTATCTACTCGAGTAGATTGAAACACTAACCACCTGGGTATTCACGAGAACTACAATGTTAATCCTACCATGCAATGTGCTTTCCAGACACAACCTCCACTTCCAATGCCATGCCAGATAACACATCAAGCCTTGACCAAATCTAACAAGATTTTCCAAACATCTCACCCCCTGACGACAGGTATCCAGTCCTCAGGAGCTCGTGGATAACAAGCCCAAGCACCACCCTCCTAATCCAACGCCTGCTTCGGCTTAGTCTTCACACTCTCCGTACCTGGCGGAGTTTTCAACCCGCCAAACACCAACGCACACACAGCGACCATACCCACAGACCCAGCCGCATACGCCGTCTCGCGACCGGCCCACCAGTAAAGCGAGCAGAAGATCAGCGGGCCCAGAGAGCGGCCGATTTGCCCTAGTGCAACAGTCAGTCACGAAATCCCGGAACATACAACAAAAATACGCACCGAAACTCCTGTGGTTCCCCAGCTTGTTCCCGCGCTCGTCGGCGCTCGCTTCAAATGAGGAGAGACTGTTCAATCCCGTGACGACCGTCGCGCTTGTGACTGCTAGTAATGCCGCAGCGCCGTATAGGCCGAGTTGCGATTGTACTCTCCCGAGGAAGAAGAAGGCTATTGTGCAGCTGGCTACGCCTAGTTTGACCACCTTCAATGGGTGCATGCGCCGGACGACGGAGCCCTGCAGTAGCGAAGCGACGAGGCCGATGAAACCGAGGAGTTTGCCTGTGTCTTTCGCTGCGTATGCGAAGAGGTCGTATGTCATGAATGGGAGCGAGAACTCCATGCCGCTGAAGAAGAGGATGAAGGTGAAATGCGTGGCGTTGAGAATGGTGTGCGAGTTTGTCCGTACGCGCGGTGTCTGCTTCTCGGTCGCTTCCGTGTGTTTCGTCGTGGTACCGTTTTGTGCCGTGGTCGCCGTGGGTAGGGTTTCCGGGAGGCAGAAATAAAGGTAGATGCTCTCCGTGACGATTAGGAACAGCGAGAAGCCCGCCGCCATGGCAAATGGGTTCTCGTTCATGGCTGGCAAACTCCCCAAGTATGCGCCCAGCGCTGGTCCAAACGTAAAGGCAATGCTGAAACACACCCCCACAAGCGCCATGGTAGCACCGCGCTGACTGTCATCACTGATGTCTGTCGCGATGGCCATGGCGAGCTGCACATTCCCTTCACTCAGCCCCCCGACTATGCGACTCGCAAGGAAGGTCCGGAAGTCCGTGGCAGCGACCCACAGCGCAACACTGAGCACATTACCCGCCATGGACCAAAGTAGCGCCGTGCGCCGTCCGTATTTGTCCGACAAGGTGCCAATTACCGGCGAGGCAATGGCTTGACATAGTGAGAACAGCGAGCCAAGCGCGCCGCCGAGAAGGACAATGTCGTAACGCGAATTGATCGGTTTCGCAAACGAGTTCTTGTATGCGTTGAGGCCGGCGAGAATCTTCGAGAGGACCGTGTTCGGGTCGCCGGTTTCGTGGTTGCGGTAGAATTCGAGGAGTTTGGGGAAGAGGGGGAGGATGAAGGTGAACGAAATCTAGCTCCAATTAGTTGTGGACTGGTGGCACAGGAGGGAGTACAACGTACCAGGTCAAGGAGTAGTGATATGAAGAGCACCTTCAGAACCCTCTTCCGCAGTGTCGCGGACACTGGTGGTGCCATGTTGGTAGCTGCCGTGAGCCTGGGAGTGTGTGCAAGTAAACGTCGATGCTGCCAGCGTGGGCGGCGATCTGGCTAGAAACGAACAGTGTAGTGAACAGAGCGAAGAAAGCACATATATAGTTGCGCAGAAAGCTGTGCGCTAGAAATAGAACGGAGCAAGAGATCTGGCATATTTGGCGCCGCGAACTACAGGTCATGCCATGACGAAAGGCTGGCTGTGAAACCAGACGGTGGAGAAGCCACGACTAAGTCAAAGATCGACGCTTGGGTGGAAGGGCAAGGCAAAACACGTCAATACTCCTGCGGTAGGGCAGCCACAAGTCCGTGCTAAATACGCCAAAATGGGCCGTTTCGGAACTCTAAAACACGAAGAGAACTGGTATGCCCTTGCACGCGACGTGCCGAGAATTTCAGCCTAACTCTCAAGGCTGAGGTATGGACTGGACCCGCATCGTGAACCGAGGCTGTGGCTCGTTGATCTCCGCAACCGCCGCCGGCGATCTGAAAGTAGGTGGGCATGTTTAATTTATAAAGTGTATTGCCTACTAGCAGACTGGTCCACGTAATATTGGAAGCACCATTATCACACTTTTAGCGTTCCTTCACATCCATCATGGCTAGTCGTGAGGCAGATCGGCAGAAGGCCATGGCAGCTGTTCAGGCCATGTTTGACAGGTACAAGCTGCTTGCTGCCCAAAGGCCGCGGGATCACGTTGTTAGTGGAATACATTCATACTACGACCCCTCGTTGACTCTGGCTAGGACTTTGACCATGAAGTCATGGAGAACTTGAAAATGGTCGACGCTGGTCTCGATGGTTCTGTCGAGTACGAGCTGTACATGGCGCCCAACTTTTCGAACCTCAATAGTATGACGATTTCCAGACTTTTCCTCAATTGAGTCTGACTTGTTTGAAGATGTCATGCACGGCGGCGCGGCAGGCGTGATATTCGACATGGCCACCACTACAGCACTATGTCCCGTCGCAAGACCGGGGTTCTGGCAGTTCATGGGCGGCGTGACACGGACACTCAACATATCTTACCTGAAAGCAGTACCAATTGGTGCGACGGTTCGACTCAGCAGCAAAGTGGTGAGCGTGGGGAAGCAGATGGCTATGATCAAGGGCGTCATGACCAGTCTAGATGGCAAGACAAAATACTGCACGGCTGAGCACCATAAAGTGAACACGCCAGTGCAGGCACAACATGTGCAGGTGAGGGTACCGTGGGATGATGAGTTTGATCGGGAATGGGGTGTAGTCAAAGGGAAGACTGAAATAGGCGTGAAGAGTAAGATGTAGAGTGAGGGATTGGTCAGTAATGCTGTGATTTATAGACGCTCTTCTAGATGCAACGCCGTCCCATGCTTCGTTATACAGGCCATGTACAAAACTCCCACTCATTTCCTCTTGTTGAACTTTTTGGATTCTGCAAATAATTAGCGCCTTCATATCACAGTTCGGAGTTATATTCCCCCACTCACCGGCAGCAGTCCTCTTCTTCTTGGGCGGCGCCTTGCCGCGTGACTTCGCAACATTCAGGTGCTCGAGCCAGTCCTCCTCCTCCTCGTCGAGGATCTCGTGCTCGGGGTACAGCGATCGCAGCTGGCTAATGGCTCCTATGCGCGGCGGGTAGTAGGACGCGACCGAGGGGCCCTTGAGGCGCTGGTGCAGGATGCGCGAGCCCAGACGGAGGCGCTCAGGGTTGTATGTCGTGTTGAAGACGCGACATTGGAGCTGGGGCAGAGTTATAGCGCTGGCAGTGTATACGCGGAAGAGAGGCCCACCTTGACGAGGTCCAGGATGCGCTGCCGTGGGACCGCCATTGTGCGTGCAGTTGACTGACTGACGCACTATCTGCGGAGTGGAGCGGAGGTGAATTGCAGATTTGGCCTTGGCGCCACTAACATTGGAAGCACCAACTTTCTTCCTGCGCGCGCGACGTTCTACATACACTCCACATATTCATATCGCGGCCAACATGTCGACTCACAAGCGCGGCGGCGCCTTCAATCACTACGGCGACCGCAATCAGCAATTCAGCAAGAAGCCGCGGCCGTCGTACAACTCTCTGCCCAGCAACTCGTCGCACCAAGATGACCGGAGTCGCAACAACGGCTACGGCAGACCCCCGCCACACCAGCCTGCCCTCTCGGCGACAGACATGCAGACAGGCCTCGTCGCGCTGCTGGATAGATTCGTAGCCGCCGAAACCAAGCCCGACGGCGACAAGAGCATCCTACACCACGCAACCGAGCTGCGCCGCCTCGTGTCCCAGCGCACCCACAGCAACCCATCCGCCCAGGCGAAGCGCGAGCTCGACGTCAAGCGCCCCGACCACGTGCCCAACGTCACTATCCCGGACTACATCTACCGCAAAGTCACCGAAGCAAAAGAGCTGCCCGCGCTGCCGCTCATCTCAGAGCCGCACCTCCACGAAGCCGTCTTCACCCACCGCACCTTCCACGACCCGTCCGGCCAGTTCGGCGCCCCCATCGACCTCTCCCTCGACTACGAGCGCCTCGAGTTCCTCGGCGACGCCTACATCGAACTAATCGCCTCGCGCGCCCTCTACAACCGCTTCCCACAAGTCGACGTCCCACAACTCTGCTCCTGGCGCGAACGCCTGGTCGAGAACTCGGCGCTGGGCAAATTCTCCGAAGCATACGGTTTCCCCGACCGCCTAAAGCGACACGCACACTGGGACAAAGAGTCCAAATCCTGGAAAAAAATAGTCGCCGATATCTTCGAAGCCTACGTCGCTGCCCTCGTCCTCTCAGATCCCACCCACGGCTTCCGCACAGCAGAAACCTGGCTCGACACCCTCTGGGCCCCGCAACTCCTCGCCTTCAGGGAGAAAATCATAGAGAACCCGCGCGCGCGCGACGACCTGCAGAAACTCATCTTCGTCAACGATGTCAAGCTGGAGTTTCGCCAGGAAAGGCAGATGACGTATGATGCGGATAATCTGCAGGTGTACTCCATGGGTGTGTATCTGACCGGGTGGGGGTATGCGGATGAGTGGCTGGGGAGTGGGATGGGGCAGAATAAAGTTCAGGGCTGTGTGGCGGCCGCGACGGATGCGATTAAGAAGAATAATCCCGTGTTGAGGGATGCGGCGAAGCAGAAGGCGAAGTTGATGGAGGGGCGGAGGATAGCGAGGGAGGAGAGGGCGAGGGAGGAGGGGAGGGAGAAGGAGAAGGAGAAGGGTGGCGATGGGGCGGAAGATACGAAACCGGTGGAGTTGCCAGAGGTCGTGGATCAAGACAAGGCAGATGGTGCGGGGGAGTGCAAGAAAAGGAAAAGCGAGGCCGAACACGCGTCGCCGCAGAAGAGCAGGAAGAAACACAAAAAAGAGAAACGTAAGGCGCTGGCTGAGGACGGCGGCTCATGAATCTAAGGGGGAGGTTCTGCCTGCAAGATGAGTCGTGGCTTGCTGTCGTGCGTGGGGAGTGTAGATGGGAGTCATGCCGATATCTCGAAGGCATATATCATCGCACTTCATCGGCGGATACTTACTATCTCCACATCTACCGGTTCGAAGAGACGAGACGAGACGAAACGAGACAGATCTAAACGAGGCGAAACGATGCGAGGCATATATATCCACCTACACCCTACCATCTCCCTAACCCAACCTAAACAATACCAATAATATCCTTTTATCTACCTTAAACGCCCGTACGCCCTCATCCCTCCCATACCAAACCGTCTACTTCTTCAGCGCCCGCCCCGCAATATCCTTCCGGAACTGCATGCCCTCGAAGTGAATACACTCGACGCCCTTATACGCCTTGGCAACAGCTTCTTCGAGCGTGGGCGCCATAGCTGTGGACGCGATGACGCGACCGCCCGCCGTTCGAAGCGTGCCGTCGCTTATACTTGTTCCGGCGTGGAAGAGCACGACATCTATCGGTGTAGTCGTTAGCATGTTATTTCTTTTCGAAGAAGGTCTGGAGGAGAAGAAGAAGAAGAAGAAGAGGAAGAAGACCCACCCTCCGGCACAGCATCAAGTCTCATCATTGTGCCCTTAGCATAACTCCCCGGATACCCCCCCGCAGCCACAACAACCGTCGCCGCCGACCCCCCCGACACACCAACATCCACAGACGCGAGATTCTCCTCCGCACACGCGAGCATAACCTCAGCGAGGTCGCTGGACATGAGCGCGAGGAGGGACTGCGTCTCCGGGTCGCCGAAGCGCACATTATATTCCAGGACTTTGGCGCCCTTATCCGTCATCATCAGCCCCGTGAACAGCACGCCCACGAACGGGTAGCCCTCCGCCCTCATGCCGTCGATGGTCGGCTGCAGGATATCTCTGTCCACCTCGGCGAGTAGCGCAGCGGGCGCGATGCGCGTCGGCGCGTAGGTGCCCATACCGCCCGTATTAGGCCCCTGGTCGCCGTCGAAGATACGTTTATGGTCCTGCGCTGGCGGGAGGCTTTTAATCGTGTTTCCGTCTGAGAAAGAAAGTATGGACAACTCATCGCCGGTGAGGAATTCCTCAATCACGACCTCGTCGCCTGCTGTGCCGAATTCACGATCGAGCATGATTTCCCTAAGTGCAGTATGTGCCTCCTCTTTCGTCTGGGGGATGATGACGCCCTTCCCTGCCGCGAGGCCCGACGCCTTGATCACCACGTTGTGCGACACGGTGTCCAGGTATTTCTTCGCGGCGGCGTAGTCGCTGAAGTTCTCATACGCCGCCGTGGGGATATCATGCCGTTTCATAAAGTCCTTAGAGAAGGTCTTGCTGCCTTCCATAGTTGCGGCTTTCTCGCTCGGCCCAAATGCTTTGATGCCCGAACCGCCGTGCTTATGGAAGTAGTCCACGATGCCGGCGACGAGCGGCGCTTCGGGCCCCGGCACGAGCAGATTGACATTCTTCTCCTTGGCGAAGGCGACGAGACCTGCGAAATCCGTGTCCGGGATGTGCGTGATGTTTGTCACTTTTTCGGGGTTCAGCGTCGCGGTGCCGCCGTTGCCCGGGCAGACGTAGATGTGCGCGACGAGCGGGGATTGGAGGAGTTTCCACGACAGAGCGTGTTCACGGCCGCCGTTGCCGACGAGCAGGATGCGGAGTTTTTCTGCCATGGTGGGGTTTGGTGCGCAAAACGGGTGAGGTTTTGGGGATTTGCGTGGGATAGTTTGGGAACGGGAAATTTTGGGAGATGCCCCGCGGTGGGGTAAAAGGTGCAGGGATGTCGACGGCGCAGATCAATTGTACCTGGGAGAGATCAGGGCACATCTCACGGGCTCTGGGAAACTTGGCACCAGTTCCGCAACCTACTTAGTCCCTTCCCGAGTAGTGAAATGATTGGAGATTCTCGGTCACTTGTCGGTGATGACTGCACGTTCATCTACCTGGCTAAGGAGGAGCTGAAATAAGATAACAGGAAAATGTATGTCTATCATGGGTATCGCTGAACCAGGACTACCTGCTGTTTTCATCCATAGAGACCATATCCCTTCGTGTGTACTTCCAAATCTTTCACTGCCATCAACCTCCCTACTCGTCATTGTTCAAGAACACCTCCACAACCCTGATCATCCTCTCCTTCCTCGTCGCCTTGTCTTTCTCCTTCATCCTCGCATCGTCCTTGCACCTGAACATCGCCTGGGCGAATACCGTAGCATAGTTTCGATTGATCAGCTGCCGGATAGCCACCTCCGGCACCTTGCTCAGCGTCCTGCGTCTGACCGAGACCTCTGGACTACCAGGAAGTTCCGTGCTCGCGCGGGGCGTGTCAGGCTTTGGTTTGCTCGCATCCACAACCTGTTTCGTCAAGTTCTGCATCATCGACAACAGAAGTAAAAAGGTAGCGTTGTGGTTCGGTGCACTGGCCATAATCTCCAGGATCGCCATCTTCTCGTCGTCGGGGAGGACTTGTTGCTTCGCTTTTTCGCGGGTTGTGATCATCTCCTCGAGTTTCTCCCAGAGACTCTTTGTTATGACGCCGTCTGTCAGACTGGATAGGAATGTCATGAGAACTTCAGCGAGAATCTCGACTCTCTCTTTTGCTCGAGTCTCGGGCTGGAAGGCGTTGGCAAAAGGCGTGTCGCAATCAACTGCATCGTACACCTCCGCAATCTCATCTTCGTGTGCTGCCGTGATGTTGGTGGATTGCATGTGTGATTTGACAAAAGGCCAACCTGCGTTGTCTTGCCATGGCGCTCTCTCCCCCTCAGCCTTTGTCATGTCCCACTCAGCCAGTGTGCGTTCGGTCAAATCTTCTATGGATTCCGTCAGCCGGAATATCTCGCGGGGTACGCTCCACATTACCCCACTGCCGTCTGCGCGATCAGGCATTTGATGTTGCAGCTTTCTGATTCCACCTTCCGGGATCTTGATCAGCTTGTCGACAGTGCGGGCCAACGCAGATTTGAGCCACCGTCCACGGATTGGTAGGAAGTGATCGCGACCACCTTCGACGCGCAGGACTAGTATTTCCTCGAGGGAAGAGCTATCGTCATTGAAGTTGCGAACCGACTCTTTCAAATCGATCTTGAGCTTGAGTTCGGCATTGACAACATCGGCTGGCTGGAGAGTGTAGCGCTCTTGGATATCGTCAGGTCCAGCGCTTGTACGTTTGTCCGGCTCCCTGTCGAACGTAACACTCAGCCAGGGGGGGAATGCTCCTGACGCTTCATCGCCTGCAACAGGTCGATCGGCGAATCCAAAGGTTGCTGGTACTCTACCAGTGTTTGCAATGGTAACGGTGCGCCGCTTGGATTTTGCGAACTTTACATTGCCGAAATCGACGCCGTCAAAGGAACTGTCTGTTTTGTCGTCGTCGTCGTCCAACGAAGCAGTTGCAGTTCTTCGATCTACAACGACTGCTATTGACGGGCGGCCTTCGTTTTCTTGTCGATCCAACTCGCGAGCCACTTCGGCGTGTATGCCAGCTTTGAGCTTAGGAACCACAGCGTCGTATTTTAACGAAAAGACAGCATCCAAAGGCTTATGGTCGGAACTGAGCACGCGCAGGTGCGTCGTATAGTATTCAAGCAATACCTCATCAGAGAAGCCATCCTTGGTTGTGATGGGCTCAGGTTCCGGATCATGTATTTCATCGTAATCTTCGTTGTCGCCATCTTTCGCAGGATCGTAATCCCACAGGACGTCATCGTCACCTGGCATGTCCATTCCCTTGGCCTTCATCTCCTCGTCTCGCATGCGCACGTTTTCCTGATCTTTGAGTTTGGCATCGTATCGTAGCTTTGCTGCTCGAGTGCGGTAGAGGATGCGATCGCACCAACTGGGGCATCGGCGCTTCTCGCTGGAATCGAAAACTCCCACCTTGCCAATATCGTACTTGTATGATGGGAGAAAGCGTATTGGCCCTTCTTCCCAGCCATCGTGAAAGGCCTTGCCGGCCTTCATTTGCTGGCGAAGCTCGTCGTGGGGAAGAAGAGACGAGATTGTAGTCTGTACAGAGGCGGGGTCCAACTCTGGTGGCAAAGGCATGGAGTCCTCGGAGGCTTCTGAAGACATCTTGGAGCCATAGCCTGAGTCGCCCGAAGTTGAGGGTCGGCTCTCGTCTTCATGATCGAAATCTTTGGTGTGTACCGTGAGCAGTCGGCGTACATCGTCACCCGGCATACCAGAGAGACGATAATTCAGGTCACCAAACCAAAAGGCAAGCTCTTCGTCCCCCAATCCCTCTCCTTGACTCTGCGATGAGCCTAGAGAGTCTGTGATGGGATCAAAGCGCGTTCGAGAGGCAATCTGGGCAACGTCCCAATTTCTGCGTTCTACGGCTGCCTTGTCTGCCCCTGCACCAAGATGAGAGTTGACGAAGACGAGTCTTGTCGTTTCGCCAAGAACTATCCGCGTCGTGACTGCGCCTTTGTTCCCCATGTAGCCCATAAGGCCAGTCCCAACACTAGTTGTGCTGACATTCTTGATTTGGGGAAGCACCGCCGGAGAGGCGTAGATGACTAGCCACAGCCCGATCAACTGCTGTTCCGATACTAATTGATACCCCTCTGGCAGTTCTGTTTCGATTGCTGCTTTCCACTTGTTTGCGACAGACGGGTCCGTGTAGGGTCGCAGGGCTTCTGCGGCGGAAGTAATGTCGACAATCTCCTGCAGACCCAACACATAAAGGCCTATCTCCTCTCCTGCCGGGACCAGCTCGACGTCATGGCGTGGGAGAGTGGATTCACGCTTTGTGTGGCGTGCTTCTTGCGCCGCCACGCTTTCGCGATTGTTCTGGTCCTTGCCATCTGGCTCGGATACTCCAAGTCCTGCGAGAGCCTCCTCGACGCCTTTCCCCTTCACAAACCAGCCGCCAACATCCTGCTCGGTGCCCTTGAGCCCTGCGACGTTCCAGGTGCCAATCTTGATGCGCACATCGCGGGGTCGGGTGTACTCTTCCCTCCGGTCGTATAGAATCTGGGATAGCGTTGCCTGCTGCGTCGTGATGGAAGCGCCGCTGATAGACCGCGCGCCGGGAAAGGCGCCTGGGATCTGGGAGTCGATGTGTGTGGGCGAGAGCAGCGAGGACGCTCTGGAAGACATGCCGGGCTACGGAGGGAAGAAGGAGGCTTGGCGGTGGGGAGTCGAGGAAGTCGAGGCAGTGGAAAGGCAAATCATGCTTCTGGTGGGTGGAGGGGTGCTTGTCCTAGCAATATCATGAGCCACAGTCGAGGAAACGACGGGATGACGACACCGTGGCTGCGACTGCTGTCTGCGAAGGGGATGCCAGGCAGGAGCTCCTCGGACATTGACAACCCGACACCACCCTATCACCACCACCCATCCCGCCATACCACCGCACGCTCGACATGGCGCCCCAAAGAGCCAAAGCACGTGTCAGCTACCCCCAGCCGCCTCCGCTGCCCTCCGACTACGAGACCGACGCTGCGCCGCCCGCCGTCGACCTGCCCCCACCACCCCCGCGCTCAAACGAAGAGCTCAACTTCTCGGTCCTGCGTCGCCAGTACTCGGACCTCGTCTCCATCGAGCACGTCACGCCCTATGCCGCCCTGTACACGTTCAACCTCGAGACGCAGCAATGGGAGAAGGTCGGCATCGAGGGCACCCTGTTTGTGTGCCAACTGACGCCGTCGCCCGTTGGCGCCATGTGTTTCTGCGTCATCATCCTCAACCGCCGCGGACTCGACAACTTCTACATCGACCTCACCAGCCCTGAGGTTATGGAGATCACCGACCCCTATGTCATCATGCAGGGTGACCAGGTCTACGGCATCTGGATCTTCGCCGACCCACCGCCTGCCTCGACCGCAAACTGCCGCATCGAGACGGCGAACAAGATGATGGAAATCGCGGCGAGGGCACAAGAGAGCTCGGAAGCGAAGGAAAGAGAGGGGAAGAACGGCGTCCATCAGGCCAGCATACAGGTAGAGGATGCCTCTTCTGCCCCCATGGGACGCCAGCTTTCCTTGCGCGAGCTCTTTGGCCAGCAACGCCAGCAGGATGCTGGTTTCAGCGTGCACACTCACAACACCCAACCTATGCCGCACATGTACCCGCCACAGTCAGCATACACCCCGACGCCCAATTCTCGGCCAGCGCAGCAAGATGTGCTGGGCCAGCTTTTCATGAAGGCCAAGCAGGATTACAATGGCCTTGGCTGACGTGGTGGGGTCACAGGCCACCAAACGAAAGAGGACGATGATGCGCGAGGCACAGCACGGGGAAACGAATAGGAAGACCTCGAGGGAGACAGACGATGCTAGTCGCGCCCAAGCCGTCTTCAATGCGTCCCCTCTATCCGTCGAGTTGCTCGCATAGCCGTGACTACGCAGGACACGATAGAGTTCATCTGGAGCGTCTTCTACGGCATGTCGCTCGTGATACTAATCGTCTCAGTTCTGTGAAGTGTGGAGGACACAAGCTTTGGCAGGGCGTTACCTGCCATGCATTCTGATGTTTCAAACAAACAAACCGCTGAGGTGGTGTTGGCACGCTCGGAAGGTTCGAGTTGGCTACCCTCATCATCATCATTTGAAGTAGGTCAGTGAGAGCAGATTGGCTTCGCTTTAGCATGCAACATGCCATACGCTGAACGCGTATGATTATTATTCCTAGTTCATAGCTAGTAATCCCAGTCAAACCCCTACTTGCTCTGCACATCCTGCTCCACGATATCCCTCACATACCAAGCCATCTTCTCCGCAACAGGCACACTATGATCTATGCAAAAATTATGCGGCCAATTCTCACGCTCATCAATCTCCATAACCGGCTTCCATTCCTCTCCCGCCTGCTCCACCATGCCTCGCCCACGCGCCTTGATCAGCTGATCCCGCGTCCCGTCCGCAACCCAATGGTCCTTCTGCCCAAACAAGAACCGCAGAATGGGCCGCGGGTGCGGATGTCCTGACTTCGACGCCACAGCCGCACCCCACACATCATCATCCCAGATATCCGTGTCGATCTGGAACATCTCGTCGCGCGCCATGTGGAGCGCCTGCTGGATGCCGTGTGGTGATTTTACAAACGAAGCCGTTGTGTGCGCCGCGTCCTCGGGGAAGCCCATGAAACTCTTGATGAGCGTGGCTAGGAAAGAAACAGGGAGAAGGAGCGTGATGAATCCGACGAACGCCGAGGCGAAGGCAGCGAAATTGGAGTTCTTCAGGTACGGCGATACCTTGATTCCGCTCTCGCTCCTCGCGATGTCTACAACGGTGGGGAAGAGTCCAATGGCGCCTGCGATCCGGGTCTCGAAGTCTTCGCCCGCGAGCCCGTGGGCGCGCAGCCGCCGCAGGATCTCGAGTGAGATGTAGGCGCCGACCGAGTGGCCCATTAGAATCACACGTACATCTCTGGCGCCCTGGTCTTTTGCTTCTTCGACCAGGTCCGTGACGTCTTCCTCAGCGTGTCGGATTTGGTCTTGCAGTCCGTAAGGGGGGTTTTTCCGCCATTTCAGGGTCTTGATATCGGATGATCGCATTTCAAAGCCCGAGAGGGAGCGCCCGTAGACTTGGAATTCCACATCCCGGTCTGAGGCGGTGTCGCGTGTGAGCAGGCCGTAGAGGTGGACGAGGAAGTTGCGGTAGTATTCTATCAGGCCGGGGTTGCCTGTGATGAAGTAGATTATGTATGTTTTTGCTGCGGCTTTTTTCCCTGGTTCTGGGGGGGTGAGGAGGTGGATCTTTGAGGATGGTAGGGAAGCCATTGTGGAGAATGGGTTGGGGGTTGTTGCTGTTGTTGGGGTGGATGTAGGCGGTGAATGGAGCGGTTTTTATGGAGATTTCTGATGGAATTGGAAGGGCTAGGCTTGTTCTAGCTTGGTTGAAGGGTAGCGCGAAGGGGCCATTGAGCTTAATTCATCTCGCTCTTAATATAAGGGCACCGTGAACAGGTAATCAAGTCATAGGATTGTCGCCAGTATAATAAATTACCATCAGTGACTGCGAATTCTTGTGTCTAGCAAAGCACAGTCCGCCAGATTTGCAGAGGCGATACATCCTGCTCGGTTGTGGTGTCGCGACAAGATGGAATGCGGCACTTCTATAATATCGCGCACACGCCTTAACTCTGAGCAAACAGATACCATACCATTAGGAGCGCAGACCTGCAAGACCGCTCTGATTATAATTCTTGTACATACCCGCCTCAAATTGACGGTCCAACGCTGAACACTTCGTGTCTCCGGTAGGCATCATTTGTCCCGCGTACAAGCCACAGAGTCCCGTCTTACGGTCGACCCACTAACTATGTCAGTACCAAAGCATACTGTTTTGTACGTGGTGGAGCTTACCCATGTCAGATTCGGCAGACCGCCCCAAATCATACTACCAGCTGCTTTGCCATCAATTTGGTCGTGCAGAAGGAGAAGGCCCCCAAAGCCCCAGTCCTTCTTCTGGTCTTTCTGTGTCCCACCCATAGCGTTGTTCACCTGAACCGCCCACAATTAGTATGGTTCTCAGAATCACTCCACGAAACTTACCATGTCAACCTGCAACATCGCATTCATCGCTGCCGAAGCAGCCTCACCCAACTGCGGCTTGAAGAACTCCTCAAGCGTATCCTTCTTCAACAGCTTCTCATCCTCATCAGTTGTCAGAAGAGCTTTCAAAACCTTAATGTACTCCTCTGCGCTCGTGAAGACTCCATCACCACCCATACAAGACTGCATCTCCCCTCCATCCACGTCCAGGTACCCCTGCCTCGCCGCCGTGTACCTAACAGTGGCCGACCCTTCGTCTCGGAAACTCATATCCGCCATTCTGGCTTTCATGTCTGGATAAGAACTAAGGCGGAATGTCATGTCCGTGATTCCAAGTGGTTCCCAGAGGTTCTGCCGCATGTACGCCTCAAGTGAGAGTCCCGTCACGCGCTCTATGAGTAGGCCAGCGTAGTCAATGCCAGGGCCGTACATCCAGCTTTCTCCTGGTTCAAAGGTGAGCGGTGCGTCGTATCGCTGTAACAGCTTTGCGCCTGCACCTGGCTGTCGTCCATGGTAGGCGAGCCAGGCTAGGAGCTTGGGGTGCAAGACACTGTAGGTTAATCCGCTGGTGTGCGTCAAGAGCGTACGTAAGGTAATAGATTTAGTGTGCTCTATTTCGATAGGCTTTCCCTCATCATCGAAAGATTCAAGGATCTTGAAATCTTTGAGCTCGGGGATGTGGGTATAGACAGGATCGTCAAGGGTCAGCTTACCGCACTCGACAAGCTGCAGTGCGCAGATGGAGGTCATCAGCTTAGTGCAGGATGCTACCCACATCACTATGTCCAGCTGGAGCGGTTTAGCGTTTTCGGACTTCATGGACGTGTTGCCGAATGTTTTGGCGTACTCGAAGGAGCCTGAATGTGTGAGCAAGTACTAATGGATACAGGTCATGTAGACTACCATCGCGGTTTGTAGCGAGCAAGACGCAGCCTGGTATCTCTTCTGCATCAACAGCTTGCTGGATTGTTGTTTCGAAGTCGGCCATGGTGCGATACGGTATACACTACAGTAAACGGGTGGATTAATTGGTATTAGAGCACGCGAAAATAGGACGGCCGGCAATTTGAACAATGAAAATAGAAGAGGGAATTGACAGTAAGTCCAAGCAACATGGTTGGGGGTCTATCTGTAGTCGTTCGATGACATGCTGCCCGGCCCACAGTAACGCGCGTGGCTTCAGGCAGCCACTTTGCACCCCTGTGCAGCTATACGCAGCCGCCCATAAGTCGGTGAGATATTTCCACTCTCACAAAAGGGATAAACGTATCTAAGGTCGCGCATAGTGCTGCCAGGCGCTCGGTGAAGTCGCTTGTTCATGGACCCTTACAACGTCTAACTAGCGAAGGTATGTATTTAATTTGTACAGGGTGCCCGAAATGAGACATCAGTAACAAAAACTTGACCATAGCTTTCTCTTCGTCTGGGCTAAGGTATTGCTGGCTTTGGGTTTCCAGCAATATTGACGCTCCTCCGTGTTTACGACGATGGAACACTGCTCTTCTCTGAAACTGCACGGTATGGCGCATAATCGCCTGCAGAGAAGACTTCCGCCAGCGCCTGGCTGGCTCAGTCCATGATTGCGGATGTAGTGATGTGTACGGCACTGTCCTACGCATCCTCAACGCAACGACGAGAGCGGCCAGACTCGAGGATAGTCCGTTGCACGTGACATGTCGTAGAAAGTCCGGACAGTCTGCTTACATAACTTGCACGTCATCCCAGCTACAAAGCTTAACAAGAACGTTATAGCTTAGTTTTTACATTCTTCAAGATGCGTTTCGATTAATTAGTGTTGGCAAGACGAGGGCCAAAAGAATGCTACGCGCTTACTTACTCCTAATGTTAGTCTAATTACTACTACTCTTCGTAAAAGGATACATCCGCAACTATGCAATAAAGTGCTCTATATTGAGGTAAGTTAGTAATACGGAAGTCTCTAATTGCATTGTTTAGATTAACGTGTTTTATCAGACCGTGCACGCTATCGGACCGTGTACGCAGAACACTATTCTGCTTGATTTTTTAACACTACATAACTCTATTAATATGGGTAATATTAATACTGCAATTAAAGCTCTAAATAGCTTAAAGCTAGGAGAACTACTTAATTATACCTCTACTATAAAGAAATACGGTGTTAATTAAACTACGTTGTCCTAGAGGCACTGTAGGGTAACAGGTACCTATAAAGAAGGTATAGTTAATAAGTAAAATCTTAACCCTATATAAGAGCGTAAGCTTTTAAAGTACATTTATAAGCTTTATAAAAGAGGACTACTACCTATAAGGGAGATAATTTAAAACTTTGTATTAGAAATAGCTAGAAAACTTATTAGGAAATACTAGGCTAATTAGTAGATTAAAAAGAACAATATTTATCTAATCTCTTAATAGACTACTAGTATTAATATAAAATACTATAAAGCTAATTTAGCCTTTAAATATAAGCTCTATTTTAAGTAGCTATACTAGAAAATTAAGAACTACAGCATTAAGCTACAGTATATGTATAATATAGATAAGAAGGGCTTTCTTATTAGGGTACTCTTAAGAATAAAGAGGATCTTTAGTAGAGATTAATATAAGCATAAGCAGAGCTAGGCAGTACTCTAGGATAGTAATAGAGAGTAGATTACAGTGCTAGCTTATATATATACTAATAGATTAGCTCTTACTCTATTACTTATCTATTAAGCTGCTTCTAGTAATCTTTAGGATACCTAGCTTTAAGATTTTAAGCCTTCTATTTATTAGGCCTTCTTTACATTATTACTAACAGGCTAGACAAGCAACGTAATAGGCCTAGCCTAGCTTAAATAAGTGTTTAATTAGGAGACTTATAAGAAAGTATAACGCTTACACTAATTACTTATTATTAATAGCTACAGTAGCTATGTTACTATAGAGTTTATTAAATACTGTAATAAGAATAAGATTCTTCTTACTGTTCTACTGCTTTACTTAACCTATACTCTCTAGCTACTTAATATAGTTATGTTTAAGCCTTTTTTAATAGCTTACTTAGCTAAGCTCTTAAAATTTATAGATATGTACTAAGGGCTCTTATCTATTACTAAATAAGACTTCTATAGGCTATTTAACTTAGCCTAGAATACTTTATTTAAGTAAGCTACTATTCTAAAAGCTTTTAAAGTAACTAGAGTCTATCTACCTAATTCTAATGTTATACTCTAGAGATTTAATTTAGGAGGCAGCTAGCTATTATTAAGCTTATCTATAAGCTTAGTTTTAAGTACTTTAGACTAAAGGAAGATTAAGCAGCTCTTAAGGTAAGTAATAATTAATAGAAGCTTATATAAAACTTAGAAGCTTAGCTAAATAATCTATATAATCTTAGTACAGAAAACTCTACTAGAGTATAAGAATAGTTAGCTTAAAGAAGCTTTAATTAATAAGAAGAAATATTAGCAGCGTAGTAAAGCCTTACTACTTAAGCTACTAGCTTAGTATAATAGTAGAGCTGTTTTTTAGTCTCCTTTAAAGGTAGCTACTACTTAGGATTAACAGGAATAAAAATAACTTAAATAGGAGGAGCTATAATACTAAAAAAGCAAGGTAATTAAGCTTTAAGATAAGCAGAAGTAGCTTAAAGCTAACCTACTTAAAGAATAACGTTATAATTAAGTTATAGCTTAGGAGATAAAGGCTTAAGAATAAGCTAAAAAATAGGCTTAATAAGAAGAGGATAAGCTTGCTTGCTAAGCTAAGAAATAACTCTAAAATAACATTAAATTATCCTAAAAGGGTAAGAGCAGAAGCCTTAAAGCTATAGTAGCCCTAGCTATTAATTTAGTAGTTAATAATAGGGTAGTTGTATTAGTTAATAATAAGCAGCCTCTTCTGCCTTAGTCCTAATAGAGCTAGAAGATTAAGCTCCTAGCCTAATTTAAGTAGTATAAATTAATTACAGTACTCTATTAACTACTACTTTAAAAAATCTTGTAATAATCTTATTTGTGTAAGGTGCTGTAGCCTTAAAAATGTAGCTTAAAAATTGTGTTCTGCGTGCACGGTCCGATAGCGTGCACGGTCTGATAAAACACGTTAATATGCCCGAGTTTGAAGCAAGGATCCGGGTTTAGCGAGAAAGTTAGATGCTTTAGTTACACCACCCCAACATGCTTAATCGCTGTAGAAATCAAGTATATCATGATACTGTAGGTATTATCCTTTATCCTTGAATTTGTTACAGCACCTATACGTTCCACATAGCGCTATTACGTAGGTCGTTTTGAGGTATACTACCATCACGCTATTCCCGGGTTCTTTCTCCGAGCTAGAGGCTATGCCAGGTTTTTAGATAAGGCAGGATAATGGTAGGATAAGGTTGTTCCTGAGGAAGGCGGGGCTGTCACGATGACGATACATATATCCACTATACTACATCACATTACCAGCCTTACTTGTATAAATACATGAGACAATTCACTTACTTACTACCGACCTACATCCGCAAAAGATAAACTCCAACTACACACACTACCACACACCACCTCACAACTTCCAAAATGGACAGCAACCAATCGCAGAACCAGTCGGGCCAGAAGGAGGATTACGCCGACAAGGCCCTCGACGGTGCCGAGAAGAAGTTCGGAGGCGCACAGGGTCAGAACACAGAGCAGAACCGTGCCGTGAACGAGAAGATTGTAAGTTATCTCTCCGCTTCTTCAAGACGGATCCTGAGGCATGGGTCTTCACCTACCCACTCCTACATGACATGATATGACGCGGCGCACGTGACATATAAGCTAACACTACTACAGACGGACGGTGCACGAGGAATGTTTGAGAAGGCCACGGGCAAGGATGTCCCGGACAAGTTCTCTAACTAGAGTGGATGATGAAGGAAAGGACCGAAGAGCGATGAGCCAAAGGTCGATGGATGAGAACGAGATATCACAACAATGACATGGAATGCTAGGAACACGAAAAGTGTATACTTTTCATAGTCACAATAAAAACAATCACATGAACAAGATCACCATATACTGTCGTCGTCATCGGATCCTGTCGAACATCCTTTAGCACACCGTGAAAGACAAGCTAGCCAACGAGCATTTCTCAAGGTGCGTCGTAATAAGTTGGATTGGTGATTGATTAGAGCCAAAGAAGACTAACCGCTTACTTGGTGTCCGTTTCTTAATTTCATCATCCGATAGTGCCTAGTCGAATGACCGAAACATAAGCTGCCTTTTTGGAAATTCAATACTTTCTCAGTATCAGTTGCTAATCTAAACATCTTTGCTTGTACTCATCTCCCAAACTTTCACTGTTGCACTACAACCATCGGGATACTTTCAGTGTTGTTGGTCTTGTTGTTCTTTCGTTGTGAGTTAAGTCGCATGCCTGCTATATGTCGGTCTTTCAAACTGACCGAGCAGTACCATCGGACGATGGGATACATTAGCACAAAATATCCTGTTCAATTCAATCACCCTCCCCTCTCAGTATGAAGCGAGTCAAGAGATTCATTAGAAAAAGTGTTCATGTCCACTGGCCCGTCCGCAAACCGATTCCTGCGAATTCAGACGAATACTATCAATGGGTGACAGCCACTCAACAAGTCTATAGATGTGACATTATTCCTACAATAATGCAAGATTGCTTGGGCTCTCAGATTCATAGGATAGAATTTATGCGTTTGTAGAATCGCTTCCAGGTTCTGAGCGACACATCGATATATATATCCGAATTGCAACGACCCATTTCTAGTCATTTACCAGTGTTTCGCCGCAAGTTACATTTGCACAATGAACGATATTGACCTCTTGGATTACGCGGTCTATGGCGAACAATCAATTCACTCCGACGTACCGTCCTGGATACCGCGCTGGGATATTCAGAATACTAGTGCAGCATCACCGAAAAGTCCAGGTTGGCCAGGTTTAACATCACGTACAAATTCTACGTGTGTACCTGAGGTGGTGGACAATGTTATCCTAGATGTCTGTGGCGCGGTTTTAGATTCTGTACAGTACGTTTTAGATATTCTATACCGTTCCAACTTATCACTAGATCTGATTTGCGAAATTTGGAAGACCATAGACGCGCTGGGGGCGATACCACCATATTCCGCGTCGTATCAACTCGAAGTTCTCATAGACGTGTTCTGCATGAACCAATCTTATGGAGAACGGTCGGGTTGGAGTTAAAGCAAAGCGGCGTTCCTGTTTGATGTGTACGACAAGAGTAGCAAAATTGGCAAGGCTGAGCTGCCGTCTTCCGCGCTCGATGATGAAGCCAGAGATCCAAGTCTCTACTTGAGCGTGGTGGAACAACGTGCACACAACCGCAGAGCTTTCGTCACAAAACGCGGATATATGGGGCTAGCCACACCTGTGGCTCGTGAAGGGAATACGTGTGCCATCATCTTCGGTTGTACGACATCTTGCATCCTGCGAAGCACGTATGAGAAAGATCACTACTTGCTTGTAGGCGCGTCATGCACCATGGGAAGAGAGGTATATGTAAGAGATGTGGGCTTCATTCAACTGGGCTCAAGTCAGAGCAAAGATTGGACGGAATGGGATGTCGATGAGCAAGATATATACCTATACTAGAGGACGAAGGCTGCTCTTCCCCCTATCCAAGGCCGACATATGATAATCTCTAGTCAATTTTTTTCAATGCATTGTCGTTTGCAGGGTGGTCGTTGTGGTATCTCTGGTCGAATAATTTTCGGTCATGATCTGACGGTCTCTCGCGCAGCATCACGATTTTGCGCGCTTGCAGAGCTGCGTCTTGCTCGGGAAGTAATTATATTATCCGTTCGTCTTTGCAATGTCGTGAATCATAGTTGAGAAAGACATACAGTTCGACGAGATGATGAATGGTGTGGTGGATCTTGTCAGAAAATATAACCATCAGCGCAGATTCCAGGAGCCGGTTGCCCAATTGCAAACTCAATACTTATGTTGCTCAAATTGGTACAAAACAGAATGCTTGAATTAATTAGACGGTGTAAAGGTACAGTACACTTGGTCAAGCAATTCGATATCTGAAGTAGAGAGGTGAAGTGAGGTCAGGGATGGTCGCTCCTTCCTACATGGGACCCTTGTCTTGCCAAGCGGCCCCTGCGCCTTCCCGCATCGTACTCGGGCGAGGCTCAATGCGACGAGGAGCACTTTCAATCCATCCACGCGTCCCTCTACATCTCCCACCTCCGTCATGCTCTCCGGGATCCTCATCTTCAACCAGAAAGGCGAGAACCTCATATTTCGCGCCTTCCGCAACGACTGCCGCCCGCGCCTCGCCGACGTGTTCCGCATCCAAGTCATCTCCAACGCCCAAGTACGCTCGCCGATTCTCACTCTTGGCTCGACGACCTTCAGCCATGTGAAGCACGAGAATATATACCTGGTGGCGGTGACCAAGAGCAATGCGAATGCGGCGCTGGTGTTTGAGTTCCTATACCGGTTGGTAGGCTTGGGCAAGGCGTACTTTGGGAAGTTTGATGAGGAGGCCGTGAAGAACAACTTTGTGCTGGTGTACGAACTCTTAGATGAGATTCTGGACTTTGGATATCCCCAGAACACCGAGACGGACACGCTGAAGATGTACATTACAACGGAGGGAGTCAAATCAGAGAGAGCCATGGTATGTGTAGCCCCTGGCAGTGGCGCAAGAATATTAGCTGACAACTATCTAGGAGGACTCATCGAAGATCACAATGCAGGCAACAGGCGCCCTCTCATGGCGACGAGCAGACATCAAATACCGCAAGAACGAGGCTTTTGTCGACGTGATCGAGGATGTGAACTTGCTCATGTCAGCGACAGGGACAGTGTTACGAGCGGATGTAAACGGGCAGATCGTAATGCGCGCATATCTTTCAGGGACGCCGGAGTGCAAATTCGGGCTCAACGATCGGTTAACGCTGGGCGAGGACCACTTACAACAACCCTCAGGAAATAAAGCTGGCGCAAAGGCTACAAGAGCAGCAGCTGGAAGCGTCACGCTCGAGGACTGCCAATTTCATCAGTGCGTGAAGTTGGGCAAATTCGATACAGACAGGATAATCTCCTTTGTCCCGCCAGACGGCGAGTTCGAACTCATGCGATACCGGGCAACCGAGAACGTCAATCTCCCCTTCAAAGTCCACGCCATTGTAAACGAAGTAGGTAAGACGAAAGTCGAATACAGTATCGCCATCCGTGCCAACTACGGCTCGAAGCTCTTCGCCACGAACGTCGTCGTGCGAATACCCACGCCTCTCAACACTGCCCGCATCACCGAACGGACATCACAAGGCAAGGCGAAGTACGAGCCAGAGCACAACAACATCGTCTGGAAGATCCCGCGCTTCACAGGCCAGAGCGAGTTTGTGTTGAGCGCAGAGGCGAGCTTGACCAGCATGACTAACCAAAAAGCATGGTCAAGACCACCACTCAATCTGAGCTTTTCCCTGCTCATGTTCACAAGTTCGGGGCTGCTTGTGCGGTATCTGAAAGTATTTGAGAAAGGGAATTATAGCAGTGTGAAGTGGGTACGATACATGACGAGAGCGGGTAATTATGAGATAAGGTAGGGCTCTTCCTCTCCTCGCGATGTGTTGACCAGCAAGATACTAACGTGTGCACAGGTTTTGATTCTCGTTGGTAATATACATACGCCTCGCTATATTTGTTGGCAGCGTTGCATTGCAGGCGTTGACGAAACGTAATCGTACGACATTCTGGAAATTTAATTGATCCCTATTCTCACTCACATATATTCTTCAATGCTGAACGTGAGTATAACCTTGTTGATCTCCTGATTTGGGAAGTAGAAAAGTGCGTTGTGTGCATGTCAAACCAGCTCTTACAACTTGCGACGTCGTTCGCGAGTTCGGTGAGTTCGTTAGAGAGTGGCTTCGTAAGAGCTTCTTTTCAAAGATTGTTCTGACACAGCCATACTCACGCACTTCTTTTTGACGCTCAAACATACTTCCAGATATCTATTTGATGTAAGACCTACATCTGGACACTGGAGAGGGTTGAATGCGTATGTGGTGGTATTCTATTTCGCCATTGATGAGCTGAGAACATGGCATGAACCACGAATACCCAAGCAACATTGGTAACACGAAAAATAAATAACCAAGCATCCAATCGGCCATAGATGCGCCTAATTGAGAGTTTCCCGTATAGCGGTTAGTCTACGGCAAGCAGATTTCCTTTTTGATGTGTTCCAGAATGCCTAAAACCTTCTCGTCCTCAAATCGCCTGCCAACGAGCTGCAACCCAACAGGCGCACCGTGGAATTCTTCGGGATCCCACAACTTCCTATTATCCTCATCCTGGCCATTCCAAACGCTCCCATCATCGTCCCACACATCTGTAGCTTTATCAACCTGAGACACTGGGAAGACTACACCCGGGTAGTCGAGTAGATTCCACTGGCTTGTATAGCTCCAATACTTGGCAGTATTGTGTTTGGGTGCTACACCAGGACCAACAGGGCAAAGGAGTGCATCGATGCCATACTTGTTCCAATGCAGGGCATACTCTTTACGATAGGCTTCACGTTCTTCGTACCAGTATGCTAGCTCACCAACCGAGAGTTTCTTGACGCACGGATTCTCTTTGATGATCCATTCGGACAGCGGACGCCATGGTTCGCCGGAAGACTCGATGTCCTCCGTATCTGCCTCGCCACCATCTGGGTAGTAGAGCGAAGACAAGATGGTCCACGCTTCGTCATGCAGGTGGGACGGGAAGTCGATTACCTGCATACCTTGCTTTTTCAGGCGATCCGAAATTGACTTCAGGGCACGAGTGATCGGCGGATGCGGTCGTACAACACCGTCGTGCCATAGGACTCCTATCTTCAAGGGCCGGTCTTGAGGTAGTGTATATGTTCGCCACGGCATGGGGATCAGTGCTGGCTCCGTCAGCCACGGCTCTGAATCAACAATGGTCTTCATGAAGATCTTTAGTCCGTCTAGTGACGTCGAGAGCGGCCCCAGAACAGTCTCTACAGTATCTGCACCGGCCATCATATAGCCCCAGCCGTCGGTGGGAAGTCGGAAGGCCGTTGGTTTGAAGCCGTATATATTGCAATTGGCAGCTGGGCTTCGAATAGATCCACCAACATCCGAGCCGATCCCCAAACACGAACCGCGAAGCGCAATGACAGCTCCCTCGCCGCCCGAGCTTCCCCCTGATGTAAGGTTGCTGTTGTACGGGTTGGTAGTCACGCCGTAGAGATTGGAGTCTGTCTCCAGATGCATCATGGTCTGCGGCACTGTCGTCCTGCAATGGAATACAGCACCTGCATCACGGAGCACCTGCAGAATGTGCGCATCTTCTTTCACAATAGTATCCCAATGCGAGACATAGCCAGTCGTGCACCGCAGGCCTTGGAACCCAATGTGTTCTTTGATGCTGATCGGCAAGCCATGGAGAGGGCCTATCGGACGTTTGTGCTCCTGGAAGTAGGTGTCAAGTTCCTTTGCTCTTTCCAAGGCCAAGTTAGGGAGAAGCTCAGTGATGCAGTTAGAGAGTTGTTGAGCTACAGCTGCGCGTTGCAAATACGCGTTAGTGACTTGGACGGCAGTAAGCTGGCCACTTGCCAGTGAAGAGAGGAGTTCTCCAGGGAGCAGGCTCGTGATTGTGACAATCTGCTTGTTCAAGGCCTGCTCTGGAATGCTCGTGACATTCTTGGGTGGGTTCGCCGGTATTTTGGGTACTCGAGGCGACAGCAGGGCAATTGTCGAGTCTCGGTGATCCTGAGCTTCTCTTGCAATTTCCTCCCACGACCTCTTCGGCGACTGTGATTTTGGAACTGACATCGAGGCTGGACTGCGAAGACAATGCAGCAGTCGCGCTGATGTCATGTAGCTCTCGATAAGAACCTATGGATAAGGATGCGTCGATAAGGATGTCGGTGCATGTCACTGTCGAGCGCCGACGCGAGTGGAACATTTTTTGACAGCGCGACGATATTTTCAGAGGCACTCACTCTCAACGCTTTTCGCTCTCTGTTCTGCATCTGGTCTTTTCCGGGGCTGTTTGTGTATGTACGGTTGCTCAGATAATGAAAATAGTTTCACACTCTCTATCACTGCGCCTGCTTGCTCGTTCTCACCTTCCGTCGCGCCTGTCTCTTTCAACTAAGCAGATTTCAAGCCGTCCAGCAATCCTTTCCAGCTTCACCAGTAGCTACAGAACGCTCACCACCATGCCTCCTCCATCCAAGCGCAAGTTCAGGCCACGAGGCGGCGCTGGTGCTGGTGCTGGTGCAGGTAACGGCAACGGCAATGGCGCACCTGCGACTCCGCGCTCGAGCGTTGCACAGCACCCGAAGCGTCCCAGGGTCGAAAGCACAATGCCCGCGACCGAGGGTACTGTCGACGTAAAGCAGATGTACAGCACGTCCGCTGGCGACGCGGAGCCAAAGCCGTGGTCGGTGATGAACGGCAAGCTGGACAAGGCACTGCTGAACAACCTGGACAAGATGGGCTTCGAGTAAGCACACATCGCACAAGCCTCGCTATACACGTCGGCTAATCCGTATAGGTTCATGTCGCCAGTCCAGCAAAAGGTCCTCACCGAGCTGCCGTCCTTTTCCTCCGACTGCGTTGTGCAGGCCAAGACAGGCACGGGCAAGACTGTCGCCTTTTTGCTTCCCGCCATCCAGAACCTGCTGTCGGGCAATATGCCCCCGCGAGGCCATGTTGGTATTCTCGTAGTCTGTCCCACGCGCGAGCTCGCTCTCCAGATCGCCAAGGAGTGCACGGCCGTCACTGCTTCTTTGCCGCAGAGGATGGAGTGCCATACAGCTTTTGGCGGTACTGCACGTGCATCGAGCCTGAAGCTTTTCCTCAACGGCAACCCTACCGTTCTCGTTGCTACCCCTGGCCGGCTTGACGATATTCTAGGCGAAGAGGAGGTGCGCCGGAGGTTCACTCATGTCCAGACGGTTGTCCTTGATGAGGCCGATCAGATGCTTGACCAGGGGTTTGCGCCCGCCATCAAGAAGATCCTGAGGCAGATTCCCCCTAAGAATGACGGCTGGCAGGGTATGTGCTTCTCCGCTACCCTTCCCGAGTCAGTTCTTGACGTCGCCAAATGTGTGCTTTTTCCCGGGTACACTCACCTGTCTACATTGGATCCCAACGAGGTGCCGACGCATGAACGAGTTCCACAGTTTTACTTTTCGGTCCCTGCCGTCCAACAGACATTTGCTGCTCTCCTGGGATTGATTAAGGAAGAGCATTCGCAAGACCCCAAGGACTTCAAAGTCATTGTATTTGGCACTACTGCCAATGGCGTCGCATTACTCTACGAGCTATTCAGGCAAGCCCTGCCCCAGTTCAAGGCATTCGAACTGCACAGCCGCATGAACCAGAACGCACGAACACGTACAACAAAAGAGTTCAAAGAGGCAGAAAGCGGAATTCTATTCGCTTCTGACGTTGTTGGCCGTGGCATGGACTTCCCGAATGTTGGCTTGGTGATCCAAGTGGGTCTTCCTTCCAGCGGCGAGCAATATGTCCATCGAGTAGGACGTACTGCTCGTGCCGGCAAGGACGGGCGAGCCGTGCTGATCGTTACCGAAAACGAGTCGTTCTTCCCCAAAACGAATCCCAACTTGCCCATTCAGCCCTATCCGGTGGACATCGTGTCGCAGCTGCCGACGCACCAATCGACCATCGATAGAGCTTTTGTCAAGGTCGATGAACTCGCAAAGACCAAGGCTTACCAAGCATTCCTCGGGTACAACAAACCTTTCTGCAAGAGACTGAGGTTGTCCACGGCGGAACTTGTACGCGTGGCTAATGACTATGCGTTTGCCATGGGCTGCCCGGAGACGCCTATGTTAGAAAAGTCGACTGTCGGCAAGATGGGCCTAAAGGGCGTGCCCGGTCTGAGGATCGGTTCGACGAGGAGGTGATGTGGAATCACTACAAACTATCCGGCGTCAAGGCATTTGGGTACCTCATTCACAACGGTGGTTTCTCCGAGATGAGACACAACCAATAGAAGCTCACATTTCAGTAAGCTGCCTTGCTTTTCTGGGTCATAACGTATAGATGGTTATACGGGGTTTTCACGGCCGAGCGCTGCATTTGATTGTTCTGCACTTTTTTTTACGATAGATCGGGATGGTAGAAATAAGTGAGGGTAAAGACGTTTAGACATGTTAAAGCTTTGGTGGCGTTTGTCCTCTAACGAATATGTATTCATGTCTACAAATGGGTAAGTGGTTTGTTTGATCACTGGTCTTGAAAGCACACTTCTAATGCTGCTTCCCACTTCGTGATGCTACCCTTTTCGGAATGACTTTTATGAAGCAGTCGAAGACAACACGTCGTGCTAAAACACATAATGATGTAAACGGCTTGTAAGGGATTTGCAGAAGCGTCTACTAAAAATAGCTCATTGACAAAGATACCCATCTGTGGTGATGTGTTTGAAGGATGCTTATCAGCCGGAAATCCAGAAACCGGATCGGGTGCATTGTCAAGGCCTTGGGGCATCCCGTTGTTGAAATTGTGAAAATCATCGGATGATCTCCATACCCAGCTTTGAAGGATTACGGATCAAATTCCGCGTCGATCACGCATCAACAGCTGACTTGATGATACATTTCAATGCTGAAATTTGCGGAGAGCCGCCCAAGAAACTGCTTTCGTGAAGTGAATACGCGGATAGCCGAAACTGACGGACCCACGGGCACAAGAGTGGTAGTGAAGGCTGCCCCTCTCTCAATTGCATGAAGACCGGTAATTCGCCATCAGTAGTGCACCGTACCCGCCTGGTATTCCATGGGTTGACCTTCTGGACGGGAGATTGGCGGCTGTCAGCTCGGATTGATTAGCGCCTAGAACTTTACCATCTCGATGAAGAAGGCGATTCACAATTCTATGCTTCGCAAAAAGGCACTGGCGCCGTAAATCCGAGAGAAAGCGAGAACGCAATCTTAGACAAGGCTAAACATCCAGCTGGTTTTACACTTAGGCAATTAGCAAGCTCCGTGTGGTAGAGAAGCTTGGTTGGTGGAGTGAGAGCTGCGGCCAGGATGATCCCGCGTCGTGGCTTGCGAGTTTCATGCGCTCCATGGGCTTAAGTCGATAACGAGCGGTCTATAGGCCATGCAGGAGGCCCCTCCCAGACGAACGGTAGTGGTGAACAGCAGTAGCTCGGCCTGGTTCGTGTTTTAAGTTGTGCAGGTTATGGATGAGCGACAGGTTACTTTTGAACGAAGGATCTCGCGGCGTGGAGGGCAGAAGCAATCAGGTCGTTGCCTGACATGTGCCCTATGGCGCTCTGTGTGCGAACAGCTGGCTAGCTCGACGACCAGGGCAGGGACATTCCTGGGCAGCTCTCACAATGACGCGCGATCGATCAGTGGAACGCGACGGGAGCACCGTCATTGGGTGGCGTCCCTTGCACGGTCGCTCCTTCCTTGCGTTTGCATCCGCACCTGCCTTGGCGCAGCTCAATCCACGTCCAGTCCTCACGCCCGCTCTCGCCCTCGGCGTCCCAACTGCAGCCGTTGTGTCTCTTCTCTTCTTGCATCACCGCCCTCTGCCCTACGCGCTCCCCGTCCTGACGCGGCATTGCATTCCTTGTCGGCCACCCAGGCAGACGCAGCGCCCCTCCTCGACGACACGCCAGCTCACTCTCGACACGCCCTGCCTGTTAGCGCCGGTAAGCGAGCTCCTCCGCTGCTTCATACTCCGCACAGGCGGTCGGACAGCAGCCCACGTCCCCAAGGGCCTCCTTTCTCACGACTCGCAGCAAATTCGCCAGTCGTATGACAGCCAGCATACTCCCGCCGACTACTAACCGCAATCCCCCTACTGTGTCGTCTGCTGCACACTGGGCTGTCGTCATCCAATCTCATCTGCACTGCACTTGTCGACACCCAATCTGAGATTCTGCACGCGATTTTACGCGTCAAAGCGCCTGGACAGGCTATACAAGCCTCTTAGAGACGCCGTCGGTCGTGCTCGCAATGGCTGCAGCGCGCCGACAACCGTCCTTGCAGATTTTTCAGGACCCTCTCACTCCCCAGGCCTTCCACCGCGCCAACACGTACGACCCGCGATACTTGGATGCCTTTGTGTCTGTCACCGACGTGTCAAACGCCTCCCACACACTCCTCTCACCGCCACAAGCCCTGACAGGCGCGCCTTCTCCGCGGAAGGGCCGACAGATCTCCAGCTCTCCCCCTCCCAGTGCCCTCGTCGAGAAAGGCCTCAACTCCGTGTCTCTGCCTCCGCCACGAGAGCAGAGCTTCCGTACAGACGCGCCTCCAAAGAAGTCACAGCCGTCCGTACCTGACATGGCACAACCCTTAGCGGGGTTCTGGGCCAGTTCCCAAACACAAATCGACAAAGAGAACGCGTCCTCTTATGCCGCGCCTTTCACATCCAAGATGTCAGCCGCAGAACCGTTAGTGAAGCAAACGACCAAGCGGGGTGTCATAGACGCGACGCCGCTACGGGATCGCAGCAAGAAACCCAAAGCCAAGGAAGTGAAGATCGAGGAAGCAGAGGGCCCGCTGCCAGAACCAGAGGCTATGCCCGGAGTCGAGGACGACGGAAACAAGCCATCGTACAGCTACGCAATGCTCATTGGCATGGCCATCCTGCGGGCACCAAGCCGTCGATTGACACTCTCCCAAATCTACAAGTGGATTTCAGATACTTTCGCCTTCTACCGCAACTCCCCGGAGACGGGTTGGCAGAACAGCATCCGCCACAACCTGAGTCTGAGCAAGTCGTTCTCTAAGCAAGAGCGCCCAAAGGACGACCCTGGAAAGGGCCACTACTGGATCATCAACGCTGGCTTCGAGAAGCAGTACCACAAGATCAAGATAGCCCGCCGACTCACCAACCCTGATACTTTCTTGCCAGCATACCCTAGTGACCTGCCACAACCGACCACGTCAACGTCTGCTAGCTTTCCGCCAATGAGCGCGACTAAGGGGTTCGACTCGAGCAAGTTCACAGAGGAGCCCGAGCTGCCTTCTTCAGACGCCACTATTCTCTGCTCGGACCCAGCTGCCCATGACGGACATGATCCTATGAGCATGCCACCGCCACGCCAAATTCCATCCTCGCCCCCACCAGCAGATATTCGGTCCTCACCCCCACCGCCTGCTTCGCGCCCGCGTTCAGCTCGTGATGACACGCCGCCTCGCGCACCACGCCTCCCGTCCAACAGCCGATCCGGCGGACGAAAACGCAAGTTTCACGTTCTTAATGACAGCGGCTACTATTCGTCTATTGAATCATCTGCCATGAAAGGCAACCCCCTTGGGCCGCTACTCACTTCTGATGCAGATCATGAGCGCCCAATCAAGCGCGGACGCGCCGAAGAGGAAATCGCTCGCATACGTGGCTCCTCATACGACTCTCCGTCGAAGACTCGGCCCTACATGAAGCAGCCGGCAAATGCCAGCATCATCTCGTCACCGTTCCGCCAGCCTGGAAAACTGAACAATCCATTAACCCCTGCCATCGTCTTCAAGCGTCCTGCTCTTCCACCGGCTTCGGCATCTCCAAATACCAATCTGCGCAACCATCGCAACAAAATGCGAGAACTTGTTGGCGGCTCGCCAGACAAAAGCCTGGCCATGTGGGTAGATACGTCCTTCTTGGATGGCAAGGGCTGGAGCCCGGCTGTCTCGATACCAAACGAGGAGCATGTGAACCTAGTGGGTGAAGGCTTTGAAAGCACTTTTGACGTCTTCGGCAACTTCAGCTATAATGATAGCCCAATCAAGCGGAGTACAAAACGTCCTCGTCTGGAACGTGCTGCAAGCACAGGCGGCCTTCTTGCAAATGTCACTGGTGCGAGGAACAACGTAGCCAACTCTCCGACGCCTAACTGGAAGATGTCGTCCTCCTTTCTCAACATCCCAAATCTGTCGCCGGCTAAGAATCTCTCCCCGCTAAAGGCTCCCATCCTGAAACCGTCGACTTCACACCCACTGCCAGCCTTCTCGTTCCACAACGTGAACAAGGAGAACGGCCGCACTGGCCTCACCCCTCCGAAGTCATTCCACATCTCTGCAACACAGCAACAGCAACAACAAGACGACGATGATATCTTCCACCTCCTGCACAGCGACGAGTCTGAGCCAGGTATTGATCTCTTGCAGGGTTTCGAAAAGATTGGAGCCAGGACATCTGCCGTCGCACCGAATGGATCACCTCAGAAGGCATCTGCGAGGCCAGGTATGGTCCGCAGCTCCACAGTGCGATTCTAGGATTTACATGTGGACAATGATGTCACGTATTGCAAATATCGTCAGTTGCGACAAACAAGGACTTCTAGCTCAGTTGGTTCGAGGCCTTGACTCACCCCTGTGGGTTCGAGTTGGCCTCGCCGATAGTTGGATAACCTAGTTTCGAACGACGACGATTGAGGAATACCGACGTCAGGACACATGTTCTTGCCTTCTTGCCGCCTGGTTTTGCGTGCTTGCTTGCGATTGTTTATCTCCATCAGGCTTGGTCCTTACACCACACATTGTGTTGGCTGGCAACGGTCATCTATCTATTCTGCTCCATTCCTTTCAACAACACTTGGACTACCTACCAAATTCTTGGATTAATCCATTGGATAATCTTACCTTACGACGTCACGACGAACGATACCCACGACAGCAACGGCTGCCCCTTCTATATTTAGCGTCTACTCGATACCTGTTAATACTAGACATGGCATTGGGAGGGCCGCGTGGGTGCATACATTACACTTGGCAATAACTTTTTACCATGGCGTTTTGTTCCTTTGAGCGATGTTTTTTGCTTTTTCTTTGGTTTGCGTGTTATACGCGGTAATGATATTTTATCTTGGATAATGCCTTTTTCTCGGATTGGCGACTCTTCTTGGGAGTGCGCTACGGGGGTTGTCTATGGTCATTGCTAGATGACGATGAGATGGGAAGGAATGGATGGGACGCGAATACGGCTCAACGGCAGGCAGTCCATGGTCTTGTTCTTCTCAATGCATAGCGAAATGGAAATATTGCTGCTTCTTCAAGTGTCTGCTTCTACTGTTGCTGTGCTGGAATCCGATCATTCCTGATGAATCTATGTCAATGTAGAACAGCACTGTCTTGTTCGATGAACCGCGCGTATCTTGATTAAACCTCCTTGCCTATTGCTAGTCCAAATTTTCCAAATTTCAGTCTACGCTTTGAAACACTTGAATGAGAGCACAGTAAGATAGATAGCCAACACAAAACACAGGCAACAGGTCCAGCATCAGAAGTCAAAAATGGATGTATGCAAGCACATAAAATTCAACACGCACACACTACGTCCTATAATCCCCATTGATAGTAACATACTCGTGGGAAAAGTCACACGTCCAAAACACAGCCTCCTCAGTATACCCCTTGGTCTCACTCAACCGGACCTTAATTTCCAGATCCTCCGCCTCCAGTATCTTAGCCGCGCGCTCCTCGTCAACCTGCTCAGGCTCGCCGCGCACCAGCAACTTCAGCTCCTCGCTGCCGTCGGCAGGCACAAAGCTCACGCTCGTTTCCTCAGGGATGACGCTGTCGTTGCCCTCTGCGTAGCCCGTGGCGCACAGGATGCGGCCCCAGTTTGCGTCTTTGCCGTACAGGGCTGTTTTGACGAGTGGGGAGCGGGCAATGGTCGATGCGATGCGGTGCGCCGTCTTGTACGAGTCGGCGTTTGTGACGCGGATCGTGACGAATTTGGTTGCGCCTTCGCCGTCGCGGACGACGAGCTTGGCGAGGTCGACGGCGAAGTCTGTGAGGACCTTTTGGAAGGCGGAGAAGTCGGGCGTGTCGGTTGTGGTGATCTCCTGGCCGCCTGCGGCGCCGTTGGCGAGGATGGCTACTGTGTCGTTGGTGGATGTGTCGCCGTCGATGGAGATGCTGTTGAATGACTTTCCGATTGCGGCGGTGAGCGCTGCGCTGAGGGGGGCGCCGGTCAGGGGCGCGTCGGTGCAGATTATGCCCAGGAGGGTAGCCATGTTGGGGTGGATCATGCCTGCGCCTTTGGTCATGCCGGCGATGCGGTACTCCTCCTTACTACTGGGGAGGGTGAAAGTCTTTGAGAGGAGTTTGGGGAACGTGTCTGTTGTGCAGATTGCGCGTGCAGTGCCTAGCCAGTGGTCGTGTGTGTTCCCGAGGTTGGAGTATGCAGTCGGGATCTTGGAGGTGATCTTGTCGATGGGCAGACGCTGACCGATGACTCCAGTGCTCATGACCACGCTCTGGCTCCCCTGACCATCGTCTTTGCCGTCGCTGAAGCACGAGTCGGTCGCTTTGCCCATGGCAATGGCATCTTCAATGCCCCCACGTCCCGTGACCGCGTTTGCACACCCCGAGTTCACAATGACAGCCCGGATGCCCTGACCTTTCCTCTTCTTCAGCATCTCCCTGCTCACCGTCACCGGCGCGGCCTGGAATTTGTTGGTCGTGAAGACCGCAGCGCCAGAACATGGTGTGTCGGACGCTATAAGAGCCAGGTCGTCGAAGCGCGTGTTTGAGGCCTTGACACCAACATGTGCGCTGCCTGCTCTGAATCCCTGGGGATAGCTGCCAGAGGTCGGTATGTACTTTTTCTTGGAGGCAGGAATTGCGCCGTCGCCAGGCGCAGAATAAGTTCGGATCTGCGAATGGAAGATCCGGTTTGTGCGAGCGAGTAAACGCGGGTTGGAACGTGCGAGAGACATGCTGGAGAATGTCGTGGGCGCAATTGCACTGCGAAATAAATTGTCAGATGTGTATTTGGAGATGACGCAAGCCTCTAAGCTCGCAGAAGCTTCCTCGCGACGAAATTTCTACCTTAAGCAATTTGACGTACCTCTGCACTTTGTGTCTCGTTCACAGCACTCTGACTCACTCAATTGACGACCTGCGTCCGTTGCAATGCCAGTAATGACTGTTCCAAACCTCACCCACGATCTCCGTTATCGCTCCGCAACTGCCGCTAGCCTACCACAGCCTAGTCGTTGATCCCACCTGGAGATCTCGCGTCAGAAGCCACGCACCCAACGTCGAGCCTACAACATAGCAGGACAGAATCGCGTATCTCGTGATGGCGATACGATCAGGACGCGCTATCCAAGGCGCAGCGACGAAGAGAATTGTAGTTGTGGGCAGGCTTGCAGGAACGGACAGGGTAAGACCCCGGGCGAGGAGATCCAAATGAGCACCGAGTCGACTCTCTGGGCTGCAGAAGTTGAAATGAACGAAGAATTGCAAGACCGCGAGGACAACACACAAGAGCAAGAGAAGAAATTCCGTCGATTTTCGAACCAATGGTTCGCGATGTGGCGAAACAGCACGTTCTGTGATGGGAAGCAGCGGTGTCTTCTCAGAGGTGGAGTTCATGATGTAAAACGAAAACTGTTGTATGATATGAATTGAGATGAGAGCAAGAGTGCAATATATGTTTGCTTATAAGACCCATCTCCATCATCTAAGATTTTATGAAACATTCGCGATCACGTCCTCTCTCTTGTTGCTTGGGAGCTTGGCTCATCTCCGCATGTTACACATGTGCGAGTGTAATCTCCTTGTTTCACCGACGCTGGTTGACAGGCACCATCTCGATCGATAGAAGAAACAACCTTGATGTTGCAGGAGTGCTGGATCGCACGTGGGTCAAGGACATGTTTGAGAGTCTTCCAGCCTCAACGTCAATGAGACCAATCTGCAAATTTCCTGAACCATCATCTCTTCGTAACAACCATCCCTACATTATGCAATATAATTCGACCCGATCTACTTATGGCTGCGTCATCTTAAATACTGGTTCTCACACGGGCACCAAGCCTGGAAGCCCTCCAATTGTCTACTTGGCCTTACTCTCCTTCACTAACCACCCGTCGTTCGCGAACCCGCGGTTCGGAATCCAGACGCATTCGTGAACGACAGCGTACAAAGATGTATGTCGTCCAGCCGGATACCAACAGCGGATCGATGAAGCTTCGATATGAATGCGCTAGTCCACTTGCGAGACAGTAGGGTGCAGCTTCTTGCTTGGGATTTCTACATCGGGCCACAAAGACTAGTCTTGGACGAGCTGCGACGGGATTGTTGTCACGAGGAGTTAGCCAGTAGGTTGCATTCCTGAGCTCAAAAGGCAGGAAGGAGGAGGAGAAGCGATGGCGTCATTAACTCGATGCAGTCTGCGCCATTTCCGATGCAGTGCAGTATTCGTACATGAGGATTGTCTAGTTCGTCTGCAAACAAACATTCGATCAGCAATGTCTGGAAATGGGGAGAGAAAGGTAAAGAATGCGACCAACAGCAGATGCGATCCCAGTTATGCTTTCAATACTCATGAATAAGCTTCTTAAGTGCGACAATTGTTTCCAAGCAGCTCTTTCATGTCAAGAGAAGCGTTATTACGTACGATTTCTGTATCGACATTCCTCTCGTGGTAGTGTCTGCCCAAACTCCAAAACCGTTGTTACTCTCAATTTGTCCGCTGATAAACCTCCAGGAAAAAGGGAAACCCCAGCGGTCCGCCAGAAGGACGGCTTCAGGAACAACAAGCAGAGCGGAGCTACGTACGTAGCTTCGGTCTTTCTTATCAAAATATGACGGGCTAGGGGTAGTACTACCTCTGAAATGTCACAGACGGATGGTCGTGGGACGGAGCGTTGAACTAAGTCAAGCTAGATATGTCGGTTCCTTGCACGACTCGAAGCGAAACCTACTTTCACTCACACTAGTCGTAGTCGACAGCGACCAACGTTGCACACATCGATGGCTTGCAGTTTGCAGTTCGAGAACCCCACATCCTGCTTGTCATCCACATTCCCGCAACACTAGGCGTAAGTGACAGACTCCGAAGCTCAAATACTCGAACTACGATGTATGTCATACCACTTTCCAAGTTACTACTCGCCTAAAAGCAAGCACCGACCTCGGCACGAACCCTGTATGGCATAGTAGCCAAAGTATGTTCCTCCTTCCGCGTCAGCTGGACTAGTTCTTTCTCTGCCCTGAAACAAAAGGTATGCAAGCCTCGCCCACCACTACGCATCGCTCGACAGTTTAGAGGGACGAAAACGAGGATGGCGTCGGCACATCTTCCGCTACCCGTACAATTGTTTCGTTTGTCCGGCCATCTGGTCGAGTGAGGAATGGCGTAGTTCCGTTCGCGTAGCTAGAGGGGAGGCAGGATAGTTCTCGAACTTTGGGTATTTACCAGGGGGGTTGCCATAGTGGGTTTCATGGTCGCATTCGGTTTTGCTTTTTTTTGAAGGGTTATCATTCCACATCGAATACTCAATCGATACTCTCGGATTCCTCTTGAAGAATCAATATCTTACTTTTGAAGATGGCTTCTTTATTACGCGTCGACACAGTCTCGCCGACAGCTGTACCAACATCACCAACAATGCGCTTACAGCAACCTGCTGTATTACCAACACAAACACTCGCGAGTGACTTCTCGATGTCGTCCACAACAGCCTCGGCAGTAGCCTCGGAAACGTCAAACCAAGGTCAATCCCTCGCGTTCAAAGTCGGACTCGCCATGATCCCTGTCGTGGTGATCTTATGCGTACTATCTGTGATTTGCATCTTCTGGCGTCGACGACGACAGGCGTTCAGAGGCCTCCGACATCCCACTTCATACTCTGATCCAGAGAAGGAGCTCAGGCCACAAACATCATGCGAGACCGAGCCGAGAACAAGCACTAGCAAAGTGTTGAACCTAGTGGCCTTCAGCACACCCATACAAGAAGACGCAGTCCAACAACTACATCAAAAGCGAACAAAACCCAATCTGGGCAGGAAATTCGCACTCAGCATAGCATCCACGCGACCTGGGAGTCGCGATTCAATCCAGCCTGACTTGGACTCGCCCATCGATCGTAGTAGTCCGTTTCGCCTCAAACGCGGCAACACAGTGCGGCAGTGCAGCCTTGGACCAGCGATGAATGCCTCTTGGCCTATGCCACCTGAAACAGCCCGGATGAAGCAGCCGACCATAGCGGGAGGGCTGCGTGCGACACTTTTCGACGGAGAGAATAATCTCACAGTACCAAAGTCGTTCATTAGCGCCCAGCAGAGATTCCAGTCGCCAAAGGTGTAGCACGGGGGATATGACAAGAGACATGCGAGGCTTGGAAACGAGAGACGACAGTGATGATAATGGCATGTTTTGTACGAACCTTATAGATAAGATCGCGGTTCGGTCGGATGTTGCGATGATCGAAACGGAGTACTGGTATACCCTGGGAATATTGTTATGAACCTTTTAATGATTTATCTCTGCATGTAGATTTTCATCTGCACTTATGTTAATGACTGAATTTGGCTTGTGTCCGACCGATGGACCTCTACCTTCCAATATGAATTATTGCGGCTTCTGACCAGACACCATGATGCCGTGGCCGTCAAATCAAATATGACTGGGTATCCATATAGTGCCTCAACGCCTGTCCGTCCCTGGCTGCAACTCCGGACTATCCTGTCTGACGCGCCGTCCCTCCAAGCGCGAGATGCTTCGACTGTCCATGAGCGTTCTGTATCCGCTTCGTCCTTCTTGTATGCGTGCAAACTGTTCTCAATATGCGAGCCCATGATGCGTTTCACGTCTCCTCAATCACTCGACGCGCATCCTCTGCACCCACAGTTTACACACTGGATATCTTGGTTCTCTTTGAGCTGGTCTCTCGGAACGCGGCAGATGCAAGTAGAACGGAAGTTTGTCTCCTTCGTCTGAATGCATCGCGTACAGCAGAGCTACCACCAGTCAGCTACGGTGATCACATGCTAATAAGCTCAGTCAACCTTACCTTCTCGTAACCCTGCTTCTTCCATTTGGCGATCAACATGGCATCCGCATACCCGTTCTTGAGCAGGTAGTCATAGAGTTGTTTGCTGATGGCCTCCTTCTCGTAGTATAGCTCGTAGATGTAGCGCGAGCGCTGGTGCGTGATCTGGAAGATGGGCCACGTCATTTCGTACTTCTTCTTGCCCTCGTGTGATGCATTCTCGGCGTCCTTCATCTTATTCTGAAACTCGAGGAGCGTATCTTCGATGTCTTCGAAGCCATCGGGAGGTGCCTTTTTCGAGGCGCGTGCTGTCCGGACTGGCGGCATGGTTTAGGTGTGAGTGAGGTTGATGGGAGAGGGTCGGTCGTGAATAGTTCCTTGTTTTATGGCTAGTTCTTGGTTCGGGCAAAGAGAATTTGACTTGTTGCGTTGTTGCTGTTCTGGTGACTTTGTTTGGCTCAGTCGACTTTGCGAATGCGCCTGCCATCAGAATCGCGCTAATGAGGGCTTGGCAGAGCACCTCCACCCTCGCATCGTTCGTCACTCCATGTCCAGCTGTGAGACGCACTCGAGCTCCGCAACGCCGCCAACATGACTATCAACCCTACCTACCTTGCCCAGCGCACGCGCTCGTGTAAGAGCCTCGCCAACGCACTCAATTGGGGAGACTGGATGGCTAACGCGGGTCATAGCGGTTAACTGGCCTGATGCGAAGAGGAGGGTCCTTCACAGTTACCGGGAGTGGCTGCGGTCGGTATGTACCTCCTAGTCCTAGCCAGTACTGCTTTCGTTTCCGTGGCGATATTATACGAGGAAGAGGTTGAGAAGGGCAGAGAAGTCAGAATGAATACATAGGCATGCGGACAAGTAGAAGGGGGACGGCAGACAAGACGCTGACTGCCAATGTCACAGGCTCCCGAAATCCAGACTATGTACTCGCTCAACCTTCCAGTTTCTACAATTCGCACGAAGATGCGCCAGGAGTTCGAGCGACATCGATATGTGAAACAGATGCAGACAGTAGACGTCTTGCTCTTCAACAGTCACCAAGAGTATCAGGTATGACCACATTCATAACCTCCAACATCGTTTTCTGGGGTACGGAGAGCGCATTAGTCGACTGTGCTTGGAGCCAGGATGCATGCGGATCGAAGGTTATTCAGGAAACTTGAGCTGACGGAAGCAAAAGGAAACCTTGAACTTCTGGAAGCAGTTGAACCACGTCCTGAAGTACTTCCGCGCGGAAGAGGAGCCAAAGGCAAGGTTGCCGAATAACTTCATCAACGGCTTCTTGGAGGTGCGTGCTATTCATCTTACATCTGAATCCTCGTCTCCGTTTTAAGTCTCTAGCATCGATGGTACTGACTAAGACTCTTAGGGACGCAACTAATCGGTCTCTGTAATCCAGAGCAGAAACGAAATCAGAAAAGAGAAGCATGTACATAGCTCGAAACAATACCATTTCCTTTCCCGTGCACCAAATATGCCCATGTGAACGCCTTTAATGCAATGCTTCAAATCCATGGCCCAGCTGATGGGTGGATCTGCTCATGTCTCCATCTGGTTCACAAAGTCATCTCTGGAGATTTTGAATTTCTCCTCCACGACATCACACATCGCCATCAAGTCCTCGAGTCCTTTCTCCAAGACCGAGTAAACGCTGACGCCATCTAGTCATGAATTAGCTGTGATTCTATGCAGATCGATAACTACACGCTTGAAATAGCTCACCGTATGTTTGGATACGAATGTTCATCTTTGCTTCCGAAGGATGCGGGATAGAGTAGCCACAGAATTCAACATCAGGACTAGCCCAGTTGTCAGCACTCGATTCACGTACAAACATCCCCAATTCAGAACTACCCAACGCATGGTTGATTGATTTGGGTGGAACAAAGCCTTCGGACGTACTTCTTCATGATAATGTATCTGAGCGCGTTTCCCAACGTGTGGTCTTCACCGTCAAACTGGAAAGATGCAGCGGTCTCAGTCGCACCAGATAGCTGTTACTCTTGTTAGTCCTCCATCCCACAATTCTACCCATATCTTCCACGTACAACTCTGATCCTGTCGCGATCAACTGAGGGATCAATCTCCTCTCCCATCTCAGACGTGGGATCTAAGATAGGAATTGTTTTGTCGTCAGTTGCGCTCGGCATTTTCGCGATATGCTCTTTGCTTTTTCGTTCAACAGTCGGATATGTTCGTGATGGTCGAATGTTTCGGGCGCTTTGGTGACGGTTGTGGATTCTGGAAGCGTGACTTCGCGATCTCAGAAAATTTCCATGCAGGCGGTTTCATTCGGCAAGTCAGTGGTTGGCTGCTTTTTTCAGCCCTACAGAGTATGCCAAGCCCAAAGGTGGGGCACGTGGGGTGGCGTAGACTCCCATCTCGTCATAATCGAACTTTTTGTTTCGTCACATTCACAATTGCAATTGCCCATCTTCCCCACTGCTCAAAGTTTTCCCACTGTCTCATCGCGATACCTCACCGTATTCTAAATACGAAAGCAACATAAACCGACATTATGCCGCGTACTTGCACCCTCAACCGCGACACCAACGAGACCAAGATCCAGGTCTCGTTGAACCTCGACGGCGGTGATCTTGAGGCCTACGAGCACTCCGATTTCTGGGCCGCCCTTGACAAGAAGAACCTCAATGGCGAGGGTGAGAAAATCGACAAGGACCACGCCACTCAGAAGTCCAACAGCCAGGAGATCTCTGTCGACACGGGCATCGGCTTCCTCGACCACATGATCCACGCACTAGCCAAGCATGCAGGCTGGAGTCTACGCATACGGTGCAAGGGAGACTTGCACATTGACGACCACCACACGAGCGAAGACGCGTTTCTGGCGATAGGCGCTGCGTTCAAGAACGCACTCCAGGGATCCACGGGGTTGGCGCGGTTTGGACACGCGTATGCACCGCTTGATGAGGCCTTATCGAGGGCTGTGATCGATCTGTCCAACCGGCCATTTAGTATCATTGATTTGGGGCTTAAGAGGGAGAAGATTGGGGATTTGAGCTGCGAGATGATCCCGCATTGCTTGCAGAGCTTTGCCCAGGCGTCAGGAACTACACTCCACGTTGATTGCATAAGGGGTGAGAACGATCATCATCGTGCGGAGAGTGCCTTCAAGGCGCTCGCGGTTGCTATCCGACACGCGACAACAGTGGTGAAGCAGTGGGAGGGTGAGGTCCGAAGTACGAAAGGTGTCTTGTACTGAAGGGGTAGTCCCGCCAACGTGGAAAACCAAGTAATCTTTTACAAATGTTCCATCTCATCAAATTACCTAGCATGCTAGTAACTTCTTTCAAATTTGCCTACCTTCCAATACGTCAACAAAGAAACGCAAAGTCGGGTCGTCTACTTGATGCACGCAGAAAGACCCTCCACTTACTCCATCCTGCTCCTTGTTCAGCAATGTGCCAAACATTGTTATACCGCAAGATTTACTACACCGAATAACGCTTTCGAAAAAAATAAGCAAGTTGCATATCAGTTCAAATTCATGATCTTGAACGAAAACTTGTTACCTCTACCGAATTGGTACGGCCATTCTTTCGAGTTCTGTAGTACCAGGTATCGGGGACCAATGACTTGTTGGGCTACTTTTTGAGTATGGGAGGAGCGCAAACAGTGACATTCCCGAGGACTAGGTCTATGCACTGGTGATAGACTTTCCTCATCTTGTTCTTGATCTTCCGGTCTACAGCGCGACTCTGTGAATATCAGCAAACATGTGGAATCGATACCTTGAAGAAATCCTCAAAATTGTAAGTGTGATGTGAGTACACTGGTCATTGCCTCGAAACACCAGCATCTATGATCACATGACGTCATACCCTTCGTTCGCCAGGCACCGCGCCTGCATGTTGAGTTCTACCAGCATCCTCCTCTAACAATCCGCTCTCTCACAACATGACAACCGAGGCGCGCTCCGTGGAAAATAGAACGCGTTTGGTTTCTCACTTTGTCGATTTCAGGTATGAGAGCGCGAACAATGTGTGTTCCTTGAAACTGATCAAGATACACAGAACCCGCGAGGAACAAAGTGCAGGTTGGACGAGCCTGTGGGAGTCCAATGAATCAAATCTCTGGGATCGTGGTCAGCCCTCGCCTGCCTTTGTTGACTTCCTCGACACGCATGCGTATGGCAAGTCACTGGTGAATGGTGGACACCAGCTGAAAGCTCTCGTGCCGGTAGGCGCCATCAACACTCTTCAATCGCACAAGCTTATGCATGTTTAGGGTTGTGGCAGAGGTCACGATGTAGCCATGCTAGCTTTACATGGGTTCGAATCATACGGACTGGAAGTCTCTCCGACAGCTGTAGAAACAGCGAACGAACATGTCAAGTTTCAACTCGCGAAACCAGCTCCACACAACTTTGGAGAGACTGTGAATCGACCCACACCCGCAAATGCAAGGGTTATCCTCGGTGATTTCTTCCAGCAAGACTGGAAGGGTGAGTTAGGGGCAGACTTTGGAGGATTCGATCTGATCTACGACTACACGGCACGTTTTCCTTCTGAGACCCTGAAATATAGCTAATAGCGCTGCAGTTCTTGTGCGCACTGCTGCCTGAGATGCGAAAAGATTGGGTTCGACGTATGGCAGATCTACTCTCACCAACTGGAGTACTAGTCTGCCTAGAATTCCCCATGTGGAAGCCTTTGAAAGCTCAAGGTCCGCCGTGGGGCCTTAACGGCGTGCATTTGAACCTTGCTGAAGGAGGCGATGGAGTTGCTGACGAGGAAGGGAGGCTGAGGCCGACAGACGGAAAAGGTGGACTCCTCGAGCGTGTTGAGTATTGGAAGCCGCCGAAGTCGTTTGAGCAGAGTCGCGGAGAGGACATGATCAGTGTTTGGAAGGTGAAGTAAGAGGTATTGATGGGTAAATCCGCGAAAGAATCACTTCATGTTTCTCGACACATTTAGCAGGATGCGTTAAGCATCCATAACTTCACTTGCAAGACGGGTCCTGACGGGCACATGCTTAACCTAAAAGTTATATCTTCTGGCCAACAAATACCAGTCAGTCACAGCGGCTTATATCGTAGTTGCTATACCCAACCCCAAATGTGGTAGTGTACTGGATCATGAGAGCAGCTCCACTCCTGTGCAGAGTTAGCCGGTATCATCTGATAGCAATGATATAGCTACTGTGACCCCCCGTATGTCCAAAAATCTTTATGACTTGGAGCTGGTGGCTTATAGCAACAACAAGAAGTAAGGGGGTTTGAGGCTTTTACACCCTCATCTCTACATCGTTATGGGAGATTTATGTAGACAACCACAGGTAAGTTCACGTTGGACAGGCTCCAAAGATATGGCTCAGAGTGCTTCTGCGATATATAAGACAACTCAGGGTGCCGGAAAGTATGAAAATGGTGTGAGGTCATAAGCTTTTGTTAACTCCTCCCTTCCATCAGACTAACAACACCAGCATCGGTGGTAAAATTAACTATTGCCATCTACTGGCCCCGGGTTTGATTAACTCTACCTCTTTCAATTTGGGCTTGCTTGCCTCTTTGGATCTTGCAGCCTTGCTATCTCTAGCAGTAGTCTATAGGTATAGATACTCATATCGATCTCTCGAAAAGCTCTGGAGAACCATTCTCGACCACGCTCCGCTATCTCTCGGGCCTTTTGTTGTCCAGTCTCACTCGATGTGAGATAGGAAACCAGCTCAGGGACTTCCTCCATACTTTGACTGACTGGAATATAATGAACCCATGGTACAAGCCGGTCGTCATGCCATTCTCGCAGAAGTGTCTGCTTCAGTGGGACAGATTTTGAAGCGAGGATCTGGTAGTAGCGACCACTGATGCCATTTCCGTCCAAATCAAATGCCAGTCGTGATCCAAGTGGTCGGAATCTATCTGCCCAAGGCTTGAGCTTGAAATACGCCTTTTGATCTCTGCAATATTTCGTCTCACATTGGAAGACTCTGGTGAAGGCGACATCGAACAATCTGCTGTTCAGAAACGACGATTCTACACGGTTGACCATACCTTCTTTTTCTCGTAGATAAGTATGTCGCTTTGGTTCCAAACGCTGTGCTAGCGTTACAAACCTTTGCCGTTGATAGTATCGCCACTGATCGTCCAAAGCATATCCACCAGTAGTGGAACCAGCCCAGTAAAGGTTGTTTCGCTTCTTTTCCCATTCGATGTCATACTCTTCGTTGTATTGAAATTCTGCTTCCATGTAGGCTGGGCTCGGGAACAATATATCGCCCATTGTTGAAAGCGAACCGGTTGTGAATATAGGTACCAGCCCTTCGAACAAACGAAATGACGTAGGATGCATAACAAGGCCGTACATGGCCTGGTACTCCTGGTGTTGGCACATGTCCAAAGCTGAGGATGAATCTGTGACAAAAGGGAGAGCAAAGGTTTCCACTGCGTGTTCAACCACAGCACTTGTATCACGTCGTTGAGACGCACAATACCTCGTGAGTACGTCCCAAACAGGTTGACGCGACATGTTTGTCAAATTGAGTAGCCTGTCCCGCGAGTCGTCTTTGCCTTTTAACGATTGTGTCGGAATCAGCACTCTCGGCTCATCAAGATGGTTTACGAGAAATCTGACGTCAGGGAGCATTACAGACAGGTTCCCTAATAGCCTGTTGAACAAAAGCTCGATATGTCTGTCAAAAGTGCGATAGGGATGGCTACAGTGTGTCTCTGCGTGGCTACTAGAAAAAACGCAGGACCAGAGCTCGCCATTTGACATAGCTTGCGCTTCATGCATTTTTTGGAGGACTTCATTACCACTCATTTTCCAGAATGGCGAGACAGACTTGTGGATGATGTCAAAGTCGTCAATAATAGGCGATTGGTGTGATACTGCAAACTCATACCATGCTTCGAAGCCATTTGGTGGTTCCATACCGTATCTACGTCGATATTCACCATAAGCAGCCAAGTAATTCTGAGACTGGTTTTGCAACAGGATTCCGAAGTTGACTTTGGCGTTATTAACCAGATTTTCAACGGGATGCTCGTGAGAACCGCCGAAACTCAGGCGTGCTGAAGATTGTACAGCCCTGATTGCCAAAACGTTCGCTAGATAGGGAGCGAGAAATACAAGTGACAAAACCCAGAGATATGATCTGCCCTTTGCTTGCTTTGGAAGTATGTGAACAATTTGGGCAAGCGCAAGAAACGAGGCTATAACGTTGCAAAGAGCCCGAACCTCTGAAGACTGCAAAAACGGGTCGCGGGCGGCGATGAGGCTGAACGTCCCTATCGCAGGAGCAATACACCATGAAGCATATCGTGTCTGGAAATCAATTAATGTCCATCAGACTTCTTGATATATATAGGTACATACCATTCGAATTGTGAAGTACCATGATAGAGCTTTGAACACACCTAACAACAGCACTGATGTAATTCTGATCCCGGAAACCCCAATCATGGTAGTTTGCATGGCCATTGTAATCGTCAGAATGGTCACCACCCTCCAGGAAAGAGGCATCACATCGTTCTCGATATCGTCAATGAGTGGTAGAAGTCGCGAGGTTGAAATAGTCCTAGGCAGGAAAGTCACGTAGACAAGAAGCTGAGATACCACTGCAACGATTGATAGAGCAGAGCTTAGAAAATCCCCGTTTGACAAGGTCAGAGTAATAAACAAAGCACTCAAGGTAGTGCCCCAGGCGAGAGGGGAGAAAAGCCAAGAGGAAGATGTTCTTGATGCAGAAAACTCGGGTCGAAGACGATGTCGAGCAACCAGAAGTAGCGGCGTTAATATTGGCTGCTTACTGTTAGCTTGGTGAATACAACTTCTTATTCCAGGTGTGGCGCTTACAAGAAGTTCAACCATGCCCATCTCTGCTTTATACAAGCAGGAGATAGTAAGACTTGCAGCAACTACCCATAAAGATATGGTTGAAGTAGACTGCGTTTCAGGGCAACTCGAACGATTTTTGGCGTTGGTGTTCGGCCACCTCCCAATTTTGAACAGGATAGGTAGTATTACCCAACTTAATGTCTCAGAGCAAAGCTCACGTTGTGGAGTAAACAAGTGTTGCGCCAGAACTGAGCATAATACGGTTGCTACAGCTAACCCAGAGGCTGTATCCATACTATTGAGTCGAGAGTTCCAGTTCAAGAGACTTCTAAGGTACTGTCTTGTGGGAAAGGACAGAAACATCTATGTCCGCAAATTCCAGCTCGCTGATCTAGTGCAGTGAACCTTAACTCTTGATCCTCAGGTTCTCCCTTGCTCAAGGTGGGTTTCACGGAGATACCTCCATTCATCCGTTTCGTCCAACTGTGCCGCATGCACCTCTTGGTAGCCTGCTAGCGTTTTCTTACCTTACTCAGTAATTCATACGAAGATCTCAATCATGGTGCTGATATGATTACCTGTTACGAATTAACGTGCAGTTTATGTGCAGGCTGTGCTATTATGACGTGCACCCTGATTTGTCCTAACCAATGTTATCGTGTGAGGCTCCACTACTAGCCACTTCGCCGTATCCATTAGTGTACAGTGGGGCCAGAGACTGAGATCAGAGTGGCAGGGAAGGGCATGTGCTAATTGCCGCACGTGTTAGTAGGATGTCCGGATTCTCAGGGAGGTGTGTGCACTTACTCTAGTAACCACAAGAGTCACAACCACGCAATACTTGGAGAGAATAGTTATCTGTATTGATAACCGAAATCTTACCTAACCGCTTACAAAATCTACAGCGAAATCAAGTCAACAATCCGTGATGCTGTTCCAGCTTTGCCACCAGAGGATCTTGCGCCCGGTTGAGATCCATAAAATACCAGGGTGCGTAAGGAAGGTGATGGCAGACAACGCAGCAAAGAGGACCACAGGGTGGCGGCCTGACGAGAAGGGAAAAACCCCGGCGCCAAAACATACCGGACTCCGGAGAACTAGTCAAGATAGAAATGTCAAGTGGGGAAGAGAGTGGGCACGGTCAAGGTACCTCAGCTAACTTGACCGGGGCACTGTATCATCCGATTATCCGTATACCTCAACAAACTATGTACTAAGTCTGTTGGGAAATCGAACATGCTGCTTAAACTTATACTTGAAAAGCAAGCTATTTAAGCGAATGTTAATACATATTTATCTATTATCATTTATATTATTCCTCTCTTACTTGACATTTATTAACTTTTCAGTATAGAGATTACTTTACTTATAGAGTAAAAGCGTTCAAAATTTATCTGGAAGATACCTAGTAATAATAAGAACAGTTAGTTCTGTTATTCTTTTAATTAGTAATATCTAGTTTACCTATTACTATTTAGATAGTAATAGGTCTCTTAAACTCTTGCTTGTTTTAACAGCAACACTACTATATAGATTTATACATTCCAATCTTAGCTAGGCAGGGATTGTAGCGAAGCGACTACTAGCAGTTAGATATACTGTGGTACCCGGCATAAGTAGTGTACAGTAGAGACTGTGGCGTAGTAGTTTACAGGGTTACAAACACAGACCAGTAAATCCCTGCAGCTAGTCGAAGAACTCGCGCTTCTGCTCCTGCTGTAATTTTACTGTTGGCAAGCACACAGACCACTGTCCCCACTGTACACTACTTATGCCGGGTACCACAGTATGCACGGTATACAGTATTCGCACACCCCCGTAGAAGGCGCGCTACCCGCAACACGGGCCGCAGCGCAGAACAGCGTCCTGCATAACCAACTAACCGGCGCTTAGTGAAACGACGTCCGGGGGAAGAAGGCCTTGGAAAAAAGCCTCACGCGCAATTTGTGCCACATCTGAGACCGACAAAATGTCTACCGTATCTTGATCTGCTAGCCAGAATTCTACTCTACCATTGCACGATGTGGAAACATATCGGTTATAGGGAAGAGAATGTGTACATATAGTTATGTCCCTTGCAGACCCGTCTTTGTACTTGGGGTGGGTGATTCGATGTTCTGCTAACGTTAGCTTTGCTAGCTTGGCATAACTAATACTATAAACCTCCCCATGTCAACCCGTAGAATACCCGTAGGAATAAGAAGCGGCCAAAAGCTCACTGTTGGCCAAAGCATAGGGCAGTATCATAACACAGCTGGAACTAAGCTTGTCGTCAACCAACACCAACATTTTACTACAGTGACTACAACACATCATAACAGCAATTGCCAAGTCTACAAAGAGAGTCCTTCTAAGATACAACAGAAACTTCTGCACTTTCTAGAATTTCCTAAAACTTTACTGTTCTGTGTAGTGTCTGTCGGACCACATCACTACGCTATCACTAGAGACAGCTTCTCCGCATCTTTTGGAGCACTCAGGAGTAGATAAACAGTGGAGCAGAATGCACTTCGTCTTACGCCCTGGGACTATAGAACAATTGTGATGTCTTCGAATAGGTCAGTCCATTGCTTCTGGATCACAGAACTTTATGTGCTGTGCCACACCGTAGACATATCTGGATGAAATCAATCGACCGTTCCTTGTTTGTAACCCATGTGCCTTTAATGCTCAAGCGCTATCAATTATGCTGGTTACCTTTCCTAATCTGTGTCGACTAACCTTTAACTTATTTTAGTTAAGGGAATAGACATTGTGTGTATACTTCCACCTTTTGTTTGCTCTACGACGCGCACAGATGCATGTTTCCTACAGTCTGCTCAACTGGAGTATTTATGTCCGGCGTCCCGATACAACAGAGTAATTCACGCCTGAGGTTTTTTCGGCAACACGTAAGACAAGCCTTAACACAGATGCAGGCACTACGTCCTGTGTTCGCTACAGAAGAGGTAGGTTCGGAGCGATTAACTTTAGCTACAATAGGCAGCTGCTCGGGGAGCGCCTGTCGGAGTAACAGACAGAAGTCGTCGGTTGTCGTTTATGCAGTTGATTATTTGCAAAAGATGGCCTGATCAATTATGTCTAGCCGTATCTAAGATAACTCACATAACGTGTGACGTATGCTAGTTTATGAGGTAAATGTGGGGGGCTGTTTAGAAATCGAAGTATTTAAGAACCTATGCTTCCACTCTGCTGTCTTCTCACAAGTTCCACAACTATTCTACATATCCTTCATCCAGTAAAACTCCCAATCTCCCTCAGCCACGCAAGTCAAAATGCTGTTCTCCAACCTCGTCGTTCTTACAGCAATGCTCTTCGGTGGTGCCAACGCATGCAAGTGCGTCAACGCCGGAGTGAAAAACAACGATGCGACTCAGGTCTGCTGCAGTCGACTTGGCGGAGACCTCGCGGGTGGAGATGATTGCCGAGCGGGTTCTATCTCTGAGCATCTGTCCAACTTCCGAAGCTGCTGCAGGGAGCGAGGATTTACTTCGGACTGTGACTGCCCAACTTGCAGGATTGTCGATGGCGTAGAAGTTGATGACGCAGAGGCTGAGGGCGAAGAGTATGTCATATCAGTTAAATTCAGGAAAGCTCATGCTAACTATTTGAAAGAAAGAGGGCGGTTGAATTCTCTGTCTAACTTGTCGGACTACATCGATTGTACGTGCGAACCACGGCTCACTCGTACGATTTAACTAACTCGGTTTCAAGGGTGGAGGCTCAAGAGCAAGATGCTAGTGGTTCTAGCTGCCATTCGTTTCAAGCGTGCTTTATATGAATTAGGAGGAAGTGTCGTTCGTTTTACACTGTGTCAGTTGTAGTGGGCAAGAGTGTTCCGATATAGTTACTACTATCCTTTTAGTAGCAGCCAATGCACCTTGCTTTAAAATGATTTCTTGTCAGGTCGAAAACATAATCACCACGCCAGAATACAACAATCATGTCTAGCTGTTCATGTGAACGTGAGAGTAAACCCAGTCGGACTTTTGGTGCACAACTCATCTTGTGATGAGGGTTCTACTGTAATGCTGATAATCGTTAACTGTCAAAACTATTTCAGTCTAGTGAGACCACGTCAGTGGCAGCAGTCGCTAAACAGCGCTATGGAAACTTCATAATATTGAGTACTATTTGGAACATCTTGACATAAGCATATCGACAAACGGTGTACTAATGACTATCGGCAAGCTATAAGCAGGAGTTCCAAGTATTATACTGTAGAGATAATACACCAGTCGATGCCGTGATGTTTGAAATCACCAAGATAAAACTTCTTTATGCCAACAACCACTAGCAATAGATGCTGCGTCGAGAGACTATCATGCAGTCCTATGCTAAATGATAAGCTGCGTCCTATTATCAGCTGAGATTAACAGCCACAAAACGACCTATACCATCTACACTAGTGAACGACTTAATGTTCGGGGAGGCTAGAACATGAACAGATGTAGCATTTGCTATGGAACATGGTTATATAGACTATGGCATCAGACTCTGGCCGTTAAAGATGCTTCCAACCGTTCTCTGCTAAGACTTGCATCTCGTTGACAAGACAATGCAATCCTGGCTCACTATTTTTTCTTCCGTCAGCGGACTGTTGCGCTTCCCAACGCTTCAACCTCCAATGGATGACTAGGTTTTCTGACTTGAATCGCCAAAGAGCTGGGAGCGTTGCCATTCGGGACTTCCACATGCCTTTGATCCGCTCACTCGACGTAGGCCATGCCAACAAGGCATTTACTACATTGTAAGCCTCCGCGTTGTAGCCTACTCTGACGTCCGGATTGATATATACTCCTTTAGTTGCGCTTAAAGGATTGTCTGCATGTATAAGACAGCACTCTGAGCCTTCTAGGTGCATTTCAGCTAACTCATCAGTTATGCCGCGGAACCGCAAGGGTTCTCTTCCTAGGAAAGGTCGTGCATCCATAGCTACCAAGCCGTTCCAACAAGATTGGACTGGAACAACTTCGTTCGATACTATTGCACGGCGGGAAACGCTGTTGGAAAAGTAAGGCCAAGTTTGCGTGATGGTCTTAGCGCCTGATATGTCTCGTAGAGCGAAGGTGTCATAGTAAAGGGGAGGCCTGGAAAAGTCCAAAGAGCACGCAGTCGCGTATTCGCCGCCATTAGTGGATAGAAGTGTGACAACATCTTTGGTCTATTCCTGACGTATCATTAGAATCCAATGTGATCGTAGGAAAAGGAAGGCAATCAGACCGTAAAGACTACATCGTTAAGCCAAACAACCTTGTCAAAACTTTGTGCGTTGCCTTCGACGGCTTTGAGCATTTCTAACATAACCCGATTCCGCAGATTTGCCAAATAGGGTATACGGCGGAGCTCTTTGCGGCCTCGCGACGTCCATGCCCAACCGGTTTCGTTAGGAGATGGTGTTCGGTGCATCTCATCCGCGTGTGTTGTTTCTTCCAGCATGATTGAGCGTGGGACATCTAGCTGGGCCAGCTCGGCGTCCAACTCTCGCAGCGCGCCTTTGCTGTCGTCCCAACTCCCGCTTTCAAGAACCACTACAAAGACGTTCTTGGGACCGAGAGATTTCACGAGTTCTACCACTGCCTTGTTCCAATGGGATCTCAAGATTGCTTCATTATTCCAATGTATACTGGCGATAAAGATGCGTTCGTGGTTTGTCGGGGTTGAGGCAAGTAAAGCGCGCTCCGGTAGCCGACCGAGAAACACAAGGTAAAGGCTGTCAGTAATAAACAAAATAATAGCTACGAGAACCATCCGAATGAGAACCCGTCTGTATCGGCGCAATCTGCGTGAATTTGTGGTGATCATAGACGTCTAACTCACGTAGAACGGCAGTGAAATAAAGAATGTAGGCGGAGGAAATAACCTGGCGTAGGGAGGCAAGGAGAAGAACAGGATCAAAATGCTCAACATGTCATGGGCAACAGGTTTGTGAACGTTTTCAAGGCTTACTGTGCTTCGGTCTCCGCATTCCTGCCATGTAGAGACCCCCAGTTCGGCAGTAGCAGAACAACAACGTGTGTTGGGGGTGGGACAGTTGCATAGTGCATAGAGTACTAGTCATGCATATGTATAAATCTACCAAACTAGCTAGCTGGGGAGCATATACACGCCACGCTATCTAGGGTGGGTCTGTCTGCCGCGCGTGATCCTGCTATGTAAGCCCACATATCCTCCTATAAGTGCCTGCAGCCTATATAGAGCCGCACTATTGTGGGGCAGTGCTATAGCGCGCACGAGTAGATTTACTAATCAATGTAATCATTCTTATATGTAGTTTATTTCATTTTGCAATAGTTAGTACTTTCAGTAACCAATCTCAGCTACCCTAAAAGTTCTGAATTTGCTAGTGTAGGCTTTTTTGCTATACTAGAACAGGTTCATTTATTAAAAGATAAATATAGCTTGATAGTATGAAGAGTTACTAAGATCAGTGTTAATAAGTAATTTTTTCTTGTAAATTAGCTAGACAATTCCACAGATTTTAACTAATAGAATAGTTATGGGTTGCAGCACTGTTGCACAAATGCATTGTTGAGTACAAAAAAGGGAGAGAAGAGGGGTGGGAATGTAGGGTGTTGGAGGGATAGTGGGGCGCGAGGTAATAACAGGTGAACCATGCTGTAGGTGGTTCGATTGCGGGTCGTAGGACGCTATGTGGGTATGGGCTTACATAGAACAAACATGGGCTCACGTAGTACAACCGAAGATCGCGACCTGAAGGATTACACAGCTAGGCCACTCGAGCTCAACAGATTTAGGCGAGGCGACGATTAAACGTCCTGTGCCGGAAACTGAGACAGCGTTAACATTCGTAAGGTCATGATTGGAAATGGGGCAAGTGCAGCATCAAGAAGGATTCTGGAATGGGATAACCGCAGAAACCGGATCTGAGATCCAAGTATTGGATTTGCGTACCTGAAACAGATTGGTGTTCGTGTCGAGGAAGATGTGTGCTTGCTGAAGAGGGCAATAAGATTACTGCTGCACTTGATCTCGATAATGAGAAACGGAGTCTGTCACCAGCGTCAGATGTTGCTTAGGATCGTCGTCCAATCGCTAACAGAAAGTTTAAAGTTTCCATTATGAATACGATGCGGCGTAGCAAAACAATAGAATAGGATTTCAAACTGTAAATCCGTAGCCAATCACTACCATACCATTACGGCGACGTGCGCTTGGATGCCACTATCGTGTCAGACAAAGGTAATGTATATGGCCAAAGCACTGCCAGGGTACTACCCAGTTGACTCAAATGCCTGTCTTGGTCTGAGTTATTACCCTTCTAAGCCACTGCGCCACAGTACACTACTTTTGCCCGACACCACAGTACGTTTATGCGGGGTTAGTCGGGGCTGTCTCTAAACAGGAAATGCTCGGCCTCTCCGTCTGTGACTGTCTTTCAAAACAGTGATTTTCCTGGAAAGAAGCATTGAAGATACTTTCCCAAGATGCTGCATGACGGAAGGAGATTCTTCAAATTTCGATTATAGATTTTGTCACGACTCTCTCCTTCATCAAAAAATCATCCAGCATCGGTGGTTTAGTGGTAAAATTAGCCGTTGCCATCGGCTAGCCCCGGGTTCGATTCCCGGCCGATGCATTTTATCTTTTTGCTTTTTTTGCGCCCGTTGCCCCATCTTTGCAGTTCAAGAAGAGGCACAGCCCAGTCCGTTTGGTTGATTAATACACCCGGCATGAAGCATTGTGTCCCTACATCTTGTGTGTGCTTTGCAATGGGCTCTACTTTTTGTCTTCTCCCGCTATCTCGCGTTGTCATGGAATGAGTGAGGCGTTTCTCACCATCTTGTGAGTACGTCGAGAACTGATTCAGTAAGATGTTGTCAATCAGGTCTGACTCCCTAATACTGTTACTGAATAGTCTTACTAATAGTTACTGTGTGTGAAGAGATTGGGTTAAGCCCCTGTACTGAGCTACAAAACGTGTATATCTGCTTCAACGTCAAGCAAGAACACATTGTAGAACAAACGACAGACAGAATTGATACAGCAAAAACATAAAACCTTCTGAATATGCAACCACTGCATGTTCACACGTCATGTATCAGCTTTGCTGCGTCACTCCTTTGCATTTCAGTCTGTGGGCTTCGTTGCCTTCTCAAAGCCAATGAATATGCAGATCACTCAAACGAAAGGGAAGGCCGGTACGAAGCTGTGATGTTCCAAGTATAAAAACAAGATACAGCCAGACACAGGGGGAGTTCAATAGATGAAGTAGAGACACGTTATTTGTACGTGGTTGGCAAAACACGCAGGCGATAATTCAGGGATGCATGCACACAAACAAGGCACAAGGGAAAAGTGAGTAAAAAACGCAGATTTCACATTACATACCCAACATGTCATACGCCGTTTGCCTATACCTGGTGGCCCATGCCTTTGCCTGTTGCCCTGTCCTCGCCTCAAGAAGAACAGAGTCCAGCGGGAAAGACAGCGCCTACAACTACAATGCGAACGGCACCCATCCACCCACCTACTCACTCACTTCGTCTCCCAATGTATATGTCTAAAAAACAAGGGGGGGTTTGTCCCTCCCCCGCCAATCATCATGCAAAGTCATTATCATCTAAGCCTCCTCCATGATAGGCTCGGTGCCGTTCATGCCGTCGCCGTTCGTGTGCTCGTATTCCATCTTCTCCTGCTGCGCGATTGCCTGTTGCGAGACAATTTCCGCAAGGCGCTTGAGGCGGGGAGTTTGTAGCCCTGGTGAGTGAGTTAGCACTTGTTCACATTTCCTTGTTCAATAGAGGAGGGGAGGGTTGGACTTACAAGAAGGCGTGTACGTTTCTAATGCGGTAATCACTCTGGGCTCCGCAATCTCGTACGGACCAGAGTCCTCCATGTCCACGGCCGCAAGGAGCAAGAGATCGCTCTTCTCTGTGACCCTGCTTGCAACCGCCTTCATGATCTCGCCGTTGATAGGCTGCTCGTAGTCGGCGACCAGGTACTGGTTGAGTAGCTTCTGGATCTGGTTGGGTGACAACATCCAGCAAATGTCCTGGATGATTTCAATGTCGTTGAGGGTAGCCTTCTTTAGCTGGAGGAGCTTGGTCGCCTGCATAAGGTGTTCGAGCTGCAGCGTGCCTTCGGGCATGTCGTGCGACTTGCACCATTCTTCAATACGAGTGATGTTGTAGTTGATCTGGAGACCACGCTTCCAAGAGAGGAAGTTGCGGCGCATGAGCAGATCGTTGAAGGCAGTCACGCCGACTAGGCGCAGCAACTCGGTAACACACTGCATGATAATGGTGTCTTCAAGATAGAAGGCCTTCATGGCCTTGTATACGCTGTTGAGCAGGCTGAGTAGGTTGTCCATGCTGTAAGCGGGGGTGTTGCTGCCCTGAAGCAACTTGCCGAGGAAGCGGTTGCTCTCGTTGGTGACGAAACCAGGCAGAGACTGCGATTCGATGATGGCGGGGATGATCATCTTGTGCAGCTTCTTCTTGAGCACCTTCATCCAGGTGTGGTAGATGTTGAACTCGAGACTCTCCAAGTCGTGCTTGACAATCTCCAACAACCGATCGTACTCGTAATTGTCGGTCTTTTGCTGCTCATACCAGTCCTCGGCGAGGAAGACAAAGGACAACATCTCGTGAACGTTCGAGAGCCAGAAAGCACCTGGGTTGATTGCATCATCGCTGTCGTGCTGCATGACTTCTTGCTGGATAGACTGCATGACGTTCGCAAGGAAACGCTCAGACTCCTTGACGAAACCATTGTTCCACATCTCGGAGGTGACGAGGTTGATGAGGTATGCGGGGAAGAGAACCTCCTTGTCGGTGGGCGGAGGTGTAGTAGTAGGTGCAGGGATCTTGAGATTCTTGATGAGCCCCAGCGTGACCTCGTCGTTGAGCATATCCTCATCAGCAAGGATATTCTCAAGCTCATGCTCGACGTTATCGAGTTGGTTGAATGTGGAGCCAGACAAGTTCTGTCGGTGGACGGTAGAACCGACGGCCATTGAGACAGGTCGTGGACTGTAGGTCATACTGAAGCGATCCAAATCGCGAGTGTCTGGGCCAGCACTTCGCCTTTTTGGTTTCTTTGATGCGACAAGATTGATCAAACTGCTGGCCGCGATAGGCACATGCCCATTTGACAGCTCCGTGATTGGACCAGAACGCTTCATGAGTTCGACCTGCTCCTGCAGATCGGTGAGTTGTTGTCGGAGCGACATCTTCTCAGTCTCGGTGACGTTGCTCCTCCTCTTGGAAGACTCGAGATCGTCGGAAGTCTGCTGGAGCGAAGCGCGTAGCTGCCTCTCCTCTTCCTGCAGATGTCGCATCTTGGCGGTGCTCTCGTCGTAGTTTGCCTGCAGCTTCTTGTATTCGTCCTCCATTTGGCTCAACTTGGCAGCAGTGATACCAGCCTGATTTGCCTCGACCTGCAGTTCCTTCTGTCGGTTCTCGAGAGCACGGCTCCTTTCCTTGTAGGACTTGATCTGACCTTCATAGTTCTCGACCTGGAATTTGAGAGTCTTGTTCTGCTCTTTCATTGAACCAAGAGTCTGTGTAAGCTCAACAACCTTGTTCTCTAACTTGTAGGAAATGTTCTTGAGGTCACGGGCTTCGGCCTTCAGACCCTTGTATTCACGGCGGGCCAACTTTCCTCTCCAAAGCGCCTGAATGATGACAATCTTCTTCCTGTATTGTCTCCAAGCCTTGAGTGACCTTTGTGACCGCCAAGTGCGTTGAATGATGCGAGCAGCATTTCCGAGTCGGGTGTCCAAGATGTTCTTCCGGCAGAGGAAACCCTTTGCGGCAGCCTGGAATAGAATGACAGAGTTCCTGACCACGATAAATTGTTTCCTATCCTTGGAACCGCGCCATACTCGTTGAATGGTCGTCGCAGCCTTGACTTGTCTTGCCTCCTCAGTACGCTCCCTGGTCATGTAACCTCTTGCCAAAGCTTGGACAGAGATGATGGCCTCACGCATCTCAAGGTAGACACGGCGATAGTACTTGGCTCGGAGATTCTTCTGGATCATAACAGCCGCGTCGTGAAGTCTGGCCGTTCGCTTGTTCTCAAGGAAAGCCAGCATACCAGCACGGAAGAAGATCTTGGTCAGACCCATCTGGTACTTATCAGTGCCGTCGTTCTTGCCGTCACCTAATGCAATTTTCAGAATTGCAGTCGCCATGTTCCGGATCTCTGGTGTCCAGTTCAAAGACGGCACCAACATGTAGTAGCGCATAGCAAATTCTTCATATGTCCATCTTGTCGGGTATCCAGCACAGCTGATTCTGACAGTCTCAAGAACACCACAGGCTCGCAGTTGACTCAGAACCATGGGTCCGTCGAATTGCCAGGCCGCTTTAGCTTCGTTCGGCTTGATGCAACGGATGTAGTGAACGTCGGTCCCGTTGATAGTCTGCATGAGCTCGATGAGAGACGATTTGAAGATGCCACCAAGGGTCGGTTTCCGGTTTACTGCTATCCTTCGACCAGCAGACATGGTAGCCCCAGCTTTCGATGTAGCGTTGCTAGCGGTCTCTTTCTCTCGAATTTGCGCCGCGACGTCCAGAACTTCGGTCAAGAACTTGTTACTCGAGGCTTTGAGCACCTCCATATGCTCGTCAGGGACGGTGTCCCTGTTCTTTTCGATGAAGCCATCAGACTCATATGTAACGTCTATCGCGTAATGGCAGACGGTGAAGGCGGATTTTCCAAATCGAGGCTTCTTGTAGAACTTGTGTTTGTCGCCAGAGTAGTTGTGGTGCAGCTTGGTCACAAATTGCTCATCAGAACCCATGGGGAGACGCGATTCTTCATCAAGCAAAGATAGGATACCGAGCTTGCCTTCGATAAGGTCGATACACGGTTGGTTGTCCGCGAAGTCGATGAATGTCCAGTCGATCTGTTCTCGCATGTACTCTTCTTGTTCGAGCTTGAAGACGTGTGCATTGAACTCTTGTTGCAACTTCTCGTTGGCGTAGTTGATACAGAACTGCTCGAAGGAGTTCTTTGCAAAATGTTCGAATCCGTAGATATCGAGGACACCAATGAAGGAGCGAGCTTGCGAGATGACCTCGTCTGTAGCCAAACTCTCGTTAGTGCGCTCGACCAACCAGTCGAACAAACTTGAGTAGATGAACTTGGCAACGGAATCCCGCACGACGATGGCCTGTTGTTGGGTCAAGTTGGAGACGATCTTCTCTCCTCGCGTGATGAGCTGCTTCTTGACAATCCACTTGGCGAAGGTGTTGGCGTCTATCCCTAGGAGGCGACAGGCCTTGACCAAGGCTGGCTCGTCTGGGGATAGGTTGGAGTCTGTACGGGTTGCACTGATCTTGACGTCTCCCATGTGCAAAAGCGCGGCGAGAAGACGCCAAATACCAGATTGCGTCTCTGCTGGAACACCGATCTTGGTCAATGAGACTCTTGTCGCATTGAACTCGGCCTTGTCATCCATGCCATCGATAATGGGTGCGCTGCCCTGGTTGAGGTAGCTGAACTCCTCGACCGGTTTCAGTGACATCTCTTCGCGCTCCGCGTCGGTAGCACCCGCGACCAGCTGGTAGAAGACGTGGTAATTCCGCTCCTTAAGCGGCTGAAACACCAGTCTTGACCGCTCGAGCAAGTATGTCCTGATCTTCGCGCCGATGATGTCCGTCTGCTTGTTGAACATGATCTCGATGTATTTACCGAAACGAGACGAGTTGTCGTTACGTGTGGTTTTGGCGTTACCAAAGGCTTCCATGATGGGGTTGGTAGCGAGAATCTGCTCTTCTGTCTCGCTCATGGCGTCGGCCTTGCCTCTCCGCTTGCCGGGGTTGTCTGGGGATTCGCGAGTCGCAAAGTATCGCATGATGTATTTGGCGCTGACCGTCTTGCCAGCTCCAGACTCTCCAGAGACGACAATGGTCTGGTTCTTCTGGTCTCGCAACATGTCGCTGGGACGCGTCAGTACTCGGACAGTAGAGAGGGAGACAGGTGTTGGGCTGGGATGTGGGGGGAAAGGGACCCTTACGCAAAGGCTTCTTCAGCAATGGCGAACAGATGCGGCGCGCCGTACGATCTCTGCTTGCCGGCATAGACCTGCACCATGCCCGGCACATACAGCGAGTCGACGCGCGCAAAGGGATTTGTGGCGATGAGCACGATGCCCGAGTATGTGTAGATCTCCTTCTGCAGGTAGCGCAGCTTGATGGCCTGGAGCACTGTGCACTCGTCAGCATGGCGTCCTGGCGGCCGTGTCTATGTGTGCAGCGGCGTGCGTACCAGCTGGCTCGTTCAGATGCGACAGGTTGGTGAGGTCGTCGCTGGCCTCGAGCATGGCCGGGTTCATCAGCGGGGGCAGATTCGGGTCTTTGCCCGTCTGGATGGCGACAATCGTCGTCTCGACCTTCTTGGTCTGCGGGGTGCACTGTCAGCCTCTCTCTCTCCGCGAGTGCCCGCGCCTCCCCTCGGGCGGCGTGCTGGGTGCTGGGTGCCGGGGGCTGCATACCTCGCCGTTCTCGAGGCGGAACACCATCGTCACCTTGTCCCCCTCGATCTGCTTGTCGACCACCTCCGAGGCCACCCAGCCCTCGGTCGTGTCTGGCTGCCATGCCCGCGTGCCGATGTCGTAGATGTGCGCCATGGTGGCCGCGTCTCGGTGTCCCTCGTCTGCGTCTCCAGCAGCGCAATATCAGGGTCCACGGCGCCCTGTCGGTGTTGACTGGGCACGGGATGTGCAGCTCCAGCTCGCTATCTCGGGGCGGCCGCTGGCGTTGTCGTCTCCTGCATTCGGGGTCGCTGCAGTCACAGCGAGAGAGACATTCCGTGGCAGTCGAGGGCGGTGTCGTGGATAATTTCACAGAGAGGTGCGTCGGAACGTGGACGTACTCCCCACTCTGGCTGTGGCACTTCCCAGTAGTCGGGAGACTAGCGGTGAGACAGCCGCCAACCACCCACGAGCACAGAACACCTGGAGCTGCAATGAGCACGCCGTTCGCCGGCTGGTGCTTTACTCCTGCGTCTCACTAATTCTTTGACCTGCAGCCTGCCCCAACACCTGGCACCGCATGCATCTTGTGCCTTTCTCCCTGCCACGACTGCGTGCAACCTCAGGCCATCGTCAAAGAACACCAACCCACCCTGCTCCACCATCAACGTCGCTGAACCAGAGACCTGTCATCTCAAAGCGGCAGCACTTCCCCACAGCCCGGTACCAACCGTCCTTTCTGAAACAGCTACTGGGATGATCAGATGCCATGAATTTGCCTATTAACATGACCCCTATATGCCTCCTATCCAGCTATGCCCCCTATGAAGACACGATCTTGAAAGCTTTTTTTTTTCTTAAAACGCCATGTTGAATGCTTTGCTTTTGGTCATACACAAGGATCGAGGACAACTCGTCCCAAAATACCCAATTCCATACTTCCAACCCATGTACCACCACTATCAGTCTCAACCGTACAAAACTCTTGTGCGGATGCATGCTGTCTCGAGTTAGTAACCGTGGCACTTAATGACAGGTTGTTCGACTCACAAGAAAGCTCCTCAAGGCTCTGGAAAAGATCCCTAATCTCTGCCTCCTTGACATCGCTGATATCCGCCATGAGGTACGCAACATCGCCTCTCGAATCCGACATCTGCTTGTCAATGTTGTGGTGAAGAAGGATGCTGTTCACTGCCATAAATTAGCTCCCACTCACTCTCAAACAACCCCGTAACATACCTTGTCTCAGCACACCAGGCACATTCTTGTGAATGTAAATGACCCGCATGCAGTTCGACTCGTCAAGCGTGAGACTCCTCAGGTTGACCTCGGGCATGTTCACCGCACCCAAAGTAGTGCCCTCGTTTACATATCTGACCAGCGCCGTGCTGACTTCAATCCCAATCGCGCTCTGCGCCTCCTCAGTGCTACCACCGATGTGTGGTGTCAGGATGATGTTCTTCAAGCTGACGAGGTCCTTGGTCCATGAGTTGAGCTCATTGTTGAAATAATCGCCGTTGCCGGCTGGCTCGTGAGGGAAAACGTCAATGGCCGCACCCGCGAGCTTGCCAGACCGCGAGGCTTCGATGAGGGCGGGGATGTCAACCACTGTGCCGCGCGCATTGTTGATTAGGTAGCTTCCCTTCTTCATCTTGGCGAGCTCTTTCGTGCCGATCAGTTTCTTAGTCTCCGATGTCTCGGGAACGTGGAGAGAGACAAAGTCGGCTTGCTCAAGCAAGTCGTCCAATGAAGCCACTTGTCGCGCAGTACCCAGACCCATCATAGTCAGAACGTCGTAGTAGATGACGCCCATGCCCATCGACTCGGCCAGTACACTCAACTGACTACCAATGTGTCCGTAGCCGACTATGCCCAGCGTCTTGCCGCGAATCTCCCAGCAGCCCTTGCTGACCTTGTTCCAGGTGCCGTTGTGGAGTTCCATCGAGCGGTCGCTGAGCTCACGGGCGAGTACGATGATCTCTGCGATGACAAGCTCGGCAACGGAGCGCGAGTTGCTGAAGGGCGAGTTGAAGACGGCAATACCCTGCTGCGCGGCAGTCTGAAGGTCTACCTGGTTAGTTCCAATGCAGAAGCAGCCGATGACAATCAAGTTCTTCGCTTCTTTCAGCACTCGGTCAGTAAGCTTCGTCTTTGACCTAATGCCAATGACGTGCACATCGCGAATCTTCTCAATCAATTGATCTTCTGGCAAGCTGCTCTTCAGCGCCTCCACTTGGTAGCCTTGCTTGGAGAGGATGCTGAGGCCAGCCTCGTTGACGTTTTCCAGAAGTAGAACCTTGATGTCCTTGGTATCGAAAGGCTTGAGCTGTTTCGCGAGCTGGGAGGCGTTGGAAGATACGGGTACGCTGCCTGCATGGCCATCTCTGAAGCCTCCTGGCGGTTGTCGGAAGCTTGAAGGCGGGCTGTTGAACTGGAGAGTTGGGCTTGTGCTGAGAGAAAGGCTGTTGGAAACCTGGCGCGCAAGGTTGCTGATGCCGCCGGCGATATCTTGTGGAGGACTCATGGTGTGTGTGTGTGTGTGCGTGCGGAGGTTGCGGAGGTTCTTCGGTGGAGTGATATATTTCTCTGGTCTTCAGCACGGAAGATGTGAGATGGCGTTCTTTCAACCAAAGACTAAATGTCAGTCACGCTGCGATTGAGGGGTAGTGTTCCTCAAAGTTGGTTCAGACAATGCAATATATGTTAATGGAGGAATCACACCAGATCACCAACTCCAGAAAACAGTCAGAACAGTCTCCACTTTTGTATCATCTTTGGGTATATGTCAGCGCGTCACCACCGGATCGCCTGAGTCCTCTCAAAAATTTCTCGACGCGCCCGCTCGCATGATGCCATCGCGCTACCGGTACTCGGAGCGACTTCCAGCCCCAGCCCCTCCATGCCCCTCCACGCCGAAATAACAAGGACGTGCACTCGCAGGGTCTCGCCTGCTTCCATGAGCCAAATCAACAACGCTCTTGCATCAGCCTTATCAGCAAATGATATAGAGTATCACAAGCATTTCCTCACGCACACTGATCGTTCTGCCAACTTCTTTATGTGTGCAGCGCAAAGTGTTGGTTAGAATGTTGGAAGCTTGGCGTTGTGCCCGCTATCGGAAGGCATTGATTCATCAACAAGCCTCAAATGACTTTACAGGCACGAGACGAAATGGACATCTCCGGAGTGCTTTGTATTGTTATCCTGAAAGTGTGCATCATCTAGAATGTAGCACTGTGTATGCAACAGGTGCGAGCGCCCGCAGGCTGCTCTTATAACACGTAGGCTGATGCATCTACTGTTTGAACAACAGCAATCACGGCACGTTATTTGTGTTACTTTGTCATTCCAGTTGTTCCATAATCTATAGACTCTGCGCCTCGATATCTCCTGACCTAACCGCGAGAATGGCTGTTAACCTATGGTTTGCACTTGCCTTCACGTAATACTCCAACACCGACAACATGTTTAAGAGCATCCGAAAGTTATCACAACTTCTCCTCCGGAGGCATTGGCCATTGGTAGCCTAAGAAAGTGTTAGATGGTGCACTAGGATATGCCAAGTGGGTGAATCATACCTGCAGCGTCGCTGAACTTGTATCCGTAGGACGACGTGAAGTCATCCAATACGGCCGGACCACGGGAACCTAAGCATGGTGTCAGCTAGAATCTATAAAAAAGTGATAGGACAATGCAAACCGTAGGGGTACTCCATAGGAATGATCTCCTTGTTGTCGTCGAGGTAGTGCAGCAGAGGTGTAAAGATCCTCCAGCTAGCGTCGAGTTCATCGTCACGAACAAAGTTGGAGTGGTCGCCCTTCAGCGCATCGAGAATGAGCGATTCATACGCCTCGGGGATCTTCAGGTCAGAGAATCGTCGCCTGTAAGTAAGGTCCAACTCGGTAAGAACTGTCTGCATGCTAAGACCCGGCAGCTTGGAGTTCATCTTGATGTAGACAGACTCGTTGGGCTGCACGCGAATGACGAGCTCGTTTCGCGGGATGTCTTTGAAGATGCCCGAGGTCACATCCTTGAACTGGATGCGGACTTCTGTCTTCTGCTCGTTCAATGCTTTACCTGCCTTCAGGATGAACGGCACGCCATCCCACCGCTCGTTCTTGATGTAGGCGACCATCGATGCGAAAGTAGGGCATCGGGAGTCCTTGGGGACTGAGTCGTCCTCCTTGTAGCCTGGCTTTGTGCCATCGAGTGACTTTCCGTACTGCCCGATGATGACATTCTTAGGTTCAATCGAGGCCATTCCACGAAGGACACGGACTTTCTCGTCACGGATGTCTTCGGCAGAGAAGGAGATGGGTCGCTCCATAGCAAGGAGGGTAAGCACCTGCAACAAATCTGCACCAGTCAGTCCCCTGAAGTTTTTCCGCCAGCTAGGGGATTCTTACGGTTCTGCATAACATCACGGATAATGCCAAACTCGTCAAAGTAGCCACCACGACCTTCTGTTCCAAACGGCTCCTTGAATGTGATCTGCGTATATCAGCAACCCATTGTCTGAACGTGTTTCACTTCACATACCTGGACATTGTCGATGTGGTTTCTGTTCCAAGTTGCGCCAAAGAACTCGTTACCGAATCGAAGGATGAGGATGTTCTTGACCATTTCCTTGCCCAAGTAGTGGTCAATTCGGTAAAGCTCATCTTCGGTCCAGTCTGGTGCGAGAGCCTTCTGGAGCTCTCTGGAACTTGGCAGATCCTTGCCAAACGGCTTCTCGACCTGTTGGGTTGCGGTCAGCTACATGATCACGAATAGCATCCTTAGGAAACCCACAATGACTCGAGAAATGCCGTTCTTGGGGTAGCAGTTACGCTTCAGGTGCTGTGAGACTGTGGTAAACACACTGGGCGGGAGTGCCATGTAGAATATCCTGTGTGTTTCGTTGCGACCCTCCTCGAGCTCCTCCAAGTGCTTGCGAAGCTCAATGAAGGACTCGTCCTTGTCGTACTGGCCCGACACGTATGTGCAGAAGCCGCAAAACTCTTCCAGCTGCTTCTCGATTTCCTCTGTGGGTGTCTTGATGTTGGACTTGACGCGCTTGAGGTACTCCTCGTGGTCCATCTTTGTCCGCGCATATCCGACGATGCGAATGTTCTTGGGTAGGAAGTTGTTGCGGTGCTGCGCAACGGGTTAATGACAACTAAAGCGGACTGTGGATCGTGCTACATACGAGACCGAAGAGAGCGGGGAACTATGCGAATGTCAGTACGGCTACCTGCATGCAGCTGTCCAAGTACTCACAGTCTTCTTTTTGGCCAAGTCACCGGAGGCGCCCAACACGATGATGACAGTGTTGTCGCGGAGCTCCATGTTGCTGCAAGGATATGCGAGTCAGCCGGATATCCCCAAACGATTGGGCATTTCTTTGCATCGCCGGCGAGCTACCCCTCCATTGACGTAGGGCGATCCGGCGCAGCGCGAGACGCGAAAACAATAATGAGATTCGCTGGATAATCATGACGAGCTTTCGAGCATCAGATAGATATGAAAACATTGTCACCTACCCGGCACTGTCCCCATGCTCAGGTTGAATCACGGTGTCCGCCATTGTCGTCGCTGAGTGGTGGATACGATAGGTGGGCAGAAAGAGCGGCCGCAGGCAAGGTTTCAAGTCAATTGGGGGTTGTCGAGGTGGGTGAAGAGTGGAAGTACAAACAAACGTCGAGAAAAGGGCGGACTCGGCGGGAGGGGGGGAGTGGATGGGTGTGAACGAAAAGCTTCTACGTGGTGGGGCTTGCTTTAGCGGTCGGCGGTTGTGGTGTTGACGTAGCCAAGGGATACGGAGCGTGATGCGCGTCGAGCTCCAGCAGCAGTGGCGATTTATTGGAGGGAAAAGCTTAACGACAATTCCTCATGCATGCGAGGCCTCTCTTCCCTAAAGGCCCCTCGTTACCGAACAACGAGCTCATCATCGAGCACCATCAAGCGACTGCGCGCCTTGCAGAGCTTCTCCGGCGACAGTCACACACGCATCACTCGCCGGATCTATCTATGCTAAGGCCGGGGACCCCACCACCCTGAGTTTGAGTTCAAGCTCACGGATGTGCTGATCAGCCTTTGTCTGTTCCATGCCTGTGCCATGTTGAGAATTTGTTTTGTAATTTAATATCGTACGCCGGGCTTAAGCATGCATGTTAGTGTCATGGCGTTCCCTGGAGATGCATGATTCTACATAGTACGTACGGTACCCCGCCATCCACAGATTCCGGGACCGCCGGACGTTACTGTAGTCTTCATTCACCGCAAGCATAGTGATAAGCTTTTTTACACCTTCACAGAGAGCCATGATGATGGTCACCAATAAATCTAATGTTTTCTGCTTTTCTAATACTACACGCGATGCCGACACATTTTCAAGACCTCACAGAGTAAGCCTTTGATACGTTGCAAAGCTCGAGTACGGAGATACCCAGATCATCGTCTTAAGTGGCGTCAAGAGAGTGGGATGTCAGCCTTATCAAGCAAAAACGACCTAGTCAAGCGCCGACATTTGCAGATAGTGCCGATACATGTCTATACTCAACTTGAAGCATACCGAATGTGGGAGCTTGAGCTATTCGAACAATCACAATTACACCAGCATAGTTGGCGCTGGGAGCAGCCACGCACCTGTACGTTGAAGACTCCGACTGCGGCAGTGTCAGTCGTTCAGGTGTTTTGTCCGGGACAGGCTGATGAATTGTATGTATTTCTGGGAGTTGCTGATAAGCCGTTCATCGATATGCTTGATAAAACATGCGAGGCGTTAGGACTACTTGGCCCTTGCTGCACAACATGACGATATCCTAACTGGACGGGGAGGAAACTCAGACCGATCACAGAATTGAAAACAAATCAGCCAGAATAGTGCACCGCATTATCAGAATTTAATAGATGGTGCATGCGCACAAGTTGGAAGACAGCAATGGTGGACAACCTTTGCTAAGCTACGACTGAGATTCGATTCGAGTGTATGAGCGTTATCATCCACAGAAGAATCGGAGCCGGAATTATGTTTTGCCGCCGCCACGTGACAACACAAGCGAGGATTGCAGCTGCTAGCGTCACCCACCGCATTTTCGAATCGCGACAACAAGTCTTGACCAGACCGTACTAACCAGCAGCAACTCTACGTCTCCCGGTCCCGTCACCCTTTCCACACAATTCAGAGGTCAGGAATCATTCGCCATGTCTGAGAAGTCCCACCGCCTCTATGTCAAGGGAAAGCACATTTCGTAAGAGCGCACCAGGCCGTTCATGGAATGCATATCGCTAACAAACTGTAGCTACCAGCGAGGGTACGACCGATCCGATGCTGCACATCTGTTCTTCGCTCACATTCCGTAGAAAGCGCAACACCAACCCTGGCACTTCGCTGCTGAAACTCGAGGGCGTCGATGACTCGACCGCGGCGCAATGGTACGCCGGTAAGCGCGTAGCTTGTACGTACAGATGGATCCCGATACAAGGCAGTCTAGGCCACGGAGGTTAACAGGGCTGCAGACGTCTACCGTGCTCAGAAGGCCATCCAGGGCTCCAAGATCCGCGTCATCTGGGGCAAGGTCACCAGGCCACACGGCAACAGCGGTGTCGTTCGCGCCAAGTTCAGGTCCAACCTTCCTCCCAAGACCTTCGGTGCTTCCGTCCGCGTCATGCTTTACCCTTCTTCGATATAATTTCGGTCATGAACCTCGGGGATGGGCACAGACGGTAGACGAGCGACGGAATGGTCAGGGACACGGCGCAAAATCCGGCATCGAAATGAGAGAATGACAGCGGGGAGGCTCTCAGGCTCGGCCTCTTTCATACGGCATGTTCAGGCTGGTTACGGTGTCATTGTTTTCGGAAACCCATGACAATGGCAAAATCAATCAAGATTCCTCCCAAGATCAATGATAAATGATCAATTTTCTTCCCAAACCATGGACGTGTGATGAGCATGGCAAATCCAGGGTTGGTTCTGTGAACAGATGGAGTGACGACGCCTGACTTGGACGAAACTTGTTATGAGTTGACTTGTGCAATGTCTACCCTTACGTCAACCGCGCGAGTGCACTGCAGCACGACGAGTCTCGAACACTCCGCCTGGATTGGCGCATTGCATGAGCTATCGCATTCTCGTGAATTGGTAATGAAGCCTATGCGACCACCAAGAAAAGTAGTCGATGCTGTAATAGCCTACGAAACATATAGTTACCCGATTTCCGACGCGTGTCATTCTCCCTGGTCACGATGTTGTAACGAACAGTGAACTCTCTGTTCATCGAGCAACCATGGCCATCTAAGCTGGTCATCTCCTTTGATAATCATGTTCAAGTATAGACACGTTCCTCTCCATCTTACTAATTCTCCGTCCTGCTGCTGATCCCAATACCTCATTTAACGCTCCCCTTCTTGACTCTGTCCGCCAACATCGTGCTTGCCCATATCACACAGTTCGGTTTGGGACCAAATTGGGAAGTATAGTGCAATGCCTCTATGTGTTGATTTGGACATGTTGACCGGAAGCAGCTCCGTTGCCCAGACGGATGATAGCCGATGTCAGAGCAAATGTCATCTCGGTTAGGTACGAACCAGCTCGAAGGTTTCACAACGGCCATCTCAGCATGCACATAGACCTTCGACAACAGTCCAAATCCTTCTATCGATCGTCGAATACCATCGGTATATATCCTGCCGAACCAGGCGCTCGGGGATGCCATTTGGCGGACACTAGCTAATTATGGGGTCACTCCAATGGTCTCATCTCAAGGGTCCGCAAGCCAAGCCACAGTAGAGCTGACGTCTCCCCTGCAACCCCCAGACCACATGCAGCTCCAAGAGAATAACAAAGTTCCGCTTCTCACCCATACGCTCTTTTACTTTCCTACTCACCGTGTCGCCCCGTGTTTACACGCCAATGCGACTCCGTAAAATCCAATAACTCCAGCTCTAAGATCTCTGGCCACGATCAACGTACACGCGACGAATCTTGCGCATTTCAGTGTAGTTGAGGAGGGGCTTTGGGGAGCAAGATGCCCTCTGTCACACAATGGTCGGGCACGCCGTCCATAAAAGGCTCGTCTGAGAGCATGCGCATGGCTCTTCTTACAACGTCTCTGGTTGGGCTACAGTACACCTCACTACCTAGTTCTACGAACAGCCATTCATTCTGACTGACTACTAGATTCACCTGGAACGTAGAAATGACGTACTGCACACCGTATCTCCTCGAACTCGGCCTCACCAAGTCCAACATATCCCTCGTCTGGGTCGCAGGCCCGCTGTCCGGCCTCATTATGCAGCCTATCGTCGGCGTCGTCGCAGACCGCACTACCTCGCGCTGGGGTCGCAGACGGCCTTTCATGATCGGTGGAACGGTTCTAGTGTCCATATTTCTCCTGCTGCTGGGTTGGACGAAAGAGGTGGTCAAGATGTTCGTTACGGACAAAGAAGCTGTGAATAGCGCCACGATCTATCTCGCGGTATTCAGTATATATGGGATAGATTTCGCCATCAACGCGGTACAAGGCAGCTGTAGGGGGTTGATCGTGGATGCTTTGCCCATACCAAAACAACAACTGGGGAGCAGCTGGGCAAGCAGAATGGTTGCAGTGGGCTCATTGATTGGGTACGGAGCGGGCGCCATTGATCTACAACTCGTTTTCGGGTCAATGTTGGGGGATACACAATTCAAGCAGCTGACAGCCGTAGCGGCCATGGCGTTGTGTATCACGGTCGGGATTACAAGTTGGGCAGTCACGGAGAGAGTATTGTTAAGTACCGGGAGTGAGGGAGGGGAGAAGCTCGGCCCTTTGCAAGTCCTGAGCACCATTGCAAAGTCGGCTGTCAAGTTGCCGAGGGGTATACAAGCAATCTGCTACGTGCAGTTCTGGGCTTGGATTGGTAGGCTATCACTCACGTCTCAAGATGATGAATTGCTAATAGTTGGACAGGCTGGTTTCCATTCCTCTTTTACAGCACAACGTGGGTGGGTGAAGTTTACCTACGGTACGACGCCCCAGCAGAGGTCAGGAATGACGGCGACTTGACGGGACAAGTTGGCCGCATCGGCTCGATGGCCTTGATATCCTTCTCTATCATCACCTTCATCATGTCGGTTCTACTCCCCTGGTTCGTTGAGAGTCCAGAAGATGAGGCGCCAGGATTCATCTCTCGTCCGCCAGCTCAGATCACATCATTCACGACTAAAATGAAAAAATACAAGCCTTCGCTTCTCACTGCTTGGACAGTTTCGCATCTTGTCTTTGCTTTTTCAATGGTTATGGCTCCGTTCGTTAAGTCGTTACGGGGTGCGACTATTATCATTGCCGTATGCGGAGTGTAAGGATTTATTCCCACTGTCTCAGAGTACCTTGCTAATATCCCTAGATCATGGGCAATAAGCTGTTGGGCCCCGTTCGCTTTCCTTGGTGTCGAGATTAACCGCCTCTCTTCGAACGCTCACAGCTACGGTCATCTCGCACGCAATTCAGTCGAGCTTGAAGCCCCTGTCACTTTACACCTCAACCAAGGACTCGAAGAAGACGGTTCTGCGACTGGCGAGAGTTCAGGGAAATATCTTGGCATTATGAATTTGTACACTACACTACCGCAGTTTGTTGGTACGGGTATTTCATGGGTGGTATTTTCGTTGCTTGAGCCTGGGAAAAGCCCTGAGCTCTCGGATGCACCGCCGGAAGAGCACCATTCGACAGACGGGCCGAATGCAATTGCGGTTTGTCTGTTCATCGGGGCATGCTCAGCTTTGGTGGCCGCGTTAGCTACGAGGCGGTTGAAACGTCTCCAGGGTTATTGATCGCATCAGCATAGCATTTGGAACCCAAAACAGGATACTACTGACGTATTAAGATCGCGTTGCTTCAATATGCGTTTTCCGTGTTTTGCCTTGGCGGCGCGCCGGCGTGGAGGATATTGATAAAGAGATTTATTTGATCGTTCGGTCCGCTGTCCCCGCAACGTTCTAGAAGGCAGATGTGGTTAGGAGTGTCCGCTTGGCCCGGGTAGAAGTCGTTTGTCTGACTTTGTGAAGCAATTGAGAATGCTTGCGTGTTCAAGCAAACAGCCACGGCTCCTAGTAGCCTGTGGAGCGAAACACAGGCGCCGGTGTCTCTTCCGATGCCACATGCACTCCCAAACTTCAAGACCCAGTCGTCCGTGACCAATTGAGCAACATTTGCAAGTGCACCTACGAGAGCAAGAAAAACTGGCGCGGCCAATGTCGGCCTTCCCAGTGCAGTGTCTTGCACAGTAAGCTATTGTGAATGAGGTAGGTGTTGTCATGGCGAGGAGCACGAGTCGCTAAGTACGTGGTGGGAGGCAAGCCCTCGGATAAGGACGCTTGCCACACCTTCCATGAATATTCCTTCCTGGTTCCACGGCACGCACGCAATTCTTTTCTGGGACCCAAAGACGCTGTCCTATTCTCTTTTTTGCATCATTCGCGGCACGGTCATCCCCCACTAGCCCAGCAAGTCAGCTAGCGCGGCCTCCCTCTCACTCAATACGCCGAAAAACTGCAAAGGCTCTCCAACAACACCACCACTCACTCAACAACTCGCCACCTGCATACAGACCTTGCAGACCCGCCAAGATGTCTGAGCCGATCCGCAATAAGAAGATGGACTCCATCTCCGCTCCGTAAGTCTCTTCCTGCCCCGCGCCACACATTCTCAAACGTCGACGAAATCGTCACCGCAACGACAGCCACCATGGACGTCCCCCAGTCTAACAAGTTCACCAACAGCACCCCCCAGAACACACCCGCCAACGCTGCGCCCATATCGTCGCGTGCCCAGCAGCCTGGCGTAGGCACCATCAAGGAAGGTGAGTCGCAGTAATTGCTGTTGTTACCCCTCCGACCCCGCGTGTGGTCGTTTTCCAGGGCTTGACCGCTAATTCGAATTTTTCACAGAGGAGCTGGAGCGTGCCGCCGCCGGACTGTTCGCTGCCAACCCCGCCCTCGTCTCCATGATGCAGGCGAAGCTCAGCGGCCTGGTGGGCAAGTCAAGCGGCTATGTCGAGTCGCTGCCCGTCTCAGTCCGCCGCCGCGTGGCTGGCCTCAAGGGCGTCCAGAAGGAGCACTCCAAGCTCGAGGCCCAATTCCAGGAAGAGGTCCTGCAGCTCGAGAAGAAGTACTTTGCCAAGTTCACACCACTGTACCAGGCCCGCGCGAAGATCGTCAACGGCGAGACAGAGCCCACAGAAGAGCAGGTCACGGTTGGCGAACAGAAGGACAAGGACGACGAGGATGAGGACGACGATGAGGAGACTCCCGAGCTCAACAAGGAAGAGGGCAAGGACGTCAAGGGTATCCCAGAGTTCTGGTTGACCGCCTTGAAGACCCAGCCCGAGCTTGCCGAGATGATCACAGATCGGGATGAGGCGGCACTGAAGCACCTGGTCGACGTCCGTATGGAGTATCTCGACCGCCCCGGCTTCCGCCTGATCTTTGAGTTCGAGCAGAACGAGTTCTTCTCTAACAAGTCCATCTCAAAGACGTACTTCTACCAGGAAGAGAACGGCTACGGTGGCGACTACATCTACGACCACGCCGAGGGCGAGAAGGTCGACTGGAAATCAGGCAAGGACCTGACTGTTCGCATCGAGAGCAAGAAGCAGAGGAACAAGAGTGGGTGCTTCATATATTATGTTGCAGAATAGATGAGCTAACCGTACGCAGACACCAAGCAAACCCGAGTAGTCAAGAAGACCGTTCCTACAGACTCTTTCTTCAACTTCTTCGACCCACCGAAGCCCCCCCAGGACGAGGACGATGCTACCAGTGATATTGAGGAACGCCTCGAACTGGACTACCAGCTTGGCGAGATTATCAAGGAGAAGTTCATCCCTCATGCCATTGACTGGTTCACTGGCGAGGCCCTCCAGTACGAGAACTTTGACGAGTTCGACGAGGGCGACTTCGAAGATGAGGATGACGAGGACGAGGACGAGCTCAGCGACCGCGACGAGGATGAGGAGTCTGATGACGAGGTAAGTTATCCCTGGAAACGCTTTTTTGTTGTACGGCATACTAATCATCTCGCAGGACGATGACACAAAACCCAAGCAGGAGACTACCGAGTGCAAGCAGAGTTAAATGGCTCGATGTGGCTGACAGATATCCTGCGATTTGGGACATTGGGCTTCTTCTTCCAATCTACATGCCGGCATCATGACGCATTTTGGTGGTTACACGGTTCTCGTTATATGATCCAACGATTTCATTAATTCCTTACGACCCCTCGACGCCCTCACACCCCCAATATGTTTTCTCAGTATGGCGTAACACTGCATCAAAGGAGTTGGAGATGGTTGGTTCGAGATCTCTGGTCTAGCTATCCAACCCAACTACTATGGTCAATCTTCCTCCACAACCATCTGCCATAGATCAGGTTGCAACCAGGCACTCGCTAGTGTGACAGTACGGCATACAGCATTGTCTGACGCTAAGTGGGCTGTCCAGCGGTATCCTATGGTCGTGGAAAGATGCGACGTGGTATTTAGTGGTGTTCAGCATATTGTTTCTGTTAAGAGGCAAAAATTTGGAGTTGGGAATATGGTATGGGTGGTATTCAAACAATATAGATTATGCAATGCTTTTGATACTATCTTTGTGTTTCCACCCTTGCGTTATGTGTAGTCATTTTGTTGGTGGCCTCTCATAGCTCTGGTCTCTGGTGTCTATCTTACGGCCACTGACCTCGCGTGACTGTGTCATCTGTTGTCGCTACTCGCACAATGATTGCATGTTAATATCTGGACTAACATAGTGCGGGGTACTTCGTGGTGGGGTAATATCGGGCTAAGCTCGGGGAAATTAATTTTTGGACAACGCGACACGAGAGGCATCAACGCGCGCAGTCGAAGCTGAAGACACTTTGCACCTCCCTGGTCTGACTTCAGACATACGATTACGAAACTCGCACCTACGTAACCTATCGACGTCCATATATCAACTGATTGACCCTCCCTGCGCGACCGCCGCAAAACCTCACAAATCATCACCATGGCGCGCAAGAACCCCAACATCATAGTCACAGGGACACCAGGCGTAGGCAAGACCACACACGCGGAACAGCTTGCACGAAGTACGGGATTCAATCACATATCTGTAAACCAGATCGTCAAGGACGAGGGTTACCACGAGGGCAAGGACGAGGAGACAGGAAGCTGGGTAGTGGATGAGGACAAGGTGCGCGAACCCCACTGCAACTAGCAAAACACTGCTATAAGCAGCCCATTTTGATGGTATTGCGAGACTTACTAACGCAATCCATAGCTCCTCGATCACCTTGAAGCTACCGACCTCAACGAAACCGGCGGAAATATACTCGACTGGCACGCGTGCGACCTTTTCCCCGAGCGCTGGATAGACCTCGTCATTGTACTGCGCTGCGACTCTACCATACTGTACGACCGTCTGACGGCGAGAGGATACAAGGATAAAAAGCTCGAGGAGAACATGGATAGCGAGATTATGCAGGTGTTACTTGATGAGGCGAGGGAGGCGTATAAGGAGGAGATAATTGTGGAGTTGCGGAGTGACAGTGCGGAGGATGTGGAGGGAAATCTGGAGAGAGTGGAGCAATGGATCGAGAATTGGAAGAAGGACCGAGCAGAGTAGGGAGTTCTGCTGGGTAGAGGGAATATCATGGGACATAATCGAGTTGGAAACTGAAATATGGGATTGTTGGTGAGTACTGACTGTCTCGTCTGTCTTGGTGTTGAGATGTAGGAACTGGGCGTATGTCAAGAATGTTTCTGTTCTACCCATCAACCTTCTTTGCCGCCAGCCATTCCTTCAGTTTATCCAGCGCTTTGGCCCGATGACTGATCTTGTTCTTCTCACTCTTCTCCATCTCCGCGTACGTCTGGCCCTCGTACTCGAAGCATGAGTCCCATCCTGTGTGCTGTTAGCTTCTGTACACTCTTCGCCATTACTTCCCTATCATGCTTGGAAAGAACAGCTTCAATAGCCACGGCTTACCAAAGACTGTAGATCCCCGACTCTCTACCAGCTTTCCATCCGTACGTCCCTGGAACAGCACAGGCTCGTGGCCTGGACCCTCGCAGTAGCCGAATGTGCAGACTGCTTGTGCGGATTTATCGTCGAAACCCGAGAGCATTTTGTGGAGGTTTCCAGCGCCAAGGGAAAGCATGAACCATTTGCTATGGACAATCAGACTTTGGGGTTACGGAAGGAAGGGTTTGAGATTATGTAGACGAAGCTCAAACAGGAGAGGCGCGGCAGTCACGAAGGTACTTACATATATGGGCCAGGCAGATCGTTCATGGCTTTGAAGCAAAGACATGTGTCCTCCACGAGAACAGGTCCTTTGATCTGAACGAGCATTAGCAATCGACTGGGCTCGCTTTATTTGATGTTGAACTCACGGCTTCAGCGGCTCGCCGTGCCTTGTCTGAAGTGACTTCCTCTACCGTGCCTTGAATTTCAACAAGGTCGACATTCTGGTTTCGAAGTTCAATCACGCCTTCAAGAATGGCTTGAACCTGTGGCGCTACGTGAGCTTTGTTTGTTATCGCAGAGACCGAGGGATTAGTCTCACCTCAGCTAACTTGTTCTTGTTGCCTGTGATGAAGTTCAGGTGCTTTGGCACTGTGGTGGTGGACGCCATGTCGACTACTGCGTAGCTGCTGTTGGAGTGCTTGCTATAAAAACGAGAATGTCTCGTAGATCGATTGAAGCTGATTTGCTCTCTTTGATGAGGAGGCCGGTGCGTTGGTATAGTCAATGGAAAGTTGTAATCTTTGAGGGCGAGCTTTCTTAGGGTAGTGTAGCCAACGCTGGATCTGCTTATGTGCACGTGTCTGCCGAGCGCCTTCAAAATATTAGTTTGACTCATGTGAAGCTCCAGGATATCGCCAATGATATACCGATCAAGTATCGCGTTCCGTAGTGTTGTGGTTAGTACCTGATAAGCAAAAGGACAGTATCGCGCTACAGGGCTGATTGACTCTCAATTCAATTGGACAATAAATGGGGTGTAGGGCTGAGGTTACAGCAAGGCGCAAACTCTGGTCTGCAGCGTCCAAAGGTGGAGTCTATGTTTAGACATCGAAGCGAGAAAGTACCCAATCAGAAAGCGCGTCACCGTGCCCTTCAGCTGTTCAGCAACTTACCACCATTGCCTTTCACAAACATCCATCACCGCGCGTGCCTATCGGCAAGCTTTGCAGAGTTCGCACTGCTACCTTATTGTTGCTTCGAACTGAAAGCATAGTTTTAACCCCGGCACTTCACGCCCTCGACGCAAGCCTCTACAACATTATTCGGTCCGCTCATATTGTCGGCTTGTTCCAGAGATTAGGGTGTCGGCGAGAGCGAAAGGGACGAGCTGCTCAGCATGGCTTCACTCAAGTGGCTGTTCTTGGGCGTGTACGCATCAAACAGGGTTTTAAGAATGCTGTTCCTTCCGATATGGTATCTTCTGCTACTCAGTCCGTTTCTGTTTGTCGTCACCTACTACTCCAGGCTTGGTCGGCAACTTGCAAGTCTCATACCACAAGATTTTTCAGTATTCGATCTTTTGCCACAAGTCGTTCTATCCGTGGTGTTCGTACTTCTTCCTACGAGATTACTGTCCGGCTCGGGGGAGATTACAAAGAGTAAAGATGGAGGGAAGAGGCGGGTACAATCACTACCATACTGGATTCCGGGTGCACAACATCTGGGAAGCATTATCTCTGGCGCGGAAGATTGGATGATAGGTGTGAGGTTAGTTATGGAAATCCAATAGGTGGGTTGTATTTAACAGTCATTCAGGGAGTCGTCAGTCACCAACATCATCGCATACAAGGCCGCAGGATCGAAGCACAACGTTACCTTCTCGACCTCATTTCTAGATCAAGTTTACAAGAACTGGGAAAATCTGACAGAAGCAGAGAGCAGCAGATGGGCTGTTCTTCGAAATGCGTTCAGAATGCCAAAGAGTGTTGAAAAGCAGTATTTCGAGCTGCAGCCCACCATCGAAAAGACCATCAAAAGGGAGATGTTTGAGGACCATAAAATGGAAAGTTTCGTAACTGCCTCGTTGAAGCTATTGTCAGGATCTTTACCGGACATGATCACATTCAACTCTTCCATCGTAGACCAGATGCAATGGGAGCGTGTATCGACCGTTGAGTTGACGGACGGTACATCAGAAGCCGAGTGTGACTTCTTCGCACTCATAAACGACTTTTGCTGCAATACAATCTTGCCCCCGGTAACAGGCAGCCAATTCACGGAATCGTATGCCTTATTGGCTTCCGACCTGGCCTCTTTCAATGCTTTGTACTATGCGCTCGCCCTCGGATTACCTCGCTTTTCTCCAGTTAGGGGTCTTCCTGCAGCAGCATTAGCTAAGAGGAGGCTATTGTCTAATTTCAGCAACTTTTTCAGCGAACTCTCAAGTCCACCTGTAAGAAGGGTGATAGATGATGACGAAAGTGTGAGCGGAGAAGAGATGGACGCTGACGACGATACGTTGCTTACAGCGCTCAACGAGCTCTTCAAAAAGCACGAGTTGCCAATCGTAGCACGAGCTGCAGTTGCGCTCCAACTCGTACATGGCATCGTCGCAGATGTCGTTCCTTTGGTTCTTTGGACGCTTCTACACATCTACTCACTATCAGGTTCTCCTGAGGGGCAAAAAGAAGACGCAACGCCTCTGGAAAGAATCAAGAAAGAAACTAAAGACTGGGCAGAAGCTGTCCAACCTCCTTCAATACATCCATTGTTCCCCGCTCCTCCGGAAATGTCGTTCGCATCGACGAGTCAAGCGATTTCTGAAGAGTCATTCCCATACCTGCGTTCTTGCGTCAGCGAGGCTCGACGTTTCTACGGTTCTTCTGCTAGCACATACAGAGTGACAAAACCAGTCACACTGGAAGAGCAGAGTATTGTTCCTGGTGAACGGGAAGAGATTGAATTGGACGTTGATTCATATGTTGACATTGGTTTGTCTACGGGTCTTATCAACACATCTCCAGTGAACTTCGTCTCTCCCGACACATTCAGGCCCGATCGTTTTATCAACACACCTCCATCGTCATCCATCGTCTCCCCTACCGACATGTCGGCGTCCTACAAGACCGCACTTGTTATAGCCATTGTAGCAGGTATCACGCAGCTTTGGGAAATTACGCCAGCCCCGAAGAAAAGTTTCTTCGAGAAATTGCAGGAAGCAGGGCAAGAAGCCCAAGCTGGCGCCGCAGCTATGAGTGGAGAAGAGAAACCCACCCCAAGCGAAACTAAGAAAGACGAGACGCCAGGTGTCTGGGAGATCCCCAAAGCGGATGACGGATCTAGTATGAAGGTGCCGAGGGGAGAGATCAAAGTGAGGATCAGGAGAAGAGAAGATCTACCGAAGCAGAAGGTGTTGAGGAGAGACAGGTAGCGAGCGTGCGATTGCAAAACGACAGACCGCACGAGTTGAAGTCGAGATGATGCCGTAAGGAGACATAACGGTATTGATATAGATGTATAGAAATTAGATCGACTCTGTTAACGATGAGTAGACTCTCGTTGATGTTGACGAGGGATGCAGGTCCTATGACCACCTGCGTACATACTCATCAGCATACGTTGTGTTTTCGGGACAGTCACATCGCAATAACAAAAATATAGTTTTGCGTACGAGCTAACTATCATCCTGAGGGAAAGTGAGATTACCCCTAACAAAAAACCAAACATACGAACTGCTCCACCCCAACTTCTCGTCCACAATACCCCCATCGCCATCACACCATCTCAAAACATACCAGCACAACATCGTCTCCCAAGCAACCTACAGTCCACCCTCTCGCACCGTTCTTGTCAAACCCTCGAGTCATAATTCAACGTTCCACTCCGCCAAACTAGCGGTGAGACACACCTACCAGCCTACGAACAGAACCCTCACGAGACAAACTCCAAATCCCGCTTCCCCGCGAGAACGTGCTCACGTATTCAACACGCGTTCCAGAGGTCGATGGACACATCAGCGTGAACCCGAAATCACACCGCAATGCTGCCGGGTTCGGTAAGGCTGCGGAAGCTACCGATTTCCCAACGAAGTATCACACCGCTGGGCCTTGGAGGTGGGAAGCGAGGTTGAAGATCGGGGGACGTGTCCTGTTATGCTGTGCATGAGAGGATAGACATGTAGGCGACTTCCGTAGATCGAGGATGACTGTTTAAGGTAAAGTCCACAGAATATTTATGTTAAGCGTAAGATCTAGGATGAGAATGACAAACAGGCACATCGAATGTGCATAATATTGTGCTCTTGTAGTTGCGGCTTGGATGGTGATGATACTTGCCCGACGAGATGCAAAATCTTAAGGGAATCGTCTCGCACGCTGGGAAAAGAGAATCATTCCTTGCAGTAGAATAGCTGTATCAGTAAACATGTTGGAGGGGATTGATGGCTTAATGAAATATGCTACGAATGTTGTCGTGCACGTGAAGTGAGATGCTTTATTATGACCACGTCAAAACAAGGCATGGGACAACGAGAAGTTTGAAGGCATCAAGAGTAGGAACATGACCACGAACGAAGAACAACAATAAGAAAACCAGGCAGAGAGAATGTAAACAAAAGAAATTATCATAACGCGTTGGTGATGCGAATGCCTGGACCAACGACGATGTTAGCAGCAACTGACAGCAAAGGACCCAAAAGTGGTGTAAGTTGTCATTGTCATTTCCGTGATTGCACTTTTCCCGCACCGCCACATAAATACCAGATGCGACCAATGCATCCATGCACGCCGTCAGTACCGCGGAGAGACATCAAGGTGTATGTTTGACCATTCATTTGTAAACATAACACCTTTTGGATGCCCATATCATGCCGCGGAAAGTTGAAAGACCCTGAAAAACCCCTGCCTGTTCAACCATGACTGTTTACACGTTCTCAAGGACTGTCTCCTTGAACTCCCGCTCAACCTGAGTATTGTTAGACGTACTCTTGCACAGGAGGGGGTGTTAGGAGGGCCGTACCTTCTGACCAGAGTCATCCTGGTTCGACTCGCCGTGCAGACCAAGGAGAGCACCAAGGTCGAACTTGGGCGACTTGAGGAGCTTGACCTTTCGGATGTGGACCTATGGCAGGTTAGCCTTGTTTTTCCCCGTACCCCTCTCATGTCCATGCACGTACGTTCTGCAGAGGGTAGATGCCCTGGGTGGCCTTCTCAATGGCGCGGCCAATAACCTCGGGGATCAGCTTCTGGGTGAGCTGGGCAAGAGTGCACGAGCTGGCATCGCGCTGGATGATCTCGATCATCTTCTTGCGGATCGCCCTGATCTGGGACGAGGCAGCGTATGTGGTCTTCTTGATCTGGTTCGGCCGGCGCTTGGTGAAAGCAATGGCGAACAGGCGGAGGAGGTAATCATCGGTGGTCTTGACCACGACGTTGGCCTCGATGAGGGATTGCCACTTGCGGACGAGCGAGCGGAGCTTGTCGGAGGTGAAGTCGAGGCCGTGGAAGTTGGTCAGGCAGTTCTTGCCCTGGACCTCGTCGACGCGGAGCTTGACCTTGCGGAAAGCGTGGTCCTCGTCCTTCTGGAGATCGGCGAGCGAGACCTCGAATATCCGGCCCTTCAGCGCATCGTTTGCGTTCTTGAGACCAGTGGTGCGGTTGACGAGGGTCTTGCCGACACTGCAGAGAAGAGACGAGTAAGCTTCCAATTCATTGACGCTGTCGGCGCTGCGGGGAGGCTTACTCTCGGATCGCGAAAGTTCCTGGCGCCTTGACGTTGTACCAGTCCTTCTTCGCGAAGGTGTCGGTCTTCTTCTTGAGACCCTTCTTTCCCTTTGAAAGGCGCTTGTTCTTGCCGACAGCCATGTTTGCGACGTTAGTAGTTGGGCGTCGAGGCGTGTGGTGATATCGTCGTCGGTGGTCGAGGAGCGAATTTCACAATGGTGTCTGGAGTGCTCGAATTAAGCGAGTCTTGGCTTGGGTAATCCAGCCCAGGGTCACGTGGTGCCACACCAACGACCCTCACCCCTCACGATCTCGCGAGGCGGCTACGCGTGCTCCCATTGGGCGTCATGCACTTTTGTGCAGCTGATGGTTTTTTGGGAGGACATTGTTCATGTCGCTGTTGAGGGCCTTGCCGCAGGACTGCGCCCAGGGCTCTGTGGAGGATGTTGCCACACAGGCTGGGAGACGCTACATGTGACGAAGGCTCATCATGTCCACAGAAACTCAGTCGCAAGTCAGGTGGTCGCGATGTCGACAATGCAAGTTGTGCGCAGTATGGGCCAGAAGTATTGTTCACTCTCTCATTTCCTGTCACGGCTATCGCCGCCGACTATGCACTCCGTGCACGACAACACTAAACTACACACAAACAAAGATGCGAGCCACGATCATCAACGTGCTCTCTCATTCCAACGCCTTCACCGTATTATCTCCTCGCCGCCAGGTGCCCGGACCCCCTCGTACTCTCGCCTTGACTAGCCAGGGGCAGTGGCTGTGCACCGCCTCGCCTGACACCGCACGCAAGTTCTTCTTCCGTTCCGCATATTGATGCCTCCCAAGAATGGCGCACGTCCTGTCAGCCACGACCACCTGTCGCATTTCCCCCTTTCGATCAGAAATTGCACAGCTCGTGTCCATGGATGGAATGCTGTGGCGGCGAAGGTGGAATGGGTTGATTAATCCTCTAGGGGTAAAATGTTGGATTTCCGTGTAAAGGGGGTGAACATGTATGCTCAGATGGGGATGTAGTTCGTAAGTCTTGCGATGGATTGTCGGAGTTTCTCCCATTCGGTCGCAATTCTTGACTTGGTCTCTTCATCTAGTCATGTCTCGACAGCAGTGTGCTCACTTCGCTGATCATACGGGCTCTGTCTTTGGCAGAGCTGCTCAAAGTCTGGGAAGCTGATGTAGCCGTCTGGAAATATTGTCAGCTCTCTGCTTAGTTCGATGACAAGAGCAATATTGCTCACCCTGCTGCCTGTACTGTCTTACGTAGCGCTCGCTCTCACTCCTGCATATAGCAGGTCTTCCAGAACCATATGAGGAGCTGGAGTGCATTTCACTGTGCCTCATCTCCGGAGAAGGCATTGGACTTGGTAGAGGAGTTTCGCCCCGCGGGGTGGTGGGTGACGAGGCAACTTTGGCGAGCAGAGTAGAGGCCTTGGTCGGACTTCCCGTTGATCCAGCAGAGTCTCGTCGAGAAGCCACGGGAACATGTGTTGTAAGACATGGCGAGGAAACAACGGAAGGCGTAAGAGGTGGGCGACGACTGCCTGATCTTGACCGTTGTGGTGCTTCGGTTGGTAGCGAATAGTAGTATCGGGTGTTGCTCGACATGATGAATTTGTATGCTGTGTAGCTTTTTCTCGTGCAAGTTGGAGGATTGGCGAGAAGTATGGATGCTGGAATGACGAAAGTAAGAGTGACACTTGGGAAGGCCTGGTACATATGAATGGTATGCCCAGACACTATTCACCCCTGCCACAAGTGTATACGCCTACATGCATGTCCCGGGGCATCCCTGTCAACGCCAGCGCTGCATCAGCAGCCGGAGCGTCCCACTCCACATCTTTGGCTTCTGATCCAAATGCAGCAAAACGCACGTCGCAGACAACGTGGATCGTTAGAGATGTAAGTGGCAGGGGGTGCTACGCTGTCATCCGCTCACTCGCCCTGACTTGGCCTCACTCAGCCAGCACAAGACTGTTCAGTATCGTCGCGAAACCGCGCCGCTGCTGCAGGCGTGAGTTGGCCACCAAAGCGGAGCTTGAGAAAGCCACCGCCTCTGTCAACACAATTGACGGTGGCACGTTGTCAGCCCTGGAAGGCTACGCTGTCCGTCCAGCGAATGCGCTCACGGTGACGGACGCCGGTATTGGCGTCGGCGATTCGTGTTGTGTGCCGGAACAGCGGGTGCAGAGGCGGCGGCACCGCACGCTTTGGCACCAAGGGGATAGGCGGATGGGAGCCGAGTTGGCAGAGGAGCATCCCATACCGACACCGTCATAGCCGTGCGCTGATGACAGGCTCGGGACTTGGAATCCAGCGGGCACATTTTGATTGTTATCGATAAGGTTTTACGAAAACGACGCCTTTCTGTGCCGTCCCCTACCAAGTGACGACATTTCTTACGTCGGTTGAATCTTCTATCAACCTGTGTCATGCATTGCATACGGAGCATGTTTCCAACAGTTGAGAGCAAAGCACAGCAAGGGCATCCTTTCACATCCCTCGTGCGCTGTGGTTAGAGCAAGAGCAAGCGAAGAGCAAGCATCAAGTGATTCTGATCATCATCTCACCGGCCTTCGGTACCGAAGTCTCCCACCGTGACATCTTGAGCATTGGCATCAATAACATTCGTAAATGGTACCACGGATTGCGCGACGATTGAGGGCCAGCCACGTTACCGGCAGATGAGGCCGCCTTCCCCCCACCGCTTGGAAACACCCTTCACGTGGCTGCTGTCGCTGTTGACCGGGTGAATAGCATGACACGCCTCCACACCAACTGAATCTGGAACCTCTTTCGACTGTTTTGGTCTCCACTTCCCACTTTCTATGCCAGCTTCCTCAACTCAGCTGTGTGAGCGCTCGAATTGGGAATCCCTCTCGAAAAGAGCGGAGGCCACTCCGCCTCCATAACCTTCGACTGCTAAGAGTCACCTCCAGCTGGGCATTACACATGCTTTACGACTTGTTACCATGCACTTGCGTATATACACTACTATTGCGCGTAGAGGTATACGCACGCACCTGCGTAGGGACATGCCCCTCTTATCCTCAGAATTCGTTGTCGCTTCGTCTCAGGTTCGGTCAACCCACAATCCTACCACGTGCCGCTCAAAATCCAACTCTACTGACACATCACAATTTGGACGAACCGCAAGGCAAGCAACGCCATGTGGAAAATTCCAATCGAAAATCTATTTGGCCACTGGATGGAATGAATTCGCCGTGAACAGGCGCTACTTATACAAGGCCCGCAATCAACCCATATTGAGGGGCACATGCAGGAGCCCGACTATGCCATGCTGCCCAGTTTGCTGCAACCCAAGGTTAGCGACACAGCGGACATATGAACATGGGCGCTACGACTATATGGACCAGTGGAACGGGTACATGTATGTGACATCCCGCCGTCATAGCCGCGGCCGTTTAAGAACGTGCACATGAGTATGTCAATGTTAAACCTGCCATATGAGTTCTAATCAAAGTTCAAATCTCGGCACCACTTGATATTTCCAGGGGCTAGCAAGATCCTGAAATGCCGGTGGAGTGTAAGCATATTGTTGGCCTTTCTTGTCTTCCAACCACACGCGACAGCCCCTCACCACCACACCACCACACCACTCCCAAGTATTCTCCGCAAAGTCCAGACGCGCTTCCATGGCAGATCTCGCGCCGATCGCACCCGAGGCCGGAACAACACACTCCCTTCACACGTGCATATATCAACATCACTTAGGCGCGCTTACTCCCACTCCTTCTATCCAACTACAAGTCGATGCGATATCCGCCCTTATCCACAATTTTCAACAACGTGCCCACGTACACCGGCAACAAGACCAGCAGCTAGACCTGGATTATGTGTTGTGCGTGAACTAAGTGGGGACCGGTCATGGGTACGTTGAGAAGAGCGGTAAGGCAAACACAACAGGTACATGATGATACACACATGGACATGGCGGTCGAGGCCAAGGTAAAGCGGGCCGCGCCGGTGACTGTTTTTCCGCTCGGAACAGAGGGGTCATGTGTGCAGGCAGCGGGTAGGGCGGAGAGTCTTACCACGCGCTGGTGTTGGCCATATCCACGTCCTGATGGCGGGGTCCGACACGTCTTTGCTGTGTGTTGTACCTCGTTGAGCGGAGATGATGAGTCCACGTGCTTGGTGGGTATGACTGGAGTGCAGCATGCGTTGTACCTAGATGTGGGGGGACGAAATGCAGGAGTTGCACATGCTCTCATGAAATGTAGGTAGGAACAACATGAGTGTTCCAACACGAAAATCCAGTGTCCTGAGTGCGGGAAACTCTCAGCGTGCTCTACGGATGTACAGTCATTATCGCTCTTTCACATGCTCAACAAGTAAGACGGTGTGTTTCTTTCGATATGATTACAAACCCCCGAACCATCAACCCCTACACAACTCCGCTTCTGCAAACACAAGCCTAAACACAAAACTGTCAACACGAAACGTGGTGAAGACATTTCATCCCACGTATACAAAGTTTGTTACTCCAAACTCGCGCACGACCGCGTGTAAAGGTCTACACCAGATACTAGGTAAACTCCAGTTCCCTGGCCTAGCACGAACACGACAGATGAGCAACCGTTACTCCGTCGCACGACATGCACCGTACTTGCGTCTCGATCTGCACCCAGCGCACTGCAACGAACGCTACGTTACACAGCAGCTATGCAACGGTGATTGACGACGGTGGTGGTGATCATGAGGGCATACCTACATACACGAGCACACAGAGTTACAGATAAGCTTGTGATTGAAACCGTTTTATCGATGTAAGCAGGACGGAAGATTGAGATGATGGTTCTTACACTTGTTCATACGTGGTGTGGAAGGACTGGCTTGCCGTATTAGGTTCACACTCGCATGAGTACGAACCAGTAAGCACATTGACGGTTTGTCAGCATGATAGTGTTGAGATATGGTATTGGAGTGATTTGTTTTTATTTTTCTATCAAGTTTATGTGTAGTTGTTGGGAACACAGTCTCGGCATTGCTTCTCTTTGATTGGCATCGAGTATACGCATTGTAAGGATGGTGCTTCCATACGAACCGTTGCTGCGCGTGTCTTACCGTTCAGTGCTATTGTTGGGATTAGCTTTGTTACATTGAGCAAATGAGATGGAGCATATATGTAACGTACGTCGACGTCTTCCCATCCACGGCCCTTCACGTTGGCCAGCTCGTCCATGGACATGATGTGCCCATTTGTAACTGCGGGTCGTGTCAGCCTGTGGTCTTTCCGGTGGCGCAAGCGTTGAGCTAGGTGTTGCGCTCATCTGCGAAAAGAGGGGTGCATAAACGAACGGGAGACTTACAGTAACCGGCTTGGATCTTGGCGTCAATCTCGACACGGCTGTCGGCGGGAATCATATCGTCTGGGATCGGAACACGCTCGTGAATCGGGATGCCTTGGTCAACGATAGCGTCATGCTTCATACTACATGGATGTTAGCTTGTTCTCATAAAGTTTGGAAAGTGGTGTAAGCAAGCATGGGGAAGCCCGCAGATGGCAACTTACTTGGACATGCTGAGCATCCTGTCGATCTTGGTGATACCGAGCCAGTGAAGAATATCAGGCATCAGCGCCTGGAAGCGCATATCCTTGACACCGGCGATGTTCTCCGTCCTCTGGAAGTACTCGCTTGCCCTGTCCTCTCCTCTCTTCCTTGCATTGTATACGAGGTACTTGGTTACCTCACCAAGCGCGCGACCCTCCTTACGGAAGTAGATGACCACGCCGCTTCCGCCCTTCTGGGCTTCCTTCACTGCCTCTTCGATACCGAAAGTGAGGTATGGACGGCATGTGCAGATATCAGACCCAAAGACGTCACTGCCGTTGCACTCGTCGTGGACACGGAGAGCGAGACGGGCGCTGGGATCAGACATCTTGGCTGGGTCACCGAAGATGTAAACGGTGAGACCGCCGATGGGGGGCATGAAGAGCTTGATGTCGGATCGAGTGATCAATTCGGGGTATGAGCCGCCCGTCTCCTCAAATAGTGTTCGCCTGAGAATCCCCTCGTCTGAGCAAAAATTGTTAGCTGGGCTATGATACGTAGTTGAGTGTGGTGCATACCAATGTTAAATCGCTCGGCTACACCTGGGAGATACCACACAGGCTCAACGGCGACCTTGGTAACAGCAACTTCGCCGGTTTCATTGACACAAATCTTGCCATCTGGGATAAGACGACCAGCTCTTACGCTCTCTTCTAGTTCGGGAAGCTTCATGTGCGCGCGAGTAATGGCAATGGTGGGCCTAATCTCGACATCGTCTTTGTCCATGATGTCCTTGTACAACCAAGGAGCAAGATGCCCATATGGATCCATGGCAACAATCTTCTTCTTGTCGCCCCATTGTGGGAAAGGACCGATGCTTGCAGCAGGTTCTGTGTTGGTGAAATCTGGCTTGTGGGTGATGTCGAGGTTCTTGCTTGCTACGGCGAGAGCATTGTAGATCGAGTATGAACCTCCATGTGCACCAATGGCTGGCCAAGCTTAGTAAACGTATAAATTGACGGATATATCGGGTGTACATACCATTACGCCTACGAATGGTATTCGCATGTCTTGATACAACTACAGGACCACGCACAGCAGGGTCTTTTGCACCCCAGACCATAGGCAATGGGTCAACACCAGCCTGGCCGGGATATGAAGTCAAGATGATCTTTGATGTCTTTGAAACGCTTGCTGGACGAGGCTCATCAACGGGTGTAGATGGCTCTTCGTACTGTTGACTAACTGCCTCCACGGCCTTCTCCGACTCAGCTTCCTTTGCTTTCTCCTGGCTGAGAGTACCGCTGGCCGCTGCGCTTGCTGCCTCATCTTTCAGCTGCTTGATGCCAGCAAGCATGTTTACACGTCCATTGATCTTGTCAACAGAAGCCGCTAGCTCGGAATTCTCCAGCCGCATTGCCTTGAGACCGTCCAGGATCTCCTTGAGAATAGCATCACTGGTGGTGCCTGACATGATTGGTTTTGGGTGCTCTCTGGCAGTGAAAGTTTGGGTAGGCAACGTAAAGAGCAGTACAAAGGATGGTATTAGCTTCCCACGGATGCAAGGGATGAGTCGAATGGAATGGGTTCGAAGTCCAGAAAGATAAGCACTCGCACAGCAGATCAAGCTCTATTTAAACGTTTCGACGTGTCCAAGAGACACAGAGAGGAGAGCGAAGAAGCCACGAGTAACGTGGTCGAAGGTGGGAGCTCCAGCACAGCTGACTACTGATGCGCCGACGGCGATAACTGATTGGGAGCGGGGCCCTACGGGGACACTAGAGGCGCTTATCGTCACGTGCATCGACCCAAAGGGCAGTTGCTATCGGAGTTCTCCACGCCGGGGGTGTCGCATTCAGAGTTCACTTCAACGTTCGCGACGAGTGAGAAGCGCGTCAGTGAGGAAGGCCAGACAGCTTCATACTGTTTTCCAGGACTGTGGCAGCAAAACGACGCGTCTAAATACTGCCCGCTCGAAAAGTTTTACAACAGCACCGCGTTTCGAACATTATCGACTGCTTTAGACACAAAAATGGTTTGTTCACGCTGCCTACGGCCGTGTCGCATGCGCCCGCTAATCGTTGCACAGGGCAAGCGCAAATCATCGAGCAAGCCGCAGGGGACGAAGAGGGTATAGTTCCCACGCGCGCCTCCGACGGCCGTTGCGCTGACCAGTTGCGCAGAAAGAGAAGCTCCCGACGACATTCCAATGCCTGTTCTGCAACCACGAGAAAAGCGTCTCCGTCTCCATTGAGAAGAAGTCGGGCGTCGGCAATCTGCAGTGCAAGGTCTGTGGACAGACGTTCCAGACAAACATCAACTGTATGCGCCCTGGTGGGAGTGAGGGAAGCATGTGCACTGACGCTCCACAGATCTTTCTGCGCCCGTCGATGTCTATGCCGACTGGATAGATGCCTGCGATGCCGTCGCGAAAGAGGCTGCGGCTGGCAGGGCTACTGAACCATCGACCTTCCGCACCGGCGCGCTTCCAAAGCCCTCGAATGACGACGACGATGACGACGATGGGTTCATCGAGCAGGACGAACTGGATGCCGAGGGTGAATATGCGGACTAGAGCATGTTTGTAGGGCCAGTGTACATCATACGGCTTGGTGAGTTGGAGTTAGGATTCGCATCTGAGGCGTTCAGGGTATACCAAGGAAAAGAGGCCCACGGTTTCACGGCGTTCTCTTTGCAAGCTCGTGTATAGTAATGTGGAACATAGGTCTCTGCTTCGGCAGACATACCAAAGTGTAGGCATGCGCGTAACAATGTCTATGGGAGAAAAAAAAATATAATCCTTGTTTATTCAAGTTGGCCGTTCATCCATTGTCAGTTACAGCGAGGTGAGGTCAACTGAAATGGCATATTCTTATTGGAAAAACTCCGTTCTTGAGTGAAAGCTTCAAGGGCAGCTATATATCTTCCACAGGCCTTCATGCTTTTATAAGTCGAGACTAGATCGAGGGTTACCCCTACGCCAAACCACCCACCACATGTCGTCATGATGAAGATGCAAGGATTCTCAAATACCCTACATAGTGTAGAAGCGGTCGCCAAAGTCACCCAGTCCTGGAACGATGTAGCTGGACAGTCTGTTAGCAATGCCGCAGTGAATCCAGAAGGGGAACATACTTCTTCTCATCCAGACCCTGGTCAACAAAGGCAGTGACAACCCTCACCTTGGGGAACTGTTCTGCGAAGCTCTTCGCACCCTCAGGGCTAGCAATGAGATTCAGGAAGAGAATGTGATCCTCGGGCACACCCCTCGACTTGAGGACCTCAACCGCCATGAGCGCCGAACCCCCTGCATCCCAATCAGCACATATTCAGACACACACTCAGAAGACTTACCAGTAGCAAGCATAGGGTCCAGCAACAACACCCACCGCTCGGCGATATCCTCGGGCAACTTGTCATAGTACAACTTTGCCTTAGACGTCTCCTCGTCCCTCTGAATCAAAATCTTTCCAATCCTCACAGACCGGCAGCAGTTCCGCAGCCCCTCCTCCATGCTCTCTCCTGCACGCATAATGGACACTCCGCAGATCTTGCCCTCAAACTTGACACCGGCATAGGTCCGCCCCACCGGCGTCGTGATCTCGTGGCTAACGACGGGAAGGTGGTTCAACCCTTCTTCGACCAATAGCCGAATGATGCGGTTCGAATAGAAGATGAAATCTGCTCGATTGGTGTTTTTGTCGCGGATCATGCTTGGATGGTTAGTAAGAGAGGCGATGGTGGCGATCATTGGGCCATCTTACGTTAGCAGGGCTATCAACTGCGGCGTTTGGGGCAGGATGTGGACATTGGCCTGGGTGAGGGGAGTTGAGACGGTTGCAATGGGCTTTTGGGTGTCGGGACGGTATTCCGGGCCTACGCTTTGCGAGGGGGCTGTTTGGGGCTCGGAAGACATTTTGTGTTGATGTATGGTTTGGTATAGTATAGAATGTATGAAGTGGGGTAGTTGGAGGGGTTGTAGGCTGAGAACAGGTCAGTCGAAAATGAAGTTTGTCAAGATGAAAGCGTAGACGAGCTTCGACGAGAGTATGCAAGAAGGAGAGAGGTCACGTATTAAGTTCAACCATGACTTACCTCAGCTTTGAAGCTCTCAGATAGGCCTCTGTCAATGGCTACAGAATTGGGCAACACTCCGGTAAGTGGGGCACAAGGACGGTCTTAGATCACCTCAGAGATAGACGAGCATGTAAGAGAAACTACAACAAACGGACACAGTGTCAAGATAACGGGGAACGAGGAGAAGTGGACTCGACGGCCAGGCACGCGACATAGGCGACCTCCACCATGAGCTCTCCCACGCCAATGACGCCCTCCCTTTTGGGTTAGTGGGATCTGGTAGTGGGGACTCTGCTTGGCGCCTTCCTCCCCAGACGAGCAACTTTACACGACTTCGTCATTGGCTTCGCTTTCATGCAGCTACCCGATTGAGCTGTGTCTCACCGTGAAGTGCAAGACGACAATCGCAATTGCTGGTGATCAGACGCAACTGTCCATTTGCTGCGAAGTTGGATGGCGGCTTCCTCGTGTTTGCTGTCTCGCACCAGACTTCTGACCACCACCGCGATGCGCATCTAAAGCAACTTTTGGAGGCTCGCGACGTCAACACCACACCAAGCGCAACACGTTGACACCCATGTCTTCCATGTTCACTACCGCGGAACGCCGCAAGAAGGTCGTGACATATGGCAAGTCGTCACGTCTCTCAACAATCCCGCCACCGTCACCGAGCATCGATGCGTCATCCTCGGAAGAACCGCGCAAACTCACTACTGCCTCACATTCGACACAGAGAGCACCAGTAGGCGTGTCGGAAGCGGATGGAGCTCGGAGCAATGGACGCGCAAACTCTGGGGGTCTGGACGTTTTCGATGTGCCCTCCGAAGACGATGTCGTCCTGTCACGCTCATTCAATAAGGCAAAGAAACCTCCAGCCAAGCGTAGAATACCTGGAGATGAATGGGACGTGCCTTCCTCGGGTGATGAGGCTTCAGGGTCGAAGCAGCGAGCACCAAAAAGCGTCAAGCCCTTGCGCAAACCCGAAGTCGTGAAGTCAGCAGCGCCTGCTACAAAGAAGCCGCAGAAACCCACCCAACCACAGAAGTCTGCACCAGCACCGACACCGTCTTCACACAATCCAATCGCGTCCCAAATGCGACGTGGAAAGACTCCACAGCCTGTACAGAAACCTGAGCAAATCGCAAAAGGTGGCGCAACGTTTCAACCCGTCGCAATACCGAAGACCGCACCAAGACCTCGATCTCCTGCCCCATCTGTGGCCCGGACAAAACAAAACGGGAAAACTACTCTCGCATTACCGGCAAAAAACGCGCAAGTACCAGACTCTATGCATAATGACATCTTTGATGTACCTTCCGACGAAGAAGCGCTCATGCCGACTCGAAAACTACCTCGTCTCAATGCAAGAAACAAGACTAAGCAATCCGTGAAATCAAATACACCGACCACTCAGTCTACATCAGAAACTCCTGCCGAGTCAGACGATTCGAATACATCTAAGAAGCGAAAACGAACGGACCCTGTATCTACTGACACGGTTCCCAAAGCAGCATTGGAGCGCAAGAGAGATGCCTCAGTTTCACAACGTAATCACAAACATCAGAAGAAAGACCACAGCGCTCCAATCAAGCAGCCAGTCGTGGCCTTGACGGCAAAGACTCAATTTACAGAACCCGCGCTCAGCAAACCAAGGAGAACCCGACAGCGTACCGAAATTTCCTCACGACAACCCATCATCAAAAGTCAAACTTCACCTGCAAAGTTGCATAACATGCTTCCTCAGCGTCAGTTGCTGCAACCAGCTCCCATTTCTGGAGTGTCTAGGCAGCCTGAAGTACTGGCAGAAGATGATATCACGATGTATGATATATCAGGGTCCATGGCCACGCCTGTCCGCACTTCTAAAGCTACTCCGCCTGGCTCGGTAACGCCGCGCCAAAAAGCACTCTTCACCAGTTTGTTGGGCGAGTCATCATCGACTCCGAGAACACAGATGCCCAGTATCTCCGCACTACAACTGTCAGATCGAAAACCTAGGTCACTAATTGGAGATCTAGCCAGATCAAAATCGGATCTCACCCACAACGGTCGATCTCGAAAGACTAGGCTTATTGACACACTCAAACCTGCTGAGACCAGCTCAGAAGAGGACGATAGTGAGAGTGACGAAGAAGATATTGTGGAACATACTCCAAGAGCGCACACCTTGGTAAAGCAGAACGGCAACACCCATAAGTCTCGAAACACTACGTACAACACGTTTAATGACATGGACGTGGATGTGGGAGTAGCGGCGAATTCCCAGGTATCGCAAGTGGCTTCTGGTAATGTTGTCCGTTCAAAGTTCACATATGCAAAGCAACGATCCTATCTTCAGGAAACCAACCCCGAAGACGAACTTTTGATATCCATGGATCTTGATGACGATCTGGGTGGAGAGTTCCGAAAGAAAGACAGCCAGTATGAGGAGGAGGAAGAGGAGCAGACAAGTCAGGTGCGGGCTCACCATGAGCTTAGGACACAAGGACACCAGCACAGATTCCTTCGAGATACAGAGTCTGCGATTGACGATATTGCCAACAAGTCAAACAACAGCATCCGTCGCACCGCCATGATTGAGTTCTGCACGAAACTGGCTGACGAAAGCTTCGTTGGCCAGTTCCTTGACTCTTCTCTGACTCGTCAGTTCTTTGAGAACCTCGCGTCAAACGGCGAAGTTATTTTCGACTTTGCGGCTATCACAGCTATCATTTTCATCCTCGAGACGAACCACACCAGTGCGGTAGTGGACCAGATACGCCAATCCGGTATTCATGCCACTTGGACCGCTCTATTGAGCAACGACACTCAAATTCAACGTATCGCAAAGGAACGCAAATCCAACCTCTCAAGAATAGCGCAACCTTTGGTGATTGAATTTGGGATTATGGTACAAGGGTGCAGCTTCTGGTCTCCGAACAGGCCGGAGAACATGACGCCGCAGATAGTAGCCTTGAAGGTTCTGGAGTTGATGGTATTGGAACTCCAAAAAGCTGGCAGCACCGAAACATTCGTAACCCAGGATACAATATCAACACTTGTCGACCTTGCTTCGGGACCCTGCGAACGTCTCAAGTCAGGACAACACAGAGCACAAGACACGACGGTCCTGGAATTGGTTTTCTCGATCTTGGAAGCTGTTTCTGTCAGTCCAAAGCAGAAGCAAAATCTATGGTCCAGCCGGGTCCTTCAGCGTTTGGCAGACTTGATTCCTATTTTACTCGAGACCAAGAATGCCTCGCCAATCATGTTGGCAATCAAGCTCTGCATGAATCTTACCAATAACAAGCCAAAGGCGTGTCAGCCGTTTTCCGGTGCAACCTTTGTTCAACCACTTGTGCGATCAATTTGTCATAGATTTGAACTTCTTCATACCGGACTTGGTCAGGAGGTGCAGACCGAAGTTCGGGACAGCTTGATTCTCAGTCTGGGCGCCATGATCAATCTCGCAGAGTTTAGCGACCAGGCCAGGGTACATGTCGATGACGGCGAGAAATTAACCGCTACGTTGTTGAAGATCTTTCTCGAAGGGTCTGAGCGAGCTTCTCAGGTACATTCAGATCCACCTTTCTATGTTTGTATTGACATAACTGACTTTGTTATAGGCTGAGTCGATAGAAGAGTCTCACTCAAGTGTCGCGGTTGGCTACCTTACGGTACTTCTTGGAAACCTTTGCCTCAATGACTCTGTGCGAGGCAAAATCCAGGCACAACTTCCCGGTCAGCAACTCAGTGCCTTGGTCGAGAAGATCAAGGAATTTGTCCGATATCACGAGGCTGCTCATCGCAAAGCTGAACAGTTTGAAGGAGAAGAGGGGCAGGAGACATGGCAGAACTACACAGCTCGGCTCATGGTAGTGGTCGAGAAGTTGGAGAAAGCAGGGACTTGAACGCACCATCTGAGATGGTCGATGTTGTTGCACATGATGCAGCTGATGCTTGCCGTCAGAGTCTACATGCTTGTTAGGTGTTTTACGGGATCCTGATTGTTTACTGTCGGTTATGATACAAGCCTCTTTGGCTATGGGCGTTTGGGTTTGGGAGGGTCACAACAGGATACCCATTACATGCGATATGCAGCGTTGAACGATACGAATGGTTGGGTCATGGAGACTTGAGTCTTCTTGCTCCAGCTTCTGAATACAACCTGGAGACGGAAGATGGGTTGATGCTCAATATGCAGTTATAGTATGCAAGCCACGGGGCCCTATGGCTGATGGCTTGTACGAATGCAATCAAGACGGACAAATCCTTCCGAATAAATGCATGTGATGCTACTCCGCTGGTCGTGGCTCGGCTCGGTACATCCATGGTTAGGGCAGGACGCGGAAGATGCGAAGACGCCGTTCAGCTCCTGGCAATGTGGTTCGCTAGGCCAAAAACGATGATATCACGTAAATGCAACGCTTGGGATTCGTTGAGTGAACGCCAACACGTGGCTGTGGATATGTATGCCAAATCCAGAGTAGGCATGACGGTGTAAGGATGGATTGAGAATTATTTTTTGTCTTGGAGCGTGTTTCTCTCCCTGTTCACCTTCACCACGTCGATCATTGGCGCGCTTGGACCTGTACGCTTGTCTTTGTCTCGTCTTGCTCGGTGAGACTTGCTCCGCGGCGTCTTTCATCACCAGAGATCGACAAGGGCAAGCGCATCTCAGGCCATCAGCTTGCTCCTCTTCCCCTCTCTCGCTCTCTAAATCTTTACCTTGACGAGCTTTACTGCTCTCTCTCACCACTCCCTCGGAAACCTTGCAGCAAGATGCCGGCACCCAAGCAGAGAAAGATGGCCATTGTCGGCAGCAGGGCTGTCGGTATGTAGCATTGCTGCGAAGAGGTCGTGTTTGGAAAGTTGACAATTAATTGCACAGGCAAATCGAGCCTGACAGTACAGTTTGTCGATGGTCATTTCGTCGACAGCTACTATCCGACGATTGAGAACACGTTCAGCAAGATGATTCGTTATAAGAACCAGGAGTTTGCGACGGAGATTATTGATACGGCCGGTCAGGTACGCGGCTTGAGGTTTTCTATTCTCCCCGCATTGCGGCGCGTCGTCGAGCTCCACACCCCGCCGAAGCTGTGCACCACGGTCTGACAATGTCGACTGATGCACGCGACCTTGGTGGCTGGGCGTGGTTTCTGAGCACAGCACCGACATGGACTGACTCTGTTCACAGGATGAATACAGTATCCTCAACTCGAAGCACTTTATCGGCATTCACGGCTACATGATTGTTTACTCGGTCGCCAGCAAGCAGAGCTTTGAAATGGCGCGCATCATCCGCGACAAGATCCTCAACCACCTCGTGAGCCCAACCCCTTCCCTGGCTACACCATCCGCAGTCGTCGTATCTAACCTCGTATGTCCAGGCCGTCGAGTGGGTCCCCCTCATCATCGTAGGCAACAAGTCCGATCTCCGCCCCGAACAACGCCAGGTCACTCCAGAAGACGGCAAAGCGCTCGCCGAAGAGTTCAAATGCGCATGGACAGAGGCCAGCGCGCGGTACAACGAGAACGTGCAGAAGGCGTTTGAGCTCATGGTCGGCGAGGTCGAGCGCAGCCAGAACCCCGGTGAGCCAGCTGCTGGCGGTAAGTGCACAGTCATGTGAGGCGCTTGACTGACGTGGATGCTGTGGGAGTGGCTGCGGATGAGATTCTCGATGCGACGCCTGAGACGGGCGAGGACCCGAGAGTCCAGCTAGAGAGAGGAGATAAACATACGGTGGGTAATGTTTTGCGTGGGCTTTTCAACGTCAAACGATGATATACGTTTTACGGTTCGTGTTTAATTGCCCAGGTTTTAGATGGCATAGATGGGTATTGGGTCTGGGTTGGTTATAGTTCCATTCTTACGACCTCTTTAGAGGCATGATGGCGTAGCGGTATGTGATCGGAGGCGTAATGGGCGTTTATGAGAGACTCGGCGATTGAATAACATAACGATCTTAACTCTTTCTTTGTGATGTTCTCATGTATACGAATGCTTTCGTCTTGCACCGAATCTTTTTCGAATCTTGAATTCCAAGCTCGTCTTCCCATGACTTATCCCGTTGTTGACTCCACTCATGCACACTGCACCGACCACCACTTGACCTTGATGGGGCAGCTCCAAAGCTTTGACGAAGGAAGTGCAGCGTTCGATGCTTTCACGTGGGCGCTCTTTTGGCTTGCCTAACTGGGCAGTTTGAAGCCGCCTTGACATTCAGCACATTGGGCGCTTCGTGGCTCCATCACCCACTACGATACAGATCTACTCGCCACACAGCACAGCCACGCAATCCATTCGCGTCTGCCCCGCCAACCCTGACCCCTGACTCAAGCGACACCAACACATTTGTGAGTCGCGGGCTGGCAACTTTCTGTTCACGACCAATTAATCCACCGGCGCATACCCGGTACACGTGAGACGCTATGTTGGACATGTAAGTGCATATTTCTCACTAGAAAAACATGACTTTCCCCCTGTTGGACGGTATTGAGCTTCAGTCCCGAGACACACACTGACATGGAGGGGCAGCAACGACTTTATCAAGGAGCGCGGCGGCGACCCAGAGAAGATCCGCGACTCGCAGCGAAAGCGGAACGCGCCCGTCGAGATTGTCGACGAAATCATCGCAGGCTTCGAGGACCACCGCAAGACACAATATGCAGCCACCCAGATTGGCTCCAGCATCAATGTCCTGCAGAAGCAGGTGGGGCAGAAGAAGAAGGCCAAGGAGAACGCCGACGACCTGCTCGCAGAGATGAAGAAGCTCAAGGACGAGAAGGCGGCCAAGGAAGCTGAGGCGAACGAGAAGCTCGACAAGCTCAATGCCAAAGCCAAGACGGTGGGCAACTACGTGCACAAGGACGTCCCCATCTCAAACACCGAGGACGACAACGAGGTGGTGAAGACATGGGCGCCCGAGGACCGGAAACCAGAGTTCAAGAAGGACGGCATCCCGCACCACGGCGTGCTCGCACGAATCAACGGCTACGACCCTGAGCGCGGCGTCAAAATCGTCGGCCACCGAGGTTACTGCTTGATCGGCTACGGTCTGTTCCTCAACCTCGCCCTCGTCAACTATGGCCTCGAGTTTCTCTTCAAGAAGGGCTACACGCCCAACCAGCCTCCCTTCTTCATGCTGCGCGACCAGATGGCCAAGACGGCCCAGCTCTCCGACTTTGACGAGGAACTGTACAAGGTTACCGAGAGCAAGGACAAGCCTGAGACGGACAAGTACCTCATTGCCACGTCGGAACAGCCCATCTCCGCGCTGCACTCGGAGGAGTGGCTAGGCGAGAAGGACTTGCCCATCAAGTACGCGGGATACTCGACCAACTTCCGGAAAGAAGCCGGGTCGCATGGCAAAGATGCATGGGGTATCTTCCGGATACATCAGTTCGAGAAGGTAGAGCAATTCCTGATCACGCACCCGGAGAAGTCATGGGAGGCCTTCAACGACATGCTCGCTACGTCTGAGGAGTTCTACCAGAGCCTGGGCCTGCCATACCACGTTATCAACATCGTCAGTGGGGCGCTGAGTATGTCCCCCTTGCACTGACAGACTAAACTGTATTTTCTTGCGACTGACACGCGACAGACAACGCGGCCTCTATGAAGCGCGATCTCGAGGCGTGGTTCCCCGTCACCGGCGGCGGCGAGTACAAGGAACTCGTCTCCATCTCAAACTGCACAGATTACCAGACACGCGAGCTGGAGATTCGGTTCGGCGTCAAGAAGCAGACTGCCACGCGCAAGGAATACGTTCACGCGCTGAACGGAACTCGTACGTCGCTCCCTCGTTACTCTTCACTCCTTTGTTTCTCCTGTATGCTATGCGAGATGGATGTAAAACTAACGAATCTGCAACTCGCAGTCTGCGCAACTGAGCGAACCCTCTGCTGTCTCCTCGAGAACTACCAAGATCCTGAGAACGAATGCATTATCGTGCCTGAAGTGCTCAGGAAATATATCCCTGGCCAGCCTGAGACGCTGCCGTATGTCAAGGAGTGGACGCCCCCGAAGGATGTCAAGGCCACTCTTCCCGATCGGACGAAATGAGTAAACGGAGGGCGACGACGTGTGCATGTGGTAGGATATGATGGTAGGCATTGACAGTGATTCATTGGTCTCTTTGGAGAAAATAGCTTGATATGTGCGTGTATGCACTCTGAGAGAAATGAAGGCTGTGGAACACAAAGACTCGCATACTTTTGGTGATGGTGCTTTTGTAAAATTGACGTTTTCTCGTGCTGATGCTCAGACAAGCCATCGCTTCGACCACGCACCAAAAGCCAGTCTCGCGTTCTATCCCCTCCCCTGCCTTCCCCGTCTCGGGAACCTCGTCTTGTTTCAAACATCTACTTTACTTCACTCGACGGCTCACCGTCCACATCCGACCTGTTCTTTCGATCCGTTGGCTAGACTTGCGCCTCTGCTATCCCACAACCCAGGACTCATCATACTCGTATTCGGCAAACCCTCTTCAATGGAACACTGCCTTGATACCCAGACGTGAAGCCAGTCACTATCCCTGACGCGACCTCGGTATGTTTGCGCATGCGTGTCTGGTTCCTTGCATCTGCCGTCACCAGATCAACCGAACAAGAACGATCGCTCAGTATATGCCAACATGTGTAACACTGGGGGAGTGCGGAGGTCGGCGGTTGAGGGCAGGTGTCGCAAAGGCTTTGATGCATCGAGTGGCTACTGCTTGACGATGCTATGCGTGTACTTGCGATGGTTGTCGCAGTATCGGAAATCTCAATGGGTTGCAGACATTAAAGACTTGGTGTCAACCTGTTGTCTGTTAGTGTGATAGTATTAAGGTGTGATCGGGATCGTGTACCTTCTTCCTGTTGAACTTCATGGACAAGTCGTCACCATTGAGCGACTTGTCAACTGCTGGATGACTCGAACAGACCATGTCCAGTCTATGTTGTCACGGCAGTAGCTGCAGTAAAATGTTGCATCCACTCGGTTCTCTCTTGATACCCATACGAACCGAGCAAATGTGGTTTTCCACTAGCGCTCTTATTTTTGATAAGAATGAGGTATAACACTGAGCCTCGTGGGATATCGTCGAAGAAGGACGCTTTTTGGAATTGATGCTGATCGCACGGAAGGTTGATCTCAAGTTCATCAAGGGGAATGGGCTGGGATGGTTAGTACGTAGGAATACAATGGAGCGTCTTTTGGACCACTTACAGCTTCTAGCACCATGATATTTTCTTCCTTGTTTTTCCTTTGCGTTTTGAGTTTTCCCCACAGGAGAAAGTTGTCAAAAAGCACGACATGGATCGATATCCATTGCCCTTGACTCCTGAGCTTCATTGCCATAACCCCTTGGTGTCTTACGCGGCGAGCCGGATTGAGAAGTCGAAGCCGAGAGAGGTAGTCCGAGTCCATGGTGGTCAAGCGTCGCTCCAAGTTCTGTATGTCCTCTCGACTTTGAGCTTCTTCAAGAAGAGAATGGCTGAGCGATTGAAGCCCCTTCACCGCGTCCAAAGCCTTTTCTATGCGTGCCGTTCCTTTTTCCGCCGTCGAGGAGTCGAGTGACAGTGAAGCGTCGAGCATATTTTGAAGTTTGTTTCGATAGACTTCTAGCTGAGAAAGAGGTAAGCTTAAATAGTCCTCCCAGCCCATGCCAAAACTGATAATACTCAGCCCCAAAGTATTAACAAAGGGTGAGAACTTCAAGTCCGCATTCTGAGTGGCTCGTAGGGATTCCGCAGTGTGTGGCATCGCCTGACAATATTCCCGATACGTTTTCTGTATCTTGCTTGTCCAATTTTCGAACAGGGATGGGTCGAAGATGGAGTTATCAGCCTTCGAAACTTGTAACTCCATGCAGCCGAGCAGGATGTCTTTGTTCATCGATGCTAGTTGGGCCCCTATAAGAATGGCCTCTAGGTGCTTCTCAAGCAGTGGCCATTCCCGTATGACCTTGTCGTAAAATATCGTGCGAAGCTTTGTCATTCTCTCGATAAACTTTTGTTCACAATCTATAAGTGATGTCCAGATGTCATGCATCTCAGTAGAACGTGGAGAGGAAACCATCATGGATGGTTCAGATACATATGATGGGATACGAATACTTCCAAGAATGTCATGGGATGCTTTGTGAACCAATGGTAATGGTTTCCGAACAGGCCTTCTTGATGTGTTGACATTCTGGTCTGAGTACTCATATATGGTGTAAGACGAGGTCGTTGACGTTGACAAAGGCGTGCCTGGAGTCAAGACACTGTCAGACGATGCCGAACGCGCTTTTGGTGTGGGATTCACAAATCCCTGTGTACGCAATTGTTGCCCGCTTGGGCGGCGTGGAGGTAGTGGAGGTGTACTTTTAACGATCGCTTGAAATTCCTCACGATTTGGTCGCGATAACGTAGGGAGCGGTGTACTGTTTGAGCGTTCTTTGGGAACATTGACAATACCAACTCGAGACGTAAGGTATGGCGCCGTTGAAGTCATACGAGGCATATAAGGGAGCACGGCATGCTCAATTGAGTCTAGGGCGTCAGATTGAGCATCCGTAACTTCGGGGCTGTGCTCTTCGTCCGCCGTTATGCGCACATCCTCCGAAGCAGTTTGCACCACAGGGTCCTTCTCATAGTCGACGATCTCATTCTTGATTGTGGAAGCATCCAAATCATCGTCTAGGATATCCTTTTCCAGGCTTGGAGGTGCCTTATTTCCAGTCTGTGAAGCGTACATGGCCATTGCACGCCGATAAGCTTTCGAGTTGATGACCTCATCGTCGAAACTAAATTCAGTAGACTTGATGATGGAATCCGCATCCGCAGCATCCTCTTTTGAATACGTGTGGCTGAATAGTGAATCTGGCACCTGAATGCGAGGATGTGACTGGCGCAGGGTCCTGGAACGCTTGACCACCTGGTCTAGCTTGCTGCTGTTGGCTTCAACCAATAACCTAATATCTGCAATTGACTCCATCTGCAAGCCTTGTATCAGCAAGCTCAATGCCGACTGCTGGCCTCGAATCTGCTGCAGGAGCTCTTTGAACGTGTCTTCCTTCCACAAAAACTTGGCTCGGTCCTTGAACTTCAAGTCGTCTTCCTCTGCCTTTACCACAAGGTCTCGGACTTCTTCCTCCAAGCACCCGTATACCACTCGACATCCCGTCAGCGCTCGGTCAAACGTTTCGAGTAGCTGGGGCTTGTTTTGCAGGGCATCGTGTTGCAGCAGGTTCTGCACCTGAGAGAGAGATGCTGCAATGACCATTGACTCGGAGTAGATGGCGGTAATGAGGATCGAGGCGTCCTTGTAGCGCGAACGGAGGTCGTACAGACTCTTGGCGGACTGGATGCATTGCGGGATGGCGGCCATCTGGACTTGGTGGTCAGTATAGGTCCGTACAGAGAGCTGATTGTTCGTGAAGAATAACGACACATACCACTCCGAATAGCGCTGAGACGGGCTCCATGGCTCTCTGCTGACGCCGAAGAGCAAACGAGCAGCATGGAAGTCGCGGAAGAGACGCGTAGACCAAACCGCAAGCGTTTCACGCGCGCCAGGGATCCGCACTAGGCCTAACTGAGATAGATCCCCCGCGGCTCCCCGCAAGTACGTCACATTGTTGAACGGCTTCAACGGCTTTGAGCGCGGCTGTCTCCTTTCCTGGCTTGCTGATGGTAAATTTTGTGTCTAGTAGCACCTTGCAGTTGGTGAAGATGAAATTCTCCGGCCCAAAGCAGGGATGTGTGCTCGCAGTATCAAAATTCTGTAAGATTTTGACAAACATGATATTGCCGTGCGTCTGACGGTAAGCATGGTTCAAAACTTTACCAAATTGGAGGATAACAGCTCTTTATGATGCTTCTTCAGCCAGAGAGATGCGGGTCAACTTCTCATGTCGTCAATATGGAGTGTTTTCTTTGCGACTGCTGATCTTGCCGCACAATTCGACCCTTCAGTCATAAAAAAAAGCTTTCCTGAGCGCTACATGTTGGCCTTTCATTCCCCCACTGACATGTATGGAGATGATATCCTCGGCTAAAATGTTATTCGCTGTTCGAGATATAGGTCTTCTCAGGGGGCGTTCATCTACCCCTGACGTATCACTCACTACTAGGGACCTTTTCAACTCTCTTCGTACTATACTTCGCCTCTCCACCTGCAGAATCGCGAGCGACGTGGCGAAGCCTATTCGATTGTTACACATCATGTTCATTGGCTTCAAATACTTCCTATTCAATCCCTTAGGAATGTACAGCTGTCTGATAGATTGGTACAGCTCTCGCCTTTGTTGTTGGGTCTGGTTTGGCTCCCAAGTGGTCTTTTCGAGTGTCGAAGTTACGGGCTGACTCTGCATTCCGCTCCAACTTGTACATCGTCCATGGGTCTGACGCCGTTGTTGCGAAAAGTGTTTCGAATCACACGACTTGAGTGCTAGGGAAAAATGAGATGGACAGTATGTGTTGCGTACATGGTCCAGGTAAGGTTGTTAGTACCTGAATACTCCATCACACACCGTTTCCCCAGCGGATGTCTCGAACAGTAAGCTCGACGCTTGGGCCAAAGATTCACTCAAGATTAAGCTATATGCAGCAAGTTTGGTGTTTTGCCCGAGTGGGATCAAGGCTATTCGAGATTCTGTTCTTGAATGCGGCATTCAATAGGGCGATACGGTGCTGTTTAGTGTATCTGTTGTCAAGACTATATCTTCGAACGTCTATGTATGTGACATAATGACAGTGTAGGAGTTACACCTGCGGCAGAAGCAATGGGTCTTGCAGCAAGCGCTCCATGTCTTCGCAGCGTAAAGGAAAAGTAATGTCCACTCCATTATCTGTCCACCCTCGTGCTGTTGTGCTCGAGGGAGGTGTAGGTTCTGTCGGTGGACCATCGACAATGAGAATGCACCCATCCACACACGGCACCACACCATCGGCGTAGCGAATACACGATCCCAGTCCAAATTCGATATCATAGATACCCGCACGAGCCCACGTAGTCACTAATATGTGCCGTTGGCCCAAAAATGCTTGCCAGATCCGTTGCGGCGACTTCTCGTACGCAATGCTGTGGAGATGAGCCGCCAATCGTTGTGAATCGTTGACCGTCGATACTGTCTCGCGTATGCGGTGTGCAATTGGTCCCAACGCTCTCCCAGATGCGACATGTGAGGCAGCCATCTCGATGTTGAGCATCACGGTAGGCGAACCCATGAAGGAATTATTGAGCTGGAAGGCCGGCCGAGTGCCCAGCACAAGATCGCAGTGGACAGGGCCCTGATCCTCCCGAAGGCCACGAGCACGCACCACGCATGACCAGACATGAGCCAACAATGCATCATGTTTGCTGATCTTCAAGTTCGAAGATGTAAGAGAACTTTCTTGGATAGCTGATTGCCACAGATGATCGATCTGCTTCCGGCTGAAGTGAACTGTGCACTGATCCACCGGCGCGTTGGTATCCCATTCAGCCCAAGGTAGCGGCTTTCCAGCCAGTGACAGATCCGGAGGGAAAGGGGAGGGCGGCGTGGCAGGCGGAGCCCACCAGTCGTACCTATGCAACGGGAGGCTAAGAGCGTCTTTCATGATGGCAGGATCGGCATCATCGGCATTGATATTGCCAGCGGCAGACGCATCCAGCCGCAGAGGTTTAAAGACCGGACTCAGCACTGGTAGGGGGGCTTCTGTAAGTATGGCACGACTGACACTCGCCCAGTCTCGCACGAATCGCGTGAGTGCGGCGATATCTGCACATGGATGTGCGATCTTGACGGCCAACACGTGGCCACCGCATGCAAGTTTGGTGCATTGTACAGCCATGATTGGTTTGTACAGACCATTCGTGTCCCTCTCGTTGGGTTCGAGCGCAAGTACCACGTTTGTCGGAGGGACAAATTGGGTGAGAGTCTCTTCGTCTCCCCGTCGGTTCCAGACGGGCCGTCGCTTTGCAGAATTGACACTGTATAGACTATCGACGGTCGCTATACTTGTCGCCTCTACAAATTCAACTCCTGGATCTGTGCTGGTACCATAGTGAACATACACACGACCATAGCGTTTCGCGTGCGCTGGGAAAGATGTCGTTTCCGGGGGAAGGCTGTCGTCATCGATACTGAGGATGCCTTTCAGGTAGCCGCACCACTGTGGATATGCATCCAAAGTCGTACTGAGTGTTGTGCGTAGATGGTTGGCAAGATCGTCGGAAGCAAGCGAAATGGTTGGACGCTCCAGGAGCCAGATAGCGCTGGAAAGCCCAAATTTGGCGGTTGTTGCATCCAGCAACGAAAGCGGCACAGCACACTCGCAGCTCGCCGGCTGTTGAGGCAATACACGGCTGTTTCGAACGACATGAGGTCCATTTGGGGTTGTCGGAGGCGTCATGATGTTGCCAACGATGGTGGAAGCGTCTCAGGATCCCTCAAGTGAATGCTCTTCACGGTGTCCATGAGCGTTCGGACCAAAGAAATTCGATGTTGAAATGAGGAGTGTGTCCGACCGCAATGAGTAAGCGCCGAGCTGGGCGCCTTGCTTTAAAATAGTCATCAAAGCTTGATTCGGCCCCCTAGCACTTACTCGCAATGAGGAGTGATTCTGCTCCACGTTTATGACGAGTATTGAAAGTTTCACCTTTGGTGGTGCTTGATCTGAAGTAAGGACCAAATGCTTGATTATCATTCGTGGCGGGCTACCCGCGGATGTGTCTACTAATACCTATTGTCAATTCATGTTCAGGAGACTCAATCAACTTCTCAAGTCCGGCAATAAATGCTTCAGCCATGGTATGCACTGCTGATGTAGCATATTTCTGGATATCGTGTCGCAGGCGGATGTTAAGAACTGCATTGTGGTTTTCAATGCTTAGCCAGATACGACACTGGCAAGGATCAACAGGCATGTCGAGCAATATGAGGACAAATGAGTCGAGCGAATATACACTCGTGCCTTGAGGAACGTGCTTTTGCAACTCTGGTAACTACCTGAAGACTATCCTATGCCATGAAAGCAATCGCTGTACCCTGGTATAATCTATCCATAACGCCAATGTACGTACAATCCGCATCGATTTTGAAACGCAGTAGATCAACTCCAAGCCGTAAGGAGGGCGATAGTAACGCCTCTGCATGTCGTGATCATCTCTGCGTTCCTGGTTTCTCTTCCTCCACTAGGCGATACTCCCTGTCTGCGGTACAGGGTCGTATGCAGTATGGTTCCACTGGGTCTCGGTGAGCTGTACCGAACTTTCATCGTTGTTGAGCTTGTTCATGGTGACCACGCCCTTGCCAGCAGGAATCCAGAGATCGCCAAATATACGGCCAGGGTGGAAGATCGTCATGGCGCAAACAGCAAGAATGATAGCAGGTCCTTCGAAAACCATAAATGACGCCTCGTGGTTGGCAAGGTGCCCACCAAAACCTTCCCAAAGCTCGGCGACCCGGTAAATGCATCTAACGAAGATGAGAACGGTGGCAACCAACAGACCTTCTTTGTGTTAGTTTGTTGACATACGGTACATGGGGTAAACACTTACTCCACTGAAAGTACTGGAAGTTCTTCGTAGATCGTAAGTCACTGTAGAGCGGGGGCTGGGTTCGTGACAATGTGCCGGAGCGCTTAGCGTGGCGAGTGCGCAGTACAAAGTCGCCCCAGATAGTCAAGAATAGAGCGATTGTGATGACCTGAGAGATCAGACCAGCAATCATGATGTTGACACCCTGCCTGGAGCCGGCTTTGTCTCTCGCAGTAGCAGCCATACCACCACCAATTGCTTGGAGTACCAAAGCAAGGAGATCGCAACCAACAAAGATGTAGGTGTACATCTTAGGTTTAAGACGAGAGTTGGCACTGCCCTTGGCTACGATGACGCGACCAAGGCAGAGATATATACCTGCAGTGAGCAAAGCAGGGGCGATGGTGAGAGGAATCAAGTTGCTACACACTGGTTAGTTTCTGTAACTTTGTAGGATTGAACTCAGACTTACATTAGGAAGTTGTTCATGATGAATGGATTCAGGGACAACATGATGCGGCCGATGTAACCAACCATCTCTCCAAGTATACCAGCAACCATCGTGCCCATATACGACCAGGTCTTGTTCCGAACGCCGTACCACACCTGACCACCGGCCAGAGCCAAGAAGCAGAGCATATAAATGACATTGCCGGGAATGTTGGGTTGGTACTCGATTTTCTGCCATGCCTCAGGACACTTGCCGACTTTGCAGTATTTCAACGACATTGCTATTTTCATCGGGTCGGTGGTATTAACGTCGATGTTATTGGGGTCGATTCCATTCTCATCGACCGCTCTCGCAATGAGTTGATAAAGAAGCGTGTCCATATTGACTGGGATTGCTCAAGCGATGAGTAGCTGTCAAATAGCTATATAGATAGGTGGAAATTATAGAAAGGAAAACTGGAAGGCGATGGTTCTGTGACGAGTTTCATAGCTGTTCTCAGACGGAGACATCATGTCTTATACGAAGAAAGAAAAGATAGTCATTTCTAGCTGTCTCGAGTTGGTTGAATATGATTGGCTGGCGCGTAAAGGATGAGGTTGTGGCTCAGTTGAGCGTCTGGAGCTCGGACACCTGGTGGTCGCCTGAACCAGGCTGTGGGAATCTCATGCACCCAGCCCCCATCATGTCCGACCGAACACGGTGCGGATAATTGCCGTGTCGTTTTCGACTGGCTTATGTCGTGGAGATGAATGACACACTAAGTAAGTGACGCGTAGATCAATCGCAGCTTCAGCGTTTCGAGGTTGCGAACGACGATGGAAGGACGTCGCTCGCATCCCACCAAGATCCTTGTCCTGCCAAGACCGACATCAGCCAAACGTGACTGTTCACTCATTGCTCCATACATCGCTTCTATTTCGACCTTTTACTCCATAGCCGCTTCTTACATCAACGTATAGCTCTAGACCATAGGTCCCCAGTCGTATGTCGCATCCAAGTAGACGCCTTACAATCTCCGCTCACGTCACGATTTACAGAGCTCTTCGCAGTTTGGAGATTCTAGAGGATTATTATGCAAGGTCGTAACTTAGCTATTAGTCTGGATCACCATATATGATCCCAGGTTGGGATTCGTTTGGTCTTCTATCTTAGAAATTTCTGGCTTGGCGTCGTGAACTCTCTTAGTTGAGGCTACGATTTTGTCACATATTATCCATCCGATCTACACAGGTATGATATTCTATTACTGCAAGCCTTTTATCTTACTAGTGGAAAATTGCATGCCTCGAGATACAGTCTTTTCTGTATCTACTTGCTCCTTCTTGAACCGTTCATTACACACTGGGAAAAGACATGCGGGTCATAACTTCTTGGTGTAACAAATAGCACCCAGTTGTATTACCATGAACTGGGAAACAACTTCTGTAGTTGCTCACCACATAGCCATATGATAGTAGTGTATTAATTGCATTCAACCCTGCTGTGTTCGACATTGACTATTTGGAGCAAACACGCCCAACGAAATCATTAAACATGACGTCCAGTAAATGTGTCGAAAGAAATCCAACACTGCAGTGGTTACAACAACCTTACAAATCCCAAGAAACGCCATCCTAAACACGATATAAATTCTTGGGAAGCGTTAAACCATGTTCCTCCCCATCACACGTCCTATTCATCCAATAGTCTTAAAGAGTGAGCTTGACGACCTGGCCTACACTAGGTGTTCCAGCCGAGTTCATTGCAAAGAGTAGCCAGTATCCAGGCAGCGCAACTCCAGGATCTGCGGGAACTGTTACTGTATAGCTTGTTCCAGTACCAGACGGTGTCAACGGGATTCGTCGCTGGTCCGTGTTGACAGTATGTGTAGCTGAACCAAACCTGATCAACGAGAAGCTCGTAACAGCGGTATCCGTCGTGATGCTTAGCTTGGCTCCGAGATTGACAGTGGAGGCTACAGTGCTTATAACCGGTCGTGTACGTCGGGTGCCATCAGCATTTAGGAGGTAAGGCGGAACGAAGATCTCTGCATCGAAGTGGTTGCTTTCTGGGATGCCGCCATATTGTGTACACGGACCACAGAGGCCGCCGCCACCCTGAAAGACAGTGGCGTCAGGGAGAAGTATCGCGACAGAGTGATACGTCCGGGGAATTGACATTGGACTCAGCTGGGACCAAGTTCCGGACGTTGGGTTCCAGAGCTCAGGCACGAGGGCGGCCGTTGTATCGCGGAACGGTGTCACTGTCGACTGGCCACCAGTCACAAATACTGTACCGTCGGGGAAGACAACACTGTTTGCGAAGCCGCGTGCGTACGCCATGTTTTGGGTCTTAGCAACTGTAGGCTTCGTTTTGGGCGTTCCGATCGTGATAACGTATGCATTTGTTGTGGCGTCGCTGTCCTCATAGTGTGGTGATCCTCCCGACTTCAATATCTTGCCAGCAGTGGCGTCGTACATGACCGCAATCCCGTTCATTGAGTCCCCATCATCAAGTCTGTTTCCCGCGGCGGTGGTGTTCCCCGTCCCAGTAATGTCGTACCAGTTCATCGCGACTGAAGGTCCAGCTTGGAACACGGTACTGTTTTTCCAGCCGAACAGCATGGCGTGGTTGTCATTGCGCCACGCGCCAGCGCGGTCCTTAGTGAGCATGGGGCCCACGAGTGCGTTCGGAATGAGTGTCCACAGGTTCGTGCTCGGGTCGTATATCTCACCATTCTTGCCACCGCGAGGTCCACTCCAAGATCCGCCGATGGTGAAGATCCGCCCGTCTGAGCAGGTGGCGCTCGATTGGTAGCCTCTTTGCACCTTCATGTCGGGCGCTGGCAGCCAAGCATCACCCGTAGGGTCATAAATACTCGTTTTCGCGGCATTGCTACCTCCCGTGACCTGTAGCAAATCAGCACCTCGTACAACGATACAACAACATTGGGATTCTTACAACAACACGGCCATTGAAGTCGAGAGAGATACCAGGGCAGAACATATCATGCTGTGTGTTGGACACATTCAATTGGCTCGACTCGCCAGTCATATGATCGTAAATAGCCGTCTGCGTGTATCCCCTTGAACCACCAAACTGATTCTTCGCGTAGGCCGACCAAACTAACAACTTTCCGTTGGGTAGGAGCGACACTGCAGCTGGAACCAAAGGGAAATCAACTGTCTTCTCCCACAGACCTTTTCCGGAGGCGGGAGGTGTGTAAGGTGTTGGTGTTGATCCTACTACGTCTTGGAAGATGTTGATCTCTGCAATCGAAGTGAGCTGAACGCCCGTGTTCTGAGCCTCTGACGTTGCGGTGATCTTCACGTATCTCGCCTGCCTCGCAACGAACGTCGTATTCTTCGTTGTTGCATCATTGTTATATGTACCAACCGCTGCGAGTTGCCAGGTTGTATTATCAGTACTGACTTCGATCTTATGGCTTCCTATTCTACCAGTAGAGCTGGTTCGTGGCTGTATGCTGACTCTTTGGACGTTATACGTCGCCTGCATGTCAACGATTATCCAGTTTGGCAAGGGATCGATAGGTGCAGGACTGTATTTCGAGTGCCAGAAAGTTGCTGCATTGTTGTCGATCGCTTTGCTGGGGTCATTGCCGGTCTGTGAACTGTCCGCTGTCGCAGTCCAACCAGTACGGCTAACTGAAGGTGCAGTCGGTGTTAGCGAATATCTTACTTGTGTCCTATCTGTGATGGGAAGTTGCTTACTTGCGGCATATCCAGCGCTGGCAGGATTGGTATATAGAGCGAGCGACAGGAGAGCTGCTATACTGAAGTGAAGAAGGGCCATCTGGAAACGCTTGTTGGCAGTCGAAAGACCACTATGAAAGATCAGATGCTTCAACAATGTCCTCCTCTGGCTGTCTTTTATAGTGCTTCTCATGACCTGATATTGCCATCCCCAAGGATTTGTGGCTTTATCGGCTTCTGACCACCACGCTCTTTTGGACTAAAAGCAGAAAGCCTTCTAGCCTACCATCCTATCTTGGTCTAGAGCTAGGCGTTGGCTTGATCCTTCATACAAGCACTTCTATTCCGCCTTCGCCAATGGTATTGGCACACATCAGTCTGAGTACCGGGTCTAGTGAGTTTGGTCTGCTTTAGACTCTAACCTAGACTTAGACCTGCACTGGGCCCATATCAAGTCAATACTGGAATGCATCAGACCGGGATATGGACCCTTATCTGATTTAAACACCGTTGAGTTTTACATCGTTCTCCCGTGAAATGTCAACACCCGCGATTTTAGTGGAGCTGTACCTCTCTAGGCTCGAGCTATCGAACTTCTGCGGACCACTGTACAAGGGCAGGAAGGTCGAACCGCGTCGGTTTACGTATGCAAATCTTAATGAACAGGATTTCACTGCAGCAAAACTCGATTTGCTGCATTTCGGCCTTTGCTTTCCAAGTTGGTATGCATAGCTTGAGTTGTCAGGTCAAGCCACCAGGCATTTGGGAAAGAAGTGTGCTGTGGTCAGTTAGAGAAACTCGATCAGGTTTGCTGCAGTATGTAACAAATGATTGTATCTTAGCTCTGAAACTCACGATCGTGTGGGCATGGCATACGTCGATCACGCAGGCAGGGTTCGTATCGGTCGTGTTGTGGACTGACATTCGCAAGCCAGTGACATGGGGAGATGTCGTCAAATCGATAGCTGATACATGCGGGACGCAGACGTCTAACGGTTTGAAGAAGGTGTGCATGGGGCGGAAAGCGGGTGGTAGCGTGGCCGCCGTTGAAATTGGCGAACTCTTCTCTAGCGCCCAGCTCCGCGGTTGCGGTTGCCAGATCAGATGGATCTAGTATGATCGAAGCAAGAGACACGAAATCGAGTTCAATGCGATAAGGCAAGTATATATTGTTTTGGCTTGAAATCTAAAGTAGATCAGTTGCGCCAACCCAAATCCACGAGTAAGATTCTCGTAGTATCAATCGGACGTACCAGAAATGCTTTCATGTATGCGACGACCTACACACCTCTGTCAATTCCTGGGTCATGGGCCGACTATGCGTCCCACTTTCTTTCCCGCCCCTAGCAAATGCCACATTGTAAATGGGATTGCACGCCACCTCGGCTCGGAGCGTCAGGGTCGTTTGTCTCTAGTCAAGCGAATGACTAAGGATTGGCATGTCGTCGTTATCGCCACCATGGTGATCGCCGAAACGCTGGGCCTGGTCCTAACGACAGTTCAACCTCATAGTTACTGTCCGATGAAAAGTTTGCTTAGGCAGAGATGGGTGTTCGTGGTAGTGAGGTCTTGGCAGAGTAAAGGGGTAGGAGCTAGACTGAAATTACCCCTTCCAGGAATATTCTGGAATTTCTGCTCATAAAGTTTATATTTCGCTTAAGGAAAGCTGTATACCTACATTTTATGTGGAGTACTGGGCTCCAATGCTTATCTCTATTCGGCTTGTCAAGGTCGGCCACGGCTGGTAAGATGATTGGAATGGATACCACAGTTGAGAACCTGCTTATCGCCAGTCATGAGTGATTGTATATCTATTCACCCACGGACAATTGCGTTAGGCAAGGAGGTTAGATGTGCACTCCCACACGCATACATCGAGGTCACCAGGGGTCGGTAGAAGGACAAGCAGACATCCAGCAAACACTGATTCGATCAAGTTCTCTCTTTATATCCCAGCTCTTGCAGTCATGAGAGACGCATACGCAGATTGTTAAAGCCAGGATCATGATTGTGTCTTCTAGTTGGAGTCAGCAACTGTCACGGGTCTTGGCATGTATATATGGCATGAGCCACCTAGCTAGCTCTCTCACCTACACATCATACGAATACATACCTCACATCCATGATGCGTCACAGCAACTGCGTATGCACAGCCTAGGCTAGATAACTTCAAGGATCTTTCCCCCTCTTGGTTGGACACGATACCTTGGGTATAAACGGCTTCAGTCTGATGTGGCGGTTCTTTTCCCATATGTTCGTTACTTGAAGTGGTGTGTGGGTGACAGATGATTGGAAGCAATTGAGCCGAAAGACGAGCCGAAATAATGCAATAGCCTAAACACGCTAGCACGTGGTGTCGTATTACGTGGGTGATATTGGAACATCAAGTTTCATCGTGTGTGCAGCACCATTACTGCTGTCTCTTTTATGGATTCCCTGACTATGACATTTGAACTATTGCTGCTTCACATCATACACCCTCACTCCAAGCAACTTCCAAACAGCCCAGCTATGTGGCCCAACACCAAGCGGTCCTCCTCTCCAGAACGGCAACACGTCGTTGCGACCCCGTCTTCGTGCAACGACAGCCTCCTCCCACTCTCCCTGTTGAAATCGTTCAACATCGTCTCTGCTGACGGTGTGTGTATGTGCGTCCGCCGCCATAGTCCAGAAGCCAACGATATGCCCTTGATCGATCATATGTTTCAAAATTCCATTCCCCTGTCCTGCGCCGAGCAGCTGAAGGAGCTCAGAACAAGTGTACTCGGACTTGGAGAGGGTGGCGGAGCTCAATTGGGCACGATGTGCTGATCGCGGGATCTTTTCGATGTTGATGGTCGAAAGGCTAGGAAACTGCACATAGAGTAATCGTAGGGAGAGACTCAGGACCACCGATATAGGAAAGTTGAGACCCAGTGAAACGGCAGCGCGCAGTCCAGATAAGAACGTGAGTCTTGGAGGATTCGTGGGAGTCGAGAAGAACAGAAGATGCTTCTGAAAAGCCGTGTAAGTGCTTCGAGACATTGTACGTTGCTATCAGAAGACAATAAAGGTGCGGTGTTCTGGAACAATATATCAGAGAGGGTAGCACTGTTGTATGAATGAGGAATGTGATGAAAGCAAAGTGTAGATGGAGCAAAGCAGTCTTGACGTCATTCTTGACGATGACGAGATGTTGCGCATTCGGTACGCCATGCAGTAACTTTTGAATGCCTAGTTTGAAACATATGAATATATATGGTGAGGATCAAAATTCTGAACAGCAATGGAGTTAGGAAATGAAGCTGTAGATACTCAAGATGCGATCGTTCCCGAAACTTGTCGGCCAATCACATCGCACTAGTGTAGCCGATGGCACCTACGTCATTCGTCTCTACTTCGCCATCCACCCATGAAACACCTTAAAACCTACCTTGAATCCTTTCCGCAAGCATCCGTGTCGTCCTACTGCTGTCATTATTTGTGCCACGCATTCTTGCTCAAACAACATGGCCTTCAGTCTGCCCAGTTTTACCTGGCGGCGCGTTTTGGTCTTCGGATCAACGACCCTAGTCTTCTTTTTCTTCGTCTTCACTCTAACACCAATCACCTCACCTCTACCACCATACACGGGACCACATGAGGTTGGCATTCTAGACATCGAGACAGAAGTCCAGAGAAAGGTCATTCATGGGGCCATATTGAAAGAGTCAGGGGAGAAGGCATTCGAATTGGAGACATTGGCGATCACACTGTACTACCCTTCTTCTCTGCCTGCTGCGTCGCCGAATGCTCGGCCATGGGCCCGTCCGTGGCTACCTCAGCCCGTGTCTCTTATCGGCGCGGGATATGCAAGAATCGCGTCTGTCCCAGCCCTGCATCGTGTTTTCACTTTCGCACTCTGGGCACTGGGCTCCAGTACTGTCATCCCTGGCGTCGTGGATGCACCAATCCTCTCCGGAGCCGAAAAGGTTCTGGTAGAGGAGAGCGCTGGTGCCGGTGGCTTGGGCAAGATCATGAGCGCAGCAGCACAAGATCACCAGGAATTGAAGCGCGACGAGGATTTTGGATTGCTACCTTGTGTTGTCTTCACGCATGGGATGGCGGGGATGAGCCAGTCATATTCGCATTATTTGGGCAGCATCGCAAGCCATGGGTACGTGGTTGCTGCGGTCGAGCACCGAGATGGGAGTGGACCGGGAAGTATAATTCACTACCCCGATGGGAAGGAGAAGAAGGTCTGGCATATGACTTTAAAGGCACTCGAGTCCAACCCACCGATGACAGACGCCGACTTGAAAGCTGTCCAACTTGAGTTCCGCGAACAGGAGATCGTGGAGACAATCAAGTTGTTCCAGCAGCTCAACGCCGGTGATGCGCCATTGGTCAATCTCAAGCCAGACTCGCCTCGCGAATCGCTGCCTGGGTTCAAGCATCGTTTGAACATGTCCGCTGTTACAGTCGCCGGCCACTCGTATGGTGCAACTGGAGTTCTGCAAGCTCTGAAATCCGCTGGAACCAAAGCAATGCCAATCAACGGTGGTATCGCGTTGGATCCAGGGAAGGGCTCCGGTCCGCTAAACGAGAACATTGACGTCCCATTGCTGGTGTTTCACAGCGGGCAATGGACTGAGAAACAGGTCCAGTTTTACGGACAGGGCTGGCATTTCGACGTCGTGCGGAAGATCGTCGAGAACGTCAAGGAAGGGTGGTTCATGACATTGAGTGAGTTGCATTGAGTCTTGAAATCCTAATCTAGTTACTGACTGTCTATAGCTGGATCCGCGCATCCTTCCTGCACCGATGCCCCTCTGATTGTACCCTGGATTATGAAGCTGGTCACTGGAACTACATTAGACTCCAAAACTGCGCTCCGAGAGTACATCGATGCGTCCGTTCGTTTCCTCGAATACCTGAAGACAGGAGAGAAGAAAGGTGTCTTGGAAAGTGAGGTGACTAGTGTAGCAGGGCCCCTGGGCGACGCTGACAAGCGCGGCAAAGTTAAGGGTCCCTATGGTGCTGATTGGGAGGTCCATGTAGTGCCAAAGATGGCGTAATTAGAAGGAGAAACTTAGAATGGGGGCTGGTAATACATTAATAGCATTTTCAACACTCTTCCGCCTTTTTCCTGTTCTCGAATGTTCTGCATGGTTTTGAAGTAGTAGACTTGGACAGAGGAGGCACAAGGCTGTGCATAACGAATAGATCGTAGTGACTGCTGTAAGCCTTCTGAACTTGCGCAGTGAAACAACGTATAGGAATAAACTTTGATGAACGAGATGTGATGAGGCTAGTTCACAGGAGGAATTCACATCGCTGACATACATCAGAACGTCACAGACTAAAAGGAGACTTTTGCTTGGTATGAATTATTGCGCTAAGAGCATTTAACTATATTTACTATCTTATCAATACACAAACATTCAACCAACGTACGTTTCATATAATTATGAATAAGCGGTCTCAAGGAGCGTACAAAACCGCCGAACAAGACTTCCAAGGACTGTCGGCATCGTTTGTGAATCTCACACCGTCCAACATACATGATTGTCAGAACGTCCAATCACGATAAACCCCAAAACGAAGTCTACCTTTCGTTCCCGAGAAACCGACAAGCCAAAGAAGCAAGTCAACACAAGTGCCGAAAATGCCGCGTCGTCCCTCATTCGCTGCTGCCCAGGCGTCCAAGTCGATTCACCACCCCCATCAGAGGAGAAAAGCATCACCCAACTCTTCAAAAGAAATATGACATATCTACCGGGTTTATACTTCTAAGGCATGTGATAAGGGGTTCTGTGGATGTGTGTGGTTGTTGCGCTTTGTTAATAACGACACATATCCATGCCTTGCATGATAAGTGGTGGTCCTACTTTACACTAGCAATTTCCAGTCCAGATAGTTCCCAGCCTATCACCATGCAGCATTCAACACATCGTCAATTCATCGCTTTGATTCGTAACTCAAGTATTCAGCCGCCCTGCAGCGATTCAGCATGCCCACTACACCAACAAATTCAAGATCACAAACACACACACACTCAATGAGTGTGGTCTGCCTCTCCACAGTTGCAATCTCCAAACGCGCTCCTCTTCTCCTTTGCCTCAACCATCCATGGCTCCAGAGCAAACTCCCTCTTGCTGTATTCCTCCATCTCTCCCTCGACTTCCCTCTTCAATGTGGATGCCTTAGCACTCGTCTTCGCGACCAAGGCGTCCAAGTACGCCGCAAGCCTGATACCGGCCTTAGCAATCTGCAGTTGAACGACCGGCGCCGCAGTCTTGTAGTAAGCGTTGTCGATCTCCTGGCCGTTGACAGCCGCGACGCCCTTGGGCAGGACGGTGGTGCAGACGTAGGAGTTTGTGTCGACGGCCCAGAGCATGGTGGTGTTGATGGGCGTGTTGACGTTGATGTTGGTCTTCCAGGAAGCGGCCTGGCTCTTGAATTTGCCCGTCTTGATCTCGGTCGTCAGGTTGGTTGCCCATGCCTGCGCATTCGCAATGGAGTACGTCGTGCCAGCGACCTTCTGCGGAATCGCAGTGTCCCATGCAGCGTGGAGATTGGTTTTGGCACCGTCAAACGTGACGTTAACTGAATACAATTAGTAGATGTCTCGGAAAGTATTTGTGTCGGAGTCTTGCTTACTGGTGTTACCGCCGACGTCGAGGTTCTCCACGTGCAGCGGCTGGTGGATGTCACCGATGAAGTGAATCAACCATTTCAGCGCTTTCTGCTGCTCGACCACCTCGAGGCTTGTCTGCACGGCACGCGTCGTGTAGTTTGCAATCGCGGACACAATGCAGCCGTCTGGGCAGTCGCGCTCGTAGATCACGCCGCAAGTCTTGGGAGGATTGTCCAAAGCGTCAATGTAGTGGAAGCCACTGGAGAATTTACCAGCAGCTTCGGACCGGTAAGTGTCTGCCCTGGGATAGGAGTTAGACATGTGCGGTCGTAGTTGAAGCTGGAACTGAACAATACCAAGTAGCAACATTCGCCATATAGGCGGTGCTTGTGTCGCCCAGTAGGTTCTTCGCGAACGTTGCCGTCTTAGTAGCGACGAAGTTCTGCGCAATAAAGGCGACGGTGGTATGCCCCAAGCTTCCCCATGCAGATGCATGTGGGAGAGCTGCGAGAAGAGGAAGCAAGATTGATTTGGTAGGCGCCATTGTGTAGTGAGATGATAGACAAGACGTTGAGAAAGAGAAGAGGGCCCAAGATATACTACCTACACAAGCTTTTGCTACCCGTTAGTGTGTACCAGGTATCAACGACATCGGCCAAGTCCGTGCAAGATTGCCACAGCCTACCCCACGTGCTGCAGGAGTGAAAGTACCTCCGCGGGGACATTAACCCAAATAGGCAGGTCTGGGGTTACAGGGCTAACGGAACTGGGACCAATGAGAAAGGATTGGACGACGATATAGGACCTGAAGATTAAGAGGACGGCTCTAACGATAGCCGAAGACTGTTGTAATATATATATGGTCATATCTGGCGCTAAAGTTCACCGACACCCGTCTCGTCCAAGTAAACCAGGGTATGTCAAGGCCGAGAGTGTTCGCCAAACTCCATGAAGCGTATATGGGTGTTCATCGTGCAGCAACAGCTTCCGTGGGTGCGTGGTCGTCGGCCATACCTTCGTCTTCGGGAACCTCTTCCACAGGAGCAGGCCGGCCTTCAATCAAGCGGATCCACCACGCCGGGGGGTCAAGAGGGCTGTGGCCGTTGTGGAGAGGCGGGTAGATGTCGTTGAAGTAGTACCAGACTGTCACACATCAGTCTTATTCTATAATCTAGGGTGAAAGAGCTTACTATGCCCAACAACAATGCCGCACATCTCATCTCGCGGTACTTGGGAATGCATGACCAACGAGAAGGCCATCAACACCCATGGCAAATACGGGGCCTTGAACACAATCAGTCCTAGGAAGCCGAGCGTCGTGTCAGGGTTCTTGCGACTCCAGATATAGATAAGGGTGCTAGACAAGGCCGAGCCGAGGAAGGCCATGGAGAAGATGGGCGCAATGCATAGCAACAGCGTCGAGACAAACGTCAGAAGCCACGAGAAATGGGCAGGCGAGCGTCCAGACGACTCTTCCAGCAGGCGCGAGTAGCGCTGCAAAAAGAAGATGTGGTACAGTAGGTCGAGACTAAGTGGGCCGAAGTAGAAGAAGGTCGTGATCAATCGCCAGTACTGGTTCCTCAGAAAGACAGTGCGCACGCTGTAAAAGAGCTGATAGGGCGATACGACATGGCATTGCACGAGTACACTGGCTCCCAGGGCAGCTGTCATCCACCAGCGCGTGCATACAGGCATTTCGTAGAACCACTGCTCGAGGGGGAAGCCGGCCCCTCCCATGATGCCGTCCCCGCCGGCCAGTACGTTTGCCATGCTGGCGTCGTGAAGATATCGGTGTTAGTAAAGAAGCGATAGCTGCAGACGGAAGAAGTAATTATGGTAGTTGGATGTCGCGCTGGCTGAGCGAGAGGACAGGTTGCTCGCAGCAAACCACGACAAGTCGCGAATTGATTGACCTTACATATGGCTACGTAACCATCAGAGCGCCCGCCAAGCGCTTATCTAATCAATCAACACGCGGTCGCGCCTTCCGGAGCGTTGGACTGTGGCGCACCACCCACAAGCCACATTCCGGCCCCAGCCCCCTCGAGTCGACGAACGCGGCCATCCCCATCAACCACGACGATGCGCTGCACGCCATCTCCCACTATTCTTCGAACCTAGCTGCCCTGCACACCACATCGACTGTCGCTGCGACACGTGATCCGACCCGCGACCACCGCAATGGCACCCAAAAGCCCCGCCCGCAAGAACACGGCGCGTCCGTCGCGTGGAGGGCGAGCAAGCACCGGCTCGCGGAGGGAATCTGGCAAACGAGGTGGGCTTTTTACGCGTCAAACTGCGGGCAGAACACCGCGCTGACGAAACCCAGTCGGCCAGCCCGGCCCCGCGCCAGAACGCAAGAAGTCGCGTTATAAGCCCGGCACCGTCGCCCTGCGCGAGATCAAAAGATACCAAAAGTCGACCGACTTGCTGCTGCTGAAGCTGCCCTTTCAGCGTCTGGTGAGTGTACAACGCATGTGATCCTGCGCATTGTACTGATGCATGTGTGTGCAGGTGCGAGAGATTGCGCAAACCGTCACCGACGACGATGGCGCGACGAGATGGCAGAGTCAGGCTATCATGGCTCTGCAGGAAGCAACCGAGGCTTTCCTCGTCAACCTCTTCCACGACGCAAATCTCTGTGCTATCCACGCCAAGCGCGTTACTATTCAGCAAAAGGACATACAACTCGCACGCCGTCTGCGCGCAGCGTGGGGCAACCCTGTTTGAGCAAGAGCGCCATGTTGCTGGCAGATACCCTTTGTTCGAATCTTGTGGCATGTGGGGATGAGCAGTTCGTGTGCAGACTAGGACCGTGTTTTGGGGACAGACAAGTCACTCGGCGTTTTGAGGCGCTGCGCTTCGTCTTGGTAGAGATAAATCTGGATGTTTTTTTGTCATTGATTTGTAACTGTAGCATGAATTCGATATAGGTAGTTTTATAAATTCAAACCACCTCGCAGATGTTTCTACTTGTTGACTATCTATGTTCGGTTAGCTCTTGTTCATTTCGAGGGTTTCTTCCCATGTTCAACACGCGGCGATATGGTCCTGGTGCTGTTAGACGGTCCGATAGGATTGGAGTACGACGAAAGAGGAGGAAGAGTAAGTTTCTAATAGAGATGCTACACATCACAGCACCGTGGCATTCACACCACCCCAACACCCCAAAATCCAACATGACATGCTCGAAATACATTCCACCAACATCGCTAACCACCAAGACCTACTTCGCAGCACCCCGGTTCAAGGAATCTCACTGTCATCCAGGTATATAACGTGGGACACCAGAACGAAAACAACAAAACAACCATAGTCCACAGCGACGCGATGGTGCTCAACGATCGTAAGATATCTTGCTGATCAGTGAAGAAGCATTTTCATGTCAAATAGACTACTGGGTCAAATCACGGACATCAAAATCAAACCATACCATTGACACGCATGGTAATAGCAAAAACAGTCGTGAGCTCGTCATGAGATTTCCTTTCATTTCGTTTCCGTCGGCATGCTACATACCCACTACCACCAAGCATCCGATATTCCCCGTACGCGTTTCCATATCCTGAAGCCATGCCATCGAACTGACCAAATCAGAGCAAGCAGGATAGACTAGAATAGAATGCGCACTGCCCCAACGCGCCCAAGACCCAACGCGACAAAACCTAGACAAACCAATTGTCCTCGTCCTCAGAATCAATGTTGATCTTGCTATCGCGTCCAGCGCCGCCCTCAACAGTGTCCACGACATCGTCGCCCTCGCTCTCGACAGACATCTCCTTCTTGACCTTCCCACCCGCCTTCGCCTTCGCCTTCGCCTTGGTAACGCGGCCAGTCTTCACGCCTATCCCGGTGTTAGTCAACATCCCACACCATCCTGCGATACAAGCACGACGTACCGTTCTTGGTGACCTTGACATCTGTCTTCTTCGCGCGGGACTTTGCGGGACTAGGAGCCGGGCCTTCGCGGCCGGATGCTTCTTTCTTGAGCGAGGCGGCGGCTTTCTTGAATTTGCGGAGTTGGCATTCGACCGTGTTGTATGTGGCGCCTTGGCCGAAGATGCGGGCTACTTCGTTGTAGTTGATCTTGTGGTTGGTCAGTGGGTGGGGAGTGTGCATGAGGAGGAGGGTGGAAGGATGGTGGGTGTGGTAGATGGTGGGAACTTACCGTGTGGTTGCCTGAGGCGAGGACTGCGGCCCAGAGCCTGTCCATCGTGTCGCGGTTGCTCCAGTTGATTGGCATCTTGATGTTCTGTTTAGGGTTTGTTAGTTGGTGCTGAGTGGGTACACGACGCGAATTGTAACGCAGGGGAGTAAGAACGTAAGCAAAGGGATATATAAGGGCACTTGCTAGAAAGACAAAGCAAGATTAAGAGAGCAGCGAGATAAATGCGCAGGCAAAGTGAGAGAGAAGAGGTAAAGACGCAGGTGTAGCAGACTGTATACAGAGGGCGCTTGAGCGGCGGGGCAGACATTCACTGCGCGCGATGCATATGCTGGAGCGATGGAGGGAAGACTTACGACTTGAGAGTTGATGGTGTAAAGAAGGTTATGCTTGGTTGGCGCTTGTGTGACGGTGCAATGTGGTAGATTTTGCAGGTAGTGGTGGTGGAAGAAAGGAAGTACCAGGCCCGAGGAGTAGTTTTTATATCTGACGGGCGGGGGCAGTGCGGTGAGTGGTGAGGGGAGACATCAAACCACGCTGAAGTGCGGTGAAAGTGAGAGAGCTACATGCAAGCAGGATACAGAAGTTAACAGTCTCATCCTGCTCCTTTCTTGCCTTTACACTACTAACACAGGGTTCTCTAGTAAGTTAATATAAAAGAGTTAAGCAACTGTGTAACACTTACTAAGAGGTTGCTTTGCATCTTGCATACTGTAGTATGTTCATGCAACGGCAGGACAAATAGCAGATGTTGAACTGGACACAGCTCTCTATGAACGTACGAGGACAGTGACATGACAATGAAGTTGAACGATGATCAGGTTTGCGTATGAGAGCAATTTGCAGGAAACCACACGACTTTATAAATTGAGACGAAGTACATGATCTGAATTACCTACCAATTCATGTCTTGATTTTCTTCTTACCTTTCCCCGTGTCCCACTCCCGCTTCGCCTTCGCTTCCGCCAGGTGCTTCTGTTTTTCTTCTCTAGGATCAATTACCAGCAAGTCCTCCTCGTTCTTCCGCTTCCACTCCAAATTCTTGCCCAACCGGTCTTTCGCGAAGCTCAGCGAATGCGACATCCAGCCGGTATCGTCGTCCGACTCGTCCTCGTCTTGCTTGTCCCAGGCTGTGCACGACTGACACCCTGCGATGAAATGCAGATCGCATACTGCTTCATCGTCCTCCACGGGTTTGCTTCCATTTTCTTCACTCTTTCCATTCTGAACCTCCTCAGGCAGCGCGGGTGATTTGGATTTTGGCTCTGCTATGGGCTCAGCAGTGTCGAGCTTGGATTTGAACTTGGAAAGAATGTCCAGGGTGGCTTGTTCTTGGGCAGCGTTCCCACCTACGCCACGCTTCCGGCCGCGTGTTGTCGAGACGGGCACCATAGACTCCAACAACGACTTCTTCTTGACTGGTTCTGCGTTTTGGCCAGCGGTGTTTCTCTTCATCGATGCCTTCAGCTCTGCAATCTGCGCGTTCACGCGATCGAGCTTCGACTTCTTCTCTGACTCTGGCGACAGTTCTCGAGGGGGTGGAGAGGGCGCTTTTTCCTTGGGTGCAGGTTTGGGTAATGTGGGTGTTTTTTCTGGCTTGGAGGACGGTGATCTCGACGGTGACTTGCGCGCAGGTTTGCGAATGGGTATGGACTTGTGGTGTTCCTCCGCCTTTGGGACTGATGGCTTCTCCTCACCAGCACTCACGAGCTTGGCGTTGAACTTGGCCTTCTTGAGCGCGGGTGCTGCCTCCGCACCGTCGCCGTCGTCTCCAAAGCTGAGCACATTCTTGCCAGCCTTTCTCTTAGGTTTCTTGACTTTCTTCGCTTCGGGTTCTGTCCGCTCTGCCACGCGCGCACGCTTGACCATGTCATCAAAGGGGTTGATGATGATCTCGGTGCTCGTGATCTTGGTCGGGTACATGGGGCTGTCCTCGCTGCCGTCCCTGATGTCGGTCTCGGCCATCTTCATCAAGTTGTAGATGGTGTCTCCCGCAATGCGCCCAAACATGGTGTTCCTGTCCTGCAGCTCTGGCGTGGCAGCCAGGGTGAAGAAGAACTGGCTGCCGTTGTCGTCCTTCTTACCCGTGTTGGCCATGCCCAGCAGGCCTCGTCGCGTGTACTTGAGGCGGCTGTGGAACTCATCCTGGAAGGGGGCGCCATCGTAGCTGCTCTCTCCGCTCTGTCCCGTGCCCGTGGGGTCGCCGCCCTGCAGGATGAAGCCCTTGACCAGGCGGTGGAAGACGGTGTTGTCGTAGTAGCCGTCGAGACATAGCTGCAGGAAGTTGCGCGACGTGACGGGCGTCTGCTTGGCAAAGAGCTCGAGCTCGAGGTCGCCCGTGGTCGTGTGCAGCAGCACCTTTGCCGTCGGGTTGGGCTCGAGGTTGTATGTCGCGCTCATCTTGTGGATTGTCGGTTGTCGCGTCGTGGTCGTGTCCGGGTCTGCGTTTGTTCACAGCCAATGAAGCTCCGTCGCTAGCGCACACATTCTCGACCGACGTCACCGGCTCAACCATGCTTCGGTGTGCTATGCCAAAAACACCCAGCGCAGCATACTGACAGATACCGATAGCTGATATGACCGCCGTCTGACATTCCCTGCACCTCACCACCCGACAAACATTGGCTCCGGCGCATCACAATGTTGCCCTACATCAATGCCCGTGAGTACCCACTACATGGTGGTGTACTTCAACAACGTATGCTAATAGCGCCGTGCAGCCTTCGAGTACGTTGGCAGTTCAATCGGCACGTCTCCAGATGAGCGTAAGAGCCCATGAACTCCACTCCTAAGCCACCGCCTAACAACACGTCCCAGTCAAGCTCGTCTTCTCCTTCTACCTGTCCTACCCCCTGGCTGCTATCTTGAAGCGTATACCAGACAAGCAGCCATGGCAGAAGAATGCCTTTGTCATAACGTGAGTTATACCCCTTCCCACTCAACGACAAGTCTTGACAGATGCAGTGTTTCCCTCTTCTACCTGGTCGGTCTGTTCAGTCTATGGACCGGCATTCGGACCCTCTTCATTAGTGCTGCGGGCGCCTACGCTATCGCATCCAAGATAAACTCTCCTTACATGCCATGGATTGGATTCGCGTTTCTCATGGGACACATGTCAGTGAACCACATCTATCGCCAGTCAATCGACGACCCATCCTCCGTCGACATCTCAGGAGCCCAGATGGTCCTGGTCATGAAACTTACAGCCTTCTGCTGGAATGTGCAGGACGGTCGACTGCCCGACGCTGAGCTCTCCGACTTTCAGAAAGAGCACGCTATTAGGACCATGCCTAGCCTTCTTGACTACACAGGCTATGTGCTTTTCTTTCCAGCTCTCATGGCTGGCCCAGCGTTCGACTACTGCGACTACAGCCAGTATATCACCACAACCATGTTCACACTGCCGCCAGGAACCGACCCAGCAAAAGCCCCAGCGACCCGAAAGAAGCGCAAGATTCCTCGCAGCGGCACGCCAGCCACCATCAAGGGACTCTACGGCACACTGTGGATCGTTGCTTTCCTGAAGTTCTCCGCTTGGTACTATCCCTCCTTCTTTCTGGGTGACGAGTACATGAAGTATGGGCTGCTGCGTCGAGTATGGCAACTGTACATGTTTGGACTCACTGTTCGCATGAAGTACTATGGCGTGTGGAGCCTGTCCGAGGGTTCATGTATCCTCTCTGGAATCGGCTACAACGGCCTTGATCCTGTCACTGGACGCGCAAAATGGGACCGTCTCACGAACATCAAGCCTATTGAGATTGAAACAGCTCAGAATGCCCGAGCATTCCTAGGCTTCTGGAACATCAACACAAACCAGTGGTTGCGGAACTACATGTACCTTCGCGTCACTCCCAAGGGTAAAAAGCCCGGATTCAGGGCCACATTGGCGACATTCGTCACAAGCGCGTTCTGGCACGGTTTTTACCCTGGCTACTACATGGCATTTGTTCTTGCGTCGTTCGTGCAAACCACTGCAAAGAGTAAGTTCTTCAACCACGCCACACGCAATCCATGTAACTAACTTTAAAAGATGGACGCCGTCTGATCCGCCCCTTCTTCCTTACTCCCGACGGAAAATCGCCTCTACCCTCGAAGAAGTACTACGACATCTTCACCACCATCCTCACTCAGCTGGTCTTCTCTTTTACCGTCGCGCCCTTCATCTTCCTTGGCTTCTCCGACACACTGAAAGTTTGGGCACGCGTCTACTTCTACACACTTTTCGGAATCGCTGCATCGTTTGCTTTGTTTTCCAAGTCACTGCCCCTCCGCAAAGAGATTGTTCAGCGCCAAGCTGTTCGAGTGGCAGCCGCAACTCCTGCGGTCGATGAATCCACCATTGAGCGCCTGGCAAGGGAAGAACTCGACGCAGAGAGACTGACAAGAATCAACTCAGCAGATAGCACTGCTAGTTATCGCAAGGCGCCTACTCTTGGAATTGCAGATGATCTTGAAACAGAGATTGACGAGATTGTCAGCGAGGTGAAAGCAGAGTACGAAGAGCGGAAGAGGCGGGGAAGTGTGCTCCAGGGCTTCGATGTCAAAAAGGCCGTTCATGAGAAGATACTAGACTTTCAGAAAGAGCTAAAAAGGGGTGGTAAATAGTCGAGGGAGGTTCAGTGTCTGGAAAGGGTAGATCGATGCTAAGGTTTCTCCATGAAATAACGGACTTCACGCATTTATTCAGCGTATCTATGGATGGATTTGTATACAATGGGTAGGTGCTTCGTATTGAGTGTGAACACTCACAATAGTCACCGTTCCAACGTCGTTTGTCACTGTTGTTATTGTGGACAGTCGTGCTAGCTCATTTCCCGCCTTCCCACCGCCTCATATCTCTCTTTCACCACCGCTATTGTCACCACAATCAATGCAGATTCTGCGCGCCAAGCCGAGCCCTCGCAAACGCACCATAAAAGCAGCCTCAAGCCCATTCCCCTCCGTCTCTTCAGCTTCGCCGCGCTCTACCTCACTACAAGTCTTTTCTCAACCGCGCGCGCACCGAAGCCCATATCTCCCCACCAATTCTTCTTTCTTCCGTCTCTTCTTCTCTTTCTCGTCCTCGAGCCCCTCGACACCATGTTGTGGATCGCTCACCTCGTCGTGTCCTTGCTGGCGGCAACGGCGGACTTTGCGTGGTTCTTCGCGGCCGAGTCGTCTCACGGGCTCATGGCACAGGCGAACTGCTCGTTGCCGACGCTCAGTTGCATCCGGGCGGCGCAAGCTGCTGGTGATGCACTGGGCCAGGCACGAGCAGACGCCTACTGGTGTGGTGTCCGGGAGCAGGAGCAGGCCAGGCTTGACCAGCAGGCCTACGACGCTGCGGTTGCCGACGCCTTCGTGACCGTCGACAAGTACAAGCTGCTCCTCATGCAGCCGCCGCCCGTTTGCCAGGTCAATCACTATCACACCCACCTGCACAACCACAACCACAACAGCTTCATCAACCCCACCTTCATCTCAGAATGCACGAAGGTGCCAGAGCTGCCGGCGGGGGTCAGCCCCAACTTCGACAAGGAGTTGTTCTTTGGCCCGCGCCTCGGCCGGGCCGAGAAGATCATCCTCGGCTCCGTCTTCGTGCTCTTCGCTGCTGCCTGCGGGCTCCTCTTCTGCTGCTGCCGCTGGTGTCTGGCGACGACGAGGCCTTCTCCTCCGGCGGATGGCCCCGCCAAAGCACCCCCCGCCGCCGACACGCCTGCCTCTCCCGCTCACAACGTCTCGCAGGACCCAGTGAGTTCCTCCACGGTGCACCTCTTGGGTGCTGAAGAGCCCCTCGAGGAAGCAGAACCGTCGGAGGAGCTCCTGGCGACTGTGTCACGTCTCCGAGCTGCCTCCCCGCCGCCGCCACCACCACCACCACACACACCGACTCCACAAAGACCCGTGGAGTCTGAACGGGCACCGGTTGAGTCCACTGACGACCTCCCGGCCTCCTCCTCCTCCTCCTCCTCCTCCTCCTCCTCCTCCTCCTCCTCACTTCTCGACCAGTCTCCAGAAAGGCCCCTGGAGACTTCACGGGCACCCGAAGACACACCCATCCCCTCCTCCCCTCCCCCCTCGTCGTCTCCTCTCTCCTCCATCCCCGAGCCAGATGAGCTCGGGGAGATGATCGAGAACCTCCTGGCCTCCTCCCCCTCTCCCTCTCCCTCCCCCTCTCCCCCACCGGCCGTCGACACGGCTCCACAAAGCCCCGTGGAGTCTGAATGGGCATCAGACGACGACGCAGCGCTGCTGCTGCTGGCCAATCCGGAGGCCGACCAGGTCAAGGCCGACGACGACGACGACGACAAGCCCGCCTCCCCGCCGCCAACGGCCTACCTCCGGCCCGTCGAGGACCGCGCAGAGTCCACCGACTCACCGCCGCGAAGCCCCACGGCGTCAGTCAAGGCGCGCAGGCGCATCGCACCCATACGCCGCCGTCGCGTCGTCGCCGCCCCCGCCCCCTCCCAGCCTGCCGTCCAGGCAGCACAGACGCCCGCTGTCGCCGCCAGGACACCAGTCCCCGAGGCAGTTCGGCCTCGCGTTCCCGTGCCGTCGTCTCCTGCCGCGCCTCTTCCTCGCGTTGCCGCGCCTGCTTCTCGCGCTGTCGCTCCCCGGCCCCCTGTTGCGCCCGCCACTCCTCGTCCTGCGCCCGCTGCCGCCGCGCCTCGCACTCGCCCTCCCGTGACGCCCGTTGCCAGCTTCTTCGCGTCGCTTATGCAGGAGGCTAGCAACCCCGTGTATAAGCAGCCCGGAGAGCGGTAGCGGGCTCGCGGAGGGTAGGAGGACGACTAGTACATGTTTTGTTTGAGAAGGGATTGATGGCGTGAGAGTGTGATGCCCACGCTTGGATGTGGACTGGAGGAATGGGATGGGAATTGGTTCTTGTAGTTGTCAATGCATGTTCTTTCTTTCTTGCTGCACTTACTGGTACTGGTACCGATACTTGATGTTTGTGTGTGATGTGAGTCTTGCTGTGTCCCTTGTTGACTGTTTTCCTGATGAAGTGGATGGAGATGCTTTGCGTTGCTATGAGGTATGGATTTCCATATAACCAGTTATTCCACCAACTCCCAAACGTCCAACCGAACATTTATGCAGGTAAAAAAACGCCAAAACACAACGTAGTCCCATATACATCGCTCTTGCTCGCATAAACACATACATATCCCATCCCCTCACCGCCCACTGCTGAAGCTATACCCCGTCCCCGCATGACTCGCCTGTCTCTCCACGCCCCCAAGCCCAGCCTGACTGCGATACTCCTCGTACCCACCGGGACTCAACGCATCCGCCCCCAGCCCACTCCCGCTCTCCCTGTAATCCGCATACGGCGGCACGGTGCGCCCAAAGCCCGCACGGTCGTCGCCCCAGCTCATCGGCCTGCCAGGGTGTCTCCCATCCTCGGTCTCCGTGGAGTGCAGCAGCGCGTACTCGTCTTCGTGCTGGTTGCCGCCGTGCTCTGTGCGCCTGTCTTCTTCGTCGTCATCGTCGTCGTGCTCGTTGCGGTGGGGCTCGATTTCCGTGGACCAGGCGTTGTCCTTTGCCGAATCGCCTGAGATGTGGTGCGCATCTGTTTCGGCGGCTTGGTAGGGCATGCTGCCTTCGCGGAGGAATTGGCGGAGGTAGTAGCCTGACACGGCTGTTGTTATGACGAACAAGAGGCTGAGAATGCTGGTTAGTTTTTTGCTGGGGGAGGACACGGAGGAGGAGGAGGGAGTGTACCAAATCACGGCGCCGAGACCAACGGATGCTGTGCTGACTTTGCATTTCTTCTCGTTGCCATAGGCAAAGGTTGTGCAGTTTCGGTCGCCCTCTGCGATCTTCTTGTCCTCGCCGCCCTTGTTGATGCCGTAGGAGTTCCACAGGGCGACGGCGATGAAGGCGCAGAACCAGAGGATGGTGTAGATGGCATCGACGGCTAAGAATGCGTATGCGTTTGCGAACCGCTGTGCTCGACTCCAGGCGGGTACCATTGTGAGGTAGATGATAGCTGGGAAGCTGAGGAAACACTGTAGCAGCACATATCAGCTTTGTATCCTTGAACACCCACCAAAACTATGATGAAAACACGTACTATGGCGAAAAAGTACTTGGTCGCACCGCCAACCTCCCCATCCTTAACCATGACGGCTATGGCCAGACATGTCGCAACAAAGACCAGCACCGCCTGGAAGACATGTGCCACGATTTTGCACTTCTGAATATACGACTGTGGTATCCGCATCTCGCCCTGTGTGCTGAATGTGTTCTGGCACGCTTGGTGTGTGCGTTGTCAGGCAGTCGCGGGGGAGGGACGACGGGTGTAAACAAGGCTCAGCCTTATGGAGAAGCGTCCCGAGAGAGCTATGTCGCGATAAAACTGTGTCAAGGCAGAAAAACAGGTGTAAATATGGATGCCACTGAAACTACACAAGTAGAGAAAACACAAAAAAATATCAGCGACAGTCGCAAACGAACAACGCAGCAGTGCAGATGGGAGTGTTTGAGTAAGACATTGCGCTGGGGATTCTCGAATCGCGGCATCAGCGTCAGCGTCAGCCTCAAACCGGCGCACGAGCTATTTATAATATGTTTCCGACTAGCCTTTCTCAGGTTAGATGCGGGTGTCCCTGGCGACGAGCTCGATTCTTGGAGCGAATAACGATGTTCGGAATTATCTATACTTGAAGTCGTTGATTCTCTTAGACACAGACGAGTTTCCCTTGGTAGTCCCTACTTTAATGACACTCAATACGCGGGCTGCAGATATGCCTTGTCAGGCTCCTAGCCACCCCTTCAGCCCACAGCCTCTTCAAGATTCAGCCATGGCATAGCTGGTGTCTTGCTCATTGCCTACTCTCAGCTGCACGCTTCTCATGCCCTGAGACTCAGCCTGAAGGATTTCCGATCGCCATCCTAAAACAGTAAACATTTCGTCCCCCATACCTCAGACTATCAAGCCCAGCTGGGCGGTGCAGCCGTCCTCACACTCGAAATCGTCGATTCCAACTTCGTCTGAAAGTCTGCATTGGTCTTCTCGTGAATTACATACTTGACTTTGCCGCGGTGTCGTTGTTCGTAAGTGCTCCGTCTCGCATACATTTCGACATCAGCGTACAGCAACGTCGAGCTACTTCGTAGAGCGCACAAAATTGTTGGGGATGGAGAACCACGTATACGGTGGTGAATTTGGATTTTCCGTATGTCGTGCTTCCTGAGGATTGATTGCAGGAGATCTGCATCGACCTCGATATGCTGGAGCTCGAGATTGCAGAGCAAAGGTAGACGTGCGTCGTTGTCGGCTAGAAATCTCAGTGACTTAGTATTTAATTGATCGACTGCGTGATCAAAATTGGTGTTGTTCCCATATCCAAAGTCCCTTTCAACCCACTGAGATTCGGCCCCCATTATGGTGAGCTTTTTGACAGAGGATATAGCTGGCAATAGCGCAGTAACCCACCACAAAGGCTTAAGAGTACTATCGAGATAGAGTTTCGCCGTCCGTTGACGCTCAAAGTAGTATAAACGGAGGGACAAGTGCTGTAAGTTGGGGAGTTTTAGCTCCTCAAATTGATTTCGGGCAAACGTCTTTGCTGGCGTTGAAATTCGGGACCGTTTGCGTGATGCAGTAGTCTTTGCCAGGGGGAGACCGTAGGGCACTGCGCACAAATCAAGAACTTCAGGTTGACAACCACTTCTTAGCAAGGCGCCGAAAACTACCGGAACAGCATGCATGCTGTTTTGAAGGATTTCATCGCTTTTGCAGACCTCGTGTCCGCCGATCAATGCACTTGCGGACGATGGCCAGATTCCTATCTCTTCGTATATCTCCCTGGCTCCGAGAGGCGGATGCCTTTGATCGTATTTCTCAACGGTCGATATCTTCTTTAAGGAGGAAAGACTACCAAGTGCTTCAGCCAGCAGTTCCACGTCAGTGCCCGTGGTTTTCATAGTGTTCTGTTCGTGCCTGTACTTATCATGGAGCCTGCGGCGTCTCCGCTTTAGCTTCTTGTTGTACTCGGTTAGCTGTGAATCACCTGTGACTGTGGGTAAGGCTCTATCGACTTTCATGTTCTGTATCTGCTCGACGTCCACCGTAGTAGTCACGATTGGATCGGAGGTGATTGTCGACTTGGTCCTGTCATGGAAGACTACGAGGCACAGCTGTAACTCTTCGATCGCTTCTTGGAACCACAGATTCTTCGAGAGACCAATAAGTTGTTGTAGGCTTTGCCTTGTGAGTATAACTAGGTATCAAGCGTTAGTGTTCGTCAATGACTAATTGCTGCTGCTGGTGCCAAAATACTTTTCGATGTTCAACGTTCTTGTTACCCACATGTCGTTGGCAATGAGCTAACAAAGACAGAGACTCACATCGTACAATTCCCACGAATCGATTATCGAACGCGTGAAGTGATTTCACCTTGATTTGTTTACAGCAGAATCGCAACTTCTTCAGATCCTCATTTTCCAGATAGGCACAGATCCCGTCAATCAACTCCTCAGGGAGACCACTCAACAAGTCCATAGTAGCGTATCGACGCCGTCGTGTCTGACTTGTACAACATGTGGGTTGGTGACTGCAAAGGTTTCGAAAATGAACAAGTCTTGTTATAATCTGGTCATTGTAGTGTTGGATGAGTCAAGAGAAGTCGGATGTCAGACACCGTAGTAATGCCTGTACGTAGCATCCAGACCGGCTGCGTAGAAATAAGACTAGCCAAGAGACTAGAGCCTTAGCGCCAACATCAATGTCAAAATATCTGCAAGGTGAGTGCACGCTGCGACATAGAAGGATGGCTACAATAAAGGCTATAATCTAATTACAATACAAGTACACTTATTCGTGCTAGCTAGAAACATCAGGAGTTATGCTTGATGTTTCGGGTCTGGCGCTGAACTTTTTTGGGGCTGTCCGAGGTATCTCGCGTGGCGTCTCCTGCCATGATATATGACGAAGTAACTCGATGTACAGACAAACACACTCTCAAAGTGGCATGATCGAGAGCATAGGCCCAATGGGTACCACGCCGTTGCTAGCAACTATCACGGATGAGTAGCCGCGTTTGATCTGGATGCAATCAGCTAAGTGAAAGTAGTATAGGTTCACGAACTCACAATATCAAAATGAGTTGTGCTTTTGAACACATCGTAACTCTCACTCCAGTATAACCGTCTCAGCCACGCGTGCAGACGCGGATAGTCGAGACGTATCATCTTTAGATTGCACTTGAACAGTGTGTAGTATACTACGTCGAAGCGAATGAGGGTCGTATATACCCGTATATCAGCCTCAGTAATGTGATCGCCGAATAAATAGGGGGAGTGCCCTGGTTGAGAGAGATGGTATTCCAGTCTGTCGAGTGACTGGAAGAGTCTGGTGACGTGTTCGTTGTAAGCTGACTGCGAGGTGGCAAAGCCAACCTTGTAAACACCATTGTTGACTGTATCGTACACCCATCTGTTGAGTATATCGATTTCGGGTCTTAGCTGTTGGGGAACTAATGCTGCCGCTCCTTTGTTCGCCTCGCGCTTCTCTGGAGGTAAAAGATGATCAAATGCCACAGAAAGAATGCGCATTATATCGCCACTCTCATTGTTCACAACAGTGCCTGTAGACCGTCAGCGCAGCGCTGTGGTCGGTTTACTCGCGAGTTCCCACCATGCTTCTTGTCCCATAGCAATGGAACAGAGACTCTGCCAGTATATTGAGGGTCTGCTTTCAGATACAACTCTCTCAACCATCTGACCCCGTATATCGGATCTCGTTCTGGACCCGTATGCCCAGAGAAATACCAGCCATGCGTTGGATCCCTCGCATCTACCTCAACTAATTGTATTATCTCCCCCAAGCCCTTCAGCGCACGAACAATGATGGTATGGTGGGCCCATGGGCAAACATAATTAACGTATAATACATATCGACCCTTCTCTGCAGGGAATTGCTCGGAGGGTATCAAATTGCGATAACTGGAAGGCATCGGGCACCAAGGAATGGTGATCTTGGTAGATTTCGGGTTGGGTAGCTAAATAAGACGTATATCAGCCAGCCGGGTACAGGCGGCAGAGTGCATTTGTCAATCACGACAGTGAACTCACATCAACCACAGTCATGGCGGGTGCTTTAATAGGGTCTCGACAGCGTAGTGTTGCAAGAAAATGATCGAACACATCCAAGCAACGTGCGGTGCGCTCATCTCCATGTTCAACACGAAGTTTGCTCGCAGCTGAGTAGTGTGATTACAAAACAGGCGATTATGAGCAAGGTTGATTAAGGTGATTAGTATGAGCTACTGCGTCGAATGCAGGCGACGACCGGGGTTCAGCCGCCCAGTGGACCCATAGTTGCAGAATTTGTCGTTGCTGAAGAGGGTTATGGAGTAGCACGATACTCGGTGTATTGTATGTTGTTCTTAGGTCTTTGATACGAATACCCAAATAGACTTGATGTATAGTGATCAGGGATCACTGCCAGTTAAATGTCCGAATTGTGGGACGACTCTTGCCTTGCCGAGGCTCGCTTGTTGGCGCAGGTAACCGTCGAGTTCACCCCTGCTAGTTAAAGCCCTATCGACCACCTATGGTGTTCTTCAACAACTTCGAGTCCAAAGATTATAAAATTTCACCTGCATGCTCTGGCTCCGAGGAGCATCGCCAGACTAGCACAACAACCATTGCATGACGCCCGAGCATATTATCGAACAGAGCACTAGGGGTTTGATAGTCGGAGTGGATCGAGAAATTCTATTGAGCAATGTAAGGAGGCGTATGGCTGACTGTGGGTCATAGAAAAATTAGAATGACTGGAAAAAGATCTGATATCCAAGCCATGCAGTCGTTGCGTTGTGCGAATAAGTTGAAGAAAGACCTTTGAACCGCGCTCGTCCGTCGCTTATCAAGCTCGCTCGTTCAGGTATACTGGGCCCTTGCGGCTGGACACGGATATTTCATACGTCTGGTACTGGCCCTCCTGATGACGACCATGCCTTCCATGAACAGTCCCCCCGCCAAGTTTGTTGAACATGTCCTGCTCGAATTCAAACTTCCATATCACCTTGGCCCCGATAATCCGCATCTCAAGCCATGCCATGTTCTTGCCTACGCAGCCACGAGAACCCATTGAAAAGGCGTAGAATGCACTCTCGCTCAAGGCAACACTCTCCTTTGTAGAACCGGCTGCGCCTGTAACCCAGCGCTCCGGTCGGAATTTCAGTGGCTCTGGATGGTAATCTTGGTTATATTGTACCGCCCAAAAGGCGGTACTAACCATTGAACCTTTTGGGGAATAGCTTACTACTGTTCCTCCTTTTAGGACTTCTCGGCTTGGCTCGGCACTGACAGGCAGGGCCATGCGTAGGCCCTCCTGTATAAAGACAGTGAGGTACTTGCATGACTGAAGCTTCTGTCAAGCTTTGATCTTGTCGTAACTCGAAAAGGTTGATAATATTTCCTGAGCCAGCCTGACCTGAACGTGCGGAGTTCGACGGAGATAGAAGAATGTGGCCGCAATGACAGTGGACGATGTATCACTTCCCGCAATGACCAGTAGCTCACTCCCCGTACTTCGTCCGTTTATGGGTCTTTTGCCTTGAAGAGCCAATGGAAAAAGTCTTTGCGAGTTCCTGACCCCGACTCATCAAGTTCGTTCTGTCTCTCGCTACGGCTTTCACGGCAATTTTCGACAAAGTTTCCCCAGTTTTCGATGGCTGGTAGCGTCGCGATGGCCAGCAATCTATCGAGACCTCTGGGGTTGAGCCAGACTCAGAGTGATCCTATTGGAGACCAAGCGATCTGTTACCCATGAGTCCCCCCAAACCTTGTGACAAGTTCCGCTGCACATACCGGATGTAACAGTTCCATAAAACCAATCACCATGTCCGGTTTGTGCCTCAAAGTTCTGTTCGTCTCCTTCATATCCAAGCATCTACCAAAGCAGAGATCGCCGAGGATGTCGAACACCAGATAGGTCACCTGATCGGCCATGTTTATAGGCCCAATCCAATCTTCGTAACTCTCTCTGTTGACCAAGCAGTTCGAGCCATCAATCTACGTTAGTCTGGATAAACGCCTCGGCACCCCGTAGCGCATTTTCGGAGAAAGCATGGTTGAGCACTCTCCGCATGTGTGCATGAACAGAGATATCTGTCGTAGTCCAGGTGTTTAGAGAGTCGACGGTCCGCGGCCAGACCTGGTAGTACTCGCCCTTCTTCACGTTGCCTTTGGGACCGAATATATGTCCATATGCTGGGGAAATATTGATACATACGCTGTCGGGTCAATATCGGAATTCAGGTCCTACCACATGTCAGGGTCGACTTCTCAGAGCGATCCCCGGGCGTTGAGCAATCACCATATCTATCTTGTAAATGGAGTAACCAAATGTGCCTATCCTCATTCCATGTATGCCACCATGCCGGAACTATAGATACCTTCACCCAGAACGGACCTGGAAATCTGACTAGGGTGGGTATACACCCTGTGGAAGACTGTCACAAAGACATACGAAAGGAAAAACGAGCATCCCAATGTTACAGGATCGGTATACGATAACTTGTCTGTAATGCTCTGAAACGAAATTGTAGAAACTGTTGTCGCAAAATACAAACTAAAAAGGCAAAGGTGTTCAAAGATATGAGATCACCCCAGGAGGATCGTATAGATTTTGTACCCAATGCGTTACGATCGATTCTAGTAGGCCAATGCTTTCAGTATAAGCGTACAATATCCTATTAGGATAGGACAACACCCGTTTAGCAAGTACAGTCAGCTGACTGTACATGTGTAGGGAGCTTTAGAGTTTGTGATCTGCAAAGGCAGGACGGCAGCCACTTATTTAATAGATCTACACAAAGCACCCTATTCATGCAGATCTGATCAATTGCACATGCAATATTGGCAGTCAGCACTTGCGTAGAATATACCGTCGATCTTAGAAAAGGCGCAACGCTTAGTTGGAACGTTGACTGAATGAGGCAACAATATGTCAATCAGTGGGACAGCTGAGTTATTCCTAGAACTATAGCCGAATCAGCGGTTAATATCACAGTCGACTCTTTTGCGTACCATCAATTTTCGAAAACTTATTTTCCACGCAGGAAGCTATAGTCTATCTCTAGAAACACCAAATGCTCACAGCATGTGTCTACTCAAATGCTGAAGAAAGGTCTTGTACCTCATGCACGAGGCTGCAGTCCAATCGAAACCTGTTTCCTATGTACTTCATCCAAGAGGCTTGCTACATCCTTGTCAGTGGCCTCGTAAGCCTCTTCGATAATATGCCTACGAGCCTCACTTCTTGGCTCAAAAACGGCCTCCAAAGGCTTCGGTATAGAGACAAATCCAGTAGAGAACATACTCTCTTCAACCACTTGTCTCCTACCATCCTTGGAGCGGATGTTGAAAGCCCATAGCAACCGAGCAACCGCAATGGCAACCGAGTTCCGGGCGATGAATCGGCCTGGACACACCCTCCGTCCATATCCAAAGTTACCAGATTGCGTTTTACCGATCCATCGTTCTGGTCGAAAATCAAGTGGGGAATCAAATAGTCGCTCATCTTGACGCATGGCACTGAATAGAGGAACGATAACCGAGCCCTTGGGGATAAAATAGCCTTTGTACCAATCGTCTTGGATGGCAGCATGTGGTACGCCAGTTGGAGCAAGATGGCGCCAGCGGAAGGTTTCTTCAATAACTGCCTGGATGTAGGGGAGTTTGTTCAGATCTTCGAACGTTGGCAAACGATCACTGCCGACGACGTCTTCAATCTCCTTCTGTGCCATGGGGATCCACTCGGGATGAGCAAGGCAGGCAAGAGTGAAGATTTGGAGGGTTATGTTGGTAGTCTCGTTGGCGGCATCGCACATGATCCCTAAGTCCCAGGCTATCTCAATATCGGTCAGGCTTTGTGCTTCTTTTGCGTTCTTGAAGTCCTTGGTCCAGTTCCAGCCATCACGTTTCAAGGCGGCTTCGAAATTATGCTCGTGTAGTTCTGTCCACAACTGATACCAATCCTCGGCGGTCTTCTTCCATGGCGCCAACGAAGCAGGTAGATGGTTCAGGATTGGTAGCGCATCGACAATCCACCGGCCGAGCTGGCCAGCGAAGAGGAAATTACGCATGCACTCGTGACTTCTATGCATCTGCCACTCTTCGCAGGTCAAGATCCTCATCCCATATGTGAGCACGTATATGAGACTTGCAGAGAAGCGTTCATATTGCTTTGGATAATCGGTGGTGTTCAAGAGATTCTTGAGGAGTTGTTTGCTCTCCAAGTCTTGCACTGGCGTGTAACAAGTGGATGCACGGGGACTCATGACTGGGGCTTCGAGCCGCTGATGCAAGAGAAAGTTCTCGTCATAGTTCTTGAGCATGATGTGCTTGTCTTTGCATACCATCTCTTGCGCCATAACCTGCTCAAGTCAGCTGCTGCATACATCTCGTAACATCAAACAGAAATTCCGTATTCGTACCGTGCGTGGTCGGCCACTGTATATGTTCCCCCGTTTGTCCAGCAAGTCTTTCGCAGTGGCGTAGTCTCCAACAATGATTACGTTTGTGCCACCAAAGTCTGCGCTCACGAGCGGCCCATACTGATCAACCCATTTCTGGTATGTCAACCAGCCAGCACTCTTAGGTGCTTGATGTAGGTTGCCAATGATGGGTAGGCGAGGTGGTCCTGGAGGAAGCTTCGCTTGAAGGCGATACTGGCGGAATATATACAACACAAAAAGAATACCTGCTACTAGCAGAACTGTAGGAGAAAACATAGTTGCTGCACAAACTCCAAGAGGAGAAAGACGAGGCACAGGGGATATAAGATAGATTAAGGAGGTGGATGCACTGTCGAAAGTAGAACCATATAATACTGCCGACAACCCAGATAGTTCGCCAACTTCGGCCCCTTGATTCCGCTTTGTCCTTGCTTCCCAACAAGCAGGGACGGGTGCATGCTCCGTCTGCCGGTACTGGATAGGTAGGTTACCAATACCATCCTGCCACGGCCGCAGGTGCATCCTCCTTCCGCGGACCTCTCTCGGTTCTCGGTACAGCATGTCTCGTGTAAGAGATATCTCCCATATTATGAGTGGCTATGGTAAGAATGTACGCTCAGAAACACTCAGTCATCATTTTAACACCAAAATCAGAGGATGTGGATCATCTCATCAAACCCACATGATGGCCATTACAAGCAACACTGTTGCCTCGCTGGGCTGAACTCACATGTCTGCTTATTCCTACCCGTCCCGGGAAATATAATTCGAGCATTGTGATTGACCAATGCATGAGACAAGCACGTTCATGCATGGGGGAAAGCACAACCCTGCAGGAGGCGCGGTTAAGGAGACTTGGCGAGCCGACCCGAGACTTTGGATGATTACATGGGTTACAGCCTTAGGTGCATTGTACTGAATCATAAAAATGGTATATTCCGCGGGAGACTACAATGTGTTAAATACTGTAGTCCGCTCTAGCGGTTTGCTATCTCGAGACGTGCAGTGCGGTAGGTCAATAAAACCATGGCGAATGACTATCGCTCAATCCTGAATACGGTTGGATGGACTTTAACTACACTTTCAACGCTTTTCACAGCAGCGAGGATATACACGCGCTTAAAAATAGCGACTGCGGCGCTGGGATGGGATGACTGGTGCATGCTGGTTGCATGGGTAAGCATAATTGAGTTTCCATCCCTTCGCTTTGTTCCACTTTTGGTGGCACAGTCTTCTAACAAGTTCAGGTCTTTGCCACAATATGCACCGCCATTGTCACAGTTGGGACTACCCACGGCTTTGGTCAGCACATATGGAATATCCAAGACCCCGAGGACCAGGCACAAGCGGTCATGTACGTTATGATAGGGCCGCTGTTCTCTTTTGTGTGTGCATTCCTTACGAAAGCGTCTATCGTCATCGCCCTTCTACGTATCGTGGGTAGAACCAGCATCTGGGCTCACAGGCTCATTGCTTGGGTCTCTATGATATTGATGTTCTGTGCATCCGCGCTGGCTTGCTCTTGCATCATTTTCTTTTGCAGACCAATGCAAAAGTCATGGAGGCCGTACGTGGAAGGGTCTTGTATGAGTCCCACCATCCTGGATGTGGCTGGACGCTCAGTGTCAGGTATGTTTTTTTTTGCGTTTCTGTGGAGAGTAACACTAAGGCGCGCAGCATATAACGCTTTCATGGATGTTCTCTGCGCAGTGGTACCGTATTACCTGATCCGGAGTCTCAATATCCCACGAAAAGATAAGCGAAATCTTATCATTCTCATGGGTGGTAGTATACTGTAAGCGCTCTCGAAACCATTAGCATTTACACGCTGACCGACGTAGTGGTGCTTTTGCCACCATCATGAAGATCGTCTCAATGAGTACGATATCCAATGTGACAGATATGACACATTCCTGGTCGGAACTCACAATCTGGCAACTGTACGTCTCAGTCTCTCCTTCGTCGCATGTGTCTTTTTCCTTATACAATACCCTATACCGTGATCTGACTTCATGATTGCAGGACAGAGAACCACGTCTTGATCATCGCCGGCTCAATTCCAGCCTTGCGTCCCTTCTGGCGTACGATTGTGGGAAAATACACTTCTTTCCGATCCACTGGGCAATCTACACCCTCAGGACACCTCTCCAACAAGCCACGAGGTGGAGACTTCCATATGCTCACTGTAGGCTCCACGCCTAGTCGCAAAAGCAAATCAGGGCTGTACTCGCACACAGCGAAGGATGAGAGCAAGGAGAACTTGACTGATAGGCGAGAAGAGGCTGATACAGAGAGTGTGGAACCCATCTTGTCACACTATGGGAGACTTCAGACGCATATAACGAGGGGCAATGGTACAAAGATTCCAGACCGTAGCGATACAAGCATCACAGTTACGAGCGTAGTGGAAGTCGTGTAGATTGTAACCATCTCCAGACACACAAAGACTGCCTCACTCCATCTCCAGACACACATGTGTTGGACAAAAGACTCCACGCATGCGTCTTCTCAGAATTTGTGGTCCGTCCAGACCAGTTGTTCGCACTTTCATGACACCTCCTATTCACTTAATTATCCTTCTGTTCGACGCCCTACGCATCATTATCCAAGACTCCTTACCATTCTGTGATCCTCCCCTAAGTTTAAGCCATCCGCCACCTACGTGTATTTTTCCAGCATGCTCAAAAAATACGACTGAAATTATCTTAATTATCAACTACAACGAATAAAATATTAGCAAGCAAAATAGAGCCTAGCTCAAACCTGATGGGGACCACAATACACCAAACACGTCTTCGCACTCCCATGTCCTGAACACGCCTCTCCAGCGCCTCAATACAATCCCAGCCCAAAACTCAGTCGAAGCCACCAAGCCACTAGCACATGCAGTCATCAATATAACAGGCCAAGGACCTCCATCCTCAAACCCACTACTCCACAACCCTCCCACTCCTACGCTAACTAAGCGAAAGACCGGTTCCTCCTCCGGTTGGCTCGGCAGCAGACCCGACGCCTCGAAGGAGCTTGTTCCCCCATTGCACTGATATTGGGCACTGACCATGCAAACATCAGCGCAACATCGATCGATGCCCTCAGCTCGCTTCGCTTCACTTTGCACGCAGCGACGAGGCCGCGTAATGCCGTAGTATATCTAGTGTACCCCGGATATTTCCCCAAACAGCCACTTTGCACGGACGGGCTGGGTTCGAGTCAACTACCGGTAGACGATCTGTTGCGGCTTTGGGCACATTCGGATGCGTTTGTCTATCTGCCGTTGGCGCATGTGGGCGGAAGCTTCAGGAGAGTTCTTGTTTTGATCGGTCTTCCGCGTGTCTATGCTTGTTTTAGACGCAGAGAGACTTGACGCCCTGATGTTCTAACGCAATGTAGGAGCGGAGACTTAACCCCTTGACACATGGTAAACACCAGTAAAAGTACACAGAAAGAGTAGTAGAGAAGCAGAGCTGCCCAATCATCTCTTGACGATTAGCTAGTCGATATACCGACGTGAGTACGCGTGTTCGAGAGCCCAACCAGCAGCTCATTGAAGCTTGGTTCCTGCATCAACACCGGAGAGATATCATGGTATCTACAGAACAGGAAAGAAGCCGTCATTGCGAACTGCGGAATCGTTGGCCAAGGGGCCAGTGCAGAGTGGCATCTGCAAAGACCGGATAATATGAATCACGCGAATCACAGTGCAGACACGTTTGATCCCCTGGTTGTCGTTGCTGAAGGAGGCATACTGTGACAGGGTAGACAACACAAACCAAGACAGGGGATTGGGCTTACTGCATTCTGCGCGCGTCTCTTGCCGCGGTACCAAGCAGCTCGGTGGTACTCCAGCGATGCTTTGGCCCATGTACGCTACTTTTGCCGGATACCACAGTAGGAGAAGGCATATAACCCGTGTCGACATCCTGCACAAATTTGCGTGCGTGCGTGCGGCGCAGCAGTGTGAAATGTGGAACGTATCATCCCATCCCATCCCATTCCGTTCCGTCTCATTCCATTCCAATCCCTCCCAATCCCTCCCACAGACCCCAAAAAGGGTGGCGTGAGAACGCAGCGAGATTTCTCGTTGTGGACACGAAACAACCCAAAACAAGTGGATCCCAGTCAAAAAGATTTTCGCACTTCCAGGCTCATGAGATATATTCGTCTATGATATCTATCCACAGGGAAGGAGTAAATATTGTGGAGAAGAAGAAGAAGTGCTCAAGCTTTTCCATCCGAGAACTGCACGACAGCCCATTTGCCACTCCAGGCCCATTTTCTCAACCCGCTGTCTCCCCCGCCGCCTTCTGTTGCGCGGATCTTCTCGTCTTCGCCGTCTGCGAGGCCGACGACGACGTCGGCCTTGCAGGTGCGGAGGGCGAGGACGCGGATACCTGACCCGGGGCCCATGGGTCCGATGGCCTCGGTGAATGGGGTAGTTGCTGGCCAGGCCGCCTGTTGATGGAAGTCAGTACCAATTTCGAGATAACAATGTAGGGAGGGATGGACATACATCAGCAGTCAGCTTGCGGTAGTTCAAGTCTCCCTTGAAAATAACCAGCTCGCTCTCCTTCAGATCCTCGTACAGATCTGGTGCAGCACCCGGCAGTCTCCAGTAGCTGCCTCCCGCAGTCCAGAAGTCGTTTGGTCGGAGCACGTATTTCCCTTCGGCGTACATTTGGCCCCAGTTCTGGAAGAGGAACATCAGGTTTGCGCGTTCGGTGTCGGAAAGGGGTACGGGTTTCTTCCCGGCGTCCTTTTCGTCGTCCGACAGGGCTTCGTAGGTGTCTGGTTGGGCGAGCGTGGAGAGAAGGGCACTGAAGTCAGCTGGTAGTACGTCCGAGACGAACCACGGTATCGACTTGGGGTGGAAGACGACGGTCGTGGCGAGACCGGATACAAGCAGGTAGCCTGCAAGGATCAGATCAACGTAGAGTTCGAAGCCGGCGTTGTCTAGCACAATATCAACTCGTCGTTCCTTCTTGCCTTCCTTTTGTGCCGTGGTCAGAATCTTGAACGCCTTCTCCAGATCATTGACGAGGATGTTCTTCTCCGAGGCTTTACGCGCTTCAGAGCCTTGCAGCTTCTGCAGATCCTCGTAGGAAAGGTTGGTCAAAAGGGATAAATCCGTAGCGTTTCCCCAGAGACAGATCTCGCACATCTCTGTGAACAGGACCTTCTCGGCTGCTTCACGCTGCTCTTGGGTTTCAGCGCCCTTGGCTTGTCGCTTCGACTCGAGCTCGGTAACGATATCCTTGTAGCGCGCGGCAAGTTCGAGGACAGCGGGGCGCGAAGACTTGAACGTCGACATCTTCTGGCGGGCAAAGATATCATACGACTTCCATTTCTGGGTCTGCTTGAAGATGCTGGATACGCGTCTTCCTATGCCTGTTAGCATCCGCACAACCATCTCCAGGCCTTGTATACACACACCTGTACAGGTAGCATTCCGAGTACAACCATGGCACACTGTGCCACTTCGAGGTCCCCATCGCTTCCAATTCCTTGTTGTATGCCTCGACATCTTTCTCGCCGTCATCCGGTATCGGCGTGAGTTCGCGGTCGTGTTGGAGCTCGTACTTCAATCTTGCTAGCTCCGAGACAATCCATTTGCCCTCCTTGTGTGTTTCCTCGTCATTGGTAAGGTATGTTGAGCGGTGCACGTCATCAATGCCCTGGGTGATGATGATGGGCCATCGTTCGCGCGCCGAGATGTGTGCGAAAGATGTCGCGTCATTTGTGTTGTATTGCGCTAGACATGTCAGTGTATAATTACGAGCGAGAAGATAGAGAAACTAACTCGCTGTGAAGGTATCGAACTCCATTTTCAAACTTGATGTGCTCAATTCACGATGAGAGACAGTCAAGAGATATAATGCTGCACAAGTGGGGTGGTGGGGCAGGATTGTCTATGCAGGGATCTGCGGTCTTGCTTGAAAGAGTATGGTGTCCGGTATCCATAAAAAGTCCGAGTCCTATCGAAAAGGGAAACCAGCGCGTCTCTGGGTCGACCTACGAGAGATCAAGCGGAGAGGACTTGACAAAGATCCAAACCCAGACTGATGATGAGATAGAATAGTCTCTTTCCAGCAATCCAACCGCTCAAAATCCACTCAGCAACCGCCAGTCCCACCAATACACCTCACAATCCGATACGTCTTCCCCTTCGTCTCAAACGCAGATTCCGCCTCCGTCCTCAACTCATCAACCTTCCCATCAATCGCAGCTCGACTCGCACAGCAGTCAAACGAGCCTTTACTCGCAGGCCCAGCAATCTGAACGTGCATCGAAGCGCCTGGAAAGTATACTTTCACTCGGTCGCTCACGTTGTGGAACGTCCTGTCCGGCGCGTCGTAGCAGTTTCGCTGTTCGTTAGCCATGCCTTCGACTGCGCCAGCTATGGCGCCGAAGAGTAGCTTGCGGACTTGATTTGTTGTCCAGATTGCGCTGTGGATGAAGACTGTGGTATTGCCTGTTTGGGTTGGTTAGTTGGTTTGTGTGGATATGACGAGTCACTATCGAGTCTTTTCTTAACTCACCTTGCTCGATCCTTCCGTCGTCTCGTAGGTAGCTCGTAGCAAAGCCCATGCTTGAACCTGGCATGCAAGAGTGATGATCGTTGTCGGGACAGGTTGTGTTGAGGGACTGCCATATTGCGTTGTATAGGTCTCCGTTCAAGAGGTCGCCGATGTTGGTTGGGTTGCCGCCCAGCCACATCTCCAACGTTGCGTGGTCGTGGCGGCGATCTGAAGGATCGATGGCGTTTCCTTGCTCGTCAAAGTAGTTTAGTTTTACGTGTTCATCGGCGGGCGTGGGGTCTATGGGATGGTCAGCATCAAAGAGTTGTGATATGTGCATGGTTCGTGTTACCTTTGCTAATGAGTTTAGGCGCTGCTGGAGTGGCACTGACGAAGATAACGAATAGACTCGCCGCCAGAATGAGGAAGAGCTTCATGGCTTTGAGTTGTGAGGTTGTGAGTTGGACGTTGGCTGGGTATTGGCAAAGCACAATCGGGATCCGAGTAGTTTATAAATGGATGAGCAGGTGAACGACGTTAGTAAGTGACCGAGTACCGGGAAGCTGGGCAGTGAAAACGAGAGTGAAAGTAGTCCAAGCCGATATGCACAGATACAAAACAGGGCGACTTTGTCTCCTGCAAGCTCGAACGCCCATTCATGCATTAAATCCCTCCACCCGGTCTCCATAGTCAGAGTAAAATACAAGAAGAGGAGGTAGGTACGGTAAGCTAAAGAAGCCAGGAGAACAACATAATTCAAGAATTACCGTAACCCATCAAATCATGCCATGTCATATCATGCCACTGCTACTCCATCTACTTACCTACCTAGCACATCCATGCTGATCTGAAAGCTCATGCTCGGGGGTATGTTCCATTCCAGCTAGAAAAAATGCCCTGTAAAATGCACATCACACAACCGTAGCAACACCGATCCCTTTCTCTCAGGGACAGGCAACATATTCTCTGCATGGATGCTATCTAGCAAAGACTTTGACGATCCCATCGCCGCCTGCAGAGACGACAAGCCGACCGTCCTGGCTCCAAACAACGCTGCAGACGCCCTCGCCACGCATAATGCGATGCGCGGTAATTTCCTGCGTGCAGATGCGCTTATCGAGGGACCAGAAGCGGATTGAGGCGTCGTGGCCGGCAGACACGGCTTCGCGGCCGTCTTTGCTGAGGGAGAGGGACGAGATGGCTGAGGGGTGGGCAAGCATGCTGTATGTGCATTGGCCTGAGAAGGATTAGCATCTGAACTCAATAAGTGATAACAACAATGACAACGTACCAGAGTTAGCGTCGAAGAACCGGATGAACTGGTCTTCGTGCCCGCTGATGACAACGCCCTCGAGGCCACCGCCGCTGTTGGAACCTGTTGGTCCGTGAATTCCCTCCTCGTCCGAGGCGCCCCGTCCTTCTGCTGCTGTGCCCTCGAGGGGTTGGGAGGTGGTTACGACAGATGTGATGCCGGTAGATGGGGTGCCGTCATAGGTCTCGCTGCTTGCCATGCCAATGAGTTCCTCCCCAGTTCGCGTGTCGTAGACAAGAATCGACGCGTCTGCGAAGGAAACAACAAAGTTGCCTCCGTTCAGTGAGAATGGGCTAATGCACGTAGGCGAAGAGTGCGTCGCTCGTTCAATGGTGTGTACCAGCATGTAGTGGAAGGGTGTGGAAGTAGCGATACTAGGCTGGGGTGATGACGGGAAGTTTGACCCTGAAGTTACTGAATGTCTTCGACTGCCTCCAACCCCGCGTCGTGAGTTTGTCTGAGTTGACACTAGTTGTGGTGGTGCACTGACGGCCCATATTTTGATAGTACCGTCCGCAGAGCCTGAGGCGAGTAGTATCCGGTCGGGGCCGCCGTAGTTGCTACAATCTGTTCCGAACACAGATCCAGAGGTCGCGGGTAGCACGCAAACGGTCCAGACAGCATCGGTGTGGCCGTCAAGAGTAGCCTTAGGATCCACACGTCCCCTCTCCCATACACGAATCGTGGCGTCCTGACCACCCGAGAATATCCATCCGTCGCCAGACACCCGACCGCCTGTTGAGAAGTGGGCAGAAGCCGGGGATGCTGCCAGCGATGTCACAGCCCCTTCGTGTCCCCTGTGCGACCAGTATGGCGCAATGTCCAGGTCGTTGTTCATAGCGTGCTGGTTGGCGTAGGTTGCGGGTATCACCCATCTCTTGATCATTCCATCGTCGCCTGCTGTGCATATCTCCGGCTCAGTTGGACTGCCACCTCCGGTAAATATGACGGAGCGCACAACATCAAGGTGGCCACGAAGTGCAAACCGAACCTTGAAGCTCTGGGGATCCGACTTCATGGACTGGGCCAAGGCGCTCTTGGCCTGCTGGTCGCCACTCAATTTCCTGTGGTGGACGTCTCCGCTGAGTTTGCGGACCTTGCTATTTCGCGGTGGCGACTTGGGGGGTATGCTGTTGGCGCTTGGGAACATTTCAGTGTCTGGTCGTCGAGGAGGTGCTTCCTGGGGTATCTCGGTGATGGGCTCCTCGAAGTTCCAGCTCTCCGAGTCATCTACCGCGTCTTGGTTCGGGCCCATGTTGCCCTCTTCTCGCGTCGGTAATTGGCGTCCATTGTTATCGTAACTGTGCGTCACCTTCTCCACCTGCTCCTCAGGGACGTTTGCAAAATGTGGTTGTGTTTGGGGCTTGGACTGCTGTCCGAAGAAGTCTGAGAGGCCAGTGTGTTGGGGCAGGGGCTGTTGGCCAGCCGGCTCTCGGGTCATCTGCGGCGCGTGGTGGAGCTGGGACTGGTGGGCCATGTTCTGGAGCTCGGCAGAGGTTGGCATGTTTGGCGGCTGGTGGTTGGACATGGCTGTGTTTGGCATGGTGGGCAGGTGCGACTGCAGCTTCTGGCGGTGCTGCTGCAGGTACATGTCCTCCATGGACGCATCGCCGTGGTTCAGGAAGCCCGCGCCGTTGCCGAGCCCGTGGAGGCCTGGCTGCTGCGGCGGGGGCTGCGAGGGCGGGGTCAGGAGGTAGGTGATCTCTTCGACGCACTTGGTGAGGTAGAGCTTCGACTTCTCGCGCAGGCCCTCGCGGTCGGCCTCGAAGCGGTCGAGGAAGTCGGCGTCGACGTCGAGGAACGAGTTGTGGTGCTTGTTCTGGGCTGGGACGGACACGGTTAGCGCGGATTCACAGTCACAGAGTCGAGGGGACGCACGCTTGGGCGGGTTGAGGCCGCTCTTCTTGCCCTTGGGGTCCTTCTTGTCGTCGCCCGCCGGCTTGGCCTCCCCGCCGGCCTTGTGCTTGGCCCGCTCGTTGATCAGGGCCTGCTCCAGCATGCGGATGTGCTTGTTCAGCTGGTCGTTGAGCTTCTTCGCGCTGCGCACCTCGCCCTCCTGCTTCGCGATCTTGGCCTTCATCTCGGCGCGCTCAATGTCCCAGGCGTTGCGGGCGCGCTCGTGGTTGTGCCATTCGAGTTGGAGGAAGCGCATAACTCCTGCGTGCCAGTCAGCCCCTGTGCCATTGCCCGCTTCGTGCCTGGCCGTGGCCGGCGTGCAGCGAGGGCAGCTCACCCTGCAGCGTGTACTCGGTCCCTGCCGGCGCATTGCCGTCTGCTGCTCCGCCCGCGTTCATGGCCGAAGACTGCTGCCAGGCCATGGCGGACCGTCTGTCGTATTATTCTTCCGGCGTGGTCGACTGTCGGCGGGGATCAACATGCGGCGTCGGTGGTCGGTGGTCGGCAGCAAGCGTCGAAGCTGGCCTCAGAGGCTCGGGCACTGGCGCCGCGGGAGGTTCAAGGAGTCGACAATAGGGAACAAGTCGGCAATAGGGGGCTGCTGCGAGGAGCCGTCAAGGTAGCGGGGACGCACGCAGGAACAACTAGGCCACGGCAGCTGCAGCATCGTCTGGAACCGCCGTCGCCAAATCGCCCAAGCGGAGCTGCTGTGAGTTGCTGTCCGACCAAGGCGCCTTCCCCTTCTCGGCCTGGCTGCCGCTGCCCCAAAGCCTGGGACCTCGCCAGAACATTGCTCGTGAACGCATCTCAACATGCACCGTTAATCGCTGTGTGACCAGCACAACTGCCCGTTGCACGAGTCTGACGCCATGCTGTGCATGTTCATGCTGGGTACTGGTCAGAGCCCTCTTCCTTTCCAGCCCGTCCCACCCTCCGTGGTTCAGCACATGCAGAGCTACGAGCCACATGTTGCCCAAGGCAGACGGCTTCCTTCAAGCTTGCGAGCTATCCCAGTATCCAGGGAGAGGATCCACCATCCAACTCAGTATCCCAGTCTGTAAGTCGCTTGTCTCAGGTGTATGGGTCTGTACCATGGCCCTGCTTCTCTCCGGCGCCACGTCAAGTCCATCTGGCTAGGTTTGTATATTCTCCATCTGTTTCTTCACATTATTTCAAGGTTATCAGACTATCAAACCATTATCTCATTGAGTCTCCCATCGACGATTTCAACTTCTTTTCAACCCTGCGTTTCTGTCTTGTATTTCTTCTTCTACACTTCTGGCTTGATATCGCCAAGCACATCAATCCACGAACATCCACTCCTCAACTCTCGTTTGCAGATTAGTAGCAGCTTCGGCAAGTCTGCAAAAGGTAACTCGTCCTCCCAACAAGGCTTGACGTCGCGCTACAGCCTGCATCTCACCTCACATCCTACAGCAGCACAGACAACCAGCTGGTGCACGGTCCTTCCCAATCCGTATTGGTTACATAACGCGCATCGAGGCTGCAACAACAAGTTCCTTGCAGACTTCAACACCACCCAACCACCCCACCTCCCGCCAACCGAACAACATCGAACGCGCCTTCAAACTTGGGCAACTCGGTCGCGCACCTCTATTGATATCATCGACACCGACATCAACCTTAATTAGTCATCAGACATGGCTGGCGGTAAAGGTACGCGCTAATCGCAATTCGCGTCATCGTGGCTTCTCAAAGCTGACGGCGCCAACAGGAAAGACTGGCGGTAAGACCGGAGGAAAGGGCGATCATGTCAAGACAACCAAGTCGCACTCTGCCAAAGCTGGTCTCCAGGTACGCAGCTGCCCAACACCGCGTCTTGTCGACGCCCAATCGCATCGCCCCGCGCACTTGCAAGCTTTCGCAAAAAGTACGCGCTGACATGACGTTCTTACGGTAGTTCCCTTGCGGTCGCATAAAGCGTCACCTCCGAACCATCACGCGCCAGAAGACGCGCATTGGCGCCAAAGCTTCCATCTACCTCACCGCTGTTCTCGAATACCTGACTGCTGAAGTTCTCGAACTTGCAGGCAATGCCGCCAAGGATCTCAAAGTCAAGCGCATCACGCCACGCCATCTACAACTCGCCATCCGCGGTGACGAGGAACTCGACACGCTCATTCGCGCCACGATCGCTTTTGGAGGTGTTCTGCCACACATCAACCGCGCGCTGCTGCTCAAGGTCGAACAGAAGAAGAAGGGCGCCAAACCAGAGGTATAAAGCGTCAAATCTCTGGGTGCGCGAGGCAAAAACTTCTCAGGAAACTAAGAGATGGGTCAGGCATTAGTTCCTGAAGTGCGACGGATGCGGTAGCTGAGGAACAAGGCTCGGGACGATCAGGGATAGGCATCTTCTTTGTTTTGCGTATCATTCGACATGTCTCCCTACCCACCAAAGGCAACGAGTGGCAAGCGCCAAGATTGGCCACGAAATGTCTTGCTCGATTGTGGAATGTCGGGATACGGTGTTTACCATTCTTTACGTGTCAGGCGTGTATAGTTAGGTGTTGAGGTCAGATTTTGATCCAGTTCTGCGGTATGTAGAGTAACACCAATTCAGTTCAGCGGTCCAAGACCAAAATAGCAATCCCTTCCACAACACGCCCACCCAATAGAGAAACCAACGTCAAACAAACAAACGACGATGAGCAGCTAAACGCGCACAGTTCAGAAACCACTCATACGCATCCTCTCAACCCCCCTCTCCATCTCGCGCTCAAACCTCCTTCCAAACCCCCCTCCCCCATCCCCAACCTCAATCTTAACCTCCACCTCCCTCTGCTCCTCCCCAGCAAACCAGCCCTGCTGCTCCACCACCCCGCTCATCTTCACGCCCGCCCCAGGCTCCACCCACCGCCCACCCCGCTTCACATACACACGCACATCCCCCGCACCCACAACCTGCCCAACCACATCCCGCACCCGCATATCCCCCGCCACAACCGCCCGCACGCTCTGCACATCCCGACTACCGCTGTAAATGCGCACGCGCAACCGCGTCAGTTGCAGGGGCAGGACCAGCACCTCGTCGCGCGCGAGGTCGAGGGCCTCTGCGGTGCGCGCCGGCATCCGGCATGCGACGCGGTGGAAGGGCGTGGGGGCTGCGGGGCGCATGTTGCGGAACGAGGGGATGTGGAAGTCGGCGTCGGGGGAGGCGTCTTTGTCGTAGTACGCGTCTGAGGTGTCGCTTTGAGAGGTGTATTCTGCGCCTTCGATGGCGAAGTGCGAGGTTCGGCGGCGGAGGTGCCGGCGTGGATGGGTGGGGGCGGCGCGGGATGGGTGCATGGGGAGGAGGTCGTGCATGGGGGTGTGGGAGGGGAAGGGGTCGTTTGCCCAAGGGAGGGGGTCGAACATCCTGGGATGATGGAGGAGGATTTGTGTGTGTGAAAAGGGAAGAGGTAGGAAGTAGAGAAAGCAAATTGTGATGAGAGTTGTAGAATGTGCCGAAAGAATTAGGACGAAGGGGGGCTTGATGTATACATTCCAGATGATGGGTGGTGGTACAAGACTCGGAATCAAAGATATGTGATTGTTGCGCAAAGTTTGGGGGAAGTGCAAACTCGGGGGCGCGTGCGTGCTGGGCTGTATAGGAGTTTGTGCGACCTACATCTTTTGCGACTTGAGGGATCGAAAGTGAGTTTGATCAGAAAGGAGTGAGACGACGGTAAAAGCGACAGAAGAAAGATGACGAAGACGAAAACGACAACGATGGAGAGATGGTGTTGAGAAGAAGTGTATCTCATGCCTTTCGACGCATGTTTCCAGAATCATCGTATTCGCATGACTTGCTCCATTGCTCACAAACTGCCTCAACATCGGGTCAACGCATGCTCACTGCCCCACAGCAAGCCCCTCCCTCGCCTTCAGATACTCCTTCCGGAACTGATTGCCATCTGTCTCGTCTCCCCTGTTCAGCGGCGTCCACTTTGGTTCGTCCTTGAAGAGGCGCATAGCCTTTGTGTACTACACAACCATATTAGCACAAACTCAAACTCGCATTCCCATCCACGTCCCCCCACAATCCCTCCCCCAAACAAAAACAAAAAACAGAAAACCTACATTCTTCTCATCCGTAGTAAACCGATGATAAATCCCACTAGGCAAGACAATCAAATCGCCCTTCTCCAGCCAAATCCTAACCCAATCATCCCCCTCACTACGGACATCAAAGTACCCCGCGCCGTCGAGAATATACCGTATCTCCTCGTCCTCGTGCAGATGCTCGTGGAAAAACGACTTCACTTTTTCTTCGTAGATGTCGCCCATTTTCTCGGGCGACACGGTGATTTCATCGCGGTTCTTGTACTGTCGTGATGTGGCGATGGCGTCGACGCCGGACACGTCGGCGCAGTGCTCGTATATGACGCCGAGGTCGGAGAGATATGAGGCGGGCACGTCGCGGCCGGAGTTGTGGGGCTCGCGTTGGTCGCCCTGCGGAGGGTTAGATGGGTGGGTGGTTTTCGGGTGAGGGGGGGTGGCGTACCGGGAGGTTGTCGAACCAGTATGCCTTCATGTTTGCGACTTGTTGTTTTGTTGGTGTTTTTTGGGGGTTGGGATTGAGAGGTGCGGAGGACGGTTCAAGTGATATTGTTTGAAGTCCGAGTAGAATTGCGTCATCGGGGTTGGTCGGTTCTTATTGGCGGGCGCAAACGTAGACTTTTCGAGCACTCTTACTTGCTGAATAACACCTGCTTGCCGTTTGGAGGATGCAGATGCGTTTGTTTGTCGCTTCTTGGCTGGTTGTTGTCAGTGCCTTTGAAACTGATTATTTCAGCGTCTTTTCGAGAACTAATCAGCATCTACAGAGCGATTCACGTCTCGCCACACCGAGAATCGTGGTAGTTTTCATTCTTCTTATTCGCTTGAATAAGTTGCTCTACGTTCCTCTGATCGGGTATTTGTAGAGTCTGCGTTTAGGGACGTTCTATCAATCAATCATAAAAGCGTTTGCCGAGATACTCATTACATGATCCTAGCAGGTTACATTGAATCTTTGTCGTTTTCCAATTGCGTGTCTCGCACGGGAAATGCGCTCCGAGCAGAGCAAAGACTTCGCCGCATGGTCGTTTCCATACATCTTTTTAATCCCAGTCGTCATCATCCTCGTCCTCCTTCTGAGCCATCTTACTCTTTTGCAGCCTCTGTCGCTCATCCTCGTCTGTGACTTTGTTCCTTGCGAAGACTTCTGCTAGGATCAACCTATTCTCTAATTCCCGTGTCGTGAAGCTATCAGGACTTCGGCCAAGCCCCTCAAAGCCGATGATACGGTCGACACCAATGCCATCAATGAAAGAAAGGACGCAGGGCAGAACTTGGATTCCCAACTTGGTGACCAAGAAGGGACAGTTGTCGACATTGATCTTGAGAATGCGGGCTTCGTAGTGAGATGGTGCGAGGGACTAGTTCTTGTCAACATCAAAGTGACAACACACAGACTAGCCAGGACTTGTTGAACTCACTTCAAGATGTGAATCCATGATTCGACAACGGTTGAAGTCAGGCTTGAAGAAGTGGACAACACATAATTTCGTACTAGTCGTAATATCCATCAATGCCTTCTCGTCCTTGATCTCCGTGTAGGTTCCATGCTCATTTGCTCTTAGTCGTCGCGCTTTGTCGAACTCGGAATGCAGTTGTTGTAAGCGTTGCTCACGGAAGGCATCGAGTTCTGAGTCGTCTTCCAGAGAAGCAATCAAGGCATCTTCGTCTGAGTCATCATCTCTCGTCGCGCGATCGACGAGATAGGCGACTTTTGGGTCCAACTCGGACATGTTGTTGTGTAAATTAGGTTCGTCGGCTGGTAGGTAAAGGGGTGTCGTATTACAGTCACGTGGTTTTTGATCAAATATGGAAAGAGTCCCTGTCTCAACACCTCACAATTGTTGGAGATATTGCTGGTAAAGGTGGCGTGCCGGTGTCGCTTATCTGGGAGCGGAGAGATTTCCGTATCGGTATGCAAGGCGCTGGTGGTGAATGACTAGCCAGTGTACGATGGAGGCGTTGCAAAGATCCGTCGGGAGAGCCAAGCATTTCGCTAGTCAATCTAACGTCTGCAACGCGTCCTTGGACCCTGGTTGGCAACGCTCCCTTTTCCCTTTTGACATCTGTCTCCTTTCTTTCGTTCACTCCCACGACCACCCGGAATCTTCAAACCCGCCCACCGCCTGCTTGTTTTCTCGTGGGCTGTCTATTCGCTTCTCGCCCGTATCGACGATCGTGAACCCGCTGCGCGCATTCACGCATCCACCCCGTTCCAACATCACCATGGCCGACGATAAGAAGAGCGATGACTACGCTTCTGCGACCAAAGAGTTCCGCGCTGCGACACCCCCCACGCGCGCCTCTTCTCAGCGAAGCGTGGCCATGACGGAGAACCCGGTGGCCGCCGTGCTCGCATACTGTGGCTCGTCGATTATGATGACAGTGACGAACAAATACGTCCTGTCTGGTGTGGATTTCAACTTGAACTTCTTTCTGCTTGCGGTGCAGGTACGATAGTTTTATCTAATTTCACGCTCTTTGTCTAACGGGAGTGCAGGCCGTCGTCTGTGTAGCAGCCATCTCGATCTGCAAGGCCCTTGGCATCATCACATACAGGGACTTCAACAGCGATGAAGCGAAGAAATGTACGTGGAACTAGCGTTCTTGACAGAAGACATGAGCTAACAGCAGCAGGGTTCCCCATTTCTCTCCTACTGATCGGCATGATCTACACTAGCACCTGGGCGTTGAAGTTCCTCTCGATTCCAGTTTACACTATCTTCAAGAACCTTACAATCATCCTGATCGCATATGGAGAAGTGCTCTGGTTCGGCGGCTCAGTCACATCAATGGCGCTGTTTTCGTTTGGATTGATGGTGATGAGCTCCGTCATCGCAGCCTGGGCAGACATCCAGCACGCTTTGGCAAACTACGGCCATGCTTCTAATGTGGCTGTCGATACCATGTCGACTCTACATGCTGGTTATCTCTGGATGATGTTCAACTGCCTCTGCACCGCAACCTACGTTTTGGGCATGAGGAAGCGCATCAAGCTGACCAACTTCAAGGACTTTGACAGTAAGCCCATCCAGCTCTGAAATTTGACAAGCAGTTACTAATATCAAGTAGCCATGTACTACAACAACCTTCTCACCATTCCCGTCCTGCTCGTCGCTTCCATCCTGGTCGAGGACTGGTCATCCGCCAATATTCAGAAGAACTTCCCTACCGAGCAGCGCAACACAGTCATCATTGTTATGCTCATCTCTGGTCTTTCGACCGTGTTCATCTCGTACACTTCTGCCTGGGCCGTTCGAGTTACCTCATCCACGACATACTCAATGGTTGGTGCTCTGAACAAGCTCCCCATTGCGCTCAGCGGCCTCGTATTCTTTGACGCACCTGTCACTTTCGGAAGTGTGTCTGCCATCTTCGTCGGTTTCGTCAGCGGTATCGTTTATGCGCTCGCCAAAGTACGACAGAATAAGCAGGCCAAGAGTGTGCTTCCAATTACCAACGTTCCGGTCAGCGCGAGCAGCCAGAGCATGAGGGACAGCCTGAAACACTAGAGTTTATGTCATTTTGGTTCCTCACGTAGCATGCAGGCCGGCGACGCTTTCTCAAAATATCCGTTTCTTCTACCGCCATTGTTGGATTGACTTCAACGCGTGCTTTTCTTTCTCGGGCTAGTAGGGATATTCGCTTCTGGCGCTCTTGTTGTATATTGCTTATGCAACGGTTATTGACTGCACCATTATACATGGACTAGAACGGATTGGCGTTTGGAATGGACGGCTATAGGTTTTATGGGGGGGCTTAGGCCGTAGCACGAAGGAAAGACATTGAGATGTCTTGATGCAAGAGACGATATTCTAGAACTGTTTAACTATGAACTTCCTTCCTCGATTTTGGTACTGATATCGATTATCCTTTCTTACAACACGTTTGAATGTTTACTTGCACTACACTGGTTTTGCGATTCTCGAGGTTCCAACTATACTTGCTTGATGACATACTTGTCAAACCATGCTGACATTGTGTAGGTTTTGCTATTTTCATTGCCTCTCCTTTCCGCCTTCATATCAACAATCAACTTTGCTACGTTAAACGGTGTCTGAAGGGTACAAGGCAAGTTCGCATGATAAAGTTACTTCATGTCGATTGATACCGCTCTACGCTACTTCTTCATCTGCTACTCATCCCAAAGTTTTTTGTCATTCAGGCCCATCACAGTGTTCTTGTCTTTTTCTCGACAACGTACACCCACGTTCATGATGAACTGCATGGACGTCTTGGTCTTACGAACATTCACAATGCGTATTGTCTCGTTCTGTCTCTTTGATGAGGGTGTCTCTCATAATATGATCTCGATGTGCTACTTCAAAACATAACCACTTTTGGGTCTAGACAGCAATACACATACAAACGCATATCTACCTTATCGTTGACGTAACACCACAGTTCCAATGGCTGACTATAGCTATTTCGATAGCAAGAAGGGAACGAAAGCAACCCCGTATGGAAGAGGTGTAGGTAGAGGTGGAGAGTTCCATACAACCGGCTTGAAAAACATCGACGTACTTGCTGATGCGGATGAGGTAGGGTTACAGAAGACCGAGGAGAAGGAACAAGAAAAATCAAAGGCAAAGCCAGTGTCCCATGGCGAATTCTACATGAGGACTATAAATGAAGCTAAGCAGGGCGGTCAGGATCTCGTACCACGAAAGAAGCGGGAGGGAAACGCGATAGTCGGACTCACAGCCGCACAGCTCGAGGGAGCCCAGCGAGCACTAAGTCAAGTCCACGTCAACGAAGCCGAGAAACTACGCCAGGACAAGGACACAGCGATACGCAAGGCACAAGAAGCACGTCTCCTTGCCACGCTTCCCTCAACGCTACCCATCGACATAAACAACAAGCCCAATCCAACTAACAACCCAGTCTTCTACAAAGCACCGCACGTTCTCGTTGGCAGTGTTCCTGGTGTCCCCTACCCCGTCTCCGACACGTTTACCCGATGTAGCAACTGCACTCGCGACCAGCATTGCCCCCGTCATCGTTCCCGCTACCTCTTCAAAACAGACATATCTCTGTGCACGGGGAACCACGCTCGACTCGCGCTCCATTGGGACGTCAGCGACCCTACCAACAGCAAAGGTCGTTGGAGCGTGGAAGTGAAATCTTATTTCGAGCGTTACGCAAACGGTCACGAAGAGCACGAGCATTGCAAGGAAGTATTCGATCCTGCGCGTCGTGTTCCCCAGCTAGCGAAGCGCGTAATCGATGACATTGAGGATCATCAGAGGGAAGAGAGGAGACGCGCGATGCGGGGTGCTAGGGGGAGGGAGTTTCTGCTCAATGAGGGGAGGTATGGTGGGTGGGGGTCTGTGACGCCGTTTGAGTACCGGGGTCGAGATGGGGAGGTGGGGTCGCGAAAGAGAGTTGAGCGGGAGATTGGGACGTTGTTGAGCTTTTGGTTGGGGGAAAAGAGATGGCAGGGTATGAGTGAGGAGGAACGGAGGGCGGTGAAGGATAGATCTGTTGAGAAGGAATGGACGGTTGATGAGTGGAAGAAGACTGTTCATACGGCGACGAGAGTGCAGGGTGTTGATGGGGAGGTGGAGGGGAAAGAAGGGTCGCGGCATGTTGAGCTAGGGAAATGGGAATCCGGCGATGATGGGGCACTAAAGGGTCGTAGGGCTGAGAAGCGAGATGAGCGAACGATGGAGGTGTCCGAATCGAAGTCGAGGCCTGGCGAACAGGGACCGCTGGACTTGGAGGATAGAGCCGGATCAGGCGATGAGACGACGACGGCTGTTGAAGAGGTACTGAAGCCGAAAAAGAAAGAGCTCTCCAAAGAAGAGCAGAAGATGTTGAAAAGCATCCGCCACGCAGAGGAGAAAGAAGCTCAGAAGACCGCCGAAGAGGAGCACATCGCTGAGATGCAAGCAGATGAAGAACATTCCCCTTCTCCATTACTACAAGAAGGGGAAGACGAAGAAGACGTACAAGAAGAAATACGCTCATCCTCAAATACGCGCGAATCTCACGACGGCGCAACACCTTCTCCAAAGAAAACCCCGGCCAAGAAAACAAACTCGAATACTGGTAGGAAGAAAAGCAAACGCGTAAATAAGCTTCCAGAACGCATCGACGACAGCGACGAGATGGCGGATTACTCCCTCCCGGGGTCCCCTGCAGCGAAAGATACGGTAGAAGAGGGGGTGGGGGAGCATGTGGATCTCGAGGGCGGACATCGAATGGGGTGGGAGGCGTACGAAACAGCGAAGGTGGAGGAGATTCAAGAGGAAGCGGAGGAGTTCGTGGAGGAGGGCGAGATCGTCGAAAATAGTGATGAGGACGTTGTTGAAGTTACCGAGACTGTCGAAATCATCGAAACCACACGGACTACTGTTGCCGTAGGACAGCACGCTCAGGTGGAAGTTCAAGACGAAAACTTGCATGGGCTATCCCCTACTGCGAACCGCTCGTCCACTTCCTCCCCGCTTGGCAAGCGCAAACGATCTTCGTCTGAGGAGGGCGATCGCCAGAAATCAGTGTCTTCCTCTCCACCGAAGAAACGCAAATCTTCCCCGGAATCGAGTCCACCACAGAAAGATTTGGCATCTCCTTCTGAGTCTGCTACGTCGCCGCCGACGTCTCCACTTGTGTCGTCTGGGAAACGGAAGTTTGTTGATGAGGATGAGGATGAGGATGAGGGTGAAGTGGAGAGTAGGAAAGTAAAGAAGGTAAGATCTAATTCAGAAGCTAGTAGTATTTCGTCGACGGAGATTCAAATTTTCGAGGATGGCTCTCCCAAGGAGAGTGGTGGGGTGATGGAAAGGGATGAGGAGATTGAAAGTGAAAATGAGGAGTCTGATGATGGTCTTGATGACCTGTTTGAAGAGTAGATTAGATGTGTATTTGGTAGATCAATTGGCTAGAAATAGTAATTATTTGGATTGAGCTACGTTTAGCATAAGGCCTGCGACTGCATCCTAACTATGACTATGCCTAGAAAAGTTAGTAACTGTTATGTGGATTTCTGCAGTCACTTCAGAAGTACCTGTGAGCCATGTCACGGTTCTCACACAGTGCCTTGTTTGGCTGAAGGATCAAACATGTACAGAAGCAAGTGTCGACAACACTTGATTTATCCCGACTGCGATCTGCCGTTTGGTGCAGGATGGAAGATTTTACGAGATTGAGTTCAGGAACGCGCTACGCCACGTTGCGCAGTTATGCTCCCCTCCAGCTTCTCGGTATATTCCTTACTTACACCCGTAACCTGCGCTTTGCGCACTCCGTACAACGCCCTAAACGGATCAAGTACCATCTGCGACTGCGCAAAGTTAGCATCATCCTGCACCCTATGTACTCTCCCGCTTGGAAACCGCAGCCGACTAATCGCTCCATCAATCAAATGTATCTCCAAACTCTGCAGAGTCGGGACCACAGCTAGCAAGTCCACCAGCTCTTGCACCTTCCCGCGTATCCCAGCCGCTAAACCTCTTCCCCCACAATTGTATTTGATCATACCCGTATAGTCATCCACCGATTCGACATTCACGACGTAGTTTTTCACCCGGATCAGATTGCGCTGCGAGAAGTGGTCCAAGAAGGCGTACATGCGGCTGGGCGTCAACTGATTCGCAGTCCGCCAGCGATACCGGAAGCCAATTTTATCGAACGTAACATCCACCACAAATGTATTCTCGCCGTACAGCATATCTGCTGTTTCCTCATGCACTTGGCGGTTCACGGCAAGGAGAGCTGTGCAGCCGCGGTACCAAACAATGTCGTTGCCGGTTTCGCGGTCGCTGCGTGGAAGCGTTTTTTGCATGCGCCAGGCCCCGTTGCCATTGCTCTGCCGGATATAGGTCAGATTGAATTCGGTTTTGGGGGGCGAGGGATCGCGCTGCAAACGCACGTCGAAGGTTGTCGTGTGGGGGAGGATGGAGCGGTATATTAGGCGGCGAAGCTCGATTGGAAGGCGGAGAAAGGGCGACTTCTCGTTAAGAGAGGAATACGGTTGCTGCATTGTGCAGCGATTAACTGACCAAGTCTTTCTTTTCAGAGTTTTACAAGGCTGCAACGATGTTCAACTTGTACAAAGTCGAGTGCCCCACAACAGCAGTGGGGAAGACGTAGTCGCGTGCTGATCCCTGCATTTGAGAGTACCCCAGCTTTAGCTTGGCGCCGTTGACCATCATCTCCTGGTCGTGACGATGACTCCTTCCCTCCCTCCTCATCCACCAAACATGACGTCCACAACGACCCGCAGCCCATTGGGGCTTGCATTGAATCTGAATGAATTCACTAATGTCGTCTTTTCAACTTATAGCCCCACCGGAGGGGTCCAATCGATTTGAGACCTTCCTTCCCTATCGGTGACGAAGCTACAGCTACATTCACAGCAACCGCTTAATTTCGCCCCGATCGATTTAAAGATTGCAGTATCTAAATTGATACTTTAGATACCTGTTGAAGACGAGGAGAATCACGAGAAAAAGACGCGTTACTACCAACATCCTGAACGCGTTTGAAGGCCAGTTGAACGATCGTCCAGCCCGAATAGCTTCGATACTTTTGCTTTTCTCACCGGAATTCCAAACCCCACTTCGAAAATACAAAAACGTTAACACGACCTGTTTCCAATTCCGCCGCAAAGATGCTATTTGAATACCTAGCTACCGAGCTGGTCCTCCAGGTTTTCTTTTCCTGCAACTCCGTCACCGATGTACTCGCGCTCTCCACCACCTGCCACCGGTTCCGTAACATATACACGTCCTCCCAGAAACTCGCCATCCTCGAAAAGGCCGCCGAAACACAGTTTGGGCCCCTGCAAGACATCACGCAACTCCTAACGCATAACGCCAGCCAACCCGCCCATATCATCCGCCCAGTCCCCTTCTCGGCCGCCTTGTTGAAGCAAATAGTACGATCCGGTCGCGTCGCTGAGAAATGGTGCGACATATACCCGTTCAAGAAATGGAAGCACAACTACGAAAGCCGCCGTCTCCTAACGAATGAGGAACGGTATCGTCTCAGAAGGGCCATCTACCGCCTATGGCTCTACTCGCGCGCCTTCCACAACCCAGACCACTCACGCGAACTCCGAGCCACGAGACCCGTCCTCCTCAAACGTGCCGCCCTTCTACACAACTGGAACACATGGGAGCTCGCCGAGATCGCAGACGTCCAAGCCGTGATCCGCGACGTGGTACAGAGCAACATCTGCCCCTCAAACGGCACCATTGCCCGCAAATTCAAGAAACGACATCCAGGCCAGGAACACTCCCTGCTCTTCAACATGCACCTAAACTACCCTCCATCCGCGCCATCAATCCACAATCCCTTCGCCGCTCCAAACATCCTCTCCTCGCACTTCAACACATCAACATACACCTCCCGCTACGGCCCCTCCAAATACAGCACCCATCCAAACCACGAAGTGGGTGCCGAGGGCTGGGGCGACGACATCTCGCACTACTACGTCATTGAAGATGCGCTGAAACTGGACCCGGAGCAGATTCTGTGGCTTAAGGAGAATGCGCCGCTGAAGGGCATGGTGGAGAGTTATGTGAGGAGTCTGGGCGATTACTGGTTTGAGAATAACGGCGAGACGTGGGGGCAGACGCTGGAATGGGTGCTGGATGAGCGGGGGGAGGATGTTTGTGTGTTTCGCGAGGGGATTGTGGACGGGGAGTTGGGGGTTGCTGTTTGTTAGGTGGGGTGGGGTGATGTGTGGGGGAGCTTGAGTTTGGTCGTTCTTGGTGAGAAGTGGTACTATGCAATTCTAGTCTTTCACCAAAATTAACAATGGAACTGTGATTGTTTTGTATGCTTCAATTACATTTTTTGGGTATATCGATCGGTCTATCCCATGATCCGCTGCGAGGTGACCTGGAAGCACGGGCCAAGATTTAAGTCAATCAAATTGCGTTGTTGTGTCGGCATATCGGCGTTAAGCCCTGCCTCACGAACTTCAAATTCAAGATTCGTAACTAAAACACCGACTTACCGATGCTGAGTCTTGTTCTGATTAGTCGACAGTCGGCCCGTGCTCCAGGTCACCTCGCAGCGGATCATGGGATACTCCTCCGACATGTGCACGAATTGATTCGACTTGCGCCACAAACCCTGACTTGGTTACAACCCTTGAACGCCGTTTATACTTTTCCCCCACTGCCTTCACTCCGCATTACTGGAACAGCACCTGATCGCTCAACGGATCCTTCTCCTTCTTCCTCCCTCCATGGCTCGTAAGCCCCAGATCCGCAAGCTTAGCCCTCGAATCCGTAGCCGCGTCCGTCCTCCTATTGAAGCGCCCGGCCTTTGCCTTGAGCAAATCGGAACGGATAGTGTTGGGGGAGACGAACTCCTTGTTCTCGTAGATGATGGGGCCACCGAAGCTTGATTCCTGGATAACAATGGGGGTGAGGACGTAGCGGGGGCCGATCTCGACGAGGCTGACGTCGAAGTCGGTTTTGTTCTTTTTCTTTGGGGCGGCGGCAGCGGCGGCGGCTTCTTCCTCGTTGACGGGCTTCTTGCCCGCTTCCGTCTCGCTGATCTGGAAGACGCGGATCCAGATCTTGCCGTCTGCGACGGTGAAGCCCATGACGTGGTCGACGAAGGGCTTTACTTTTCGCGCTGTCTTGGGCACGCCGAAGATCTGCGTGAAGAGCTCTTTGATGACGCGCAGGTGGGCTTGCTTGTCGAAGGCGGCGTCGAAGGACAGGATGGGGCGCGAGCCTTTGAGGCAGTTGCCGATGAAGTTTAGCTCCTCCATCGTGTGCAGGTTTTGCAGGTGGAATTTCACCGTGGGCCCGTTGGGGGGCTTGGACATCCAGCAGTAGAGATCCTTTCCTTTGCGGGCTTCGAAGAAGAGTACGTTGTTGCAGTTGTATAGTTCTGTGTTAGAGGTGAGCACGTGATTTGGTATGCGACAGGATGCGCGTAGCAGAGATGATGTGAGATGAAAGTGAGAGGAATAACGAAAAGAGAAACAAATGCGATTATACGATTGACATAAAGAAGGAGGAAATCAGAGCCTTGGATCGCATAGGTGGTTCTTACCTGCCAGTTCGTTGAGCTGGTAGAGCTTGGTCTTGGTGTCGAGCTTCGCCTCTTTCCGGCTATGGGGCCTGAGATGGAAGTTAGGAAAAGTTTGCGCAAACACCAAATTCAACATACATGAGCGAGTACAAGTCCTGCAGCAGATGGCGATGGCGAAATGTGACACCTCTCGAACTCTACGGAGCGTTAGCAGAGCTCTTCGTTCCCTTGGGCGACAAAAGTACCAGAATGAGCACGCGCTGCTTGTTTCTCTTTTCTCCCGTCTCCTTCTCATGGTTCTCTGTACCCGACAGGGTCTTGTAAACGGAAGCCATTGTGAAAATAGGGTGTTGTTTGCGGATGCTGGGTCGGACGCGCTCCTGCGAGACGTTCTCGAACTTTTTTGATGCCGAGGTTTTAGCGCGATCGCCTGCAGCGCTTGGCAGATGTGGGTCACGCCTTCCGTCACTGCTCATTTGTCACTGCTCCAACGCTCCTCATGGCATGCTGGCTCTTGCTCGGGGGGCTCATTTCGCGTCGCGTGTGGAGGAGACGAAGACGAGGGCACGGGAAGGGAAGGGTAGATGTGCATGTCGTGTTTGGGACAGCGACGGTGCTGGACGGTGCTGCATCCCCGTCTGCCCACGGTTAGATTAACCGATGTCTCCCAAGTTGGTGAACCCGGAGAAGAGAGTGGGAAGGCGCAAGAACGGGAAATAAGTAATGCGCCGGCCATGTCGAGGCAGTCAGCCTCAGTAACGAGCAAAGACAAGACGCACGATGCAGGTAGAAGCAAATGAGGAGAGAGCGTCGCCTGGACTACTTGGGTGATGTGCATGCAATTTAGTGGTCAAGGCCAACCGTGAAGCCTCGACGAGAGCTGCTGTCGCGACGGGCTGGAGCTTGACGAGGACTGCCGCAGCCGCACTAAGTAGGAGCTGATGACTGAGATCTGAGATCCGCTGCTCCACTCTCCAGCCCTCGTTGCCATCTCAATCCGGCGAGCGTCCCCTTGATCCCCCATCTCTCGCCGCTGCCCTCTCCCAGACGAGCATCTCGACGGGCTACGCGCAAGGCGCATCCACGTCGTCGCCGCACCCACGCGCACTGCCGCCGCTGCACCTTGGCCGCTGCTGGGCCTCGCCCATGGACTGAGCCTGGCTGCCCGTCCCAACTCGCGCCATCCGCCGTCCTGATGTTCCGCGATCCGCGGCGATCGCTGGAGGAGGAGGAGAGGATGCGGAACCAAGGGGAGGGAGCCTCACCAACGCAAACACCGTTTAGCGGCCGGCCACAGCACTCCCCCAACACGGCGCCCACCGCCCTGCAGCACGCCCACTTCCACCCCCATCCGCCCGAGCTGCCCCCGATCAGCACCGCGCTGTACGGCCGCGACAACACGTCGACCTACTACGACCCGACGGGGCGAGACACGGCGCGTTACGACCACGCCTACACGCAGCAGGCACGTATATCGCGTCCTGCGAGGACAGGCACGTGTGGATGCAGCCCAGCCAGCTAACACCGCCGCAGCAGACGCGCGACCCGCACGCCTACCCCGACGCCCGCCCGGCCCACAGCCCCTACGACGCCTACGACAAGCCCTACCAGTCGCCAGGGGGAGCGAACCCGTACGCGCACCCCTCGCCACTGCAGCGCCCGCCGTCGCAGCACCAGCACACGGCCGCCATCGAGGGCATGTCGCACTCGCCCGTCTCGCCGACCGTCTACCAGGCCATGACCCGGGGCGCCGTGCAGCCGCTGCCGCTGAACTATGCGCGGCGGCCGTCGATCAAGGATGAGGTCAGCTTATCCCACGTCGCTGCCCCCTTCGCCCGCGCTTCCCTACTGACAACACGACAGGCACCGCCGCCGCCACTGCCACCGCCGCCCCCACGCGCCGACCCAATGTCGCTCTCCAGCATCATGTCCTCGGGCGCAGACACCGACCCTCCCCCCAAAGCCCAGCCGCTCCCGCCCGTCAAGCCCGTGTCCAACCCGCTCTATGTCAAGCAGGAGTCGAGGCCGTCCCCAGCACCGCTCGACATGCCCACCCGGAGCCTGTACGAGTCCATGCCGCCCGTGGGCAGCGCACACCCGCCACAGTACACGGCACCGCTCGAGCTAGCCCCGCCAGATGAGGCCGAAATCGAGGCTGCTCTCGCGCGCATCGAGACCACCCAGATGAACGACCTCGACGGAGCAGGTGCCTCACACGAGCGCGAGGAGTATGTCCAGCGCAGCAGCAAGCGCGCCCTGGAAGTCGCGACTGCCGAGAATGAGAAACGCAAGGTACGCATCTCAGAACATCCAACACAGATCACGTCTAACACCCACCAGCGACGCCGGACAGCAACCCTAGCACGCTTCGCCGAGAACTTCACCGCCCACCGCGACTATGCCAAGCAGCAGTACAACGTCGAGCACGAGAGCGAGGCATGGCAGCAGGTCCAGAGCCAGGAAATCGCCGAGGAGAAGGAGCGCAAGAAGGACATGCAGCGCAAACGCCGACGAGAGAAGACGATCCAGAACGAGGAGGCCAAGCGTGCTGAAGCTCTCGCCAAAGCCGGCCAGGCCGACAACGAGGAAGACAAGGAGCGTCATCTCATGGCTGCGCAAAAGGCCGAACGTAAGGCCAAGAACACGTCTCAGCTGCTGCAGGGCAACGCCCCCAACAAGGACATTCGCGAACTTACGCCTCTTGGACCAAACCTCGAAGGTGGCACAATGAGTTCCTTCCAGGCATCTGACGACCTCGGACCGGGTGGGAAGCGGAAGGGCCAGAGTAACAAACGCCTCAAGAAGAGCAAGGAGCAGAAACAGGCAGAAAAGGATGCCGCCGCTGCTGGCCAGGCTGCGATTGACCGTGGAGACGACCTTCCTCCGATCGCGCCACGGGAAGAAGCGCGTCTCGAATCTTACAAGAACCGCATGTTCACAGACGGCGTAGGCTCCGGCGTTCTGACATCCTACGATTCGTCAGCGTATCATACCATTTACGGTCAGATTGTCAAGGACATCGCCCGTAAGGATGTGCCAAAGGTCATGCGCATCAAGGAAAACTCCTTGTCCACGAAACAATCGAATCTCCGCAAGACCGCGCAGTTGGCATCTAAGGAGGCTCGCCGCTGGCAGATGCGCACCAACAAGGGCACGAAGGATATGCAAGCGAGAGCCAAGCGAGGCATGCGCGAGATGCTTGCGTTCTGGAAGAGGAACGAGCGCGATGAGCGTGAATCTCGAAAGAACGCTGAACGTCAAGAGCTGGAGAATGCGAAGAAGGCCGAAGCCGACCGGGAAGCCAATCGACAGAAACGCAAGCTCAACTTTCTCATCTCCCAGACTGAGCTTTACTCCCATTTCATTGGCAAGAAGGCGAGGACGGATGAGATTGAGAGGTCGACAGACGATGCCGATACCGCTGCAGCTGCCCCCGCAGACACACATAAGACTTCGATCGATGTCTCTGCCATTCCCGAGGGCGCCAAGGTTACCAACTTCGAGGACCTTGACTTTGACAACGATGATGAGAGTGCTCTCAATGCCGCCGCTATGGCCAACGCTCAACACGCTATCCAAGAAGCCCAGGATCGGGCTCGTGCCTTCAACAACAAGGGCGATGAGGATGACGGCGAATTGAACTTTCAAAATCCTTCCGGCTTGCAGAACAAGGAAGACTGGATTCCTCAACCTGCCTTACTCAACTGCACGCTTAAGGAGTACCAACTCAAAGGTCTCAACTGGCTGGTTAACCTATACGAGCAGGGTATCAACGGTATTCTTGCCGACGAAATGGGTCTCGGAAAGACAGTACAGTCGATATCGGTCATGGCTTACCTTGCTGAGAGATACAATATCTGGGGACCGTTCCTCGTCATTGCTCCGGCTTCCACGCTTCACAATTGGCAACAAGAAATTACCAGGTTCGTGCCTGATCTGAACATTATACCATACTGGGGTACGGCAAAGGATCGAAAAGTGTTGCGGAAGTACTGGGACAAGCAGCATGTTACCTACGACAGGCATTCGAAGTGTCACGTGGTCATCACATCCTATCAATTGGTGGTCCAGGACGCTCAGTACTTCCAGAAGATGCGCTGGCAGTACATGATTCTTGACGAGGCACAGGCTATCAAATCGTCACAGAGTTCAAGATGGAAGAGCTTGCTAGGTTTCCACTCGCGTAACCGACTGCTTCTGACGGGTACCCCTATCCAGAACAACATGCAAGAGTTGTGGGCTTTGCTTCATTTCATCATGCCGAGTTTGTTCGACTCGCACGACGAGTTCAGCGACTGGTTCTCCAAGGACATTGAGAGCCATGCTCAGAGTAACACCAAACTCAACGAGGACCAGCTGAGGCGGCTGCATATGATCTTGAAGCCGTTCATGTTGCGGCGTGTCAAGAAGCACGTGCAGAAGGAGTTGGGAGACAAGATTGAGTTGGATGTTTTCTGCGACCTGACGTACCGACAGCGCGCCTACTACACCAATCTCCGCAACAAGATCAGCATCATGGACCTCATCGAGAAGGCCGTGGGAGACGACCAAGACAGTGCCACACTGATGAACCTAGTCATGCAGTTCAGGAAGGTCTGTAACCACCCGGATCTGTTCGAGCGTGCTGATACCTGGTCACCCTTTTCCTTTGCCTACTTTGCTGAAACAGCATCCTTCCTTCGAGAGGGCCAGAACGTGCGAGTCGGATACTCTACACGAAACTTGATTGAATACTCGCTACCGCGACTTGTCTGCCGTAACGGTGGCCGACTCGACATTGCTGGTTCGGAGAATCCCAAGGCTGGCTTCAACGGTCACTATCTGTACAATCTCATGAACGTATGGAGCCCAGACAATGTTGAGCTGTCTGCCCGCAATGCTGGCGCGTATTCTTGGCTCCGGTTCTCGGATTTGTCGGCAAGCGAGGCGTCTAAGGTTGCAAGGAGCGACCTGCTCCAGCGAGCTCTTGACTCTGGCGAGGAGCCGAACAAGACCGGTCGATTTAACGTCTTCTATGGCGATGAGAATGGTAGTTGGGCGCCCAAGCGCTCGATGTTGAAGATTGTCGACCGCCAAAACCGGACTCCTTTGACGGAAGTTGCTACCGAGGGATACATGCGTAATCTCCTCAACGTTTCGCAGTCAGCGTTCGAAGACACAGGGTTCAATATCATCGAGCGATGCGCGAAGCCTCGTGCGTCTGCGCCTCCGATCGAGCTGTACTGCGCGAGCCAGGGCGTCATTGCTGAGAAACAGAGGGATTTCTTCAACTTGCCTATCCGAACTGCCTTGTACGGTGCGTCCGAAAGGACCGAACGAACCGTTTTGGAGTCCAAGGCCGCCAACATGGCTTTGACAATTCGCGACAAGCTGCCTCCACCGACTAACGAAAGGTCACGATACACTCACATCGAGGCTCCTTCCATGTCGCGATTCGTCACGGACTCTGGCAAGCTCGCACGTCTGGATGCCTTGCTCAAGGAACTCAAAGCAAACGATCATCGTGTACTGCTTTACTTCCAGATGACCAAGATGATTGACCTTGTGGAAGAATATCTAACCTATCGAAACTACAAGTATTGCCGCCTGGACGGATCCACCAAGCTCGAAGATCGTCGAGATACCGTTTCCGACTTCCAGAGCGACCGATCCATCTTCGTCTTCCTGCTATCCACCCGTGCTGGTGGTCTTGGTATCAATTTGACGTCGGCCGACACAGTCATCTTCTACGACTCTGACTGGAATCCGACGATCGACTCTCAAGCCATGGATCGCGCTCATCGTCTGGGTCAAACTAGGCAAGTCACTGTGTACCGTCTGATCACCAAGGGCACCATCGAAGAGCGGATCCGCAAACGTGCTCTTCAGAAGGAGGAAGTGCAGCGCGTGGTCATCTCTGGTGGAGCTGGTGCACAGGTCGACTTCAACACGCGCTCGAGGGAGAACCGAACCAAAGACATGGCTATGTGGCTCGTGGACGATGACCAAGCTGCCGAGATTGAGAAGAAGGAGGCGGAACTGGCCGAGCAAGAGAAGAACGCTCCTCCCGGCAAGAAGCGCAACAAGAAGAAGCGGGTCGAGGCCAATCTGGACGACATGTATCATGAAGGTGAGTTCATGGCTGAGATGTTTTGTGATAATGCAGTTGCTGACTTTGACACAGGTGAAGGGCACTTTGACGAGAGCGCAAAGGCAAGCGGCGCGGCAACGCCCGTAGCCAATGCAGAAGCAGCACCTCCAGGCAGCAAGAAGCGAAAGGGCGGGCTTAGCAAGAAAGCAAAGACGGCCAAGCAGCGTCTAGCTGTTGCTGATGGTGAAGTCTAGTTTCTCGGTGCCGGGCTATTGATGTTTGTAAGACCAAAGAGTTTGTTTGTGGTTTTTCCTTATGTCATTTCGGGAACAGCATGGCACGCGCGGAAATCTTTGTTTAATCAAACTCTGTCTGGACGACTACGCGTCAGGGTCAGATGTGCTTTCACGTGTACACTAGAATATTTTGTTTATTTTGTTTTTTCTTCTTGTCTTGACCCTGTTTTAGCTCGAGGACACATGGGTCGGCGCTTTTGTTTTTCGTAATTGTATGCCGAGGGGAGATGGTCTCCGTGGTCCGGGGAGTTGAGACGCGTTGTAGTTGAACGCTGCATAGACGCGATGGCAGCTTAAAATGCAGAGAATACATGGCCATGACGTCGCATAGTTTTGCTGTGGCTTGTTGCGAGGAGATTTGATGTTTGTGCCGCGGGGATGGCCCTGGTCGCTGGGCCGTCGACGTTAACGTTGGGAGGTGGTGAAAGTTGTTTCAGCCACTCATCTCGGAAGGCATGCCGCTTGTGGCCAGGGTATTGCACAGCGGTGGCGCAGGGCGAATCAGACGGCGAGTGTCATGCTGTGGGACTGCAGGCGAGATGATTGGAGCGGGACAGGGCTGGGGGCCGAGTGCCCTTGCTCTTCCTAGCGCAACGAGGAGGGCCGGCTGGTTGAGTGCCATCAGTGGCACCCTTTTGGCGCCTGTCATTCCTTCTTTTCTTCTCTGCGATACCCCCATCGACGGCCTAATCGATCGCATCCCGCCGGAATCGCGCCCTCGCTGCTGTACCCATCCGCCCGCCTGCCCTTTGCACTGTGATGCTCGCATAGCCCCGACGACGCTTCGCCCACCCGTCGCTCGCTACCTCAAGACACCGCTCCCATGGGTACGTTGGACCCTTCGACCCTGACACCACGCGAGACGCCAACGTGTGCAGCCCGTGACTAACTCCACCCACAGTCGAGAGCCGCCCCTCCACCGAGGGCCTCGTTGATAATGTCGACCCCAGAGAGTCGCTCGAGCTCGATGAGCTGCCCACATACGAGAAGCCGACGGAGCCCGCCGCGCCACTGCCCCTCAAAGAGAAGCTGATTACATGTTTCTGGATCGCCCTCAACACAATGTCCACACTCGGCCTGATTTTTCTGAGCAAACGGTACGCGGGCATGCTATGCGACATGCGCCGACATGTTTCTGACTGTGGAGTAGGGTCTTTACCGATGAGCAGCTCAAGGGCTGCCAGCTCATGGTCGTCATATGGCATTTCACAGCCACCGGCCTCGTTCTCTTCATATCGACTCTCGGTCCCTTTCGCGCATTCAAGGCCGCCCGCTTGAACGTCTGGCACATGATGCCCGTCTGCGCCTTCTTCGCCGGCTACGTCGTGCTCGGCAACCTCAGTCTGACATTCAACACGATAGGCTTCTATCAGCTCTCCAAGGTCATGACAACACCCACCGTCGTTCTCATCAACTTTGTATTGTTCCGGAAAATGGTTACACGATACATGCTTGCTGCTATTCTTGCCACCTGCATTGGGGTCTCCTTCACCATCAACGAGTCCGCCAAGACGCAATTTTTTGGAATCATCATCGCTACCCTCGCCTTCTGCTCGACTGCCCTCTACCAGATCTGGATCGGCAAGAAGATCGAAGACTTCCAGGTCTCGCCTCCCCAGCTGCTGCTCAACCAGGCGCCTATTTCCGTGTGCCTGCTCATTCCATTCGTCCCATTCTTCGACACGATCCCAAATCTCGCCACCGTACCAACAAACATCCTCTGGTCCGTCTGCGCATCGGGAATCATGGCCTCCATGTACAACCTCTCGCAATTCCTCATCATCGGCCGTACATCCGCCCTGACCTTCAACATCGTCAGCCATCTCAAGACCATCCTCATCCTGTCCATTGGCTGGTACAGCGAGGGCAAGATTCTGAGCGGCCGCGAATGGTTCGGCGTCCTTCTTGCGCTCGGCGGCGGCTGGGTCTACTCGCATCTGGCGCTCAAAGCGAAGAAGGGCAAATAAACGAGACAAGACGAGACGCGACGCGATGCGATGAGTTGGAAGCGGGTGGGTACCAAGCGAACATACAAAAAAAATCTTGTTGGACAATGAGCATATGGGGCGTGGGGGTGTTGGGAGTGTTGGGGGGGACCGGGCTTTCTCGTTATCTCACGCATCATTTACTCTACTATTACACTACAGCCCTTTTTTTACGGCTACGCAAATGTTTGAATATTCGACTTGAGGGGCTTTCTTGAGCGAATTTGCAAGTTCTTTGACATATTTTTTTCACGTGGCGCTTCTTTATTTCGCTTTTGCTTTTGTTTTTGTGTTACTACCTACGACGATATTCTTGGGTTGGGATTAGATGATTGGAGATGTTTTTTTGGGATAGGGTTGGGAAAGCGAATGGGTATCGTTGTTCTTGTTTGTTTGGTTTGGGTTCTTTGGGCCCCAAGGAGTTTTTTCTTCTTGTCTTACTTCTTGTCCTTGTTCTTGTTCAGAGATATCTATGGCTATGTCTATGTCTATCTACCTGGTATTTGTCTGGCGATTGGTTCGTTTCCTCTAGTCAATGTTTTTTATGCGCTTTTTGCATACGTAGGTATATATATATGGCGTCTAGGTCTAGGTCTAGGACTGTAGCGGGTAATTCTTCTCCCTGTTTTTGAATCGTATTTTTGTTGAAAGAAATGCATTTGGTATTCGTGAACTTGGCTTTTGGCGGGCTTTGCGTGCGCACTTGGATTTACTCTCGAAAGGAAAGTATCTGGATGTTTTGCTGTCGCTGTGGCGCACCCACTGACTGACGCGATGCGATTTGATGTGATTTGATGATGTACGTGGCGCTCTCCCACATCATTCGCTTACTCACCTACCTTACTTACTATGCTCACTCGCCGTCTGTCTGTCTGTCTATCCGTATATCTCAACCCAGATGACTCACGCTCGGAAAACACAGCGTAGGCGTATTCCTCTCCAGGCGTCACAGACGGTGAGGCAGGCATAACGATGACTTAATATTGCAGCACAGCACCGCACACGTGACTGGCCATTGGGGCTGTGCACATCTAGCGTAACGTAGAACACGCACGGACGGTGATCGGTCGGTCGGTAGGGCGCCTTGTTGTGGCGGAGCCGAGTCAGTCAGCCAAACCACTGCGCTCTTTCCACCCGATCATCCCACTGCCTACCACTTGATCGCCCCAAGCAATCGCTTTGTATGGTTCGCCCGTATTGCGAGCTATGATGCGTGTGGTAGCTATACTGCGCTTTGCTGTGTAATGTGGAGTTCAGGCAGAGGGGGCCTGATATGAATCCTAAGCGTAGGTGGTCGTCGAGGCAGAATTCGGGGGCGAGGTGAGGTGAGGTGAGGTGGTTATGTAAGACGTGTGTAAGGAGAGATGGGATAGTTGGGTATAAAGGGTTGCTTCCCATGGGGGGGTATGGGGAGAATATTATCATTATTACCATCATCATCATTACCATACCACCATCATAGAGATTTTCGGACTCGAATCAATCCAACATATCACCTTCGGACTTACGTATCTACCTACATACGCATATACTCAATCCACTCAAGCCATCGGTCGAGTAATCAACCCGAATATCTTTCTACGATATCTACACGATACAACGCACGATACTACACAAACACACGATACAACTACACCTCAAAATGGGCTGCTTCGCATCTAAACCAACAACGAGCCGCCGCGCAATGCGGCAATCTCGCCATAACGGACACCATGGCGCTGGGTATGCGGGCGGGTATGGAGTGGCGGCTACAGGAGGAGGGTTCTTTGGTGGGGGGGATGGAGGGGGAGGTGGATTTGGAGGCGGAGGAGGAGATGGAGGGGGAGGTGGTGGAGGTGGTGGAGGTGGTGGAGGAGGATGTTAATTGTGAGGGTATGAGAATGCGGGATAACACGGCGTTTTGGGTTCGATTATGATTGCGAAGCACTACAAGAAGACTTTCTGGGGAGTAGATTACTTGGGTTACCCAGACGGTTGTATACTTATTAATTTCGCCTTGACATGGTCATTATCGTCAACACTTTTCCTCACGTATGGTTTGGTAGCCGTATGATGTGACGACATTGTAGTATTGTGTTTTTGAACTGATGAAGGAGAGCACCATGACATGTATCTCGAAGATTACACGTCTTCATAGCTATACACTACTCCAACCCCCAATCCTAACGACCATCCGCATCCTCGAACCGTCTGAGCTCGTTCTCCCTCACATCCCCCGCCAGCAACCGATCCAGCATCTCCTGCTCTCTATCCTTTTCACCGCCCCTCCTCATCGATAACCTATCTTCTTCGTCTCGCGTGCTTTTCCTTCCCGCCGTGAACACTCTACCCACTCGCTCCAGCTCCAGATCGTCCCCACTTTCTCTTCGTCCTGGTCTCTGCCTTCTCGACACTCCTTCAAAGTTCTCCCCGCCCTCTTTCGATTCCTCTTTCCCCTTTCTGAGATCCCTTGTCTGCTCCGCCCATGATCGAATCTCCCCACGCCTTAGCACTCTGTGCACGACGAGACTATCCTCCGTGTCGTCAAACTCCTCATCCGCTTCAGTCAATACCTGTGCATCAACAAGGCGCTTATCGATACGCGTCCAGCGTGCGCCAAAAGGCGACGGGTAGGTGAAGTAGTCGTTGATATTGATGATGTCGAGCTCGAGCTCGGATGAAACAGTGTCGACAGGTTGCTTTGAGCTAGAACGATGACGTGTTGTCGGGCTAGGTGGTGTGTCGTGGAACTCTGGCGCCTCACGAACCCAAGGAGATTTCGTTTCTGACGTGTTTGATTTTTTACGCCGTTCCGCAAGTGTGGGTAGATCTTTGGGATGGTGTGAGACGACCCATGTGTTTCCGTCAATGGTATTGTGGACGTGTCCTTGCGCTGCTAGCTCTTCGATGGCCGCTGATATGTCCGCCACGGACTTGTGAAGTGCGGAAGCGATATCCTTCGTGTGCTGGCCGATGTATGAGCCAGGTCTGGATTCCAGGTCTGTGGTCAGGTGCGATAGGATTTGTTTCGCCAGGGGACTGAGAGGCTCATTGGTTGGCCTTTGCTTAGTTTTGGCAGGCGCCGCTGATAACTCGTGTATTGATGAGTCTCCCACTGGCGGTGATGCCATAAGATCTTGTTCATGGGACCTGGATTGCAGTCTTGAAGCTGCCTCACCTAGAGCCTGTAGTTTGGACTGCAAGTCACTCAATCGTCTTTCGCCTGGCTTCTTGAGAACTCCACCCTCATGGTGACCGCCAAATAGATCCCGATCCTCCTCTCGGGCGTCGTCTCCGACTACCGTCGAATAAGAAGAATACAGACTGACGAACGGCTTGCTACGAGATTCTTCCCGGGAACTCGCTTCGATGACGGTAAGAAGGGTTAACGACAGTGGAAACAGATCAGCCGGAATTTCCAACTTGACTCTTCCGGATTTTGTGTAGACGTTCTGATCCACTGACATGTCCATGTACCAGTGTAACGTTTGTGCAAGTGGATAACCGTCTTCGCACAAATCCTTTCCTTCGTCATACAATCGGCCAACATCTTTGCAGACAATACAGTCTTGGGCATGTGCTTCAAACCCTATCAACGCGTGTTCCTCGTAAGTGTTGATGGGACGTTCTTCCTGTTCAGCAGGCTGCTGGCCGGAAGGCACGTTGCTACTGCCGAAACGGACGTTGCGGAACGCCTCACCAACAGAACCGAAGAGGGTACGTCGCGGTGTTGTACGTGGTTCGGGAGAGATCGATGATTGGCCGGGCTGGACGGGCCGCAAGAAAGGCTGTGCTTGTAGGCTTTGGTTGATAGGTGGAAAGTATACTGGTAAGAGACTCTTGTAGATGAACTCATCGTTAGACGAGTACACCACAAAAACAATCTTCTCGATCAAGCTATTCGGCATGACTGACTCCAAAAACAGCTTTACTTCTTGCATGGCGAGCGATGCGGTGTCGCGTAGTGGGTAGTTGAGCGTGCCGGTGCCTATGCTTGGTATGGCGATTGAGGTTGCTCGTAAAGAGACGGACATGTGCAGCACTTCGCGGTAGATTTTTCGCAGAATGTCCTTCGTATTTGTTCGGTACCGCTCTGATGGCACGGCATGAAGAATGTGCTTGGCCGGTAATAGGTACCCTGCTGTCAGCTTCACATCGCCCTCTTTGCAGACACCAAAATTTCCACAGTCTTCCTGGAGCTCGGGGCCGCCTTTCTGGAACACACTTCGATCCAGAGTACCCATTCCTGAGAACCTCATATCAGTCGAATTGACCATGACGTCAACTTGGAGCTTTGTGATATCTTCCCTTGCCAGATAGACTGTTTGATTGAAAATTACGGAAGGACGAGCCAGTGTCGCCTTCTCTTCCAGATCGCCCAGCTGGTAAAGTCGCGATACGGACGGAATCTGATCTAATCTCACGATATCGCGATTCTGAGGTTGCATACCTCTCTGGTACTCCCGGGCGTAGAGGACTCCGTTCAGATGATCACGGACACCTTCGCCAAATTCAAGTTTCTGTTTCGCCGCATAACTCTTGAGCTTTTGACGTATGGTAGTCATTTCGTCCAACTCAGTACCATTGCGTGTCAGAATATCGTCTAGGCACTGCACAAAGTTCCGGCAGTCGATCAGAAAATGAAGAAGATCTGTTTCATGCAGTCCGACCATTTGGGAGTTGTAGTCGTTCCAGATCAGCTCGTCGTCTCGGATATTATCGGCGCTTCCACTCCTCTCAGTTATCTCTGCAATACTGCCACATAACGTCGACATAACCGAACAAAAGAGGTTGAGATCGCCGAGGCTTCTCTTGAGGTCCTGGGAGCCTAACAAAAACTCTCTGATTGAAGCGAGTGCCGAATTTATAGCGCCGAACTTGCTAAGCACATTCTTGTCAAAGTCAGGCACGGTCGAGCTGAACTCGTTCAAGAGGTCTTCAGAAACCTTCTGGATCTCGACACGCGTCTCTAGCATCTGTGTAGCGAGTGTAGCATGGTCTAAAGACTTGTTCGATGACCTTGCGATGTCGAGATCCGCATGTGTTGGTGGGAAGAATACAGGAAAAAAGTCCATGTAGGCCTTTTCATCGACTGCACTGTTCACACAGAAAATGATACGTTCGAAAGGATGATTTCGATGTGAGTCAAGAAGCTCTCGAACTTCCTGCAGAGCCACACGAGCTGCTACTCTGGGAGGAAAGCCACAACCGCCGGTACCCACACACGGGAAGGCGATGGTCTTGATACCGTGTTCTGAAGCGATAGTCATGACGCTGCGATAGCACTCAGTGAGTATATTGAATTGACCCATACCCGTGGATCCGGTATATCTAGGCCTTGCAGTGTGTATGACATGAGTGCTGGGAAGATTGTAACCACCGGTAAGAATGCTCTGGCCTGGCTTGATCTTGCCCTTGCCCTTTTCCTTCGCTTCCTTTGTCATCTCCGGACCAGCTGCTTTGTGAATGATGTGGTTGAGTGTAGTAGCAGTCTCCGTGACTGTCATGGCTCGATTGGCGCTGTTAACAATGGCGTCGACTTTGAGTCTTGTCAGATCGTAGTAACAAAAGGAGATGAGCCTGTTGTACGTGTCATTTGGAGCATAACTCTGGTCCCGCTGTAGAAGTTTTCGAGATCTGTACAACGAGCGAAGTGTCGGAACATCGGCCACTGATATTATCGGGCGCTTGGTCGACTGTTCTGTCTCCACGTCGTAGGTTATTGATCCCGAGGCAACACTCATATCTTCCTCTTCGTCCTGTATCTCTGCTGTCGATTGACGAACGAGGGGCCGCCTGTCCACGCCTGGAATCCCAAACTTCAATTTGTTTGACTTTTCAGAGACCTGATGGATCTTGATTTGCGGGTATCGTTTTCTGTTAAACATATCTAGAGCCTGTGCAGCAGCATTCTCATTTGTGAAGATAGCGTGACCCTTCCACCAGCCGTAGCGCCGGAAGAATCGTACAGATTGGGCGTTTGGTAACGACATAAGGTAGGTTCTAAAGTCTTCCCTTTGGTCCAAATGTTCTTGAATTTCTGCGGGCGTGTCGTCAACTTGTTGCTCGTCGAAGTTGCCGTGTTCATCAGTGTGATCTAAGAGTAGCGTATCAAGCCGATTTTGACTCTCATCTGGCAGACGACGCAAGCTCTCGACAGACAACAAACTAGACGACGCCATAGCTTCCAGGAGCGGATGAGAAACCTCCTGCAGGGTGTTCATGCCTGATTGAATATCTGTCAAACGTCGCAAATGTCTCTTCTCACTTTTGTCTGTCTCGTCCGAAGCGTCGCTAGGTAAAGACATCTCGCTCGCATTCTGAGAGCCAGTGCTATCCGATCTGCCCGACCTGCCACGACTTGCAGCGCTGCTTGCACCGTCTGCGGCATCTTCATTCCCATTGGGTAGAGCGAAGGTGGCAATTCGTTCCAGATGGTTAGCTATATGGTTCTGGAAATCACCCATTCCTTCAGTATCGGCAGGTGCGAAGCAAACAGGACACTTTTCGCGTACGTCCACGGTGGAAGTTTCGCCGACTTTGACGATAGTGTTCAATTGGCTTTCAGGAAAACTGTCGAGGTGTTTTCGTCGAAGGTGATTCTCCAGTCCAGCGGGTGATTTGTAGATAGCTGTAGGATGTTCCGAACATCTCCAGGCTTTGCGGTGACCAGCTTCATGTGCTACCCATTCTCTACGGCTACGAAAGAGCCCACTGCCCTCGCAGTCTGGATAAGTGCAGACATATGGCTGCAGATCTTGCAACAGATGTGTCCGCCAAGCGCGCCCGCGGCCGTAGCGTGCTGGACAGATGATGAAGCAGTACGGACACTCGAAATCCTTCTCGCCCCCGGCGCCTTTGGGAGGGGGCGGTAGATCGACACCTCTCCCCTGTATGTCCTTGACCGTGACAGCGTAACTTGTCACCGATTTGGTGTCGACCATCTCATCCAACGATTGATGGTGTTGTGTAGCCTCGGTACCTGACAGCAACGTTTTACCGGTTTTGTGACTTGGAGCTTCTTTGGTGACAATGATGGGGTTCTCTGGGTTAACTTCCAAAGTATCTATGCGCTGAGGAGCATCGGGTCGTTCAACTACCGGTTGTATAATCTGAGATCCCTCTCCAAAGACGGCAGAAATGCTCAACTTGTCTCGGTGTCTTTTCCAGTATTTAAATTGGCGCCTACGAAGGGTGATGCCCTTGCTCAGACGCGTCACGAAATAGTCGGATTCAGGCTGGGAATCGCCTGTGTGAGGCTGGCGTAGATGCCAAATCAGTTCTTTCGTGTGCTGTAGATCGTACTCTGCGTACATGTCCAGCAGATTGACGCCCGTTTCTGGATCTGTCGGCTGATATGAAGCTGCTTTGAGTGATCTTGACCGTATCGTAGGCATCCTGATACGGACACTCAGCTTGTAGAGGTTGTCTATGATGTCAACAACTTCCCCGAAGCGCATGCTCAACTCTGTTTTTTCTTCACTTGGGCCATCATCTTCTTCTTCGTCCTCGCTGAAAAAGCCATCGTCATTGTCGTCTTCTTCTTCTTCATCCTTGTCGGACCTGGGCTGCTCTTCGTACGGTAGACGAGCCCCGGATACAACTGCATATGCTTCATCGAGGTTCTCTTCGAGTTCTTTCAGGAATTTGAGAGCATTGTCGGATAACAAAGGCGAATCACGGAGTCGATAATCCAGCGAACTATGACCCTTTTGCAACGCTCCAAGGTTTCCAGACCAGACTCTAAGCCGTCCGAATTCATCGTTGAGGGCTTCGTGGTCGATCGAATCTGTCCATTTCCCGTTGCTTGTGCTGAGCTTATTGGACAATCTCTGGAAAGCACGAACATTCGAGGCCGTCGCGAGTCGTATTGAGGACATGTTGTCGTTTCCACATGTTGAGGAAGCTCGTACTATGATCGGGCTGAGATATACTATCTGGGAGCCTAAAGTCGCAATATTGGAGGCCGCACATTCAGCATTTGAGGTCTGAGGCAGCGAAGCTAGTGGGGCTTGGACAGGCGGGCAGTCACAAACAGGTTGCCTACGAAAGCTGACGGTTGGTGTTGCTCTCTCCAAGGGCCTGATTCCTCAATTAATCAAACCTCGATTGCTGCAGTTCCAGATCCTAGATATCGAGAGCGTGGTAGTGTGAAGCCCAGCGTCGTCGTACGAGGTATGAAGCTTGAGCCAAAGACTCGAGCCCCGCACGTTCCTTCCTCTACCTCGCGCAACACTCACCATGTCGCAGCTTCGTCCACGTCACAAGCCTTCTATGCATGCGCCAATAGAGTTCAGACATGTCAGGTATCGAAGTTGGAGGGCTTGTTTTGGCTTGTCTTCCTCTCCTAATACAAGGTGTGTAGAGGTTGAACGATTGGAGAGGAGGTCAATGCTAAGGGTGCATAGGCATCGAATCATACAATGAGGGACTTGACCCTATCAAGAGCTTTGTTAGATGGGAGCGAGAACTCCCACAGTTCATTCGAAAGCTCAGAAACCAACACGTTCACTATGCTCAAACAGTTCGCATCCTCCTCGAACCCATTACCTCCGACGCTGAACTCGCCGAAATGATGGCCGATCCCGGCTCCTCGAAATTGTGGAAGGATAAAGAGATGGATATCAAGCTTCAGGACAAGCTGCAAGAGTCGTTCCAGGCATACCAAAGTACGATTGGCGATATTGAACGGATAACGAAGAAGATCGCGAGCAAGTTGGACCTCGATCGCGCACGCGAGGTAGGTACGCTGTTACAGCACCTTTTCTTACATTACGCTCACACACCTTTCTAGCTCACGCGCAATGACCTCGAAGCAATCCTTGTCGCGAATCCGAAGAAGGCAAACGACAAATACGAGATCAGAAAACGTATAAGATTCGGAATGACGAAGAAGAGCATTAAGGCACTTTTAGAAGAGCTCGATGACTGCAACAAGGAACTCGAACGCTTCACCGACAAAAGCGAGAAAATCGAGACCTACCGAAAATCGGTCAAACCTTCTTTCGCAACTCGACTACAGCAGATACAAGGATACGCCAAGAACCTGCACGAGTCGTTGTGCTGGTCGTGCGCATGCAAGTTGTCGCACAAGACCAGCCTGAAATTGGAGCCTCGAGGAATTCTTTACGCCACAGGATCCAGAAAAGGGGTCGATCATCTGAAGACTTGTTTCTCTGTGTCGTTCTCGACGGCGCCTGCAGACGACAATGGCACATCTTGGATACGGCAAGCTGCTGAGATACAAGTGGAAGAATATGTAACGGCTCTTGCTCCGCCGCCATCACCAAGGCCAAGGTAAGCATGAAGGATACAGATTGATGCGCATTGCTGATACAGATAGAACATCCAAAAGCGTCAGTTTTAGTTCGCTTCCACCATACTCTGTAGCCGACATAAATGCACACTTTTCTGCAGCACAGTCCCTACAGGAGGTTGAAGATCTATGTGCTTCGATCGGAAAATTTTACAAGCAAGCTTCATGTATAGGTTTTTCCCTTGACAGTAAGAGCAAGCTACGAGGCGCCTATGCAGTTGAGACGGTTGAGTCATACGTCCCTCCCTCAGAGCTAGTATCGCTTGAAACTCTTCTAAGTAGTCCTCCAATTGTGAATGGCAGGCGTGCGAAACTTAGCAAGAAGGAACGATACAGCTTAGCCCTGACATTGGCATCCAGCGTGCTCTACCTGAACTCGACGCCGTGGCTTGTAGATCAATGGACAGCGAAAGACATTCTATTTCACCAAACGTTGACTTCGTCACGACCGATCGACATCGATCGACCATACGTTGTTCCCACAATCGAGCTCTCAAACCCCCTACTAAATGGACAGCGACCCCGCGGCTTTCACAACAAGAACACTGTGCTTCTTGCCCTCGCGATGGCTCTTCTTGAGCTCTACTTTGGAACAACCGCCGAGAAGTACCAGGAATCTGAACATGGGGCGAGCGACCCGTCATTTGCCCAAAATCCATGGATGTTATGCTCAATGGTGCATACGTGGGCGGAGGAGTCTCAAGAGGATCTGTCTGCCGCCTTTTTGAGTGCTGTCAGACATTGTCTGAGGTGCTTCAGTGACCCTGGTGCCAGTCTGCAAGACGCAGAATTCCTCCAGGCAGCAGTAGAGGGCATAGTACTGCCGCTTCAGGAAGAACTCTACCAGTTCCTAGGCAAGTCAATGACCTGACCAGTTTCATTGCTCGTTTTACGAGCAACACGCCATGAATTGGTCAGACTGAAAGCAAGAACGTAAATATATGCCGCCAGATGGGATCTTCATTGAGAGGCGCTTATCCGCAAATCACCTCGTATTTGGCCCACGTGGTTAAGATCTGAGTCTGGGGTAGATCCTGCTAGCGTACCGGTCCCGAATCTTAATCAGACAGACGGTATGTTGACGTTTGTTTGATATGGGATGTTCAAGAAGGAACAACAGGATGGTGGAAATCAACTCTAGGCAACGGTATGGAGGTGTCGCAATCAAGCCACCAACGGGTGCTAAAAATACAACTAGCCTCGCCCCCCGTTCCGGCAAGCTGCAGGTTCCCGGTTCGGGAGTGTTGTGGTGATGTCTTACACAAAGAGGCTGTCCTGACAGGGTGTCAAGGCATTGGCGGGGTAGCTGTCGAATATATGTGGCGCATCACGGTAGCACAAGCTGATCTACATGGAGCAACGGGAGGTAGATGGTAGGTCACGATGAGAGATAAAAACAAGTTTGCTCGCGACTGTGGTTGATGATTTGCCTACTTGAGTGGTATTTTTTAGTGAATTACATCACTGCCACGTAGCGGTCTAACGGCGTGAAGGAGAAACTTAGCTATCCCTGTTTGATATCCGTAAGTAAAATACCGCCCCAGGAGATAGCGTGCAAGGTACACTCTGATGATTTGCCCCTTTGACGTGCTTTGGTTGGTGCGCATCCCAGAGGTCGCTGAAACGCTGAAACACTGGGGTGATTCCGTGTTGCACTCGAGAACACAGAGGCGATCTATCTGGCGGCAAAAGGAGTGCAGCGGTGAACTGGCTGCGTGTGCGATAGCGGTGCGCCCGACGATAAGGCGGTGCTGGCGGGCGTTGATACGTTGATGCGTTGATGCGTCTGACTGTGTTGGAGCGTGAAGACGTGCACGCCACCAAACAAAGCGACGACAATAACAAACACGCCGTCGACCACCACAACCGCCACCGCCCACGCAACCACGTCGACAGCAGCAGAGCCGTGAAGACAACGCCGGTGCAGCCAAACCATTAGGATTGCGGGGCCCGTCGAATTACACGCGATAGCAAGCTGATCCCTGTGCGTGCTGCGCCAAGTCGCCCCTATCCTCGCCTGCTTTTGAGTGCACGCAAGCTCCTCCATCGACACCCGTGAAACACGTCTGCGCCCACTCGCCTCCCTCGAACCCGTCACTCGTTGCAGAGAAGATAGCACGATAATTCCTTCATAGCGCAGAGCGCAGTCCCCACGTTTTGTCCCTCTTCTCTTTCTCGACGCTCCGACACCTGTCACTCACCGACCCCGACCCGACTCCGACCCTGTCACGGCGAACCAGTGTTTGGCCTGCAGCACCCGCAAACATGGCTCAATTCTTCCAAGACCTCTGGCACACGATGACGTCCAACGACCGACACGCCTCGCACGACTCGCCCTACCGCACCGGCCGCCACATCCCCATCCCCCAGAGCCGCCATGCCGCCCTGAGCTCCGTCGCGACTGGCGGTGTCGAGTCCCGCGTCGACCTCTCCTCGTCCTACACACACGAGGAGCCCGCCATGAGCAATGGCTTCATTGGCTCTCCCCGGGGCCCCATGTCGCCGAACTCGCCCTACTCGCCGGGCATGCGCTCGTCGCTGAGTCGTCAGCCGACCACCGATGGCGACGCGTTCGACAAGGGCCCAAATGTCTCCCACGGCGAGATTCCCATGCAGAACTTCAGCGAGGGCCTCCCCCCGCCGCCGCCTGTGTCACACTCGTGGAAGCGCATTGATCGCTGGATTGAGGACAACTACACAGAACTCTTCGACAACGTCTGCGAAGGAGCCACCGGGAACGACGTCAACGAGCTGGAGCACGAGCTCGATGCCACACTCCCCATGGACGTTCGCGAGTCTCTGCAAGTCCACGACGGCCAAGAGCGCGGCGGTCTCCCGACAGGTGTCCTCTTCGGCTTGATGTTGCTCGACTGCGAGGAGATCGTGCAGGAGTGGCAGAACTGGCGCAAGGTCGCCGAGGAATATCTCACCAACAAGCCAGACTACCGCACACCACAAATCCCCGCCAAAGCCTTTGCCAGCTCGTCCACCGCTCCTCCCATTGCGCAGCCTCAGCCATCGGGCAACCCTCTTTGGCGGCAGGATCTGCAGGCACGCCAGGACTCGCAGCCCCCCAATGCCGTCCAGAAGGCCTACGCCCACCCTGCGTGGATCCCTCTTGCCCGTGACTGGGGAGGCAACTACCTTGCTGTTGATCTCGCCCCAGGCTCCAGTGGCACATGGGGCCAGATCATCATCTTCGGCCGAGACTACGACTGCAAATTTGTCGTCGCGCGTTCCTGGGGCGCTCTGTTGGCCATGATCGCAGATGATCTTGGCTCGGAGAATGTTCACATCGATGAGGATAGCGGCGAGTTGAAGCTCTTGGCATTCAAGCGACAGAATGTCGAGCCTCCGTACCTAGAAGTTCTTCGCTGGCGATGTGACCAAAAGAATGGTCGGAGACCGATCAAGCGTCGCCCACACAGCTTGCGCGTTAATCCTAATGCTCCTGGTGGAGTGGTTCCCAGCAGCACGGCTAGCAGCCCGTATTCGAGTCCTGTCCTTGGACCAGAAGACCGCGGTCGAAGCCCCCACCGCCTGTCGCTCAAAACCAAAGGTGTCAGCCCTCGAGGCAAGCTTTCAAGTCCTCTGGCGAGAGTCGCGGAAGAGTCTATGCAACCGCTTCGTGTACACACTGATGCAGAATCGAAAGCCAATGCTCCACAAGACAAGCTCATTCCTGTCGATACTCCGAGACCAAGCGACGACTTCCCATCTAGAGGTAGCATAGGCAGTGACAAAGAAAACAAGGACGTCAAGGACACCAAGGAGAACAAGGCAATAAAGAGCCCGGTCGCTGAAACTTCGGAGCTCAAGACGGTCGAGATCTAGCGCACAAATCAACACACTGTTCCCCATTGCCTGTCTTCTCAACTGATCTATCCTTTCAAGTCCCTGGATACGGACAGCAATAATGTGCACTTCATTTTCTTCCATACAGGGTTGTAGGCGTCGTGGGTATACAGGAGGATCCTCTATTGATGTAACAACACATCGACCGGCGTAATCAGCATCTCCGTTGCCTTCGCGGAAGGCGTTTAAATCCCCTCATCCTCGCGATTCGGCCAGGTAGTCTTGTACTGGGCCACGCTTTCACTATCAACACACAGCCGTACCACGTCGATGTCCACCTCGAGCCGAAACAACAATCAGCGCGCGAACACTCAATCTACACCAGCCCACCACTGCCGTCACCGCAGTCTCGTAACAGTATCTACACCCTTTGTACAACAACTTCCACTTCTTGGCTTCGTCAGCGCCAGCATATGCGACCCGCAGTACCCTCGATTCTCTGTCCTCGTCCCACAATCTGGTATCGAGCCCACAAGCGCGAATACTGTCTGGTTTTCCCTTTTTGGTACTCGAGCTTTGGCGGTTCCATACACGATTGGCGTTTTTCTTTTCCTCGAGACGGGCTTTGATAGCTCGTTTTCTTGTTCCTCTTTTGGCAACCTTTCACTATCTACTTTGCAGCTTGGGTGTGCGTACAATGGTAATGGGCGGTGGGGTGCTGGTCATTGTGGGGCAGGAGTGGTGTGTGTGTGTGACTCGGCACTGTATGAATCTTTTGGGTGCTTCATATGCATGGATGGCGAAATACGTAGGATGAATTGAGAATGTTCAAATCAGCCGCTGGGTACTTTTTTCCATGTGATGTGTCGAGCGTGCGTGATCGAGACGTAGTCGTTCTTTCCCCATCTTTCCTACAGACCACGTTTTTGGCTGGCTTGGCTTGGCGTCAACAAGGCCAACACGGTAGATCTACTCCTTGTGCTTCTTCCTCTTCCTCTCCGTTTTCTTGTCTTCGCCAGCACGTGCTGCTTTCTTTCTTTGCTGGTCATCTCGACGGACGTTTTGCACAGAATGGTCGTAGTGCGTGCCTGCAATGCGTTTGCGCCTTGCCCACCTCGAGTGAGTGGATGCTGCCTTGCTGTTATCGAAGTATTGCTCAGCCTCAAGTCGCGCATGGCACCCTGTCCCTGGATACTTTGAGGCGCAGTGACTGACGACACACATTAGAGCGATTTACATACCAATTCAGTAAGGTTCGAGGCTCAGACAAGCTAACCGGCGTACATGTCAACGAAAACAAGTCGCGGTTATCAGCCATCGTGATACCACATCGTGATGAAGACCAATCCTCTATGACCTTGTGGGAGCCAAGGCTTCTGGTGACGCAAGTTGTCTGTACGGCTGACCTGTGACCAGACCAATGCCAGGACGGACACTACAAGGCTAAAACTCAGCCTTCAGTCCCGGGCACACTTAAGTATGGGTGCGCTACATCTTCGATTCTCCATGTTTCCCTCAACTTTCTCAAATCAGTATCTCGTTCAATTCAATGAATTCGACTATCGCAATTGTGAGCTGGGTACCTGAACCTGAAGGCCGAGGGACCATAGGCCTGGTGTGGAGCTGCCTCGTTACAATTTTCCTCTGCACTTGGAGCGCTATACATCCTAATCTTCCTGCGCCCACGGATAGTCAGTTGAGGAGGTTTGGGCGACACGTGGGTCATGTGTTCATTGCTTTAGTAGCACCAGAATACACAGTACTTTTCGCCGTTGAGCATTTCTTGATGGCTCGGAAGGTGAAACAAACTGTATGCCGACAGATCCTTAGGTTGATGATCAACTGACTTGGTTTAGTCACCTGGCTGGTCGCTCCTGCAATGTTTCTTTCTAACTATGGGAGGATATGCTTTGCAAACCATATCCGACACTGAAGACGAGCCTCCTGTTCGTATCAAGCCGCAACAGCTTGTAAGCTACTTTGAGTCGGGCAAACTAGCTTGGCCTGAAGTCAGCGTGTCTGATATCGAGGATCGCAGCAAGGCCGATTGGATCGTAAAACTCGTCACCCTGGTGCAAGTAACGTGGTTTGTGGCACAAGTCATCGGCCGCGCACTCCAAGGCTTGACCGTAACCACTTTAGAGCTCTTCACCTTAGGCAATGTGTTCTGCGCAGCTGTCATGTATATTCTGTGGTGGCATAAACCCTTCGATGTTCGTACGCCTATCGTTCTTCGAATCAAGTCACCTCTACCCGAGCTAGCACATGTCATCTCAATAGTGGATCTCGAAGATACATTGCCAAAGAAGAGGAGAATTCCAGGATGGAGTACGATAGCTGCCACTTTGGTTTTTGGTGGATTACTTGTTGTCGGCTGGCAGTTCCATTTCCCATCCTCAGTGGAGGAATTGTTGTGGAGGATAAGCAGCATAGGGGTGATAACGCTATCCTTGGTTGCCGCACTAATGGCTTGGTCTGTGAACGTTGTGAATTTGTTGTGGTGGGAAAAAACGTTTGCTCGTTTCGTAGTGATATCCATGGTCTTGTACACACTACTCAGACTCTACATGTTCGTCGAGATGTTTATAGGTCTGAGAGCAGTTCCAGCCGACGTCTACAAAACGCCGCAATGGTCCCAGTATTTCCCTTCTTTTGGTTGAAAGGGTGTTTGTACGTTAGACATAAATTTCATTTCATCTTATCTCGTTTATATTTTACATAGGAAAACTCGGCTCGTCAACTTCATTGTTCCTCTTCCGCAATCTTGACTTCAATACCTGCCTCGACACCGCCCTCCCAGAACTTGACCGCCCGCTCCGCAATCGCCTTCGGATTCAACACCCGATTCTCTACCCCAACCTGCCCCTCCACACTCACTACCCCCACATGCACGCCCTTGTCCCCAAACGCGCGATTCAGCGCAATCACCATAGTGCGCTGCGCCGCTTTGACTAGAGAAAGAGACACCAACTGCGGAACAGGATCCCAGGGGAGATGTGAGGAAGTGACCAAGAGAGCAGGCTTGAGTGCAGAATTAGAAGCCCGATCTTGCAGTTTCGGGAGAAAGTGCTGAGAGATTGCGTAGAGGGACAGCGTCGTCGTCTAGTCTACCATTAGCTCTACAACAGAAACCAAACCGCGGGGTGATGCTATACCTTGAAATCCTCATCGATTTCCGCAACACTGACGTCCAAAACTTCACTCGGCTTGATGCGCGCAGCGTTGAAGAAAATGACTTCTACGTCTTCGCCTGCTGTTAGGTCGTCGAGCTTTGACAGCACGGCGGGTAGGGACGATAGGTCTGCGAGGTCGATGGGGAGTGTGGAGACTATTACGCCGGGTGATGCTTTGGTGATGAAGGGTGCGTCTTCGTTTTCGAGCCGGTGTGTGTTGCGCGCGAGAAGGATGATGTGGGTTAGGCCTTTTGAGGCGAATTCGGCGGCGACGTGGTTTCCAATGCCGGGGCCGGCGCCGAAGAGGATGAGTGTGCGTGTCATGTTTGGATGTAGTGGGGAGAGTGGGTGATCGGCTTGGGGGAGTTGTATGGGAAGGTCGTGGAGTAGGTGAGCGTCAAGTGAGGTGGATGGGAACAATGGTACGGAGATGACTCCGTGGGTGATCGTTGGGGTTGCTGCTTAGGTATTGCATCTTGTTAGACAAGATCTCCCTTGACTTTATATACGAAGTCCTGCGTCTTGCTGATTCTTTTGAATAACTGTGATTGGTTCATTGTTGCATCGCCCAGCTGCATGTAAGCATTAATGCAAATCTGACAACTGCGGGATTTGTTTCTATTAGACATGTTTGGAAAATTGGGTAGGTGCGGTGTCGGTAGCTCTGAACCTTGAGAGTCGTTTGAAGGGAAGGAGATTGAAGTGATTGAAGGTTGAGTGTTGATGCGTTAGGGGAGGATCTGGAGCAGCCAGGTTAGTTCATTCTGATAATCAATCCTTAGCATATCACCAAAGCACTCAGTCACCGTTTACAGACGTCGAGAGAAAAAATAACTCCAGACTTCCCCTCAAGGCCAACGCCACGTTTCCTGTGATAGGACCTTACGCATTGTCCTTCCATTATCCCTGGAAGATACTGATATACAACCAGATTTCAACATATGGAATGTTCTTAACTTGAATTTGCGACTGTTCGTGAGGAAATGACTTGTGGGTGATATGAGTGATATGAGGGCGAAGAAAAAGAGTACAATGCAAGGCAGGCGCGCTAGCACGTGATGCACCTACCACCCGATCTCCATTGGTCATAGCGCAGCGCGTTCTCGGGAAACTATGTCATGCCTCAGAACTTCTAATTCCTCAAGCGCATTCATCTACATACAACTATACTCTGCGAACACGCCATCATACTACACACGCGCGAAGATGGATTTCTCCACAGAAGACGACGAGGCTATGCGCCAGTACATGCCTGCTCAATTCGGAAAAACAGACGCCGGCGTAAACGTTGAAGCGCAAGTCGAACGATGTCGTAGAGCGGTTGTCGATGAGAGCAAGGGTAGTAGGGACGCAAGATCAGACAAGGACTCGGACGACGACAGCGATGACGACGATGAGGATGACGACGAGTTTCCCGTTTCTCACGAATTGATTGTCAAGACGCACGACCGCGCCATTACGACCATAGCTCTCGACAACTCGGGCACGCGGTTGGTGACTGGCAGCAACGACTGTACGCTCAAATTGCATGATCTGAGTGCGCTTACGCCAAGTACGATACGCGCTTTCAAGACGGTAGATCCATTTACGACCAAGCCTTCGCAGACAGCCGAGTCGCATTCCATACACCAGGTTCTATTCGGCCCACATTCGGGCGGTCAGTTCTTGTGTATCACGGCGACGTCGCAAGCAAGGCTTTTCAACAGGGATGGAGAGCTTGTTTCGGAATTTGTCAAGGGCGACATGTATCTGCGAGATAAGCACAACACGAAGGGTCACACATCCGAGATTACGAGTGGCGCATGGCATCCTACGAACCGCGATCGGTTTGTCACTGCGGGAACAGACAGCACGGTGCGAATATGGGATGTGAACAAAAGGATGAAGCAGGAAGAGGTTATTGTACACAAGTCAAGAGCTGCTGGCAGCGCAGGAATGACAAGAATGACGGCTATTGCTTGGGGTGCTGCTGGTGATGGGGGGAGCAGTATGCTTGTTTCTGCAGCGCTGGATGGTAGTCTGGTTATGTGGGGTGGTGAGGGACCGTTCCATCGACCTGCGGCAGAGATTCGAGATGCCCATGTGAAGGATACCTGGACGAGTGGACTGGACATCAGTGCGGATGGAAGACTGGTGATCACAAGAGGCGGAGACGACACGATCAAACTGTGGGATACAAGAAAGTTCAAGACGCCCCTCAACACGACATCACACCCGTCCACATCATCACAATATCCCACATCGAACATCAAGTTCGCACCAAACTCGTCAAGCATCATCACAGGGTCTGAGACGGGCCATCTCCACATTCTCAACCCAGCAACTCTCCGCCCAGAGCTGGTAACACCAGTAACGCTAGGCTCCCCTCTGATATCAGTAAACTGGCATCCCAAGATCAACCAGATCTTCACGGGTTCTGCAAATGGCCAAACAACCATCCTTTTCAATCCCAAGCTCTCTACAGCTGGTGCCCTTACCATCCTCAGCAAGGCGCCCAAAAAGCGACATCTCGACGACGACCCCAACTTGACAGTCGACATGGATCCGCTAGGCATGGCGGGCGAGAATCCTAACGGTAGTTCCGGACTCCAGCCAGGTTCTTTTGCGGCTCGACACCCTACCATTGGACTCACAGCGTCAGGCAGATCTAGAGATCCGAGGAGACCGCATATCCCAGCCGTCACGCCGTTTGCAAAGAGCACACCCGATCAGAAGTATGTCATGGAGCAGATTGAAGGGTCGGACATGCGGGATGAGGATCCAAGGGAGGCGTTGCTGAAGTATGCGCCGAAGGCGGGAGAGAAGAACGTGTTTACCGGGGCGTGGGACAAGACGCAGCCGAACGCTGTGTATAAGGATTATGACAGTGATGAGGATGAGAGAGATAGTAAGAGGTCGAAGCGGTAGTGGCGTCTGTACTTTTGTAACCATATACCCATTATATATCACACAATCTGAGAGATTCAGTACATATTCGAATCGGCGCAGGTATGGAATATGAGTGGAACGTCTTGGCAACCACGTAAAACACCACACTAAATAAAACTTGACCCGCGACGCGCATCAACCACCCACCGACTTGTCTATCCGCCCGCCACATTCCAACATCAACCCCCACCACACCGAATAACCCACCTCACCCCGCACCACTCCGACACACATTCGAAAATGTTCTCGGCCCTCCGCTCCACCACGGCTGCCGCCGCCGCCCCGCGCACATGCAGCCGCGCCTTCAGCAGCACGCCCCGGGCGCAACTCGCGCGCATGACGGTCATCGGCCGGCTCGGGGTGGCGCCAGAAGAAGTGCAAATCTCGGGGGAGAGGACGCTGGTGCGCTATGTGCTGGGCACGAGCCATGGCAGGGGCGAGGAGAAGAAGACGAGCTGGTTTCGGGTTGCGAGTTTTGTGCGCGATGGGCAGAAGGACTTTTTGATGAGTTTGCCCAAGGGGTGAGTGTGTTTTTTTTGGGAGTGGATTGGGTTGGTGGGATGGATTGGGAGAGAGCAATTGGGCTGACATGGTTTTTTGATTTTACAGAACACTTCTCTACGTCGACGCTGATGCGCGCATGGATACGTACACGGATGCTGATGGCAATAAGCGCTCCAACCTTAGCTTGATCTCACGTATGTGTCCCTTGTGACCTGGGTGTGGAATGGTCCAGTAGCGAGATGGATGCTAAATCTGGTACTAGGAAACTTCGAGGTCCTCGCCCGCGCCCGTGTCGAAGAGGGCTCTGAGAACCCAGAGGCCAACGATGAGGGTCTCGTGCATGAGGGATCTGGTTGAGCGTGTGGTATCTTTCACGCACCGCTTCTGCGCTCAGCGAATGGATTCTTGTAATGAGGGTATGAAAGGGTTTTACTGCACTTGGGATGAGTCAATGATGGAAGAGGGGTGATGATGGATGATATCCGACTTCAAGCGGCGCTGTAGGGCTTATGGTTGCAGACGTGTATCAAGAAGTGAGCTGTATACTACTCGAGGAATGTGTTTTTGGTGCAATCTCCGCTCTGGTAGTGGTGCAGATGCTTTCAGGATGGCCTATCGAATGATACCTTTTTCCCATGACATAGCACGAATGTTTCTGGGCGCACAAGACAGTTTTTAGCATATTGGTCCCGCTCAAGGTAGACGCACAATTCGAGGATCGTCGTCATCTGAGTGACGGTGCTCCCACATGACTTCGTGCGGCGAAATCGAAGACCTCCGCGTTCCCACGCGAACTTTTTTGGCGCACCCTCGACTCCCCACACACGCCATCCCGCTATCTTCCCAATGCAGCGAGCTGTCCCCCAACGAGCGCGCCAGCTCTGGGGCCATGCGCCGCGCGTGCGGTCCTTCAATCGCAGCCGCCGAGCCTTTGCAACAGTGTCCGACGCCGAACAACGGTAGGCCAGCACGCCACTCTACATCCACCTCCACATCTACATCCACGCATCCGCCCGTCTAACACACCACTCGCAGACGCTACGATGTCATCGTCATCGGCGGCGGCCACGCGGGCTGTGAAGCATCGGCAGCAGCAGCCCGCGCCGGGGCACGAACGGCCCTCGTTACCCCCAAGCTCGACAACCTCGGCGTCTGCTCGTGCAACCCGTCGTTTGGCGGCATCGGCAAGGGCACCATGTTGCGCGAGATCGACGCCCTGGACGGCGTTGTGGGTCGCATTGTGGACAAGGCCGGCGTGCAGTTCAGAGTGCTGAATCGCAAGAAGGGGCCGGCCGTGTGGGGGCCCCGGGCGCAGATCGACAGGGCGCTGTATAAGAAGTACATGAGGGAGGAGATTGTCGGTTATCCGAATTTGGACGTGGTTGAGGGGAGTGTGGCGGATATCATCGTCGACAGGACCGAGGGCGTCGAGGGGCGGGGCAGCTACGGGAACATGACGGGCGTGCGGCTGGAGAGCGGCGAGATCATTCACACGGGGAATGTGGTTATTACGACGGGCACCTTCTTGGGCGGCGAGATACACATCGGGCTCGAAGCCTACCCGTCGGGGCGCATGGGCGAAGCGGCGACGTTTGGCCTGAGCAAGAGCCTGAGGGATGCTGGCTTCACGCTGGGCAGGTTGAAGACTGGGACACCACCACGGTTAGACAAGAAGAGCATCGACTTCGACGTGCTGGAGGCCCAGGAAGGAGACGACCCGCCCACGCCCTTCAGCTACCTGAACGAACGAGTCCAGGTCGAACAACAGCTGCTGAACTACGAAACGCGCACAAACGAAGCCACGCACGACATCATCCGCCAGAACCTCGACAAATCCATACACATCCGCGAGACGGTCAAGGGGCCGCGGTACTGCCCCTCGGTCGAGGCAAAGGTCACGCGCTTCACCGACAAGACCTCGCACATCGTCTGGCTCGAACCAGAGGGCTTCGACAACGACGTCATATACCCCAACGGCATCTCCATGACCATGCCCCCAGACATCCAGGACGCCATGCTGCGGACCATAAAGGGCCTCGAAAACGTCACTATGCTGCAACCCGGTTACGGCGTCGAGTACGACTACGTCGACCCCCGCCATCTGCGCTCCACGCTCGAAACAAAGAATATCTCTGGGCTCTTCCTCGCCGGCCAAATCAACGGTACAACAGGCTACGAGGAAGCAGCAGGCCAGGGAGTCGTAGCAGGAATCAACGCCGGCCTCCGCAGCCTGAACAAAGACCCCCTCGTCCTCACAAGAGCAGACGGCTACATCGGCATCATGATCGACGACCTAATCACAAAAGGCGTCTCAGAGCCCTACCGAATGTTCACCTCCCGCTCCGAATACCGCATGTCCGCCCGCGCCGACAACGCCGACACACGCCTCACCCCCCTCGCCCACGCCGCAGGCATAATCCGCCCCGAGCGCTGGACCGCCTTCTCCCGCGAAGCAGCCGACATGCACGCCCTCACCACACTCCTGCAGAACACTACCATGGGCTGCAAAGACTGGAAAAACAACGGCTTCACAGTCCGCAACGATAGCTCAAAACGCTCCGCTTACGACCTCCTCCGCATGGCTCACATCTCCCCCAAATCACTCACTCACATCCTCCCCAGCTTGGCGAACTTCTCCCCCCACGTCCAGGCTCGCGTTCACATCCAGGCCACCTACGCGCCGTACGTCGCGTACCAAGCTACCGCCCAGTCCCGCTGGCTGAGAGACGAGGGCCTGCGCCTCCCAGACGATATGCACTATGAATCTATCTTCGGCCTCAGCTTCGAGGAGAAGCGCGTCCTGGAGGTGGCGCGGCCGGAGAGCGTGGGCCAGGCGCGGCGCGTCGAGGGGGTTACGCCTGCGGGGGCGCTGAGGCTGCTGCAGTTTGTTAAGGGGGTGGGGAGGGGGGAGAGGGAGGCTAGGTTGAGGGTTGAGGTCGAGCGGAGGAAGAAGAGGTTTATGGGGGGTGTGGGGGTGGAGGTGGAGGGTGTGTGATGGTGTGGTGTGTGGGTTTGTTTGCATTGGGTGGCGTTTTGTGTGGGATGGGTGGCTTTCTGCCTGCTTGTGGCGATGCTTGGAGTGAATCGAGAAGAAGCCGAGGTCGATGTTCAATGCTTTCGAGTCGTTCTCATATGTCAGAGCGTGTCGTGTACTGCATTCCTTTCCCCGCAAATGCCATGCATTCCATTCCATTCCTCCCGCCACTAGCCTCGTAGTCCTCCATCCGAGATCAAGACAAAGACGCACATCGCCATCTACATCCAACCGATTCAATCCAACCAAACGAGAGGAAACGAGACGCAGGATAGACCTAGCAAAGGGGACGGGATATTGCACTGTCCATACAGGAAACGCTGGCAAAATAATGATATACTCGCACGCGTAACGGAATGTAGTGTAGACCAAAGGATACAGATGCGCACAACGCGCACACGTCAAGCGGTGGTAGTAGAACAGGCCGAAAGACACGATGAGAGTGACAGACGGATGAGGATGAGGAGCAGGAGAAAAGGGAGGATGCAAGACGACTAGTAAAGACCCAAAGCGACGGTAAGACAGGGGTTTATTTCTTTTCAAGTTGCCGGCTGGTTGGAAGCGGGGGAGGAAGGGAGGGAGGGAGCAGGTCGGAATAAAGGAAGCAAGTAAGTAGGCGGGCAGGCAGGTTGGTATTTGCGGGTCGCGGGTCGCGGGTCGCGGGACGACGAAAGGAAGGAGGCGCCGGAGTGTTGGGATCGGGGGTACGATGTCATGCCATGTATGCAAGCATAACTGCTTTAACGAGAGGGACGGCATCACACCACCCCGAGTAGGGGAAGATAGCACAAGACAACACAAGCAGAACAAATAGATATATATGCGTGATATTGTATTGATAGATCTAGTATTATACACAAAACAAACGCCTCACAAAGGGGGGGTGGGGAGGGGATGGTGGTGGTGGTCCAGTCCGGACCAGTCCAACGGGTATCGTCATATCCACCAGTTTTTGCCATGAGGTGATTTGCCACGCCAAGATGAAAAGCTTCGTTCGAAAAAGGGCCAGCAAGAGGCCAGTCAACAAAGGCTAGGCAAGCGAAAGGGAAAGGGAAACGAAGAAAGATAGCTAGCTAGCATGCTCGTATACAAACCACACCGAGCATGTGACGAAAAAAAGGAAAAAAAGAAAGAAAGAAAAAACCGAAGGGTGGGGGGAATCATGTGTCGTCGTCGTGTCCAGTAAGTACAGTAGTGAGATATCCAAAAATGTACCACCTGTATATAGCCAAGGAAGAAAAGAAAAGAAAACAAAAAAGTGCGATGCAAGGCAAGGCAATGCAATGCTGTGCTATGCGATGGTTGTGCAGACATCATAACCAGATGCTCCACAAGGAAAAGAAGATAACCCCATCTAGAAAGATTAAAAGAAATGGGGGCAATAAGAGGTCAAAGAAAAGAAAACAACATGGCACACCAGATTTGCTGCGCTAAATGCTCGTTTCACTTTGTCGCGTTGTTGAGATGAGGGTGGCGATCGACTCAGTAGTGGCTACCGGCCATAAGCTGTTGTGGCGTCGCCATAGTAGTCATGCCAAGCCCAGGCCCTGGAATGTCGGCATAGGACCCGGTAACGTGTGAGAGACCAGAGCCGTAATCGTTGCCAGAGTCAGGGGAATCATCCTCTGGCATGTGGATGATGTCTTCCTCGCCTTCGAGGTCGTCCTCGTTGTAGTCGCTGAGCGGCTCGCCGTCTGCACGAGGTTCATGTGTGCGACGATGTCTATGGTTGTGATTAGCATACATGCTTGCGACGACGAATGATTGGAGCCACTTACTGTGCGAGGTTGTCTGAGCGCGAGAAGGCCTTGTTGCACAACGGGCAAACGTATGGTCGTTCTTGTGTGTGGGTACGCACGTGTCTAAGCGCCCAATGTCAGCGTCTATCGTGATTTATAAATAGCACACACATCTCAACCACCCATTGACTTTGAGATGCGAAATGAAAGGATGATGAGCGCTTACCTCTTAAGATGCTCTAACCTCTTGAATAGCCTACCACAAGTCGGGATTGGGCATGAATGTGACTTCTGTGGGTAGGGACCGATCTCCATCATGGTGGCGCTGCGAGCGCGTCGATAGACGGGCGCGGCGCCAGCGGTTCGGGCCAGAGCGCTGTGCTGTAAAGGTGTCTCGAAGAGTTCGCCGTTGACCATGCTGTTGAGGTCCTCGTGATGCAAGACAGCATGTTGGAGCTCTGGGCTTTCCTCGACAGTGTTCAGAGGAGTGCCTTGTCGGGACAAGTGTGACATGTCGACGATGGGCTTCAAGTCTGCTGTCTGCGGGGCATAGCTCGAGCCACGAACGCTGCCAGGCGAGTTGTGGGTAGACTCATCAACCTCAGCAACAGGAGCAACAGAGCTAGAAATCGATCGCCTGAGTTCACTAGGGCGGTGAACCTGGTGAGCAGCACCAGCGGCGCTAACTGCAGCTTGAATCCCAGCCGAGAGTGACGAACGCCTTCTTCGTTGCTTATATGTTGGTGAGCCCTCGATGACCGAGTAAACGTTCCCTGGCGCGAATGGCCTGGAGACGCCCGGAAAGCTAGGGTGACCCATCAGGTTTGATGGTGGGATATTCATAAGCGGATTGAATGTAGTTGGTACTGGAAGATCTGGGATGGCACTGTAGAGACCCGTGTCCTCGTTGGCGATGTATGCTGGCTCCGCACCAAGGCTCAAGTGGTGCTGCGGCGGTGTCAAGGGCTCAAAGGACATACCACGCGTGCTGTAGTCTTCATAGTGGGAGGAGACAAATGAAGGTGCAGGTGAGTACTCCATGTAAGCTGGCATTGAGCTGTGTCGTTGGTGAACCTGTGAAAGCGGGATACCGTTTCGGTCGTACTGCATTTGAGCGCTGAACTCGCGCTCTCTGCTCTTCATGACAGGATGGTGCATAGTTGGAGGCATGGGCATTTGGTGGTACTGGGCCATTGGGTCTTCGTGGTGGTGGTGGTGTTGTTGGTGATGATGTTGCTGCTGCTGCTGCGGTTGGTGGTGAACGGGCTGAGGCATTGGCGGCATCGGCTGCGGGACAGACACCGGCACCATGTTTGGTGGGGGCATCGAATCCATCCCCCGCATATCAGGTGGGGTAGTCTGAGCATAGGGTTGAACGTTGTTGTTGAATGACGAAGAGTTCGTCTGTTGTGCCTTGGTGAGCTGCTCAAACAGGGACTGCGACGAATCGAATTCGAAGGATAGCGCAGGCTCGCTCACAGCCATGGTGGTCGCCTCTTGACCCATCTTCTCTCGCTTGAGGTCGCGCTCCAAAGCATCGAGAAACAGTCGGTCGTGAGGTACACTGTACCAGTAAAATACTTTTTGCTTCTTTTGAGTTCGAATGCAGTTGTTCTTGTACAAGAAATCAAGAAACCCGCTCTTAGGTTCTTCCAGCGACGCATCTGTGCCTGACTTCAAATTGCGAAGATCTGAGAAGATGCCCTCTTCGAACTTCTTCGAGTTCTTAACAGGGCGGCCAAAGGCCTGAAATCTGAATGACAGGCATCGCACGATGTCTGTGCCTGAAATGTGAAAGAGATTGTTCCTGCATGGTTGTTAGAATTGAGTTTGATCACATGACGACGGTGCGAATAATTGATTGCACCTACCATAGTACACAAGAAACATATTCGCCTGTTGGCAGTAGGAATCTGCGAATGTATTGATCCGGTTGCCAGTCAACAGGTGCTGAGATGAGAAAATACTTGACTACACGAGCGTTAATCAACAGTACAACAAGCACATGCGCTTTCGACAACGATGCGCGATTGTGGTGGAGGCATGGATGGGAACGTACGATTGTCGACTTGCTGCAGGGCGACGACGCTGTCAGGTGGGAGGCTTTGCTGAGCATCCTGATCTAATAAAAATGTCTCGGGCGCGACAGAGCGTGCCTGAGGCGGCGGCATGGCAGCATGGTGATGTGAACTGGGATACATTGTGCGTTGCAACACGTGCGTCTATACAAGAAGGGTTTTGGGTTTGGTGCGTCAGACGTGGTGGCGCGGGTGTCGAGATGGAACACGACGGACAAAGAGCGCGAACAGGTCCTGCCGGATTCGACTGAGCAAAGATGAGGCGTATGGCGAAGGAAAAAAGACCAGCAGCCGGTTTGAGATATGATAAGTGAAAAGAATCGTGTCGAGGGCCTGCCTCGGAGTAGAGCAGTCGCGACGACGAGCGAACTGGGCAAAGTGAGGTTGGGATCTTGGGGATACGAAACACAAATCTGAGGGGAGAGCGGCAGCTTTAGGTTGTCAGAGGGGTGAAACAGCGAGGTTAGCGGTTTTAGAATCAGCTATTTTAACCCAAGTCAGCGACAGGGCCTGTGCAGCCAATTGTCGGCGCCATTGCCAAGCGGGCGACTCGCGGGAAAGTGGGTGCTGGGATAGTGCCATGGACCATGCCTGCGCCGATTAGGACGGCATCATGCGTCCAGGCCGGTGATGGGTCTGGGGGTGCCCTTTGCGCGCTGTTGCCAGTCGGTTGCTTGTCGGCTGCGCGCTGCCTCCAGCCTCCAGCCCTTTTGCTGTTGTGCCTTGCCTGCCGAGCACTCGGCGCACCCACTGCTTGCGGCCTAGCCCGTCGAACGCTGCTCCCTAGAGCCTGCCCGCGAGCCATGGACGACACAGACTTTGGGTTTGCCCATCTCGAGTATCGATCGTCACGGTCCGACGGGCGCTGCTTTGCAACACCGCGACGGGCTCTGTTGCGTCAGTTGGCCTCTGGCTCCAGGCCGACGTCGTCGACGGTTTGTCGTCATCGACGCCCGCCTGTCACGCCTCCCAGCCGACGGCACATTGCACCACCGTCGCCACCACGAGGCTGTCGACTGCCCGTCTCGCCTTATCAGGGCCACCACCAACTTGACTGCTCACCAGCGTGCGCCTGGCCTGCGCAAAAACCACATCCCCTTAGCTCGACTGCACTGGCACTTGCCGGTACTGGCCGCTTACACCAGGCTTATGACTGCCTCTGTGCAGACACAAACCATCGAACCACTTCGCTTGCGCTTCTTCACACGTCCAGCACACAGCATCACGAGGCCGTGTCGTCCAAGACCGCATATTCCCGTGGCTGGTCAATTAACGAACTGAGGTGCATATCCACATGCAGGAACCAGCACATCGTTTGATCTTCCGTCTGAAACAGGCTTTTCCCCGACCTGCAGGAGGACCACCATCTCAACCGTCACTTGCTTTGGGGGCATTTCGTCCTCTTTCGGGTTTTTTAGCTGTGTCGCACGTCATGCCGCTTTTTCGCTCACTCTCGACCGTGTGCTCCTTCCAAGTAGTCTGTGACTGATCGTACTGCTGCCCACTTGTCTGCCAGCGAGACGCTCTCCACACAAGCCGTGGGTGTGGTGGAAAGCCGTTTCATAATTGGTTTTGCTCAGGGTTTTAGCCTAGTCCAGTTTGCCCGTTGCGCAAAGCAGCGAATCAGAGGCATTGGGCGACGGCCTACTCGACTTTCCAAGCGCTACCACCTGGCTGTCTGTGAAGATGGAGTGCTGCCCCAGAACTTGGTCACCTGCAGATCGTTTCCCGGGCATTTACAGTACCCTTGCAGCACTACTGTTGGCGAGGATAGTTATGCTCTGGACATATGTCGCTGCATGCGCCGCTACGCAATCAGCATTCGCGAGTGACCACCGACCCGTATTTAGTAGAGAGTTCAGCCGGTGGCTCGTTTCCACCCATGACCCACTCTACACCAATTCGGTCGGAGACTACAAATGCGTCACAGATCTATACCTATACGGCGCATAGTTTTGCGCGATGGAGACATGCAGAGTCATGCTCATGAACCGTTTCTGTGCCCGCTAGATGTCTTGCTGTAAGTTCATGCATTCCCGTTTCTCAAATAAGCAAAAAACTTGCATGGCTGAATACTGGCACACTCAATGGGCGCACGGAGTCTGTACCTGCGTTAGCGTGGTCGAGTACCACTCCTGAAACTCATACATTTTCTCCCTGAACACCTGAACAGGAAAAATGTTGTCTAGAATGAGAATGGTCCCGCTTAAACTCTCCGTGCCTGCATCTTTCGATAGTCGTATGCAAGAAGGCCATCCCGCTTACCGTTCTCCTGGTCGACCTCGATGCTTAATATGCGGTTGATATCGGACGCCAGTCATGTATTGCAGCTGTGCCGAAAGACGCCATTCATGCCGACCTTCCGAAAGTAGATTGCTTTGGACGGAGGAGAATAGGAGGTTACTGTAGACGAGAGTAGGGCGAGTTGGTTAAGCGGCATGAGCCGAAGATGAACAACCACCTGGAAGAGTTTAGCCGTCCTATCCACATTCAGGTCCACATCTGTATATTTCTCTGACAGTGTAAGGTTTCATGACTGTACTGACAGACGGCACAAGTATGTTCCATAGAGCTAATTATATCAGCAGGTTGTCTAAGATCCAGCCAGTAGAAGTCCTATGCTACTAGACCCTTGATTTTGGTCGACGTCTCTGCAAGAATGCCTGGATGGTCCAGTTGGGACAGCACCATGTACGGCGGTTTGACGTGCATGATGTGATCTCATTGCATCAGGACTTGGGATTCTGTAACGCACTTCGATGGCGTTTCAGATAAGCTCTCTGCGTGCAGAAGGGTCTCTAAGAATACCGCAACCGCGCCTTGGCCATCGTGGGGGATCTGATTGACCCGCCAGTAATTGTTGCGCAAGCATCAGCCCTGGGGAAACAGATGGTCCGCACGGGTAGCCTGCTCTGTTGAAGCGAGCGTCAATACTTGATGCTCAAATATGACATTCGCTATCAACTATCAATGTCAGCAGTCGAAACTACAGACTTCCGGTATCGTGTCAGCTCCGTTCTTCGTACTTACACCACATGACTCCAATTCTATCCGTCTATTGCACCATCATTCTCGAAGCTTTCTAGGTTCAAAGGATAAGGTTTGCTAGCGGAAGCTACGCTCAGCTATCCAAGCGAATCCACCGAATGTTCCTTAGCGTCGGCTTCATGCACGACACATGACACAAGACCACCATGCCAAACTTTATTTCTAGATGTTCATGTAAGAACCACGGCGGATGATGCGGCGATTTGCATTTCCTACCAGGGATAGTTGGAAAGAGCGCTGACTCTCGGACGGGGAATCCTCGTATACAGGGACCAGAAGGTGCGGGTAAGAAACCTACTCCCGCTGCAAACGCATAATCTAGTGTGAGCATTGGCCGTAGTAGCAGCATCACCGGAGATTGGCAAAGGGCCACCATCACTGCTCGCTCAAGTTGATAACTAAACATCCAAATTTGGACGCCAAAAAAGCTGATATTATCCCCCTAAGCCTCTTAGTGTGGCCGAGTTGTCAAAGTCTCACGAAATATCAGGGTTTTGGAAAAGATTTGTACAGCTTACGCACGATGTTAGCAAGAAATAGTGGACACACACTGCATACGCTAGGTATCGAGTCGAACTTGGGTAAACAAAGTTTTGTCGGACTATCGAGAACCTTTGGAGAAGCCCCAGCAACAGTGCAACTCACCCCATAGTGGATACTGGAGGTCGCAAAAGGCAAACGCGGAAAATCCAAGAAACCCCCAGAATCGCTCGACTTGCATTTGCAGCAAAGCCACGGTAGTCGGCGCAATCAAGCGGCGAGAATCGATTCATGGCTGCATGTAGCGGAAGCAGGCTTCCGTTGACGACCGCAGCCTCCTTTTCTCGCTTCTTGGAGCAGCGAACGATGCGGCAGTCTAGGAAGCCAGATCTCCTTTCATGGTTGGAGTGTTCAATTGGCAGTGCGTTGGCAGTGCAGGGTCTGGATATCGTGCTCATGCCTGACAGTGAGTATCCTTTGGCGCCATCTGCTGATCGTGTATCTCCGGTTCGTTGGAGACTTCAGCTGTGGAAGTCAATGTCATAGAGACTAGACTCTAGAAGATACAACAGTACCTCGATTATCCTTCCACAGATAGGTATCTGAGCGCCTACAATGATTGCCTGCCAGGTTGGGATAAACTACCCGTCCTATCAGAGTTTATAGTACTGCTAGGTGTGCAAGGAAGTGCCTTGAAAACTAATCTCGACACTGCCTTGTTGGGAGACCGATCTGATGTCGATATACTGTGGTACGTCTCCCCTCCCCGCAGTAAAAGCCCCTCTCCACTCCAGGTTCTAATATCCAATTTGTCCGGGTTGCTGATCAATGAACGTTTGACCAATCCGTGAGCGTCCTGAAAGGTACCCACAAGAGGTGAATGGCTTATACTTGAGGGGGTACCATGGTACAAGCGAACACGTCTGTCATGTGTTGTCACTATGCAATAGCAGACACTGCACATGACCTCCCTGTCTGAAGGTGCTATATGTAAACCATCGTAAGGCTTGAGTATAGGGATAGCTGGACATTCACTTCAATGACCTTGCGCCGTGTGACGTGACGTCCAAAGCTTCACTTCCTGAGCAGAGGCGAGGACTCTGTGGGCACAGCCCCAAGGAGTTCCAGGTCGACAACCATCTTCGAGAAAAGCAGATGCAGCGACGCAGATGTTGGGTGTCTAGTGCCAATAGAATATACAACGAAGAATATACAACGAGTAGGCAAGTCGAGACGTGATGATGGAAAGTCAGGATCGCTGCCACTTCCGTCCTTAGCGGTTCTTGGCAGTGCTCTCATGCTTTCGTCATCCAGGAACCACAGCACTCACCTCCATAACAACATATGAGGACGCAATCGCGATAGACATATCTATGGCGGGTGCCAGAATACCTTCAGCAATTACTGCTTTCGCTCTCCAGCCCTCCAACAAGCTGCAGGCTTTGTCTCGGTTTCCACGGATCAGCCAAGCTTTTCTCCCTGTGTGCTCACGTGCCTCATGTTCTTGGGCTAAACATGGCGCTTCCTTACGGACTGGAGTGCTGTCAGGATCCAAAACCTACAAATCATCTCGTTTAGAGAGCATCGGAGCCTTCAGCACTTCGACATTTCGCGGTATCGGCTCTGAGAATGGAAAGAATGTCTCACCACAGACTTCTGTCAATGGGCAGGTACAAGAGGTAGGTTAAAGTTTTTCCACATCTTTCTGTTCCTTGATGACAGTTTTCCCTTCACCTGTCTATCTTGATGTTCCGGATAAAACGGTCTGTCTTTGCACATGTCATTGTATTTTGAGCGTCGATTTGGAACTTGTCAGATCCATGGACCTTGCTTCTCCTTCGAGTACTGTCCCCGTAATACAATGTTGTATTTTTGGTACCAGAGGCACATGTCATGATCCCATCTTGGTTGTGGTTGGCTTCATCAATAGCCTCGAGATGCCACCCCGTAACAACAAGCGCTTCGCTCAAGTGTAGGACGTGCGAATGATGAGTCCCATGTGGACCAAGCATACTAACTCGACTTCAGCATGCAGAATCACCTTCAGCAATCTCAAGTCTTACCTCAACACTGAAGGCCAAGGCTCGACACGAGCAAGTCTGGAACGTCCCGAATATCCTTACATTCTCTCGTTTGTTAGCAACCCCAGCAGTCGGTTATCTCATCATCCACGACCACCATCTGTACGCCTTCTCCCTGTTTGCCTATGCTGCTTTCTCCGATCTGCTCGATGGCTGGATAGCTCGACGCTGGAATCTGCAAACCGTTGTGGGAAGTGTTGTAGACCCCATGGCCGACAAGTTCCTTATGACAACCCTGGTCGCCTGTTTGGCTGTGAATGGGAGCATGCCGCTACCTCTAGCCACCATTATACTTGGAAGAGATGTCAGTCTTGCCGTGTCCGCGCTCTACTATCGCTACGCGAGTCTTCCCGCTCCGAAGACAATGGCGCGATACTGGGACTTCAGCCTTCCGAGCGCCGAGGTACATCCGACAAACATCTCCAAGTTCAACACCTTCCTTCAACTCAGCTTGTTAGGCACACTTCTTTGCACCAACCTTTTACACGACCCTTCGGCTACTTCTTCCGCAGCAGGCGGTCTTCTGCTCTCAATTCAGGAGTTGTTGGGCGGTGAGGAGGGTGTTAAAACCATGATCACTGGTATGTCAGCTATCGTCGCCAGTACGACACTCTATAGCGGACTGGAATATACTTGGTTGAAGGACGCAGTCAAGATTTTAGGTGGAGATGAGGAGTTGAAAAGGAAGCAGGGACTCAGAGGTCGAATGATTATGGCGACTAGCTATGGAGCTTTCATCGCGCTTGCGATAGCTTTTTGGTACAAGGGACAGAATAAGCCAGAAGATGCAGCGGTGAAGGAGAAAAATTAAGGATGGGTTATGCTCAAAGTATTCTCAAGCGTGGTACTGTATCTCATCATTGAAAATGGGATATTGAAAGGCTTCATACAACATCCTTCCTTTCTTCATAGCACCGTCTTCTAGAGCATGTAAACGAAGCTCAGATCCAAAATCAACATATTGCATTTCACATTCTTCGGAACGCATCCTCATACCACTGTCCCTTCCCGTGATATCGTCCCATACCTCACTCCTGCTTCCGCAAATTTTGATAATACTGTGTCCCCAGTGTCTAAATTTCTTTGTTCACGAATTCCCCAAAATTCTATTCGCCTACAACACAAGTCAAAGTTTATGTTGTAGCCATTCCTTTCAGTGCCAATGATCCCACTCAAGCTGTACATATGCGACTTACATCCAATTTAAATGTATCCCGAATCTATAATGCCACCGACAACAAGTAGACAGCACAGATTCAACTCCAGTGCCATGGACAAGGAGGGGAAAACAACCGAGACGTTGCATCACGATGGCGAAGCGGATGACGGGGTGTTTCCCAATACTGGAAACGATGGTACCTGTCAACAGTATGTTTCATGTCAAAATGAAAACATGGAAACTCTGAACAGTAATAACAAATACGAAAATATAAATGGCAACGCAGAGTCAGGCAGGGTACGGAAAAAGATACCTTCACGACAGCCGCAACCATCACATCGAGACCTGCTCCACCCAGCACAACAACCCAATGACAAGCTGTTAAAATTCCCTGACCCACCACGTGCATAATATCCGGCTATGGCTCAAGTAAGGCATGCAGAATACATCTGCGGGTATCGCGACACGCGACTGCAGCTCCGACGCGACGAGACAATACGATGTATGTACTGCGGGCATCGCGTACTTTTCAAAGCGCGAGCAAAGAAGATGGTACACTTTGAAGCGCAGCGAGAGAGCTCCGCTGGGATAGAATATAGATGGATACAAGTATACAGTAATATACATACACCTTGATATGTTACACATCACTCACCATCCATGTCCTTTGCCCAGCTCAGCCGACTCAGACCATCTTCCCCTTGCCTTCCCACGTCCGCACTGCATCCGCAAACAGCTTCCGACACGGCACCCGTGAGCCCAGTCTCGCGCACAGCAGAAACGCTCCGCTCAACTTCCGATGCAAACTATACGTTTCCTCGGGCGGCGGCGCCAATCGCTCCTTGACCATGACCGGAATGAAACTCCTCACTCGATCCGTAATCGTCTGGTCCCTGAAATCGTACACCGCTGGCCCCTCGCTCTTGAACGGCTCCGCGAGCGTCAGTACAGATTGCGTGTGCGCGTCGAGCATGGCGGGCGATTCATCGCCAGTCAGGTAACCGAGTTCAAGGGATAGAGTGCGTATAGATTCTGTGTCGCCCTTCGATGCCGCGATCAGCACCTTGACATATGGCTCCACGAATTTATCCGGATAATCTCTCGACGCGCCGAAGTCTAGTAGTTCGATCTTCTGTTTCACGGGATTGTACAGGAAATTTGTCCAGTTGGGGTCTGTTTGCATGAACTTGAACTCTACAATCTCTCGTAGACACAGGCGCAGGATCTGTGTGCCGATCCAATCACGTTGCTCTTGTGTCAGGTTCTTCAATTTTGTGACACCGACGCCGCCCATGAGTTCGGCGGTGAGGACTTCGCGCCCGCTGGCTTCGGGGAAGACTTTTGGTACGGTGAAAGCGTCTGTGTCGTCGGCGAGGAGGTCGCGGAAGCGGGTCTGGCATGAGGCTTCGCGCGTGTAGTCACACTCCCAGCCAAGTTCTGTGCGGGCGTTGGCGATTGTTTTGTCTAGAAACAACCCTTTGGGAAGAAGGCGCGATGCGGTCAGGAGGAGAGACAGATTTGTTAGGTCAGAGTTTATGGAACTGGCAACGCCGGGGTACTGAACCTTGACGGCTACTGATTGTCCGGTTGATTTCAGAACTGCTTTGTGGACTTGGCCGATTGATGCTGCTGCGATAGGGACGTCTTCGAACGATTCGAAGAGATCACGCCAGCCTGAACCAAGGTTGTTGGAAAGCACTTTGTCGCGCTGAGACGCAGGCATATAGTCTGCGCTGTCCTGCACTCGCTGCATTACTTCGTGAATTGCAGGTGGTAGCATCTTCATGTCTGTTTTGTGTGAGTATTGCACAACGCTGCGATTTACTTCCCGTACCTTGAAGACTAATCATCTGCCCAAGCTTGAGGGCAGCGCCTCGCATTCGGGAGAGTTTGGCCACCAATACCTCAATGTTCCCAGGACTGAGCATTAACGAGCCGGTGGTCGCTGCGGCACCGCCAGTGACGCGACGAAGTCCCTCGCCTACAGCACCTAGTGCCATACTAGTACCAAGACCAGCATATTGCCACAGGCGTCCAAACCGTGATGATGGGACCCTAGACTCTCGTAGCGCATACGGAGTTGTTTCTGGCACTGTGCTCATCTCGCTGGGTATCTAGCGTATAACTGTCAGCGAATCAGCATACTTCGTACAAAGTGGGAAGACCAATGTACTTCAGATGCGACGACGTTAGACTGAACGTCCTTGGCTAGCTCAGATGCGAGATCTTGCATCTCTTTCTCGGTAGTAACAGGACGAGCATCTTGAACAGATTGTTCTGGCTTCAAAGGTCCAGTCTGCTCTCTTGCGCGAACTTTGGAAGTATCACTTGTCTGAGTACCAGTACGATCAAATGGAGCTCTGTTGGCGCCCTTCATCTCCAAGTGTTCTTTGCGCGAATAACGATCTCTTCCAAGCATTCTTGCTACGCGTTTTGAATGGAACACATCCGTGTTGATTCCTTCTGGTATCTCGTCCTTTTCAGGCACAGCGGGTTGACCAGAGAGTTCACCCTTTGGTGTTTGTTCCTGATCGGGCTTGGGGACGGAGTAGTACACGTCCTGATTCAGACGTTCACGAGTATCGCTTTGCTGCCTGTCTCCTGTGTGCTCAGGTATCTGCGAGCCAGTCTGAGTATAAGGGACTTGTTGTGATTCAACAGATCTGGTGTAGAAGACATCCTTGTCATGACCATCTTGCAGTTTCCGTACTTGCGAGGATATAGGAGGTTGTTGGAGATCGTTGGCATGAGATAGAATAGTATCCACGTGTTGAGCAGAAGCTCCACTGAGTTTCCCTGGTACAGGTATTGTGGACTCGGTAGATTCTATCGGCCTGATGCCCTCAGCGTCGCCTTCGCTCTGCCCATTATCCTCCACCAATGGTTCTATTGGCGCCTCAGGAATAGGTCGCTTAGAAAACGTATCTTGTCCTCTTGTCTCATCGCCCAGGGTGGCCTCCGAAGTTGGTATTGTTCCATCTGGCAGTGGTTGGCGTGGGGCCTCCTCCTGTGTGATGTGCAGCTCTTCCTCGGGTGGCGGATTGGTGACGGTGTTCTGACCCGATCGATCATAGTGATGATCCTGTTCCAAGCCCTCCTTCGTTATCCCTTCTGGCGCATCGCCCTTGACTGTGTCTGTGCTGGGAATATGTGCATCCTCGTGGTGTGTGCCTGTTGCTCGTTCGGTCGCGGCTCTCGCATACACTGGTGCTTCTTCGCTGAACCGTTTCGAGAGGGCAATGGCGGCGGCGGCCGTGAGGGTCACGCGATCTGTCTGGTTCTTGACGGCTTTCGCTAAGCTTGAGGACCTATTGTAAGCATCGAGCTGCTGCGACCGAAGCGCGATGTGCTTCTGTGCGATGGATTTGGACGCATTGAATAGTTTCGCAGCGTCAACGAGCCGTCGACCTGCCATTGGATTCGAGATGAGAGGCTATCGATATGGGTGCTTCATGGCTTCATGTGTCAGACTACTGGGGTAAGCTGTGTAACATGTACGAAAACTATACATCACCAAGCAGCGTCATGACCCGCAGTTAGCGTTGAAGCTATCCTGACATGTGATTGGCTGACCTTCCTATACTACTTTCAAGCCAATGCCACCCAACACTTTGCCAAACAGGATCAACAAACGTTTTCTGATCTGCTTCTTCGTGACTGGTGTCTTGATGTTCCATGCATTGGGCTCATTCATAGCTGTGCTTTTTCTTTCCTAACTCCAGCGCAAACGACACAACATCAACATCGGTGTCGGATGACACCTCCCGATCCGCAACATCTGCACATCAATTGCCGCAAGTTAGGACAAACTCCCAGAAACAAAGGCCTTCTCGCAATTCACAGGTCCGCGACCTCTTAGGATATTGGTTGCAGAGCGCCTTGCAATTTCACACATCTCTCCCACCTCCTCCCAACCTCTCACACGCCATTTCAACAATGGCTTCAAATCGTGGATCCGTCTCTATCTCCTCTCCTTCAGCAGAAGAACGAAAGATGAAGATTGCATGCCTTCAGTTTGCGCCCGAAGTGGGCAAGGTTCAGGAAAACATGTCAAGGGCAGACAGTATTCTACGAGACACACAGCTCCCCTCGGATCTGGACTGGCTGGTTCTGCCCGAAATGGCGTTTTCAGGTAAGCCATTGGTGCTTGCTTCAGATTAGGTTTCCTCCAACGGAGCTAGACGCAGGGTCGCGCCGGAGCATTTATTCGGCATCGATATTCTATGCAGATCACCGGCACGGACACTCACGTGTCTGCCTTTCCAGCAACATCCTAATTTATGATATTTCCAAGATAGAAATACTAGTGAACACTTCACAATAGCATACTAACTACCACCAGGCTACAACTTCTACTCCCTCGAAGAAATCCGCCCCTACCTTGAGCCCACAACATCTGGTATCAGCACACAATGGGCCATCCGCGTAGCAGCATACTACAACTGCCATGTGACAATCGGCTACCCAGAACTAACAACCACGCAACCTCCCACACAATACAACTCCACCGTCACCGTCTCTCCCCAAGGCAAAATTCTGTCCAACTACCGTAAATCCTTCCTCTACTACACAGACGAAACATGGGCATCCGAAGGCCCAGGCTCCTTCTCACACCACCATTCAGATCCGGATTCTCCCGACTCACCATTCTATTCGGGACCTCTGGGCGCTCTGGGCAATGTCACGCTCGGTATCTGCATGGATATCAATCCGTACAAATTCACGGCGCCGTGGGAAAGCTATGAATTTGCCAACACAGCGCTTACAAACAGCACGCCCCTTATCTGCGTGTCAATGGCATGGCTCTGCCATCTCACGCCCGAGGAGCTGATGCGAGACCCTACACAGCCCGACGTCGCAACCGTAGCATACTGGGTCGAGAGATTTCAGCCGATCGTGGAGGCTATGGGAGAGCGACCGGTGTATGTGGTGCTGGCGAATCGAAGTGGTATGGAGAAGGGCGTGTGTTATGCGGGGAGTAGTACGATCGCCAAGATTGAGAAGGGGAATGTGAGTCTGTTCGAGACTGCCGGGAAGAGCGAGGAAAAGTGTTTGGTGGTAGATTTGGCGGATAGGCCAAAGTTTCAAGTGAGGAGTGGAACAAGGTGAAAGATAAGTGTAGTTGGAGCCACGCTGGGTTCAGTGTGTTTGATGTAGATAGTAGCGCCAACGCAGACCAAGCATTACACACAATCCGGTTTGAGTCAATCATGTGTGTAGTTTCTGTTTCTTGCTCATCCGGTTAATAGGCAGTCGACGCGACGAAGCAAACCGACGGTCTTCAGAATACCTGCTCTCTTCCCTGACTGACCATTGATGGAGTCAAGATCGCTGAATATCCAAGATCCAATAGCAATCCACATCACCCAAAACGGAGGTACTCATCATTTGTTCATTCGACCTCGCGAGTGTATTCATATATCACTGGCTAGCCTAAACCATCATGACTTGATTTTCAGACCCCATAGCGCCAGAGTAAGAGTGTCCGGTGATGAAAACATGTCCACCAATACACTCCATGCATCCCTCATCCGAAAAAGTGCCCCACTGTGAAGACTGCCGCCATTTCGCAATTCGTTCCGGTTGCCCTTGTCGTTCGTGAAGAAAATGGAATCGGAAATCGAGAGAGATGGTACGTGGGCGAGTCGTCTAGATACCGAGACGGGTCTTGCGCCAGTGACGCCTCTTGGCGTTGTACCTGCAATTCCTGTCAGCGAGATGCTCTCCACTCATTGTTGTTCTCAAGGTATGTAGCGTTCGCGAATATCGGCAGTATATAGTGCGAAAAGCGGGAGATGCGGGTATTGTCGTACCTGATGGTGTTGTTGGTCCTCAGGCGGATCCACTGAGGGATCGGGCGGTTCTGCTTCTGAGCTTTCGCAAGCTTCTGCTTGGTGCGGAAGGACTTCTGGCTCTGCGGGGTGTCAGAATTCATCTAAAGAGAATCATTACGGCGGCAGGGAGGCGGCTGCGTACCGGCATCGTGACTGCTTGACGGGGTAGTCGGATGTCGAAGTTGTTGTCGTTGAGAGACTCTCGCTGCAGTCGGCAGAGCGAATTCGTTCGGTGGGCTCGCTTAGTGGAGCTAGCTGGTTTGCGCTTGGCATGTCGAGAAAAAGCGGGGAAGTCATGTGCTAGCGCGATATCCTCACTTCTCGAGCATTTCTCGTTCATGCCCACCCTTTGCTCACTTCTGATGACAAGGAGCTGACAACATCGAAAGAGGATTTTATCTTCAGCATGAAAACAATCTTGCACTTTACGAGTCAGCATCTGGTCAATCTCACGCGTATTCCACGAGCACCTAGCTTATAGAAAGGAGCGTTAACGTCGACCAGGTCGAGAAGAACATTGTGTTCTCGAGAGTAGTATTGGGGAGTTGCCAGGAATTTTCAAGATCACATCAAATAAGTTGAGCGGAGAAACTAATAGGCCAGGGTTACGGCTTGCATTATGTTTACTCGGTGAGTTAAGTGGAAGTGGCTGGAAGCCTTATGCTCTATCACCTACGAATGGATGTTGTTACATGGTGACGTCTTCAAAGTAATTAATAATGATGGGTATCAGCACTAAATACAATTGAACCCCTTCCGGGTAGAAAACAACTACTAAATTACGTTACAATGGCAAAGCATCTGAAATGCTAATTCAATTTGCTTTTCTTGAAGCAGTTTGTTTAATGAAAGTTGCCAAAACACATATTAACAAATTAAGGGACTAAAAGGATAAACATTGGTGAATATTTGTATTGCATCTGATTTTATAATAACGGCTAACTGACCGTCTTAACCTCTTACTGTATGATAGCGTAAGCTTTGATGTTGTTTATCCTTTCTAGCAGTATAATTGCTAAATCCTTTGTTCTGTTGGTATCTTGCAGAGGTGTATGCTAAGGCGCACTTGTATTATGCGGAAGAGCCTGATCTTTGAATAATGCCGTCTAGACTGTAGAAAGGTTATACTAATCTAAATTAGTATAAAGCCTATATAATTGATATAAATTGATTATAGCTGTGCAGTGAATTTGCACGTTATTTACGCTGGGTATTGTTGATGCCTGATTGCGAAGGATGCGGCCTATTCCTGTTATATCCAGTTTGGGTGCGCTCTAGTGAATAACTACTGCTGTTTTTTCCTTGAAACTAATTGAATTTAGGGCCTTTAGGTGTTTGTTAGGCGTCTGGCTATGCGTCTTTTGGCTACTGTAGGAATTTGTGAATTGATTCTCTAGCTAAGGGGAGTTGAAGGTGCCTAACTTGAACACTATAGCTGTATTTGTTTGGGTTTCCTGGACAATCGACCGGGCTGATGTACTTAGAGGGTACTGAATGAAGCTGTCGTGGTATGCGTTTGGGTTGCTGAAATTTACAATCCCAAAAGACGTGTGCAACGCGGCTAGACCTTTTTGGTAACAGATCCCCTTGAAGTTACATACCCATACGTTCTGGGCGACTGATCTGAGGTGGTACAGCCAGCTGTGTGTAACATGACAGCAGACGCTGACGGCAACGGCTTGCTTAAATTTGACGCTGCCAGTGGACAAATCTTACTATGCTGGGTGAGGTGGAAGCCTGATCTTCCTACCAGCCTTCTACAGTTATTGCAGGTAAGGCTTTTCGCGAGTTTGTGATGAGTTGGCTCCTCTATGGCCTACAGCTCTTTCCGGCCCTTGAGCAGGCTAAATTCTTGTGCAAAAACCTTTACCTCCTGCAGTGTAATATAGTGTCTGGCGAGATGATTAAGTCTTTGGCTATTATAGGCAGAATTTGCACCTTGATCCTTTGCGGTATAAAGATATGGCCTAGAAAATCTACATAATGGCGAGTTGCTTGAGATTGCGACCAAGCCTTGCAGCTTAACGAATGCGCGGTTGTGAATCTGAACAAAGAACCTAAGGCCGTTTTCTTCTGGAGATCTGTAGATAACAGTAACTTCAGTGAATATGTCTATATCGTTTTGTTTAGTTGTAGGCTTTCTGCCTAGCAGAGTATACGGTGGCGCAAACGACCTCTTCTTTGAGATGAGCTGAACTTCTTCCCTACACGCTGCCTAATGGGCAAGTGCATCCCCTGTTGTGAGTAAGATAATCCTGCAGGGGCTGTAGCAGAAAATTATTAAGTCTTCTCCCTATACGTTTGCGTGGTTAGACGATGCGTGCAGACGAGCCTTGTTTGGCCCATTCTTTGTTGAGATACCTACGTTGCATCCTGCGCATTTGTACTCTGTGGAGGGATTGTCGATGTTGGCGAATGTTAAGAGGGTGTCGATAGCCGGATACACTTCTTGCATACGGGTGATGCGGCGGGCAGAGTGCTTATGCGTCCATTGGTTGGTGTGTGCCTTCGATTTCCTCTTACGCTTTACTGGTTGCGGATATGTGAAGGTGTCGAGGGCGTCAATATCATCTGTACTCACCCGCGGCTGAGAATCGGGGGCGTACGCGTTTATAAAGGCCACTAGGTCTTCTGTAGAGATAGCGTATCCCTTGTGCACTGCGTGGATCTGTTATTTCCCTACCTGGAGGAAGACCTTTCTGCTGAAACTAGATTGCGGCCTTGGCATAAAACCCTTGAGCGCCATGCGCAGCAAGACTTCTCTTTCTGACACATGGGGCAGTATTGGTGTGGGAGTGGGGGAGGCCTGGTCTCGAATGGGCGGCAGGAAAGAGCGTTCGGCGGCGGTAGGCGTGGGAGTGAGGGATGGCTGGTCTCGATTGGGCGGCAAGGCAGAGCGTTCGGCGGCAGTAGGCGTGGGAGTGAGAGGTGGCTGTTCATGAGTTGCTGGCGGACTGGCACGCTTGGTGAGAGGTGATGGAATAGAATGAGATTGCTCCTGGACAGCTGACAGGTTGGAACGCTTGGTGAGAGGCGATGCTCCCCTGGTCATGTCTTTATTCCATGGAGACGGCGCTGGCCACTGCGGTGGTCCGGTGGTAGGAGGGGGTTCAGTCGGGGCTTCGTTGTATGGTCTCTTCTTACTGTACTAGGCGAAATAGGAAGTGAGTTTCGGATTTTTGTTCGGCGGCATCGTACAATTACAAACAACAGACAACACATCACGATCTCGCTGATAACATAGCACGATGGGCCTCGACACCGTCACCATCCGTGTTGGAGCCGACAGCAACAGTAGACATACTCAGGCACTCAGACTCGAAGAGTATGTCTCTGGCGAGGGCGGGCTCCCGTTAAGATTCAGAGACTGCATGGTAAATTCGTGCGTATTCCACAAGCACCTTGTGCACAACGAAACGCAATGCCGAGAACGTATCAGGAACAACACTGGCATCTTCACGACCCCGATAGATGCTTGCGTAAAACATGGTGCAATCCTCGCTAAGGAGCACAAAAAGGAGTGAACGGAAAGGTGCAGGTCTGCGATGAGATTTGGGTGGTTGTTTGTGGTCTTCATCATGTTCCTGGTCTAATCAGTATTCGGACTTAGCGCCAATCTGTTCTTTGGTTTGAGTGCCACAAGATAGATGCGCAAACGCACGAAGAAAGACGTTTACCCTAACATGTTGTGCAAATTTGTGGTTCACGGCGCGCATTCTTGGTATAAGTTCGTCTGAAAAGATGATATAGGTTGTCAGATATCAAACCCATCACGCGGAAATTGAAAACTTCTCGCAGAGTAATTGAGATAAACTTGCAGCGGCGACAGTCGCAGCGACGCGATTTGTGAAAATTGGGGCCAGCGATATCACTAGCGTAGAAACTAACGAGCTGCATCCAGCCAAGAATGAGAGGTTGAGGCAATGATAAGCGCGATGGCGCATTTCATCGTGGAGCAAAAGAATTCCCCGCTCAGCCCGTTTACTTGTCGCAATTCAACGCGCTCACGATCCCGCTACTCACCATGCGTCTCTCTGAAATGCAGGACATTATCGCCCTATAACCCGTCGCTCCCGCCCGACAGTTCCATCCCGAGTGACATCAACTCCGGACCCATTCCGTCATCTTGATACGCGGGTGGAACAAGTTTCCAACGCGCCACATCCCCACACTCTCCGTCGCGACGTTTTCAAAACCAAACGCCTAGTTCTTCAGCTTCAACGAGTACGACGGAATCATGACTGACTATCCATCCACTCCCCCGTCCAAGTCGCCAGGACCGGCTTCTCTACCTAGATCCTTAAGTCACTCGCGCATCGCTAGCTCCAAGCTCTTCCTTCCTCTCAACGACTCCACCGCGATATCCACGCGTGGCCAGCATCTACCGTCATTATTCACGCGTCGTCCTTCGACTATTCGCAGCAGCTATGAACCTCGAGGAAGCATCACCGATGACGAGGAAGACACAGACAGTGTCCGACATGGGCTCTCCATGCCATACGATAAAGATCTAGAACGACGCAGCAGCAGCACCGACGTACATGTATTGAACACGCCGCACATGCGAAGCGCGCGTCTGATCGGAAACACGAACCCCAGATACAAGTGGTGGGTTTTGAGCCATCTGAGATGCGCCAGAGACAGAAAGCTGACAAGGCCCCAGGGAACAATACTACAAGACAGATGAACAACTCAAGGGCATGAAGAAGCCGATGTAAACTGGAAATGCCATACATTCTATATCTTCGCTAATATATGTCAAGACGAGAGTACTACGAGCGCAATAATCAACTTATACAGCATTATGTTTACATCGATCGCCTACTCGACTCGTCTCTCCCACACGATCTGCTCCAAGAGTACACCAATCTCGAATCTGGCGCTGTCAAAATTCCATCTACAATCGCCGAGGAATCCTCAGCAAACAACACTCCCAGAGCTGTGACCCCTAATACTAGCAGTGAAAATAGAAACGCTCATCTGTCATATCAGCCATCGGATGGCAACGGTATAAGCGGCACAAATCGCATGAATGGAGCCAACGGTTCCAACGGTGTCGCAACAGCCAAAGTCAAACGTACACCCAAGAACCTGTACAAAGTCCCTGAAACTGACGAGCACACACCGTTGCTCCGGCAGGATGATGATGCTGTTCACGATGATCCAGAAGCAGCCAACGCTACCAATTCGAAACTGATGGAATGGGTGCCAGAAGAAGACGAGGATACCGAGAGCCCAGTCGTCAAAGTGGCAATCTACATCAACCTCGCTGCCAATACCGCACTCCTGATAATGAAAGTTATAGTCGCCGTCATGACTTCATCACTCTCCGTCGTCGCTAGTTTAGTCGATGCAGCCCTAGATTTCCTCAGTACGGCCATCGTGTGGTTCACATCCTGGATGATTGCCCGACAAGATCGCTACGCGTACCCAGTCGGCCGGCGACGTCTCGAACCTATCGGTGTGCTCGTATTTAGTGTTATTATGATCACATCCTTCTTCCAGGTTGGCATTGAGGGTATCTCGCGCTTATCTGGCACGGATCACACCATCGTCCAACTTACTATCCCCGCCATCGCCATCCTGGCATCTACAGTCGTCATCAAGGGCATTTGCTGGCTCTGGTGTCGCCTTATCCGGAATTCGTCCGTGCAGGCTTTGGCTCAGGACGCAAGCACTGACATGGTATTCAATACGTTTTCTATCTTCTTCCCGTTAGTTGGCTACTTTGCAAAGATTTGGTGGCTTGACTCGCTGGGTGGTATCTTGCTGTCGGCCTATGTGATACTCAATTGGAGTCGCACGTCTGCGGAGCATATTCGTAATTTGACGGGTGCCAGTGCTACAGCTGACGAGCGAAATATTCTCCTTTACTTGACTATGCGGTTCGCGAAGTCCATTAAGAGGATCCAGGGGCTGCAGGCGTATCATGCTGGTGACAAGCTGAACGTTGAAGTGGACATCGTTGTCGATGAGCATATTGCTCTTAGAGATAGCCATGATCTTGGAGAGAGTCTGCAGTATGTACTTGGTAAGTTGTGACCCTGGAGTTGTGGCAGAGATGAGTGAGTGCGCTGACAAACAACAGAGAGCGTACCAACTGTGGACCGCGCTTTCGTGCACATTGATTACACCGATTGTAAGCAAGACTCTGGCACAAACACTACCTCAAACATCTACTAATTGTACCCACGTCTAGATAACCTGCCTACGCACATGTCACAGCAAGAGTAGAAAGATACCATCTAGAGAGACGTTTTTTTGTCAGGCGTTAACATAGTATATATCCAGTTGACTGCCAGCTTCTTCGCAACATAGCAGACATGGTCCTAGAGCCTGGGGAGAAACATAATGTACACATAACTCCTCGTGTGATTAGTCAACCATTGTTGAAGTTTGACCACGTGATGTCGTGTGGCGCTAAGCAAGCGAAACGGGCCGCCCCTGTTTCGCGAATCGCGAATCATGTTGTTTTGATGATCTCGAACAACGCCAGTCATTCCTAATCCCACTGCAAAGCGCATAGAAAGTTGTAATCTGAATATGATGGGTAACACAACTTCAGCACCCGTTGCTGGACAGAAGCGCAAACGACCAAACTTCCTGTAAGCGACAATTGTGATCATGGCGTCGCGTCTCCTGCGACGCCCTTCGCACATGCGCAATCATCAAGTCATCTGACATAAACGCAGGTCAATGGATCAGACGCTTGTCGAGATCACCATCGGAGATGAATCTTTCATGCTTCACAAAGGACTGTTGTGTTCTCATTCAAAGTACTTCCGGACCGCCTTTGAAGGCGATTTCCGAGACGTGGAGGACAAGGCCGTTCAACTGCCAGGTGTCACCGACTCTACCCTCAAGCTCTTTCAGTTTTGGTTGTATGGCCAAGCTACGAGAGAGGTTCCAGAACGCGTGATCAAGAAGGCCAGAAGAAATGGCTTGCCAGGTCAACGTGCACAGGAAAAGGCAGCCGACGTTGGCGACGATGTATTAAGAGATGAGGAAAGTGAAAGTGAAGATCTTCAACTTGACTTACTTTTCAATCCTAAACAAACGCCTGTTTGGTTGGATGTTGAAGGTACGTGCTTACAATTGTGAGCTCTCTACTATGGCTGAACGTGGCAGAATTCCATTTCAAATCAGATCATTCATATCTCCAAACATTCGCCAGTCTCTACGCCTTCGCCGAGGTCTACGACACGCCGCAACTCCGCGAAGATGTCATGACACTTCTGGTTGAACTGCACAATCTCAATCAAGGCAAAGAAAAGTCAGACATGCGCAGGACACTTCAAGAACTCTACGATTCCGTCGCTGCAAGCTCGCCTCTCTGCAAGTATCTCGTCAAGCGAACAGCAGTGTACGGCGACTTCCGAAGAATCAAGCGGTCAACTCTTGAGGAGCTTCCTAAAGAGTTCCTCGTCGACATGCTTCTGGCTACTACACCACTGAAACGCGTCAACCGTGCCAAGCTAAAAGAAGAGACTCGTGATAGCTGTAACTTCCACGACCACAGTAATAATGAGGAGATCATGAGCTGTAAAAGGAGGCAATCGCGTGATGGGGCGTTCTACGTCAGCTTTCTGAGAGCTTGTATGAGCGAGGTGTATGCGCAGGAAGAAGACGTAGCGCAGCTGCAGACGCCATCGAGCACGCCCAACATTCCAGTCCGAGATGCGTGCAAGAGAAAAGAGAGTGACGCAGCGTTACGGATCGTTGAGGATGATAGCGATACTTCGATTACCTTGTATGAAGTTTAGCTTGAAAGGGACCCGCCTGCAGTTTTGGCTTCCAAGTATCAACCCAAGCACATCCGGTTTCCAGACAACTCGTTACTCATCGGTGCGGTGTCTCATCAAACGAGCATGTGGAAGAGTGCAGTCTACACGAACGCCCCCATAACGTCTACTAAGGAGCATGATGACACGCTTGGCTAAATGCTCGGTAAGAGACTGTCATTACGATATGTGATGCATGCTTACAAGAGTACGTCCAACTTCCCGCAAAGCCATGTTGTCGACGAGCTGCCTATATACGCATGTAATGCGATCCTGCGCTGGGGTGGCGCTGGCGCATTTCGTATACCTGGATTGTCACGAGCACATACACAGTGGAAGTGTTGGTCTACGATAGTAGTTAGTTCAAGTACGGACTTTTCTCTGCTGGCTTGTGCGGAGAACAGTTATACGAATGACAAGAACCTAGACTAATAATGGAAGGTCATGGAACAAGAACTGCAAAAATGGTACTGTTTATCGCATGTTGGCTCTTGGCCTTCAGGGCAAAAGGATTTAAGACTACAGTACAGCAGGAAGATGCTCGGCAATTTTGATAATATTTATTTTGTCCTGTTTTATTCGATACAAGAGCTTTTTCAATAATTTCCAACAGGGTGGTTTGAATATGCTGAAGTGAGGTGTCTGATGTCCAACACGCCCTGCATATTGTTTGGGTGGATGAACGTGTATGCACTAAAGAAGTTAGCGTGTCGGCCACATAGTTCATTTAACCTCAAACCTCGACGGCCGTACATCTGAAGTCCTTCACTTACATACCAACAACTCATCATGCTGTCCCCAGGGTCCTTGTCGGTCGCTAGACAGAAGCGTAAACGTCCAAGCTTCTTGTAAGTTCGTTACGTCGTGGCGAGGGGTTGGGTTCAGTCGCGTGCCGTTCGCGTGTCAGTCGCGTAATGATTCGAGCAATCCTAGTTGCTTAGCACTGTCGTTGACATTGGACTTCAACGTGATCGCCAGTATGAATGGATAATTACTAACGTGCGCCACCAGGTCGATTGATCAAACTATGGTTGATATCATAGTTGGCAGAGGGCATGAACAGAAGTCTTTTATGGTGTACAAAGACCTCCTGTGTCACTACTCTGAGTACTTCCGAGGTGCATTCGACGGGCAATTTCGAGAAAGTGAAGAGAAGACGACCAACCTGCGTGAAGTATCGGAGAGCACATTCAGACTGTTCCAATGCTGGCTCTATGGCCAGGCTGCGAGAGTAGAGATTACACCAGCTACCAAAAGGACCAAAAACAGCCATGAAGGAATGTATCGCCGCAAGCCAATCTTGAACGAAGTCCCTGCCTGGGTTGATCACGAAGGTAAAAATCTCACTTTCATCTCCAAATTAAGACTGATTCGCATAGAATTTCGTTCCAGAAGTAACCAACACGGCAAAATCCTTCTGAAGCTGTACAGACTCGGCGATATGTATGACATCCCACAGCTGAGGCGTGACGTGATGACGCTTCTCGCTGCATTAAGTGGCCTTCATTCCCTCTACAGAAACAAAGGGTCACATCTGGTGCTCAACATGAACAAGCTTCATGCACATCTGCCATCAAGTTCGCCTTTCCGCAAGTACGCTGTAAAAGAAGCAGCGTTGTTCTGGGATTTTGGCAAAGCGGAGGTGAAAGTGGTCCGGGATAGGTACCCTGTCGAACTACTTATTGAGATCCTCCAAGCTCGCGAGCCCGTCCTATTGGAAGATCGTCGAACGGAATTGATCATGGAGCAGTTGGACTGCTGCAACTATCATGAGCATAAGAGTGACGAAGAGTTCGATGATTGCAGAGCAGCTCAAGCTGAAGACGGTCCGTTCTACGCAAGTTTCCTCCGGGCCTGTTTGAAAGAGGTGGAGAAAACTAGGGAGGCTTCTAAATGATGGAGGGTAAGCGGGACATAATCCCTGAACCACGTCGAAGCAGATTCGGGGCGAACGCATGCGGTTCAGTCGAGTTTCACCTAAGATACTTGTATGATGCTACCTTTGGAACCAATCGCATACCCGATGAACTTGGCTATTGTTATGGCGATGATCAGCTTGTGGAGTTGCACACCGCATGCTTGGTAGGCTGTTGCAAAGCAACTTCAGCTTGCCCGATCGATCGATCCAAGATTGGATAGGAACAAAGGAACCTCATATCTGAATATGACATCAGCTTGACTCCAATACGGACACGTGAAGTCGCGTTTTGCGCTAATTGCAGCTAAAATGGCGTCTACCACGCCGTGAATGAACCTCATCATCGATCAGCTCAAGTCTTTCTTCCAGTAGTACCAACATTCCGACAGCCTTCCTTGTTCAAGATGCAGTCTGATACAATCCCAGCGAAGTCTCGGTTCGTCGTAGGGCAGAAGCGCAAACGTCCTACATTCCAGTAAGCTTATTCTAGACTGTAGATCATACCCCATCTTTGTTTTTCGACGAGAGGTCGTATCTGTCAATGCTACGTTCAGCCTTACTTCCAATCACCCTGGCAATGTCGCAGAAGGTATTCACAGGTGGTCATTGTCTTACATTAAAGTGGAATACGACAGTATGTGTGTAGTTTTCTGACACAATGGAGCAGGTCAATGGACCAGACATTGGTCAACATCCTCGTTGGCGAGGGCGAAAAGTGCTTCATGGTTCACAAGGATCTTCTGTGTTATCATTCCAAGTACTTCCGTGGCGCATTCGAGGGGTCCTTCCGAGAGAAAGAAGACAAAACCATACGGTTGAGAGACATCAACGAAGGCGTTTTCCGCCTCTTCCAGTTCTGGCTTTATGCCCAAGCAACACGGGACGAAGAAGATTCTACAACCAAAATGTCAAGAGACGACCATTCGAAGCGCGGTCGCCATTCTGAAACTAGACACCCTTGTTCTTGTGGTGGCAACTACGAGCAGTGCGAGGAGTCTGTGATTGACTGCCTTACTCTTGAGATTAGGGCGAGATATGCAAAAGTTCTTGAGCAAGAGACACCCAAGTGGCTGCAATCTGGAGGTGTGATGCGCGGATACTCCTATTCCACAACAGCTGACAAAAAAACAGAGTTCCTGTTCGACTCAGATCACGAGTACTTCAGCTGTTTTATCGCCTTGTCCGTCTTCGCAGATCAATACGACACGCCACAACTCAGACGCGATGTCCTGACCCTCCTCGTCGAACTGGACAATTATAACTGGGACAGAAAAGGTAAGCTATGTTACAACCGCTACTACCGACGAAGCGCACAAAAGGCGTACACTTCGCTTCCACCCAACGCTCCTATACGTCAATATCTGATCAAAAGATTCGCATACTCAATGGCATGCAAGAAGGTCAATGTGACGAGTTTGATGAGGGTACCGCAAGAATTTGTAGTCGATGTTCTGCTCCTGATTACGGCACAGCCCAAGAAAAACCTGCTTCGAGAGAATCTAGTGAACAACTTGAAGGACTGCTGCGATTTTCATGAGCACGTGGCTGAGGTTGAAAGAGAAGTGTGTCGGGATGGACAATCTCGCGATGTGCAGTTTTATACTAGCTTCATGCGAGCGATTGTGGATCAGGTCCACAGTGCAGGAAGCCTGAATGAGGACTTATAATATCAGAGTAATGAATGGGGAAATTATACTCGCGCTTCGTTTTGCAACGTTGGAGTTCAGGTCCAAGGATGGAGTTTTGCATATGAATTGGAAATCTCATTGAATGAACAACGGTAATTACAAGAAGTCCCACAGAGATCTAAACATTCGTCTTCTGTGCATCACCGTTGAAATGTAAACTCAATTGTACATCAAGCCAGGTCTCACCTTCAACGCCCATATGCTTCCCTCACAAACGCATCCCATTCATCCTGCAACCCCTTCACTCTCCGTGGGCCCGGTATCCGCTCTCCCCAAAACTCCACCGTTCCTATATGTGGCACCTCAAACAAGCAACCTTCCAAAGCTCGTTCGTGGCCAAAGAATTTCATCTTTCCAGTGCAGTTCTTCCCGAACCGCATCTCGCCGTTGTTCAAATCTTTGATACGCCAACCGAGCGAGTGTGATTCGTCCAATGTATCGTAGGTCGGGCCAGGGTTAAGTTGGATGATTCCACTCAATGAACCCCACACGAATTTGGCCCACCAGATTCCGCGTTGCTCGTCGGTGATGAGAGTGAGTCGGAAGCTGTTGGGGTCAAAAGATGGGAAAGTCGAGCAAAGGGTTGGGGAGTCGATTTTGTACGTGCCGCTAAGGTAGACGTCCATTTGTTCGTCTTCCTGCTCGGAGCCGGCGGGAAGAGTGGACTTCTTTGTCGTAGGCTTGGAGTCTGAAGGCCTCTCTTTCTTCGTGCGAGGTTTCTTCGCAGGGGCATCTTTCATTACAGCAGACATTTGTCCCCATTCTATACGCATCTGATCAAGGACCGGAGTGCCAAAAGGCTTACGTAGTGGGCCATTGCATTGACTGCGAGCTGTGTCTAGTCGTTCTGCGCGGAAGAAACACGGCCTTTCTTCGAAAAGACTATGAAACTCGCCTTTGAACTCCTTTGTGGACGTGAAGAATATCTTGCCTGTACCTTCACCGTCCTCATTTTCTGGGGCGTAGTGTGCACGCCACTTAAACGGCACACCGACTGTTTTGTTAGCCTTTTTGGGAATTCGGTCTAGAATCATCATGCCCTGGAAGTTACCCCATCTGAATCTGCTCCACCATTCGTTTTCGGAGGCGGAGAAGGCAAGGTAGAACTCATCGATAGAGGTACCAGACCACTGGGCTTCTATATCAGGACATGAGACTCGGTATGCTCCAGGCCGGGGTGCATTACTAGGTCGGGTGTCTGCGTAGGGGTCACGATCAAGGAAATATGCACCTATGTACGGAATGATGATCCGGTTTGGTGCTGGCCATGGTTCGTCTCCTTGGGAAGCAGAGGTTTCGGCGATAGGGATGTTCGTTGGCGTTCCGTTTGATGTCAACTCAGGGGAGACTTTTGGGTGAGCTTTACTCTTCAGCTTTGCCTTCTTGTTCGATTCCTCTGATCTAGCGTGATCATCGAGTTTCCTCTTTCCTTGCACGGATTTTGGCGCAGACGCAGGGACAGCTTTGATGGCAGATCTACTGGGCCCCTTGTTCTCGATTACGGTCTTACTGACTGCTACAGGGGTAGCGGATGTTTTGGGCTCCTTCTTCTTAACCTCCTTCTTGTCAGTTACTGGCGTGCTGACTGGTCCCGGGATCGCATGCTGTTTTGTCGTCTTTTTCAATTTGCGATTCTCAGCCTCCCACTCTTTCTTCAGTTCTGCTTCTAGCCTGACGATCCAGCCCGGGACTTCTAACCTTGCACCATTCAGAGAGCTTAACAATCGCACTTTCGCTGCGTTCTTATCCTTTGTAGAGGTCTGCCCGTAGTGGAGTAATTGCGCAGTCCAAAAATGCCACGGAGGATCTCTTGGAGGTTCCGCAGGCTCGGCAGCTTTGGACTTTTTGTTGTTGGGCTTGGGTGCTTCAGGACGTAGAAGCGCGGTTAATTCCGTGACGCTGGCACGGGGATGGTGGTTGTCATTGCCAGCATCGGCGTAGAGAATGGAACTGAAGAGAAAGTTGTCGCGGCGCACAGGTGGTGCGAACGCTGACATGTTGGTCGCAAGTTCGCAAGTCCGAATGGAGGAGTGAGAAAGTGGGGATATTCGGTTGGGTGGGATCCACGCGTTGTCGACACCCAGTCACATGACAGGATACCATCTATCGCCGGTCAATCTCCGAGAATCTCCGACAACAGCTCCAAGCTCAGGCGTCACCGACAACCGCCTGCGACCGCGCGAGTCTCTCAAAGTACATGACGAAGCTTCAACGACCCTCCAATAGTAGCCGGAGCTGTGTAATGTCACGCTAAATATGACCACGACATTCAGATAACTGCCATTCGAATCTGGAGATCTGAAATGGCCTACGATACCTCGAGCGGTTATGCTCCGCCCAGCACCAGCAATGCGCAGGACCTCGACGCGTCGCTTCCTATGTTCAACATAGAGCGCGTGACATTGAACTTCTCTATATCCTCCGACTTCGTTGCCGCTGCGGTAGCGGACAATGTATTGGTCCTTGCTCTTTCGACTGGGCGCATTCTGCGCATAGATATAGACAGCCCGGCAGACATAGACGGTTCGTAGGGCGCATGTACGCTTGGAAATACTGAAGACCTCTTGCTCACAGTTTCCAAAGATATCGACCTGCCGAAGAAGCCATCCGAAGTCGGTGTCATCAAACATCTATTCCTCGACCCCTCCGCCTCGCATCTGATCATAACCACCACCCTCGCCGAGAACTATTATCTGCACACACAATCGCGGACACCAAAAGCACTGTCACGATTGAAGGGCGTCGTCATCGAGAGCGTGTCATGGAACCCATCACAGCCGACTGCATCGACACGCGAGATACTAGTTGGAGCGTCAGACGGAAACGTCTACGAGGTCTTCATTGAGCCTTCTTCCGAGTTTTACAGAAGGGAAGAGCGATACCTGAAGAGTGTGTACAAAACGAACGATGGCCCTATCACTGGCTTGTGGACGGATATTGTCCCCGGGAGAACAGATCTGCGACGGGTCATCGTTGCGACGCCGTCAACGTTTTTGCATTTCGCAGGCAAGATTGGGCGCAACGGATCTGAGGGCAGCGGGTCAATATTTTCAAAACTTTTCGAGAGTGAATCTGCCACAGTTCACGAGATTTCGAACGTTTCGCCTACCGCTACGTCGTTGCTCGCAGTCTCGCCAGAAACCCCAGAGACACCGAATCTCGACTCTCTAAACCACGAGAGAACTTTTGGTTGGCTCACATCCCAGGGTGTGTTCCACGGCAAGCTTTACCTCTCACAGGACACTTCTGAGCTTGGCAGTAAGGTGCTTGCGGATTCAAAGATGATGCCTAGATCGCAAATCCCACCGTCACAGACCGCTAGTGGACGGACCAGAAGGACAAACGAAGCCGTGAGCTCAATGGTTCTCAGCCAGTGGCACTCGCTCCAACTTGTTGAGGGGAGAATAGTGGCTATCAACCGCCTTGATGACACTGTTGTTCTGGACCAAGTCGTGCTTGAGCCAGGGCAAAGTGCGCTTGGGCTCGCGGCTGATCTTAAGAAGAATACCTACTGGCTCTTCACCACCCAGGAGATCTTCGAAGTGGTTGTAACAGACGAGAGTAGAGACGTTTGGAAGATCATGCTCAAAGCACAACAGTTTGAGGCAGCTTCGCTGTACGCCAAAACATCGGCTCAAAAAGACGCAGTTGCAACAGCATCTGGTGATTACCTTGTAGGCAAGGGCCAATATCTCGAAGCAGCCGCAGTCTACGGGCGAAGTACCAAGCCTTTCGAGCAAGTGGCCTTGGCATTCATTGACAAAGGCGAACAGGACGCCCTACGGAAGTACCTTCTTACTAAACTCGCAACTTTGAAGAAGTCTTCCATCATGCAAAGAACGATGGTGGCTACCTGGCTCATTGAACTGTTCATGGCGAAGTTAAATACTCTGGATGACACCATCACAACAAAGGCCGAGTTATCTGAGACCATGAACACTGCAGAAACCCACGACCACCTGTCGGTGATCAGAAAAGAGTACCAAGATTTTGTTTCCAAATACAAAGCCGATCTAGACCGTAAAACCGTCTACGAAATCATCAGCAGCCACGGACGAGAGGAAGAGCTGCTGTACTTTGCAACCGTAGTCAACGACTACAATTACGTTCTCTCGTATTGGGTGCAGAGAGAAAGATGGCAAGAGTCGCTCGACGTTCTCAAGAAGCAGACTGACCCAGACATATTTCACAAGTACAGTAGCGTACTCATGGCACACGTGCCTGTTGATCTAGTTGAAATCATGATGAGACACTCGACTCTAGACGCGCAAAAGCTCATCCCAGCGTTTCTCACCTACAACAACGTCACTAAAGCCCCGCTGAATCAGAACCAAGCTATTCGATATCTACTCTTCGAAATCAACCAGCACCAATCGACGGATGCAGCTATACACAACACCCTTATCTCGCTATACGCATCCCACCCAACTAATGATGAGTCAGCCCTGCTTGCGTACCTGGAGGGACAATCTCTAGCCCACGAGCAGAACTACGACGCCGACTTTGCGTTGCGTTTGTGTATCCAACACAAGAGGGTACAATCTTGCGTTCACATCTACAGCTCGATGGGCCAATATGTGCAAGCTGTCGACCTTGCCCTTAAGTACGACGAAGTCGACCTCGCAGGCAACGTTGCCGACCGCTCCAATACTGAGCCCGCCTTACGCAAGAAGCTTTGGCTTGCCATCGCCAAGAAAGTCATCTCGCAGTCATCGGGCATCAAGACAGCAATCGAGTTCCTCCGCCGTGTTGATCTCCTCCGAATTGAAGACCTGATTCCTTTCTTCCCCGACTTCGTCGTGATTGACGACTTCAAGGAAGAAATATGTACCGCCCTAGAGGACTACTCGCGCAAGATCGATGAATTGAAGAAGGAGATGGACGATTCCGAAGAGACTGCGCAACACATCAAATCAGACATAAAGGCTTTGGAGCAACGATACGCTATTGTTGAACCTGGTGAGAGGTGCTACGTCTGTGGCCTACCGCTCCTTGCTCGCCAGTTCTTCGTGTTCCCTTGTCAGCATGCGTTCCATAGCGATTGTCTGGCCAAGAAGGTAGTCGAGCTCGCAGGTATCGCGAGGGGCAAGCGAATTGCGGAACTGCAAATGGATGTCAGTAAGGGAACAAGTTCGGGGGCGAAGAGGGAGAAGGCCATCAGGGAGTTAGATGCGTTGGTTGGGTCAGCTTGGTAAGTGCACGCGTGTTGACACGATGCGATACGATGTTTGAGTAAACTGCTAACGTGTGGACAGCGTGCTTTGTAGCGAGATGGCTGTCAAGGTCATAGATGAACCCTTCATTGGAGCTATGGATGACAAAGAGGAATGGGCGTTGTGATGTAGTATTTGTGGCTCCAAGTATCAACACACCATATGCACTACAGTTACAGAGGCGAAGTTGGGCTTCTCTGCGTACAGTGGAGATGGATTTTTTTATTCGAGCTTAGGAAGCTACTGACTGGTTAAGCTGAAAAACGTAAACCCTTGACAGACTGACAATGACGTTGATGGTATATCTTTTGTCATGCAGTAGCGCCCTTTTGCTGTACAACGAGACGTTCTAAAATTCAAGCTAGCTCTGCCTCAATAACACTTTCTACAGAGTGAGGTGGCCTCCAGATGTTAAGCACCTTTAATCCCGCACTCTGCACCAGCGCCCGCCACTCAGCCTCCGTCCTCTCCTTCGCACCAAGGCACGCCATCATGGTGATATCGGACGTTGTCACACGAGCGAGCGGCCTCACAGAGCTAATCAAGCTTTCGTGAATGAGAAGCTTCGAGTATCTGGGTTCCATAGCTTCGGCAAGGTGAGAAAGGATCTGCTTCGCCTGTGTGTCTTCCCAGTCGTGCAGCACGTTGTGCATGAAGTAGACACGGGCACCTTTCACGGGCTGCGGTTCAAAAAAGTCATGAGGGTGGATGGTGATGGTGTCGTCAATAGTCAACTCCTTGAGAATATCGGGCAGGTCTTGGAGCACCAGACTGCCCTCAGGGATATCAGGGTGGCGCAGATGGAATTTGGTCAGGTCGTGGCCCTTGCTACCACCGACATCGACGACAAGGGGCCGGTCAGGCTTGAACTCTTTCACAAGAGTCTCAGTTGGGTAAACATCAACCCAGGGCGTCAAGTTATGCTTGGAGTGACTCTCCATGGCATCATTGAATTCCCTTGCGGCGGCAGGGTTCGCGCTAAGGGACTGGAACAGATTTTCATTTGAGCCTCTCATGAACTGCCAGTTGCAGTCGTTGGGGTTAGTAGGGACCTTGTATCCCGTCTTCTTGAGGTAGGCTGGCAAAGTCCTGAACATGGGGGAATTGACGAAGCCATAAAATTCACCATAGACGTTGGCGAGGGCCTGATCCTCAGCGAGAGCGCGTACCCACGGTGTAGGCTTATAGGTGTCCTCGGCGGTCTCGATGGCAAGATTCTGCCCAGAAATTTGCCGAATCATGCGTCCTGCATTGCCGTCAGAATGCTCATCATGAGTTAAGCAGACTAGATATGTAACCTACGAATAAGCACTACATCGGCACCCGTTAACTCGGCCAGTTCCGCGCAAGTCTTCTCTCCGCCTCCGATTTCGATCCATTTGCTGAAGACACCCGCGTCAATCAACGTCTTGACGCATGCATTGGTGGCCGGGTTGACCCAACAGTGCTGCCAAACAATGTCCCACGGCTTATGTACTTTGCTTAAGGCCAGGGTCAGCGCGTCCATGGCACGGACGCGCTCTGCTTCGTTAACGAAGGAGTTCGCGTCGAGGCCCTCTAGGGCTCCGATAAGATGGTCTGCTGATGCCATGTTGTAAATGGGAATTAACTTTTGGGGAAGGGAAATGTTCTTATCTACCGCAAAATTCTGGCCATATCTACCGGTTGATCAGAGGATTTCAAATACTATAGTAGTTAGTAAAGTTCTCGTAACAGATAAGCGCGTACTAAGATCCAGTTTTCTTATATGTACTTTTCCTAATACGTAATTTGTCCTCAACGACCCTATGTAACCGGTATGTCCAAACTTCTACGGTATCATTTGGTCACGCGGCTAGGCATTTTTAGTCTAAAACATCTATCCTGGTTACATCCCTTTATGAGTTGACATGTGTTCGTAGCATACAATATGTATTCGCTCTGATGCCTGCTCCCAGCTTTCTCATCAGTGCAAAAGCAGGGATAGCAGTAGAAGGTAACCGAGGCTGGGGATTAATATGGAGATGAAGATCCCCCATCTCCTACGGAACGACGAGACATGTCTCCGATCAACGTCTTGCCAAATGTGCAGCAGCACACAAACCAAGAGGGCAAAAGCATTTCCGACCTTAAAAGAGAGTCACAACACACCAAAGAAGGTGTCAAGCATGAAAACCAATGAGGAGCACAAAAATAATTGAATTAGAAGCCTCTAGAACATCCCATTCCCCCAGCAATGCTACCCGCCCTCACCCCATGATATTCCAACTCCATCATGATGCAACGGAACCATCTCGCCATCCTGACGACCTCTTGCGCAAAATCTCGATGCTCACACGCTGCATCCCAGAACTTCCGTTGAGCCGCAGCCCTGAAAATAACCACCAATGCGCTGAGTCCCTCGCGTCACGACAAGAAACACGGGGTTTGCGCAAGGCGCGAGTGACACACAAGATGCCGTTAACGGCCATTTCGTGTGTCACGGTCAGCTCGCCAGCTCGTTGGCTGTGGAGCTGCGCTGTTTAAAAAGTCTGACGATGACTGGGCCGATGGGAGCCGAGAGCGCGTGTGCTTCACCGCGTTTGGTAGTGACTTGCTGTTTGTGGGAAGTTTGCCATGGCTTTTGGCTTCATGGGGTCTAAGGACTGCCTGTTTGGCTGCTTGGACGCGGTTTCAGAAGTCTGGTCATGACGTGCGTGCTGTTTGTTTGTGGCGTTGGGACGATGCTTGGAGATCCACAATGTACCTGTGTAAAAAAATTGCGTTGCGGTGCACGTGAAGAATTAGTAATTTGGCGGTGGGATCGTGAGATTTCAGGGCTGGTGACACGAAAGGGTGGAAAATTCTGATGGGTATACGAGAGGTATATAAAGATGGGGATTGTGGAGATAGAATACTATCATCGAGCATCAACATTGAACTCCCTAAACTACAATCTCACTACATTGCAATCAACTTCACTCTCATATACCTTCACCAAAGGGATAACCACGCAACCATATCACACAACTACTACTCAAACATCCACCCCACACAACTACAAACTCAACCTCCCCCATCAAACCCACCCAAAATGTCCAACCTCGATTGCCACCCACGCGTTCTCTCTCTCAGCGCCGGTTCTTCTGGAGACTCAACGCCATTCTCGCAATCACGCCGTGAATCCCACGAGTCCGCTCACGACGCGCACCACTTCGTGCACCTGGAGAAGACAGACTCGAAGCTCAACCAGTCCCTGAAGAAGATGTGGAAGGACATCAAGAACCACGCCGCCGAGCACCACCGAAGCGTGAACGCGGCGTATCAGGCCACCCATGGCGCCGGAGTGAGGAGTTTGTGAGCGTATGAAGGGACGAATCTAGGAAAGTTCAGGAGATGATTGGCGTTTGGAATGGAATGGACATGGAATGAACATGAGAAAGAGGAGGAAACAAAAGTGATTTTCGAAGCATTATACCTCTACAATCATAGCCTGTGCGGGCTTAGACAGTTAATATCTAATCGAACCGACTTCTTGTCATGTATTTGTGCACTTTCTCGTGATGACACCGGTGTTGGTCTCTTGGCCAGAAGCACAAAAATGACGGGTGGAAGAAGAGAGGATAGATATCTGAATTTATCAACCTCACAGACGACGTATGTGTGCATCTCTCTTCCTGTGTAGCCGGGAGTATCATATCTTGAACACATACAAATGCACAACAACACTTTTCAGCTCAAAGTATATCGTCGATACCTCCTCATATCATTTCTTCAGTCTTGCGCGTCAACTCCGAACTCGTCCTGTATCTCCACAATCCTCACCCCACGTTGGTCTGCGATCAGACCCATAAGACCTTGACCCACATCTTTCAGCTCATTGTACTCGTGCAACAGTTTGATATGTTCCTTCACAATTTTGTTTGCCGCAGCCATGACATCCGCATCGGTGGGTTCGCCGTCGCCGTCTGACATGTCCACATCAGAAGCGTCATTCTCCTCCATAAGCACTTGGATAGCTGGAAAATTGGCGAGGGAGGATAGTAGGGCGGCTTTTTGCGCTTTGAGTTCAGCGAGCGTGGTTTCTTGAGGAGTCCGTTTGGGGGTTGAACTTGGCAAAGCTTCGGTGTGCTTTTGGGACTGATCGAGTTGCGTCTGCTGCTTAGATTCGGTAGACGCAGACGGTATGTTGGTTTCCATCGACGATTGCGTGGTTGTAGGAGTTTCATTTCTCGTTGTAGGTTTGTTCCCTGCCGGCTGCTCGTCTGCCTGGGTTACCTTCTTCTCATCTTCCAACGGTCTCTTGGCGGACAAGGGATAGGGAATCGCATCACATGCAATCGAATGGGACACATTTTCGACTTTGTCCAACTGCGTCTCTGTCCCAGCGACTATCTCATGCTCATTGACATCCATCTTCGTATCGCTGACTTTGGTACCTCCTTTTGTCTCGTTTGAATCGTTGGCGATTTCGAAAGGGTGTTCCTGAACTGTTCCATCTATTGTTGAGTCTGGGTAAGTGTGCAAATCGGAGAGTTCGGTTCCAAATTTCTTAGATTGCTTCGCGTCAGCTTCATGCTCCATCACAGCTGAGAGATACAGCTCTGCCGCTAATGTCGCAAGTGAACTTTGCTTTGATGAATCCTGCAGCATGTGACCGTCGTATTGCTGCTCCGGTGTAGACAAGGCTGTGCCATTTACTGTCTGTAATGAGGAGTGTTCGATCCCTGTGGCTGGCAAATCCAGGGCACTGCCGATCATCCGACTGTTGACTTGAGAATCACTACCTTTGGCCGCACCTTCCGTGGTCTCAGTAGGTATCGGACGACAAGGAGATAGTAATGAGGAGACAGGGGCCTGTATGAAAGGTGAGTGAACAGAAATGAACGGAAATGGCGTTACACAAACTGCAAGTTCAGAACACACATCAGAATTTGACTTCCTATCTCGAGTTTCAACACCGTCTTTCCCATGCGCCTGAGCTTGATCGTTGTCTGTCGAAACAGATTCAATCTCAGGTACTTTGCTACTGTTAATGGAAGGCTCTGCGAGATCCTGCAACACTAGTGACCCTTCATCTTTTTCCTCTGCAGAGATGCTGGGTGTATCTGGCAGGTGATCGAACTTTGAAAAATGATCAACGTGATCCATGATCTTTTCAGCTTGACCACTCATTGAATCATTCTCTGGCACATAATTTGGTATAGGCTTCGGTTGAGCGACTTCAACAACCGTATCATCGATGCATAGTGCTGCCGTCTGCAATGGCTCCTGCTCTGTTCGAAGAAACATAGGTTCGTTTACTTCGCCATTGTATGTGCGAAACTCCAATGTTTCTTCTGCGACTGGTGCTTTGGACTGCATAGTCCCGCCAACGTCCTGTCGCTCTGCATCCGGTGCAGGGATAATGTGTGGCTGCAAATGTAACTCTGGCGCTGGGGTTGATCCTGCTCGTCTTGAGTTGGCCTCGACGGCCGCGAGATGATGGTCTGGTATAGTCACATCTACCTCGTTTTGACATATTGCATCGTTGTTGCTCACATTCTCAGTAGCTCCTTCTTGTTGAGGCGTAGGGTGAGGCTGCAGGTCAGTCTGATCAATTCGCGTCGTTTCGACGTCAACACAAGCATTTCCCTGATCGGCGCATAAGCCATCAGTGCGTCTCGAGACAGGTTTGGCAACGTGCTCGGCGGACGCTTGCTGAGGAACGGTGCTGTCTTGGAGTTCTTGAGCAGGGGCGAGCGCTGCTTTACAGAGATTGACGACAGCTGCATCTGAAACTGCGACAGGCGACGACGTCATAGGCTCATCTTCAGAGTCCGGTATCTCAGTGACATTGATCCCAATGGCCATTTTGGTGAGGGGCGGCGGACAGGTGAGGATTGCCGGAATTAGTGGTGTTTGTCCGAGCTTGTCAGTGGCGGAGACAGCGGAAGCCAATCCTGGACGCGCGCCTTCCTGCCTCGTAAGCGGGAGAACGCAGCAGATAGAACCCTCGTAACTTCCATTCACTGTCGCCTCCTCTTTGAACGCGCCGCTACATTTTCCACGATCCCGGAACCCTCGCACGGGAGTCGCTGAGCCCTCGCAGCATCTGAGGCGCACAACACAACCCAGTCCTCTTAAGAGCAAATCTCGCGATGGAGCAAAGGGCAGGGGGAGTCGCTTTCGCGGCGCTGCTCTTCAGCGCGACAGCAAAGGCGCATGAGCACCACATGAACAACATAGCAGAAGGCCAAGCCGTCTCAGAAGATCCAATTGTGCGCCATCAGCCCACGAAACTCGCTGAAGGATGAGGCTAATGTTTTGCCCCAGGACTCGATATTATGGATACATATACTCGTCCAGACACTGGCTTGGGGAATCATCTTTCCTACGGGAATGGTGCTTGGTGTATGTGCCTTGTACCCAAACCACTGCTTCAAAAACATCTCAGCTGACAAGCAGTCAGATAACACGATCGAAATGGCACGTCCCTGTCCAAACAATCGGCTCCCTCCTCGCTGTCTTCGGATACTTCCTCGGCCATAGACACAAAGGCAGACAGTTCACAGAGAATATCCACGCCACATTTGTCCCCGTCATAATGCTCATCCTCATCGTCCAAGTCGTCATGGGCGTGTTCCTGAAGCTCCACATCGAGAAGGGCATATACGGGAAGATACGCAAGATTGTAGTCATGATGCATGGTTTCTTGGGCAAGATGCTGCCTATTGTGACATGGGTTCAGTTCGTCTTTGGAGGTATCACAGCAATGGGCTTCTGCAGGGCCGACCACACCGGTCAGTGTCTGGCGCATTTCATCATGGGAGGAGCCTTCATCGCCTACGGAATCATCCTTATCATATTGCTTTTGGTCGGACAAATGTGGCTCAAGAGAACGGGACGAAGTCAGGAGTTCTTCGACTCGATTGTCATTGCTGCATGGGGTTGCGTCAACACCTTCACAGAGCACCGATGGGGTGGACCCTGGGTACACAACGACTTGCAGCACACATCTATGGGCATTGTGTGGTGGGCCGCCGGCCTGGTGGGCATTTGGCTCAGCCGTACAAGAGGCGGGCAACCGAAGCGAAACCTCATCCCTGGCATGGTCATCTTTGTGACTGGGTGGGCCATGTCGTCGCATCCTCAACATTTGCCTATCTCGACCATGATACATACTGTTTTCGGATACACCCTTATGGCTGCGGGCGCTGCTCGCATGATCGAAATCGCTTTTGTTTTGAAGGACCGCAACGCAACCACGGCAGACGGATCGGACCCCAACAGCTTCCAGTACATGACGCCATTCCTCCTTATCGCAGGTGGATTCTTGTTCATGGGCGCCACAGAGGAACAGATGCAGTTCCTCGCCGACGCAAACGTCACGCACGTGTCTTACGTTCTTATCCTCTTTAGCATCGCTTTCGTTTTGTTTCTCTGTAAGTTTCCCCTATCGTCCCTCTCTGAACGGAGTGCACATTGCTAACCCACCCTTAGTCGTCAACATGCTCGTCCATCTCTACGCCGTACATGCATGGGGTCAGGACTCAAAAGCCGACGCTGAAGATCTTCGCACAAACGGTCACGCGAATGGTATGCCCAACGGTTACGCCAGGGCTGACACCAGAGTCCGAGACGCAGAGGAGTTCGAGCTGGACGGTCTTGCCTCGGATGACGAAGATGACAACGCACCCTTGATGAACAAGGAGGGTAGATCGCTCGTTTCGCATTAGTGCATTTCTGCTTCATTTTAGGGTAACGAAATATAGAATTAGGCGTTTATCATAGCATTGAATATTGCTGTATTTTCAAATCTCTGTACTATAGTAACATACCAGATCCACTGTCGAGGCATCATATTGGGAATAAACCGAACGTAAATCATAATCGCTTGCACTCGTCTCTCACATACATCATATCCTGCGCCGAAACATCTATATCGAAATCCCCACCGCTCCCTGAGACTATACTCTCAACTCTCCAAATCATACAGCAAACAACCGCCCGTTCTGAAATTATACACAAACGCCTTCCCGCCTTCACTGCTCCCCTTACCCTCCTCGTTCCTCACCTCAATCCACTTCGCCCTGTATCTCAGCAGCAGATCGTGCAGCTCCTGCAGGTACTTCCTCTCCGCAATGGGCATTTTCTGAACAGCCTGGCGCCACGACTCCGGATCACTAAGTCTCGTCTCTCTGATGAAGTTCATGACCTCCTCTTTCGTCTCGATGGCAGCGATGGGTGCGGACTGGAACGACTCGAGGAGCTCGGTAGAGCGGGTTTGCGCAGCCTCGACGATGGACCATTTGTTTGTTTTCTTTGGGCGGTGCTGCGATATAAGGACGTCGACGGTGGGTTTCACGGATGTGGAGGGCGAGGATGTGGGTGCGGGGATTGCCTTTGTGACGCGTTGTGCTGCGCTGCCTTCGCGGGCTTCTCGGTCGCGGAGCTCGTTGCGGAGGTAGTTGAGCAGGTCGGTGCTGCGGAGATCGGTGTCCTCTTTCTTGGCGATGGATTTCACTTTTATGTCTGGTTTGTCGGAGGCGACGCCGTGCTTGATGATGATGACCCAGCTGTGTCTGTCGTCGCGGTAGTGGCGGAGGATGTCGTCGAGGGAGTGAGCGTCGATGGATAGCTCTGCAGTGTAGCCATGCGAGATGAGATCTGCGACCATCTTGACGCCAGTAGATCGGAGTACATTGGGGTCGAAACTTGCTACTAGACAGTCGCAGCGACGGGGCATCCATGAAACAGACGGCGTGTCTTCTTCGGAATGCTTTTTGAGGAACGACGATTTCTCCGGCTTCTTCAGGTACCGCGTCATGGAGTTGACTAGCCTGTCCCATCCGAGGTTCACACCAACAGCGTGATATCCTGCGTTAGGATGCGCATGTCCTTGACTTTTGGGCCGGTATTCTTCGATCAGCTTGTCGTAGCGGCCACCTGCAGCAAGTACTTCTCGCTGTTTCGTATCGAACAAGCATTGGAACAGGATACCGCCCGAGTAGAATTTCTCGTTGAAGCTGCTAAGAACGTTGATGTACACCTTACGCTTCACGTTCCAGAGCTTCATGTAGTTTACGACTGAGCTCAGGTGAGCAAAGATTGCTTGTGTCTGATCGAGATATTTCGTGTCCTCGAACATGCGTCGTAACTTCGAAAAGGCTTTTTCAGGCGTATCCCTCCAGTCAAAGCGCGCGAGGTCATCTAGCGATGTCGATGATACACCAATGTCAGACGATCTCAGCTCGTTTCGGATCGTCTGCCAGCTGGTCTTTGAGATGTTGAGCTTACTCAAGACAACCTTCACCGCTGGTCGCTGAGGAATGCTGATCCTGCAGAAATCCATGACAATTTCTAACAGGTCCGCATGGTTCAAGTGGAAGCACATCTGCGTAGAGCCGAAGGAAGGGAACTCGTCGACAATTTCATCGACCACCTTCATTACCTCGGCTTCCTTGAGGGCTAAGTCAAGCGTGTCGTACGACAAGATATCAAAATCGGCTTCACCATTGCTGCGTGGCGCGCCTCCAGTGTAATTATCGCGATATACTTGTCCAAATGTGAAAGTCTTTTCAAGAAATGGGGCGCCGCGACCAATAGCGCGGGCGTACGGAAGAATCAAGTCGTAGGGAAGTTGTACTAGTGTACCTGACGGGTCGAACAGCTTCACGACATTGTTGTTCGCATAGTGATCAGACCAAGGCAGGAGTAGTTGGCGTTGAACTTCGACAGCACCGTGACTTCGAAACACCATTCCTAGCCTGTCCTTGACAAGGTTCTGAAGTAGTATGTCGTTAGCCTTGATGGTTTGAGCACTGATGCCCATATCCCAGGCATAGTCCCTTGCTTGGGTATCTGGGTTCTGTGAGAACAAGGCAGCCATCATCTTCGTGTAATGTGGCGAATTTCGATCGGAAAGGGCCTTGAGAGCTTCTTTCACAGCTTCATCCTCAATCTGCAGAGGTACCTTTCCGGTGCGTAATAATTCCGCACAACTGGGTCGCTCAAGGGGACGATGATTGATCAAAGAAGTGATGATGCTGCCTTGAAGAGCCTTCTCGGGTGATTCGAAATCAGCTGGAAGATCATGTTTACGTTCACGTAATGTCCGGATAACCTTGTCTCGTTCCATAGCTGTCTTCAAAGGAAAACACATCTCGAAAAAGATGATGCCCATAGAGTACATATCTACCTTGTCGTTGTAGTTGCCTGCAACAGTAGAGCTGAGTTCTGGGGCCACATATAGCGCAGTTCCAATGCTTCGTGTCATATCGCCGCCATCTTGTGTTCCTGCGGGCGTTTTCTTGTCTGGCCTCTGATATTGCCCACTAGTAGCGAGCCCAAAGTCTCCGATTTTGGGAACTTTTGCGACATCGATGAATATGTTGTCCGGCTTCAGGTCACGATGTATGATACCGTGACCGTGGATATGGGCAAGGCCTTCCAGTATCTGCCTGAACAGTCTCCAGTATTCTTCCGGGTCGTCGTACAAATCCCGACGGATAAGGTCGCGTAATGTTTGCTTTTCGCAAAACTCCATTTGGATGTAAAGTATGGTCCTGGCAGGCCGCATAGGCAAAGAGTTGGACAAGCTGCGCTTCTTCATGCTTGGAGACCCAGGTCCAGCACTTGCACTTGCAGTTCCTGTCCCGCCTTCTACAAGACAATTAGCAGAAGAGCGAGTAAATATAGCGATAGCCCGTACCAGAATCTGATCCAAATACTACGCCGTCGTCGTCGTCCGATTCCGCGTCAGAACCGAATTCTACCTTAGGGTATCCGCTGGAGCTAATGAAATCCAATTCTCCTGTGCTTCTACCAAAACCTGCAGCATCAGTCGCGCTAGGTGAAATGTCAGAATCCGAACCGAAACCAGAATCAGATTCGGACTCGTCACTGTCGAACGTTGAAGACTCGTCGTCGTCCATTTCTGAGATGCTAGACGATTCTTCCTCTGGCCACGCTGTGTAGTAGCGTACTACGCATGGATGATTGAGTCGTGAGAGAAGCATCACCTCTGAAAGAACTTCGCTGAGTGCAGATGCTGACTTCTGTCTGATCTTTTTGATAGCGTAGATGCGGCCATCGACCTTGTTCCGCGCCTTCACTACTTCACCGTAGCCACCCTTGCCCAGACGACCCTGTTCAACCCAGTCGGTTGCATACCGCGAGTACGATCCATTGCCTCCGGTCGAGGATTCGCGACGAAGTCTGTAGTGACCCAAAGACGATGAAGAGTGTCGAGATCGCATCGGTGTAGGAGGCTGCTCATATACGGGCACATCTTCTCGCAAGAACTCGCAAGGAATAAGATCGAAAGCCGAGGGCCTCTTCCTTGGATCGGGCCTGAAGAATTTGCGCATCATCTCTTGCAAGGGTTCAGAGCAATTAAGAGCGTCGGATAAGTCCTTTGGCGAGTTGTATTTCTCAGGTACGTCGAGACCGAATAACATCTGAAGGAAGACAACCCCTAGGTCCCACACGTCTGTTTTCCGAGTTGCACGAACGTCTTGTTCAAGTTCAGCTGCAACCCAAAACGCTGATCTTGAGGGTGTAGAGGATTGTTCGCCTCTGCCCAGATTTTGAAGACAACGCAAACTCTCTTGAAACCCCGCATCAACTAATTTGATGGAGACACTACCGGAAGAGGACTTGGTCATTAGGATATTGTGCGGATGGATTCTGTTGTGAACGATTCCATTGCGATGGTAGTAGTCAAGTGCTTCCAAGAGCTCTATGGTCCAAGAGCGAACTCTTGCCACCGCGATTTGTCCGTCGTCTTCGAGTTTTTCGCCCAGTGATCCCTTGTTTGCCTGCTCCATGAGAACGTTGATCTCCCAGCCAGAATTAGGCAAATGCTCAATCTTGAAATCCAGGACGCTCAAGATAGCAGGCTGTCGAAGACGTTTGATTTCCTCCATTTCCTCTTCGAATTCCATGATAGCTTTTTTGAGTTGGGGTCCGCCAGCAGAGTTCCCACCTCCTATACGCGCACGTTTCAGGACGAGTGTGACTGCCCTTTGGCCTCCAACAACTGGCTTCACCAGCAGATTTTCAGTGATTGGCCCTGCGCGGAAGGGAAGTAGGCCTTCGACTGCGTTGAATTCGATGCTGGTGTCCTCAAGTTGCAGTGTAATTGTCCTGTCGAAAGAAATGTAACTAACGCCTTTTGCGCTAGGAAAGTATGATATAGGTGTGATTATCGAAGTCCTGCTCTTACGCTTCACCATCAAGTCTTTACGTCTCATCTCGTCGCTGACCAGCTGCTGTAGGACGCGCTCCTCTTCAGCCTTTTCGTCGTCTCTTTTCTTTCGTAACAACTCCTCTTGGTGCAGCTCAAATTCGGCAGCAGCAGCTTCTTGAACTGCTCGTTCTGCTTCTAGGTTCTCAAATGTGCCGTCGTTTTCACGTACAGCCACTTCGTCCTCGAGGATATCTTGGATGTCAGTTGCTAACTCGTGAATCATGACTTCACCCACTAGCTCCTTTGGCCGGGTCTTCAATAAGTCTTGAAGCCTTTGCCGAGTTCTTACCCTGAGATTGAGTACGTTTTCCACGGTCAACGTGGGCAGAGATCTTGGGTAAGTAGCAGTGAGTTTTGCGCAAAGCGTGACGGAGATGTCATCATTTGAAAATGATTTCAACTTCAAACGCAAAATGCGGTCTGTGGTTTTCTAGAAATTCATTAGTCCTGGTGATGAATACGTGTTGAGTCATCGATGCGAAAATATGGGTAATTCCATTGACATAAATGAGACAAGGCAAATCGTGACTTACACTCCACGCTCCTGTTGCTTCCGATTCTTCATAGTCATCCATGAAAACGGCTTTCAGGACTTCTCGTTCATCTTCTTGTGCTTTCTCGTAAGCCTCTGAGGGTTGTGACACCATAGGAGGGCGTATGGGCAGCATCTCCCTGACCGGGCTTGTCGGTCCAGAAAATCCATTCCCATTGAATATGGAATCATTCTGCTGATGTTTGCTGCGAGGTGTTTTTTGCGGTGCCATGTTGGGCTGTCTCGAGGATGGTTGAAAGTGTCGTCATAGAAAAGTTGACGGAAAGACTAGCAGCCGAAGCCGCTGCCCTCTACACTGCAGACATTGTTTCAGATAGTTGAGCTGGATGAAAGGCGTGGTTATGACAAACTGGGGAAAGATCTCGTCGCCAACACACAAAAGCAGCGGTGTTGGCGTTGTTGGCAGGGGACCCACACCCCACCACGCTATCCGGGAAGGTGCTAGTGGGTCAACACGCGACTTCCGTGATGATGCTGGCGCGACAGCACAAACAACACTCCAAGTGCGCCTTCCTCGACATCGCGCCGACAACCAAGCTTGCGTGACCTTCAAATTTTGGAGACTCTTGTGACTCGCTTCTACCTACTCTAGTCAGTTGGAAAGTGATAGACCAAGCCCGACGCCCTCGCTTCCACGGCTGTAAACAATCCCCAAACAAAGCGTCGATCACACCCTACGCAGCCCCCACAATCCTTTGCAGCTTCTGTTGAAATTCTCCGAGACACCAATACTTTGTACTGTGCTTCAGGCGACGATTTCACAATGTTTTCCTGGATTACGGGTCCACGGATCACTAACGTAATCGAAGACCTGCAGTCGGGTACGTAGCGCACTCACGTCGCATGCGCAAACCTCGATGCTAACAACACAGAACCTGCTTACGAATCTACCTTCATCGAAGCTCCCGAGACGCCGGCACACCAGTTCGCAGTCAAGGCGTTCAAGCACGCAATATTCGGGACTCCTGCGCCCGAGGACGCGAACAATGCCTCGAAGAGGCTCGAGAAGAAGGCCAAGCTGGAAGCCGCAAACTCGAAATCAGTACAGCTTCCCGCGCCTAGAGAAAAGGCCCCACTACTCTCTCCATCGAAGCAGCCGGGCGGCATTCTCATGACGCCCGGCACAGCGAGCAAGGGCCGAAAAACGGTGTCTTTTGGATCACAAGTCATGGACAATCAGGGCAAACCGATCAACCCTGGCAAAAGTGGCATACCGGATGACTGTCCTGGAAAGTTTCCTAGTCCTTGGACACCTGGAATAGGATTGAAGCTAGACCCTGAAAGCGACAAGAGGCCTCGCACCAAACTTACCGAGGCTCTCCTGGATGCACGCACTACCACACAGCCAAAGTCAGGCCAAAAACCCAAAGCGAGAGACGACAGTGATATCACAATTGATCTGGGGGCGCCTCGGTCTGAGTCGGGGAAATACTGGAAAGAGCAGTACGAGTCATACGCGGAAAGGAGTGAGAAGGAGATGAAGAAGGTGATCGCGAAACAGCAGTTGGCCAAGAAGTTTGCGATGAAGAAGGACTGCGAGGTCACAGAACTGAGTACCAAGCTCGAGCAGGAACGGAAACGATTTAGGCAACGAGAGCGAGAGCTGGAGCAGCAGAATAAAGACTACCAGGAGCGACTTCGCCAGGCCATGGCAGAGAACACATCAGCCAGCGTTGAGGTGTCGGCTCTTAAATCGCGTATAGCCGCGCTGGAGAAGTCGACCACGGCTCCCCTTTCGGAAGTCCAGCAAAGCAAGCCGTCTTTCGAGATTTTCGAGGATCTGAACAGAGACGCCATGCGACTTCAGCGCGAGAAGGGCGTTGAGGTTTCTCATGCTTCGTCCGGCAAGGAGAACTCGTCACCGAGGCTTCGTCGCCGTCAGACTCTGACAGAAACGTCGAGCCGTCCCAACGGACCGTCAAGATTGGGGACTGCACAAGACGAGGCTTCAATCATACTCGGAAAATCCCCTCGAGCGCCTGTTGAGAACGCTGGGACTACGACAAAACAGACTGTTGCTCCTCCCACGTCTGAGCAAACGTCCAAATCGCCTCTCCGTATCCGCAGACCTGATCCAAGCCAGCAAAGTTTCCTTCCTCAATCGCCAGTCGCTGTTCTCCCCTCGAGTCCGCTACCTATGCCATCCCCAGATCCGTGGATGGAGATGGACGAAAGCTCGATCCCGCAAATGGACAAGATGGCAATGCCAATATCCTCCGGACAGCCATACACAAGAGCAGCTTGGAATCCCCCACCCAAGAAAAACCGACCCGTCAAGTCGGTATCGCAGGCTGCTAAGCCAGCTCCCAAGGCCGATCGACGTGATGAGAAACCGACTTCGGCTGGTACGAAGGTAGAAATTCCAACAGCGCATGCCAAGGACACGGCTCGCAAACCGGAGGAGCCGAGTGTTGAGCGACCAAGACCGTCCAAGGACCAGAGTTCTGCGCGGTCAAAAACGACAGAATCAACAGCACACCAAGCCCCCGCTGATGAGAGGTTCAACGTGTCTAAGATTACTTCTCATCATGCTGAAGGCTCGGCGCAAGTCAAACAAGATCGAGCGGAAATGCTGCCCGTCGACCGCAAGGAGCAGGCAAGGCGACGATTAGAGGAGAGGAAGAAGTTGAGGAAACACGGTGCTGCTTGATTTGCTTTCTGGAGCTTTGCTGGTTGGGTTTTATTTGGGGAATTGGATCGTGGGGTGTAACATTATTTTCAGGGGGTGTATGGTGTGATTCCTTTGGGAGGGTTCGGTAAGGTGTTGATTGGGGTATCTCTACTGGAGTACAGGATGATACCTATGCTTATTCTAGTTTGCCTATGAATGGATTTTATTATATTGGTACACGATCCGATTCGTTTCGTCGTTTTAGGGATGGGTATCATGCGCCATCACTCAGCCGACCAAACGCCCACAAATGCAACAAACGGCGCTCCATCTCAACCCCTCATCAGCGTTTCCCCTCAGCAATCGCTCTCAGCGCATCCACAACCCCCACGGCGCTCTTCTCCAGCACACTTTTCTCCCCACCCGTCATCTTCCGCAACACATAGCGACTAACCTCCTGAGGACCCCTACTCTCGGGCCTCCCAATCCCCACACTAACCCTCCACCACTTCACCCCACCAAGCTGCTGCTGTATACTCTTCAACCCATTATGCCCACGCGAACTCGCCCAGCTCTCCCTAACCGCCACCTTCCCCAGCGGCGCCTCAAGCTCATCATGCACAACAACCAGCCTCCCCTCACGCCCCGCGGCGCGCACCTGCCGCAGCCACTCGGTATACGCGCGCTTGACGCCCACGCCGCTGACGTTCATCAGCGACGTCGACTGCCAGAAGGTCCAGTCGTCGTCGGGCGGCCCGCCGTCCGACGCCGTGTACCCTGTTATGGACCACGAGAGCACCGTGTTGTCCGGCCGCGATACCATGCCCGATAGTCCCCGCGTGAAGGGCTTGTACGACTTGCGCATGGCGATCTCGTTCGTCAGCGTGTGGCCCGCTGAGTGGAATGTGTTGGCGTAGAGCGCGCCTGGGTTGCCGATGGAGCATATTAGGAGGGAGAAGGGTCCTTGGGCGGCTTTTACGGCTTTTGCGGCTTTCGGGGTCGCCATTGGGGGTGGGAGGGCTGTTGTGCGAGGTTTGGCTGGGTGGTTTGCGGGCTTGCGGTGGGGTGTGGGTGAGGGTGAGGGTTCGTGCTCGTTTTCGGTGTCGGGTGGTGTTGGAGGCGTGTGTTTTTGTCGCTTGCGCTTTTCTTTGCGGCTTAGCGGGGTTGTGGTTGTGGACGGGGTTTCTGAGTCTGTGTCGTCTGGTGTTGGGGGCTCGATGTTTTTTGGCGTGCGAGCTGCGGGGATCGGAGATGGGAACGGGGCCGCAGTGTTCACGTGCGCACGTGTGCTCGCGTCGGCCATTTTATGCAGGACGAATTTGGAGATGAGATGAAGACGAGGCGAGGGCAGGTGAGTCTTCTTATTGCGGTATATAGACTAGACTTATGACACAATGTCTGCTTCGAAATGTCATCTTTGCTCTAATATGGCATTGTGAAGTGTACAGCCACATGGAAGAGTCATAGTGGGTTTGTAAGGGCGCTGCGTTTGGAAAGATGGCTGTCTGGGCCGCCCTTTCCCGCGCAGAACCAATATTTTCTTCGGCGCGATCGGTTTTGAACGAGTCAACGTCATCGAGCGTGCACGCTTGTGGCATGTAGGGAGCGATCTGAAGCTTTCGCGAAGAGACGTCCAGATCTCTTGGCGTGCATCATCGGTCAGGAACAAGGGTCCGATGTCTCGATGCATCTCACTCGCAAAGAAACCGCCACTTGCGCGTTCTCACTACCTATCCGCGCATATCGCATGCTTCACATCACAGTCCCAACCTTCACCAACGACACTTAACCATGGCGGAAGGACACACAACGCCGCCGCGAGCAACTCGCTCAGCGGGCAGGCTGCCACCAAACCCGCCGACGCCAGAGCAGATTCGCAGGATGGTATGAGGGACACACTCACAACTGCCCAGTCACGTATTCACACTATTCAGGAAGAAGCCCGCCTCAAAGCCAAAGCGGCCGCACAACAAATCCAAGCCTCAAGACCCTCTCCCGCCCCCGTCGCCGGCACAAAGCGCCCATACTCGTCCATGACAGCCGCCAACACGCCCTCCAACTCTCGCAACGCCGCCGCCGCCTCTCCACACAAACCCGACCAAAATGGCTTCATCCAGCCCCCATCGAACAACTACATCCAGCCTGCGCGCAAGGCGGCGCGATCAGACTACATCGATTACGACTTCAGCAAGATGACGGACACAAAGGGCGGTTTCCTCAGCACCGTCGACGACCCTCATAACAAGGCCATGTGGAAAGGCCAGCCCCGAGAAGAGCAGAAGCCAGAGGGCATGACAATAGCAGAATGGGAGCGCGAGCGCGTGCGCCGCAAGCTAAGAGAAGCGCGCGCCGGCCCCTACGAACCGGGCATCTCGATCCTCAACACGATCAACGGCAAAGAAGAAGAAGAGCTCTCCGACGCAGCGCTCCTCGAAGCCGCCGAAAACGACTCGGGCCCCTACCTCGGCAAATACGGCGACGGCAAGCGCGACATCAAAGGCAAATGCCGCGAATGCGCCTCGCTAGAAATCGACCACAAATGGCAAGACGTCTTCGCCATCAGCGTCTGCAGCGCCTGCAAAGACAAAATCCCAGATAAATACTCCCTCCTCACAAAGACAGAGGCCCGCGACGACTACCTCCTCACCGACCCGGAGCTCAAAGACGAAGACCTCCTCCCGCATCTCGAGCGCCCGAACCCCCACAAACAGTCCTTCCACGCCATGCAGCTGTTCCTGCGCCTACAGGTCGAAGCGTACGCCTTCAGCCCCGCGAAATGGGGCAGTCCCGCTGCCCTCGACGAGGAGTACGAGAAGCGCAAGGTGGTGACCAAGGCGCGCAAGGAGAAGAAGTTCAAGAATAAGCTCGAGGATCTGAAAAAGAGGACGCGTGTGGAGGCGTATAAGAGGGCGAGGTTGGCGGGTGGGCAGGAGGCGCAGTTTGGACAGAAGATTAAGGGACGGTATGATAGGCATGAGCATGAGTGGGGGCGGAGTGTGCTGGATCCTGAGACTGGGATGACGAAGAAGAGGTGTGGGGAGTGTGGGATGGAGGTGGAGGAGTTGGAGTTTTAGCTGGCTTTTTATCTATGGTGGGTGGGAATGTTATACCCGGATATACAGATATGTTAATATCTTTCTTCGTTTACATAGACGATACCCAGGAAAATATGCCACGAGGCAGTGTTCTGGATTCGAATTTACTCGACCGTGCAATATATCACTGTCAGCAGACTGGCCAGTCGTGATGCGTCTCGCAAAATGCATTCAGATCATCAAAAGCCCACCACAATCACTCACTACAACCTCCCGACCAACACCCCATCATATCCCGTCACAACACATCACATCAGAGTCAAGTAAGAAATCACCATTACCCCAGAGTCCCCTCGACTCGACTCGACATATTCATTTTCGCTACAGGATATCCCGTGCCCTGCCTCAACCCACTCCAAACCCGAAAAAGTAAGAAGAAAAAGAAAAATGACCATACAGTCATATTCCACCCTCTAATCCACCCACGCCCCAATCCAATCACCATGAATCTACTCCCGCCATACTCTCCGATCCATCCATCCATCCATCCAAAAAAAAAGCACTGAAGCGAGTTTTGTACACAAAAAAACAGGATACGAGCGAGACCACGCCCAGTCCCCTACCCCCTAGCATTATGCGCCTCCTCCGCCGTCTTAGTAAGCGCATCAAGCTCTCCCGTCGTCTCGCACATGGCCTTGAACGACCCGCCGTCCTGACGGATAAGATCATACGGATCGCCATACTCGATGACAGACCCCTTATCCAGGACAAGCACCTTGTCGTAGTCAATGATAGTCTGCAGCCGATGCGCAATAGTGATCGTAGTATTCTTAATAAGACGGATCGTATCTTGGATCTTCGAGTCGGTAGCGTAGTCGATGGATGCGGTTGCCTCATCCATCAACAGCACCTTGGGCGCTTTCAGCAGCGCGCGTGCGAGGCAGAGAAGCTGGCGCTGGCCTTGTGAGAGGTTGGAGCCTGATTCCGAGACGGGCGAGTTGAGGTTGCGGAAGGGGTTTTTGTTCTCGGCTTGGAGGGCGGCGTTTTGAGCGGCGATGTCGATGTTTGTTGGCTGGCCGTCGGGCATGACTACGATGGCGTCGTCGCCTGTCTCGCCGTGGTGCCATTCGCGGTTGGCGAGGATGGAACTTGGGTTCACGGTTGAAGCGGAGTAACTTGCATTCACGTCGGCTGTAACGGCGCCAGTTGTGGGATTCGGGATTTCGATTGCCTGGGGTGCGACGAGCTCGGCTGGGGAGACTGTGCCAGATGTTGGTTGCGATGTCGGCGAGATGAGGTGAACCTCCCGAAGGGCAGTAAAGATTTCCTCGTCAGTGAAAACGGAGAAGGGGTCGAGGTTGCTGCGGATGGTGCCTGTGAAAAGCGTTGGATCTGCCGTACGTTAGCATCTATCACACATAGGAAGCAACAGCGGGATTGCTTACCTTGCGGTACCATGACGATATTCTCCCGCAAATCCTGCAGACCGATCAACCCAACATCAACATCATCAACCAAGATCTTGCCCGTCTCTGCCTCCAGAGCCCGGAACAGCGCAAGCGCAAGCGAACTCTTTCCTGCGCCAGTCCTGCCAACGATGCCCACCTTCTCGCCTGGGAGAATCTTGAAGTTCAAGTTCCTCAACACAGGTTCGAAGTCAGGTCTGTATCGTGTACTGTAGTCGATAAACTCGACTGAGCCTTGGCTCGGCCAGTTCGATGGTGGTCTTGTCTCTGGAATGACTGCTGGCGCCTCCTGGTCGACGTCAAGATACTCCTTGACACGCTCGACAGAGTTCATGTTCTGCTCATTCGCAGAGTACAACCGGACAAACCATAGCACATTTTCCGTGAACGTTACAGCGTAGGTCAGTGCAAGACCGGCGGCACCTGCATCAATACGTCCAACGCTCAAGACCACAAAGGTTCCCGCAAAGAAAGAGACCAGCGCACCGACAACATCCACCCTGAACGCGAGCCATCTATTCGCAGCCCAGAGATAGATGAAAGGTCGATGTTGAGTGTTAATCTTGCTGAGGTTCTCACGGATGAAGCGGCGTTCCTCGCCGTACGCTCGGATAGTAGTCATGCCGGACAGTGTCTCGCCAAACTGCTGGAACAACGGGCTCCTCTGAACGGACTCGAGGCGCTTAAGATCGCGCGAAGAGTTGATGTAAAAGCGACCAATGAGGAAGTAGAGTACCGAGATGAAGACTCCGGCAATCAGGAAGGCAGGCGTAATGACTGAGATGAGCACAACAATGGTGAGGATAGAAGCCATGCAATGGACGACACCTACGGCAACAGGTGCAACTTCCTGATCAACAGCCTCGACGTCTTTGGAAAAGCGGTTCATTAGTTGGCCCAACGGTGTCTGGTCAAAGAAGCGGAACTTGGCATGTGTCACCTTCTGAATCAAGCGCTCGTGCACTCGTCGAGAGGCTGCGAGAGATCCACCAAAAAGGAAGCCTTCTCGCAAGAAGGTGATCAGCATGAAGATTAATCCCAGAATCGCATACACGATGAGGAAGTAGTTGGGGTCGACATCGGAATGCGAGTGCGACTTCATGGTGCTGAAGCCGGTCTGGAGGTTGTTGTAAGAGTAGTGTTGCTGCTCTTCTGGTTGGGCCAGGAAAGGAAGGTTCCAGCTGCAAGTGCCGCTCTTCATGCATGTACCCATACTGTTCATTGTAGGAATATGAGTGATAGGAGAGTGGTTATGATGTCCCATGGTCGTATACCCTTTGTCAGCGTATGCGTTCGCCCATGTTCGGATCCAAATGCTTGTCGAAACGGATGAGATCTGCTGCACGATGAAGGCGATAGACGCACCAACCCAATAGTACCACGGGCCCATAGCCTTCAAGTACATCAAGATGACGGTCAGCTTGACACCACCTTCAGCTTTGGTCTCTTCCGTGGCGCTGCTGACTTTCGGCTTGGACTCGGGCGCGCCGTCCACATTGCCGTTTGTAGTTCCATTCGCATGACTGACTTCGCCTTCCGCTTCATCGACATCTGACGCTGCCCGAGAAGCGGCTCTTGACGCTCCACGAGAAGCTGGCCTCGATTTCGTAAGGTCTTCTGTGAGTTTCCCAGAGTTGATGACCTCAGACGCCGTGCCTTGCGTAGCTACTCTGCCATTTTCAAGAACAACAACAAACTCCGCTTGCGGCAAGCATAAGCTGACGTTGTGCGTGACGAGAATGCAGGTACGATTGAGCATGAGCTTGCCCCTGAGAGCTTCGTCGAAGATCCATTTAGCGGTGTGAGAATCGACCGCGCTCAGGATATCGTCGAGTAAGATGTGACGCGCTTTGCTGTACATCGCACGAGCGAGAGAGATGCGCTGCTTCTGGCCACCTGAAAGTGTGACACCCTTCTCGCCAACAAGAGTCTGATCGCCCGCATCGAGAATCTCAAGATCACGCTTCAGGGAGCAGGCGGCGATGACTTCCTGGTATCGGTTCGCATCCCAATTACCTGCAAAGACAATGTTGTCCTTGACGGTACCGTTAACCAGCCATGCTTGTTGAGCGCAGTAAGCCACACTCTCAATAAGTCCAGTTTCCGAATCGGGTGTCAGGTCTTCGCGGCTCCCGGCTCCCGGCAGATATACTTCGCCCTTCAGCTTTGTCATCTCTCCCAGCAACGCCATAAGGAGTGACGTCTTTCCACTTCCAGTAGGTCCGACCACAACGTTGAGCTGTCCGACATGGAACTTAAGATCAAGATCCATCAACTTGAAGGCATCAACGGCTGTCTGATCCGCCATATCTTTGCCACCCCAGCTGAACGTGCCGTTCTCAAGTCCAATAATCGGCTGACCATCTTCGTCCTTCTTGCGATTCTTAAGCTGCACATACTTGTCCGTATCCGGTTCGCTCAAATACTCTTCGATACGGTCAACCGATACCTTCGACTCTTGAACGTGCGCGACCATATCGGCGAGTTGATCCAGCGGAATCCTCAAGATCTGGAACAATGAGAGAGCGGTGAATGCAATCGACGGGATCAAAGGCTTCTGTTCGATTTTGGTGTAGAAGTAGAAAGAAAGGAACGTGATGAACACTGGAGACCCAGACCAGATCGTTGCTGCTACCGACCAGAGAATGTATCTGCGGCGAAGGTGCTTCAGCTCAACATGTCTCTTCTCATTCACAAGACCAATGAAGCGTTGTTCCCAAGCAAAGAACTTGATAATTCGGATGTTAGTGAGGACCTCATTTGTCGTATGGATACGCGCATCGGTGGCCGCCAGAATCAACTTCTGAACCTTGGTGAATTGGCTTGCCACCCACATGTTGATTGGGAGCAGAATAATCATCATTCCGATACCAGCAATAGAACTGTATCCGAGGATGCGGTATAGTAGGTAAACGGCTACCACGACCTGAACCGGGGTGCTTGCCCACAAGAAATGAAGATATGCACAGATCTCGCTGACCTTGAAAGCGTCCACGGCCATAAGATTGATAATGGCACCAGTCGAAACCTGAGCATCGGCATCAGGCTTCTTCGCATCTTCTGCCTTTGAGATTTCGGTAGGTGTCTTCTTCTTCTTTTGGCCCCAAGTCACCATGCGCTTGAGTCTACTCGGCTCGTCGTCCTCCTCTTTCTTCTTCTCTTCTCCAAGTACTTTGTCGGTTCCCGCAGCAGCCCTGCGCTTCAGCGCTTTCCTGTAGAGTTCGCCGATAATCACGGAGCGTAGTCGGATGCAGGTCTTTCGACCGACCCACAACGCCTGTCCATCTGCAAGCGCTGAAAGACATCCAGACACGAAAAGAAGGATAACGTAAAACCAAGCAGCATTCACAGGCGTAAGGTCTGGCCGTTCGACATATTCCAGAATGACTTTGAGGAGTAGGGTAGGAGCGAACGTAAGGAAGCCAGACATGACAGCCCATCCTGCCTGAATCAGAAGCCCACGTTTGAAGTACTTCAGCAGGTGGAAAGCCAGGGCAGACGTCTTCTTGACCTGGCGATAGTTTGAGATGACAGCCGCAGCCTTGTCGTTTGGTGGGAGGTTCCAAACATCAGAGAGCTCGTATGTCTTCTTGTAGCCAGTCCAAACGATGGAATCCACCCAGCTGAATGTGGCAAGCGAAAAGACGCTGGCGATGGGCTCCTTGGCAGGCGTAATATCCCCTTCGTATTCCAGCTCTACCGTTTTGTTGCCCTTCCTAGACAGCAATGAAATGAGGAAGAGCAGCGAGACAAGGACAAAGTCAAGAATGGCGAGCTTTTGATAGACGTCTGATCTCGGGTGGATGATGGCCGATCGGAAGAGCAGCATGCTAATGACCCATTGGAAGCCGTATATGAAGGCCGTATGGTACCACAGCATTGGAAGCGAGAATCTGCTCGTGCTAGAGAATAGCAGCCTCAGCGAAGCCAGAGTGGCAATATATGACCAGACGGCGATGTTGGCCAGAGCGGCAATCTTGCCGTGCTTGCCCCATGCGCCTGTAAACAGTATAGCTACGTGCACGCCCAACTGCGCCAGGACGGCCGCCTCTTCCAGCACCACGACCGTGAGCTGGCCGCGGGGTTTGTCTACGGCCATTTTAGAGTGGTGGCTGATAGTCGGGTGGAGGGCGAGGTCCTCGTTGCGATCGAAGTCGTCCTCCAGGTCGCTGTCGTCGGCGTCGCCATCGTAGTGAGGACTGCTGAAGGCCCAGACATGGCGCGGGTCGTCCAGCACGGTGTAGACATGGTAGTATTTAGAAGCCGTGGCGGCAAAGTAGAGTTGAACCAGCAGATAAACGAGCGACACGCCGCAAACGACGAGGGGAAATAATGTCTTGAGATAGCTGTGACACGGTCAGCTCACGGTAACGCCCATTGCGGCAATCGTAACCAACGCGCACAACACCGCCGAGACACTCACTCTTGTTCGAAACAACGCGAAAAGTCATCGATGCCCCAGACCGGGCCTCTGCAATGGGCGAACATGCTTCGCCACTTGGAAAAGGTGTGTGGTGGCGGTGGGCCTCTTCACAGCACTCGCGCTCTTTACCGGCGGGAGAGGAATGGCATTTGAAGGCTTCTGGGAAGCGCGTTGGGGGTGGGAGCTTCTGGGTAACGACGCGCAACAACAGACAAACACGGTCGAAAGGGACTGGGTTATCGTTGCTTGTAGAAAAAGGAAGGGTCTACCACGCGCGCGAACACTGACACAGCTCTGTGATGTAATAATAATAATGCCTGTCCCTGTCCCCCTAAGAGATTTGTCCGAGGGCGCGTCCAAGCTCCATCTGATAAGATTCCGTGCAGCTGATCGAGGCGAACAAACAGCTGGAGGGGAGCTGCACACGACAGCCAGGAGGTAACACCTGAATAGGTAGTGACGAGGATACTCTTCATCTCGCCAAACTACCATCGATCATCCTACCCGCAAAGACGCACCCATCGCTCACCGCCTGAGTCACCAGCCGTCGACTACCTACGGGAACTCGTCGTGCAGATGCAATGCAGGAGTGGTGCAGCAGTCACTCTATCGGGGGAGGCAGAACGGACGGGTAAGGTAGGTAGCTGTTTTCATCCCATGGTGCAGATCCAACAGATTCTCGTACGAACGTGTTTCTGCCATTTTGATTGGCAATTTACCAAGAGTAGAGTCGCTTGTCCGCGCATCTGGTGCCTGTTCTTGCATGTTTTATTCCGTAGCGACGCTTCAGGATCAGCGGTGGTGGGTAGGTACATGCGAGATGCGTCTCTGATTGCTCGGCAAAAGCTGGGGTAGGTCGCCCTTTCAGCCACGTAGGTAGTCATGACAAGGTCGCGGGAACTGGACTAGTCAAACATGTCATTCATACCACATGAAGTTCCGCCCACATAGGGCGCGTCGTGCTCGCGCTAAGTGTTTGCCAGCGTTTCCCTACCCACGAAAAACACTAAGAAACAATGAGGCGAGCATTATTTCGGGAGAACGGTGCTTCTTGGTTAACTGTGAAAGCGGGAAATAAGCTACATTCTTTGTGGGCTCCTACGAGTCGCAAACTACACGGTTAAAATTTGTCAAAATGCTCGCAAGGCGTATACTGTTTAAAATTTTAGGCCCAAGACTCCTACACTAAACTTGGTTGTAGTTGTTAAGCTATCGCAAGATTTCGCTGCACCCTATCTCCTGGTATTTCGATTGGCCGAGAGGGTGCCTGTTGAACAATCTCCAGCAGATAATAGTAAAGCCGCGACGGTACAATTTAATAGCACCTAGTCTCCTCCCTCCCCATTCTCCAGTCCAGCATTCCCAGGGAACCGTTCAAGCTAGGAAGATTAGTCATTTCGCCTGCACAAGGATAGCTAGGTAGCGATCTTAGTCTACAATGAAAGACATTGATTCTTCTAGACTAAGATACAACCTTCCCCATCTACGTGATTCTAACTAACAACCAATCGTAGCAAAAAAACTCCGCAGCAATTCCTTCTAGACCCCAGACTGAGACATCAAAGAAAACGACTCTACTGGATAGTGCTTATCTATCAGCAATGATACAACTGCTCAATGATCATACACACACATCTCCCTCTCCTCGAAATTCACAACCGTCCCTGAACATCTCCATCACACACATACCTACCCTTCCGGCGCACTCAATGCGGCAGCGACAAGTCCTTGTTCCTGGGCAACCGCGTCTCGTCGCTCAGATACGGGAACCCGGCCTTCTCGCGCGCCATATCATTAAGCCACTTGCTATCGGGCTCGACCTTCTCACCCTTGGCCAGCGTGTCCGCAAGGTACAACCACGCAAGCGCATTGCCCACGGTGCTGACCTCGTCGCTGACGTGATGCTTCGCGTAGTGCGACATGTTGCGGTGGTCGACGGAATCGGTGAAGAGGTGGTGCAGCCAGTAGGCGACCATTTTGTAGTCGCCTGCGTCGACGAGGTAGCCTGATTTTCCGTCGGCGACTTGCAGCGGGATGCCGCCGCGGCGCGTGGCGATGATGGGGATGCCCATGTGGAGGGCCTCGGAGACCTTGACTTCGAAGCCTTCACGGGTGGAGAGCTGGAGCGCGACGTGCGCGTTGGCCATGAGGACGTTGAGGAGTTGGTCCGAGGGGCCGAGACGCATGACAACGATGTCATCAATGAACTCTGGGTAGGTGTTTTTGATAGCCGTCGTCGTCTCGTTGTAAATGCTCGTCGCATCTGGGTCGTCGATGGCGCCATGGCCGGCGATAACAAGCTGGGGGATTGATTCGATGTTGGTGTCCTTCATGTACTCGCGGCGGAGCTCGGCGTACGAGGCGAGAACGTCGGGGATGCCTTTGGCTGGGTCGAAGCGGGCGATCTGGACAATGTACGGACGGTTTGGCTGCAGCGTTGCCATGCCCATTTTGAAGCACTCTGCTCTGAACTGGTGCATGTAGTACTCTGTGTCGAAGTGCGCGAGCTTCTTGTTCAAACCGTCGAGCCAGTCGGTTGTGGCAGGCAGGTACCCAACCTTCTCCGACGTAACGTTGCCGGGAACGAACTCGCGGACGGGATGGCTTACAAAGACATCGCAGTCCTTGACGTTATCCCACACCCAGTTCCATACTTCAGCAGTGGGTGTATCCGCTTGGTTGGCAAGATCGGCGCGGACTTGAATATGGCTGCGGAAGACGACAGGGCGCTCAGGATCATTCCTCTTTGCGATCTTGACGAGAGACGGCATCTGGGGGTCGTCGACGACGATGACGTCTGCGCCGCCTTCTGAGCGAGGAGCCAACGGGCAGTTCGGAGCGTTCCAGTAGCGCTCAGCATTCTGCTCACACCAATTGTCAAGGACGCGAATAGACTTGTCGTCCAGGCGAAGATCGGGTTCAGCCACTCCTTGCAGAATGTTGTGGTTGTTCTTCGTGATACGGAAGACCTCTGGCTTTGGCTTTGGAACGTACCTGATGTGATTTAGTAACAATGCTCGACTCGAATCAAACTCTCGAACCTACCATCGGCAGTTTACTCCAATAAGGCGTAGAAGACGAATGAGCGCATGCCTCATCAAAGCCACACCTCCACCTTGCGGGGTGCTGTTGAAGAAGGCAATCGTGGTGTTGTTTTTCTTGAGAGACTCGGCATACACCATCATAGCGTTCCAGGTGTTGACGTGGACACTGTTTTTCAAGCTCTCCGTGTCGGTGATTTGAGCTATTTTGTCACAGTCGACCTTGACCTGATTGCGGCTACCAACCATGAGACGAGGCTGTTGATTTGGGCCAAAGAACCTGTATGACGTGAGAAATCAGAACAGGGCGGGAGCTGATGGGACTTACAAGACGGCCTTCCTGGCCATAGAATCGGCCTCCTCATCTACCAGCCACTTGCGGCGTTTCTGCGTAATGGCATCGTTGGCTGGCTCCGTACCTGTGATGTTCTGGGTTGGTCCCAACACCAGTGGCACAATATCCACCTCACTCCACAACCTTGCAGGGAGGCCGTGGCTCAATGCAACGAGCTGCTCGGTCAAGCCAGCACCAATAAACTTGAAGAGATGCTGGGCCTGATAGGACTTGATTTTCTCGACAATGAGATCGGATATGGCAGTTGGAAGAAATTCGGCCGAGATAGGTGTCACCGTGCCTGGGTCGACTGGTGTAGCAGTACCCGAATGACTTGGCGTCGGCATGCGTGAATCATTTCGTGGAGGATTCAAGGAGATGACGGAGTAGTCGACGGAGTAGGTTCCATCATGTACAGCGATGGCAACATCGTACGTGCCTGGGAAGCGCTCAAAAATAGCCACACCCAGGTACATGGGCTAGATTGGATTAGTACTTTCATTGAGCCGACAAAATGACGACCAGGTAGTGTGGTAGATAAGATATCACTGACCTGAGTACCGATACCCGCCTCGTGTTCGTGATTCTCCATTTGCAGGGCCGGGGTCTGCGCCTGGAAGGCCTCACGGGTCTTTTGGCGTAGCATGGGCGGGTGAGACTGCCCGGCAGCACTACCGTGAGGGACTTGGAGCATTGTGTCTGGATGTTTGGAGTTGGCTATGAGAAAGAGTAGTGACGTGTATTGAAGAGACAAGTATTGTATAGAGCAAATGGCAGTTATGTAAGTATTCGATACTGGTAATGGTGATGTGGTAGTGGCAGTGGTTGTGGTGAGAAAGGAGCAGCAAAGCGTAGGCTTTTATGCTTTCTGGTAGTCGTTGGTCGCTTCACACGGTGAGAGATCTGCGCGTGACATTGGGGGATCCGTGAATCTGGAGACATTTCCATTACTACAGTTTGAGCAAGGGAATAATGCTTGCAATCGGAAGGAACGTGGCGACGATTACATTGGGTGGGGCCGAGCGTGGCTTTAAGAAGCATCCAGTCAAACAAAACGAGAATGGGGTGATGAGAACGAAAGCTTAGTTGGACGGTGATTGGCAAGTTGAAAAGGGGAATCGGGATCCAAGACCAGCTCGCTGGACGACGTCACACAGACGGCTATTCACAGATGAGGGAAAATGAGATCTGCTGCGTGCAGTGTTCCCGCAGTAAGCACTGTTGACGTGGGGAGATGTGTAGCGTGTTCAGCGAACGGTATGGAGGTGGCAGCAGGTCACGGCTGGCGTGACCGGTGAGTCTAGAAAACTTCAGGGCACGCTGCGCATATTCTGGCGGGCGCATGGCTTTTTGAAGTTATCTAGCCCTCGCGCGAAGATTATCATCTGTCAGCATATGCGTAGTTGCAGTGAGCATAGTTGGATGCACTGCTGTCCACGGGCGTGGTGACACTTGGCGGCGTTCCACAGCAGTTCCACAGCAGCTGCATGGGCGAGGGATGGACGAGGAAGGCATGTATGCGAGTTCAGCCGCGGACGCTCTGTGCAACCATCGTGGCTCTATGTGGAACATCGGCGTGGGATGGGGCAGGTCAGGTGTCGACGATGTTGGGAGCAACGAAAACATGATGAGATGATATATTTATGATATGCAGGCAACGTTGCTAGCGGCCGTCCCCAGGCTAGTTCTTAGTTCTTGGTTCCTAGCTCTCGTACCGGCAGCCCTTAGCTTGAGGCTGCTGTGGTGCCTAGCCGAGCCCGGCCCCAGGGTCTCCAGTGCGAAGAGCAGAGAGACGCAGCAGAGCAGACGCACGCAGCGGGCGGGACCCGTAGAGTCGCAGCCCGCCCTCGTCGCGCCGTGGAACCTAGGAGGTGCTGGGCAGGACGAGTCTTCTGGCGCGGGCTGCGGTGTGCCGACGCCGTGGTGGCCGCCAAGTAGCAAGATGGCCCGTGCGCCGTGGTCGACGACGCAAGCGCGCAGCCTCCCAGCCAAACCTTCTCGCTCGACTGCCCGACCGTCCAGCACCTGTTGCGCGACGAGCCACTCCTCGCCCGGCCCTCCGCTCCCTTGCAGCTACGCGTCGCAACACGTGAGCGACCCGCCGCCCTCGACCGCTCCGCCCCGACACGACCGTCGCGTCCTGCCCACCGTCAGCGCCGCCAGCACCACCTGCCCAGCGAGCGAGCGCGGCCATGAACCACCCGTACCCGCCGCGCCCCATGGGTGTCCCCCAGGGCGGCCCCAGCCAGCGCCTGGAGGAGCTGCTGGCCAACATCCGCACCGAGTTCGAGGCCGAGTCGCAGCGCGGCGTCGACTTCGAGGGCCAGATCAGCCGCCATGTGCAGGAGATCGAGATGATCCGCAGCAAGATCTACGCCCTCGAGAGCCAGCACCAGAAGATGAAGTCGCAGTGAGCAGCCCCGAGCCCCCGTGCCGCACCTGTACTGACGCGCCCTGCAGGATGGAAGAGCGCATCATGCAGCTGGAGCGCGAACTCGAGGCCCGCGGCGGCCCCAGCCAGAGCGCCCAGCACCACGGCGGGCCCTCGCAGCCCCAGCCACCCCAGATTGGCCACGGCCCCAGCAACCTCTTCGGCGGCATCATGGCCGGCAGCGCTGCCCAGGGCGGACCTGGCCTCGCCCCGCCGCCGCAAGAGGCACCGCAGCCTCCAGGCATGCCTCCACACATGGGCGGTCCCCAAGGCCCGCCCGGCCTGAACCCCGCCCCTGGCCCGCCGCAGCACTTCAATGGCTACGGGCCGGGCCCCTCGGTCAATGGTATGCAATGCCCTGGCTTCTGCTCCACACACGCTCGCTAACACGTCGCAGGCTATGGCCAGCCGCCGCAGCCCACGGCCTCGCCAGGCGGAAAGCGCCCAGGCCCCCGCGGCCCTCCTGGCCCTGCCACGCCCCAGCAGAACAACCCGGCGCCCTATCCTGGCTCGCCCCAGGTGCCGCGACCAACGCCCCCTCCGCACCACCAGCCGGGCCCCATCCTGGCCAACAACGTCCCTCTGAGCCAGAGCAACATCCTGGCCGACCTGGACATTGAGCAGCTGCCCGACAACCTCAAGAAGGAGGGCAGCGATTGGTTCGCCGTCTTCAACCCGCGCGCGAGGCGAGTCCTCGATGTCGACCTGATCCACAACCTGCCCCATCAGAGCGTCGTCTGCTGCGTGCGCTTCAGTCTGGACGGCAGGTACGTCGCTACGGGCTGCAACCGCTCCGCGCAAATCTTCGACGTCGAGACCGGAAACCCCGTCGCACACCTCCAGGACGGGAGTCTGCCTGAGGACGGCGACCTCTACATTAGGAGTGTCTGCTTCAGCCCCAACGGCGCCTTCCTCGCCACCGGTGCCGAGGACAAGGTCATCAGGGTAAGTGGCAGAGCGCCCAAATCTTATGCTTGGAATGCCTGGACTAACGCATGCAGGTGTGGGACATCCACTCGCGCACCATCAAACACCAGTTCACCGGTCACGAGCAAGACATCTACTCGCTCGACTTCGCCAGGAACGGAAGGATCATCGCCTCTGGAAGTGGTGACCGCAGTGTCCGTCTCTGGGATCTCGAGACGAACAGCCAGGTTGCCAACTTTGCCATTGAGGATGGCGTTACTACAGTCGCCATCTCTCCCGACAACTGCTTCGTCGCAGCTGGTTCTCTCGACAAGAGTGTCCGTGTCTGGGACATCCAAAGCGGCCAACTCGTGGTGCGCCTCGAGGGTGAGCAGGGTCACAAGGACAGTGTGTACTCGGTTGCCTTCGCTCCTTCCGGCAACCGTCTGGTCAGCGGCAGTCTCGACAAGACGATCAAAATGTGGGAGTTGACGACACCTTCTCGCCTAATCCCGGGCCACCCTCCCAGCGGCAAGTGTGTTCGCACGTTCGAAGGCCACAAGGTATATACTCTCTATCGTTTTGAGAGACCGCGTATAGCTAACAACATGGTAGGACTTTGTGCTCAGCGTCGCCCTAACTCCTCACGGCGACTGGGTGCTCAGTGGCTCCAAGGACCGCGGTGTTCAGTTCTGGGATCCCCACACGGGTGTTGCCCAGCTCATGTTGCAAGGTCACAAGAACTCTGGTATGCACGACTAATCACTGAGACGTTTCCGTCTAAGACTTCTGATACTAACTGTTCGCAGTCATCTCCGTCGCACCAAGCCCAACGGGAGGCGTCTTCGCCACAGGCAGCGGCGACATGCGTGCGCGAATCTGGAGGTGAGTGATCTTCCATACTGTCCCGACATTCCACATCACGTTTCGAGGAGAAATCGAGGCACACCCATTCGTGGTAGTCTCAAGGCAGCTTCTCCTCGACGCTACATCTTATCGTCTGGACACGTGCAAAACACTATAAAGAGCATTGAGCTGACTCGATTGATACAGGTTCGACAGGTATGCTGGACCTTAGGTGGGTTCGCCGGATAGCGTAGTCTGAGCCTCTTTCGCCAGCCAGCCAGTCAGCCAACACAGTGTGTTCCTCCAACATGGGCGCAAGAGCAATCGCATATGAGAATCATGTCAAATAAAGGGTATACCACAACAACATTGTCTCGATCAGAAAGATACCCCTATAGCGAAGCACACGAGTCACATGGGATCATGGAACTCGCATGTATCTGGACATTTTGCCCTTTCTTTTTTGGGACGCGCGGACGGAAAGCACCAGACAGACAGACAGATGGACATATGACACGAAAAACTTTGGATGAAATGTATTTATTTTTACCCCCCCTGTCCGGACAACCCTTTTCACGATTTGTGTTGAACAGGTTGGTTGGGGGTTGATGGATGGGAGTCTTTTTTTTCTTCTTATTTCGATTGGATTGGTCCACGCTTTGCTGGATGGCGAGGGTGGGGGGCTCAGGGTGGGAAATGGATTGTGTGGGTGAGGAGGTATGTACGCGATATCTGGTAGCTAGCTAGGCAAATTTGATTCCCCTTGATGTAACTGCGTGCGTTTTTCTGTTGTGGCTCTCTGTGGTTTATGTATACTCTTCTGTCAGCTTACCTGCGTTGCACATCTCTTTCACCTGACCTCTACTCCCTTGCGTCCTTCTTTATCCACTTTAACTCCCCAATTACACCTCAAATCCTCTGCGCCTATCTACATATCTGTCCATCTATCCATCCATCTCTACCTATTCACAAAGTACACCCCGCCCACTCCCCAAGCAATCCTCACACCCCCAAATATCAATCACCGCGCACATACATACCCGCTCTAGCCCACCTATCTCGACCCAACTCAACACAATCCATCCCAACCCACCAACTACTCTTCCATCCACCGGACCAACATATGTGAGGAAAGGATATGAAGAGGGAGGGAAATTGTCCTTGTATTCACGCCTGTACACGCTGTGTTTTAGGTTTATGGTTTAGTCGACGGGGGTGAGGTGGGCTAGGTGAGACAAGCGCTGTGGATGGGTATTTAGGTCGGGGAAGTTTGAGTTGTTTTGTGATGGGATGCGGTGTTGAGGAGGAGGTGGGTTGGAGTTGGAGACTGGTAGTGAGGACGGACGGAAGGGAACAAGAACGGGGGTCTTGTTTGGATCTGGGTTTTTTTCTGGGTTGGGGTCGTTGGTACGTTAAGTTTAGCTTAATTTGGGTTGTAAAGAATGGAATAGAAATACACATCACTGGCATGCTTACACAATTCTTGAGTTCAGGGACGTCGGACTGCGTCACTCTCAAACAATAAATATCTGGAATACATCCAACAGAATGAAAGGAGCGTTGAGGTGCAGATGACTTGCTATTACCAGAAAAGCTGGGGGGCTAAACTTAGTTTTTGAAATGGTATGTGTAGTATACAACCTATATATCCCTACGGAAGCTAGGTAGTTTATGTATCAGGGCTTATACATGTTTGTTTCTAGTAGAATACTGTTTGTGTGATGCAGTAGTATAATTTCGTTGAGCTGGTTTTACATACTATATGAGTTTTAGAGGTTTTGATAAACTGAAAGTGTAGGTCGTGTGGATACATTGAGATTCTTTTTTTGCACTTGTCTGGTTGAGTAGGAGTGCGTGTGTACTTGCGTATCGAAGTCAACTAGATGGAACGACGTTCGAAAGGGTAATATGAGAGTAAGCTGGAACATTTACCACTGAAATGATTTGATACTATGACATGGCACTGCACAACAACTAATACAATCTAGCACGTTTATCTACCGTGTAGATACGGCGGAGATGTGTTGTGGTGCATATTAGGAATTAGTGATGAGTTGTTATTGATTTAATGTGAGATTATAGTTGTCCGCTAGATACATTAATAATATGCTGAAGACTAAGTATTACTCTTCGATGTAAGACTTCTCTATAACTTAAAATTGAAAACATGAACTCCAATTGCTAACGGGTTAATACCTCGATGTTGTGTAGCCCGCGTTACATGTCTGTACAGCTGCTACCCGGGCTTTGAAAAATGCCTGCGCCTATTAGTAAATCAAGTTGTTTGTTCTCTCAAAATAGTTGGTTGGCTCTGCTTCGTTATCACTGGTACAACGTACTATTACTCATAGTTGATCTGCGTTATGACTTTTCTTTAGTCTACAGCGTATTCAGAATTGCTGCAAAAACCGATAGACGCAACGCAGCATAAGCCCAACGCTCTAACAAAGTCAAAAGAGTTGAATTCCAACTCCTTTACGCATGGCAGCTATCAGTAAAAGTACACAGTCATAATAATATAAGAGCAGAGGCAGGCTATCCACAACCCGCCTCTTGACGATTAGCTGTTCAATGTACCGATGCGAACACGCATGTTCGAAAGTTCAGGCAGCCGTTAATCGAAGTTCAGTTCCTCAAATCTGGATCGTGTAAACTTTTCGACTGGCGAGTAATGTCCCACATACGATCAACGCAGCTTCGGAGGTGGTGATCCAGTTGCTGCGTGTCAAGGGGTTGGGTATCACCCCGTGAGAAACCGAGCTTTTTACTGTGCTCCGCCTAGCTGCTTCTACATAAAGCATGGATACAGTGGAAATCGATGAAGATAAGAACTCTGTGATAGACATTCTGATGTGGGGATGACTATAGAGTCATCGGTTTGAGGATGAGTATCGACATCAATCCACGAATCCACAAGCATAAGTATGCTATGTATTTGTATCATCGGCTTTTTGAGAACTGGTAGGGTAGTAGTTTGGGCGATAGTAGTGATGATGCGAAATCGAACTACGCTGCTTCGTATAGGAGAAAGAGGACGCATCTAATGCTTAACGTGATGATTTCGACATCGTTCCTATAATTTACAGACTCCATTCGCCACGAGAGATTAAGTTCATGGGTGTGACGAAAAGCATGGAACCGTAGCTATTCGCCAAAGTCATGGATTCTATTGATATCCTTCTTGTTCACATGATCCTTCTGTGTCTGCGCTAGGAAACTGCTTATTGTAGAATCTATCAGTGTCTATAGCTACAACAACAGACTATAACATAGGAATTGTTGGCACATCGCCGCAGTTTCGCACGGAAGGCTTTGAATGTTGAGGAAGAGCTTGCCTCCATGACTTGAGGCTTTACCACTTGTCACGCTGCTCGACTTCAACCATAAATGAGGCTGTACCTAGTATTGAGCAGGGAGATTGAAGAATACCTGTGGTCGAGATCATCATTATCTCTTGATTCTCATTATGAAAGTTACTTCAAAGTTATGTGTACGTGTCGTTCAACTGCAGGCGAGTCAAGACGTCGACGGAAGAGGAAGAGAAGCATCTTCGGCAATCGAACCAATCTGACTCCCTACCGTGTAAACCAAAGTGCGTGAAACTTCTTGGGAAACGTTCTGCATAACCTCTCGAAAAGAGGACATGATGTTCAGATCCCGGAAGCGCTGATCTTGCAAACAGAGTTTTTGAAGGTGTGGAGGATGAAAGTGAAGCGGAAAATCACGTCATTATCTCGAAAATCTTCGTACACATCATGCCATAGAGCCTGACCTCCCTCTCACGATCGACCAACACAACCCTGAGGAACAACTGCGCTCAAGTCCACTCCCCGATTTTCTCACCCTCCAATTCAGACTGCACGAAGCGAAGTGAGGCAGTGCTGTGGTTGACATCTCGTGTCACCTTTATGATACAGACAACCCAGCATCATTGCAGTGCAATTAGCCCAACAAAACATCTTGGTGCCCGACACTCTATTCACAGCTGATTCTATCTATAAATGGCTCGGGTTCGCGTCGTCTTGAGTGCTATGGCAAGTCTTTTCATCGACGTACATGGTATGGCAAGGTTTAGGATCTCGCAGGATCTCACATACCCGCTCTTCCGGCCGTAAATATAGCTTTGGGCATAGTCGCGTGGTTTGACTTGCCTCGGCCGATTGATTTTGCAAGGAACGGTAGAATCCGACTGGGCTTCGAACGAGGGGTGGAACGCATGGCTATGGCTCAGTTCTGTTCACTGGCAATAAAATCATGACTGTGGTAAGGTAAGTGTACGGTTTGAGTGAGGTGCGTCGGGGTGGGTTTGGGATATTGCCGCTGGATCCCGGATCTGACGGCATGGTGTAGGTTCATGGCTTGAGGCGAGAAACCTTCGCACAAACGCCGAATATACTACATGTGAAACGATTGAGGATACAACGAGACAATGGAGTATGAGATTCGTGGAAGTATGCGGTCTTCATGCGTCATCTGCAGATATGCGTAGAGTATGAACGGCGACATGACAGGGTATCGCCGACAAGTGGGGTGGGATCTTGGGGTTTGGAGGGGACGAAGCCCGGCGCATTACCCCTTTCATCGTTACCGATGATGGGTTGGTGGATGGCAAAGTTTTCCCGTCGTGTCGCGCCTACCCCGGTCACTGCCTGCGCCTTCCTTAGTCACTGTAATGGCTTGTGATGAACTCGATTCCCAGCACAACACACTCTTTCAACGACCGGTGTACGCGAGATTAGGATCTTCCGATCTCAAAAATACCGCCAAGTTCTGCACGAGCAGTTCCCCACAATCGCAGACTGTTAGCATCTGGTCAGCCTGTCTACCCGCCCTGACTTACCATACCCACCTGCCCCACAGGCTTGACGCTCCCGTTATCCGCGCGATCGGATCTGCAGCACGCATTACGATACTCATGCCGTCCCGCAAAGCCCTGACTAAACATTAGTAAACTGGAGACGAACCCAGACACTAGGCATCGTCTTTGAGAGGCGTGAGTGGAGTTGGATCCTCCTACGGTAGTAAGATTGTGTGTGCATGCGGGAATACCGCGCATCTCGGGCGAACGTGGACCTGAAGTGATGCAGGGTCACAAATCGTACGAGTGTGAGATAAGGCAGTTGATCGAGACGAAATGCTCAAATGATGGGCGACCTTGTATTGAGTACGGGTCCATAGCTAGATCTATGTTAGCGCCTGTGAGTGTAATGATACAATGTGTATGTAGGTAGTTGCGCGGAGAAGGTAGGAAAGACGGCACATACGAGTTCCACAAAGCGCCGAGACGTAAGAATTGCTGAGGGTTCTAGACGACGGACAGTGTTGACAGAATTTCGCCCTGATCTTCACCTCGTAATGTGACCCTCGAACTCCACAAACGACCTGTCGCATTTTCGTCAGACCAGGTTGTCGGTCAGTAGATAACCAAACCAGGAGCCAAAATCCATCGAGTCGGCGACCACAGATCTTCGGGACCCACAGATTCAATATTTTAAGACTGGCGTTTAGAGACGTCGGTAAGGATGTCGATGTAGCTTACATGCAAGTCGCCAAAAGTGATCTTCTCATCACGCCACCAGCATTCGCGACACCGCCGACCATGCCGAGTACCTCGATGAGGCGCGTTGCGGCATGTTCAATACACTGGCAGTCGTCGTGGGAGCGGGATGTGGATTGCCCCTACGAAGATGAGACCTGTCAGATCTTGCGGACAGTTAATGCCATGCCACCAAGTCGATTGGCGAGATGTTGCGTACATAGGAACTACAGTTCCGTCCAGACTAAAAGGGTAGGTTCTTACTTTTTGTAGGATGGCGTGCATACCGAGACGCAAGTTTCGTGTTCATCATGAACCAGCCGATTGATTTGTTTCATCGCCTTGCAGAAACCACCATGTCTAGATCGTGGAGTGCATCGTCAGGATCTCGTAATGGTAAGCGCATCCATTCGGCATCACAACCGCCAGCCAACCGTCAGCCAACCGCAATCTACCAGACGACGATGTACAACAATGCAAAAAGCAACTCTCAGATGTTGTACAGTCGAAGCTGGCGACGCAACGTTGGTACCCAGGATCGGCCCTCCCGCGACCCTTTCTGTTAGACTACACAAGCGTTGGCGGCCCCGCCTTTTACGAATCGCGCACGGGGACAGGGGGCTTGAATCTCGGAACTCCCTTCACAATTGCCGATGGCTGGTGATCTAGACGTTGTTTTAGACTCGCTTTGTGGATTTGGACTAGCGCGCCAGTTGCTGATGTACGTCATCGCACTTGATCCAAGTATGAAGTTGTGGTGAGATGAATTCTTTGCATGAACCTGTAGCCATGCCAGCCGGGAAGTCGCAGGATCAATGTAACATGTACGTCAGGTATTCGTGAAGGGCATGGTTTGTGTCACGGTACACAGAAGCTGAGACAGCGAGAGAGCCATAATACGAAGTGGAGATGTGGCGAGACGGAGACGAATGTTTTGACGAGCTTCAAGCATGGCACGTTGAACCAAGTCGTCCGCACGAGTTTGCATCCATTTACAACGCAAGACGTGCGAGGGTGCACAAGCTGTGCAAGTATACGATGCTAATAGAGACCAATGGGGTTGTGCTTAGCTCGAGCTTTGTGCCTGGAGAGTATGTGAGTCTTGTTTCGGAGCTTGGATAACATAAAGAACCGTGTCTTGACTAGCTTGCATCCGGTCTTGTTGATGTTGTTGTGTACAGTCGAAGCAGCTTTGCTACGACCGGAACGTTCTTTGATGTGTATGGAACCCATACTGACGAACAAAAACATTTGCAACGTCCGCGTGAGCTGTCTTCTACATACTAGACAGTGTTGGTTTCTCTCCATATCATTTAGATGTGTACGGATATCGGAGACAAGCAAGGTCAGACATGTTAGAGAAAGCTGGTGTCGCGTTCAAGCGTTCGAGTTCCAGCCCACTGTATGTCTCCATTGTATTCCAGCCGTGAGGAACGCCGACACTGCAGGCTTTGCGCACTCAACAACGCTTTGCAGGGCCAAGATCGACTAGATAATAAAGTACAGACATACAATAGTTGATATCTCGAACGACTTTAGTGCAAACATGTAGTCAGACCATAATGAATCATGATTTCCGCGGAAGCTTCGTTAGGCAGTTGCTCGAAAGTGACGGACCGACAGCTGGCTACCAAGACGGGAGAGGCGAAAAGTAGCATGAGTTTGAAGCAGATAACGTACATCGTCGACCTTAGTCTCGAAACCGGACGCGCCGTGTTACCTAGCAGGCCTCAGTTCCTGTTTATGATTAGGCTGTTGCTTGGCCATATAGTGGTCGCCGAGGGAAGATTGACTACCCAGAACATCCACTCTGATAGCGACGCGGCTGTCAGAGCAGGAAACACAGTTTAGTCAATCGGACGAGTCAGGTGCTGCTGTCGAAATCACTGCCGTTTGATTATGATTACACATCTCTAGCCTAATCAAGCCTGACAGGGGAAGTCTAAATCCTGGCGACCACATGACTGATCAGCAGCGAGGGCTCGTAAGCACTGTAACACAAGCGTAACCCACAACCAGGTCGATGCCCCTCTTCGAACGAGAAGGTTTGGGGTTTGGATCGCCCCGTTGACGGTAAAAGGGCGAGAGTGCGTACCAGTAGAAGGTAAACCCGAAGAAGGGCCGTTACCGCTGTGCCGCGTGCCGTTGTCACCGTATATTAAAACGTCTGGTCGTCAGGGCCAACGGTAATCTTGAGATAGGTAATGGCCAACGAATCTCCTGTTGATAGAAGTGAAACCCAGCATGTCAGGAATGTAGAATCTTGAGAGAAGCGGAGGCTCCATCAGAACACATATCCGGGGATACTCACGCTAATATGAACCTCATCTCTGTCTGTATATGAAACTTTCACAATCGCGTAGCGACCCCATGCGCACGTGTTTGAGGCTACTGCATGTGCACGAATTTGTGCAGTTTTGCTTCGACCCTCAAGCCCTCAATCTCAACCTTTGCCAATATCTTCGGCACCCTGCACGAGCTGTTGCGGCAACATATCCTATGCCCTAACCAGGCTGTAAGATGTCTGAAATAGGGCTGGTTCGGCATGGACATCGCTCGATTGATCTACCGTATTGTCAAGGATGAATACGAACACGGGCTAAAAGGGAAAACATAGAGGATTGCCACATGGAAGAAGACGAAAGGCTGACAGGGCGGGAGGAAAATGAGGATAGAGATACGAGGTTCGGTCGCAGACCCTGGATTAGCAGGTCTTGCATCTCCACGTCTGAAGAGTAAAGGGCGAACAAATCAAGTCCAGTGATAGTGCGCAAAGACACGACCTAGAACAATTCCACGGAATGATGCGAAAAGATTAGGTACCAACGAGGTTTATGTCAAATTGACATCCTGGAATAGGACATCCAGGTCCGTAGTGTTGCTCTATCAACGTTGTTCTTCTCGGGTAGACAAGTGCCATCTAACGCTATATGCTTCTCGTTCAAGAATGAGCTCCTTACCAGCACACGAACATTGATGACCCACCACAGCAAAGAACGCCTGTTGGTCATGTTGCCAAATCATTTTCAGGGGTCAAATGGTGGTGGATGAACCAAAAGAATGTTCGAAGAGTAAGCGAATTGTGATATTATGAACCCGAGGTAGCCTAATCATACTGGACACGTGGTGTTGGCATGCACAACAGAGGCTGCTTGCATACAAAGTATGTAGGCAATTCAATGGCTGCATGAATATGAATGGCGATTCTGAGAAGGGTCCGGGGGGTCCTGTCGTGAACAGCGGTGCCCCACGACGTCTGTGACGATCAAACACTAAGAGATGAAGTCATAGACGTCGCCTGTGGCGGCTAACTAAGTAGCAGCTTTCATTCCCGGAAACGACGCTGTGCTAAGTAAGATTAAGTGAAGGCGCAAACTGCGCAACGATAGGCATGCAATATTTTCTGGAAAAGGCAATGTGGAAAGGTCGGGGGTTGGGGGAAGTAGTTTGCGATGTTTGTATGAGATCCGGTTGTTAACGCGGGCTGGTTGATCTGATTAGCTGATCAATGTTAGTTGCACCTGCACGCCAGCACGCGCACCACACGCAGACGCACACACACAAACTTACTCACATGCGCACGTACGATTCATTGCTACAACGGCATTATCGGCATTGTGGATTGCGTTCGCAGAGGGGTGATTGCGTATTTGGTAAGGCTGAGATGCTCGCCATCGCCACGCTTGAACTTCGCCGAGGTGGCTGTGAGTGCCGTCAGTATTTGGAACTCCCCCCCTGCAATGAGCCGACGCCCCGTTGGGGAACGATACTTCCGGTATGGCAGCCCAGGATTTCATACTGACATACCTGCGGGTCTGAGCGGTGACCGCTTCATTGTTGCATAGGTCGCCGCCCTGAGTGTCTCTGTGCTTCTGTGAAGGAGCATCGTGGCTGTAGATGGGCAGGCAGGACCCTCCATTACGACTGTCAGATTCTCGGGAAGAGGCAGCTACCCGCGACGGCCGCCAAACTTAGTTCGTCGGCAACAAAATTGGGTCCTCGTGTGGCCGTGCAATAGAGATCTGAGTCGCGCAAACAGCGCGAGAAGGAGCACGAGCTGAGAACGGGTACGATATGAAGCAGACCCGCCAAGAGCAGCCAACATGGGGATCTTCGCCAGGATCGTGTCGTGCCCTGGACGGATCTTCGTGTTGTCGCAGGGCTCTGATACGCCATACAGATCGAGTATTTTCCCACGCCTACCATACTGGAAACACCCCAGAACCTCTTGAACGACTTCATCTAGTCACAATGACAAGGTGGATCCGGAACATGGCGGATTCATGTTTCCATTGCCTGTATTCAAAACGGAAAGGTAACTCTCCATTGGACGATGAGTACGGATAATCAAAGCTTCAACCCGCCGCCCAATAGGATGCTGCTTAGACATCTGTCTTGAGGCCCCCACACTTTCCTGCTGTCCGTTTGCACGTTTGGAGCAAGACCCCGATCCCATCCCCAATGGAGATGGTTGCGAGCTACTGGCGCTCAGACTACATCCCTGATCCACCGCATCGACCCCCGGTGCCCCGATCCACCACACCCCTTGTTAGCTCCCTGAAAACCGGGTCAGCCATCACTAAGCTCTCATGCCGGGCAACATCTGTGGCCTCCATCTGTCTTTGCTTGGCTGCATACGAAAGCGATGTTCCTTGTCCATTCTGCTGCATCAGTGATGGTCTCGATTTCTGAGAGTCTCCCCTGTCTTAGGCTCTCAGGCCTGCTCCACTCCACAATAATCGTCATCCTTGTTCATCTGCCGGGACACGCAAAGTACGAGGTGAACATTTATATCTTAATCCCAAAGTCTCCCTGAATCATAACCAAGACACAGCAAACAAATCTGCTCCGTATCACCACTTACTTCTTACGCAACACCATCTTGTTTCTTTCAATATACATATCCATCTCGACTCGAAATCTCCATACTCCACGGTCCACCAAGTGGCACTGACTACCTTCTCATCAATGGCTACTGTTCCTACAAATCATCACGCTGGCTTCTGGCAAGGAAGACCTGAACATTCTTACCAAGTCTCCAATATGAACATCAACACCATGGTACCTCACTACGATGCCCCGCGGTCTGCCGCGAACCACCACACCCCAAGAAGCTATCAACCAACAACTTCGCACATGGATATGAACCTGCCTCTCTTCTCGTCAACCCCCTTGAGCAGCTCAGTCCCATACCAACCTGGAGCGTACGCTTTCGACCCGGCTTCAGCGAATCCATACAACGTACAATTCTCCACGATTAACTATGCGCCAAATGTTTCCCAATCTGTCTCATTTGCCGGTGTTCCAGATGTTCAAACACTTCCAACCGTAAGAGAAGCACGCAATGCTTTCTCGCTTGACGGTCATCTCATGGTCAAATCCGAGAGCCAATCTGCTGTTGTTGCGAACTCAATGTACAATGACGGTTCCTACTCTGGAGAGCTCAAGCGATCCCAATCTGAGCCAACTGAAAGTACTGTGACCAACTTTGGCACCGACGTGGACACCCTGATGAAAGCTATTCAGGCCAGACAACCACCCTCCTCTCCGCGATCAGAGTGCTCCGAGGGAACACGTACAAAGGGCAGCCAGAAGCCGAAGAAGAAGTACTCGTGCAACATGCTTAACTGTAGTAAGAACTTCTACCAGAAGACTCATCTTGAGATTCACATCCGCGCCCACACTGGTCAGAAGCCTTTCCTCTGCACCGCACCAAACTGTGGACAAAGATTTTCACAGTTGGGTAACCTCAAAACACATGAGAGGCGACACACTGGAGAACGACCGTACAGCTGCGACATTTGCGGCAAGACCTTTGCTCAGCGTGGTAACGTTCGCGCACACAAAATTGTGCATCAGCAGGATAAGCCTTTCAACTGCCAGCTTGACGATTGCGGAAAGCAATTCACTCAGTTGGGTAACTTGAAGGTAAGATTCACCATCACGAGCTATCCAGCTTGGTTACTAACGCACTGCAGTCACACCAAAACAAGTTCCACGCATCCACACTGAGACACCTCACTCTGAAGTTTGCCACAATTCACTCAGCCGAGTATGTGTCCAACGAAGACAAGGCCCTTTGGGAGTACTTTGCGTCTCTCTACAAAAACTCCAACAAAGGTATCAAGGGCCGAGGCAAAGACAGGCGGATATCAGCGGTGCCATCCGCGACTGTTCCGCAACACTCGGCATACATGGCTCTACCCATGGACACAATGAACCAAAGCTATCCTAGCTCCTTTCATCCAATTGAAAGCGACCGCAGCAGCCGCAGCTCGTCCATGTTTTCGGACAACACACAGCCTAAATCTGACAATGGATACGACTTCAACGCTCCTCTCACAGCTACGTACCCGGCTCAAGCCGCAGAGTACGACATGGTTTTCCCCGAGCGAAGGCTCTATTAAACACACTCATCGCGCTCCCACGTTATATGACCACATCGAGATATGAGATTATGGCTAAAGAAGCATGAGTTACGAGGAATAGACGGACCATGGGATCCAAGCCATTCGAGACCCGAGCTAGTGCAGCGGAGGGTATGGTTTCTTACATTTCTTGCTCCGGCGCACTGAGAGCGGTGTCCGGCACATAACCACTGCCTTCATGTTCTATGTTCGAATGACGCACGCCACGGATACCCTTGTTCGCTCACCTCTGTGTATACCACTTTGGATTGGGAAAGGTTGGGGGAAGCATCACTCGCTTTAATGTTTGTTTTTTGTTTTTTCCTAAGCAGACGTATTGTCTGCAATCATGTATGTAAAACTCAGCGTTTATGTTGATAAAAAATCATTCATCCAATCAAATTCTTCAAACCATGTGAAGTGCATACCTCTAGAATTGTTGCATGCTCGGCTACAACACACTGCATTGCCATATCACTCACCGCTCCTCTTTGCAGTCCCGTCATTTTGAACGACTGGGCCAGCGCACGCTGCAGTGCAACACCAACGTTCGACCAGGGCTTCTACCTACTCGCTACTCACTGCACCACCCTGTAGGGAGATGACGGGATGTCAAGATCGGTAATCGAGCTGTATGTGCGACATATGCAGATCTCTGGCGGTACGCGTATCACGGTCAGACGATAGTATGAGATATAAAGTTTTGTGGGTTTACGAGGTGTCCCTGGGGTAGTACTTTGGTACGTCTATGGATTTTTATGGGGCTGCTCACTGCAAGACAGCACTTACTACTGCGGTGGCTAGTAACGCTTTCGCCAACGTCGTGTTCATCTCAGTGATTGGTACGAGAAGGACCGAGCGGGTTCTTTGTTCTTGCAAAAACTCGTAGTGAATTCGTACATTGCCTCCCTGCTAAGCGAGTCTGCCAGATGTCATGAGTTAGCCAACTCATTCAACCTCTCGACTATAACACGTGGTGGAAACATGCTGTGGGTACTGTATTTTGCGCGTGGTACGATCATGTGCTCGTTGCCCATCACCTGTAGTAGAATCTCGAAGTGTGAGTGAGAGCAGTTTCAAACTAATGACAATGATTTTGTGCGGCAGCTTGCATGCGCCTTCCTCGCTTATCAGGTGGCGTTGGAGTCTGCTTATTAAGAACCTCCCCACAATCTGCACACGGCTGATCCGTTTTATTGTAGTGGAGTTGAAGCGAAACAACGAGGCTGATGAAGAGTGTGGCGCTCAGCGGCGGCCGTGTGATGTCGATCCGAGTTACAGTATGCTTGTAAGGGCTAAGGGCTAAGCGAGGCCTTCAGGTAGTTGTTGAACGACACATGCCGGTACTTGCCGTTTCCCCTCTTCCGCGGAAGTCGTGAACCAGATTGAAAGGCGTCCAATGGCCAACCCATGTCCAGGCTGCTTGACTAGGTTCCCCAGCCCCAATGTAATGTGGCGTGCCCTCGAATCGAGTAACACTCCCAACGTCTTACAGCAAATCATCGTACGTTTTAAAGCGAGTACACGTGACTCGCAGGCTCTGTTCCTTGTGACCTTGGGCGTCAGCGTTGGAGCGAAGGATTTGGATAGTTTGCCCTCTTGCATGGCGACGTGCGAAAAGGGAAGTATCACCGAAACTCAAGATGCACCTGATGATCGACAGGTGCTAGTTGTCGATCTGCTTGTCTTTCCACGTCTAGAACTGTGTGAGATTGTGACGTCGTCCCGTCGATAGCGACTCCTGAAGCGTCCAGTTGATTGAGGCTCTGCAAGGAAAGCTGAGTTCGTTGTAGTGAGCTTCGTGGGATCATGGAGGGACCTTGGTTGGAGCTAGACAGATACCTACGTGCTTAAAAAGCTTAGTGGTGGTAATTTCATGGGCACCTGCAAGCTTATCTGGGAGATATTACAAGATTCAGCGGTTCTGCTCAGTTTGAGTTGAAGCTTGAAGCTTGCATGGGGTGCGGAAATCAGCGCAACGCAACGAGCTGTAGAGAGGTGCGTTTCAGAACGCCCTGGAACCTGGGGAGAATGGCAGTGCACGGTTGCAACGCCGCGAAGCATAACCTGTCAACCGGCTGTAACTTCCGTAGCGTAACAGTAGTTGCTTGTCTACTTCAACCTCAAAAATGTTTTCCGTCACTTCGGCCTTTGCAATGTTCGCTTCTCTGCAATACAAACTCTTCATCAGGTGCGAAATCTTACTGTATGCCTAAAATCCTTGCATCTTCAACCACGGGGGCCTGATTTCCTCAGCTCGTAGTAGCTTGCAGGGGTGACATATTCATTGGCAACACCGGAAGAATGTTCAGCGTTCTCACGGTCATTAACGGTGAAACCTGGTCATAGCCTTTGACCCAATTGATAGAGTTCAGCGTTGCCGATATACCCAAGGCCTAACCCCCACGCCGACTTCGACGATGACGGTCTGACGAATCCTCCGAAGTCGCCTTACCGCCTGGTAGCGAATGCGAAAGACGAAAACTAAAATTCTATTGTGGCTAGCAACATAGAATGCCGAACCCATGATTCGTAAATGTACGCGTCTCGTTATCATCGGCGATGTCCACGATTCACGACAAACACCCATGGTAATGCCTTGTTATTGGGGTCAGAAACATTCTTCCATGCAGGGGTTACTGGGGTGAGATCCCTCTCAATATTCGCCTCATCATATGCTCAAGGGTGGGATCAGACAAAGAGGCGAGCGATCGATTGGACGTCAAACACCACGTATCCCGATCCCCGTTCCTAGAATCCCATGTTTCCCGAGATCTCTGCTGGAACCTTGCATGCGCAATGCACCCACACGATTCCAAACACTCGACTAGCTTATCCAACTTCGGGCTGCGAACGTGTCTCTTCAAGAAAGCGTGCTGTCGTATCACAGCGGCTTCAATACTGGTTCACTCTCTTATCTGAACGCCTGAAGGTATGTCCATCTATCCCGTGCGACCAGACCTACGTCTCAATCGGGATAATCCTACAGCATGCCATGATTTTTCGGTATCTTGGCCCTGCATAATTCGACCCATCCTCATCTTCTACGAGTCGGATCCAAGGTACACGTAACACAGTCTCGTCTGCAGATATTGTCCTGCCACCGACCAGTCCTCTGGACTCAGCAGTGTCATCTTTCAGAGCGCCATACATGTATGCGACTACCACAATGTGGGCACTGGTTTCACAACGTTTGACTCCCATGGTTGCAGGATCTGTGTAAGATTGCACTCGCACTCTAATCGAAGTCGCACAGGTGAAGAGCACAGGACCCCGGCCCTCAAGTCTCCATTTCCCACCTGATTATACGCCGAAGATCCCCGACGCCAAAAAGCCCCTCCCACACACCAGACTGTCGCGTGACCACCACATCCACATCGCAGACCACCACATCCAAACCATTTCGTCTCTGCTCTTCCGTAGGTGGCTTCAATTATTCCGATACTCCACAACCATCAACGGAGGTGGCCGCCCGCCTGGGAGTCGTGCGCTTTCGAGTCTGCACACATACATGATTCAGGCATATACGTGTGGTTACACCGAGACGGCTAGAATCGGGTTCGCAGGCAATGCCGGAAATCTCGGGAGCCAGCACGCCCTGCATCCGTCGGCATGTGCGGATGACCCGAGCGGGATCTTGCAGACGGGCCGCTGGAGAGAACCGGTGGACGCCGTGCAGGTAAATGAGCAAGACGGGACTTGGCGAGAACATGATCGCCAAGACTGTGGTGGTTGTATCAAGATTGGAAACGAACAGGTTACTGAATGCGGAGCTCAATGTGACGTTGAAGCCAGTACCCCTACATTCGGAAGACTCAAACACTGGGCAGTTGTTTCTCTCGGTCGTGGCCGTACGTGCAAGAACCATCTCCCGGGATGACATTGTAGTGTGTCGAATGCATTGCTGTTTCAGTTTATTTCCGGTCAGACCACAAGAGAAACGTACAAGATTGTATTACGGTAAATGAAAGCTAGCTGAAAGGTAACTGGGAGAAGCTCGAGATGTCTCAGCCTCGAAGGTGAATGTCCTGTCTCGTCCGATCCCGGTACATCGATCAGCAAGTAAGCTTCATTTTGCTATTAATATCTCCTCTGGCAATAGGTGCTGTAGTCGACGATACAGTACAATGCGGTATCGGGTGTGTTCTCACGCAATCCTGGTAGCTATGCTTGATACGCATCTACCGGATGCCAGACTTACACATGAGATAGTAAAAGTCGTCTACAAACGGCACACAGTGCTCAAAACAGGAGAGCATATTTATGTTGCATATCTACGTGGCAAAGATCCAGACTGGGGTTCTTCTCCAAACGTCGTGGTGACTGATGCTAAGCCCATCGATGGAAATATGAAAACTTCAAGAATAACCTTCTTCGATAGTCACCCGGTAGAGACTCTGTAAATATAAATCATCAAGCGCCACATCATGGATAACCAGCCTCGTAGAGTGTATGCTGCGAAAGTGTTAGCGTCTCATACTTAACTCGCGGAGAACCCGATCGTTCTTGCTTAGATATCAGTCTCGATCATCTCGAATTGGACGCAGCCTTTAACTAGGATAATCTCATCCTCAGGAAGTTATATCATACCAGATGAATGTATATGTTCTCTTGCAAGACCAGTTACCGAACTTCCAACTCCACACTCACAATCGCGTCTCGCTCGCTCCGCTCCTCCCCTTTCGACTATCGCTTCTCCCGCGCGCACAACCAACGACTCTACTAACCTGCGCGTCAGCAATCTCGCCATCTCGATGTTAGACACCACATACCGATTCCCAGGTAACTCGAAACACGGATGCCAGCCTCTCCGCTCACCATCCCCATGTCCATCCACCAGTCCCTCGACCCAATACCACACCGCATACTGCGCTTCTGCGCCCATATCTCGCACGCAGTTCTCCTGCCTCGCGTCAGCGGAAAGGTGGTAGGCGAAAGGCGTACGGGGACGATGTACCACGCGATCATACACTTCGGGGCAAAAGGCTCGCGGGATCAATCCGTTGAGGTCTAGGTCATGGCTGTGTAGCATGTATGGTGTTGCGGCGTGCGATAGTGCGCGCCATGCTGTGGTGAAGAGGATGGTGGTGAGTGTGGGAGGGGCGGTTTCTTGCTCGGGGGATTCGTCGATGGAAGGGAGCCGCGATGAGGGAGTTGGGGGCATTGGAGTGGGTGGATTAGAAGTGGAAGGTATTGGAGGGTTGTTGTCGGGTTCGGGGAGAAAGGAAGGGTTATGTTGTGACTTGGTTGAAGTGCGCTGGCGGGTAAACGACGCTCAGTCAGTGACAGTGAATGCCAGCTTGTTGACGTGTAAATCAGAGATCTAACGTGCTCGTCTCATCTAATGTGGAATCCTGAGCTCTCGCCTGGGATTGCGGTGTATGTGAGACATGTCCCAAGTATCATTCTCATACAAGCTCAAAACTTGAGGTAGCGACCTACTCCAACCCTTTACCCTTCATTGGTATTTTGTTTACTGTCCGTACCTCCCATACTCGGACGCCTCTTCGATCTCAACGTTTTACTTCGCAACGATACTTACCACATCCTCATCCGCGACAGCATGTCCCAGCCCCACTCTCTGCGGCACATGTCTTGCACTCGCACCCCACACCAACGCATACTTGAACGTGTCTTTCAGCGTTCGATGGACCTGATCGCACACATCTTCAATCGTGCTTCCGGTCCTAACAATCAGGGCTTCATCGAACTTGGGATCATCGCCTTTTCTCTTCCTGTAGCGTTTGTCAGCACGAGTTTGGATATCGAAGACCTGGTAGATTCGGGCCTTGATGGCATTAAACGTTAGAGAGATGGAAAAACTTACGTGTAGACACGGATGAGGCGCAATTCCTCCCAGACTCTTTCCACGACATCTTGGATACCGAGATCAAGCTCGCAGGACATAACGACAGTGTGTGGCTCACGAGCGAGTTCGTCCAGATGGGGTAGCCCGATGCTGTCGATTTTGTTGTAGATGTAGAGGCACTTGATATACTTTCGGTGGTCTTTCATGATCACATCAATGACTAGCAAATGATACACATTAGCAAGTGTTTACTGGACAAATCTCAGGGCATAATAGGAAGGAAATAGTTCGAAGGATCAAGCACTCACAGTCATCAACCGTAGCATTCTCGTCGCGGATCAGGACCTCGCAGTTAAGCATTTTGTAGTCTTTCAGGATGTTGTAAAGCATCTTCTCGTCTAGATACTTGGGTGGCGTTTGAAAGTTGATCTTCATACCACCAGCTTTTTTGGGCTTGAGGTAGATGTTCCTAGCTATGCATTAGTCAATGTATTCACATGGTTGCACCCAGTTTGGAAGAAACCAAGCTTCGATGAAAGCGACTGAGAAAAGACAATGAGGATGAACTTACGGTGGTTCCCGATTCAACCGAATCCCTACAGCCTCCAACTCCTGCTCAAGCAACCTCCTCTGCTCCGCCTTCTTCGTCGCATCCAAGATCATGCAGATCAAATCACTCGTCTTTGCTGCAGAAATGACTTGTCGTCCTCTTCCCTTACCCTCCGCAGCACCCTCGATAATACCCGGCAAATCGAGGATCTGGATCTCAGCACCAGCATACTCGAGCACACCGGGGATGGCTGTAAGCGTGGTGAAAGAATAGGCAGCTGCTTCAGATTTGGTTTTTGTGATCCTGGACAAGAAGGTGGATTTTCCAACAGATGGGAAACCAACTAGTGCTACGCGTGCGTCGCCAGACTTGGAGACATCGAAGCCGGTTCCTCCACCACCGCCGGCACCTGGGCCGGGTTCGAGGAGTTGGGCGCGAAGACGGGCAAGTTTGCTGAGACAACGTCAATGATGGGGTCTAGTAGTCATAGTGCATGATCTTGTACCCTTTGAGTAAGCCAAGATGGTATTCTGGATTCCAGCATCAGCACGTGAATGTCATATGCAGCCCAAAGTCCGGATTTTCGAGACGCGATCTGATGTGCGTACCTGTGGCCTTATTCTCTATATCATGTCAGCTCTTGTTTTGCTGCGAGTCTTACTCTAGCACTCACTCTGCGTCCTCCGCATCTCATCCTCAATCCTGGTGGGGTATGAGCGCTTGGCATATCAAAACTTTCGAGGGTTTCTCACTCCTTGATTTTCTCTGTAATGTTCACCATCTTGACGTTTTCGGCACGATTTTCCGTATCGCGAAAGAGAAGGACTAGGGTGAGCGAGTGCTGCTGAATCTTGAAGCCGGAGTTATTGCGATGGAAAAGGTTTGGTGTTGTCGGCTTCGGTTCCGGTCTAGCGCAACGGGGCGTTCCATGCGTCATCAATTAGAGGCGCCACTTTACTGCAGTCATGATTGTTTATGAATAAAACACCCCGAGTACTCCTGCTCATTTCATTTTCATTTCTACAGACCGCGTTGCATCATCCCCTAGAATCATAATGTTCAGTTCAAATGATGGCTCCTGGCCACACTCTCACTACGACCTATTAGCATATTATTACGAAAAACATGCACAACGAATCGCATCTGGCGAGTATAAACCCTTCACCTACCCCTGGGGGGCATTAGGCGCCTTTGGTGTAATCATATACATGCTCATCCCCCACCAAAATAGACCATGGCTTCGAAAATGTCGGTTCTTGGCCTTTGCGTGGATCGCCGGCTTCGCAGCATATTCCATTATATACACAAGAGCTAGGGGAATGGCACCTGGGTTGGGCGTTGGATTACTCAATGCATGGAGTGTTGTGTGGATGAGCGCGATTCTAGTATGCAACGATGCACAGACGGATTTCCAGCGTATTGAGAGGACCGAAGGCGCGTTTGGAAGTGCTCAAGAGAAAGAGAAGGTAAAGACGGACAGGAGTATAGAACAAAACAACCATACGCCTTCGAAGCCTACAACTGAGCAGACGGACTCGGCCAATGCCAGAGGAACACTCGGCCCCCGCCACCGTCATGGCGAGTTTGCATGGCAGTCCTATCCCCTATCCCCCTTCATCGAGCGTCTCGACTTCATTCTCGACATATTCTGCAACTTTCGCGGCGCAGGCTGGAACTGGCGCCCTTCCGCTCTCCCGCCCCCACCAAAATGGTTGCAAGAACAACTCCAGCGAAACTCACCCAACCCGCCAAAGCACTCCTACCGCGTGCACCCAGGGCAAGTGAAAAGCTACTCCACACGCCGCGAGCTCCTAATAGCGAACGCAAAGACAGCCATCACAGGCTACCTAGCCATGGACGCAATCAAGACCTTCGTAATGCATGATCCCTACTTTTGGGGCGTCATGGACCGCGCTCCACCCTCTTACTTCCCTATTTTTATCACATATCACCCAGTGCTAGTCGACACCTACCGTGTCCTGGTCTCCATGCTCGCCGTAAAATTCGCCCTGCAGTCCCTCTTCGCGCTTGCGCCGCTCCTTTTCTCTGGCCTCGTCGGCCCCTCGCTCATCGGCGCCCGTGCAGAACCCTGGATCTATCCCGAAGCCTGGGGTTCGTATGATTCTGTTTTCGAGCGCGGGCTGGCCGGGTGGTGGAGCAGCTGGTGGCACCAAACATTCCGGTTTGCATTCGAGGCCCCAAGCCGCAGGATCATTGAGAAGCTGGGCATGGATCGTAAGAGCCCCGTAGCAAAGGTCTTACAACTGCTGGTCGCGTTTGGACTCAGTGGCGTGCTGCATGCGTGCGGTACATACACTTGCCCCGGCGACACGAAGCCCATGCAACCCTTGGCCTTCTTCTTGCTGCAGGCTGTGGGCATTTTTGCGGAGGTGGGCATTTCGCAAGCTCTGAGGGCTACTGGCGTTCAGCGATACGTGCCGAAGTGGTTGATGCAGGCGTTTACATTCGCGTATGTGCATGTGTGGTTTTACTACACGGCGCATTTGTTGTGCGATGATTTTGCGAGAGGCGGGGTTTGGCTGTTTGAGCCGGTTCCGGTTTCGCTGTTTAGGGGACTGGGGTTTGGCGCTGATGCTAGGGACGGGTGGTGGTGTTGGGGGGATTCTTCGATAGTGAGTTGGTACAGTGGGGGTTGGAGGACTGGTATCGCGTTTTGAGAGGCATAGAAATGACAGTATGACGTGTGCTGCATAGCGGGGCGTCGAGATGTGTTTGGAAGTTTCCATAATCGAGCGATAGACAAAGTAGATGATGTGTTCACAGAAGACATCGATAGACCTCAGACGGTACCAACATCTCACATTATTATTATTCAGTTAATCCAACTCTTTTGCTCCCATGCGCCGTGTTCTAAATGAGGCAATAGCCTGTTTTCCCAAATATCCTCATGCAGCGAGCGAGTCGAAGAATATATACAAATGCAAGCCGTCGAATTGCCAACGTAGTCTCCCAGCAAATGATGTGCTAACCCGCTAACCAACCCCCATTTCATGAAGCGTCATCCCAACATCAATCGGTGTATTCAACGGACCTTCTTAGGCTCGTCAGGCAGGTAGTTGCGGTCGTCCTTGCCTTCGACTTCTACAACCATCTTGTCCACGGCCTCGGCTTGCTTCTTCCACTCGTTCTGGCACATCTTCAACTCCTTCTGGAACAGCTCGTCGTTTGGCTTCCTGTAGCTTCCACCGAGACGATCCCAGAGGGTTGTGAACTGTCCGTAGTTGTAGTTAAAGTACAGATGGTGCATTGTGTGGCAAGCAGCGCCATTAATGATGGGCGAGTTGTGCGCGTATTCGCCGTCGTGGATGAGAACTGTCCAGATATTGACAAACATGAAGAGAACGACATAGGCAAACTTCTGGAGCGGGAAGATAAAGGGGAAAATGTGGTAGGGCAGGCCCTGGGCATAGCCATCCATGGGGTGGAAGGCGTGCGAGGCAAAGGGAGTCGGCATGATCCACTTGTGGTGCGGCTTGTGCAGCGTCTTGTAGACGGACTTGTGGTGTAGTCCGCGGTGGATCCAGTAGACGCAGAAGTCGGTGAAGAAGACAAACAAGGGGAACTGCAGGTAGTTGTACCACGTCCCGGGACCCTCGGCCGTTGTATCATAGAGCTTCGAGTAGCCACGCACTTCGGCCAGGAACCACGGGGCGGTGAAGATGGCCATGATGGGAAAAGCTATGTTGGCCTGCTTCATCTCGAGGCGGACCTGGTTCTTGAGGTACCTGGGGTGGTTGAAGGTGGCTTTGTCGAAGACGAGATAGTAGGATGCAGTCGCGAAGACAAAGTAGACGACAACGCCGAAGAGCCTGCAATTGTCGCGTTAGACAGCTCCGAGAAGGGGGATTGAGGTGAAAGAATGGCGCATACCATGTAATAAGATACAGCGTCAAGAGCTGTCGCTTCCAGTCGTCACGGGGCCATTGGCTCATGTATGCACTCTGGGACGGCTGGACGGAGAAGTACTTGGTTGAGGGCTCGTACTGCCATGTCGCATGGGGGGTGGCGAATCCTGTAGGCTCCTCTTTGACGCTCGAAAAGGTTGCATTGGCGGTGAAGGACGAGGCTGATGCGGGAAGCAATGTCGCATACAGAGAGTCAAATATAAAGGTATCTGCTACCTCGAGGACGATATCCATGTTGGCAGCGTGGGCGTGGACGTGAACGTCAACGTCTGCAGGTACAAGTCGTCTGCTATTCGCAGGGTTTCAGAAAGCTGCAGGTACGAGGGAGATGTCGCGTGGGCGAGGCAGGAACAGAAGCAACTGCAAACAGAAAAGCCCAATGGCAAACAACGACGGAGAACAGCAGCGAGTGTAGCTGTAGGGGCAATTCAGACACGGCGACACCGGCTCCCTTTGAGGAATGCCATTTTGCCGGCGATAAACATTCTAGCGTCCGACGTTCGCGTTCACGCCAGGGGTCCAGTTAAAAAATGAACAGCGCCAATCAATGCTCCCAGAGCTGCCAATCACGTGGACGGCCCAGCAGCTCGGAAATGACAATGCCGCTCAAGCTCACCCCTTATCAGATCATGCTCGGATGCTTCTCGGAAGGCTTCGACGCACAATGATGCCACTTCCCTCCCACTTCCTTTACAAAGAAGCCCGTGTCTCGATTCCGCGCCACATCTTGCAGTCTCATCTCGACACTCCCACCACGCTTGGACGCTTTGTGAGAATCTCTGTCCTCTTTGGGGAGTGTATTACAACATCAGCAGCCGTGTTGCCCGCGTCGTACTCTGCGACATGCCATTCGCCAGTACAGCTCACCATCCTGGCTCTTTCGTCTCCTTCTCCCTTCTCCATCTAGATTCGCTCTCAACACTCTTTGATCACCATATCCAATGCTGTTTGCAACGTCTGTTTATTTCGTAAGAGCGAATTTCCCTCAAGATATGCCGGTTCCAACGCAAACTTCAAATCTTTCATCTCAAGCCATCTTGGTAACCGCATGCTTTTTCAGCACGCCATAACTTTCCTGCTCAAGACAGATACGGTCAACTTTGTTCTGTTGGCTGAAATGCTTTCCCATACTCTTAACACTGTCACCACTAACTGAATGAACGGATATCTATCGTAGTCACCCCAACAGACTGTTGCTTTCACCATGTATTCGAAGTATTCACTTTCACTTCCCCTCTTCAATATGGCGACAGGGAAAGCCCGAAGGTTCTGCTCATTCATGTGACGCCATTCCTGCAGCACCTTGATGCTACAAAGGTTTGTGACAAACTCAGTCTACTCACTCCTTACATCTCGCCCATATCAACCACAATGTCAACTCCAGATCCCAGTTCAGCCACTGCCGCCATATTCAAAGTGGTGTCCGAAGGCATCGCTCGAAACACTCCAGCCAAGCCTTTCCGCTTCCTCGATCTTCCTCCTGAGTTGCGTTGCATGGTGTACGACTGCATCCACATAACTACCACGAAACATGTCCTCACAAAGACCGACGCGGAGTTGCCACCCAACATCTGGCCAAAGTCGGAAGGCAGAGCGAGTTTGCCCATCACCCTCATCCGAAAATCCATTCCCGCTGCGATCCTTGCAACCTGCCGTCTCATCAACCAAGAAGCGACGCCTCTCCTAGCACCCAGGCTGGAAGAGCTGCAAAGAGAGCCGCTGCGATTCTTTGTGGACTTCGCTGCTGCGACCGCGCTCACCCATATGGACAGTCCTCTGAGAGCCTGCTTTCCGGAACTTTCGTACTGCCGGCCCACCGTATCAGCGGCAAACAACGCAGTCAGAATCTTCAGCGCTCGCAGCAGGAAGTTCTTGAGACACACAGTGCATGAGGCGCGGTTCGGACCACTGAGCGCGACTAACCATGTCGACGTCGAGTTCATCTTCTCTTGGGCCAATGATGAAGCTCCACACATTCGTGATGAGCGGGCAGCTTGCATGGGCATCTGCGAGGTTAGTGTCGAGTGTAGGCTCGCAACTATTGTTGTGTATCAAGATTGGTTGATATCGCACTCTTACTGGCGAGTCTTGGAGACTCTCGAGAGGACTCTGCAGGCTGCTGTTTCGAGATATCAGCTGCCTCACTTCCCTAGCATTCAGCATACACGGCCATATGTTGGTATTGTGAAGCTTGACCCGGCGGCTTGGATAGAGCATATGCATAGATTGAACGACAACTAGACTGATAATCTGAGGACTTCTTCTCTAGCTCAGTAAGTCATGTTGCATCTCTTCGCTGACTGACTGTCGAGAGAGGAAGGTGTTATCGAATGAGTAGGTCACGGGCTATCGGGCGGGTTGACTGGAGTGCAATACTGGAGTCAGTCATACATTGGGGAGGGTATCTGAGAGTCTGGTGGTTACTCAACTTGTCATCGAGACGCTTGTAATATGTATTGCAGTCTCGTGTTGGCTGAGAAGAATTGGGATCTCCCCTCACGAGTCGGCGCTGACGAGCACAATGCATCAAGAGAGCACCCTCAGAAGAGGTAATTCATCCTTTGAGTTTGAAAATCGATAATTTTGGTATACAGATCAATACAAATTACATAGTTCATAACCCAATGTAGTCTCCATGTTAGCGTGACGTTGACCCAAAAAACAAACCAAAGACGCTCTCTGTGTGGTACAGCCTAGAAATCTCCGGCGCGCGCCCAAATGATGGCGTCGCGTGGCCACACTAGACCTTCCCCTTCCGTGACACCATCAAGACAGCATGTTTTTCCCCAGTGGTTCACTAGCACCCGCCATCTGTCATCGGCAGGACTGCGGACTCTTGGTTGTCGTCTGACACGTCGCGTGTAAGAACCGAGGTCACGAGCACCCGCCATGGATGCTTAGGACCATGTCCAAGCTCGCATATCCCCCCCCCAGACGGACATCGGTATATGTAACGATCATGGACGCGCCATTCCCCGTGCCTCGCAATATCGCGGCCTTGAACAAGAAGAAGAAGAGAATACTCGTGTTCAGTAGAGAACCATGGCGAAGCCGGCGAGATATGAGTTTAAAACGCGCCCGGTCGCTCACACCGACGCCATTGTCGCGGGCGACAAGTACCGCTTCACCATCCTGACAGACGGCCTGCTGCGCTTCGAGTGGGCCGAGGACGGCGTCTTCGAGGACCGCGCCTCTACTTTCGCTATCAATCGCAAGCTCGCTGTTCCCGACTTTTACGTCTGGGACCGCGGCCAGGGCATCGAGATTGTGACCAAGCGCTTCCACGTCGTGTACGATAAGAAGAAGTTCAGCGCAGAGGGCTTCAGGATCACGCTCAAGGGCGCTGTGACGGGGTCGTGGTCGTACGCACAGAAGGTGTCGAATCTGGGCGGGACGACGCGGACGCTTGATGGCGTGAACGGGCGGGCAAACGTGGGACCGGGTGTCCTGTCAAGAGAGGGCATTGCCGTGCTGGACGACTCCAAGTCCATGCTGTTTGAGAAGAACGGCTGGATCGCGGGACGCAGTGGTGGCGAGAGGAGTGACGAGTACATCTTCATGTATGGTCGCGACTACCGCGAAGCTATCCGGGCGTACTACGCGGTGTCGGGCAGCCAGCCACTCCTCCCGCGCTATGCAATGGGCAACTGGTGGAGCCGCTACCATGCGTACGACGAGAAAGAGTACCTGGAGCTTCACGATCACTTTGAGAAGGACGATGTGCCTATGAATGTGGCCGTCGTCGATATGGACTGGCATCTCGTCTGGGATCTGCCCGACAACATCAACGGCTGGACCGGATACACGTGGAACAAGAAACTCTTCCCCGACCCGGATGCGTTTATGAAGAAGCTGCACGATCGCGGGATGAAGTTGACGCTCAACCTGCACCCGGCAGACGGCATCAGACACCACGAGGACCAGTACGCAGAGGTGGCGAAATACATGGGCGTGGACCCGAAGTCGCAGCAGGCGATCCCGTTCGACTGCACGGACAAGAAGTTCATGGATGCGTACTTTGACGTGGTGCACCACCAGCACGAGGAGCGCGGCGTGGACTTTTGGTGGGTCGACTGGCAGCAAGGGAACCAGTCGAAGATTCCCGGCGTGGACCCCCTCTGGGTGCTCAACCACTTCCACTTCCTCGACAGCGGGCGCGGCCAGCAAAGACCGCTGATCTTGTCGCGCTTTGGCGGGCCCGGCGCGCAGCGGTACCAGATTGGCTTCTCGGGAGACGCCATCATCACGTGGGACTCGCTGCATTTCCAGCCAGAGTTCACGGCGACGGCGTCGAACATCGGGTATGGCTGGTGGAGCAACGATATCGGGGGGCATACACATGGCTACAAGGACGACGAGCTGTACACGCGCTGGGTGCAGCTGGGCTGCTACTCGCCCATCCTGCGCCTGCACTCGGACAACAACCCCTTCAACACCAGAGAACCATGGCGCTTCACCGAAGAAGCTCGCCTCATCGTGGAAGACACACTGCGCTTCCGCCACCGCCTGATCCCGTACCTGTACACGATGAACGCGCGCTCGGCGTCCGACGACGAACCCCTAATCCAGCCAATGTACTGGGACCACCCGGAAGTCGACGAAGCCTACACCGTGCCCAACCAATTCCGCTTCGGCAGCGAGCTCATCGTCGCGCCCATCACCCAGCCCCGCGACCAAACCACGCACCTCGGCGCGACAAAGGCCTGGCTGCCCGCCGGCCGCTACGTCGACATCTTCACGGGTATCGTGTATAACCGCAAGGGCGAGCTGCGCATCCACCGACCACTAGATCTCGTCCCCGTCCTCGCACCCGAGGGCGCCATCGTCCCGCTCGACGGCGCGTGGCGCCCCAAGAGCGGCTCCCCCAACCCCGAGAGTCTGGAGATCCTGCTCGTCGTCGGCGCAGACGGGTCCTTCACGCCGATCGAAGACAATGGCACAGGGACATCCGTCGACGACGGCGGCTTCCACATGATCTGCGACGACGACGCGGAGAGCGCCTCATCCGACGAAACAGTCCGCTTCAGCTATACCCCCATCGTGTACAAGCAGACCACCGGCGTTCTGAAAATCGGCCCCACCGCCCCAACAGACCCGTCCATCCCGTCCTCCCGCACCTGGAAGATCCGCCTCGTCGCGCACACGCCGCGCGCCGACACGCAAATCCGGTGCATCACGACGTCGCCGTCGACGAAGCGCCACGCCAAGCCGCTGCCGTTCAGCACCGCGCGCGACGCGACGGGCACGCTCGTCACGCTCGGCCCCGTGCCCGCGGACCATACGTGCATTCTGGAGTTTGGCGCGGCGCCGCAGCTCGACGTCGTGGACCCGAATGTGCGCATCTGGGAGGTTATCGACAGGGCGTGGATCGATATGGATCGCAAGTGGGATGTGTGGAATTGCGTGAATAACGGCGAGCCGGTGCTGAATAAGGTGCGGGCGCTGCAGAATAGGGGGTTGAAGGCTGAGCTGCTGGATGCGTTGTTGGAGTTGCTGCTTGCGGATGAGCGGTATGGGGGGAAGGATGTTGATGATGTTGATTTTGAGTGATTGGGGGATGATTTTGTTGTTGTTGTTGGATATGAATTTACGAAGGTACTGTGGTGTGGATGATTTTTCTCTCCAACGCCTAGCCAGATATGCACTCCCGTCCCAAACACACCATACCATATCATACAAGCAAAACGCAATCCATTGCTTCACGGCCTCAACTCAATCCCACTCTCATTCCCCTCCATAACCTCCTTAAACGACTTCCCGCCCAGAATCTCCTCCACCTTATCCAGCACAGGGCCCTCCCGCCTCCTACTCCAATCGCCCTCCTTAACCTCATACCCCGCCCTCGTCGCAGCCTCCAAGCCCTCATACTCCCAGATATTCGCCTTCATACCCACGCCATGGTACTGATGTTTTGCCAAAAACGCCAGCCACGCCTTGACCACATCCGGATGGCCGTCCTGGATCTGCACCAGCCGGCGCATCGTCACCCGCTCAAAGTTCTCCTGCGACTTCTTGAAGATGAAATTCGAGCGCGGCACGGTCCAGCGCTCGGTGATGCGTGGGAGTGGGATGGGCCCCCGTGCGCATAGCCCCATGTAGTAGGCGGCGCGCACGGCGAAGTCGGCGAATAGCAGGAGGTTGCGGATCGAGTAGGTGCGCAGCTGGAGGTCGCAGACGGGCACGCCGTATTGCGGGGTGCGGCGTAGGGGGCGCAGGTGCACGGCTTGCACGTTGATGGGGGTGCGGAGGGCGTCGAGGGTTTTTTGGGATTTGTCGTCGAGGGGTGGGGTGTCGGTGGGGAGCGTGATGCCGCGTTCTCTGTGGCGGGTGTGGTTAGAAAGCTACGAGTGAGAGAAGGCAGGATAGGGAGAGACGCACTTTGCCAGCTTAATGGGCTCGACGCCAGCGCGCTTGTACATGTGCAGCAGGGTGAGGTGGTCGGGCGTCTTCTGGAGGTCCTTCCAGCGCTGCTGGGCCTCCTCGCGCGTCTTAGGCTCCCACTGCGCGAAGCGCTCGTCGGCCTTTTGCTGGCTGTTCCAGAGCCTGCCGGCGTGTTAGCATTGATCCACCATCATCCTCAGATCCCCCAGGGCTTGCCTACGCCTTGTACTGCTTGGGGTCGATCCCCATATCCGTCAGCCTCGCGTCCAGATCCATGCTCCCATCCTCGACATCCGCCTTCAGCCCGTCCATGAGCTTGCCCTCCCCCGCCTCATCCTCCTCGCCGGCCTTGTCGCTCCTCGGGCGCGAGAAAGCCTGCGTGTGCGGCCGTGGGGCATGTACAATCTGTCTCCGCATTAGCACACACCTTCACCTCACTCCCAATGGAACAGATCCGCGCACCTTTGCCCTCTTAACCGGCCCCAGAAACGAGCGCATACATCGTGGTGCCGCCATGACTGCTAGTCCTACCGTTTCGCCCGCTCGCAGCCACCACTCCATTCGAACATATCGCGAAAACCAAATCCGCGCTAGCCTCACCCCCGCCTCACCGCCCGGGCAGAACCACCACACATGCATGCATGGGGGGCATCGGAGTCGACCGCACCTTCCGCAGCCGTCGCTAGATTAGGGAAAAAAGAAGTGTCACAAGGACGATTTACTCGTTCTGCTAAATTGTATAAAAAGATCGTCTTTGTTGGGCTTGTCACGCACAACATACATACGGATACATTCGAAATGGCTGCTCCCAACGCTTACATTAGAGCCACCGAGACGGCGCAGTATGTGCGCTCCCAGCTGCCCGAGGCTTTACAGCACCCAAAAGTTGCCATTGTGTGCGGCTCGGGACTGGGTGGTTTGGCTGATACTATCGAACCGGAGCCCAAAGTTGAGCTGTCTTATGCCACTATTCCCAACTTTCCCCAAGCCACTGGTGAGTGAGGGCACGTGTTTAACAGGCACATTTATAGATGAGGAGGTATACTGATCCAAGACTACAGTTCTGGGCCATGCGAGCAAGTTTGTCTTTGGGCAGATTGGGGAGCACAAGACGCCCGTGGCTCTTCTGGTCGGACGCGCACAGTCAGTTCACTCATCCTCACAGACTACCATGTTGGGGTCAGTGATGTACATGTTTGTGATATTGATGACTACAGTTTCTACGAGGGCCACGATATGGATGTTGTCACATTTGCTGCTCGTGTGTGCAAACTCCTGGGCGTAGAGACCATTGTTGGTATGTGAACCGCACTCGATGGCCGGTCAGACAACCCCTCTAACCTTCCCACTAGTCACCAACGCCGCTGGTGGACTGAACCAAACCTACAGTGTCGGCGACATTGTGTGCTTGAATGACGTGCGTTGACTGTCTACCGAAATTCCACTCTTATTGACACCCCGCAGCACCTCAACATCGCTGGTCTGGTCGGCGTACACCCCCTGCGTGGACCCAACCTTGACGACTTTGGCACACGCTTCCCCCCGCTATCAGATGCATACGACCTCGACCTGAGGAGGCGGACGCACAAGGCCTGGGCGAAACTAGGACTCGACCAAGGAAAGAGGAAGTTGCACGAGGGTGTGTACGCGTTTGTTGGAGGACCAACGTAAGTCGCTGATCCCATCTCTATTCATCTGCCTCGACTATTTTCAACTACTAAACGCTAACTCTTCCAAGCTACGAGACCCGAGCCGAATGTCGAATGCTCAGTATGCTGGGAGCCGATGTGGTAGGAATGTCGACTGTTCCAGAGATCATCGTTGCCCGACACGCTGGGATGCGTGTCCTCGCCTTCAGCTTGGTGACAAACTCGGCCGTTCTCGAAGCCGGCTCCTGGGGGAACGATCCCGAGATTCAGGCAATGAGCAGGTCAGAATTGGCAGATCACCTGAACAAGGGCAAGGCAAACCACGAAGAGGTGCTGGAGGCAGGACGTGAGGCTGCCAAAGATATGCAGGCACTGGTAAAGCAAATACTGTCAGACCTGTACGAGGACTAAGTCGTCTCGATGCATGCAGAACCGTAGCAAGGCAAACAGATACCCAAACATATGCTTGTCCTGGCGTGCTGACACCGGGTCGAGGACTGATCAACTGGTTGTGTTGAGCTATCGATCTGGAGGTGCATTCTGGCGCCAGGTTGCGAGACCAAATCGCTGCACAAAGATGATGATGTGCAAGCTTGGTATATTGACACAATATACACCAGCCTCAAAGCGCACCGATCAAGGTTTGGTGACCTTGCCCTTGTTTCGCTTCGCCTGGAGTGCCTTGTAGAAAGCCTTTTTACCGCTGGCTTTTGTGCTCGAAATGTCTTCGTATTTGCGCTTGAAGCGACCAGAGTCCTGTTCCTGGGAGATGACCTCTTCCAAAAGTGTCTGTTTGCGATCCTTGTTCTTCAGACGGCTGCTGTAAAACTCGGTAGGACCCTCGACGATGACACCCATCTGCGAGAAAGCTGGTACATCGTTTTTGGAGTTGTCCTTCTTGTAGTGGCGCTTGGGGTCGAGGACGTTCCTCATCTTCAGCAGCTGCAAGTCGCGTCGCAGCTCCGGGGTGAGGTCAGTCTTGGGCATGTTGAACCATTCGGCTCCAGCAGTGGCTTTACTCTCCTGTTGATTGTCAGCCTCTGGAAACAAAGGGCAAATCAAAGTCCAATAGCTAAGCGAGTGTTGTGCCTCAGTGTAACTATGAATAAAAAAGCATCAATGATGCAGGAAGGCACCCAAGACGGGGCCCGAGTCTGCTTCAGGGAAAAATTGGGATAATTATCATCACAGGCGGGAGACCAGCCATGCATTCGAGAATGATAGCAGGGTCGTAGTGCTGGGGGTACGTACCTCTTTCCTCTGCTTCTTGATCTGAAGCGGGTCTTCGATCTTCTTGATACCATTAGCAAGGGCCTGCTGCTTTTTGTCGATAAGCTTTGAATGATCCAAGCGGGTGATGTTCCCCTCGGTCTTCTCGTGAGTATCGGCAACGTGACCCGGCCTCAGCTTCGGGAGCTTGAACGGCGCATCTGGAGCCGGTTGCGAAGTGGCCTTTGCGCGCATGCGCTGCGCAGCCTCGTTGAGCAGCCCCCGAATCTGCTCGTCTGACAACTCGTCATCGGTGTCATCCTCGAGGAGAGGTTGGTGCGCTGGCAACAGCTCCATGTTGGCGTGGAGTGGAAAATTTCAGAGATCGAACTTTTTGACAAGGCCGGCACGGGCACGAGCCACACCGGGAGAACTAACAACCGTCCCGAGCCACGTCGTCAAGCAACTTGCAAGCTGAGGTGCATCCGCTTCATTTTGCAGCGCCAGCTCGGTATTTTCGAAACATATGATGTACTCGCGCATGATCCGGCGCTATTCGGGCCTCCAGAGACTGACAACGCACTATGACATGAGTGCTCCTGTTGAGAGTCGGCGGCCCATGTGTAGCGTTTGGTCCAATCGCAACGCTTCCCGCTTGCTACTTCGGCTTCTTGGATGCTTCAGTATGCTGCATACCGGCTTCTGGGTGCTGTTTCTCGGTGTGAAGTGTGCTACCCCCCATGTTCGCGGCATAACAAGATGAGATGTGATGACATGCTGCATCGTGACGACGCTGCCAATTGATTGGAAAAGCTCGACTGCGAAAGAGACTGTGCGCGACATGCAGATCGGTGCGCATATAAACATAGCAGGCTGGGAGGTTAAACGTTAAACTCACACTCCACCTGAGCTCTGGTTCCATTAGCGCACGCCCGCGAGTCAACGCCCTCTGTCCCCGCTTAAACAGCTTGCCCCGGCCACTCAAACCAACCTTTGACGCAACCACGACAGCCAGCTCCCATCTCACGAACACGGCCACGACACTTTCCCTCGCAATCATTGGGCGCAGCGCATATCTCCGAATTCGAAGCGACACATTGGCTGTGCTCTGCCATCCGACAATCCTCGAGTAGACGCGACCCCTGCCACGGCGTAACGTTTGCGCGACCACGCCGCCATGGATCAAGTCAACCTTCCTCACGGCCAGCAACGCAATCGCCAGGCCCCTGCTGCTCCGCGTCGATACGACGGGCAAGCTGGTAACCCTCTTTACAGCGAGAAGGAGCACGGCGGTCATTATGGTATGTTCACGCGCCAGGCCTGATGATCAAGCCTTGTTGTCGCATTCGTAATTACAAAGCTAACTCTCACTCCACCAGGCGCTGCAGCTTCAGTATGTCTCGTTTTGCGCTCCTTCACATGCTGCAACTGATGTCTGATCCAGATTGCCGCGCAAGGCCATGCGCCTGACCCACAGCTGTTCACCGGCTCGTGGGGGAATGTATGACACACGCGTCGCTGAGGTCTACGTGAAATGCTGACAGGCTCCAGGTAAATCAAGGTCTCACGGGCAACTATCGCGACATCCTTAACACGTATTGGCAGCAACAAGTCACGAAACTCGAGACGGACGACCATGACTACAAGATCCACCAACTCCCGCTTGCTCGTATCAAGAAGGTGATGAAGGCAGACCCTGAAGTTAAGATGATCTCGGCTGAAGCACCCATCCTGTTTGCGAAAGGATGCGACATATTCATCACAGAGCTCACGATGCGCGCCTGGATCCACGCCGAGGAAAACAAGCGACGTACTCTCCAGCGCTCCGACATTGCCTCGGCGCTGTCCAAGTCTGACATGTTCGACTTTCTGATCGACATCGTCCCCCGCGAAGAAGCGCACCCTCACAAGAGGAGCGCAGGCAATGCAGCAGTTCAGTCGTCCGCGGCAGTTCCTCCCGGTGGCATGCCTCCATCCGTGCATGCGCAACATCAAATGCCTCCTCCAGATTACGGTATGGGCCAGCATATGACGCAGCAAGAAGACTTCCGACAGCCCGGCATGTATGCGCCTCCCGTGCAGAGCGACCCAGGCCCATACGCGCAACAGCAGATGTTCGATCCTGCCGTCTACGGAGCATACCCAATGGCTCAACAGCCGGTCCGTCATGTTTCTCTCCGCTGACTGAAGACGTTTTGGCTGACTTTGCGCAGCAGATGTACCCTGTCGGTCAACGAGGGCCTGATCATACTGGCGCCGGTGATCCGAATCAAGGCTACCGGCACGACACTGAAGCAGACGCTGATGCGGAAGGCGAGCGGGAAGACTTTGGCCCATGATCTCAGCTGATCGGACATGGACAAGCGGGCGAACGCTATACTACATCGTTTGCAACGGTTAAGGGGAGTCACTCATGACGGGTGTTTGCCGAGGTGAAGTACTCGGGGCTGTTCTTTAGGTTGTGTTCGGTGGGCGTTTTGGTTACGGTTGTAGGTGTAGGCTCAGGACGAGCTGCCTGCAGGGCTACGGCTACGGTGTTTGGGTCAGCGGGTGCGGCCGCGGAATAGTTGAACGGATGCGCGGCGTCATCGGGTATATAGCAATCAAGCAGCAACTTGACACGCCCATTGCCTTGGTCCTGTTTCACACGATGGGTTCTGAAGCTTGGGTGACGTTCCCCACAAACCGCTGTCCGATCCATTCCGACCCTCTAGACAGGGATGGATCCCCGACTGTGGAGCACCGAGGCTGTCCGGGCAGCTGTCATCGTCATATGCTTCGCCGAACAGAGCGACGCGCCGTGTGTTTGCTCGTGCGGGTGGGTCAAAGGAAGATTCGTTCGTAAGCCTGAATGCTCCGTCAGGAAGCTCCTCCTTGAATCGATCTCCGACCCCGCAAGATTGGCCCGTGCTTGCTCGCTCCCCCACTAAACAACAGAGCGGTCTGCTGCAGCTCGTCCCTTTACTTAAAGTCTCAATCACTGCTTCTTCTCTTACACTTTTCTCCTTTTTCTATCTCACCAGTTCTGCCCTCCCACCCCTCCAAGCAGCTTCAGATTGTCCTTCTCTACCACCACTTTCCACCAAACAACTCAACAAAATGGTCAAGGCCGTTGTCGCAGGTGCCTCTGGTGGTATTGGACAGGTACGCCCGTGGTTACAGCAAATTCGGTGCCAAAACTGACCCCAGCCAGCCACTGTCCCTCCTCCTCAAGTCATGCCAGCTCATTGACGAGCTCGCCCTCTACGATGTTGTCAACACCCCAGGTGTTGCTGCTGATTTGTCACACATCTCGTCGCCAGCTGTATGAGCTAGTCCCTAGCCCCACAACACAACCATGGGAAGTACTAAAGGTGGCCAGACAGTAACAGGGTACCTGCCCAAGGAGGATGGTCTGCAGCAGGCCCTCACCGGCGCTGATATCGTCGTTATCCCAGCTGGAATTCCCCGTAAGTGAAGCGCCAACAGTATTGGCGTCACACACTGACCTTTCCAAGGCAAGCCTGGCATGACCCGTGACGACCTCTTCAAGATCAACGCCGGCATTGTCCAGGGCCTCATCGAGGGCGTCGCCAAGTACTGCCCCAAGGCCTCCGTCCTCGTTATCTCGAACCCAGTCAACTCGACGGTCCCCATCGCTGCCGAGGTGCTCAAGAAGGCCGGTGTCTTCGACCCCAAGAAGCTCTTCGGTGTCACCACGCTCGACGTTGTCCGCGCTGAGACCTTTGTTGCCAGCATCACAGGCGAGAGCAACCCCTCGAAGCTCAGCATCCCCGTCATTGGAGGACACTCTGGCGAGACCATTGTGCCTCTTTTCAGCCAGGCCAAGCCCAGCGTGGAGATCCCCGCTGACAAGCTGGATGCTCTTGTCAACCGTGAGTGACGAATGGCGACTGTCTTGATCACCAACTTACTCTATTCAGGAATTCAATTCGGTGGTGATGAGGTTGTCAAGGCCAAGGACGGCGCTGGTTCAGCCACTCTCTCCATGGCTTACGCAGGTTACCGGTGCGTCTGCCCTGCAAGCCGTTGAGTGTACCAGCTGACAAACTTCAGTTTCGCCGAGAAGGTGATCAAGGCCTCCAAGGGCGAGAAGGGCATCGTCGAGCCCAGCTTTGTCTACCTACCCGGTGTCGAGGGCGGTGACGCCATTGCGAAGGTCACCGGCTCAGACTTTTTCTCAGTGCCCATCGAGCTTGGCGTAAGTAGAGCAGAGCTTCTTTACGCTCACGGTTGCTGACTTTGATACAGCCCAACGGTGCCGAGAAGGCGATCGATGTCGTCAGCAGTGCCAACGACCACGAGAAGAAGCTCCTCCAGGCATGCTACGACGGCCTCAAGGGCAACATCTCCAAGGGTATTGAGTTCGTCAACAACCCTCCTGCCAAGTGAGTTGGCCCTAACACTGCTACGGCGCACTTCAAGGAAGGGCCCTCGGAATTTTGCTCATGCTAACATCCGATAGATAGGCTTTAGCGTCTTCGATGAATGATGAGAAATGAGAAAGACGGAATGATATCTGGGAATATGCATGATTTGAGCAACAGAACTAGTTCAACCAGCTAGCTGAAATAAGCACTCTCATGACAACACACGTCTTGACCCTTTCTAATCAGTGAACATGTGAAATGGTCTCAAAGTCCAGTGGAGTTCCTGATCTCGGTGACTTCATATGCCAAGCCATAGTTGGACCCTGACAGAATGATCGACAGCGGCTCGAGCACTCCACGCTGCCCTTCAGACCACATCCCAGCAGCATCCACTGCGACTGACCTTTTGCGCGCCCACAACCCCGCAATACGTACATAAGTCTTCTTGGGCTTCACGAACCTGTAGCGCATATCAATCGCCACCACTTCCCGTCGACCAAACCTCCAAACCTCCTGCGACAACCGACGATTACTCCGCAGCCCACCTGTTCACCGACCCATCGCCCAAGAAACATTCGCTAGAGCTGTGAACACGTCCGCTCGCAACAATGGCGCACGCCGCCCAACAAACGCCCACCGATACGCCTACATCATATGTCGACCCCACATACTCCCTGTTGAATACAACATGTCTTGATCTGCTACTCATAGAACTTGTCCCCATGGCATACCGTATAGCTGCCGATTTGGCGGCAAGAGAGGAGGAATGGACACATGGGTCGTCGGCTACAAAGTCAAAGAGGCTATCCGGAGCAAGCGGCGATGCGAGTAGCACCGTGGCAGGGACAAGCGTCGGAGGGCCGGCAGGCGGGACAGTAGGAGGCGGTGGTGGAACAGCGACAGTAGACGAGGAAGAAGCGAGGGAGGCGGTGTTTCATCGACTGGAAAACCTGGGGTACAGAGTCGGGTTAGGCGTCGTTGAACGGTATGCGCTCTACCCTACACTCTCCGCGCACCCTCCCTAACACGACCACACAGATTCTCCCGCGACTCACCCCGTCCAACAAACCCGCTCGACATCATCAAATTTCTCTGCAAAGACCTCTGGACGCTCCTCTTCCGAAAACAAATCGACAATCTCAAAACAAACCACCGCGGCATCTACGTCCTCACAGACAACACGTTCAAGCCCCTCTCGCGAATGTCCTTCGACACCAAGAAATATGATGCCGCCATGCAGACGGCGCTCGTGCAGCAGACAGGCGACCCGGCGCTGGGGCGCGACGCAAACACCCAAGCAAGAGTGCAGCCGTTTCTGTACTTCCCCGCGGGCGTCATCAGAGGCTGTCTGGCCAGTCTGGGCATAACGGCGACAGTCACGGCGGAAAGCGCTGCGCTGCCTGGTGCGACGTTTCAAATACGGACTGCGGGTGCGAAGGCCTGAGCATGGGGATGGGCAGCAGCATATTTTCAGCGGCATTGGGCGGCGTTTGGGAGGGTCATGACTTGATGATGGCTTCAGATACAGAAGATCTCTCTGCTACGTTCGTAATACAGAGTGGGCAGATTCACTCATGGTGTGTGGAATCATGTAATGTGGAGTCTTTCAACACGCTGTTAGTTCTTTCGTTCTGCCAAATCTATGTATGAGCCTGACGGCCTTGTGGTACTGTTCATGGCCCCCAAAGTGTTGCCATGCTTGATGCAGTGGGATTCTTTCTTGACGGAAGCAGCCATCTATACTTCCTCGCCATAAATATCGTTTTGCATTATTCTTTCTCTTTTTGGAACCTGACAGCCTCTTTCCGCGCCCATGGCGTCTCTCTTACCTCCACGAGAGCTCACTACTGACATGAGCCAGTGTTCTTGCTCTCATTTTGTAGGTAAGTGCAGTATAAAATATTTGGTCATTGTTGTTTGAATGCTTTCTCGCCTGAGTTCCACGGAGGCTTCAATATCACCCATCCACCCATCCGTTCACAATAAGCATATCGCAGCATCCATTCACTATTGTATCTTCACTGCAGTCATGCGTTCCATTACTCAACTCACACTCCTCCTATTAACCACCCTCTGTTCCGCAAACAACCTCAACCTCTACAACTCGAACGGTGCGACATTCTGGCCAGGGCACTTCACCTCCAGCAAATCCTCAGGCTGCATCAAACCGTCCGACGTCTGGGACAGAAACTCCTATATCGTCTTCAATTCGAAGAACACAGACGATGCGCCATTCAACTTCTCCATCTCGACCCACCACACGAAATACTACCCACACACGCTACAGAACCTGCTACAGGCGTACAACTTCGACATCACCTTGGAAAGTTCCGTCGATGCATCCGAGTGTTGCGGATGGTGGGACACAGGAGCAGTGAAGGCTCGCGGCATAACTCGAGGCCACATCCTGTGGAAGTACAACGACCTTCGGCGTGTGCGAGCACCACCCAACTCTGGAAGGATGTCGGGCTGGTATGCGAATCGTGAGGATCATATTCCTCCCCGCATGAGCCACAGGCCCAGCAACGAAACCATCGCTTTCCTCACCCAACTCCTGTTGAGCAACGGTCCATATGCAGATGTCTACTTCAACTGGACACTCTGCCTCACAGCCTTGTGTGCATGGTTTACTGTTATGATGCTCATCGGCTTGGCTCATAAAGTTGCTCGTGCTATGCAGGCTCGGACGCAGGCTCGCTTGAAGATGGAGGAGGCTGAGGATGATATCGAACTCTCCATGATCGAACCACAACGCGCGGCCGGATTCAAGTCGTCTGAATCCACGGGTTCTGAACCTCTACCTCGCTACTCGGTAGACGGTGCCGGTCGCTGAGCCTGGCGTTGTCGAGCTTCCCGTCTATCAGGTCGTTGGGATGTTTCGTATGCATGTTTTCGTTGATCGTGTTTTGCAACGTCGGCTTTGGCAGGTGTTACTTGTTCTCATTTTTACACGTCTTGTTAGTCTTTTTGCGTCTCCCGCTTAGAATAAAATGCCTTGATCTTCAATGCTTTGACTTTTCGTATTGATACTATGACTTTATATGCTTCTTTGAGATGAAGACCTCGATGATCGAGTGGGGTTGTGGTCGGAATGGGTCATTGATGTCCGTCAGCTGCCAAAACTAGTCTCGTTACGATTTAGCCTTCTCCAACATTCCCGAATCATCTCGTCCCGTCGCGAGTTTGATCTTGGACAACTATTAACAAGATGAAAGACACTTTTTCGACTCGTCAGTTTCCAAATCCTCCTTTGCGGATGAAAGCCGGCTTGTCTGCGCGCTGGCTCTTCTGCGTTACTGCAGGCACAGTCTTACTTGTTTGGGTATGTCGAACCTCTCCAGTAACATACCTCGTGTTTGACCACGCTAAACCAAAGAGAACCTATTTTCACTATACAATCATACCTCTCTCTATGTAGAATCAAGAACGGAACATTTTCGGAAGTGTTCAGTCGATGCGTATCTCGCTACGGGTCTGAAGTTCCTTAAAACTGCTGAGCGGCCCCCAATTGAAGAGTATATCCTTCGAAGGAACAATCTCGCAAAAGCTCTTGTAGCGGAAGATGTTGATGCTTTTGTTGTGGAACCCGGCTTCACGTTCAGCTACTATGCAAATATCACCCAGCCTGAATGGGAGGTCTGGGAACCTGAAGAGCGCCCTTTCGTCATGATCATTCGACCTGAGAGGTTGTCAGATGGAAGTGTCGTGGCCAACACCTCGTTCTTGGTTCCGAGTTTTGAGGAGACGCGTGCGAGACTGCTCGATATGCCGTTTGAAGAGGAGATACACACTATTACGTATGAAGAGCATTGGAATTACTACACCACTCTGTACGAGTCAGAAATCTGGGGTGACACTCTTTCCCCGGTTCTCATGGTCGATGAAGAAATGCGGGATTTCATCCAGCGGGGCCTATCTTCTAACGGGTTCACCGTCGTAGGCCTAGGCGGCGAGGTGGAAGCGGTGCGACAGGTCAAGACTGAGCGTGAAATCGGAATATTGAAAGCTGTCAATACAGGAACCGTGGAAGCTATTCGAGCGATGAGAACGTGTCTCTATCCAGGTGTCACAGAAAACGAAGTCGCTGCGATACTCGATGACACCATGAGAGCAGCAGGGTTGGATCCGTTCTTCGACATTGTGGAATTTGGCAAATCTGCAGCCCTGCCCCACGGCGGCTATGACGGGAGTAGGAAGCTTGAGCCCGGAATGTTCGTACTCATCGATGTCGGGGCACATCTATATGGGTACAGTAGCGACGTGTGCCGCACGTTCTATCCTCCATTCTTTTCGAACCCTCCGCCTTCGAAACACAACGTCACTGAACAGCTGGATGTGTGGCAGATCGTCCTCGATGCTCAGTCTGCAGCCGTGAACGCCATGGTACCTAATGCTACTGCTGCGTCGGTGGATATAGCCGCCCGCAGTGTAATCAAAGCAGCAGGATATGGGAAGTACTTCACTCATCGCTTGGGGCATAGTATTGGGATCAAGGCCCACGAAAGCCCGTACCTCAACAAAGGAAACTTTGGGGCGGTGCTTCGTCCGGGCATGGTGTTTACAGCGGAGCCAGGGGTCTACGTGCTAGACAAGTTCGGAGTCCGTCATGAAGATGTTCTAGTTGTGAGAGAAGATGGGGAGGCAGAGAACATCAGTGGTGGATTCGCACATGGCCCTTGGGATCCTTAGTATCAATACACTCTGTAACCGTCTGTGAATAGGCGTACAAGGGGAGAAACCCTCGTTGTCCGCTCTTGCCGATTGGTCACCGCCAAGAAAGTCACACATTCACCATATCCATCGCTTATCACAGTATATGCGCTCTTTTCCCTACCATTCAGGATTAGCTCGATGGGGCTGATGGGGCTTCAAAACGTGGGAAGCTCGAAACTGCTTGGCTCAGCAGAGATTTTGCAGTCCTTTCCCTTACCTCTGTTCGCTTTTCTTCGACCTCTGTAGTTGTCTAAACATCATTCACTCCACACCCATCTGCTCCAGCGATGAAGCTCCCATTCACCCTCGCAGTCGTTGTGGCCGCCGCCATCGTCAATGCAGCTCCCGCCCCTGCTTCCGATCTTGTTGTCCGCACCAACGGTATGTGGATGCTTAAAGGTTCTTTGTGGTTACAAACAGGGCTCACACAGTTTAGATGTCCTCACTCAGTCTAGGAACATCACCTCTCAACTTTCTGTTGCTGCTGTCAATGACGAAGTCTCGGAGACCTACCATGGCGAGCACACAGTAGAGATGTGGCTCGGCATCAACAGGGCAAACGTGGGCGACCTCACTGGCTCGGCGCTCTATGGCATGATCTGGAAGGCTCTCGATGTCATATGTGATCGTGGTCGCGCGCATGACTGTGACAGTACCAGCAGGGCTATCAATGTCAACTACTTGAATGACAAAAACAAGATCGATCGAGGTAAGTGTCGCAGATGTGATCATTTCATGACAAAAGCTGACTTGCCATGCAGGATTCTTGAGGCTGAAGGTTGAATCTGGATACTGGAGCGATGATGCAGTTCGTCGTCTAATGATCGGGTCCGTGGCTGGTACGTTCTCTGTGCTTCTCTTCATGTAGCATAACGCATTTTACTGATTTGTCCAGGGGCACTCGAAGCTTTGAGCAATGCACAGGACAACTGTTTTGATGCTCCAGGATCAAAGAGGCTCTGCAACGTTAGCGACCGTGTCAAGATCCACACGATTAGTGGCAACATCCATGTTTTCATCAATAGCCCTACCGACGACGGATCGTTTTGGTGTTGTCAGAACAGAAGCCCCATCGACAACGTTCTGGATCGACTGGGTTCTGAATGGCTGTCTCATTCGCCTATGTGGCAGGGCAAAGGCTTCTCGAGGGATGTGAGGTGCATCAACGCCTGCTAAGATACATGAACCTTGGTAGAGGGTATAGACGGTGTAGACTAGACTATAGATGGGATAAGATGGGAACGTATTTCATGCAAGCTAGTTTGGGGTTCAGTCTTCCACTCACTGTTTCCCTTGTCATGTCTCCTTGGTGCTCTGCTTTTTCTATCAGACTATCCGGATTGTCTAGACAGAAAAGCGCTCTAGATGGTCTGGGACGAGCTCGAATATGAATTTCTGAGAGCCCCTATGCGCTTGACCCGTTATCCGAAATCTTATGAAATACGAGACCTGACCTTGTTTGCCAGTTGCGATGTCCCAGGTGCAAAATGGTGACAGGTTGGTGTGGATCAACTGGTCGGTCACTAGCTCCCCAATTGAAGTCTTTCCACAGCATCCCAATCAATGCTTGTACATCAATAGCGTTATACGTGGAGGGAACTTCATCTGTTTCGAGGTGGTCTGCTGAAAAGTGTGTGTAGTTCTTCGTGAAATATTCCAGGATGAGATCAACTGTAGTGACACGAGCACTGGGTGTGATAGAAGCATTCTTCACTTCCCCGCAATGAGTGGACCCGGCATGTGTGTAGCTTATGTCAGACAACTCGACTGAAGGTAGGGTTTTCCAGCTGATGTTTCCAAAATCGTATGCATGTAGCCATGTTGGCCCTACATCATAGACAACCACGCGAGGTACCCACTTTAAAGTCTTCGCAAGATGTGCTATGATTTAAGCTCGGAACCCACTGCGAAATCCCTCCCGATTGGTAGCGTCTAGCTGTCTTGCAGAGTTCCCCACAATACCCGCATGCAGGCGCGTTCATCGAAACGATAACATGATCCTCTTTTGGAAATTCTGCCTCGCTTTGCGGATCTGGGTTCTCATCAACTAATTCCAAAAATGAAGCGGACATGATTAAAGCCTAGTCGAGAGTCAAGTGGACGAGAGAGTACGAGCGTTCGAATATTGGAAAAGTGAACGTCAAGCAGCAAGCGGAAGGAGATGCCATGTAGAGTGATCACAGCTGGGCAATCACGATCGAAGAGTATGCATTGTATGTAGTGTGTAACCTAACAAAATCTGATACAAATACTGATAGAAGGGTATCAAGATACTGCAAGAATACCCACTGGGCAGTTGCAGGTGAGGTCAGTGGCTCTGCACGTGATGCTGCGGACCGACCTTTCGCCGATGCAAAACCAGCGCTAGTTCGAAATCTCGAAAAACTTCGAGAGCTCCAGCAGCACGCCAATTGCAATCCCCAAATTCAGCAATATCGCACGCAATGGCTCTCGTTCAGACTGACCCCGACGCGTATGTGATCAAGCCAGCGGCTTCTGCGCCAGCTATCGACACCAGCGACTGGCCGCTGCTGCTCAAGAATTACAGCGACTGTATGCAGCAGCTCTCCACATAGCTCCAGAGCGCACAGCTAACACGCACATAGTGCACGTTCGCACCTCGCACTACACCCCCATTCCCCAAGGATGCGCGCCTCTAGCTCGTGACATCAAGTCGTACATCAGCTCTGGTGTCATCAACCTCGACAAGCCCTCGAACCCGTCTAGTCACGAAGTCGTATCATGGATCAAGCGCATGCTTCGGTACGCGTGACAATCGCAATTGTTTTCTTGGATTTGACTAATGCGCATGCAGAGTCGAGAAGACTGGTCACAGTGGTACCCTCGATCCCAAGGTCACCGGATGTCTTATTGTCTGCATTGACCGCGCCACCCGTCTCGTGAAGTCTCAGCAGGGTGCTGGAAAGGAGTACGTGTGCGTCATTCGTCTTCATGAGAAGCTCCCTGGAGGTGAAGCTCAGTTTGCGCGCGCCCTGGAGACCCTTACTGGTGCTCTTTTCCAACGACCACCGCTTATCTCTGCTGTCAAGCGCCAGTTGCGTATTCGAACGATCCACGAGAGCAAGCTCTACGAGTTCGACAACGAGAGGCAGCTTGGTGTCTTCTGGGTTAGCTGTGAAGCTGGAACCTACATCCGTACACTGTGTGTGCATCTCGGTCTCCTGCTCGGTGTGGGTGCCCACATGCAGGAGCTCCGACGTGTGAGGAGTGGAGCCATGGACGAGACAAAGGATTTGGTCACACTGCACGACGTTCTTGATGCTCAGTGGATTCACGACAACAACCGCGATGAGTCCTACCTGCGCCAGGTTATCGCGCCCCTGGAGAGTCTGTTGACGAGCTACAAGCGCGTCGTTGTCAAGGACAGCTCTGTCAATGCCATCTGCTATGGTGCCAAGCTTATGCTCCCCGGTCTCCTTCGTTTCGAGAAGGGCATTGAGATTCATGAGGAGATTGTTCTGATGACCACCAAGGGTGAGGCTATCGCCCTTGCCTACGCGCAGATGTCCGCGGTCGAGATGTCTTCCTGCGACCACGGTGTCGTTGCAAAGATTAAGCGAGTCATCATGGAGCGTGATCTCTACCCTAGGAGGTGGGGCATGGGTCCTGTTGCCACTGAGAAGAAGAAGATGAAGGAGGCTGGCACGCTCGACGTAAGTTTTCAGGCAATCGATCGTAAGCACAACGCTAACAGCTCCAGAAATTCGGTCGTACAAATGAAAAGACCCCCGCCAAGTGGAATGCTGAGTACAAGGACTTCAACAGAACTGACAGCGGTTCAGCTGCGCCTCTGGCTGAGACTACCTCAACGTCCGAGGTCCTGGCTGCCCCTGCAATTCCACCAACTGGACTCACCTCGACCGAGGAAGCGGAGGCGACCAGCGAGCTTGAAGGCAAGAGCAAGAAGCGCAAGAGCCGCGGTGAGGAGGACGACGAGTCGCCCGAGGACAAGGCAGAGCGCAAGCGCAAGAAGAAGGAAGAAAAGGCTGCCAAGAAGGCGAAGAAGGAGAAGAGGAAGAGCAAGGCCGCCGATAGCGACGACTCCGATTGAACGTTTTCGACGTGAATGAATGCGAATTTCCACCAGCGAACAACACAGCTATGTTGAGTGTACTACTGCTGTACACGTCCATCGCGTCCATATGGCGGATTTATCATTGTCTTGGATACCTACTCCTCAGTGTAGCATACGGAAAACAGCGTGTAAAAACTGGCGTTATGGGATCGGCATGGGGGAGTTTGGCGCGTCAAAGTTTCTTCGACAATGGTGGACGACAGCGTGTAGCAATGCGACATGGGTCATTCTTGTTGATGCTGGTGCAGTTCCCTGAGATTTATGTGTAGCTTCTATTGAATCTAAAATATTAAGAATTGTCCGAAACTCTCCGAAGTTCACTTGCTATCGTGAATGCACTGGGTGTCAGAGAAGCTTCTCGAAGCTTCCACGCCTGACGTCTTTGTGGCCCGCGCTCAAACGGTGGGGAGATGCACTTGAGGCTTGATGTTAAAAGCAGCTGCACGCTTTTACACTACTCGGCCCACCGCTGAAGCCTCTCACAAGCACACGAGATACCCATCCTCTTCTATATCTGCTATTCACCATGGTTAAAGAAATGCAGCTCTACGATTCATTAGGTGAGTTCGGCCTTGAAACGTGACCTACCCCTCCCGCTGCCCATGTTGCTACGGCATTCCACGGGTACCTACATGTACTAACAGTCTGTTGCAGGAGTCTCAGCTTCCGCGACGCAAGATGAGATCAAGAAAGCTTACCGCAAGGCGGCGCTGAAATGGCATCCCGACAAGAACAAGGACAACCCGCAGGCTGCCGAGAAGTTCAAGGGTAGGGCGACTCAACCCTCTCGACGACGAGGCATGTAATGCTAACATAACCAACATAGAATGTTCACAAGCTTACGAAATCCTCTCCGACCCCGAAAAGCGCAAGACATACGACCAGTACGGTCTCGAGTTCATATTGCGCGGCGGCGTACCCCCGCCTGAGGGTGCAGGCGGGCCTGGAGGCAACCCCTTCGAGGCAGGCGGTGGTGGCTTTCCATTCTCAGGCAGCGCCGGTATGCCAGGCGGCGCGCGATCATTCCATTTCTCGAGCAACGGCGGCCACGGCTTCAACTTTTCGAACGCGGATGACATATTCTCGGAATTCTTGCGAGGCAGCGGAGGTGGCGGTGGCGGCGGCGGCGGTGACGATGACGAGTTTGGTTTCGGTGGTTTTGGAATGGGCGGTATGCCAGGAGGCATGGGTGGGACGCCCCGGTCAAAGGGCGCACGAGGACCGAGCGGAGGGAGATTCGCAGGAGGTAGAAGAGCACCAGAGCCTGAAGTCACCGTCGTCGAGAAGCCACTGGCCGTGTCCCTCGAGGAGCTGTTCAACGGTACATCGAAGAAGCTGAAGATCAAGCGCAAGACATATGACCAAGCGACTGGCAAGCAAAGCACACAAGACCGGATTCTCGAGGTGCCAATCAAGAAGGGCCTCAAGGCTGGCAGCAAGATCAAATTCTCAGATGTTGGCGATCAAGTCGAAGGCGGGACACAAGATTTGCACTTCATTGTTGCAGAGGTAAGACCATTCAGGTTTTTTATTTCGCTACTTTAGCTAACATTTGCCTACAGAAATCTCATCCACTCTTCACTCGCGAAGGCGACGACATCAAGCGCGTCATCGAGCTCGATCTCAAAGAAGCCCTGACCGGCTGGCGACGAACCGTGCAAACCATCGATGGGAAACAACTCAGTGTCGGTAGCGGAGGGCCATCAGGACCTACCTGGACGGAGCGCTACCCAAACCTCGGAATGCCAAAGAGCAAGAAGCCAAATGAACGCGGCGACTTCATCGTTGGTGTCAATATCAAGTTCCCGACCAGCCTGACGAGCGACCAAAGAGAGAAGCTCAGGCAGATTCTCTGAGCAAGCATATCGGCCAACGACGGCCAACATGAACTTTAATCTGTCATATTTGCGCCCGATCACACGACGCTGTGATCTTACAGCGTCGTGGACATCATTTTCCTCTTCCTGCATATATTCTGATTCTATTTTTATTTTTTAACCTGCTCAGGTGAGCTATCGGCGTTGGCGGAAATCCAAAGCATCAATCGACGTCATTTGACGTTCCATTTTTATACTCAAACAATTCATCAAGTGCTGAAAGAAGGAAATCAAGGAGTTTTGTTTACTGGGGATGATGAGCGTAGCACGACGATGGAAACGAAGAAACGAATTACATGATTAGAACAATGACGGAATGAAAATCACCTTCTCACAGTGAATACTGTTGCTATTCTCATATTACTCCTGCGCTTGAAACCTCGAGTCCTGGTGCGACTTTGGCTGTCAATGCTGTTGACGCGAGTTTGATAGTCACGATGAGGCCGTTGTGATTTATGTTTGATGTGAATAAAGGGGAAGTATAGTATTACCACGTTGACATGTCTAACGAGGAACTTCGAAAATGTGAGTACAGAGTGAGACACCGGATGTGAACGTGAAGTTCAGTTGGACAAGCAAGATGAGAAAAAGACGGATAAAGTTGTTTTGATGGAAAGTGATGAATTAAGATATGTTGAACGTGTGAGCATGAACAAAATCGCTACATATATGTACCAATACTATGTTGTCGCGACCAAAATACCGATCGACCGATACCTCAGTACGCGGCTCGTGACTGTATATACCTGCTTCGACATATGTACTAAGAAGGCGTTCAAAAAGAGAAGTATAAGCGCAGTCCCAATCCATAAGCCTTCTGTCTTGCCATCCGATATATGAGGTTATCTGAGATGCGGCGTGTTTTGGCAACAGTTGCAGTCCACATGCGGAACCCAGGGCCTGCCCTGCCCGAGATAATCACCTCCATTCCATTGCTCTGTGCTCTTCAACCACAGCCCATCGAACTCCTTGGTGTGCCCTACATCGCCGCTGGTCACCGTCGACTTGTTGGCAGCATTGCCATGGACCGCAGACAGTGTGTTGTGCGCACTGCTGTCTACCGGCGTCGATTTTTGTCCTACGTTTCCGCCTACTCCCGTCGACGTGTGTCCTGCACAGCTATCTGTTGCTGTCGAATTGTGTCCAACGTGGCTGTGGGTCGATGTCGACGCGTATCCTGCATTGCTGTTTACCGCTGTCGATGTACCAACACTCGGCCAGAATGCCTCCTCGGCATCCAACAACGCCTCCCATACTGCATGTGTTCTTGTCTTGACCTCCTTCCACCTCGCGTCATCCTTGTTCACTGCGCTGCCGACACCTTCGTTGATGATGCGCTCCAGCGTCTCAACAAGCATCAAGAAATCCCGGTTGGACCAGTTGGGAATGAGATCCTTCCTCATTGCGCCACCGTCCTGATCGTTTTCGTACATCCTCGAGCTGGCTTGAGTGTCTTGCTTTTGTGCCCAGGAGAACGCTTCGTAGAAAACTTTCTCCGTAGCCCAGAGGAGGACTGCGCCTTCGAGCCAGGGGATGAATGTGTGTTCTTGGTTGCGGCCTGTCTGGGCGAAGAGGGTCTCAAACCGACGTAGGCCCTCGGATTTGGTGGACGCGTTGGCAGTTGAGGTGATCCAAGACACGTTCAACTTGTACGTGTCTGCGATTTCAACGAAAAAGTTCTCTTCGCGCCGAATGTTTTGCAGGGCCTCCTCTAGCCAATCCACCAGTCTGTGCTCAACTGATTTGTGACCTTTGACGAGTTCTCTAGGCATTATCCGCCGAAGGAGACTGAGGAGTTGTTCGGCATAGGAAACATAGCCTTGTAAATAGACACGGTCGTTTGCGAGCCATTGGGCAAGTACTGGTTTGGGGAGTGTGCCTTTGGCAGCGTGTACGAGGAAGGATGACTGTGTGGCTCGGCGGAAGTGGTCGCTGTTGTAAGACATTAGATGAGTTGTGAGGGCATGGGGCACATCATTGAGGTCGAGGCCCAGGGCGTTCACGGCTGTTCCAGGGTGGTGTGCCATGTCTGTATTGAGTGGTGTTTGTGAAATTGATAAGTTGTTTGGAGTGTTGTAGAGTTGAAAGTGGGTTGTTGGGATGTTGGGATGCTCGGGTATGATTTGAGCACATTAAATCTGAGGTCTCGTTGTTTATATACCGAACATATATTCTGCGCCAAGCAACATATTTGCCAAATACACTTCCACTTACGTAGTAACGCAAGCCATACAAGGCCCACCACGATGTTGCCGAGAGAATTTCGTGAGGTTGTACTATAACGATGACGTAGTCTCTATAACATTTCCGACGTCAGCTGGTCATTACTGACCAGAAAACTACCAAGTCCACGCTCTAGAGCAACGCTATAGCGTGCTCGGCGTGGGTAGCTCTGGCGCGCGCTGAGGCCCAGCCCAAATGCATCTCAAATTCGAAGACCCAGAGCATGGCAAAGCCGTTGGCGCGATGACGATTCCGCCACTGGCGTCTGCACGCCAACATCTTGCTACTACAATGCAGTTCTTGCATCACCCCATCCATGGAGCGATCATCATGCGATGCGGGCCGAACCTGCAGATCAGGTGGAAGCTGATGGTTGATAGCCGATGGCCGGTGGCCGAGCAGCCGTTCATGTCGTTGCTGCCGCCAGCTTACCATGTTTACAGCCTGAATGATGCCCAAAGAATTTGTTGACGAAACTGGGAACCGCGCGTTATGCATGCTCGTGATCCTGCTGTTCCACAGTGAGCGTAGCCTTCCTACGTCCGTCCAACCCACGCGGGGTTCTGATGTGTTATAACTTGTCGACGCGGACAGCCTAAAGTCGAGGCAGTGTAATGGAAAGGTTTTGCGTGCGCTGAATGCACATTGGTGTACCAAGTAGGGGAACGTCTCCTAGGTGGTGTTCATGCCTGCCATAGTTAGACACTCGCGCTAATTTTGATGTTTTTCGGCTTTGACGTCGCGCTCTGTGTTACGCAAGCAGAAAAACGATCTAGCCCTATGAGCAGGCTTCAACTAGCTGGCAAGACATTTCGGAATTGATGTGGTATGCGTCGAGCTGGTGAGCTTGTTACTCGCAAGGGGGATGCGACGGCGGGGAAGACACCTTGATCTCGATGACATACTTAGTCAGCCCAGTCGCTCACTTTTCCGGTTTACTTGAATTTCCCTCTCCCTCAAGTATTTTTTCAAATACCTGTCATTGCCCACGCCAAAAGGGAGATGCATAGAAAAGTGTTCAGAGGAAGGCTGAGCCAGGCGCGGTGGGCTGGATGAGTGCCAATTCGGCAACCTCATGCGAGTCATCGGTCATCGGGGCTGAGGCGTGGTTCATGTGGCATTCACTTATAGGCTGCTCCATTCTCTCTGACGATCTATACACATCCTACCTCTCACAGATACTTGCCTCTAACCTCTAACCTCAGACCTTTGGATCCACGAGCTTATCATCAAGCCAGAACCTGAAGAGTTATCAACGCCGAGATCTATGTCATATCTCCACGAGGCTGTTTACTACGGTCCTGTGAAATCTTAAGCAACAATACGCACACGCAACTACGAGTGAGATGGAACATCAAGGTGCCATATCACTAGCATCTCCGTCTGATCCAAGACAACTCGCCGTGGAGGGAGAACATGCTCTCAGAACAAACCCTGACCACGATCCACAGCTATTTTCGTTCAGTCTTACGAGGACAACCAACATCAAATCTTGGGAAAAAATACAATCAAACGAGAATCTACGCGACTTGCAAGATATCGTACGCAGATTTCGGGTCAACCGTGGTAATGTCAAGCACACTTTGAATATCATCCCATCTTCAAATTGTCGAAGAATTATCTATGAAAGTGTAGAGAAACAAAACCTGGAACTCTGGTACGTAATCCAATACAGTGGTGTACCAGGAACACGCAGAACATGCATAGTCCTCTTTTCAGAACTTTGCTAATCTTCGAAGGTGCGTCTTATACCTCTTTCAATTCAGCCTAATCCTGCAAGATGTATTGATCATATCGTATATGCACTCAATTGAGAGCTTGTACTAACCATGTACCTTGGACTTAGGAAATACAATAAGAAACTCCAATTCACGATTGCTGCATTATATCTCCACTGGAAACCTGTCAATCGTAGTCAGAAGCAACTCAAGGGGGTAGTTGTTGTACTGGAAACCGAACCAACTGAACTGAAACCCGTATACACTGTATCTCAAAATGTTACGGAAGTCTCGAATACGACATCGATGAAGGCTAGACCAGAACACTATGGTTGGGCTAATGAGCATCTGATTATTGGCCCGCACGACGAAGACATACTTGTGGCATGTAGAGCCCTTGGTCACGGATCTCTTGGAGTCGTTGAAGAGGTTCGCCGCGCAAATTCACAGTTTCCCACTTTTGTTCGAAAGCGTGTACAACTACCGATTCGTAAGGTGCAGGCCGAAGCTACTCTGAACATCATTCAGGAAGAAGCAAGGAACTTGAAATCGCTCGTCCATCCGCACATCGTTACTTTTATCGGTTCGTACGAAGATGCCAAACACAGCAATCGCCACTTCTATTGCCTACTCATGTGTCCAGTAGGCGACAATGACCTGGCGGACTTCCTCGACATTGTCAGCGAGCAAGACTCAATGTTGGAACTTCGGACACAGTGGAGACAATGGATTCGATCATGGATTGTCTGCCTTGCCTCCGCTTTGGAGTACATGCACCAAAACGGTATTCAGCACCAAGACATCAAGCCATCCAACATTATACATAGAGGAGATCGAGTACTGTTCACGGATTTCAGCTCATCACGCGCATTTGAGGTGGGGCACACGACATCAACAGATAACCCATCACGCTCATCCCCCATGTATGCCGCACCCGAAGTGACAGCCGCTAGGTTTTCTGGAAAGCTCGGACGACACGGACGAGGCTCAGATATATTCGCGCTGGGTTGTGTGTTCTGTGACATGTTAACAGTTTTGCAAGGTCGATCCGTTTCGTCCCTGAAAGAGTATCTCCTGAACGAGAATAGTGCCGTGGCATCAAATCCTAGTAACGTAAAGGGACCATTGTATTACGGTCAAAAACTACCCTTAATTCATGAATGGTTTTCTGGCTCATCCGAGTTTCTTAGCTGCATCTCTCTCATGCTAGAGTCGGATCGAACCTTGCGACCAGACGCGACCAAAGTTGTGGAAACACTTACTTCAGATGATTATTTCGAGGCAGGATGCACTTGTTGCGGCAGCACAACGTCGCTACGAAATTCTTAGAAGATGAAGCAGAACAAGGAAGAAAGGAAAAGGCTTTGGCCCCCTGGATTCGATCATTCATATCTAATGAAAGATACGTTTGAAGTAGTTGACGTATGTCATTCTGAGGAGAAACACGGCGACATAACCTTACATACTGAGCAAGTCACTGGCTGACATTAATCGGATTCTAATTGTTTAAAATGATTCATACTATGCTAGTATAAGTCAAGCAAAAAGTCACAAATTTCTATCTTGTCCATCTAGTTTGCATATGACAGCATAGTCAAGAGACTGGACATTGTTATGCCACCACGAACCAAGGATACCATCTCCAGCTCTCGACCCACACAACAGCAAGTTACCTCTTCCACTCTACGTCCGCATAATCGGTGCTTCGCGGGCATTGGACCCAGAATCGCGCGCGCATACGCCCAAGCCGGCGCAGCATCTCTCATCCACGCAGCACGCTCGTCCTCATCACATGAACTCGCGAAAGTAGAGCAACAAGTTCAGGAACTTGATCCCTCAGTGCTCATAAAATGCATGCCAGTCGACATCACATCCTCGCAATGCGTTGCCGAGCTAGCCAGACGCGTAAAAGAAGAAGTCGGTAGACTGGATATCGTCGTCCTGAACTTAGGTTACTCCGGTCTAGTAATTCTCAACGTCGATGAAGGCGATCCGCAGAACTTTCAAGATGTATTCAATGTCAATGTACAGGGCACATATCCCGTTGCCCAGTACTTCATTCCGCTGCTGGAGGAGAGCAACGGCACAAAGGCATTCATCGCAGTGGGGTCTTTTGCGGCTCTTATAGTCAACGGACATATCGCGAACACGGCCTATTGTGTGTTGGAGTTCGCACAGGTGCGGCTTGTGAAGTTTATAACAGAGTGGCATGTGGCGGATGGTGTGCTGGCCGTTGCTGTGCATCCTGGTGCCGTGAATACGGAAATGGCTGATAAGACTACGCCGGAGAGTTTTCGGCCATGTAAGTCCGCTCCCGTTAAGTAGTTGAAAAGTCTGACTCTTGTAGATCTTACAGATGATGTCGGCCTAGGCGGAGCGTTCTGTGCATGGCTGAGTCCCGAGAAGAGGATGTGACTGAACAGCAGATTAGTGAGCGCAACTTGGGATCATGAGGAGTTGCTGAAGAAGGAAGACAAGATCGAAGAGCAGAATTTGCTGAAGTTGGGCTATAGGGTTGGTGATGTTTCAGACGCTGGGAAAAGTTGAAGTGAATTTCCGAAGTTCTTGATAGATCATCATTATCCATTCTGTTTTCTAAGAGCGAAGCCTCGATACCTTTAGATACCCATCTTACAATCTCTACATTTGCAAATGTGGGTAATGCCAAATACGTAACAGCCATTATACAAACGCACACACTTCAACCCATGAACCTTTAGCGAACTATCAAACTCTCAATAGAACCACCGAAGCGCATCAGGTGCGGCTGGATTAGCTCTTGTATTTGTGGTCCTCAGATCCACAAGGATCTCATGCAGCCGCGTAGCCCAGTCCTGCCACGGCTCAATCAACACCTCTGGTCCATAACCTTTCGATACAATCTGCCACCCTTTCTCGAAATCGCTCGCATAACATTGCGGTATACTCGTCCTCGGAAACACAACGCGCCACCAGTTCTGACTGATCTGAGAGAGCTGCATTGTCCTCAGTGTCGGCGAGGCCTGGAGCCTAGCGAGCACTGGTACCCATGCGCCAGAGAGAAAACATCTGTCCAGATGAAGTGACGTGAGTGTCTGCGCGTGCTTGACAAGAAAGTCCTCCAACAGCTTAGGTGACATGAACCAGCCTGATAGACGTAAGTACTCCAACTTCCAGAAGTGAAGGCTGGCAAGCACTCGCCATAAGCGACGGGCAGGCTCAGCAGAGCCGCGCAGCGACTGATGGCGCCATATGTGGTCTGCGGATGCTTTGTCGAGGCTTAGGACTAGGCGTGTGAGATTGGAGGTGGCAGTCAAGATGTCCTTTAGGCCTATAAGTTTTGTAGATCCGAGTTCTATGGCGGTTAGGTTAAGTGTGAATGTTGTTGTGTCCTGGAGCTGCACAAGGCGCTTGTTGCGAATAATATCAAGCGTATGGGGGTTTACACCGTCACACTTTCCCCAACCGGGCACGGCGGTGTAAAACTTGTCCAGCCATTGCTTTGATAGGAGCGTAGCGCGAAGGATTGCGGTAGGAGGATGGAAGTGGAGAGGTGTTTTGTGGAACTTCGAAGAGGGAAGAGTGGAGAGACTGGGCGTAATCCAAATCGACCTGATATCCAATTTCTTCATCGCAACGATTAGAATTGCGGTATCGATGGGATATTCATAGAGCAGTTTTCTCAAGTCGTCGTATCGCAAGTCGTTGTATCGCAAGTCGTTGTCTCGCCAGTCGTCGTCTCGCCAGTCGTCGTCTGGCAAGTCGCCGTCTCGCAAAGGGGCAGTAAGCAGCCGTATAAACGGCGCTTTTGCTACGATTTCAAGTGTCTTTTCCTTCGTTCCGGAAGCGATGAAGATGAGATGCCGTACCACAGGACGAAGCATTGCATTATTCGCTACATGAAGCAATTTCAAGCATCCTGGGGTATTGAACACGACGACGTGGGTTTGGAAGCATTGGCTGAAGCTGTGCTGGGTTTTGGCGTGGATTGTTCGGGATGTGAGTCGGAAGGCGAGAAGATCTGTACAAACGACAGCGGAAGACTCTTGCAGGAATTGCCTATCCGTTTCGCAGCCCTCATACTTTGTCATCAGCTCCGACGCGATCTGCTCGATCAGTTCGGTGGGCAGGCATTCAAGTCCTGTGAAAGCCTGGGTGACTTTAACGTCGGGTGGTTGAGTAGAAGACATGTTCCAGATGTAACGCAGGCGTGAAGACATTGTGACGGTTGAAGGGAAGCAGTGTTAGATGTAAAGTGAGAAAGATAGCACATGAAGAGGTTGTGCGCGCCAAGTGAAAGCCCGCGAGGAAGTGAAAGTGAGTGAGGAGTTGGTTAGTGTCCATACATAGGCAGCCATGGATATCCATTTGGAGCTGGTCATGCTGTCGGACGAGTAGATGTGGGTATATCATAGTGATCACATACTAGATTCCGGGACATGTGAGTAATAGGGTAGGTGTTTGCGGTAGGATTCCATACCTGGGAGCTGCAGAACGATTACCAATTGTACCAAAGTTATGTTTAGGAAAGCTACTTGCAGGAAGTGAACACGTGAATGTTGACACTGGTAGACAAAATGGATAGCAGGAGGCCACAACATAGACGAGGTTGAAGAATAGAGAACTGATATCAAAACAAAGCTATCACGGTATGCAGCATGCGGGCAGAGATGGTTGGAAGGAGTGATGTTTTCCAAACATGGGCATCGACACCCCAAGTACCACAAGGAGAAGAACCGTAGCGAGCCGCCTCGAGAAAAAGGACATCATTACATTATCATGACGGGGTATGACTATTTCGAAACATCTATCTGCATGGTATCCAACCTGAAAAGCAAAAGATGCTCTCAATCAGCTCCAGAAAGTCACGCCCAGCAGCTCGCGCGGTACGTTCCCAGAATCGCCGAGTCCCACACCCACACAAGCGCTATGCAAAACCCACCGAGCATCCAAAAAAGGGAGGCGCCACACTAACCAAAAAACAAAAAGATGAATGTATCCAATTTCGCCTGTGCACATGCCAGGCTTTCCAAATCATGTCCAATCCGGACTATCAAAGACACACAAAGGGTTATACAAACGCTGGAGTGAGCGTATTCCTGTGCCATGGATTTGAGGGATTCTACCCACCGTTAACCAGGCCATTATTGTTTTTTGCGCTCATGTACCGCTCCATGTAGGTGATGTAGTCGAACTTTTGCATATCGCGATCGTCTTGCATGTCGGGGCCCTTGTGCTCAGGCATACTAGAGAGAAGGTCTTCAATGACTTCGTCGGGGACAAGGGAATGGCGGAGGTCCATTTCTGTGACGTAGGGCTAGTTTATGTTAGCAAAAAGAATCGGGAGTGGATAATAGGTTTATGTAAATTTACCTTGCCATCAGCAACTTCTTTGAATGATTCGAACACCTGCTCAGCCGTGTTCTGGTCTTCTGTTTCGTCGACCATGAAGCGGATAAACTGTTCAAACGTAACATGGTCACGCCCACCACTCGTTTCGCTGAACTTCAGGTGCATCTCTTCCTCGTCATATACGAGACCTAAACTCGCCAGTGCCGCCGAGAATTCCAGTTCCGCAAGCGAGTTTGACAAGTCGCGATCGAAATGTCTAAAGACTGATTCAAACTCCTCAAGTTGGATTGGTGTAAGATTTGTCATATTTCGAGCTACCATCTGATTCTCTAGGAAGGCGAGTTTTTTGGACACGGAGCTGCGCACCAGGCCTAGTTCGTACTCTAGCTCGTCATATGTGTAGGTCGTGAAGTCGTTTTCTTCGATATTTGCTTGGGCGCATTGCTCGTCGATAGAAGCGATAAGATTCAGGTATTCGTCTAATGGCGCAAGAGATTTGCTAATCTCCTTTGTATGCTCCAGTTGGTCCTCGACTTCTCCTTCCAGACCAGATATCGAAGTTGACAGCGTATTGAGAGCGAGAGCAAAATCGTTTGCTTTGTCGGCAAATGACTTGCGCAGTGCGTTTTTGATATCTCGGATCGTCTCGTTGATGATTTGGGATCGATCGCGTTCGGCTTTCATCAGACCTGTCCATGCCGTGTCCAACGCTTCCAAACTCAACTCTGCTGGCGGATCGTATGGCCGCAGTCGGTATGTAGCGAGCTTCGTCTTGATGTTGCCCAAGAGTCCCACCAGGTCCGACCTCTCTGCTACCCAATTCCGCTTGCTCTTGCGCTTCCACGCTGTGAACTCTGTAGACTGTTTCCTGGCATCTATGTATGAGCCATCGAACGTGGCCTCCTCCCACTCTGTTTTCTGCCTGGCAATCTGTGCGAGGAGCTCACGCATGCGCTTCTCGAAGTCGTTTTGCATCTGCCATGCTCCTTGCATGTTTTGTACAAACTTCTCTACCCGGCGGCCGGCGTTCTCCACTCGTTCCATCTGGGAAAAGGCGTGGAACCAGTAGGCGATGTATGTCATCAGGGATCGCTCGTCAGGCTTCGCAACATCGCACACATCTTCCACGTCGAGGAGGTCAGGGATGCCAATCTCTTTGGAGGCGATGTCGAAGGCGAGCTGCATGTTTCCACGGTGATCGCTTTTGTCGAGGCTGTCGTAGTCGATCAGGTCGGGGCGGTGGATGTCGAGGAGAGCACAGCTGTTGTCATTGTCAGCTTCAGGCCAGCCCAAGAGCGATGGGCACCCACAATGCCAGTCCATCGTTCCAGCTGCTCGAAAAGTCCCTAACCTCGACCTCGTCGTAGCAGGCCGTCTTCCTCTGACACCACAGCAAGAGACCCTCCCTGGCGCTCAGGCCTTCCTCGTTGATGTCGCTGATGGTGAAGCGCAGAATAAGGGTCCATATCAGTCCCAGGATGATCTTGCTGTTGCCGTCGACGACATCTTCTGCGCCGATGTTGGTCATCTGAATGCCCCGACTCCGGATGTAGTCCAGCGACTTGTTGACATTTTCAAACTTCTGCACCCGCAGCTTTGGGCGCGAGGCATAGCGGCCAAGGGACTCGTTGCTGAGGATCTCGAGGAGGTGGATGAGTATGATCTGCGGAGCATCAGCAACGGCAGCATGGGGATGCACCAGGCGAGGGAGGGGCACGCACGCCGTCAGAGAGGTCAGTGATCAGATCGCCAATCTCAACTGCGCGCGTCTTAAGCTTGCTGTTCAGCCTGCAGTTGTGTCGTCAGCATCGTGCCATGTCATACCGGCACTCGCACTTGGGTAGCGGGGAAGATGCGCACCATTTGGTGAACGTCTTCTGCTGGACCTTGACCCATTGCTGCTCAAGCGGCGCCATGTCGGGCTGTGTGCATCAGGGCTGCCAGGGACGGCGGGCGCATGCAGGTAGGAATATGGGAAGAGTAGCGATGCTTGCTGCTGCTTGCTGGCGCTGGCACCCGTTGTTTTTGGCAGCCAAACAATCGATGGCGGGCGCCGACTCGGCTGTCAGTTGCGGGGCCGCCCCTGAGCCCTGGTTCGAGAACTGCTGATCAATCGCTTGTCGCTCCCTGTCACCCTCTCGTTGGCCCGTCCTCTTCTTGCTGCATTTACTGCATCAGACGCTTCCTCCAGTCTTTGTTGAGAGTACCCAGGTCTGAAATCGCGTCAATTTCCAGAGAAAGGTGCAGCGCGTGCAGTCGAGTTGGAGGGTGCCCCTCGCCTGAGCGTATCAACTCGAACAGGGCAGTCGCCCCTGCCTGCATCATGGATACTAACACATCTGGCACTGCCGCCTCTCTACCTTACCACGAGCCTGACATAATCACCATCCTGGTTCAGACGTCTTTCCTGCTGCTGCTCAACATCGTCAATGCTGCCCTCGACAGAGTCCTGTACTGTGGACTGCTGGGCCAAGTCGTGATTGGCATCGCTTGGGGGACACCAGGCGCAAAATGGCTGTCAGTAAGCGTGGAAGAGACCATCGTTCAGCTAGGCTATCTTGGTTTGATACTGCTCGTATATGAAGGTCTGTCCATCTACCACTTCTCCAGCTCGCAAGCCATGTCATACTTGCGAGGCGGGGGTGGAAGGAGTGACCCTGAACATGCGTGACATATGCTGGCAACCCTGAACAACATGCGTCGTTGCTATCTGACTAACATCCAACAGGCGGGCTACACACCTCGTTCCAATCCCTCAAAGCCAATTTACTCCTCTCTTCTGGCGTCGCCTTGACTGGAATCATAGTCCCCATCGGTCTCTCCTATACCCTCCAGGGACTGCTCGATGCCACTCCTGTACAGGCTTTTGCTGCAGGTGCTGCACTATGCTCTACCAGTCTGGGCACCACCTTCACCGTCCTCGGCTCTAGTGGCCTCTCATCCTCTCGACTCGGTGTGGTTTTGACGAGCGCAGCGATGATGGATGACGTTGTCGGACTGGTCATGGTTCAGGTCATCTCCAATTTGGGAAACACGAACTTCAGTTGGGTCATTGTCGTACGACCCGTTCTTGTCTCAATCGCTTTCGCTGTCATTGTTCCACTTGTTTGTCTGTTCCTTGTCAAAGCTGTCACAATACGGCTCAACGAGTTGCGCGAGGCTCATCCAACTACGCAATTCAGCCATGTCTTCCGCAAGACGCAGACGGCATTCGTGATACATACCCTGCTTCTCATCGGCCTCGTAGCTGGTGCCACTTATGCGGGAACGTCGAATCTGTTCGCTGCTTATATTGCAGGAGCAACGATCAGCTGGTGGGATTCCGAAGTACCTCATGTTGTCATTCGTGTAGACGCCCCTCGAACTCAACAAATCGACAAGCAAGATAGTGGGGTTCTTAATAGATCTGGAGAAGCGTCTCCAAAAGAGCAACCTATTGCAAGTCGTCTCGGCGATGCCGTCGGTATCGGGTCCACACCACAACCCAAGGAGACGGCTGGTCAGGATGTGCAAACCACTAACTACCCAGAATCTCACGATAACGGACATGAAACGCGTGGGGCCGTTGTTTATCAGCGGTACTATCATGAAGCCGTCTCAAGGATCTTGCAGCCGTTGTTCTTCGCATCTGTTGGGTTTTCCATCCCAATCACTCGCATGTTCAAGGGATATATAGTTTGGCGAGGAGTTGTTTACACCGTTCTCATGGCTTCTGGAAAATTAGTTTGTGGCCTATGGCTCGTCAGATTTTCAAGTACGCCAGGCAAGGGAACCATAAGTAAGCTAGTGACAAACATAAAGCCGCCATCAACTCCTCGCCTTTGGCGGAAGAGTGACACATCAGAACAATCAGAAACTGTCCGCGCTGCTGAAGAGTCGACAGCAGCATCGGCCCATGAGTCACGAAGCTCGCCCAACCCACCAAAGCCAGTTTCTCTCTATCCGCCTCTCATTCTCGCGCTCGCAATGTGCGCTAGGGGAGAGATCGGCTTCCTTGTCTCTGGTGTCGCAGAGTCCAACGGAGTTTTCTCTCCCTCCGGGAAAGCCTCGGATGAACCGTCAGACATTTTCTTGGTTGCCACTTGGGCGATAGTTCTTTGCACTATTCTCGGCCCACTCGGTGTTGGTCTGTCGGTTCGTAGGGTGAAAACGCTACAGGAGCAGAAGAACAAGCAACGGGAGGGCGCAGGAAGAGACGTGTTGGGTGTTTGGGGCGTGGAGTGAGAGACTGTACTGCGAACTATAGAAGCATAAGGCAGTTCAAATTGTCACTGCACGTGAGCCATCGCAACGACAACAACAAACAATGACCAAAATTGACCGCTGAACCATCTCGTCAAAATTTGTGCCGACGTAACGCCTCGCATCGAGCAAGAAAATCCACGTTTGTGAGGTAGTCGAATATGTGGAGGAGGGGTCGAAACATGGCAATATGAAATGGTACGTCACAAATGACGTGCCGTCGTGTCGGTTCATCAACTCGTTACACTCTAAGCCGTGGTGTTGGTACCATAGCGCATGCTTAGAACCATGGTTGTGGTGACAGGTGAAATAGGTAGGTGAGTGTGTCAATCGACCAACCAACGACATTTGACATGATACCGTCATGTATCTATTCTTGAATGAAACGGCCAGCCAAAACGCCTCAGGACGGGATCCAGGACACCGTTCTCTTTGCGTCTCTGGGCGGCTATAGAACATCTCCTGTGCAACATAAAAGCGTTTCAGATGTGCGTTCGATTCGACAAGCAGCTGCTCTGTGAAACGCTAAGCTCCCAATTGGTGCTTAGCACGGACCGTGGCTGACGCCCATCGCCGTCCACTTGCCGTTGTCGCGTCCCTTGAAACGGAGCCTCCAAACTACTGTGTGCGCCCATCCGCCAGTGTTTAATAAAAGTTCCCACCAACGAATTTTCTTTCCCTCTTTCATGACCCTGTGGCTGGCTGATGCGAGTTGATTGGCTCGAATGCTATCCTTGACGGGCGAGAGTCAGGGAGCCATCACGTGCACATAATCCAGCCTAACGCAGACCCTCGACGTAAATGGATGGCTCCGCTCTACCACGGCATTCGACCATTCGACCCTAACCACACGGATCCACCCAGTTACTGAGGGCTCTCGTCCTTTTTGCTGCGAGTACCTCCCACTCGCTCAAGAGCACTGCGTCTCGTTTGTGTGTGCGGACTCGGCGACCAAATCACAGGTTCAGCAAGCATTGCAGCTTCGATTGGCAGCAGTATTCGCCTCCACACCTGCTTCCCGGTGCAGCGCAGCCCGACACCGCTGCTTACTCCTTGCGATACCCACCGCGACTTCTCTTCCTTTCGGCTCCTGAAGCTTCCCTGTAGTGCAAGCTGCTTCTCCTAACGCTGCTCACGACCCTGCCCGCCTGCTCACCCAACCGTCCCTTCACCCCGCCATTCTCCGCATCGTCTCGAATCAGGCCGCACTGGAGAGCACAATACACTGAGCAGCTATTGTGACCCCCTACACCGCCGTACAGCTATTGTTTGCATGACAATCCTGCCCAGTAAGTATATTTGCGACTTTCTTCTTTGTCACACGTAGTCTTCTGCACGCCTAACTATTCGCTCTCAACACCAATCACTGCCACAGCAGGTCTGCTCTCGATTCGTCTACACCTGCCAGCAACCACCCAGCTAATAGCGCACCCGTCAGAATGTATTCACGCGAACAATTCATGGACACCCGTCCAGCGCCGCGACCACCCACAGACCGTCCCCGTCTTGCCCTTACCCCAAACACCAGCAACACGCTGCCTGGAAACATGGCTGGATTGAGCTTGCAGTCGCCTGCTTTCTCCAGTGGCTCGCAAATGTCGCTTTCTCGAACACAGACAGAGAGAGGCGTTTCCTCTACGGCTGTGGTCAAAGAGGGCATGGTCAAGGTCAAGGATGAGGGTCTCTTCAAGTCCTTTGTTTGGGCAGACCGTTGGCTGGTACTGCGCGAGTTCGAACTGAACTTTTTCAAGAGCCCGAACGCGTCCAAGGTGTCCAATACAATTCAACTGCGGGACATTCTTGGTGTTGAACGATCTGACACGCAACCACTCTCCTTTGAGATTACAAGATCTTTGAATTCCAACAAGGGTTCTTCTCCCCCTCGCGACGGACCCACCAAGATCATCACATGTAAAGTCGAGACGGACGACGACGTCTACTCATGGATCGACAGCATATACCAGCGTTGTCCCAGTATGGGCGGCGTCAGCAACCCTACCAACTTCACTCATAGAGTGCATGTTGGCTTCGACCCCAACAGTGGTGCTTTCGTTGGCTTGCCTATGGAATGGGAAAAGCTTCTTACGGCCTCGGCTCTTACTAAAGATGACTATGCAAAGAATCCCAAGGCTGTTCTCGAGGTGCTCGAGTTCTACACTGAGAAACTTGTCAAGCGCTCTGAGGATCCCCAGCAATACCCCAGTCTCACCCCAACTCCTCCTGTGAGCGCTGGGACGGAAAAGCAGCTTGGCTACGCTGGTAGTGGAAATTCTGTTGCGCCTCCACGCCCCGCTCCTCCGGGCCAGTATCAGCGCAAGGACAGCTACAGTGCTCGTCAGAATACTCCACCAGGATCTGGTTACCCCTCATCTCAGAGTGCTTCTCAACAAGATCGCTACGACCAGGAGAGACGACGGCAAGAAGAGCAGGTGCGGATGCAGCGGGAGAGAGACAGGCAAAGGCAGTACGAGCAGCAACAAGAACGCGAGGAGCTGGCTGCATACAACGCCTCTCTACCTCAAAAGAAGGTTCCACTTGCACAGCAAGAGATTGGTGGTGGCGGTTACGAGCCGCGAGACACGAGTCCATCCGGCCAGCAGCGCTACAACCCAAGTCGTGCAGCTCCTTCCACTCCAGCAGCCGCCAAAACCCAACAACAGCAACCTCCAGGGTCCCTGCGCCAAATGGCAGCTCAGCGTACTGCTCCCTCCGCACCTCGGCAGCAGAATAATGGTGCTTATAGTACTTCGCCCTCGTCCAAAGCATCAACTACCCAGCCACAACGACCGCCTGTCCAACCAAGCTCCAGCTACCAGGGCTCGAAAGAACAAGTCCCTCAACACCAGCAGAAGCAGTATCAGGGCTCTTCTGCTGCTCCCAAGCCTTTGAACGTAGCAAAGCCTTCGGGTACACCCGTCAACGACGCTGTCAAAAAGGCTGAACAAGCACTCACTAGCAAGCCAAAGGAGGAGGCTCCTCGCAAGGATGTTCGTATGTCCAGTATGTCCGAGAGTGAAGTTATGATCAAGCTCCGTGAAGTTGTGTCAAAGGAACGCCCGCTAGAGTCATACAACAAACAGAAGAAGATTGGTCAGGGAGCTAGTGGTTCCGTCTACGTCGCTCGTATTCGCGAAGGCGCTACATCACCGACCGCTCGGAGGATTCTCCAGGAGAATGGCCCGCGCGCTCAGGTCGCCATCAAGCAGATGGATCTTCGTAATCAGCCACGCAAGGAGCTCATTGTGAACGAAATTATCGTCATGAAGGACAGCAAGCACCCTAACATCGTCAACTTCTTGGATGCCTTCTTGCAGGAGGAGCAATCAGAGCTTTGGGTCGTCATGGAGTTTATGGAAGGTGGAGCTTTGACCGATGTCATCGACAACAATCCTACTATCACTGAAGACCAAATCGCCACTATTTGCTTCGAGGTGAGTTGTTTTCAGTACTACTGAAGTGTATTTTGCTAATCATGAGCAGACTTGCAAAGGTTTGGAGCACCTACATAACCAGAACATTATCCACCGAGATATCAAGAGTGACAATGTTCTGCTCGATGGTCGGGGCAATGTCAAGATTAGTACGTTCTCCTCATATCTCCAACATGTCCCACAATCTTGCTAACTATCAACAGCGGACTTTGGATTTTGCGCCAAGCTTACCGAACAGCGCAGCAAGCGTGCTACCATGGTCGGAACGCCCTACTGGATGGCGCCTGAAGTTGTTAAACAGAAAGAGTATGGCAACAAGGTCGACATCTGGTCCCTGGGTATCATGGCCATTGAGATGATTGAGTCTGAGCCCCCGTACCTTAATGAGGAACCCCTCAAGGCTTTGTATCTTATCGCCACCAATGGTACCCCGCGCCTTAAAAAGCCAGACAAGCTGTCCAAAGAACTTAAAGCGTTCTTGTCAGTCTGTTTGTGCGTTGACGTCAAGTCACGGGCCAGTGCTGGCGAGCTGATCAGCCACGACTTCTTGAAGAGCGGCTGTAGCTTAACGAGCTTGTCCCAGCTGCTCAACTTCAGGAAGAACGGAAGCCATTAGAAGCGATTCGGACAATGAAGAGGGAGTAGCGCTGAGGCTACTGCCGAAACTTTCCTTTTGCATCATTTGGCCTGGAACTTGAGCGATACCCTTTACATGTACATCTTCTTAATCAGCACTCACATATCGGATTGGGCTCTCTACCGCAGAATGATGATTACACGACATGACACCCTTTGCACAAGTGCGAGCGATTCTCGATCTGTTGACGAAAAGGTCTTGTCAACCTGCTTATTTTCCAGGGTTTGTCTGCGTGGGTGGATGACGATGGCGCTTTTGGCTTTGTTTATGACGGTGCGTTTCGCTATCGGTCTTTTGTCTTTTTGCTGCTGCAATGAAGCGTATCATCATATGTGTAGGGCGGCTCCTTGGCGGCTGTAGAGCTTTCACGATGAATTGGAAAGAAGCCTTGCTATGCAATGGATTTGAGAAAAAGACTTGCGCTGATGAAGACTGTTGTGGGCAATTGTGTTTGGCTTGGGGATAAAACTTCTTATCTGGATTGGATATAGCCTTATGACTGATTGATATGCGTATCTATATCTGCAGGAAACGATCTATCAACTTCCCGAATTTGAGCACATATGTCTCTTTGCCCATTCAACTGTTGTTGATCCTCAACATACCACAAGTCCTGACCTGACTATTACTTTCTGCCTTCCACAGGACATATGTACGGCCTATCAATATTCGCCATCGAACTCCTTCCCTACCCATCGAGCTGATAGTTCAACCCACAAATCCGATCCGGAACAACCCCCCTCTCGCCCTTCTCCCGCACGTCCTGGCCAAAAACAATACTACCCCCCCTAACATGTTCCAGTCCCTTACTCCTGGCAGCCTCAAGCGAGTCATTGAAGACTTTAGTGAGTTGCGTGGTAGTACTGATAGAATACAACGGCGGCGTGCACATCGCATGCTGTATATCCTCGGTATATGTATCTTGCAGCGGAGTTGTGACCGAATCCCGACGCGCATTCGGGCTGCAAGCGCCTGTTTCAGGTACAGCAGTGGTGGGATATTCCCACGCCCTGCGCACCTGCAGTAGGATACGCACTTCAGGGTGCAGTAAGTCGCCGAACCAACTGACTGTCGGCTTCGTGGCTTGCGAAAGTAGACGGACGACGGTCTGGCGTATCCAGATCCACACCTGCTCGTCGTGTTTGGCGGCTTGTTGTTCACGCCAGGTCTGGAAGGGCAGGAACTGTGTGTCGCAGTGGGTGTTTAGGTAGGCGAGGATTGTGGGGAGTAGGCCATCGGGGCCGGAGAGTAGTGGGGTGTAGAGTATCTTGTCGTCCAGGGTGATGGTTGGGACGGAAGACAGCAGTCGCGCGAGTTTGGGCTGCAGTAATGGCGTTGCTTCTGTATGCACAAGACGGCAGGTTGCCAGGATCTGGACTGGCATGCTTTGCGTGACTAAGATCATGGAGGGGTGCGTTTCGGGTGTTGATGAACACGCCGAGTTCGTGTCGCTGGAGTCTTGGGATACTCCGAGTGTACTGTGGTCATGGGGGGATAAGGTAGATTTGTACCGGTTTGTTGAGATGTCTAACATGCCATACACCATGAAACGCAGCTCTTTCGGCAGATCTAGAAATCGGAAGAATTCCATCTTGGTCGTTGTGGTGGAGAGATGTATAGATTTTTGTGACATCGGAAATGTGTCGTGTTGGGGGTGTTTGTGTATGAGTATATATGATACTCGAGGTATAATCGGTTACTACTCTGTAGCTTCGAACCGTCAATCTTGAAAAAACGTGTAACGCGCTGATTAGCCAGGCAATGAACGACGAAATGCACTATTTAAACTTTATTTGAACGGGCAGACAACATTTTATATCTGTCCCAGGAAGGAAGTGGGGTGTTGCGGTGTTGCAGCGTTGCAACGTTTTGCGGCGTGGTTGAGGGATTCCCGATCAAGGGAAATACTAGTCATTCAATATTTTATCATGGGGCCCGTTTTCTACCCAAGTGGAAAGTATAAGCATCATGGACAAGTACAATATTCAGAGTCCCTTCCAAGGACGATGCATTCAGCAATCGAGCCAAACGCTGCGTGAGTCGAGTGAATGCAGCACGCTGTATCACCGAATATGGCAAAGTTGCCCGTCGATCTTGAATCCCACGTGAGTTCACAAGTCAGCAAGACCATCCATAACAATGAAACCAGAAAAGAACATAATTTTAAGTAATACACCCTGAATTAGACGCCTGTCATCCGCCCTAGAGCCAAGACGCTCAACTCACTTTCCCGATGCGGTAATTTTCACAACTACTAGCACTCTGACCACTCTAATCGTGAATCCTAATCTAACACGTCTGTTAGAAGCGCGGCCGTTACTATATCGCCTCTCATGCATTCCTAAGTGCTGTCATGCCCTTTTCTTCTCCGCATCTAGACCAGCTTCGGGTCCTGCAAGCCTCATCCGACGCTCCTCTGTCCTTTAATTGGCCATCTTATCCGCACTCTGTATGAACTTAATCTCTAGCTGCATACTGAGGACGAAAAAGGATTTCTGCGCATCGTCCCTGGTTGTAGTGGGATGTGTGTGGGCGCTAAGCCGAAGGATCCAAGAACACCAAGTCAGAGGCATCATAGATGAGAAACAAGGTTTCAACGAACGCAACCTCATCGTCGATCCCTGTCTGAAGACGCGGCTTTCGTTTTAATGATGTCGCACGGGTGCATGACTAGAAGGTGGAGTCCGGAACAACGTTGGACGTTGCGCGTCAAACGCGGTTCAGGATTGCGGTCCGTTTGGGCCCACTTAGTTTGGGCGCTAACTAAACTCCAAACTGGAAAAGTAACACGTGACAAAGTCGCTCAAACTTTATCAGCATCTTGTGTGCTTCGCATAGAAAGCGTGTGTGTATCCTCAGTAGACCAATGATTTGATGTTGAATACAGTACATTGATGAGGATGAACCAATGGTAACTACCATGGCGTGATTGGCTTCCACCCACTGCATTCGTCAAACTCCTTGATAACCACAGACTGCAATCGTCCTCCAACGCCCACAAAAGTCCAACTAAAATAAAACATCCTCCCGCAATGCAACCGCTTTGAACCTACTGCCGGGTCTGATGCCCCAGTATGAGTGCCGTAATAGCATCCACGCAAGCGTAAAACATATGTCCAACTTCCGGCTGTGCTAGATACGCGGACGTCTTCTCCTTGATGATATCCTCGTGACACCATTCTTCCAACGGTACGTCCTCCAGCCCCGTTACGTTGAACCTGAAGTACTTCATCCACCCTCTTTCCATCAATGCTTGGTGATCAACCTCGAATTTCTCGCCCCACCCTCTCGCCTCCGCATTCCTATCCTCAACACTGTTCGCCATCTCTGCAATCTCGCTGTCTCGGTTCAACCCTACCCCTGTGCCGATGGACACGATTATCATCATGTCGTTGGCGTAACGGTATAGCTTTCTACATTCGTACAGAATGTCACGGACGGGGTTGTTCTTCGCAGTTCCATGGTCTACTAATCCAGGCGCGATTACCAAGCGCTGGTTAGCACCTGGTTGGGGAAGCATGTACCTAGGAGCTACCGATGTTGCCTTCAAGGCTTGCCAGATAGTCATGTTCGCGTCGATATCGGGACCGGTGATGCGACGAGTCTGGTAAGAACGCATGAGTGCGGCTTTGTTGGTGCCGATCTCAATGTGGGTCGTCGCGACAAAACTAATTAAAGCAGTGTCAGTCTCTGAAATGGAAACCGTAAGGGTGACAGTACTCACACGTCGCCCAGGTTATCGCGTCCATCAAACAAGAGCTCATCTTCGTGACCTATCTCTTGTTTGACGACTGCTTTGATTTCCCGTTCCAACGCCATTGCATCCACGTTCGATATCGCAGCGTAAGGATCGAGAGAGATAAAGAAATCCCTCTTGTTCAAAAACACCTGCCTAGCGATCCGCTTGTACCCTTCTCTCGCTCGATGTGCTTGCATTTGAAGTCGGCCAAGCATGATGGCTATTACACCTCCGAGTGAGCTTCCCCCCATCAGGTCAAAGATCTGACAGGGATTGACCTGGTGGCCAATCTTTACACAGATGGCATTTACAAGTGATTCAACTACTAGAAGGGTTGATAGTCCACGGATCCCGTCCCCGTCCATAGAAAGTAAAATCTTGGTCTCTCGATGTTGTGATGTCACCAGCCCTGGCGATGTCGCTGCCTGCAAAGGAGGCCCTAATTGGTTGTGTGCATACTGTTGATAGCCAGCATGTACACTTGGGCCGACAATTCCGGTAGGGACCACTTGAACTGGTACCGTGGTCACTATCTGTGGACGATGATCGCTCACCGGTGCGGCCTGAGGTCGGTATGGAGAGGAGTAAGAAGCTGTACGAGTCGCTGACGTGGACGGTACATGTTCGTGTGGAGACGCTGGAATTGGGAACTGTAAAGCTGACCCATGACTTGGGACAGGTGAAGGCGATGGCACATCTGTTCTTGGAGAGGACTGTGAACGTGCGATACTCTGCCGGGGTGGTGTACGTAATTGATGGTCTGTCTCTGGAGGAGGAGACGGCTGTGATGGGCCAGCAACCTCAGCTGGCCATTGCCTATAATATGCGCGTGCATCATGGAGTAAACGGGTCTCTGCTTCTTCCGCGATACGCCTGATTTCTGGATCGTGTGCCTTGCTGAGCTACGTCAGCCAATTGTACAAGAGGCCACGTTCGGAACAGGGCACGACATACTCTTTCACCCAGCCAACGTCCCACGACTCCCACCTTCCTGATAATAGAAACTGGATTGCTGACGGGTACCTGTGGTCATAAAAGTAGTAAGTGCCCTCGATGGGCGAGTACCGGACCTGGCTGAGGTCCACTTGAGCGCACGACATGTTGCCCAGTGATTGAAAAAGCGTCTTCCAATGGTTCTATGGCAAGACCTAGGACATGGTTTCGTGTTGGATCCGCCGTTGAGGATGGCAGGTGGCCAGCATCCTTGTGGGGATGTGCGGTGAGACGTTCGCCGCTGTGCTCATGCATTTATTACCTAGACAGAAAGGCGCAGACAAACCTTGTCAAAGAGCCAATCGCGGTGCGTCTGCCGGCCCGTTCGACAAGGTTCCATGCGGCGTCAGGTCGTTTAAAAAAGATCCCGCAGATAGCGTTCTCCTTGGCGCTGCCGCCGCGTTTGACCGCGGGAGACCTTCTCCATTCTGTCGTACGACATGTTTGGAAGGTCGTGTGTCGCATGTATCTCCTTTGCTGTGACTTTCTCTGACGCATAAGCCCTACTCTGCGCTCTCTTTGTTGAGAGACTGTGCCTGTGCTTGTGCCTGTGCTTATGCCTGTGCATCCGCGGAGGCCAATAGAAAGACAAAATTTATCGGCTGCAAAAGGTGGTAAATGGGTGTGCTCGACACGGGTGTCATGATATAGAGCGAGCCCCTGTTCATATACATCGATCAGGACCAGCGGTGACCTCCGTCTTGTAGAGTCTGTCAGAAAGTGCACGTCCATGACCAGACGGGAGGGACTGCAACATCCACATACATCCGTCAGTATAACCCCATTCTTGATAGCCGTTTCATATAAGACGCTCGAAAGAGGAATAAAAAACATGATATCGTGAGTTGGTCTTGCATCAACTGCTCATCAAGTTGGCATGCGCTTTGACCGTACGAGCGGGCCGAGCCGGCTACTTGAACCGGCTAGATCATGAGGCCGGCCACACGTGAGTGCGAATTGTGATAACAACTAAATGCTTCCATTGGTGGTGTTGTTAATTCTTTGTTCACTCTTGTAAAGTACTGAAGATGATACGAGAGCGTGGCTTCGCGGAGAATCTATATCTAGAAAATACTAAATCCAAACTGTCTCTACAGGTGCTCCCAGAAGTCTGCACCGACACATGATTCGACACTCTCAGAACATGCGCATTCGCCTGCAACCAGCCTCCCACAAAATCAGATTTGGTTCCCGCTCATCATTGCTCATGTACCACTTACAACATGGCTGTAGGTATAATCTGTCGACCCAGCCATGTTATCATCATAAACATCGCGTTGTGCAAAGCCCACGAATTAAATTGACGTAGACCAGAATCCCTGAATCAACCCAATGCGCTTTGCGTCTTCGATAACAAGATGGTTCCTGACAAGTGTGGAAACCCTGTTGCCTGATCGGCTGCAGCATATGCAGGCTCGCAAAGCCGGTACCACTCACTGTACGTATCGAAGTGCCGGTTCTGCCTAGGACCCAGGTTAAAGACAAGGGCATCGCCAACTATGCGAAAACCAGCAGAGCCGACATATCGAGTGTTGATTGCTGAAGTTGGAGCCCATAGCTAAATATCACCTCACTTTGGTTGTTCTCGAGACCGACTGCGACCTGGTAGAAACAATGACCTGGAGAAGCGTAAGTAACAGTCTCAAACATGAGCTTTGTCAAAAGAACCTACCATCAAGGCTTCTGACTCAGTTGTGATGAGTCTCGCCACCTGCAGAGAAAAACGATCTTCGGCTTTTACAATGGCATTGATATGTCCAGGTACGCACTGACATGCGAGACCGGTAGTTTGAAACGGATAATGCACGTCCGTGCTGATTGGATCCAGGTCGGGAAGAACCAAGACCGATGGGACAACTCATCCCGAATGAGCGGCATTCTGGAGTTTCGAAAGCTCTCCAAAGACGTAGTTGGTGGGCCGATATATGTTCCTTCATGATGTGGGAACCCTCATATGTTTTCAAAGAAGCATTGTGTTTAACATGGAAGTCGTTCGTCTTTCATCTCACGGCGTGCCGGATATGAACCTCCGCAACGCAGGATGTCAAACACTAAGTGACATGTCAGCCTCATATTGATCAATGCCTTGAAGTGTTTCATGTCGCACCTTCCACATCGGAAACTAAGCTTTTGATTTGTGCAATCTCGCCCAAAGTTAATGGGATGTATGCGCTCTTGAAAGACATGATGTGTGGTAGCGTTTGCAAAGAAAGTATAAAACTGGTTTACAAAACTTGCACCATAACCAAGCATGGTGGCTATCAGCCAGTATATAACAAACATTGAAAGATCGATGTACAGTCCTATGAACTGCGACAACAAAATACTGCAAGCTGTGACGAATAATGAGGGGTATTCCAAAAATTCAGAGAGGATGGCCCTACTTATTTAGTAGATGATTAGAAATCGCGATTTTCACTTTCCATCGTTAGATCGAATGCATGTCAGCCGTTGGAGTTTGTTGTCACGTCCCGGATCGCTCGGAACGGCTTTATGCACATTTTGTCCGAGCATCTGACGTCGTCATGTCTTTGCTCAAACTACGCTCTGAAATCTGAATCGTATCGCGTGAATTGCAGGAAGGTGCCTCCGCAACCATAATAATTACTGTGCGTACTCCGAAAGGCGTCTCGAGGCAAGTGCAAGCAGTATTCCAACTCGAGTTTCACATCAGGTGACCGGAGAGTCCGGGAATAGGGCGATTGCAAAATCCGAGCCTGTTCGGACTGCGAAAACGCGGTCGATCGGTGAGCTGATGCAGTGATGCTGCATAGTCACGGATACATGACCATCACCCCTGGAGCTATAGTCGTCCATAATGGGTGCGTGCTTCGTGAGCTATGGGTTGATAAGAGGAGGTTTATATTATCTTGACCGCGACATCGTTGATCGATAGCTAGGTAATAAGATCGGAGCTAGCATCATGACGTAGGATTGAGCCGGATGTAACCTTTTCGAGAAACACTACAATGTTTAGTTCGCCGATGCAACACAGACTTTTTTCAAATTTGTTTGAAAATGCATCACGAGAGCAGCAACTAACGTGTCTTGAGTCGTGAGGTTGCGGGTCTCGTTTACGCTAAGGATTGCAGTGCAATAATCCCAAAAGGAAAATGGGTTGCCAAGTCCCAGCCTCACCAGCCTGGCAATTTATCTACTTGAACCGTAAGGCTGCACACGTCTCGTTGACGCTAGGAATTGCAGTGCATTCTATCTTTTTTCAGATTTTGCTTCCAGCCTATCAAAAAATTTCACGATACTGAGGTGGAGTACAATGATTCTACCGATCTGGCGACAACCGACAATTAGATGATAGATGTCCTATGGTGACAAGGTACCTATTGAGTAGAATCACTAATCCAGCTGCGCAGGAGAGAATAGACAATACATGTTTGCATCATCCCATACAAATCGTCCAAACCACCAACTCGACTTGCGCACTGGAACGTTCTTCATATCCGAGAGTAATCCTCTGGAGAGGCCAGCTTACGGAGTAAATTCGGCTCGTTCTGTGTCTTCGAGCCGTGAGGCTGCAGGCACGCCTCGAACACGCTAAGACTTGCAGTGCACCGAGCCATGCAGCGGACCGCAACTCAACTCGCGCACTTGAAACGATGTTGAAAGAATCGTTTGCTACTAGGTAGACAAATTTGTCCATGGAAAACAGTTCCGCGCCTAGGATATTCACGCACAACATGCGATTTGAAAACAAGCCAATGGATAACCAATGGTGTTGTTGTTCACTAGTAGCTGTATGCGTCTTCCCTTACAGTGACCGCGAAGAAGCATTTCCTTGGTGTGTGTTGCTTCCCCAACCATGGATACACCCTAGAACAGCGAGGCTAAAGTAATCATATCTTACATGCTGGAAGTTGCAGTACAACCTGAGCCTATCGTGTTACCGGGTAGTAGAGCAGGCTGAAACTTCGAGGCTGACGGCGACCGTCTCTTGTACGCTAGAGATTGCAGTGCTGAACGCCAAACTACCCACGCGCGAGGAACAAAAACTGGCACCGCCAGACGTTAGATCCTCACCAAGACTAGGTCAGATTTGGCTGAACATCAAAACTACTCCGCGTTAAACCAAAGATAAAACAACAACATCGCAGTGGAAAAAGATATTTTAATATCGAAACTGGGAACATGGAATACTTATTAACTCACTGTTGAAATTATTAAGATCTTTTATCGTGTGTCGTTATCGTGGCCTGGAACTTACCTACTTCAAAGCAACGACGCGCGACAATAGCAAGCTCTAGAAAGCTAGAATCCTCGTGAGATGAAGAAGAAAAGCTCCTGTTTAAATATGCCTTATCAGAATTTAGTTTGCCAATTTCTACAAACTGTATAAATCGTGTCTCATCCATCACCTCAGCCTCGCCCAAGAACTCTGCGACGCTAGATGTTGCAGTGCCGGATCGTGAGCAATTGTGAGCTTAATGGTGAGCCCGAAATCTTGAGCCTGTCCGACATCGCAGTGCGAATCTTGAGCCAGCGTGAGCCGACTTGTTAGTTGAATATAATTATGCTGTGGAGAATTTGAGAACTAATGTTCAAACCATGTGTTTCTCTTTTGTATCGTCAGTTTCAACAATCCCAGATTTAGATGTGATTCGAGTCCTGAGAAGAAGTGCCGTTTTAGAGTCATTAGCAATCAGGATTTGTTTCGAACTCCAATTTGGACGTAAGACTTCGAATTGATAGAGGATAGATGGTCAGTATACGCAGAGGGATCTGTAAGCATTCGAGATGAAATGGATATATCACTTCGTGCGCCGTGTCTGTTTATCCGTCTTGCACCCATGTCTTCCGCCCACTATTAACACCCAACACCATACACATACTTCAAGCGGACCTTGAAATTCAAGATGACGAACAATGGGGTTTCGAAGCAATTCATTTCAGCCCAGTCTTTTCGCTATTGGAAGACGTAGCTTGTTTGCAAAAACACTCCATGCCATCTCATTCCATTCATGAGCGTATCGAACCCGAATGAAGCATAACTCCGACCCTTTACACACGACCAATCTATGCCTTCTCCTCAGCAGCCTTGGCCTTGGCGCCCCTCAGCTTCGCGGTCTTGTCGGCCTTGACGGGCTTCTGGCTCTTGCGGATGGCCGAGGCGCGGGCAACGGCGTCCTTGCGGAGGTCCGCGCGGTAGCCGCGCTTGGTGGTCGAGTTGACAATGGCGGAGTAGGTCCTGTGTGTGTGTCAGCGCGACACTCGGATACCCATCATGTCCCACGTCCATGTGAAAGGGTTGACGCGTGTGGTGGCACGTACTTGCGGGACGATCGGCTGGAGCCGAAGGTGGTGCTCTGGATGGAAGCAGCGGGCTGGTGGTGCTTGTCGGCCTTCTTAATCAGAAGGGTGACGCCGCCGTCCTTTCCGGGCAGGATGCCGATGGCCTGTTCCAACATCAATATTACATCCTGGACATGACCGCGTTCGTCGCATTCGTTGTTCGAGATGGGCGTACCTTGTTGGCAACCGAACCCTCGTTCTACTTCAATTAGCCGATTGCTCCCAGACTTTTGCAGCATAGTTCGTACCTTGCGGCTGTACACGTTCCTCAGGTTAAGAGGATCGCGCGAAAACTGCACACCGTTCGCCCTCTTGACAAGCGTAGCGCTGTGTCCCTCTGCACACCATCAGCCAAGTCCTTCCTGCCCAGTCCAAAATTTCGCCGACTCACTGGTGACTTCCCAAGCCAGGTCGTGAGAGATAGTGGTCGCCATTTTGTCGTTATGAGGTCGTGGATAACTTGTCGGTGCTGATCGTTCAAAGTTCAATCAACGTTGGTGTGAAGCTCAATATTCGTCTATATTACCGCATGTCGCTTAGCGCGGTCGGCGTTTGGCAGGTGCAGACCGCCGACTGAGCCCCGCTTACTCATCCGCGGCAGCGCATCATCGCATGAACGCGTATGCCTGGCCTGTGACACATTGGCACAGGCTGAGCAATGGTCCGCAAGAACTCCGCTCCCCCAGACATCGCAAGCAGACTCCTTCGCTGATCTCTTGCTGAACGCACTGCTGCTGCAGCTTCATCTCTCCACCATTTCCTTTGTCTCTTCACGACCAAATATATCCCCTAATCCCGGCGCTTTATTACGCGCCCTCTCCAGCGCATCGCGCCCGCCCTCCCGCAGCCGCCCGAACCTGTCAAGTCACTTCAACTCTCCTCAAAGAACACCGTAAAGATGGGGTACATTCTATATTCAGCGTCGTTCTGCATTCTAGTCGTCGCTACTGGTAAGATCCCCTCTTTTGTTCTTTTTTCCTAGGACTACGCCGTGTTGGCTGGCGCATATATTGTCACACGAGTATCATTCATTCTCTCCTTACTTCAAAATTTCATACTCTCGTATTGTCAAATCACAATTTCATACTGTCCGATCCCGCCTTCAATCTGTACACGCACAACTCTACACTGTTGATCTACATCCCCCCACACTCAAAACCCTCATGTCCGTACCCCACCACTTATATCTCTCCACCTCTCCTTCCTCTCCAAACACTCGACCTCACCACCACAACCTCCCTCCCCAACCATCCTAACATCTCCCAGCCCTCTACATGACGCGCCAAACCTGGCTCCCGCTCCTCAGCCACATGCCCGAGCCACTCTACACGCGCCTCCCGACCTCCTTCCGCGACGACATCGAAGCCGGCCTGCACTCCTCCACCTTCGACCTAAGCGGCAACGTCGAAGCCGGCGACTCACGGCAGGGTCTCGACGATGGCGCAAAGCGAGATGTACTCCGCATCATGAAACGACAGGGCGTCAAGTTCGATGAGGCACGGAGGATATACATGCAGGAACGCTTTAAGAGGAATGGCATTGGCGCAGATGGGATTCCCCGGGATCCCAAGTTCGTTAGCTTTTCGTGAGGTGGGATAGGGGTGGAGAGTTTCCTATGTTGGGTTCTTCAAGGGGATTTCTTTTGTTATATGGAAGGATGGGCATGGGATGGGGTGGATTGGGGTTCTTCATTGCGTTTGGGAAGCGGGCGTTTTCATTTTCATTTTGTTGCGTGATGCGCACTGGGTGACACGGTTCACGTGTGCAAGAACGCTCCAAGAACTCTCATATCGCTGGTTTGTTTGTTTGTTTGTTTGCATTCATCAGCTTTCCTTTGTCATTTCTTCTCTCTTCCTCGACTGAGCTTTGGCAGTTCCTAGTCTGCTACTCTTGCTACTAATCGATATCTTTCTACCTTACTATTCAAATGCACCAGTCCATGCAACAGTCTGTTATGCGATGGGTGTGGTCGTTCTTGGTGGCTCCAGCTCACCTTGATATATCCATTTCTAGTCCGCGTGTGCGGTTGGCAGCGCCTGTGCTCGGCTTGGTGGCTGCTTTGATCCCTCCGACAAGCGCCAACGGGAACCCTTCCACGAGTGGACTCGACTAACGTGTATGCAAATTTCTATTCAACTGGCCGCTGGGGAGGTGTGACACTGTGCTCAATGAGAACAAGTCTACCGTGGCGGAGCGAAGCCTGGTGGCCCGAAGCCTGGTGCAGGTGGGTACCCATACCCGGGCGCACCGTTTGGCGCGCCGCCAAACCCAGGCGGAGGATAGATGCCGCTTGGTGGCCGGGCTGGCAACCCAGAGGCAGGCGGCGCTACAGGCAGAGATGGAGGACCAGCAGGGGGTGGGGCGCGTCCGAAGCCAGCAGGCCCAGGTGGAGCACCATAGTTTCCGTTCGGAGGACCATAGTTGCCGTTTGGAGGACCGAACCCAGAAGGTCCGTTGGGCGCACCAGACACACCGCGACCATCCATCATACCCTGGGGACCGCTGGGAGGGAGTGCAGCTGGCAGCTGGAAGAGATGGGCTGGCAGTGGCTGGACGGCTGGCGCAACACCGTGAGCCTTGGCCTGCTTCGCGAGCATACGCTCTGCTTCGTCTCCGTGGCGCTCGCCCTTCCCGTCCTTCTTGTACGCGTACTGGACGGAGATCTGCTTGTTCATCATGTACTGGCCGTGCATGCTGGCAATGGCGCCGTCGGAGGACTCGAAGTCGCCAAAGGATATGAAGCCGTAGCCCTTGGAGAGGCCGTTGTCGTCGCGCGCCACCTTTGGCGCGTTGATGAGCGGCCCGAACTGGCCGAATGTGTCGTACAGCGTCTTCTCGTCCACCATGCCGTCCAGGTTGCCGATGAAGAGCTCGGCGCCAATCTCGACGTTCTTCTGCTTGTCTGCCGACGCCTTGTTAACGCGTATGCGGTTGCCGTGCAGCGCGACGTTGTTCATGATCTTGGGCGCATAGTCGGCCTCGGCCTCGGTGTGGAACTCGACGAAGCCGAAGCCCTGGTGCTGGCCGTTGACGCGGTCGACGGGCATGTTGACGTTGCGCACGCGGCCGGCGTTGAGCATCAGCTCGTGGAGGAGCCGGGGCGTGATGCGCTCATGGAGGTTGCCGACGTAGACGGTGGCCTCCTTGTTCTGTTCCCTGCGGGCGCATTAGCATCTGCTTGCATGGTGGGCTTGGCTTGTGCTTGCCAGTGACGCGCGCTTGGAGCTGACATGGTGATGGAGTATCAGCGTGACGTGACCCGTGTCTGGCTCTCGTGGGTGCAATGCTCCGACATGGAAGTTTTGGAGCTTGCATGTTGCGCTACCACGTGAACGGGCTAGCCTCCCCGTCCCCCGGCATCAACTTTGACGATTTGTTCATCGACGACACGCTCCACCACGCCCACCACGCCAGCCACCATCGCTCTCCCCCACGCCTCAAGTCTTTTGCCCGACAGCGTCGAATCCCACATCACTCACCCAACATGTACCAACTGTCAGAAGAGTCCAAGGTACGTCATAGCCCATGGAAACTGTACTCGCAATCGCAACTGACACTGCCTTAGGAGCGCATTGCGCGCATCATTGATGTCTCCCGCGTCGCCATCCACTACGGCTACCTCCCTCTGATTCTGTACCTTGGTTACTCGCAAAGCTACCCGAAGCCTTCTCTCATCCGGTGAGACCCTCCTCCATTCCTCCACATCGTTAGCACAGGATTGTGAAAGAGTCGACCTGCTGGACAGAAGACGTCATGTTCTTTGCTGGACTGGAACGCTTTGGCAGCTGAAGATTCAGGAAACAAAATGGCCTTGTACACATTTGCATTGCATCTACACGAACAACAACTACATGACCAGCCAGCTAACAGTGCTATATAGGCTTTTCTCCCCGCTTGCGTAAACGAGACAGTTACTACATTCGATCACGTCCGCAAGTAACCACAAATTCATGTACAATACCAAGTTAGGCAGGCGCACCAGTTCTCTGAAATAATGACGGATGAAACTGGCGGGAAGATGTACTGAACATCTTCCACCAAGTTGGGGAATGCATCTCCTCTATCGTGTTCGGCAATTCGCGGAGGAAACACTGTATTAGTACAACAGACAGCTGAAAGAAGCTCAATGGAACATCATGAATCAAGCTTTGCGGCATGGCGCTTCCTCGCCTCAGACAAAACGTCAACACGCATATCTACATGAACATGGTGCACCTTCTCTCCACTTTTCAACCACATACACCACTCTTCTTTTATCAACTCAAGTTTGCACGTACATGTGGGTATATTCCAATAAGCAGTGTGACATTCTTTAGGATCAATACACGTTCGAGGGGCATATAGGAACTGAAAAAGACGATCATCTTGTAGAAGAAGATATAGTGCATTCTTTTTACGCAAGTGAGAGGGGTGTTATCTTGGAAAGAAAAGAAGTAGACACCATCAGCGCCATGCTAAACTGAAAGAGATCGCCCATACCAGTCCAACCAGTGGTTTGGAAGTAAGAACACATATAGAAGCAAACCGCAAACGCAAATTGACCTATTCCCACCCGCCATCGCCAGATCCAAAGCGCCAAAAAAAACTCACCCCTTCTGTCGAAATCCACCAGGTATAATCCATTCTCTCTTCTTCTTCATCTTCACCTTCGTCTTGACGTCCGTCCAATCTCACCGACGGTAGACATTACTTACCTTACGCCACATAGTAAAGCTTCATAGCACTCAGCACCCTCTTCCTGCACACCGGGCAATTCTGCACCTCCCTAGCACACGGCAGACACGCCACCACATGCCCGCAATCATAAAACGCCGCATCCGCCGCATCTTCCCAGCAGATACGGCAAAGCCTCTCAGCCTCCTGAGCGTTCTTCCAATGCGTGACGCCCTCGCCGAACTTCTTGTCATTCTTCCATCCGCCTACATACGTGTTGCCCGTCGCGGCTTCGACAAAGGTGCCGGAGCCGTGTTGCTGGTTGTCCACCCAGTCGCCGTCATATGTGTCTCCGTTTTGGAACGTGTACAGGCCGTGGCCGTGGCGCTGACTGAGGCGGAACGAGCCTTCGTAGGTAGCGCCGCTGTGGTAGATGCGGTAGCCGTGCCCATGGCGGTGGCCGTTCTTCATCTCACCCTTGTAGTACTGTGAGGAGAAGTAGTCGTACGTGAAGTGCCCATTCATCTTCCAAGGGAAGTTACGAGCAGAAGCGCGGAACGTAAGCAGGGGTTGAGGATCAGCAAACGCGGCGCGAGCAGCCAGAGCGCTGCGTTGATCGGGTGTCTGCGGCAAAGCTACGATGATGATGGCAGTATTGTGAAGGTCCACTTGCGCGAACGTGCGTCGGTGCTTAACTGACCGCGTGGTGCAAAGCTCTTCTTCCTCCCAGATCTCGAGCTTCTTCTTGTCCTCCGAGGACATACCAAGAAGATCCACAACAGTATCGTCCACTCTTGCAGATTTAAGAACGACGTGCGAGCCACGTGATTCCAGAATCTGCTTCTCTGGATTGAAGAACTTCAAGAAGAAGTATATCTCATCTGCTGGAGGCTCAGGTCTTGGGGTGCATTCTGGCGGGGGTGGTGGTTGTGCAGGCTCATCTGGAAGACTCGTAATCGGCGGCGGCGGAGGTGGCGGTAGATCGTCTTGCGTACCACTCATCTCCGTGTCACCAAGTGCTGGAATGACTACATCCACGGTTGGAGGATCGGGCATGGAAGCTGTTTCCACTTCAACCATGGCGGTGTCGCCGTTCCCCGTATTGACGGGCAGAGTAGGAGTTACGCCATTAGGTATTTGTGGCTCAAGCTGTATCACTGGCGGTTCATCGGGCTCGCTCATAGGTGTGTCTTCTGACAGTGGTAGTACTTCTGTTGGTGGCGTGACTTCAGCTTCGGCAACGCTTCTGTCTGCTCGAGCTTCATCTGGCGATGTCGAGACCTGAGGCTCTTCAACACTCTCCAGTACCTTCTCTTCTTCCTTGGGTAGTTCAGGAAGTTTGTCAAAGTCGATGACGTGCGCCCAGATGCGACGACAGGAAACCGGTGACTGCTGTAGATTCCATTCTTTCTCGTTCTTGTAGCAATCGTAGCTGCCGCTCGAGAACTCAATCTTCCCAGTGCCTAGGATGTTGGGTCGGCCGAAAGATCCTCCTGTAGGATCCAGGAACCAGAACTTCACTTGCCGTGGATCCTTGATGTCCTGCAGTACTGTTGTAAGTTTCTCGCGAATTTCCTTGCAGCCATCGTTGCTTTTTAGTTGTACCATAGTCATCAGCCCCGAGTTGTTTGTTTCCCACTTTGAGTCATATGCGTTGAAGATGCCCGGACCTTCATGTTCTGCGAAGACTCGAGAGTCAATTACCTGGTAGTCGTGCACTTGTATTGGCTCCGTACTCTTTTTCTCTGTTGGCTTGTCCTCTTTGTCAGTATTAGATGCTGGCTCTTCAATAGGCGGTGGTGGCAATGTCGGCATTGGGGGCATTGGTGGCGGTGCACTGGCTGCTTTTGTCTTCTCCATTTCAGCCAGTATCCTCTTGGGGACATCCCATGACTCGGAGCCAGTGTCTGCAGTGAACGCAGACTGCGCTATATCATCACGTATATACATGACGATATATGCCACTGGATCATTACCAACGATTCGCTCAGTGCCGGCTTTGCCTTCGTGAGCATCAATAGCTTGCCGCTTTGTCAGACACTTCACTTGGTTTTCATCCTTGCTATCTGAGTAGCTGTACCACTTAGTGCCAGGGCCTTCAGGTCGAAGAATGGGCTGGTAGACGTATGACTGCAGGGTCTGCTTATGGACCACAAGCCCGTATAAAGTATACTGAGTGCCACCAACTGTGATGTGATCATCTAAAGTAACCTTGTTCATTACTTTGACGTACGACCGAGTCTTCACATCAAAGTCCTGACGGTCCAGTTCAATGGTCAATAGTTGCGGAAGACTCTGTCCAGGAAGCGTAAAGTCTGCTGATGTGTTCACAGCCTCCTGTGTGCTTTTGACGCTGACAGCAGGTACTCGGTAGGTAGGCACTCCAGAAGAGTAGTCTCGTTTTGGTCCGAAAAGAGCTTGGAAGATGGGAGCTTGAGGTGTGTCGTGCAGTTCCTGCTCCAATTTGGATTTCAGAATTTCCCATATTTCCACAACATCGAGTTTGTCAAGGCGATCATGAATACCGTACCACTCCAGCGCATCTATAACGTCATCCAAAGTAACTGCGCCAGCGCCAGGTTCAACTTGCGTACGAAGCATGTACAGAACCTTTTGCAGAGCATGGAGGAGCGGCTTGGGATGAGCAAAAGGTTCATCTTGTGGGTCGGGCGCGTTAGTGTTGTATAGCAGATTTCGGAATGGTTTGAATAGCATCCACGACGCAACCGCAGAAATCACATTACCGCCAGGCGCACTAGCGTCTTCGCCGAGCATCAGTGATTGCAACCCCGTCATTGCAAAGCTGTCCCACGGATTGTCTCGACTGGGGTGTTCCCACAAGCAGTGTGTCTCATCTTCGACGATTCGAATATAGCCAGTAAACGCGAGTTTGTCATCGCGGAGAAGGGCTTGTCGCTGACCTCGCATGCGATGCGGGATGTCATAATATGGCCCATGATATCTCGTCCATCCCCAATCAGGCGATCCATTACAGAATCGATGCAGCGCTGTCCTGGAATAATTGACGCGAGGCTCGGAAGGGTTGTACAAAACGACTGATACCTGGGCCGCTACGCAATTTCGTTTCGGAATTGTCTTCGACCCTAGAATTGGCAATGGCGTATGCTGAGGGTCTGTTGGAGGAGCTGGCGATGCGGTCTCTACTGATATGTGTTCATTGATAACCATCTCCTCGTGTTGTTTCGAGTCTTTTCTCGAATTTTCCGCAGCAGCCCTCTCACTCCTCTCGTCATCTTTCTTGCTATCTTTGTCTTTGTCTTTAGCACTCAGACACTCCAGGTACACACTAAGATAGTCCGAATCATTGCCTTTGGGGTAGAACTTAATCTGCCATTGGTGCCCGCCAACGGTTACTGGTTCTGACTTCATAACGATTTCGCGATTAGGTTTCTCGCGTGTTCCGTTGTAGGCGTCAATGGCCCACTCGATACGCCCAGTTTCACCGGCAGTGTATTCTGGCTCCTCCAAGGGCAGAAATGCCTTGCTCTCCCAATATTCATGGTCGAGAGCGCTGTGCTCGGACGACGACTCGATCTCCTCGAGCTCTACTTCGTCTGGCGAGGATTTATCTTCTTGTATCGGGTGCCATGGCTGAAGACCATCATCCTCGTCATCAGATGATTCGGAGTCAGACCGTATAGGTTCAACGGGCGGCGGGGGAGGTGGAGGTTGTAGGTTGGAATCGATAGGAGGGGCATCTATCGAAGGAGCATTTTCTGTCTGTGTCTGTATCTCGTCAGCAGCTGAGACTCAAAAAGACTGTCTCTGACTTACCGCATCATCTGTGAGAGCCGCTGGGAGAACTTGTTCGTTGCCACTTGGCTCGTCCTGAGCAGCTTCAGTTGACGCTGGCGAAGTCGGGGTGATAGCAGACGCTCCGAGAGCATTAGTTGAGCTGTTTGGTGGCAGTAGGTCTTGGTCGATGTCTGGTGTCGTGTCCATGGCGTCCTCGTCTACGGATGCGACTTGGACTGCGATGTCGTTGCTTGTATTGCAGTTTCCAGCATAGATGGTGTTCACCGCCTCATGCCCGCTTACCAAACTTTCTCCGTCCTGCATGTCTGCATCGTCCCGATTATGCGATTGCCCAACAGGCGCTAGTGCGTTTGTGGAGATGCTTGTGCTCATGTCGACGTGTGGTGGTGGCGGTGGAGGTGAGGTGGGCACACGCGCGTGGTGTATGTGGTTTGGCGACTGTGGGGGACTCGAGAAGGATGGAGACGAGGCTGGCTGGCTAAAGAGCAGCGGCTGTTCGATACTGACACTCATTGCTGAGTTGTGGAAAGAGAGCGCATGTAAATGTGGAAAGAGGTAGTTGATAGAGCCGAGATACAGGATCTGGCAAAGTGGAAAGTGAAAGAAGTACAAACAGCTCAATTAGTGAGACGGGAAATGCAGGAGACTGCAGGTTGGACAGCTGCTGTTATCGCGGAGCTCAATGCCGGTGAGCTTCAAACGGAGTTGCAGTAGGTATTGATGTCATGAGATTAGATACAAGATACCGTAAAGCTTGAGTACAATATCAAAGAGTCCAGTCGAGGGGGAAATCAGCTCGTTCACGGGCGTGGCTTATTTAAGGCTTGAGCTTTGGACGTTGTCGCCTAATGTTGGCGGCTCGATGAATGAGGCGACAAGCTAGGCTCCATCCCCGCAGTAAAGCTATTCCCCATCTTGCATGAGGGTCGAACATCCGAAGCGAACTGCGCCCTCCTCATCGGCATAAGCCCTTTCACAGCCTTTGACTATGCCGTATGCCGTCGTTTGACTCACTGTTCCAGGCTGCAACACCACGGATGGTCAACTAGGTCATCGCTAGTTGCTGTCGATTACTTAACGACACCAGGCTGAAAGACGCTAGTTGCGGAAAGTGGATCTCATCGCCCACCCTGCATGCATCCCGCACCGACAACGTCGCTCATCGCAACACGTCACGCATGCTGCCATCAGAAGAGTAGAATGGAGAGGTTGGACTCACATACGATTACGAGAGTCAACGTGGTCTTTGCCGAACCTCCTCAAATCGACTATACAGACTAACACGAGCAGGCGAGAGTACACAAGTGTGCATATTACAGTTTTTGATTATTTTGTTGGCAAATCACTTGATTCGTCAGCTTTCTGTCTGCGAGACCCTTGCGAATGTCGCAGCTACAATGAGTGGAAACACTACGGTGGCTTCTGCATACACCTTGACGCTATCGCCATCGAGCTTGATCTTGCCCCAGCTGACCGCCTCATCTGGCCGTGCTCCTGCGTCGCTTCCGTCGAACTCCTGCCCCGTATTGATATACACGGCGCTCTCGGCTCCGTTGCGCATCAAATTGGCATTGGCAATATGGTGCTTGACGATTCCTCCTCCCAAAACGATCATTCCAGTTCTCTTCGCTCGCACCGCAATAGTGTTGATTTTCCGAATATCCTCCACAATGTCGACTCGCAACTGCTCTGGCGATGACTTGAATGTGTGAAAATACAGCATATCGCCGAGACTCCCATCTGTCAGCGCTGGGCAGAACACTGGGATATCGTGCTTCCACGCCCAGTAGTAGACGGATCGCTCGTCGTTGATCTCCTTACCAAGACGATGGATGACTTTGCTTGGAGTCCAATGGATTGGCTCATCCGTCTTCTTGCTAGCTTCTTGCTCTTCTAGCATGGCGTCGAGTATGGGCACGACCCAGTCTTCGAAGGCGCAGTAGTTGCTGTTTGGTACAACGAGGTTGCCTATGCGATTCATCCCCTTAGCACGCAGCCCGGCACCCGGCGTAGAGAAAGAACCCAGATAGGTTGGCGCAAGACACTTGATAAAGTCCTCTTCGACTCCGCCAGCAGTCGTGACAATAGCAGATACATGTTTGTGTTGGACTAGGTATCGTAACGTCTCGCGCAGGCCAGAAGATATCAGATTCGAAGTATATCCAAGAAAGACGGTAGTTCCAACGTCCGTTTCAGGGTCTCGCCATGCACGCTGTGACCTGTCAGCAAAACATGAGCGTGGACGTCACGTTACTTTTTACGGCTAGATTGTTTCGCTTTGAGGAGTGCGTTTGGATTGGGTGCTTCCACAACGCGCACACCACGAATTATAGGCGAGAGAAACTCACCATGTCGTTGATAATACGCACTGCCTCTCCAACTGACGTCGCCTGGAATCCCATGTTCGCATACCCGCCTATAAGTTCCTCCACGGTGATACTGCGCTTCGCATACTGGTTGAAGTCGATGCCGTGTACCTCTCTGGAGCCCTCGGGCACAGGCTCAGACGGCTTGAGCACCGCATCGGTGGCATCGGACGGCGCTGAAGTCTTGTCTGCGGTCGACATGACATACACTACACAACAAAGGGCGGGCACGAGCTGGTGTTGATTTTCGAGGGTGGAAATAGGCGTGTACAACTGTGTTTTGTGCTCGCTAGCCGCGTCTTTCGTGCATATTGAAGGTTTTTGAAGCACGCCCCCACTCGCATCCCTGCTAGTATCGCGCGCCGATCAATACGGGCGCTCCTTCCGTCTCGTCTCTGGTGCAGACGTCACCAGCCGTTGCACAAAAGCCGGAGGCTGGATAGGCTATGCGAGCGTCTATCCAAACGATGTGTTCGGCGGCTCTGCACGGAGAGCCATGACGGCTGCCTGGTGCGTTCGCGGACGACGCCTCCTGTCCGGTGGAGTGTGGGGCGGAGGCTGGACGCGGCGAAATCTGACACAGCCTTGGAGATGGTTTTAAAGCGGGTGACTACATAAGACCCGTATCGAGTGCCAATCTTCAATTGAGCGTCCAATGAGCGACGTGCTAGTGCCCGTCGACGGAACCTTCTAACCGCTTGCGTGGAACAGGGGCCGTTGCTGGAAGGCCGGCTCATGACAAAAAGAGGACCTTGCGTAGACCCGCCGTGGGCAACTCGTTCTCGTGTCGTTCCAACTCCTTGTCATCACACACACGCTCACTCTCCTGCCGAGAGCACAATGCCATCGACGTGCTTCAGCTCGCAGCCCGGCTGATCTGTCGCCTCTACGCCCGATTTTCTACCCAAGCAGCATCTCCTCTCAGCCCGCTAGGACTCTCCGCCTCGAAGAAACAAAACGCCACGTTTCTCCAGGCTTCCGATCGTCGTCTTCAGCTTCAGCGCGTCATTTGAACGCCATTACTATTTCACCTCGTGTCTGGACAGCTTCCTGCAGCATTTTGGCGCGATTTCCGACGCCAGATGAGCGTTGGGCGTGAAAGGAACAGCACCAGATCGAATCTCAGCCCCAGTGCCGAGCCTGCCTGCACTCTGGTTCCACATCGTGAACAACCCCGGCTCTCACCGCACGGGCTTTATTCCACGCTAGACGCTAGTGTCTATCAAGCCTGGTCAGTGCACCTCAAAACACCACCACCGCATCATCAACATCGACATCAGCCCCCACGCCACCGTGGAAGAGGTTAGGACAGAGAGACGGTGCAACTGGCGATTCAAAACACATCTTCGAGGACGCCTTGTCTCTGTTGCGGTCTTAGCGATTTCACCGATACGTTGCTTCGATCAACCATCAATAACTTTGTTATAGCAGTCTTGTTGCATCTCCCTATCAGATTCCGGATACCGCTGTCGCTGTTTCGCGCTTCAAGTTTTCTGGCACATGATCGACGGGTCTATGCTGTGCTGACAATCCGGCAAGGTGTCTGATATCCATTCTGGACTAGGAGATACTACCATGTCCGCCTCTCGCTACCCAGACAACAACAGCAACAGTAGCAACAACAATAACAACAGATACGGACGCGACAGATCGCCTGCGTATCGCGACCGACGACCGTCCAACTTTGGTGGTGTGTACCCTCCACGGGGTAACGAGCCCAACAGAGCAAACCCTGAGCCTGGCGTGTTTCCACCCAGAGACACTCCCAGAGGTCCCAAGTCCTTGGCTGATACACCACGTGGTCCAGCGCCAGCACCATTAGCAAACGTACCTTCTGGACGAGGGAGAGGATTCCCAGGTCGGGGTGAGCCCACTCCTCTGCGGGAGGCCCCGCCGCTGAGTAGTGGGACTCTCCCATCGCTCAACACCCACAATTCTTGGAGAGCCGACCGACCTGATCGCGACCATCGTGAGCGGGATTTTGATCGAAGGGAGAGGCGGCCTAGTCCTCCACGACGATCACCTATTCGAGATTCGCGAGATCCGCGCGATCAGAGAGAATTTTTACCGCGCGATCTAGACGTCAATCGTGCACGACGAAATTCTCGCGAAGGTCCTCCGTCTGCAGGGTCTACGTTTTCAGACGCTCCCACTCTTGGCGCTGGGTCGTCATATCGTGGGAGTGGGATAGGGCGGGGTCGAGGTGGTAGCCATTTTGGGGGACGCGGCAGAAACTTCCACAACGATGACAGAGATCGACATCATGAAGTCCGTGACCGCATCCCAGATCGATCCTATCGCCCACGCAGCCGTTCACCTCCGATACGTCGAGAACGAGATCCTCGAGATGAGCGAGATTTCGACAGAAGAGATCGTGATGATCGGAGGTTTGTGCCAAGAGAGTATGATTCTTATATAGGACCCGCTGGTGCAGCCAAACCAGGTTTGAGAGCTCTGGATACGCACCGTGGTCCGGGACCTTCTGACTTGCGACACATTCCAGGAACACCTACTGGACCGACGCCTCATTCTGCGCACCATGTGTCTCCAGCGGACCGGCTAGGACCCCAGGTGGATTCTTATTCCCGCCGCTCTTCTGTTGCCATGGAACCTTCGAGTGCTAAAGATTCCCGTCGGGACCCCGGCAAGGATGATCTTTTGCTGGCCAGCCGCGCAGAAGCATCGAGAGAAAGGTATGCGCCACGCGCTTCGTCTCCGCCCGCTTCCATTCCGGCATTCGGTGGATCCAATGTCTGGAGAAACCCAAATACTACAATTGATAGCAAACCAAGCACGGCCATTGCACCACCGCCAAAGCCAGTTCAAGCTGCTCCTCCAGCCCCGGTCGCGCCAGCCACACCTGTCGTGGCACCCGCTAATACCGCACCAACCATCCCTACAGCGCCAAAAGCGAGCATATCTGCAGGTCTGTCCCCTGCCCCGCCTACCGGACCCAAGGCGGACCGAATACCTGATCGTCCTTCGTCTGATCGTCCCCTAGGGGATGTGTCATACCAAGGGAACAGGCCGGCAACTTCTGGACCTCCACGTATGGAACCTCCTCCCAATCTACCTCCTTTTGTTACATCTTCTCCAAACCCTCCCCCAGGCGCTGATGTTCCAGGACCAGATAAACTGGCGCCCAAGGCACCGGCTCTACATTCCGCTCCACGGCATGTACAAGCACAATCTCTTGCGCCTCCTCCACCTTCAACTTTCTCAGCTCCATCAGGTCCGTCGGCTCCTTCGGTTCCACCAGCTCTGGCAAAGTCTCCTCCCCTAGGGCCAGCGCCCAAACCACGCATACCACCTTCAGCTCCACAGGCAGTACTTCGGGCAAACGTATCGCCATCTTTTTCACGAATGCCTCACCCTCCATTCGCTCCAAGAGATACTTCTCCGAGTGTAATGCCTCCGACTCTTGGGCCTCGTAGCGGCAGCGGTGGTGCTTCCTCGATGCACACTTCACCTAAGACATTGCCATCTAACATTCCCACTGGCCCCAAGGCTGACAGAGCACCAGTGGCACCTCGAGCGCCTCCAATGTATCCGCCGTCGGACAGGCCTAGTTTCACAGCTCCTAGAGCGCCTATGGGAGAACGTCAAAAAAGCATGCAATGGCTAAGGCCAGGTCTCGTACCCAACCGAAATACCGTCCTGAGCAAGCGGGAGTTTCCTTACGAAGATCGTGAACGAGCCTTTGGTACTGCTCCCAAGGCCCCAAGGCTCGAGAACAGCGTTTCCGTTTCACAATCGCAGCGCACCCATCAAGCTAAATCAGAGTCTCCGACGTTTTCGCGAACATCTACCGAATCAGAAAAGCCTCGAGGGCGAGCCGCATCTGCAGAACGTCACAAGGCGCCAACACCGAACCCTACTTCGATCGAAATGAGACGTCACTCCGATGTTTTTATGCCAGATGCATCTCCGCGCCCAGTTCAGCCGCCTGCATCAGCTGCGTCATCTGTCCCAGAGGCGTTGCAGGACTCGGACGACGACCTCGACCTCGACGAAGATGATTTCGCAGAATCTGAAACGAAATATAATCGAGAAAGGTCACTTCTTGAAGCTAGGAGGGTGGATCTGAGTGCACCCCATCTTCGCGCGACGAGCCCTTTGCAAGAAATCATATTGTTGTCATGCTTGACTGCTGATCATCTACCTCGAGAGGAGCCTGAACCACATCCTGCTGTCCAAACACAACCTCTGTCTCAGGCTCAAGAAGTTTCTCCATCCTCCCCTGGACAGCCTGATTTGGAGAAGGCAACTGCAGAGCTTCCAACGCCAAGAGCAGAAGAGTCATGCGAGGAGGATGTTGTCATGGAAGTGAAGGAAGAGAACGAAGACAGAGAGGTCAAAGGAGAGAGGTCGATTGCACCGGCGACGGTAGCATTACGATTACGGCGTGAGCGCTCTACAGAGCTAGAGGAGATGCCAGACGTGAGAACTCTGCCCTATCTAGGCTCAGGGCCACCAACACCGTTGTCCGACATAGAACAAGATCGACCAGACATCTCCGACACGGTTCTGCTTGCTATTCGTGACAGGTTGCGAAAAAGCTTGGAGCCGGAACTGGATACGGAGCAAACTTTGAGACAATACGCTGCAGCATACAAACAGTGGCGACTTTCCATTCATCCTTGGGATGAAGAGCGTGAGCAGGATGAGCAGGAGAGACAGCCATCAGCGGAGCCTGGACTGAAAGCAACGACGCCAGATGTTCAAAGCGCTGCTTTGGCTGGCCTTCTAGACGCACAGTCAGCGCCAACAGGCCGTAGAGGTCACTCCAGTCGATGGGCAACGGAACTGGACTTTGAACAGGTTCTAAAGGAGTCTCTGAAGACTGCTGAAGAGGAGAGAATGGGGAAAAGAGAGCAGGAACCAAAGCGAGCTATGGCTGACCCAGAAAAAGAAGCATTCCTCCCGCGGGAACTCACTGTGTCCGAAGCGCGACGGCGGCAATTTATAGACACCAACTTCCAGCGGGAACCTGGTTCAGGAATTTTCGCGTTTCACTACGAACCACCGGAGGACGACTTCACGCCGGAGGAGCATCGCGTTATGGTTCACAACTACAAAGATCAATACGCGAAGAAGTGGGGCAAGTTGGCGGAGATTCTGTACAAAGAGGTCGGGACAGAGCGGACGTATAAGGATTGCATCAACCACTACTACGCTACAAAATGGGGCAAGGAGTACAAAGGTAAACTCAAAGGAAGACGAGGGGGGGCTAGGAAGAGAGGTGGAGCAACCGGTCGTGGCCGCGGAGCCATTGCTAATATGGATCGGCCTGAAGCCTCCGGAGAAGACGGACTACCTTTGGCTCTCACAGAGTCGGGACGACCCAAACGCTCCGCAGCCCCAACTTTTGGTGGTATGGAGATTGAATTCGACACATCCGTTACTGTACATACTCCAGGACGACCTCGTCGCCCGACAGATGCTGACGGAGCACAGGAGAAAGCTAGCAGGCGTGGCAAGGTCAAAGAGAAAGTCGGCCGCAAGGCAAAGAACTTACTTCCGGCGGCTGTTCCTGCAGGATCACCTGTGAAGATCGATCGGAAGGAGAAGGCATTTGGAGTCAAAATGGAGGACGAGTATGGCAAACGACCGCTGGATGAAATGCCGATGCCTGTTCACACCGGTTTCATCGAGGATCCAATGTTGCTCTCCGGTGATCCGCTGGCCCTGTCGGGGTTCGTCCCTGGCATGATGGAGCGACCTAAGACGCAGGCCACTGCGAGACCTGGTCCAAGTAGCTACTGGTCAGTCTCTGAACTACAAGATTTCGATAAGTATGTTGAGCACTTTGGTACTGACTGGTTGGCGATCGCAAATCACATGGGCACGAAGACGCACACGATGATTAAAAATCAATACTTGCGTCATGTTGAGAGTGGGAAGGCGGAGCTCGAGCAAAAAGCTCAAGAAGCTGATCGGAAAAGAGAGAGGGGCGACAATCTGGGACCTCCGCCAATGCCCACACCTGCGCCCAAAAGACGGTATGAGAGTACGCAGCCACCGCTTCCTCGTAACCTCGCGCCTACACCTGAGTTGCACAACTCTCCCCTCTCAAACCCACTTTCGCTACCAAAGCTCTCGCCTCCGCATTCTACTTCTTCTGCGAGATTCTCAGCCATTGCTCAAGCCCCTATCCCAAGCAAGGCTCTTGTAGCTGCTCACGGAAACCCTTCCTTGGTAGACACAAGCCTCTCATCTGTGCCTTCAATGGTACAACAACAGTCACCTCCACCTCCACCCCCGCGGAGTCAGCCACAGCATCGTCACCAACATACATTGTCTCAGCACAAGCCACACCCACCTGGACCTCGCGCTGGCTACTTTTCGGATGACCTGCCTCCTCGTATGGAAAGCCGACCTCCCTCACAATCATCATCCATCAACAACTCGCATCGGCCCCTACAGCATCACATGCAAACCCAAAGCCGTACACAGGAGCAGCATCAACCACCGATATTCCGTACGATGAGTCACCAAGAGCGAGAGAATCGAGTAAGGTCTGAGCTACAACAAGAACAAGAAGCGCAACAACGGTATCAGCAGCAGCAGCATCACGCTCGGCGCATATCTCAAGAGATGCACCACCACAGGCCGTTCCCTCCAAGTGGCCCCACACCACTTATGGCTCCGGTACGTTCGAATTCGAGTTCGAATGTGAAGTCTCCAGAACATCGATCACTGTCATACTCACACTCACGCCACATTTCACAGTCTCAAGAGATGGGCCCTCAAGTACACGGCACACATCCCGGGGCACAGCAATTCCCGTTGCGCTCTGCAATCTTGACCCCACCTGTGAAAGAAGAGTCAAGGCATCCTCCGGTATCCGCGCCCCCGCAAGTGCAACCACCGCATCTGTTACCATCCCAGCATCAACTTCATCCGCAGTTCGGTCAATCTCCGATGCAAAACACACCACCGCCTCCTGCGCCGAAGCCTGCGGCAGAAGCAAGAAAGTCCAACTTGATGTCACTGCTCAATGATCCAGAGCCCGAAGAGCCGCGGCGCAAGAAACCCAATGACCAAGGCCCTCCATCGCATAGCACGACTCCCCAGCAACAGATGCCAATTGCCCCTCCGCCGGTTGCACAATCGCTTCCTCCGCGACGTGACCCCTATGCAGATTCTGTCACTACCCAGCCTCCTTACAATCGGTCTTCTTACGTGCAACAAACTTCCTTGCCTTCTGCAGCACCTAACCGGTTGGTAGATTTGGGCAATGACCAGACATCGGGGAGCAGACCGGGCATACGAGAGACTTGGCAGCAACGGCAACAGTTCCTTCCGACTCAAAGCCAGACACAGCAGCAAGCATCGGTTTCCTCTTCGCACTCAGGGATGGCCCAATCTCATTTCGGTGACCCAAGATCGTTCGCCAACCATCGTGCGGTCTTTGCTCCGCTCAACGCTCGACACAATCCATCGCCACCTCCGAGCGCGCCTCTCAGCGCGTACAGCAACTCACCTCATTTACACTCACGGACACCGAGCTTAAGTGGTCAGTCTATGCAATCATCACGCCACGGCCCTCCCAGCGCGAGTTCGGCACAGCATCCTCAGGCGACACCCGGTTCCACATCTCAAATCCTGCAACCAAATCCATATGCCCAGGTCGATCCACCTGGGAGTAGTGCACCACCTGCTGGCCCCATGGGCATGCGTCCTAGCCCTCATCTTCACACGACTCATGTGGCACAGCAGAGAGATGTCTCCAGTAGGAATGAGCACTCGCAGATGCAAAATGCGAATCTCTCTTACTCTAACCCTCAGACACCGAAGGAAGCTCCCGCTAAGCCGATGCGTATTCCGAACAGCATGGCCGAATCCTATCGTCCTCGTGATCTTCGAGAAGCTCTTCACGATTACGAATCTCGGAACTCGGATCGGGACACGAGTCGCGAGCTATCCCAGAAAACTGACTTCCTCCTCCGTGAACAAATGTCAAACCAACAACTTCGCTCCAACGGTCCGCCGCCAATGCACGACGAGCTGCGGTATCAGCCACCGCAACAAGACCGCGGATTGTTCGCGCAGCGCTCACATACGCCCCTGTCTAGATCTGAACATGGACAGCCGCCACCTCTGCAACACCCCCCGCACTCTTCGCTAGGGACCAACAATCACACCATCTACGGTCAGCGTCCTTCGGAAGAGCCGTCGCACCGCTTCAGTCAGCCCCTTCATCGCGATCGAGGCATCGCAGATCGTATACGTGAAGAGCAGCAACAACAACACCGGGAAGAATACATGAGGAGGGAGGAAATGCGCGAGCGTGAAATGCGCGAACGTGAGCGCGATGCTCATTTCCGCGAAAGCATGATGAGAAGGGATCCGAGGGCGCAGCCGCCTGGGTCGGGTCCTGGACCTGGGCCTGATACTAGACCGCCCGCAGGGCCGATGGACTGGTCGACTTCTGCGAGACATCCGCAAGATCGATGGCAAAGGTAGATGTTGACGCGATTTGGACTTTGGTCGAACTTTTTGCAGACTGTTGGGTCATCGCATGGCGTTTCGGGGTCTTCTGGTTGATGTATTTGGAGCGTACGATAGCTCGTTGTCTGGTGGGATTTCGAATGTTGTAGTGTTCGTTGGAGACTATTCCGAGCAGAGTTTTTACCGCACCATGCCGCTGCGTACTTCTCTTTTGTTATTATACCTGTATTTCTGCATGATGCCAAGCGAATGAAAGCAATTTTCTGTATAAGTGTGTAGAATAGCTGTCGTTGCAATCCAAAACATCTGAACTGTATTTTAAGATCAACATTTGTGGTACCAGTGTGGTAACGGCTAATTATCCTTGTATACAATTAGCCGTTGCCATGCTGCACGGCAATATTTAACGTGGAGGAGTAGTCTTTTGTCTAACACACAGCAGGTATCTCATTGCTGCGCTTTTTGAAAAGAGTACTGTAACAAATAACATTCCGCCACCTGACCAAATCCTCTCCTCCATTCATAATCCACTTCCCAATCGCATGTCAGAGGACAATGCTTTCAAGCAACAGCAGTAGTAGCCTCAACGGTCGCACTACCCGAGCTCGAGCGTCCAGTAGACCCAAGTGTCAAGGTCAAAGGCGCACTGCCAGAAACCGTAGTCACCTCATCGAGCTGCACAGTCTGCGTAAGAGTAATGACTAGCAAACCCAAATCAGCACACATGGTATCCACACTACCAGAGCACAAAGATGACTTACCATCGTCTTCGTAGGTGTAGCTGAACGACTCGTTATCGCAGCTCTCGCTCGCAGACGGGCTAGCAGCCGGGTTGAACACAGATGTGCAGGTGCTGGTGATACCCTCGGCGATGTTGTCGTTGGTGTAGGTCGCAGACACGGTGGTCGATTTATAGCCGTTTGCGTAGCCGGCTCGCGTCACTGAGACGTCCCAGGAGCCGGTTGTAGAACGGGGGATGGCGGCGGCGAGGGTTGTAGCACTGAGGCTGAGGAGAGCGGCGAGAGTGAACTGCATGTTGATGGTTTTGGGCTAGGTTGTTGGTTTGGCTGGGTAAAGCGAATGTAGTGTAGTAGTGAGTTGGGTAGCTGGAGTGATGGCGGATGATACTGTTATTTGCTAACAAAGCGCGACGGGAGAATTATATACGTCTGTAGTAAGTAGGTACTAGGGCATGGAGGTGAACGTTATGTCAAGGTATCCACATCAATATGGAGATCGATGCGATCATGGAGTACGCTATCCCATGCCATGCCATGCCATGCTAGGATCCCGGGTAGGTCAGAACTCATTCGTATTGCGATACCTAGTGTACAACGCATGCGGTATTCGTAGAGGGATTATCGTTCGTTAGAATTGGTCCTTCGTCACCGACTCCCCCTTTTGGATTCTTCCCCATAGAACATGCAAGACTTCGAGAATTTATCCATCCCACAAACGCACCAATAACAAAATTCAAGCCTTGCGTGACAAGAGCTTGTTCTTGCTAATGCAACGTTGATGTGAATTCCATCAGGGCTAGACGACAAAAATAGCACCGTGGTATGCAGTCTACCGTGGTATCCGGCGGAAGTCTCAACAGGGGCAAACCGCTAGAACTTCCGCCGGATGCCACAGTAGGTAATTATAGAACGGCACGCTCGTATAACGTTGCCGGGTTCCTAGCACGTGATCTCGTATTTGTATCGCGTAGACAATTTTCCACGCGACCTGGAGAAGAACAAAGTGCTGGTTGTCAAAGTTGGGAAATTGGAAGCAAGCTACGTTCTTCGCAGCACAGAAACGCAGCAAAGCGACTGGAATAAATGCCACGAGAAAAGCCTGTTAGGCTCATACAGGTACAGACAAAGACAAAAGAATCCTGTACTAGTCATGTATGTAGCTGTCAGAAGTCGCAAGATTTGGCGGTAGCTTACTCAATTTTCGAAGCGGGGAACGCACGTGACCCCTTCACCGCGCTAGCAAAAACTTCAACTCCACGCACCACGACCAAGACCGAGGCAAAACAAAAAACAATTCAACGCTCGAAAGCTGGAAAGCCCGACGTGGGGCTCGAACCCACAACCTTGAGATTAAGAGTCTCACGCGCTACCGATTGTGCCAGCCGGGCTTGCTGTTGATTGATGGAGGTTTGGGGTTGGTCAAACATTATATTCCGATCACATTCTCAGGATTAAGACAATGTGGCGACGACAGGCTATTACTGGAGTCTATATCTTCGCAGAGCCTTGTCAAAATGCGCCGTGTAGTCCATCCCGACCATGTTCCCCACTTAACCACACTTCGTAGCACTCCACCCTCCCTCTCACCGGACGAGTACGTTAACCCTTCGTCCACAACCCGAACCAGAGCGTCTTCGTGATCGTCGAACCCGCCGTCGTACTCAACCTGCATGAATCGACTGAACGATCGATCATTGGGCTTCTCGTAGCGTTTATATCATGTTGATGCGTCCTGTCGGGGTAGACGCCGCTATGCATCTACGATAAGATCCGGGTTGGGTTGCAGACATAAGAGAAGAATTTCGTGAGTGCATAGGAATGAACAACGCGTAGGTTCTGCGTGTAAACCAGTTCACGTGGTTCTTAGAATGAACGATTCGTTGTTGACCAAGTGACTGGGGAAGTCAGTCATGCAGAAGATAATGAATAACACAAAGGAAACAAGTTTGGTGAGCTACGCGTTATTCATCGGAATAACTGTTGTGTTGTAGTTTGAGATAACGCTCGCGAAGGGAATCGAGATGGCGATATATAGACAGCCAACCTTAGGTGTTCTGTCGACGGCATGGTGAGGTACAGCGACTGAGCCACTGTGGCTGGAAAGCATCTATGCGACCGGAGTACGCTGTCAGATTCGATCGGGATCTCATGCTCCCGTAGGATGACATAGGTACTATAACGTGCCGAGTACTCAGTCGCGGTACTCTACACAAGTGTTTTTCAAGCAGACTGGGACGCCACACTAAGGGGTTGGTCGTGGTGCGGCGGTATGTGAACTGTCAGTAATCGCTCAACACCGACCCTCCATGCCGATCTTTAGATGCACGCAATAGTGCCATCCAGTCGGTACCAGTATCCCTGGTAGCGATCATTGTAGTCGGCAGCATAAAGGGCGTTGTGGAAAACACCCTGCTTGGAGGCAGGCAATGTTGTTTCAGACCAGACGCCGCGCACATCGTCAAAGTCGTTTCTATCAATAATTGTCCATTGTATAAGGCTCTCTTTCTAGAGGGAAAGGCACGCTATCCGATAGTTTGCAATGCTGCACGTCAACCACTTCCACCGCAACTCATGAACACTCGATACCAACGTGCACAACCATTTCCTAAAAAGGGTCGTGTTCAGGTTACTTCTCTTGATTCATCAGATGTGAACACTGAAGACGAACTGCTCGAAAAATGAAACGCCAGTGCTCCCTGCTTGACGATTTGTTCTCTACTATCATGTTCAACATCAGAACGCCGTGATAAATGAAATATACATAAAGCACCTTGCAAAAATTGGAAATGTCATGTTCGTTATGATTCAGTGACGATTAGGCCTCGCCGAATAGTCGAGCAGTGATGTCGCCCATGTACGCCTCTTCCAGCTCGTAATCCTCACCACCCATCTTATCGATGCCAACGTACTCGAAGGAAGCCACGACAGCCTCAACATCGAAACCCATAGCGACGAAGCGGTCCACGAGGTCCTTGTTGTAGCCCTTGTATCTGCCATGAATCAGCGTGCACACTTTTTGTAGATGTCAAGAACACATACGCGGCAAGCTTGATCTTGTTCTCATTGTCCTTGGCCTGCTGGTGCTTCTGCTTGATCGACTCTGCCGTAGCACCCCCGCTGCCTTCAGCAATCTCCTTCTTGGGCGCACCCGCGTACTTGACGGCCCATTCGCGGGCCTTGTGGTCAAACTCGGCGGGATTCCGGATCAACATGCTGGCCACCTCTGCGTCTTGCGGGTCTTTTGGCTCTGGTGTGCTGAGGAGGGACTGGAGGGAGATGAGGGCGGACTTGATGGTCAGTACTGGTGACCACTGCGAGGATAATGTGTCTAAGCAAATAGCGCCCTGTCGAGTTAGCACTGCGCGTTACTTATGGGTGGACTCACAACTCACTGTCTGGGAGCTGACATTAGGATGCCAGATTTTGGTCTCGAACCGCATGTTTGGCGGCCGGAAGGGGTAATCGCTTGGGATTTTGATATCGACATGGTATATAGCGCCTTCATATGGGGTATCAGGCGGCCCGTAGAACTGGCCGCGAAGATGTGTGAGGTCGTCCCCGTTCCCTGCTGGCTCCACGACAATCTTGGAGAGCTGGTCGTTTTGGATGTCGGCAATTTCCTTTGCGATACGCCTTGCACGGTTGGAGGCCATGACGGCGAGAGAGGATCGAGGTGGTGAGAAGTTGAGAGGGAGAGGTGGATGTATAAGGCTGGGGAGCTGTAGGCAACAGGTCGGTATGAGCCTAGTGACGGTCAGCGTGAGGCTTAGAACACAGGGAAGGAGTCAGTCAGAGAAGCTGAGAGAGCTCGTAGGTGATTCACTGGCGGCTACTGGGAGATATCCACAGTTTGTTTGAACTTACACACAGAACGAGTTGATGTGGTAGAACTATGAAGAGTACCCGCTATGGAGAGCTTGAGGCTGTATCAGCGGGGTCGAAACGCGGTCGTGTGATTTCACTTGAGCTCGCAGGGTAGATAACAGCTTAAATTCAGTGTCTGAGTAAAGTACAGGTATTGCTTGACCATGTCATGACAGCTTCTACGTGTCTTGCCCTCTATGGGGAATCGCGAGGTGGAAGCGCTCCGTGACTGCAGCTCCCAAGTGGCGCGTCATGGTCACGTGAATAGCGGTCCTTGGCGTTCTGAGCTCCGGCGGTCGTTGCGGCGAGCGAGTATCGACACGACAAACACGACAACCACCTCACCTCCGCCATCGCTCTTAGCAGGCTACGCGTCATCCCGGGTACACCAGCTGAACTTCTTTGACCTTCTCAACGGATATCGCATTTCCATAGTGTGATCGAGAGTGATGGTGCGCTCGCCCCTCGGAGTTACAAACGGTGTACTGACGACAGATAGGGTAACCAGCAGTCCAGTGCTGGCGGCGGCGGCCCTCCCGGCGACGACAAGAGCAAGAAGGACAAGGTACGTCTCTTCCTTTTCTGTATCTAGCACGTCACTTGATCCCCCGCCCCATACGTCGCCTCGCCGCCATGTGATGATGCTGACGTTCGTTTGCACTGCAGAAGGAGAAGCCCAAGTACGAGCCTCCCCCACAGCCCACGACCCGCATCGGCAGGAAGAAGAAGAAGGCTGCCGGACCGAGCGCCGCCGCGAAGCTACCGACCGTCTACCCGACCGCACGATGCAAGCTACGATACCTGCGCATGCAGCGCATCCACGACCATCTGCTGTTGGAGGAGGAGTACGTCGAGAACCAAGAACGTCTCCGGAAAGCACGAGCGGCCAAGGAGGGCAACGCGCCCGCAAACGTCAATGGAGAGGACCCTGACCGGAACGCCGACGAGAGGTCGCGGGTTGACGATATGCGTGGCAGCCCCATGGGTGTAGGCAACCTGGAGGAGCTCATCGACGACGATCACGCCATCGTCTCCAGCGCCACCGGGCCTGAATACTACGTCTCCATCATGTCCTTCGTCGACAAGGACCTGCTGGAGCCTGGTGCCAGCATTCTCCTGCATCACAAGTCTGTGTCCGTCGTTGGTGTGCTCACAGATGATGCGGACCCGCTGGTCTCTGTCATGAAGTTGGACAAGGCGCCCACCGAGTCGTACGCGGATATCGGTGGTCTGGAGCAGCAGATCCAAGAAGTACGAGAGGCTGTTGAGCTTCCCCTGCTGCACCCTGAGCTGTACGAGGAGATGGGTATCAAGCCGCCAAAAGGTGTCATTCTATATGGTGCGCCCGGTACTGGCAAGACGCTGCTGGCGAAGGCTGTGGCGAACCAGACCAGTGCCACATTCCTGCGCATCGTGGGTTCTGAGCTGATCCAGAAGTATCTTGGAGACGGGCCCAGGCTTGTGCGACAGCTGTTCCAGGTTGCTGCCGAGAACGCGCCGTCTATCGTTTTCATCGACGAAATCGATGCCATCGGTACGAAACGTTACGAGTCCACATCAGGTGGTGAGCGCGAAATTCAGCGAACTATGCTGGAACTCCTCAACCAGCTTGACGGTTTTGATGACCGTGGTGATGTCAAGGTCATTATGGCCACCAACAAAATCGAGACTCTTGACCCCGCTCTGATCCGACCTGGTCGTATCGACCGAAAGATTCTCTTCGAGAACCCCGATCGTAAGTTGCAGCAGTTTTGATATTCGGCAACATTTACTGACAAAATTCCAGAAACAACGAAGAAGAAGATCTTCACTCTCCATACCTCCAAGATGTCGCTCAACGTGGATGTCGATCTGGACGAATTCATCAGTCAGAAGGACGACCTCTCTGGTGCTGACATCAAGGCCATCTGTTCCGAAGCTGGTCTGATGGCTCTCCGTGAGCGAAGGATGCGAGTGCAGATGGAGGACTTCCGTGCTGCTAGGGAACGAGTGTTGAAGACCAAGAGCGAGGGTGAGCCAGAGGGCTTGTACTTGTGAGCTCGACCAGGGAAACTTGAGTCTCTGGCATCATGGGTGGTTGGTACTGATTGTAGTTCACCAAGGACGCTGGCAGTGGACTCCTGGGCTTGGTATTCGGCAAGGTTTCATAGTCAAGCCAAAGGCGGTTGCTTCGTCAGTCGGGAATACAACATGCATTCCTGGAACTATAACGATGACATGTACTAAGGAATGGTTCAATAATCTAATGTTGGCTGGTCGTGGATAATCCATACCCCCATCATCTGTCAATGCTCGCGTCTTTGTATGAACTACTTTTTGGAGTGCCAGTTTGTCGCACATGTTGGTCAGTTGTATCCCGCTCACATGGCTCCTCACACTCCTTATCTTGTTTCCCCAATACAAATTCTTCAGTCTCACCGTCCCTATCACTCTGCCCCCAGCTTTCTCCTATATCAACATTCTACTTAACTCGAACATTTCATGATCGCTTATGTTGTCCGTCGATCTGGAAGGTTTTCTGTTCATGACTCTCACAGTAGGTAGTGCTGCAGGGCATATATGTTCCAGAGTGACTCGATAGATTCACCAACCAGATGTTGTGAGTACGAGGCGACGGCGACGGCGGATGCAGGCGAGCTGTTGCCTTTACCTGGACTTGAGAATTCGCTTGCGTCACAGAGTGAATGAAGGATCGTCTACCCGGCTCGAGGGGTATATATCTCTTCTTTCCCATGAATTTCTTTCTCTTTCCCCCGCTACAGGACTTTTCTGTCAACTCACACTAGCTTCCGTCGAGGCTCCGACGCCGTGCCGGAAGACTTGCGACATACCCCGGAACAATTTCTATTGTTCCAAAGCCTATTGACAACATGAACAGCATGGAGATGACTACTCTAACTCACTTGAATAAGCCGCAAAAGCGAGCCCTGATCTTACGCGACCAGCTCCGGTTCGTGGATCCGCACCACCTCGACAGTTTCCTCGATGGCATATCCAATCCCGAACCGCCAAACTATGTCAAGATCTACAACAAGATCCAGCCTGCACTCGTGGAAGTTACTCTCAAAGAGAGCGCGACTCGCTACGACCTCGGAAACGTCGTCTTCCCTGATGAAGGGAATGCCATCTACCGGGCTCACTTGACTGTGGAGAATGACCGCTTTGAAATGCGCACTGAAGACCCGCTGCCTAAAGATGAAGCTGATTTGGATTCAGTGCCGATTCATTGCTTCATTGCGAAGAGTATTATTCCGCTGTTCAAGGGGAAGGTTGAGGCTATCTTTGCGAGGAGGAATAGGATTAATGAGGCGAGGCGCGTCGCGTATAATATGCCCAGCGTGCCGGCGGCCCAGTTCCAGGAGGGAGAGGTAAGTCGCTATGATGGTGCTTGTTGTCTGGGGTGTTGCATTCTATCGTTTGCACTCTCTCGGAGCACTGTCGCTAACCTCACCACAGACACTCGCCAGGCTGGAGCCACAGAAGACTAATCAGATTGGAGAATGGTCTCAGTGTGAGTCTAGTATCCAACATCGGCTTCATCCAAGCTAACAAACACTACAGCCAAACAGCCCAAGAAGCGCAAGCCGGGAGATCCCATCACCAAACACACCTCCAACAAGCGCAGACGAATTGGTCTCGATACCATCCCCGACAACGTCAAAAGCGAGATGTTCAACACGATCCCCGACCAACTCAAAGTCGAATTCTTCAACACCATGGTCAAAACCGCGTTCCCCAACTTCGACAACCTAATGATGGCTTCCTGGAACGTCGTCTCAGTGTACTCGAACGTCGGCAGCGAGTTCCCCGAACTGCACAAAGCGATCGTCGACCTGAAAGCTGTGCTCGATGAGTTCGAGACTGCGTGTGCAACGAAGGGAGCGGGTTCGACGTTGAAGATGAGGACGGACTTTGTCACTGCGCAGCATAACGACGTGAAGTACTCTCCAAAGCCTGGATCTACGCGGCAGACCATCGAACCTACACCCTCTACACGACCAAGTCCCCTGTTCCAACCTCAGACGTCCGTCGACCCGCCCGCGCAACGCTCAGAAGACGGTGTTGAAGACGCTTTGCCCGAACACATGCCGCCGCCGCGTGTTTTGCAGTTTCCCCAGCACAACCACAACCATCCCCAGCAACAAGAGGAAGCCCACGACTCGGACGAAGGCGCAGCTTCGGAAGACGAACAACATCATCCTCTCAACGCCCGCCTCACAGCTAAACCCGAACGCAAGCATACCGCACTCCACCTCCAACCCACCTCGAGACCCCCCTCTAGCGCATCAAGCTCCACGCACTCCTCCCCCCACCGCCAGCAACAAACCCAGCAGCTACCACGCGCACGCGTCAAGAATCCCCGCACTGAAGCTCCGTCACCCCACGCCCACGATCAACATCCCAACGATATCACGCCCGAGCTCTCGCGCAAGCGGCTGGAGTATCACTCTTCTATTAGCAGGACGAATCGCAACAGCACTGGTGCTGCGAAAGCACGGTTGGCGTCTGCGTCTGCGGAAGAGTTGGACGGGCGTGCAAGTGGGAGTGGGAGTGTATTGGCGGCGCCGTTTCTAGGCAACTCGGTGCTGGGCGCGAGGAAAGCGGGGGGGAAGGCGCCGGTGGCTCCTATGCTGCATGTGGGGAAGGAAGGGAATGTGGAGGGTGAGGATGAAGATGAGGACGAAGGTGAGGACGAGGGGAGAAGGGGCTATTGATGGGGAAGAGGGAGGGATGCGTATAGTCTGTCTTTTCTCTGTAGGTTTCTGAATATTTTTCTTCCTCAGCGGGCAAGTCTTTACGTAGAAGCCGTTTTTTGTACTTGGATTCCAGACAGCTCTTAGTTTTCAGTTTTCGTGCGTTAAATTCAAGAGAAGAAGAAAGTGGTATCCCTGCAACTCATGGTGTTATTCTTTTCCGTTTTTTTCAATTCTTTCCTCGCTCCTCAATCATAGTCTAATATCCTCAATGCAAAATCGGATATTCTGACGGTGTCGCTTGCTCAACACCATGTGTTCGCTGCTTGCTGTCCTTGTAAAAGACATTCGATGAAGCCTTTTCATCGTCACAAGCGTGTGTGTATTCGCAGTGACACGGTGTGATATCCCTCTCACAACTCCCTTCACAACCCCCCATCCATCACAACGCCCGCCTCTCAAAGCATAACTGGTGCGTCTTTCACGCAACATTGTGAAGTATTCACATAACCATCCTCTTAACCTCGCAACCTGCTTGCTCGACCATGACTGCACATCATACCCAACTGATTGTTTGCATTACCGCCCATCCAGTTAACAAAAAGCTAACATAGAAATACCAAGCATCACCATGTTGAAGCTCATAAGTAATATCACCAGTACAGGAAGTGTTAAAGGCCTCCCGACCCCGTCGATGCAAATCCTAGAACACATCATCGTCGACCGGCCAGCCGATCCCGAAACGCTGGTCCTCGCGCATAAAGACGCAAAACTGTACGTCGCCAGCCACAAAGGTAGTCTGTCGAAGTCGGCCGTCGAGACCGCTAACCCGTCAACATGGTTGGATCCAGCGACATGCGTGCCGCCCCAGGAAGTCTGTCTGCAGAACATATACCCTGCACACCAGGCTTTGTTCACGAGATATGTATATCCTGGAGATATGGAGATGACGGCAGACGTGTATGTGAAGCGCGTAAACGTGCTAGACATCGTGTACCACCACGGTATGTCCAGCTTGACGAAACCACGTACCAGCCAGCTAGTCGTGCGAGAGGCCTTTGTGTGTGAACTACTGCGTCGCAATCCGCACCGCAATATCGCTGTATACAAGGGTGTGCTCACGGGGATGCAGCTCACATACTTCTACCGTGGCCTTCCCGTCCAGATCCCCATGCCCACGGAGCGCGTACTAGGTCTCGTGTTCCAGCGCTACGACTGCACGCTGTACGACTTGGTGATGCGGCGCCAGGACATCGATGTACAGCGCTGTCTAACGTCCATTGCGCTAGGCATTCACCATCTTCACACTCTAGGGCTGGTGCACTGCGACATCAAGCCGAAGAACATTTTTGTGCGACGATATGGGCATGCACGGCGCGACTTGTTCGTCGTTGGCGACTTTGATAGTGCGCAGGTGGTGGGGAGCGTGTTGAAGTTGAAGGGTGGGGATCTGAAGTGGAGTCGGAGGAAGGTGCTGGGGAGGGATGTAGCGGAACGGGAGGATGATTGGTATGCGTTTGAGCGGCTGAAGACGTGGCTGTGCAGGGAGGTGGGAGAGGATGCGGGAGAGTATGCGGAGATTGGGCGGTGGGGATGATGAGTCGGTTGGGGAGTGCGTTGTCTTTGCTGGAGTCGCGTCTGACACGTTATCGAAATGAGCTGGGGTCAGTGTCAGGGTCAGGGTGTTGCTGGTTAATGAGTATGCCAACGATGACTGTGACTTTGGATAACTGTTCGAACTTGAAGGCGTCTACTATGAATTTGCAAGATGGATGTTGAGGATGAGGATGATTGTTCGAGGCCTGGATGGGCCCGTTGTATCCTCAGCCTTACGCGTGGGGCCGCCACCCGAGCGTGTAACTTCCGACACCTTCATTCGAGCATGGATAGAGCCTCGAGCACAACTCCACAGCCGACGCTACCGGCCGCAATTTCGCGCGCCTGGCGCTCTACAAGCTCCAAGAAAGCCACCCATCTTCTTCATCTACTTCATGTTCTTCTGTACACATCTTCATAATTGACATATCTTTAATAGCGTACCTTCATATCCATTGTAATCAACCTCCTATTTTCCCTACCTAATCAGCAATCATACAACCTCCTACCAAACCATGGCCAAACCACTCGAGACGCCCCCATGCTCCAGAAACCTCGCAGACCTCGCGCGCCAGGAGAAATCCTTCATATTCAACCACTTCACATGCGAACACGCATGGGTCATCGGAAACATCCTGCGCAACACACTGCGCACCGCCGACACACCCGCGTTGGTACACATCTCCATGCAAGCGCAGACGCTCTTTCACTCCCCATCGCTACCTGGCATGATGCCCGACCACGAAACCTGGGCACAGCGCAAAAGGCTCACCGTGCTGCGCTGGGGCCACTCGACGTGGTACATGAACTGCCAGTTCGAGGGCAACTACAAGCGCTTTGCCGAGCAAAATGCCATGAGTGGGGACGAGTGGGCGAAATACACGATAGAAGGGGGCGGGTATCCCGTATTTGTTAAGGGTGTCGAAGGCTGCGTAGGCGCGATTGTACTCGTGGGCATGGACGGGGAGCAAGCCCATGGTGTTATTCTCAAGGCTATTGACGAATACAAGGAGCTGAGAGAAGGATACAAGACTCCCCAACGAAGCGCGACTGTGAAATGACTACATGGTCCGGAGAACGCAACGGGCCTGGGCCTAGGCATTGAATTAAATGTTGAAGACAAGCCATCGCTGGACAGCATGGTGCGGCATAACAAGGGACTAGGTATTAATTTCGGCCTGGAAGGACTGCCAGGTTATGTGTCTACAACAAGGCAGAAGAAGAAAAGCTAGCGTTGGGGTTGACGGGACGGAAACCGAACCGCCCTCCAATCGCGTCAAAGACTATGGAGTAGCCGAAGAAAAAGTTACGTCCTGTGTTGATGAACGGTGGGGATGCTGGCCTCACAGGGAAAACGTAACTGGGCTCGATGGAGGACCCTTCGCCGACCGTGAAAGAAAAGTCGATAATACTCCTCTCTGACGGCAAACTGTCGATGGAGATCGTGGTGCCCGGCTTGACGCGTCTAACCATCTTGGTCATGCTCTTCCGATTTGGGTTACGGATAGTAATGCTTGGGATTCGAGCACCTTCCTCGGCCCTAATATACATCTGCGGGATGCCTGTATCGATCAGCACAGGACCGCAATGCCGTTCTCCGTCATTGATCTGGAAGCACATCTTCACCATTGACCAATCTCTCAGATCCTCATCGTATGTCAATCCAGGTTCCAAGTTGATAAAGGCGAAATTCCGCGTATTGTGCTGCGTCAGTCCGATATGAATGCCTTCTGTGGAGATGACGTAGCCGGCTCGCAGCTTCTCGGGAGACAATGTTCGGCCGTTGATGGATTCCAAGTTAAGGAATGGGTTCACGCTTGGTGTAGCAAATGGCATCCCGTCTCTAGGCTCGTTTCTGCCAAACCCAACCCCCATATAAGTGATCTGCGAGGTATCCCGCCGTGTTGCTGTCTCCCCATTCGGACCGATTGGACAGTCGAATCCATCTGTCCTCGTGTTGTACCACGGACACGTCCAGCTTTTGTCTACAATGAAGACCGGGACCTTTGCTATCGCATATGAGTTGTCCCCACTGTAGAACCGGACGGAAAGATCAACGAGTCGGCCAACGTAGAAGATCTTACTACTCGTGAAGAAGTGATGCGCTGGGACACCTTCTGATGGATCGACATTTGGAAGTCTGGGCGCCCCGATCAAAAGCCCTGTTGATCCAGTGTCGACAGGCATATCGATGTCGACACCCTCAATTGTAGTTTTGACCTTTGGCACATTTTTCGCGCTGAACTTGTTGATGTAGGGAATGAATATCGTTTCCGTATAACGTGACGAATTCGTGTCCGTTGATGGCATGGTATTGATGTGTTTCGAGAAGAAGAAAAGACCAAAAATTACTACAGCGGCAAGGACTCGAACAAATGTCGGTGAACCTCTCTGCTCCTTGTTAGGTAAAATTGCATGTGGTGGTAGTGCTGGTGCATGTCTGGTCTTCATGGCTATATGTAGACGCTGAGATCCTCTGGTACGAGGAGCTAGAAGTAGCACGTGGGCACTATGATCAGGACTGTACGGGGTGACAAGTTGAAGTGACGTATAGCGTGTAGTTTGAAACCAACTGCATAAAGGGTTATTGCTTTCTCGGTATGTCGTCCATGAGCTGGCGAGGCATGCTAGCACTAGTGTTACGCTGACTCGATCACACTAGATAGTTACTTTTAGGCACATAGAACGCCTTAGTGGTCGACAAAACTGAACTACTGATTAACTATACACGTTCGTGCATAGTGCTTATCGAAAGCTTGGATAACATGACGTCAAATCGTCCAAGTCTCCTGGAGATTAGGTGCGCATACTCCCGTCGGGTTCTGGGCAAGCAAGCCTATCTGGGTAGATGATTATCAAACACCCATATGCATCTGCCGAAAACGGGTTGACGGTGTAGTAGTCTCAGCCATGATCGTGGTACCATCCACAACTGGTTCATGCTCTCCTGATAACTGGCCACCACTCATCCTCCACATCTTCTAATAGGGGCGACTTCATAACCTTCTCCCACTCACCATCCAAGACGTCATCTAGCACTGCAACGCCCAAATCAACCAGCTTGCGCGTACTCTCTTCATCTGTCCACTCCACTCTAGTAGGCCAGAACGCAACATGCACAGCCCAATGCACTACCATTCTCTTCACCCACGTCTTTCCAATTTGCATACCATCGCTCTCCCTGGCCATGATGTATGCCCTCAAGAAGGCAGGACGCAGGCCTCTGCCACCTCGAAACCGATCGAGTAGGAATGCTTCGGCTGCGAATTGTCCAACATCTGTCGCGCTCGTGCCACGACGTACCATCTCCCAGTCCACGATTGTAAGGTCTGCCGGCTTTCCATCTGGGATGTCGTTGAGCCGAACCAGGACGTTACCAGGCCAGAAGTCTCCATGACATATGCATTCATCGTCTGTCGCGATCAGGCTGCCAAAATCTTCGTTGATGCGCTCAGCAAGCTTTGTATCATATCCATACTTTTTGAGGGCTGTGTGTAGGTTGCTGTACGAGTGTCGATATATAGATAACCCGACAGGATTGTTTCCTCTGACATTTGTTTCATGCGAGGAAAGTGCAAGCGATGTCTCTCTAGAGCATATGTGGAGTGCAGCCAGCCATTGACCTAACTCTCTTGCAATTCCAGGAACATCGAGGTTTGAATTAGTATAAGCATCCTTTAGATTCTGGTCGCCGCCGTCTTCGATGGCTAGAAGCTTCTCCCCTTTGTCATACTTCAGTAGACGTACAACGTGTACCGTCGAGTTGGGAAGTCGATCTGCCAGGAGGCCTACACCGTCGACAGGCGATATGATCTCGAGTATGTGGGCTTCAAAGTCCATGCGCATTTGGTCGAATTGAAAGGCCTTATTGATCCGGAGGAATGGTGCAGCATGCTTGAAGATTGTCGTAGAACCATCGGTGTTCCTGACGCGATATACATAGTTCGCTGTTCCGCCTGTAAGCAGGGTGATAGTAACTGGCGCTTGACTGTGTGTAGCCAGATAGGCACGGAGATCTTCTTCGGTGGTGAGATTGTGAGACGGAGCCATAGGTTAAGACAATGCAGAAAATTGAATAGCAGAGAGAAAGAAAGCAAATGCTAAAGATGAAAAATCACAGAATATGATTAGAGACGAAGGATGTATATACTTGTAACAACCTTCGAAAGTACTTTGACAGTGCGAGTATTACTCCAACTCGACATCCCCAGCTATCAACTTCCTTCCTGGTTGTGAGATGATTCAAAATGAGTCATGTTCATCATCACAATGTTGGTATCGCAGCCATCTCAGCAACTGAGGAAAGGGAGAAGTGGGGTACTTGCACACAATGATGGAAGGTCTAGCCGAGCATGACATCACGTACACCTCCACCATCAACAGAAGTAGTTCACGCAACATACCCTTCAATCTCACATTGCCAACTTCTGAATATCGTCTATAAGCCAGTATCAACACCTCGGTCAGATATGCCCCTCAAAACCAAAACAGACCTTCCTTTGTGCCCTCTTCTGTCCCAACACCCAGTTCCCCAAACTTCGCCTTGATCCTCTCCCCAATCCTAGCCCCAAAAGCCTCCGTATCGCTCAGTGGCGGCATGCCCCCCTCAACATTAAGCTGCGACCTTACCCACACTGTCTCCTTTATATCTTTACACGCATCTTTCATCTGATTGAACGTATCGTTGTCAAATCCACCACCCACAGCGACGGCTATAGGGGGTTGCGTGTAGTTCTGCGAGCCGTGATTGCTGGACGTTTCAGGTGGTGTTTTGCCGGACAGGAGGAGTGGGATGTCTTTTGCACCGGCTTCGGGGGTGAGAATAATGTGTATTACTGGGAAGGAGAAGTTAGATGTGTGTTGTGGTAAGGTAGACGGCAGGATGTACCATCGTATTCCGGGAGGAGGGTTTGCCGGACCCTAGCTGCGATTTTGGGATTCCTGCCGCATACGATGATTGGGATACTGGCCATGTTGGTGGTGAGGTTGGAGATGAGGTTGTTGCGAAATAGTGGGGTTTTAGAGCTTGAAGATCTAATTGAGGCGGGGAAATCTAACTGCTTGATTATGGTTCTTGCAATCATATCGAGGCTGCTACCTCTTATGTATCACTTATCTTATATATTAGTTCGTTGTGGTCGGAGATATCTAGCTTCAAGAGGCTTAGGCTCGCCCTCTCGGCCTCCACATCACGCGAATTCTGCACCAATTCATCATAGATCGTTTTGGGGAACTTGTAACTATCATTTCTTCTTGTTTACTCGAGCTTCCCTTTAAGTCTACCACCACGTCGTCAAACTCAATTTGACTCAGTGTTTCCTCAAAAACAACACCAACCATCCCAACACCCGATACACAAACACAATGACCACCATGTACCCGACATACCGCCCCACGTTCCCGGTCCCATACCCGTACTGGCTCAATACCGCCTTCCCCTCAATCAAACACTGATCCTGCAACGCACTAGGATACATGCACTGACACCCACCATCCTCTGTGCGCGCACAACTAAAATTCCTGTTTCCAAACTCGTTCACCATCATCCCCCGGAACACGTAAGCCTGGTAATCGATGTAGTGGAAGACGTAACGCCAGAAAGCGTTGAGAGTTTCCGGCTGCACCATGAACCCATTCACGCACATCCACAGTCCGTTTGCAAACGCCGTAGCAGCGAGTGCAACGACGAAGATGGGGATCAGCGAGCTGAGCAGCACAACGAGCGACTCTGCCGCCAGCAGGTCGAGGAACAGCCACATGACCCACGTCCAGAAGCCCGTTGCGCTAGGCTGGAAGTTACCAAGCCAGTACGCGATCACGGAGAACAGGATCGTGATGAGGAATAGATATGGAATGCCAATGACGAAGTTTGCTACCATGAACGCAGTCGGTCCGTACAAACCGTTCGCGCGCTCCTTGGTGTAGAGATGCAGGTCCTCAATGTACGCGGGGATGTAAGCAACCGCCATGAAGGACATGAAGGCGCCGCCGAAGAAAATCGCGTTAGTGAAGGCTTGAATGTTGGCCTGCGTAGGCGAGAGACGCAACCACACGGTACCCATCATGATTGCTAGGCCCATGTACATCGCAATCCGGATTCCGTATGCGACGACATCGCGGTAAGATTTTATGAATGAGCGGTGGATGAGGGTGAGTGGGATGAGGAGAGGGTTCGCGGAGTTGTTCGATGAAGGTGTCAGCGGTGCTGGATTGTTTGATACTGAATGAATCTTGGCGGTCAAGGCAGCGGCGGTTGGTGAGTCGGCCCAGGACGTGTGGAGGTGCGCGAGTTGTTGGTTAGATTTTGCCTGATCCTGGGAGAAATCGGTGTTGACAAGCTGGATGAGGTATTCGGCTGGATTTGTGTACATCGGCATCTGAGGATCGATTAGCATCGTACTTCTTCTCGCTTGAGATGAAGGTAAGAACTCACGTTATATCCCAACCCGCCGAAGTAGTCTACTACTTGTTTAACTGGGCCATTGTATGCGACTTTGCCGCGCGACAGGAGCATGAGTTTGTCGAAGAGCTCAAAGGTCGTCGTAGAAGGTTGGTGTATGGATGCGATGACCAGAACCTTTACATTCCGTCAGTCAAGGTCATAACAATTCGGTCTAACGATTTGTCACTTACTTTGTGCTTCCGAGCCACGTCCCTCACAAAACTCATAACCTCATAACTCGCCGCAGAATCCAGCCCACTGGTTGGCTCATCCAAGAACACAATCTTAGGACTCGTGATCAGTTGACTAGCCACACTAACTCTTCTCTTTTGGCCCCCCGACACACCCTTGCGGATTGGTGTCCCGATGATTGTGTCAGCCTGGTTCTGCAGCCCAAATGCTGACAGCAGGCCTTCAATGCGAGTCTTGCGTTGAGTTTTGTTGATAGAGCTACGTCATGTTGGTCAGCCCTAGTGTAGTGCAGCATTTGGGGGCCGAAAAGGAAAGCTGAACCATGTAAGCTTACCTGGGAAGTGCGAGCTGAGCAGCAAAATACAACGTTTCTCGAACGGTGAGAGAGCCGACTAAGGCATCATCTTGCTCGACGTACGAGCTGAGCTTCCGAAAGCTTGCGAGCGAGGTCGGTGTCCCGTTGATGCAAAGCGTCTGCTGGATGGTGGCGTTTGGAGTTGCGGCTCTATGAGCGAGGACGTTGAGGAGAGTCGTTTTGCCAGAACCACTGAGACATGAAATTAGAAGTGATTCTTGAACCGTTGGAGGTGTGCTTTGAGCTTACCTGGGGCCCATCAGAGCAAGCATTTCACCTGTCATCAGATTAGCCTTGACCTGCCGTAGATTCCAATCAACATACCTGCTTCCACGAATCCACTGATCCCATCCAGAATATCAACCGACATCTTCGTCTTCCGATCCTTGACAGAAACGGTAACATCCTCCCAACTGAAGCTCTCCACAACATCGTTAGTCAAATGCGCATAATCCGCACCCTTCTCAACATCAGCAACCTCAGCAGCAACCCCACGCTTAGCAGTAGTAGCCATGATATCTCAGCGTCCAAACTCTGAGCAAAGACAACAGAAAAGCAGGAAAGCAACGAAACAACAAATCAAACAGAGCCCATCCAACGGACAATATATCCATCCCTCATTACCACCAGCCCCCAACTGCATGACTACACTCCGCTCCACTCCCCAGCATACATAGCGTAATCCAGATCGCCGACAAAATGTGGCAGGCGAATACCGAATCCCGCTTACGCTCACGACGTGGCCAGCCTTCGTACAGGAAAAGTAAGCACCCCAACGGTCCGCCCATACGCAGCCCGCCCGCTGATTTGGCACATGGACGCCCACTATCCACAGTACAAACTTCGAGGAGGCTACCGAGGCTCTGGCACCACGGCGGTGCGTGTGTATGGAGCTTACACAGTACATGCATGGAGGTGTAATGTAGTCTGTGCGTGTCCAATCAGCCATGCAGAACGTTGTTTTAACATTGTACATTTCCCTTTATCGTGCGTGCTTTCCATGGGTATGTAGCAAGGTACCTACCCAGAGCGGAGGTCATGTATGCAGGCAGTTCACCTTGCTTCTGCATAGACCTGGGTGTCTATCTCATACAAAGCATAATATATCGTACCACTTCACTTCACACCCTCCCAGCAAGCAAGCAAGCAAAATGCTGACTCGCTTTTCCATACTTCCAGCGTAGACATACGTTCATTCGCCGCGTCACGTCGTGTCGTGTCGTGTCGTATTGCATGCAAATGTACCTGCCTAGTTCCCCCCACGCACAGACGCACACCGTACCGCATCGGACCGTACCACCTCGCCGACGTTCCACAACATCTACCTACATCCACATCCCTATCCACATCCCCGACAACCAACCTACAGGGCTGCACATCCGCGCATCTCCCGCCCGGCTATCAGATCCGATCCACGACAACTCCATTCCATCCCTCATGATGTATCCCCAGTACCCAAGTATCCAATAAAGTGCACCCACCCACACAAATCCACACAACACGACACAAACCCTAGATTTCCTTATGCCAACCTCCCACCTTTCTTCTGCCGACGCTGGATCAACGACTCGATGCGGAAAACCCCCTGCCCGAGACGGTCTAGCGGTTACGCCCTGCCGTCCCCATCGAGATATTGCACATTAGTGAGGTTTGCTTTTTCAACACCACACGGCCGGGCCGTCTCGTGTTTCCGATTCCTCGGGGATGCGGGTACCGGTGCAATGGTGGTGTGGTGTATTTCCAGGTCCACGGACTTGCGAGGGCGCGCGTGCGCCTGGGCTGAAAAGGAAAGGAGGGATCGTGATTGTGGTTGAATGCGTGAGAGAGAAAATGGAAATGGAAATGGAAATATGTAAACATAGATGTAGTGGCAAAATAGCAAATGTAAACATGGTATACTACACACACGCACCATGCGCCTCCCGCCTCTCCCCCACGCTCCACACCACCGCAAAAAAACCTCATTACATGAACTCGCCAATCTGCAGTACCTGCGCGTCCAACTTCCGCCTAGCCTGCACGCCGACCTCCCTGTTCTCCGCCCCGAGCGCCTCCTCATAGCACATCTCAAGCAAGCGCTGCACCTCCTGCTGACCCATCATACCCGCAGGCAAGCCAAAGTCGGCACCAAACTGCCTAGCACGGGCGACAATCGCATCGGGCCCCGCAGTGAACAGATCGAAGAAGAGTGCGGAGTGAGCCAGGGTAGCGCCGTCTTCGATGTTTTTGAGGTTCTGCTGCAGCACGAGAATGTTGAGCTGCATGAGGGCGCAGCCCGTGGTATTCATTTTCTCAATGCGGTGCACGCACAGCGAGAGTAGGTAGGTGTCCATGAGCGCCGTGAGGCCGCGGGTGATGTGCGTGTAGGCTGTTGGGGGGATGGAGGGCGAGACGTCTGTGTCGAAGGCGATGAGGAGTGCGTTTAGCGTGAGGACCGGGGCGGAGGGGTCCTGCGGGGCGTCTGTGGTTAGGGAGAGGTCGGGTTGGATGGCGTAGGTTAGGGAGTGGAGGAGCGTGGTGCGGATGGAGAGGTGGAGGGTGCGGAGGACGCGGGTGCTGAGGGATTGGTAGGTGGATACCACGGCGTCGAAGGAGCTGGGGTAGAGTTAGTCTGCGTTGCGTTGCTACTGCGATGTGAGTTGGTCGGGGAGACTTACGCAGCGGTTTCTCGGTTTAGGGGCAGGTAGATTGGTGCACCTTGCGTTCTGGGCTCCGAGGAGGAGAGGAGTGTCCAGCGCCTGTTGTGTCTCTCGCCGGCGGACTGTGCAAGCGTGGAGTCTGTTGCTCGGTCGCTGATGTGGCGTAGTTGCGCGATCTTGGTGGCGAGCCATTTCATGCTCGTGTACAGGAGACAGAGACTGATGATGGCTTTCTTGTCTTGCACCATGTCCGCTTGGTCTAATGGCTCTGTCTCTACCGCTTGCGATAGTAAGGTGATTTCATGCGCTACTAGTTGATCGAAGGCCTCACTGTCTGTCGGGTCGGCTTGGAAAAGCTGTGAGACAACATCTTCTATCTCTGCCGACTGTGCCCACGCGGCGGATGCTTTTAGGGTTCTACCGGTGGGTGTAGGCTGCGCACGACTGACAAGAGCTGTGTACCAGCTTGTGCACTTCTGCGCATATGTTTCCATCTGGCTAACAACCAATTGGGAGAAAGCCTGATCGTGTGGCAGATTGTCAAGCATCTTGCAAAAGGCAGAAATAAGGACGAAGAAGTTTGCGGTCCCCTGGTACGGTTAGAATGTGTCTGAATCATAGAAAGGGCTCGGCGTACTTTGAAAATAGGCTTCTTAGAGTGCTTCGCCCAGTGGGAATCTTCCTGGAAAGCATCCAATTCAACAAACGTCTGAGCACACAGCTCCACAAGTGTCTCGTCCAGCTGCGGATGGAAAACGTTCACCAGAAAGTCGTCAAGGAACGAAGTCAGTGTCGTCATCTTGATGTCTGCAGTTGGAGGTACAACCTCCTTCAATCTATTCAAAAACTCCAGCGATGGCGGCAGTAGGATACCCATGTTGAAGACGCTTGGCTCAACAAGCAGTTTGTGTCCAGTCGCACTGCCGTCTAGTTTAGTGGTTGTAATTGTAGCCAAATCATCTGGTCTCTTTGAGTTTGACACAAGTCCGGGAACCGAAGACTTCAAAATAGATTCTAGATCTGCTCGCTCTTGTGTGATGTCGGATGACTTGGTATCCATATCTGAGAGACTGAACATGCGCTTGTTCTTGTCTCGAGGAGTACGCGAGAATGCGCTTGTGATAGACGTAGGGCCATTGCCACTCCGGTATGAGGTTTCGCCGTCTGTTGCGAGATAGTCGTGGAGTATTGAGCGCATCTGAATCGCGTTAGTACACATTCTATTACGTTGGAAGTATGCTTGCCTCGCTCTGATACAGCTTCCACAACTCCTTGAACCCACGGGTCAAGGCTTTGCTGGATGAATCTCGCAGACCTTCTCGGCGGACGATGCCAGCAACAACATCATGCACAACTCTATGACTTTCGGCAATCGCCTCAAACCGCGCGTAAAGAGTCCAGAGCAAGTCGTTGAGGAGGGTTGCTCTGATGTCATCGCTTTCAATTTGGGTCTTGGACTTGGCTCCCTTTCTCGTCGCATAAGCCCGCAGTATACTTGGGTGACGTAGGGCGACTTCGTTGTTCGATTTGTCGACAACTTTGAACAGCTCCACAGGCAATCGATCTTCAATGGTGTTGATTGCTATCTCTAGACGGCCCATCTTGTTGAGCGACTCTATTATAAGTCTTATGTACTGGAAGGTGTCCGATTCAGGGTTGTGTGCCGAGTCGTCAGTCATCTGAGAATGTGAGCAAAACACTTTAAATGGGAGGGTTCGCATACCGGCTCGGAAGTGTCGAGACCGTCCAAAAAGTAGAACAATAGCCTGCCACTAATATCTGTCTGAGCACGCTCGGATATATCGCTCTTGACTTGGTTCTGGGCGTACTCTTTCCACCTGTCCTCGCAATACGGCGATTTGAGATAGAGATGGCTGTGGAGCTCTTCGACCAAAATATCGGTGAGTGAGACCTCCTGGTTGCTGAGATAAATACGGAGATCGCCCAGCGCACCGATTGTCTCCATTTCAGATTTTCGGATCATTCGCAACGCGTCTTGGAGGATATCTACAGCCGATAAGAAGCGCTTCTCTGAGATACAAGCCTCTAGTTTCTCGGGTACAAGTTGTAGTTGCGCGATGGTGTTCAACATCTGTAACATCTCATCATAACTTTGGGAAGCTATTGCAAACTCTCGCAGCTCCGGTTTGGCGGATGATAGTTGCGACTTTGCAGATGTAAGAGATGTTTTGAGCTTCCGGACATTGTGCTGAGAGTTTTGCAGACTGTTCTGGATTTGATGGAAGGTACCGATGGAGCTGTTGAAGCCCTGGTGGTGCTCTATCTCTATTAGCTAGTATTCAACTCCAACACAGCCAAGGCACTCACCATTCACAATCGTCTTCAGTGCCTGCTGGAGCTCCTGGTGTGTTCCCCGGAACTTGCCGTACTGATCTGCCAGTCCGAGGGAGCTCGAGTCCATGAGCTTCAATGCGACCTCGATTGGTATGCATTGGTCCTTGGTCATGAAATCCCATTTCTGCTGGATGTACTGCAGGACCTCTTCAATGCGCTGGCTTCCCGGGCCATAGTTGGTAGCAGCTGGTCTGGGTCGACCGACTCCATTCTGCCTCTCCCCGCTACGTCGTTTTGCCTGCGAGCGCTCGAGACTGGTAGGACGCGAGATCTGGGCAGCCTCCTCTTCGCGCACACGACCTGGACGGCCCTGTTCGACACTCGGTCGCGATCCAGAGTCTTCTCGTCTAGCTCCGAGCCCGCCATAACCACCGGGCCGCCTCTCGCGGTCGCCGCTTGGCCGCCTTGCAAACTCGTCTTCTCTGGCAACAATGCCTTCATAGGCGCTTGGTCGTCGTTCGCGTTCGCCGCTCGGTCGCCGCGCGTTTTCGTCCTCTACAGCGTCTAGGCCTCCGTATCCACCAGGTCGCCTTCGCGGCTCGGTGCTGGGTGGTCCGAGATCGTCGGCTGCAGCGTTGTACCCGCCGTTGTTATAGCTTCCGTTTGAGTAGCCTCCATTCGCGCCCGCCCGCGGGTAACCAGGAATGCGCGACATGGCGCGCTCGGATGTCGCAGTTTACCGTGGGCGTATGCGGAGGAAGGGCCAGGTCATGGTGTGCGATTGGGAGGTTTGCGCGTCGACGTCCTGTTAGAGTGTGTACTGTCCTTTTGCGGGGAGCTCGGAGGTGTACGTTGAAACTGCAGGGATCACGGGCTGCGATGTCGATGGATGCGCCGAGCCGACTTGCATACGAGGTATGGCGGAACGACGCAGGTAAAATCGGTGATTATTTTCCAATGACACTACTCGGATCACGCTTCACTGCCTCTACTCATCCAGTGCGCATTATGCTGATGTTGCTCGTAATGCCAAGATATTCCGCTCCGCCCCGCAAGGAGAAGACTAACCTAATCGAGGCTGCTCCTGCACGCTCTCACTTCGCGATTCTTTGACCAGCCATCCACTCAACAACTCAACGCAGGCAACCCGCAGCCTCGCGCCCTCACCCCATCGTATTCGCCCTGCTATGTCGCGCTGATAGCTCGATTCTTCCACCTGCCTCAATTCCCACCCCGACACAGCTCGCCATGGCTGCAACACAGGCGAACGGCGCGAACGGCGTGAATGGCGCAGGCACAATGTTTCCTCCACCGCGTTTCTCGGACCTCCCCAGCAACCTCAACATCCCGACGCTGGATGAAGGCCAAGACGCCGAGATTGACATCTCGCTCGACGAGGACATTGAGGGCGATCCTACGGACTTGGTCACGCTGCTGCAGAACGAGAACAGTCCCACACCGACATGGGTCACGGTCGCGGTTGCTTACGCGAAGCACAAGAAGGTCGACCACGCCATCGATGTGCTGAGTCAGGCCGTCAGCGTGTTTGAGCGGGCGCGCGTCGAGGACAAGCTCAGCATCCTGAACGGGCTCTGCTGGCTGTATCTGCTCAAGTGTCGCGAAGCACCGCGTCTCAAGCAAGGTAGGCGCGCCGAGCCCCTGCGCATACCCGTCCACTGACACACACACGCAGACGAGCAGCCGGACGCGAAGACCAAGGACCACTACCTCCAAGCAGCCACGGGCGTGCTCAACGATGCCTTGCGCCTCAACCCGTCGCACCCCCCGCTCTTCCTCGCCCGTGGCGTGCTTTTCCTGCTCAAGGCTTCGCTGCAGGCGCCCTCGACTACCGCCGGCCCAAGCGCCGTCAGCACAACCCGCATGGACACGTTGAAGCAGGCCGCACGCTACTTTGAAGACGCACTGCGAGCGTCTGGCGGAAAGAATCTCCTGGCTAGGATGGGCAAGGCGCGCGTCAACTATTCCATGGCCAAATACGCGGATGCTTTGAAGGTGTACCAGAGCGTTTTGGAGAGTTCCCCGGACTTGATCGACCCAGACCCGCGAATTGGAATTGGCTGCTGCTTCTGGCAGCTCGGCTTCAAGGATGATGCTGCTAGTGCATGGCAGAGGTCGCTCGATTTGAATCCAGACTCGAAGATTGCCCTCGTCTTGATGGGCGTCTACAACTACCACCTTACCGCGCAACTACCGCCCTCCGACCCAGCGTTTGCCAACCTGTCCAAAAAGGCTGTCAGCGAGTATTTCGTACCTGCCCTGAAGAAGGACGGCCAGTTTCCTCTGACATGCGCAGCTCTCGGCAGCTGGTTTGTCATGAGGAAGGACTTCCCCAAAGTCGAGAAAATCTCCCGACGTGCTATTGAGCTGACTGACATCAATGCGATCGCCAGCGACGGATGGTACCAGCTAGCCAGGAAAGAGCACCAGCAGGAGAATATAGCGAAAGCCGCCGAGTTCTACGCGAAGTCTGACGGTGCCCGCGGAGGTGACGAGCGCGGCTACATACCCGCAAAGTTCGGATCGGCCCAGATGAACGTCCTCATGTCCAACTACGACGGAGCAAAATTTCGCCTGGAAAAGATTCTCCAACAACAACCTACATTGGAGGCGCAGACTCTTCTCGGCACGCTCTACGCGGAGGACGTATTTGCTGCTCAAACCAACAAGTCTACTGACGACAAGTCGGCTGAACTGAAGAAAGCCCTGAAATACCTCGAAGACGTTCAGAAGGCATGGAAGGACCCCAAAAGAAAAGCCACACCTGATCAGTCTGTGCTGTTGAACTTGGCAAGACTCTACGAAGCTGATCATCCTGACAAGAGCTTGAAGTGCCTTGAAGAGGTTGAGCAGATGGAGCTGGATGCTATCCCAGAGGAGGATTACCCCGAGGATATCGAGGACGAGGTCGAGCTCAAGACGGCATTACGTGAATTGTTGCCACCCCAACTGCTCAACAATATGGGATGCTTCCATTACCAGGCAGAACGCTTTGTTCGGGCACGAGAACTCTTCCAGGCGGCGCTCAACGCGTGTGTCCAGGCAGCGTCTCGCGATGAAACAATCGACACGGATGCTCTCGTCACCTCCATCAGCTACAATCTCGGCCGCACCTACGAGTCGGAGGGTATGCTCGAAGAGGCCAACAACGTGTACAAGGGTCTCCTGAAAAGGCACGCCGATTACGTCGATGCTCGTATCCGCCTCACGTACATTTCTTTGCGCCAGAACCCCACCGACGAAGGTCCGAAAGCGATGAAGCAGCTGTTCAAGGAGAACGAAGACAACGTCGAGGTTCGTGCCCTGTATGGGTGGTATCTGAATAAGTCCAAGAAGAAGGGTCTGGACTTTGCGACGGATGTCGAGCAACGTCTGTACAAGCACACGCTTCAGCAATTCGACAAGCACGATCGCTACTCGCTTATGGGCATGGGCAATATCCTATTGACGATTGCCCGTGAGCTACCTAAGAACTCTGAGCAAGAGAAAGAGAAGCGTCGGAAACAGTACGAGAAGGCCGTCGAGTTTTTCGACAAGGTTCTCCAGCTTGACCCGAAGAACGCCTATGCTGCGCAGGGTATCGCTATTGCCTTAGTCGAAGACAAGAAGGATTTCTCCACGGCACTGCAGATCTTCACAAAAGTGAAGGAGACGCTCAAGGATTACAGCGTCTACGTCAATTTGGGCCACACCTACAGCGAGATCAAGCAGTACGCTCGGGCGATCGAAAACGTCAGTATTCCCCACCACACACCTCATATCAATCGCACCACTAACACCCCCTAGTACGAAGCAGCACTCTCGAAAAACCGCCAACAAGACCCCCGAATCCTCTCCTGTCTCGGCCGCACATGGTACCTCCGCGCGCGCCACGAGCGCAGCATATCCGCCTTCCGCACCGCGCTCGACTACTCCAAGCAAGCGCTAAAAATCATCCCAACCGACCTCTCCTACCAATTCAACGTAGCATTCATCCAATTCCAAATCGCGCAGCAAATCCACTCACTCCCGGAATCCCAACGCACACTAGAAGAAGTCGACGACGCCGCCCTCGGCCTAACCGCAGCAATCACCTCCCTCGAGCAAATCGCCAAAGCGGAATTCCCCCCCTTCCCCAAAGCAGATATCATCTCCCGTGCGAATATGGGCAGGAATACAATGGCAAAGCAACTCGACCGCCACCGCGAAAAACAAGCTGCCTATGAGGATGAAAATGCGTCGAAACTCGACCAGGCGCGTAAGCTGCGCGACGCCGAAATGCGCCGTCGCGACGAGGAGAAGAAACGCAGCGAAGCCGCGGCTTTGGAACGCAAGCGCTTGATCCTCGAAGAACAGGTGCGCGTCGCCGAGCGCGATAGGCGGCTCATGGAGCAGCGCGGCGACGAGGAGCGGCGCCGACTAGACGAGGACGAGGATAAAGAGACGAGGAAAGCGGAGCGACGTGCGCGCGGGGCCGCGAAAGGTGGGAAGCGCAAGAAGAAGGATAGCAATGCGGAGTCGGACTCTGATGCTGGGCTGTCGAGCGATGGCGAGGAGCCGCGGTCGCGGAGGAGGAGGACGAGTACGGAGGGGGAGGGCGTGTCGGATGATGAACGCCCAAGGGAGAAGAAGAAACGTAAGCTTGTTAAGAAGGGGGAGCCCGTGGGCAAGTATAAGAGTGCGCAGTTTGTGGATGATGATGAGGATAGTGAGGTGGATGGGGAGGGGGATGCTGGGGAGGGGGTTAGTGCGCCGCGGGCGAGGAAGGGGCGTGTTGTGGATGATGAGGAGGAGGAGGATGGGGAGGGTGAGGCGGAGGGGAAGGCGAATGTGGATGTGCGTATGGATGAGGATGATGAGGATGAGTAGGGGTGTAGTTTTTCGTCAGTTTTTTGGCTGAGGGCTTGTGTCGCATTGCGATGGGCGTTTTTGGCGCGAGGTTCTTGCTTTGCATTAGCAGCTATCTAGCTATCTGGCGGACTTGTAAATTGTAGGTATATCAACCAACCAACCAGTCAATCAAGTGGTCTAGTCGGTCTCCTGAAGAAACAAAACAGCGTAGATGTAAAAGATTGATTACATTGCATTGCATTGTAATGTAAGGTAAGGTAAGGTAATGTGATATGTCATGTCGTGGTATATTGTGGTATATCATGTCGTCGTTAGCCATCCATCTGCCCATCTCATCTCATCTCATCTCCTTTCTCTCATCCCACACTACACTTCAAACCTGCCCACAAGGACCGTCAAACCAAGCCAAGTCAAGCCAAGCACCACCCCCCCTCCCAACACCAAATCCACACCTACGCCTTCACCGCGTCCTTCTCCCCCACCACCCCCTTCCCCTTCTTCGCAACCCTAAACCCACCAACCAGCATCGCCGCCGCCAACGCACCCAACACAACAGCAAGCGTCACACACGCGCCAATCACCCCGCCCACAGCGGGCGAAACACCCCCCTTCTTCCCCCCACTCGCCTGCGCCGTCGAGCTACTACTAGCAAACGCCGCACAAGACCCCGTAGTATTCGCACAAGCCGCACACCACTCCTGCGTCGTCGACACCGAAAACGCACTCAAATTACCCTTAAAATCCGCCCACGAGACCGCCTCCGCACTACCGCCAAACAACGGGAACGTCGCCAACGGACTCGCCGCCGACGCAGAGTTATTGTGGAACAGGAAGCGGACCTGCATATCCTCCTCCGCGGGCCAGGATCCCGCGCTGACGTCCGCAGCGGTGAAGAGTTCCAGGGCCATGGAGCTAGCGTAGTCGACTACGCCTGTGAAGTTCTCGCTTGCGGCGGGGAGGCCAGCGAGGCCGAAGAAGGACATGAATGTTGCGTAGGCGCCGAATTGGAAGGCGAGTTTTGGCGTGGTGCCGCGCGAGGTGATGGTGGAGTTTAGGGCGGTCAGGATTTCGCCGGCGAGTTGCTTGCCGGCGATTGCGCGGGCGGTGTCGGTGGCGTTGTAGGCTAGGCCCCATTCGTGGGCGTCGGCGAGGGTGCGGAGGTGGGATAGTGTGGGGGCGGGGGTTAGGGTTGTGGAGTTGTGGATTGAGGCGACGTTTAGGAGGTCGTATACTTATTGGGTGTTAGTATGGGTTATGTATTGTAAGTGGAAAGGGGACATACCGATATAAGCGTTCTTAAACGACACCTGATCCTTGGTAAACGTGCCATTCACCTCATCCACAACACCGGCATAGACATCCTTCGTGCTCGCAAGCAGATCAGTGTAGTCCTTACTCTCAAAGTACGAGTTGGAGCTCGTCTTTGCCGACTGGCAGCTACTCGCGTCCTGCAGCCAGCCCGAGTCCTCACTGCCAGCATTGGTCTGAACGGTGTTGATGGGGATAAGCTGGTAGCCATCGAGAGGGGCCTGGACGCTGTTTCCATTGGCGAGAGTCTGCACCGTGTGAACCGGCGGGTAGAGGCCCTGCAGGAAGCCCATAGCGGAGTTCTGCAGCACGTTGTCTACCGGCGCCGTGATAGCAAGCTGCGAGAGCTTGACCTCGTCGGCGCTGATGCCCATGATGGCTGTGGAGCTGGAGTTCAGGTAGCGGGTGCGGTAGTACTCGCCGGACGTGTAGACCTGCTCGTAGCCCAGGGTGGTGAGGTGGGTGGGCGCGAGAGCCTTGGGGCTACGGTCGCCATGGCGGTGGAAGACGTAGGCACCCAGGAGCGTGTCTGCGGCCTCAGCGCCGGCGAGGAGGGAGAGAGTGATGGCAGACTTCATGATTGCAGGTACGAAGGAACAGACGTAGCAACACAACCACCGACAGGCGCATTGGTGAGCATTTTATAGTCGTGACCAGCTTGACTCGGACCCCGCCGAGGGGTAGGAAAAGCTTCCTGCAAGCTTGTGGATATGGCGCTGTAGCTTGGCGATAGCAACATTGCCATGTCCAATCCCATGCCTCGACGTCCCGGATTGCAGTGGAGCAATAGATATCGTGCATGGTGTGTTTGGGCCATGAGGGGCTGCCGGCATAGTGGGGGCACATGTATTTCCACGCTTCTCCGGAAACAAGGCGTTGGGCCGATGGGCGAGGAATCGTGACTGGTTGTCGACCACGGCCGAAGTTCGGATGCGTGTTGTCGGAACTGACAGCCGTGCAAATATCGCAAAGTAGCTTCAGAGCCCAAGTACCGGTAGATGCAATGGGTAGAATGTCAAAGTCAGCGTGACGTCCCCACATCCTGTTCAGTCCTCGCTCCCACTCGCACTCCCACCCCCGTACAGAATCTCGCACACCCCCCCAATCGGCACATCCATGACTGCATCCGTGCCCGTATTCCAAAAGCTCTTCCACTCGACCTCCTCCCCGCCCGTGAAGCGATATGCATCCAGCCCCTCCCCCTCCCCCACGCCCAGCATCCTCACAATCCTGCCCGTCGCCCGCTCCACCACAGCAACCTGCGCCGTCTCGTCGACGAGATTCTCGCAGCTCTCCAGCGGCAGGGTGAGGTACTTTGTATTGTAGCTCGCGAGGGCGACGAAGATGTAGCCGACCAGCACGACGAGCCAGCACGGCACGGCAAGCGCCCACCAGCGGTTGGGGTAGTAGTGAATGCCCATCTGGTGCAGCAGGGGCGCGGGCACATAGGCCCAGAGAATGTACATGAGGAAGGCGGCCGAGCTGCCCAGGTAGACGGCGAAGCCGTAGTACTCGTAGGTGGGGATCTGGGGCGAGGCGCGGGGCACGGTGGGCGCGTGGCGGGCGCTGGCGGTCATGTGCTGCAGGTTGGTCGTGGGCGTGCTGGTGCCGGTGCGTGGGCCGTCGACATCGGACGAGTCGGGCGTCGTGGGGCGCGAGGTTGCGGCGCTGCTAAACGACGGGCGGAGCAGCGATGTCAGGGACGGCGAGGGCGGCAGCGGTGTCGGTGGGCGGCCATAGAAGGGCGGGAAGAAGGCCGTCGCTGTGTCGCGGGGGAGGTGGCTGTAGGAGCGTGATGTGTAGAGCGGGCGGCTGGTGGGCAGCGTGTCCTCATCCTCGTCGGACCCGCTGTCCGAGTCTGGCGGCGCAAACGGGTCGCCGTCTGAGTCTTGGTTGTCTTCTACCGACGCCGCCTCCGAGGGGGCGCTGTTGGACACGGGGGAGCGAGGGCTCGCCGCGGCGGCGGGCTCGTTGGAGCCATGAGCGGGCGATTCCGAGGGCGTCCGCAGTGACTGCAGTGTCGGGAGATTGGGCGTAGACTTGGACTGCAGACCGGGAGGCACGGGGCTTCCTCTGCTGTATCGTGACATGTCGTTGGTCTGGGGCGTCTGCGTGGGATTGCGTGCTCCTTGGTGCATCTTGGCTTGGAAGAGCGAGCGCCACGAACACGCGTTCGCGCTATCTCCAGAAAATACCGAGGTTCCCCAGATCCTATCAATCAATAGCGAACGCAAAAGCATCACCACCACCACCAACATGTCAAGCCCATGCATAACGTGGAAACAATTTCTTTCATCTACCTAACACACACTCACCCTCTACAGCTTACTCGCCTCCGCGCTCGTCCGGTTAAGATACAACGGATCCCGCGGCTCAATGCCATACTGCCTGCACAGCTCCTCGCCCTTCTTGTGCTGCGCCGCAATGCGCTTCAAATGCGCCACACCCCTCTTATTCTCATTCCTGCCCAGCTGCAGGAGATGCACCTCATCAGGTCCATCCACGATGCGCATCGTCCTACCACTCGAGTACATCTGCGCAAGCGGGGTGTCCTGGCTGACACCCGCACCGCCATAAGCCTGAATAGCCCAGTCGATGACCTTAAGGTTGACCTCTGGGACGAGGACCTTGACCTCAGCGATCTCCTTGAGCGCGCCCTTTGCGTTGGTCTCGTCGATCTTGATGGCAGCGTCGAGGACGGCGAGGCGCGCCGCGTCGATTTCTATGCGCGACCGGGCGACGCGCTCGAGCATTATGCCGTGCTTGTGTAGCATCTCGCCAAAGGGCTTCTTGCGCTCGTCGTTGAGACGCGCCAGCATCCACTCGAGTGCCTTCTCCGCTGACCCGATGCTGCGCATCGCGTGGTGGATGCGGCCGGGTCCGAGACGGCCCTGGATAATCTCAAAGCCCTTGCCCTCGCCGAGCACCATGTTGCTGGCGGGCACACGCACGTTTGTGAAGGTGACATGGCCGTGGCCGTGGGGCGCGTCGTCGAAGCCCATGACGGAGAGCATGCGGTGGACCGTGACGCCGGGGGTGTCATTGGAGACGAGGATGACAGACTGCTGCTTGTACTTGTCTGCGTTGTCTGGGTCTGTCTTGCCGAGAACAATAAAGATCTTGCAGCGAGGGTCACCAATACCCGAAGACCACCATTTCTATAAACTGTTAGTGAGAGTGTTAGACGAGCAGATGTGATGAAAACATACCTGGCCGTTCAAAACATACGAATCCCCATCCCGCTTAATCGTCATCTCAATATTCGTAGCATCACTCGACGCCACCTGCGGCTCCGTCATCAAAAACGCCGAGCGAATCTCGCCATTAAGCAGCGGATCAAGCCACTTCCTCTTCTGGGCCTCTGAGCCATACTTGGCCAAAACCTCCATATTGCCCGTATCAGGCGCCGCACAATTAGTAGCCTGCCACTCCGTTAGCATCTGCATCCCATCCCGTCATCCCATGCCATCCCAGCACCAAAAAACATACCTCCGAAGCAATCCGACTCTTCCCCAAGTACTCGGCCATAAGCCCATACTCGAGATTACTAAACCCCGCGCCCTCGCTAAAATGCGCCTTGGGCAGGAACATATTCCACAGCCCCAGCTCGCGCGCGCGCTTCTTCATGTCCTCGATGATGGACGGGTGCGAGCTGAAGCGCTCGAGTGTCGTTTCGCCGATCTGGCGCATGTACACGGCGTCGGCGGGGATGCATTCTTCCTCGACGAATTTCTCGACCTGGAGTAATACATGTTAGCATTGTAGGGAGTGTGGGAAGACGGGGGAGGGGACGAGGGTGGCGTATGGAGGGAGATGTATGGTATGATATGGGGAGGAAGGGGGGCGAACTAACAATATCCAGCGTCTTCTTCGCGCGCTCACTAACCCACGGCTTCGCAATCGTGGGGATGCGCTGCGAGGCTGAGACATGGCCCTTTGGGCTGTTGCTGAGGAGGTCGTAGGGGACGGACATGTTTGCAATCTCTCAATCTTTCAATCCAACAATAAATAACAACAATAACAAATTCGAACAATCCTTCACGTCGCAAGACAGTAGAAAGACAGGAAGATAGTCGGTGTGCAGAGCAAGCCCGAAACAGATATATATAACGGGGCTAGAAAGCTAGGTATGGGGGGACGGACGGACGACTCGAACAACAGCTGGCTGCGGTTAAAGCTCTCCCCCCCGCAAACAAGGGGGGGACGTGCACGGCGAGCAGTTGCCGAGGTACGGAGATTCCCCACATTATGAAACGGCGCATTGAGAGCTTGGCGTATCCTTTTTTGTGGAGTGATGTGTGGGCGGGAGTCGTACGGGTGTCAGTCGAGGATGATTTCAAAGTTCCCGGGAGAGAGAGAGAGAGGGAGAGGGAAAGAGGAGTAGGTTCAGATATGGGAGAATTCAATGTTTCATTGTTCCATGCGCTCACGGTAAGGATAACGTGTTTTATCAGCCCGTGCACGCCATCGGCTCGTGCACGCGGAACACCATTTTATCTGATCTTTTCAACCCCACACAATACTACTAAAATAGGCAATATAGAGGCTACGCTTAATAATTTAAAATGCCTAAAGCTAGGAGAATCCCCTAATTATACTAAAGTAGCTAAGAAATATAGTATTAACTAATCTACGTTATCCTAAAAGTATTATAGGGTAACTATAATACGTAATAAATATATAATTAATAGCTAAAATCTTAACTTTATATAAGAGTATAAGCTTTTATAGTATATTAATAGGCTTTATAAAAGAGGTTTACTACTTATAAGAGAGATAATTTAGAATTTTATATTAGAGATAGCTAGTAAACTAGTAGGAAAATACTAAGTTAATTACTATATTATATACTATAGTATTTACCTAATTTTATATTAGATAACTAGGATTAACGCTAATTACTATAGAGCTAATTCTGCCTTTAAATATACCTTATACTTTAAGTAACTATACTATAAAATTAAGTAGTATAGTATTAAGCTGTGTTACACGTATAATATAAATAAAAAGAGCTTTCTTATTAAAGTACTCTTAAGAATAAAGAAGATCTTTAGTAGAAACTAATATAAATATAAGAAGATTAAGGTAGTACTCTAGAATAGTAATAGAGAGTAGATTATATTATTAGTATATATTTATACTAATAGATTAGCTTTTACTTTAGTACTTATCTATTAGGCTACCTCTAGAAATATTTAAGATACTTAGTTATAGGATTTTAATTCTTCTATCTATTAAGCTTTCTTTACTTTATTACCTACTAGATAGATAAGCAACGTTATAGGCCTAGCCTAGCTTAAATAAGTATTTAATTAGAAGACTTAAAAGAAGGCCTAATACTTATACTAGCTACTTATTATTAACAGCTATAGCTCTTATATTACTATAGATTTTATTAAGTACTATAATAAGAATAAGATTCTACTTACAGTACTTCTACCTTACTTAACCTATATACTCTAGCCCCTTAATATAGTTATATTTAAGCCCTTATTAACAGCTTACTTAGTTAAGCTTTTAAACTTTATAGATAAGTACTAAGAACTCTTATTTATTACTAAGTATAACTTCTTCTAGCTCTTCTATTATACTTAGAATAGCTTATTTAAGCCTTAAACTATCTAAAAGGCTTTTAGTACTACTAGTATCTTACCTATAGATTTTAACGTAATTCTTTGTAAATTCTAGTTAAATAATCTTTACCTATTATTAAGCTCCTTTATAAGCTTAGTTTTAAGTACCTTAGACTAGAGAAAGATTAAGAGACTTCTAAAAAAGGTAGTAATTAATATAAGCTTAAATTAAACTTAGTAACTTAGTTAAACTATTTATATAATCTTAGTTTAAAAAACACTCTTAGAGTATAAAAATAGTTAGCTTAAAGAGGCTCTTCTAAATAAGAAGAAGTATAGGTAGTATAGTAAGGTATTACTACTTTAGCTACTAGCTTAATATAATAGAGAAGCTGTTTTTTAGTCTCCTTTAAAGGTTACTACTACCTATAATTACTAGAAGTAAAAGGACCTTAAATAAGAGCAGTTATAATACTAAAAGAGTAAGGTAATTAAGCTTTAAAATAAATAAAAGTAACTTAAAGTAAATCTCCTTAAAAAGAGGTATTAAAATTAGGTAATAGTAAAGAAGGTAAAAGTTATAAAGAAGGCTAAAAAATAAGCTTAATAAAAAAAGAAAAAGCTTATGTATTAGGCTAATAAATAACTCTAAAAAGATATTAAACTATTCTAAAGAAGTAAGAGGTAAAGCCTTAAGCTTATAAAAACTTTAGCTATTAATTTAGTAGTTAAAGATAGGGTAGGTGTATTAGTTAATAATAAGCTAACTCTTCTGCCCTAGTTCTACTACAGCTGCAAAATTAACCTCCTAAGCTAATTTAAATAGTATAAAATAATAACAGTACTTTATTAATTACTACCTTAAAAAATCTTATAATAATTATATTTATGTGTAGCGTTGCAGCTTTAAAAGTATAGCTTAAAAAATGGTGTTCCGCGTGCACGAGCCGATGGCGTGCACGGGCTGATAAAACACGTTATACCGAGGCGGTTGTTTTTGGTTTGTTTCGTTAGACATGTTCGTTATATACATTCAGTTACTTTTCGACCCAAGGAAAACAGTTCGTAACGCCGGTGTCGTGCAATGCATCGTTGACTGACAAAATAGAAATAGGGATGGAGATCCCATACTCGCCATCTCATCCTGGCTATGCTTTATGAATCGTATGAAAAACGCTCTGCTCTGTTTCTGCTTCGCTGGTTGATACTCCAACAACACCGCGTATGAATACGCAAATCACAAGTATGCTTATGAAAGCTCAGCGTTGTCAGCCGGGGAACCGTCCACCGAACCAACATAGCTACTCTGAGATCTCCTCAAAGGAGACTTCTTGTTTTTCCTCTCGCGGTTCTTCGACGCCTCCTTAGGCGACTTCTGCCCTTTTTCTTTCGCCTTCAACTGATCGATAGCGCGATCCACTTCTTCCCACGACGGCCTGCTGTCGCGTGTGCCATTTGGAGTAGCAGGGCCAGACTGCGTCTCCAAGACCAGCACTCTCTTCGCCTGATCGTTAAGACTGGCCTCGGGTGTTTGAGGTTCCAGACCTCGGTCCACACCCGGCGTGCTATCGACAATGCTGTTGACCTGCGCTCGAGGAGCTCCTTTATGGGATCCTGGCGTACTCGGGGTGGGTGGGCTGAACCTGATCTGAACAGGACTTCTCGCACCTTCTGTTTCCGCATCCGATACGTTGGCCCCATCACTCCGTTCGCTCAATCCAGCAGTACTGTCGCTGCGCCACATGCTTCGGAAAGTTCGTCTACGCCTGCCTGTGCCGGACTCCGGAGGACTTCGTGGTGGCGGTGACTCGAAAAACGTCGTGTATTTGTTACCCAACTGCTGTGCAATCGGCATTCCTGCTGTAGAGCCAGATGTTCCAGATCGCGCAAAGAGAACCAGCCCCAAGCACAAGAGCAACAAGGTAGATTGTACAACAGCCATTCTTTTCTGCCAGACGAGTTCGTCGGCCATCAGACTGAGTCGTGTGCCGATTTCGCCAACTTCGGTTTTCTGGCGCTCCTTCATGCTTTCAAGTTCGATGATTGTGCTCTGCCACAACTGTTCGTACAAGGCGCGATAACTCTTGAGCTCGTATGACACGGTGCTGTTCAGGTGTTCGAGAAATTTCTCCGTCTTGGCCATCTGCCTCTTTTCTACTTTGATAAAGGCATCACGTAAGATCCGAGACTGCTCTTCGATGTACTGCAACGAAAGTGTGCTGTTAGCTTCCAAATATAGCAGACGCTTGTGGATGGACTTGAAGAACGATTCTTGCGTTGTCGGGGCGGCCGGACTTGGCTGCGTGGATGAAGCGCGTGGCTGAGATTGAGCTTGAGGGCTGGCGACTGTACCATTACTCGACGCTTTGACGGATGCGCTGCTCATGGATGCAGCCAGAGTACCGTTGATGATTGGAGAAGCGGCGTTGTGATTCTGAGACGCGATTGAAACTGGCGTGATCTTTGAAGCATCTGATATCGTATCGTGTGTTTGTGACAACGATGCGTTTGCCTCCTCTTTGGATGGTGCCGCTGCAGTTTGTTTGCTATTCTGAACAGACTTTGTCGCTTCCCAGTTGTTGGAGCTTGGAGTAGTTGATGGTGGTGACAGATTAGGCGAAGCGTCTGGGGAACTCTCACTCCGATGAGCACCTGTAGATTGGCTAGGGGGAGTAGCTGCTGTGGTATGAACAGATACGGCTTCAGAGGTTCTTGGCTGTGACTTGGTTTGGGGTGATCCATGGGGAATATTCCCAGATGCTACTGCTTCCGATGCAACCGCTGAAACGATTATCTCGGGGACAGGGCTGGCCTCTTTCTCCAGAACCATGGATACTTGGTCAGCAGGCAGTGGCCCACTATTTTCAGCTGGCTTTACATAATCCTCTTCGGCTATCTCACTTAGCTCAACCTCATCGTCCAAGCCTCGAGCCTCCTCTTCCTCTCGCCTGAACTGGTCCATCATAGTCGTACCATGGACACGCAGAAGGCTGAGGGGGCAGTAGAACTCGTTACCAAATTGCGTGAGGAATTCAATGCGCAGATACCGCGCCCAGATTTGGGATTCTGTAACAAGGAAGGGCTGGATATCGCGTGAGTTTCGCGCTTCGAAGGTGGCCAGCGTACGCCACCTGTCCATCTTTACAGGATAGCGATCTGAGACGCTGACACGGAAGTGGCGGAACATGGAAGAGAAGAATTCATAATTCGCCAGAACAACCGTATCGACGAGAATGTCGTCACAGAGCTCGACGATGATAAATTTGTTCTTGGCAGAGCATTCGTTAAGCATGTACCTGTCTTTGCTCTCGACCAGTACGGAAGTGGCGCTTTTAGCTTTTTTGTTCGTCTTCAGCACGGTAGCTGCGCAGTCAAAGGAGGCATAGTTGAAGCGCTCCTTGCATGTCTTCCCAGCGTCTTTGCTAAGAGCCCATGCGCTGGGCACAACTTTGCTTTGCTCTTCCGTGACCTTTGTAGCTCCTGCGCCTTGTGTATCCGAACGGACGTTGCTTTGAACATCTCCACCTTCTGCCGTGGCCCCGAAGCCGCTGAAATCAATCTCTATTTCTGCGTCGTCGCCAAGAGAGTCGAGCGCATTGACATTGACAGGTCGTCGCCGTAGTCCTTCGTCAGACGGAGCTGCCCGTCCCTGCCCGACATTCTCAGGTGACTGGCCAGCACGAGCTAGGTTCCTCTTCTTCCATTCATCGAATGAGAGAAAGTTGGCATTGTCGAAAGGCGAGTCCGTCTCCAACTCGACCTCCAGCTCTGCGCTGCTACTTGGGGTGCTCCCAGTTGATCCTGTTTCTTCTGCTTGTGAAGCTGCTGTTGCAGTTGTCCTGCTTTTTTCTTCCGATATGCTGCTCTTCACTTCTTCTACCACTCCGGCTATTGGTGAATCGAGATTAGGCGTTGTTGTTGAATTAGCTATCGTGCCATTCGCGTCGGCTCTGCCTGGCGTTGACCAGCTCGTTCTTAAGCATTGCTGAGGTAGCGTATGTGTGATGTAGTTGATTGTACGAAATGGACATAAGGTGTCTTGGTCGGTGAACGAGTGGGGGAACGAGTGGGTGAACGGTAGTGACTGTGGCGCGGCGGTGGAAGCATGTCGTGTCGTGGTATCTGAAAATGCAGTAGCGCCAGATTCGGGCTGCGTCGTCTCATTCGTTGTGTGAACAGGTGCAGACGTGGGTATGCTGCATAGCAGCAGAAACGCTGTCCATTTGCGGAGAGGTGCGCCAATCGTGAGCATTGCTTGGGCGCATGTCTTGTCCAACCTCTATTTTATGAGTGTTGTCGATTCGAGCGCAGCTCGTACCGATTCGAGTGGGGGGAGTACGGACATGGGCAGCAAAGGTAAGAAGACAAGACCTGGGGAAGGCGCAATGCGGTGTGACACGTTCACCGCTTATACACATCGCGTGCATGACGGATGCCAAGATGTTATTTCGAGAGCGCCTCCTTTTTTGGACATGAACAAAATGTCCATTCAGACGAGAGGCCTTCCCGTAATCTCCAATTGGAAGCGCAGATTGGCTCGAAATATTTAGATTTGCTTTCCAAGTGTCATGCAGGAAGAAGGGACCATCGCACAATAAAATCAATAGAACACATCAACCCCACAAAACCTCACACATGCTCAAGAACCGTACCTTTACATGGAATTCAATGCGCTTTTCTACGGCAGCGCAACATGGCACGCTTAAATACAAACACCCGCGCCATGCCCAAGATTAGAAATTCGTGAGGGCTACATGTGGTGCAATCGTAGCCAGATTACAATAAATGCAAGCGAGTGATGAACCTCTACACGCCGCCGCCCAAGCCTGTACAAACTGCCTGCACATCTGCGCTCTTCGGAATCCATCCCGCTGCCGTCTACACCCTGTGTGTATTGCTGTAAAGACCCCAAACGCCACCCCGAGTCATGGCGAGTGTCGTGAAAAGAAACGCCGTACGAGCCCAAATCCCCCGCTATGCTATGGCATCAGTCGTAAAGGAGTATGTCTTGCCAGGTATCGTAGAATCGCTTAAGAAAAATGTCAATTAGAAATCGTGTGTCAAGAAACACATGTGCAAATGGCTGTAGATCGGATGCCGTGATCCACCATGACCGCGGAGAAGGGGGCCGAGAATGAAACGTATCGAGTCGTGAAAGTCGTGGGTAGTTTTCGATCGATCAATGGATTCCAGCGTGTCAACTGGGTTGGCAACCATGAGCTTGCGTGGTTTAAGAATACCAGGTCTAGCCTCCGAGGTTTCTTAGAAACCTTCATGGCCTGCGTGACAGACTTTAGCCTCCGCAACCCATTCTGAGGCGAGAACCTGATGGGCAGTAAGACGGCGCGCTGGGATTGGGTCAAGAATCGAGTAGATGACGTTACGGCATTGACGCTGCAAATCTTGTTAGTGGCTGATTTTCTAGAACAGACAGGAATATCACTTACTCTTCGCAAAACCTCGATGGGCCGATAACCCTCTTCTTGCTTTCGATCCTCGAGGTAACGATCGAAAAACTCGTCTTCGCCCTTCTGTGCGACCCGCCAAAGGTGGCGACCAGTCCGCATGGCCATATAGATGATGCCGCAAGCCCATACGTCGACGGCACGAGGGTCGAATTCTTTGTCGACGTACTCTTCAGGAGCAATGTAGGGAGCCGATCCACACAGGCCAGCAGTCATGTGAGCTTCCTTCTCCCAAGCCATACGGAAGCACTCTCCGTTACCAAAATCGGTAATCTTGATTGAGCCATGCGTCGTCAAAAGCAGGTTCTCGGGTTTCAGGTCGCGATGTGCAACACCCATCTCATGCATATATTCAACACCACGCATCAATTGCTTGAAGAAGCAATCAGCCTCGGCAACCTCGAGCTGGCCAGAAGCGAGTACCAACGTGTACAAGTCGCCACCCGAGCAGTACTCCATGACTTCACAGTAGGTGCCCTTTTCATCTTGGAGTAGATCGAGGGTGGTGATGACATTCGGATGTTGCATCGAGGAGGAAATGCAGAACTCAGACGTGAGGCGCTTTTGGTATCGTTTCGCGGATTCTCCAGGGCGCTGCTTGAACTCTTTTACTGCATACAATTGCTCACGTTTCGCGTCCTTGGGGTCCTGTTTATGGGCGACTCGCACAATTCCAAAAGCGCCACGTCCAACGACTTCTTGACATTTGCCGTACTTCTGGAGTAGAGTCTGCGGCATGCTGGCGGCTGCGCTCTTCTGCTCCGCAAGCTTCTCCTTCTCGTTGCGCATGACGTCAACCCAATTGGACATGAGACTCAGAGGCTGGTCCTCGGCAGGGTCGCCCTTCTTTTTGCCCAGCATCAGATTTTGGAACATGTCAGACAACTTCTCCTGGCGTTTCGCCACCCTAAGATGATGTTCGTGCATGCCGTCTTCGTTTGCCCAGAAGCGTTTGTAGGGGGTAGCAGGCGCGCCGTCCTTTTTTGTTATAGAACCCTGGCGCGTGGGCTGGCGCGGGGGCTGTGGGCGGCCAACTACTGCGGGGCCGTTCACAGTCCTGATATCGCCATTCCTCTCAGCGCCATTCATCCCATGCGGCTCTCTGATGCCTAGCATGCTACTGAGACGCGACGTCATAGTAGGCTTCTTCGGCTTCATCAGGGCCTCCGCAGCCGCCTGCATGCCGCTAGCACCAGAATGCTGAACACCAGGCGGGAGCGAGAAGTATGTGTCGGGCTGCGAGTGCAGAGACGAGGCATTCGACGTGGCTGCCGACGGAGAGGCGTCAGGTTTTGCAGCGGTGCTGGGGGGCGTGCTAGTTGTCGTCGGGCCCGCCATGTTGTGCGAAAACTGTCTGCTGTGGGAACCGGCGTGGTAAGACGGAATATGTGGTTGAGGGTGGGTGAGGCTTCAAGGATCTAGAGACACAGGTGTCTCGAGGGCTCAAAGCCCAGGGTGGTGTTGTTATTGCACGCTTCTCAACACTGTGTATGCTCTTCGGCGGTGGGTGGTGGATATCAGGTTGGGAAGGCGCGCGTGCGGCGATTTATTGTGCGAAAACACGGTGACCGTTCGCAGGCGAATTTGCGAGGTGCAAAAGGTGTGAAATGGCTTACAAACACGCAGGCGCTGGGTGAATACTCTTCTGGTCCACGCGGGCTCACGGTGCCTCTTGTGTGGCTGAGCCGGTTGCCGAGATAATTGGCGGATACGATGATGTAGGTAGTAGGTTGTTACTGGCGAGGACGATGCGGCTGTGCGAGCGCAACTTGCACATGCACGTTCCGAAAACTTACCGTGCGAGAGGGCAGGTCGACCTTGGGATCGTCGAGGACTGACTTGGGAGAATTATGTATTGTGAGCGATGGTTGTGCGGAGATTTCTGCGCTGCCTCGAGCCATGGACGGCGACGGCTTCCAAGAAACAGTCTAGCTTGAGGCATTTTTTGCTCTTCTGTTCTCCGTTGCCAAACGCTTGCCGACCGCCCATTATTAAGGCGAAGCGCGGCAGTCGGCCAAGCAACTACAAACAAGCACACGGCAGGAGGAGCTTGATTGCTGCCGTTCTGCCCATTGTGGAGAGCTGACTGCCTTTGCCTGCTTGGTAGACACTTTGGTGGTAACAACTGCAACTCCGCAGCTGAGCCGGCAACCCAACAACTATTTCCTGGTGTCGTACAAATCGTGTGTCCAACAAATTGCTAACGTTGACGTACTGCGTGCTCTACCACCCCGGCTCCCACGTTTAGCGGCCCGGAATGCGTAGCTCCAGCTTGCCTGTCACCAGATGCTTCTACCAACGCTTTGTGACGCAACAAAGCCAGTCACAATCCTGTTCTCCAGTAGCACTTCTTTACTAATGAAGCTTGAGCGCACTATAAGCCTTATGTCACAACGCCCGACGTCTTCTTTGTCATTCCGCTGTTTCCCCTCACAGGACGCCATGCACCTGATCTGAAACAGCGTGCTCGCATCTGGTTTCTGGGGAACGAGAACCAAACCTAATGCGGGGACAATGCTGTCTAAATGGTTGTTGGTTGCACTATTTAATCGTTTCATCACATTTCAAGATCACCATTTGTTGTACAGGTTACTGACCTTTCATCTCAAGCTATCTTCGTATGCCGTGTCTGCAGTGCTCCATCAAATGTTGTGTTTTTACCGCAGTACCTACATATCCCTCGGCCCCGCACCTACCTCCCACCTCACCATGCACACCGCAAGTCGACCAACTGCATACGAAACCACCTCCAGAGCACCGTCCAGTCACAAATGCCGCACCTGCCGCTCCTCGATCCTGCCGCTCGGCGATACAACCACTGCAAGTCTTCTGCGCATGAACAGCTGCGATTTCTCGGGCGGCTCCTACACATGAGTGATTCTTCGACCTTTCTTTGCGCTAAGCTTCCCCGAGATCCATAGGTCTGGTCGGATCCACTAACTAAGGAATGCAAGGTCGTGGTCATGGTCGCTTATTATGAATCCTTCCCAATTATCACCAAAATGGTACGTGCCTTTCCGATACCTCGGTGGAAGGAACTCTGCTTCACTATGGTTCCCACACATACTTTCATTTTTCAAAAGTCTATCTTTCTACAACACATTTACTCCTTCAGCTTGTAGCTCTGTGCTCACCTAGCAGTGAGGTCATGACTTGCCGTGTGACTGCTGACCACACCCTTCCACATCCAGCACAATGGCAGCAGCGACATTCGACAGCTCGATAGATCGCCAAGCCGAACAATGACCCGTGTCTCGCACCCCATGCGTTCTGTAGAAAACGCCAGCTTGCGCAACTCGTGGCTTATTATCTTGCCCTCATTGGACTATATCTTTTCCTGCAGACAGGAGGTTGCATGCGAGGTGCAGATGATCGTACGCCTGCGTGAACCTCGATCAGCTCGTAAGGTTTATACTATGAACGGAGGCACTAACGTCAACGGCTGGCAGTAAATCGGTAGGTGTCTAGACCTCAGCCGTGCTATCCTCACACCACTGATGACACCAACATCAATCCTACATATTGAGATCTTACTAAGCAGCTCATCAATCATCGTTTCGAATGGAACATATACTACGCTATCAAACTGACGTTTCGCTTCGTTCAAACCTCATAGTATGTTTGGATCTCCAACAAGATTCTCTGGAATATACCATACTCCGTCTTAGATTCTCGTTCTTGACCTTCATCTCAATCATACCTGACATCTACTTGTTTACCTCCAACTACTTCACTTACTCAACGCTTTCTATGAGGACGCCTATCCATTAGATGACGTTGCCACTCATCATTGTAGAAAATACGCGACAATACCACGAATGGTTGGTTATATATTTGTCTCTATTTGATAGGAATCATGCAGAAGCCCATCAACTTCAGCGTTACCACAAATGCATCACCCAGTTCGCCAACGCGATACACGGTCTCGATTTGTTGGTGTATAAGTTGTCAACAGACAGGGTATCAGCTTGGAGAGGATGTTCTGAAAGAGATGGAACTGTGCTATACGAAGGTTTGTTGCGATGTTGGTAATTCGATACACAAGAACGAGACTCTATGTTATGGCACTATGCCAGATGAAATGAAGGGAGAAAGTGTGTGCATTCTCAGCTGTCTTGCATATGACGTATGGTTGTGATAAAGTAGAATAAACTGACAAAAGCGATTGTAGTAGACGAGCCATTTATCTCGCTCATATACGAGGCTTTTGCCTCCTCATAAATCAGGTCTTCACTGCTGCATGGAATACTCAATCATGTTGTCAGTATGAGACGGACGGCTAGCGCGGGACTGCCTCGAAGCTTGGATTGCATTCCGTCATGTGAAGAGATCGACGAGCTACCCTGCACTACGATTACCCATCATCTTTGGACTTTAATGAGCAAGCATGTAAATATTATGCGTCGCTGTCTACCCATATAGATTTCCAGTCTCCAATTCTCGAAAGCCCTTTGCGCGATCACGATCCCCTACGCGGCACAGCGTTCACGATTCTCAACCAGCGCCCCTCCGCGCTCCGCGACGATGCATATCCCGCCCAGTTCCGTTGCTGCTGGCTCAGCGACACCTCCACCGACATCGATACAGAGTAATTACAATGGCGGGGTCTGGGCTCTGGGTACATCTGGAGGATACAGTGAGAGCTGGAGTAGTCTTATCGGCATCGTGACGGCGATAGTCGGGAATGTGTTGATCTCCTTCGCGCTGAACATGCAGCGGTATGCGCACATCCGGCTCGAGCGGGAATGGCAGGAGAAGGAGCGGCAGAGGAAGAGGAGGAGTGCCAGCCAGACGAGTCTAGCGCGGCTAGCGGAGGGAGGGAAAAGGAAGAGGCGAAACGAGGATGCGCATGGTGACGATGCCTTGGAATCGTCCCCTCTGATCGGCAAAGACGGCGGAGAAACTATAACGAAACACCCCTCGTACCTCAAATCTACGTACTGGTGGCTCGGTATAATCCTCATGACCGTCGGCGAATGCGGAAACTTCCTCGCCTACGGCTTCGCGCCTGCGTCTATCGTCTCCCCCTTGGGCGTCGTCGCCTTGATATCGAACTGCATGATTGCGCCGTTCATGCTCAAGGAGCCGTTCCGCATGCGCGATGCGCTCGGTGTTGTGATTGCGGTTGGCGGCGCCGTCACGGTGGTGTTTTCGGCCAGCGACAACAATCCGAAGTTGGGACCGGATGAGATTTGGGACTTGATTCGGAGATGGGAGTTTGAGACGTATCTGGGGATTACATGCGCGGTTATTGCGTGTCTTATGGTGGCGAGCAACAGATTTGGGGAGAAGAACATCTTGATTGATCTGGGGCTCGTCGGGCTTTTCGGTGAGTTCAACTTCTGCGGGTTTGGGTGTGTTTTTGAGATCTTTATGCTTCTTATTTGAGGGAGTGTAGAATCATCTGAAGACCTCCCACCTACATGGTCGTCCAGAAAGACTATCATTTCTCCAGGAAGAGCACAGGATATATCATACAACATCAAAAACAAAGCTAACAATCAAACAGGCGGATACACAGCCCTCTCCACAAAAGGCGTCGCATCACTCCTCTCATACACCCTCTGGCGCGTCATCACCTTCCCAGTCTTCTACCTCCTAGTCGCCATCCTAGCCGGCACAGCCATCATGCAAATCAAATACATCAACCGCGCCCTGCAGCGCTTCGACGCCACCCAAGTCATCCCCGTGCAATTCGTCCTCTTCACCCTCTCCGTGATCCTCGGCTCCGCAATCCTCTACCGCGACTTCGAACGCACCTCTGGCGACCACGCGGGGAAATTCGTCGGCGGCTGCGCCCTAACCTTCACCGGCGTGTGGTTCATAACAAGCGGCCGCGTCTCCAGCGGGAGCGACACAGCCTCGGAGTTCGACTCAGACGACGACCAAGTCCCCGACGCTATCAACCTCTCCACACACGACACCTCAACCCCGGAGACAAGCTCCTCCACCCTCCTCCCCCCGCGCCGCACATCCCGCCCCATAACCCCATCCATAA